CCCCCCCCCCCCACATCTCTTGCTCCCAGAGATGAGATACCGGACGGACGAGACTTATGCCACACATCATAGTAAGGCGAAAGGGTTCCATATCGATGACATGACAAAAATGTGGTGTAATCCTTCATTTGAAAAGGGACCACATACTCCATCTTACATTTCCGGATGTCATACCAATACACGCCCCTGTTGATACGCCAAAAGAGGTTCTTTCCTAGCCAGCAGCAACATTCAACAACAGGCTTCTCAAGAAGAGGTTGTCCAGCTACCCAGGCCAGAGTCAATGGATTACCAACATTAGCCGGATACAGTGCCCTGTTCCCTTCACGCCTCACCATATCCCATGCATCCCATGCGATCCAGCCGTTGATCGGCTGTTTGGCTCGATACCTACGACAAGATTCCCATAACCAGCAATATGGTGTTCGCGAGCAGCAGGCCCCTTGAAAACCTCGGCTCGCGCGAAGGAGGGGCTCGTTCGGCAAAGCACATATTGTATCTCGCCCGCAATATCACGCAATCTTCACAAACGTTTGGACAATCATCACGAGTTACCGCGTGGGGTTCTTGATGGGCATGTCCGATAACAACAAGGCCCAGGGTGGTTGGTTGTTTGTATCGCGGGTGAAGACTCCTTGAAGAATAGAACTATGACGGATATGAGTATAAGTTGACCTGGCCAGGAAGAGGTGCGATTTGTGCGAACATGCAGGCTTGAAATGGTACTGCGAGACACCTCGTTAAATAAACCCTCATCGGCATGTAACTACTTGATAACTAGGTCTTCTCGCTTTTGCCCAGGTACTTTACAAACCAATTACGCAGTCTCTCTAGGCGATTGATGTAATGAGCCCGTTCCCACGGCGGGATACCGTGTCCTTCTCTGGGATAGAGAACATATTCACACTCGTACCCGTGGGCGAGGCACCCATGGTGGAATGCGCGTGCATGAGTAACATGTACCCTGTCGTCCTCCCCACCCTGCAACATCAGCACCGGCGTCGTGATCTTGCTGGTGGCCATATGCCAGACGGGGCTGCTTTTGCGGTTCCAGGTGTCGTCCGGGGTCACATTCCACGGTGCACGGCCCCCGAGGCAGATGGCATAGATCGGAGTGTCCGAGCTCATCACGCCAATGTCCCAGTCAGTACCACCGCACAGCGCGCCCGCTGCGGCGAAATGGAACGTCTCATCCCTGGTCACAGCCATGAACGCAAGACAACCGCCGTAGGACCAGCCGTAAATGCCGACTCTCGCGGCTTCGACCAGGCCATCCGCGATCGTGGACTGGAGTATGTCGATCACATCGCTGTAGTCCTTGGTCCCAGGACGTCCCAGCATGTCCGACACGAACTTCTCTCCTCTTCCGGTGCTGCCACGAAAATTGGGCGAGAGCACAGCGTAGCCGTGGTATGCGAGCCAGGGAGCAAGGTTCTCAAAGCAAACGTCAAAGCCAAGGGCGACTCTGCAAGAAGGACCGCCGTGGGGAATGACCACTGTTGGCCATCCGGCCGGAGGCATCTTGTATCTCCTCTCCGATGGAGTGACGAATACTCCTTCCACCATGGTACCGTCTTGGGCTGTTGCACGAACAGTCTTTGCAGAAGCAATGTCGCCAACTTCTCGTACGAATCTGCCGTGGTCAGAGAGACAAGACTCCTTGCCGTCCACGATCACGTACACCTCCTCGGGGCTAGACGACGTGCTCTTGGTCAAGGCGACAATGGTCCTGTTGCCCTTCGCCCATACATCCCAGGCACGAATGTCGCTCTCCTGCGAGGCGTGGACGATGTTCCAGCTTGGCAACTCGTGGATAACATCAGACAAGCCATGTTGCACTGCCACGAGCAGCCCTGAAGGGCCATGCCGCACTGACGGACCAAGTATCCAACCTGTGGCACTGTCATCGCTGCCCGATCCCTTGACGGTCCACTGGCCCGAGTTCAAGTCCATGCCGTAGACGCACATTGAGCCCAGACCAACGGGATGCGACAGGTCGTAATTTGAACGCCACCACAAGGAGTCACGTTCCCAAACCAGATCCACAACACCATTCGGGAAGCGGACCATCTCCGTAGTATCCCTACCTGCCAGAGGGACAAGTTCAAGTATACTCCCATAGGTCACTGGAGAACCAAGTTCGGGGGTGTTTGTTGTGGCATACACAATGGATGTGGAGTCGGGGCACCATGCGAGGTCGTAAACGTGTGATTCTTTGGAGACAAGCGTGGTAAGTTTCTGAGAGGCAACCTCGACGATCCGGAGACGATTCAAGTCCCAGTGTTCCGCATACACTTGCTCGTCATCACCTCTCTCATGTCGGGACTTCATGTCAGGACTTTTCTCATCCGGACTCAGGTAAGCGATGTATTTGCCATCGGGGCTCCAGCAAAACTTGGTAATGGCCTGTTCCAAGTCAGACGGCGTAAGTGCAATCTCTTCCGCGTGTAATTCCTTGTCGAGCCGAAGGAGGTTGATTCCGATAAACGATCCGTCCTCCTTGCCCCTGTCGGTGAGAACGGCAAGCACTGCATCGTCCACGGGCGAGAACTGGCAGTTCGCATACAAGCATTGTTTACTCGCAGAGGTCAATTGACGAGCGGACTTTGCTTTGTCGAAGGGAGCCAACCAGACCGAAGAGAACCATTGTTTCGGCGTTTTGCACCAATCCGACCGCAAGTTGTACGCGACGTAGTCTCCCGAAGAAGATATCGTGAGATCGTGGGGCGTCTGAAGGTCCGCGAGGAGGTCGGCAGTAAGTGTCGACATTATTTCAGTACTTTGTACACCTCTGAAGGTCGTCTTGTGTCGGTGAAGATGGTTGCAGTCGTCCGATGGTTAACCCTCTTCCCCTCTTTATAGTGTGATGCCGGCTTGCCGTCATAGTGTCACATCGCCCGACTGCTCCAGGCATCCTTATTCTTGAAAGCCGTAGCCTGAAGTCAATGATGGAGAGTTGGGGAAAATGTGTCCATGCACGGGGTTCTCCTCAATACCCTCGATGTCGGTGAAATGATCGCATAAATACCTTCCCGGCCTATCACACTGCCAGCTGAACAGGCTCCCAAGAATCAAGAATGACCAGATGTCGATCCTTATTCTGCCGGTTATGTCAGCAAATGAGGATCTTCCCCCCCCCCCCCCCCAATCGACCACAATGCAAAGGTGGCGTGGCGAGACCGAATGGCCTGAAAATATCTCCTGGAAGTTTCCGGGTTGTCTTTGCCCTCGAGTCATATGTCAAGCTTGGTATGCCTGAAAAAGCTACATTTGTCGCACCAAGCTGGCATAAGGCCGGATATCATTTGCACATGGGGATCAAGCCAATTTGTTTGATGCGAAGGACGAATGAAGAGCTATCTGTTTTGTCTGTTGCGTGTCATCTGCAAGTACACACTATGGTCCACCACAGAGGTCTCTTGCAATGAAGTAAATGAGTATGCGACAGTAGGGGTTGGTCCATGTTGTCGAAGCTAACCAACTCCCCAGCCAATACCCCCGGGGGTGGGTCTGTGGTTCAGTAACCTTCGGTGCGGCTGCGTATTCATCTCTGCTCTTCGACCTTGCCAAAATCCATCTGGCTGGGAGGAGCAAATTGTTGTTGTGTAGTGAGCACATCGGTATCGTCTTGTCCCGTTGCACATCTATCCCATACGTGGTCGTAGTCTGTCGATCAGGTGGAGCATTGCTCTAGAGAGATCCGATTGTTGGTCGAGAGGAATGGCTTGCTATGTGACGATTCATGGCGTGAATACTCCAGAGACTTGTTGGCAACCGGTTCAAATACTTGCCCGGCGTCACGAACCACGTCGGCAAAGCTGGTCAAGGTCCGTTGGATCACATGTCTACTGGAGGAGAGACATCATCTTATTTGTGGCATCCGATCATCACGTAGCGAAGCCTGATCTTGAGGAGATATAATGCCATTCGTCGTCTGCTGTGAGTGCTTGGACTTGAATAACATGCCATATAGGCTCTGGTGTAAATATTCATCCGGCAACTTGCAACTTACAACTATGCAAGGATCGTGACCAGATCAAATATGCCATTATGAAACTGCGACGTCAGCTAGCTTTGGTCGCAACTAGCTACATTTGACATGCTAAGTGCATCAATGTACAGCTGCCGTTGGTAGCGATAGGATGCATCGCTCAAAGGGTCCAGACAGGGCTCTTTTTGTCGCACTGGCAGGTCCGCGGTAAGAATTTCTGGTCCAGTGACAGACTTTGGTAGACCTGCAGCAAAAGACTCGGTCCAGAACGCGAAAGCTGGTGGTTCCATAACATAGTCCCACCACAGGAATCGTTTTATAACATCCTTAAAGTCCTCCCAAGTCTGAAAGATCGGATGTACATGCTGGAAGAACTGTGTGGCATACCAGGAGCGGTAAGACGTATACGTGGCTGCAATGCCACCCATCAGGAGATAGTAGATGCCCAGGTAGCCAAGCGGAGAGTGTTCGACTGGAGAAAAATCATACGGTGGTGCTCCAGTGATATGTGGCAAGATGTTCCTCAGCTCTCCAGCAAGCCGAGGCTTCACACCCACTGCCCAGGGTAATGGCCACAACACCATGTCCATATATATCATGAGGACCAGCCGCGTCGCTTCATTGAGGTAGTCAGTGCGGCTTGCCTCGCCGTATTGAGGCAGGATTTCAGCCAATGCTGGGGCCGAATAGAGCCTGTGTTGAAGAACAACTGCAGACAGATGGATTTCGTGGAGTAACGGACGCCCCTTTCCTCCGCGAGTGAATTGATCTAGGGCAACGGTGAGAAGACACGCTTGGATGAAAAGATTTGAGAGAGTTTGATCCAAAATTGGAAGGAATGGCTCCATTGCCGCTCCCAGAACAGTCTGAAAAAGTATGGCCTCATCGTCGAGCGAGAACCTCACCTTTGCAACGGACTCCAACAAGTCATTGACCAGTGGAAAAGCTGGACGCCTACCTTCTCTAGTGGCAGTGGAAACATCCGACCTGGAATAGTTCTTAACAGAGGATAGACAAGCCAGGGAGATATGCTGAACCTACAGCTGAAGTTTCTGCGCAAGTCCTGGCACCTTTGTGATACTTTGGATGCCTCCCTTTTCTCTAACAAGGTGTGCCAGTGCGCGATGATGTTGTGGGATGATTCTGAATCTGTGGTAGCCCTTCAGGTTGCTAGCCTTCACTATGGGAGATTCTGGATGAGTCTGGACCCCCCACGTATCGAGCGGGTCTCCGCCTTGGGTTGAGAGGAGTAGCATTCTCTGAATGAAGATCTCAGTTGGAGGGCCCCTTATCTCGAGCATCTCTTGCCGGATCTTCTCGATAGCTGCATTCTGATGAATCAATCGGATGCGGGTCAGGACGCTAATCTTGGCTTGGTCGGATGTCACCATAAAAGCCATTGTTGCGGCGTTCGAGACTTGGGCATGAAATTCGGTGATGTCTTCCATTGCTGCTCTTCGCCTCGAGGTCATGATAGTTTTCACTGTAGAGGTAGGGATGCCAGGTAGATTGCGTGGGAACAATTGGTCGTAAGCTATTAGACAATCAGGTGCTCAGCCGACCATTGGCTATGTGAGATAGTTTTTCACCCTTCACATCAGCTCCGTTGGAACAACTTACCGAAATTCATTAGGTCATGCACCACCAACGGCAGCTTTCTTGTAGACTCGTTGTTGAAAGGGTCTCTGGTCGTTTGATCGAGCAGAAACTCCGTATTTAGGCTTGCTACCACATCTCGGCGCGATCTCCAGACCTTCTTGCCCTCCTCGTCGGCACTTGAAGCAACATCGCCCTTCCTGTGATCCACTCGTTTCTTCGGCAGGTTGACATGGTAGTGACCTTGTTTGGTTTGCTTTTTTCGGCGATGGGTGACCCTGGCAGCATGCGCCCTGATGGCAGCAATGTTCAGTTCACGAGTTCGTCGAGCATAAGTATCGCCAGCCACAGGGCTAGGTATTTGGCCGATGAAGCAGAAGACAGGGACCTGTTCTCGTTCTTCACTCATAATACTGACTGCTCCGTTTCGTGTTTGCGTACTCTGCAGTAGTAGGTTTGTACATGCCGAGAGTGATTCATCCCCAGAGTTCGTGAGTCCAGGCCCTGATGCAAGGGGGGTTTGCCACAGATGTCCTACTTGTAATTCCGTTAGCAAGGGACTAGTAGATGACGCCCTGGCACCCCCTTCACACCTGTTGCCCGACTTGGTCTAGTAGCCCTGTAGCCAAGCACCTATCATAAGGCCCAGGAGCTAAGTAATCAGTCCATGGGGAAGATTACAAATTTCTCAGGTCATCACTTAGAGCGAGGAGAAATCGTCGGGGAAACAAACAGGGTGTTGAAACCGTGGTGCTGCAGAGAGTATTGTAGGCGTCAGGTGAAATCTATGACATGTAGGAGTTCACGTTTAGTGTTCGAGAAGCTTCCTTTTATATAATGCGCACACCAGGTGAGCAGTGTGAAACTGCGACCTGCTTACGAGGCATTTGAAGCTATCTCAGGAACGGCGTAGTGTGAAACTCTGGGTAGAGTGACAATAATAGTGAACTTTCCTAAACGGGTAATTTCTTCAATTGTCTTGTCAATGATAACCTCGCTCACCCGCCTTAACCTCGTACAATCTGGTGCTCTAGACCTATTCGCCCCAAACGTTATATGTTTCGATGTAGAAGGTAATGGGAATGGCTTGGGCTCTGTTTCTCTAACTTAGTTGGGAAGGCGATAACACCAGGCTCTGGCTGGCTCTCGGGACATGCCGGTTGCTTGGAAGGCAGATGCGATGAGCTCTGGGGCCTCGGCGATGGAGAAGCGAGGGTCGTGAAGTATATCGTTGGCTCGGAGGATGATACCCTAGACGCAGACAAACGGCCAGCTTCCTTTGGAGATGAAGTCTGCGAGCCCTCACGCACCTTGTTCGCTCTTGGGTGGACACCCTTACGTATTGCTCGTGGAAATCATCGGCTGATATTCATTCCCACATTGCGTGCCACACGGGACTGGCCTCAATAGCTCGTGTGGCTCGCCAACCATTCTAGGTCTGTACCCTCATAGGACCCTATGCTTCACATCTGCAAGGCCCGTTTGTTCGCGCCGAGTTCCTTCCAGGGTCACATAATAGGAGCGGCCTGGTGCTTGCGTAACCCGCAGCTGGCACAGATCTGACTGCCTGCTGGCGCGTCCATGGCTATCATGTCCTACGTTACTGGTCGCGTACGGAAGATCACAGCTTTGGCTCAGAGGTAGGCCCATGGTTACAAGCGGGATTTCAGATGATTGTAGAAGGGCTATGTATGCCAGTGGAGTGCGATGTCGGGACAATCACGCTCGACTTAAGTCTGTTCCAGCCCGGCACTACCTCATGTCTGCGCTCAACAATAATAGTTCTGGTTAGTCTGGGTAGTACTTCGTATTCGGGGCCTTCGTCCCCGAGGCATGGACCCGACCGTCACTCAAATGAGATTGTCAACGTACCACCGCTTTCTCCTGTTTCCCGACGTCCGCAGCTTTCGGGGACAAGGTTTGATGTTGGAGGTTGATGTGTGCTTGGGAGAAGCAGCGATATATGTTACGGGTGGCTAGACGGTACAGCGCTCGTTGACCGAAAAGTTAAGTCCTGCTTTCGTCTTGAAGAGCCAGAGCCAAGGCTTGATCCTGGATATTGAGACTTTTCAAGATCTCTCCTGTATGATTTGGCATAGGCAAACGGTCCAGAACATCTGTCCCGGGATAGGACATGTTGAAGGCGTACTAAGCACGCGGTGGCAGTTCCTTAGTCAATCTCATTCCGGAGCTCGAGCGAGCTCCAAGTCGTTGATCCACATGTACCTGCTCAGTACAACGTAAAAATATCTGCCCCAGCTGAACTGGCTAGAATGTCGCGTGAAAGCTGTCACTCCACGACACCACATTGGAAATGAATTCAAGAAGAGGGCGGAGTGTCCGCTTTGTCCAGAAAACATCCCCTCCATGACGAGCTTCAGGAAGGTTAGTGGCAGATCGCCTAAAAGACTGTATTTTCGCATAACGTTTGTTGTTGTCAACGTGTAGACCGGTATGTTAGGCTTTGTAGGTGCGAAGATTTTCCTGAAAGGGTGTCAGCGAGGAGAAGCGATGATGATATTGTCTAGAGATGTGACATACAGAGCACCGTCGCTGACCATGATGTGATTTTCGTGTCCAGAAACGCCTGTGTTATCGAAAGTGATGATCTAGGGTATCAATCAGTCAGGTCGTACTATAATGAGGAGGCCGTTCCAAGGTGTTTGACACGTACCGCGTCAGCCCTCCAACGCGACACATAATATCTCACAACTGCACCAACAGTTTCGGGAGGCCAGGTTTGTTGCGGGTCGTCCTGCAGGTCCTGCATTTCCAAGACTTCGCAATGGTGCTTAAGAATGCCCAAGACGGCACAAGCAGCTTTGACTTCAGCCTTCCGAATGTGACCTTTCCCGTCGTCATCACCTATCAAGCCAAAGTGGGTCAGTTGCTGGGATAAAATCTTGAGAAGCTGAAGAGGACAACCTGAGGAAAGAACCAACAATCCTGTCTGGAGGCCTGGAGCCCTACGCTGGGTCAAGCTTAGGATTGTGGGCCCGAAGAACAGAGACTCATCATCAGGGTGGGCGACGACCACCAAAGCCAGTTTCGCATCTCGCAACTGAGCAGGAAACCTGGCTACTGAGGTGAGGATCAGGAACAGCCAAAGTGCCACAGGCAAAATGATGAAATATGTGACCAACGAACGAAGAAGGAAGACCCTGCGCCTGTGGAGTCTAGGAAGTTGAAGCCTCCAAATATGCTTTTTTGCCATGATGGATATTTGGTCGGCGCAACAATACGGGTAAGGAAGACGATGGCTGGGTGATTGATATATAGACGGCACAGTGTCAACAATTTAAGAGACGATAAGTGTGTGCTTGCCAGGGGCAACCGACATTCACCGCGACATATGCCAATGATATGACCTAGTGAACCCTAAATCAGTTCATAGTTTATACAAGTATTACGGCCAAGTCAGAGACTTAGGCATGCTTCAAACTCTCCCATGACGTCTCGTGCTATGTCTACGCCAGGTGTCCGGTTCGTAGAAGCTGCTCTCGGCCCCCTCCCCCCCCCTTCGACCCGGATTTTCCAGCCGAGTCTTAGTCTTTAATCCTAGTTCTTACACGGCAATGTGGCTTCAGATTTTTGCTAGTGATTGGGCGTAGAGCCTAGTTTGTCGGGTACATCCAGAATCTCGAAGATCTAAGTGTCGGGAAGTCTGACCCCATTAGGATCTTGTGGTCACAGTTATGTTGCATAGCCCGAGCCCAGACGCTCTTGACCGTGAGCGTCCTACGAGTATTCTATTTCGCGGCGAAAGGATAATCCAACAACCCCTCGACGGCAATCATATAATCCAAGATCCGCTAGGTTGTCATCGATGCCGCACAAGGTCATGGTTAATAATGCAGACTTTTTTTCCGATCTATACCTTCCCCGTAAGCGTCCTTCACTCCGAGAGGTATGGACACGAGACAAGAGAAACATGTACTACAGTACAGGCAAGAGCACCATTGATAATCAGATGATAGATACAATCTTAATTCGAAAATGCCGAACCGAAACATGTAGGCAGCCAAGCCGTTGAGCGGAGCACAGCAAGCATGGTGCGAAAAGAGAAGCAAGGCTTGAGGGAGAATGAATCTAGTGTATCCGACAACCCCTGTCAATATTCGACGCCGTAACATGAGATGGGTGATGGTGGTGGAAAACGCCAGATGCCATGTCATCACCAAGCATGCTCTTGGAATTCATCAGTCCTCGACCAAGTGGGAAGGCAGAGCTCACACGGTCAAGTCAGAAAAGTCTTGGATGGCAGGTCCAAGTTCTTACTGAATTTCCCATGCGTCTAAGATGAACTTCGGCTTGACGCTAACCGCATCCTGGAGGTGGTCCGAGTCAGCTGCGGTCGAGTTCGCTTTGGTGTCTGGAATATTCCTTCTTTATATACCTGCAGGCCCAAGATTCCGTGGGAGAGCCAGTGGAATCAACGCGTGGCCAAAGGCCTTTGAAAAGATCCAGTGGTGGGATGAGATGCGCAATTCATGCCCATCAAGCTTCGGGGTAGAGCTTCCAAAGGGATCTCTGCAGCTGCCCCTGAATTTGCCCATCTGAAGCGAAGATGCTCCCTTATCATCCCACAAAGTCTATGTCCAGATGCAAATCATAAGCACCTCCCAGAAAGAGCTGGGAGTGTGTAATTGTTGTGTAGTGGAGGTCTAGACCTTTCCTGACGTGACCACAGTGGCCTTTGGTGCGATACTACCCGAGGATATAGTTTACCCACTGACACACAGCTGGGAAGCCATAGGTCGCTATTTTAAACTCATGAGACGTCGTTGCATTGCATTACGTGTCGAGAGTGACGCGCTTTATGCTATGCTGAACTGGGTCCTAGTGCAAGCCTTGCTTATAATTAGCTCCGCTATAAAGCTTGTCAGTAAAGCTTGGCAACATTGCAGGCCTGAAGGCCAATCGCTTGAACGGCTCCGCTATAAGACAGGGGTAGACCGGGCCCACCTACAGTATTACTCCAAAGGCGCTCCAGGCGACAGGGGCAACGGGATCAACGGGAGCAGAATACGAGTACGAATCGAGAAAAAGTAGCCGGAAATCCATGATTGGAGCCCTCGGACTCCCATGACCCCAGCCTGTTCTGAGGGATATGTAGCCCAGGCGTGTCTCGTTTGCCTTGTGATGATGCCTTGTCCGTGGCTCGGCTTCAAGTTGCTGGAGTGAAGATGAAGGAGAACCTCCATCTTTTCTTCCAGAGCGAAGCTGTGTTTCTTATTGTACCCTTTGTTGTCTGCCTCATCTTCTCCCTGGCCTTCCTCGTTCGCGCGTGCATCGTCCGTGAGAGATGTACGCACCAAAAGGACCGCGTCTGCGTTTGTTCGCGTTGTGTTTTCTTTGCCTCTTATTCTTTCACCGCCATATCCAGATCGGTTTCAAACTGGCGTTGATGCCTCTGACTTTCAATCACGACACCACCATCCGTATCTCCCCTGCTAGGGACGACTTTGACATAACCTTCGAGGAGTACACCTCGTCGGCTGCGCCTTCTTCCCATGCAAGAGCGCCTGGTGGGAACGATACCTATCCGGTGCCGGCTATCATCCATAATGTGTTCCTCGGATCGAGCGACCTCCTCCGGTCCTCATGGGCTCTAGCAGCCCATGCCTGCAGGGTTGTCCACCCGGATTACAACTTCGAGTTCTGGGACAATGCGAGGGCTGAAAGGTTTGTCCGCCGCGAGTACCCCGAACTGTGGCCGACGTGGAAGAACTACCGCTACGATAGCCAGCGGGCAGATAGCCTGCGGTACATGGTTCTTCACCACTACGGAGGTATGTCGTCCATCTTTACGCAGACTATGCTGGCTGGGTAAGGGGCAGCTTGCTTAAGCGCGGCCAACAGGTATCTTCCTCGACCTCGACCTCCTCTGCCTCCGACCGCTCACGCCGTTGCGTGCCTTCGACTTTGTCGCTCCTGCTGCCTACCCGTCCGGCATATCCAATGGTTTCCTCCTATCCAGACCAAAAGGACCGTTCCTGGCCGAAGTCATCTCCAATCTGCCCAGATACGACGTCTCCTGGTTCGGCCTCCCTCATGCCACAATCAGCTTCTCCACCGGATGTCATTTCCTCTCGTGCGTATGGCCTTATCCCATAGTGATTGCGATCCTTCCCACTGACCGTGTGCATTGTCCGCTTACAGAACCATGCACCTCTTCACCAAGACAGACCGATCAATCCTTCGGATTCTATGGGGGCCTCGCCGTCTACACCACTTGAGTGGAAATGCAACTACTCCCCTGTTTCATCACTTCGGCTCTTCTTCGCGGCACTCATACAACGCCGACTTCTTCGAGGCCCTCAAACCTCCTCCTCAGTCGCTTTTCCGCATCGGCGCAACCCGTTCTGAACGGGATTGGGCGGCAATAATATTGTTCACAGCCATTGCAATATCGACTTTTGTTGCCACAGTGTTATTTGTGGTCTATCGCCTGAAAACGCGCTCCAATAGACAGCGGTTAGTGCAGTGAGACGAATATTTTTCACAATTCAAAACCACCAAAGCTAGATGGTGCCATTGGAAACCGCGGTTCGACCTCGAATCGCCGACGAAGTTGTTCTCCTCCTCTGCGACCTGGACGTGGCCACGAGATAGTTATCGAGAGTGAGACTTCTGTGACGCAAAGCAAACAGAGATTTGCTACAGTGCATCACAGTTGATAGCAACCTTAGGGACAAGGTGCTTGACAAACTCAGCCTGAGTTGGCAAATACATCGTCACTCTCAGTTCGTGTATCTAAACTCTCGGCAGACATGAAGACGCCAACGGGACTCTCTTTATTCGTCCCATTTCCCTGGTTGTCAAGTGATGGGACCATCAAACCGACCTGGGCGATCTCGATATCGCGCAGAATCCATTATTGTGAGGTATACTAGAAGCGAAGTCCTGTCCGACACTCACACTCACGCGAAGTAACGTGTATGTGCTATTTATTTTCGGCATTTTGCTCTCCATGGTGCTGATCTTGATTTCTTTCGTTGTCAGAGTGACGTGACATTCCTTGTGGGACTCCGTTACCTCGAGCATGCGTTTTGTTTCTCGACCTCCCGTTGAAGAACTTCCGCCACTCCGAGTACTTTCTCTTCTTCGAACCTCCTCCCAATGATCTGTACTCCGACCGAGAGCCCATTCATGGCTGCGAGGTCGTACAGTTGCCGATTATATGTGTTGAACAGATTAGACAACTCAGACGAAGAGCCTTGAGTTGGTGTCGATGTGCCGTTTATGTCGTTTGAGTCGAGATCTTCCGAGACCCGGGTCAACGGAAACGACAGTGCGGTGTAGTCTAGAAAATTCCAAACCTTGGTATACCCCGTATACCTGCGCCGTTGCGTTTCAGTCAACACCGAGACATAATATCCACGTGTACCATGCAAAACCTCGAGAGAAAAGTCACTTACCGAAAACATCGATGTGGGAGGGCAGTGTGAGCTGCAACAGGGCTCAATAAGACGTCGACCCCCGCTTTGTTCCATTTTCGATTGTACGCTTGTTGAGCCTGTACTTTGGCCTTGTTCAGTTGCCAGTAGTCGTACACCGAGATGGGCTTGCTACTGGCGACGAGACCTTCCACATGTGGCAGCATGGGTTCGCCTGCAGCAGCAATTTCACGGCGGATATCTTCACCTCCGTCGGCTCGATAGAATTGGTCCTGTGACGGCGGGTCAGAATGGCTCAATCCTCTGAGATAGTACTTCTCGACGTCAGCAAGACTCACCTGGATCTCGATGAAAGACATGTGTTCGGACGTATCCCATGGGACGATCTCGTGCCCAGCATTCCGTAGCAGGGCGGCCGCTTCTTGCACGGCGCGTTTCACAGGCGGGTGGGGCTCGACGACCCGATCATCGATGATCAGGCCAATTCGCAGACGCTGGTTCAGGACTCCTCGATAGACATCTTCGCGCCACGGAATTGGGACCACCTTTGGATCCTGAAGCCATACCTGTGAATTCAAAACTGCCCTTGTGACGGCTACCAGTGACGACAGTCGTTTGGCCAGGGGCCCAACTGAGGATGGCACATGTTCTTGGCCTTCATGAGGTCCAGGCACCCCGTGATGTGACATTCGAGCGTTCTGCACCTCTGTCAACATTTTTACTTGACACCTTTTTGGGTTGCCCGTCTCTCACCGATGGCTTCAAGCCAAAGAGCCCATTGAAGTTGCTAGGACCTCGAATAGATCCGCCAATGTCGGTACCCCATCCACAAAGCGACCCCTCAAGGCTCAACAGAGCGGCTTCGCCTCCAGAAGACCCGCCAGCGGTGAGATCTGGCCTGCCTGGAAGCGTCGTCAGGCCCCACAGAGGATTTTCAGTCTCACCCCACTGGTATGTCTGATCAGCACATGGAACCTAGCAAAGGGGGACGCACTGCTTACCAATATGGTCTGCGGTACGTTGGTCTTGGTGATGATTACAGCTCCCAGATCTTTGAGGACTTTCGTCACTGGAGCGTCCTCGGAGGCTGGGTGAAAAGCTCGGCCGACGTAGCCGAATGTCGTGTCCACACCTGCAATGTCGAATTGGTCCTTCAGAGACATGGGGATGCCGTGAAGTGGTCCTACAAGCTTCCCGTGCGTTCTGAAATAATGATCAAGTTCTCGAGCACGTTGCACAGCGCTTTCAAATAGAGGTTCGGTCAAACAATTGGTCTTGCCCAAGGTAAGCCGGACAGATACCAATTTCGTTGTCGGGCAAGGCAACTTACTTGTTTGTGCGCAGCAATCGACCTGGTGCGTAAGTTGAGTATCAGTCTTGTGATTTGTCTGTAAGGGAACGGAGCCCATCTTACCGGTCAATGGCACGCAAGACAACATCTTCGACAGACACTTCGCCACTCGCGTACCTTTGTGTCAACGTTGGGACGTCGATCTGGTCTACAAGCTGGTCTACGACCTCCCCGGCGCTCCTCTTCCTCGGCTGAGGTGCTCCATCAACAAGGCGTCGAAATCTGTGAATGCATTCCTCCCGCTGCAGGCGTTTTCTCTGAGCAATCTCTTCCCATGCCATGGCTCAATCGACGTAAAGACGCACTCGGGCAAGGGGCCAGATAGAGCGAGAGCAGTAGGGGCACCACGCCTTATTAGACTCGCCAGGTGCCCTTTTGATGGTTGTGGTAACACTGTCCGCTCGGCGATATATCGCCGTGGCGGCATTATGGCACCGGAATCCATGGCTGAGTGGGTTCAAGTTAGCTCGTACTGGGCCAATGACATTCTGACCACATCCGCTCCTGTCCGTCGTGGCTGAGCGACAGTTGGCGATTGCAGAGTGTCGTGAGAACAGAACACTAGTCCAATGGCTGGTCAAAGGTGCCTGTAACGAGCCAGTCCCAACCCCATGTCTGGGGGTTTTTGGGAGGAATGATAAGCATAGGTATGTACGCTTGAGATACAAGTCACGTGGGACTGTGACTCTGTCTTTACATTCCTTGGCCTGTCATCGGCGCAGTTGGAGAGGATCTTGCACCGTCTTTACAAAATATATCTTGAGCTGAGAGCCGTGTACGGCTGGCTTTCTTTCTTCCGACGCGCCTTTCTCCTTCCCATCAACTCCGTAGTCGTCTATCCATCAACCTGGCCACCAAACACCGAGGCCAACCATGACAAATGGGGTCTCGAGGGCTTGCGCACGCTGTCACGCGAAGAAGATCAAGGTCAGCGGCCGAGCTATCGATCTGCTGCATCACTGACAGGCATTCAGTGTGATGGGACCTTGAATTGCAAGAATTGTTTCGATGCCCGCGCACCATGTGAACCTTATACTAGGCTCAGACGAATCGAGTATGTGGTAGAATCGGTTCTCAGGATAGTCATTCTCATACTATGGCAGGTTGCACAAAAACACGCAAGCAAGGTTGGCCTGGCTTGAGGATGAGCTAAGTTCGATTTTCAGTGTCGACTGCAGTCTTGTCGAAACCGGAACTCCTTTGGAACCGGTCATCAGGGCCTCCAGATCGAACAGTGCGGCACTTTATAGTCCATCGGCCCACGCTAGCCAACGAGAACATAATCCAGGGACTGCTGTTCCGGGGAGCCATCATGCTAGCCAGCAAGATGATGGGGTTGGGAATACCAATGCCAACATTGACGCGCCAGAAACAGGATTGCTCGCTCTCAACGCTACAGGTGAATTGCGCTATCTAGGCCCTTCTTCTGGCTCGTTCTTTGCCAATTACGCTGCATCATTAGCCCGGTCATGTGTGCGGAGCCAAGGTGTTCGGAATCATCCCTCAAGCACCACGTCCGAGCAAATCAGGCACGAGAGAACAGTCACTGTCGCCAATGTACACCAGGTCCTTTTCCCTGACACAATTCGACTGCTGACTCACTCTTTCCGGATCTGGACGTTACCTCTCTATCCACTATTCAGCAACCAAGACCTGAACAGTCTCGTCGCGCAATACGAGAACTTGCAAACCAATCCTCAAATAGAACAAAGAGAACACACTCGTGACCTTATTCTCTTCTATCTGGTCATGGCTTTGGGATCCATCAACGCATCCCACACGATGAAGCAATGTCCGAGTGTATCACCAAATGCGACTCACGCCGCGCCATCAGCAAGCCTGCTCTATGCAAAGGCCCTCGAGCTGTTTGAACATGACGTGCAACACCTGCGCCCCAGCGTATCCTTGATTCAGATACTTTTGTTGATTTCTATATTCAGCTCGTACGGACCGAGCGGATTCAGTCAATGGCAACTAGCGGGGCTAGCGATGCGGGTAAGTATTGGCTATGGGAAGCCTCGCACTGCTTCTGGGTGCTTCTGGGGAGCTGACTTTGATCAGATGACTCTGGAACTTGGGCTTCATTGTTTCCATGTTAGGACCCCAAATCACGACAGTGATAGGCGGAATCGGGTCTTTTGGACGATGTACGTTATCGAGATTTCGCTGGCGTATAATCTCGGAAGGCCACCAAGCATCGTGAACGACCACATTACTGCACCTTTACCTGTTTCCACAGACAAGAGCGCTCTCGCTCTGCATTATATCAGACACAGACAGATCCAGAACAAACTCATAGCCTTAGTCTACCGTACAAATCCACCCAAAGGGCTCTCTTCGGCCGATGGAGCTCGCATCATCCAGGACCTACAGGCAGAGCTGGACGATTGGAAAACCCAACTTCAGCAGCTGCACCAACAGGAACCAAACTCTGCGTACCCGCCGTGGTGAGTTCCATGTGCCTTTAAGATACGTAAGGGTATCTTACTTACTTTGATATAGTTACTGGGAAAGGTTGTATCACGGGACAACGTTTGTGTTGCATCGATCTAGTCCATTGTGCCCGAAGCCTTCTTCTGAATCTGCTGTGCGGTGTATCCAGTCCGCTGGAACTTATGTTGACAACGTGTTGACTGTGTTACGCACCAGCAATGTCCCGTTGACCTGGATGCTTGTTCAGGGTGTCCTCTTCGCCGGTCTGACGATGCTTGTGACTGCAAGAACGACAACATCGGAACTAGTCCAACGCGCTGATGCGACCATCTGGCTAGTTAACTTTGCCAACTGGACAAGGAAATGCTCCATGTGCATAGCAATAATGAACGAACGATGGAGTGAAGATTTGCTGTCGAGATTGGACGCACAGTTCGAGGCACTGGCCAGTGATACGCTCAAGATGGTCGCCGGAAGCCTCACAAACAGGAGTGGAAGCACAGAAACCTTCCAAACATCTGTTTCTACACTGGATCCCACTAACAATATCGCGGATCCCACTTCGTGGCCTGGTGACGTAAGCGCCACTTATATAGACTTGCCAATGCCCGCCGACCTAGGCTCTCTGGATCCTTTCAGCGACCTCCTGGGTTTTGACAACGGTCAAGCGTTTTGGAATTTTTTCCCTTCTCAGTCTGGCTTCGACGTCCTGGATGCGTTAGGGCCGGAGCAGTACCATAGAGATGAGTCTCAGACTTGGGCAGACATGTTTTCATAATCATGTTTCTCAGTGTGCCAAGTTTGCCCGGAGATGCCACACAGGGCTATCAAGAATTGATTGGCGAGATGCTCCTATCGCAGCGTTCTGCTTCAAGTGAGCCTATGTCTTTATGGCTTTCAGCTTCTCAACGGCAGCCTGAATCATTGATATGGCATCACCCAAGAGTGGCAACTCAATGCGAGACTCGGGATCTAAGGCCTTGTGCAGCAATGAATAGCCCTGCGCGTACCGGTCATCTTTGCTCTGGAAGTACAGATAACTGGTTGCCATTCTCAAGCGATAGCGTCCTCCAGGGAGCCCGCAATCATCCTCACCAAAAGCAGAGCCAGGTAAGGCTGCGATACCGAATTCTTCAATCAGCCAGCGAGACAGGTCAAGACTTGTTTTCACACCAAGTTTCTCCAGCTGGGCGGTGTAGGGATGGAAGGACGGGTATAAATAGAAGCTCCCTTTGGGCTCGGCAATTGCAAGACCGCATTCCTGCAGGGCATGGAACAAGGTAGTTGTGCAGCGCCGATGCAACTCAACAACTTGCTTGCGATAAAGATCCATCTCTGGCGAGGTTGAGAAGGCGACGGCTGCGGCCTCCTGCGCCGGTGCAGATGCTGCAGACCAACACTCGGATGCATACGCAAGCATGGTCTGTTGAACGGTGGCGCCGAATTCGTTGTCGGGAAAAATGGCAAAGCCTATCCTCCAGCCACCAGCGGAATATGTCTATCAGCGAGCGCACTCGTGGTTAGCAGACGCAGATTGAAGAAGGATTACAGTGGCGGTGCTCACCTTGGACAGCCCCCCTGTCAAGATTTTCCTCCCTTCGTTGAAGCTCGGACCGGAACATGCACTGGCAGAATATTCGTTCGAGAAGCAGATGTCGGCATAGATGTCGTCGCTGATCAGTGCTATTCCGTGGTCCCGGCAAAATTCCGCAATCAATTCCAGGTTGGCTTTGGTGAATGCCTGCCCCGTAGGGTTCGAAGGGCTATTGATGAGCATGACTCGGGGATTTGCACCCTCCTGGACCGCTCTGTCTAACGCCGATTGCATCGCAGAAACTAGGAAGAGCATGAGAAAAACGATGGTCATCAAGTTCGACTTCTAGTACATACATGAGATGGAATGTCGGTCATGTTCGTCTGTTTCGACCCAGAACAGCTTCTTCCCAGCGTGCATGACCTGCGGTTCGTAGCTCACCCAGGACGGTCGAGGAAGAAGGACATCTCCTTGGAGAATGTCAAACAGTGCGAACAACAGTGGTTTCGAACCTGGAGCCACCACAACCTGATCTGGCCGGATGGCCACGTTGAGGCGTCGTGCTTGGTTTCGGGCAATAGACTAATATGAGAGGAGTGTGCGTTAGTACCAACTAGGTGGCATCCCTGCGCGGCTGGAAACAACTGACCTCCCTGAGCTTCATCAACCCGGCGACAGGCTGGTAGCTCGTCTCCTCGCTGGCTTCTCGGTGCGCTTTGAGCACATGCTCTGCGATAGGAAATGTTGCCTCTCCAAAACCCAGGTGAACAACTCGGTGACCCTCTGCTTGTTTCTTATGGACGAGCTCGTTGATTTGGAGGGTCGGCGACAGGCAGAGCTGCTGTGCCAGAGGGGTCAAGGGACTTTTGTCCAAGTCAAGCGAACCCATACTGAAAGATGATGCGAGCTGATGCGAGTTGATGATCCTGATGACTATCAACTAACTGATGAGACTAGTCTTTTTGATGGGAGATGACAACAAGTCTGGTCCAGGAGCGGCCAAACAGCCCCGATATTTATGTTATTTGTCTCTTCCTTCTGAGATGAGGTGCCCCGGAGGGCGCTCGATACACCGGCAATTTTTTGCCGGGATACTTTTGCCTGCCTAACGTTAAAAGGGCGCGCGGGAATTTATCGCCGTGATTGTCCTCCGTGAGCCTCACCTCCCACAAAAAGCCTCATCCTTTATCTTGGACCCTGCAGGAAAGGTTGTATACACTATGAATTAGTAGAGTAACCTTTGACAAGCCTGCCTGCTTTGAAGACCGAACAACTACTACTACTATAGTAAACTTGCCAGACAGTCGGACTGGCAATAATCGACACTTGGGTCCCAGTAAACTGTCTATGACTTCAGCCGTCTATCCGCAAGGCTCGATTGCTGACAACGGCCGAATCATTCAACTTTCGACCAAATCGACACTGGGCTATCTGCATTCGTTGAGGACACCAAGGCGACCGGTCGTCTTTAAGAACACTTTGAGGCTTCCGGAAGACGATGGCCATCCATTCGGAATGGCATCGAAGCCGTTATACGAAGCCCCGACAACGTAATCTAGTGAGCGCGAACTTCCTCGGGGACTTCTAGGTGTTCATAATACATTTTAAACGCCTCTGCTTCCACGTATCAGCATGGAACCTTCTGGGGAAGCAAGTAGTCTTGCGTACGGGCCCCAGAAGAGAGATTCCCAGTCAAACAGCATCGGTCTAGACTCTTCATTAAGTGTAAGTCGTCTGTCTATACATGATATGTGTGTATTCTCTTTGATAAATTTAGGCCGTGGCCGGGTGCTGAACCAGTACTAGTAGTAGTAGCCTTCGGAGCATTTTGTGAATAATGATGCCAAGAAATAAGTGATCGTCCCAAGAGTCCTGGCAGTGGCAGTCAGTCGTCAGCTGGTAGTAGGGCATCTAGATCATCACTGGGCTGGAGCTATGTTACCGGCCGGCATCGGCCACAAGTTGTTCTTGAGGACCGCCGCAATGCTGAAGTTGCAAGCCTCATGAGCACTGCGAAGGGTGACGTCGGTGGGCTAATCTGGCTCCCAAAAAGTGATGATGCCATTGTCCATCAGGCTGTGAGAGATGTCCAGCTTCTTTGCGATCCAGCTTCAGAGGTAGCAAGGAAGTCGAGAAGAACCACAATGCTTGAAGTGTTGCCTGTAATCGATAAACAGTTCAAAACTATCACTAAAACTGCGATACTGAATTTACCCACTGAGGTTTAGTGTCTAAATAAGATGACTAAGGCTGCTTTTAAAAGAGACACAAGCCCCAACTACGTGTGTTTCTAGTGCACCCTTTCGGCGTCAATACCGGGGGTGTTGTCTAGGCCACCAGTCTTTTGGTTCACAGAGACGGCTACTATATCCTCCCATTCGTTATCGTCGATTTTGACTGTGTAGCTTCTGTGTCTGTGATGAACGTGGGCCTCTTTATGTCACCTTTACCTGCCTTGGTTTAAGCTTAGCCCTACGAGTAGAGAAGAGGGCTGTGAATATCTGATCGTTAAACCCCCAAATTTCTGTACTGTTCCCTTGTACTCAGGATTGGTTGGTCTTGCGGTGTTAATAATAGATTGCTTCTGAATCTCAACTGTTTCCGGTCATCACCTTATTGCTGAAAGAGCCACGAGAGATCTCTATCTTATCCTCATCGCCGTCCAGGGTTGAGATGGCCTTATAGTCCTGTGTTCGGCGCCTAGATAGGGTAGGCCCGCTGACTGTCAGGAAGAACTCCTCCCCTTCAAGGGTGATTGATCTGCCGGACGACTTTTGAGGAGGGGCCGCGCCGACGCTTTTACCTTGCTTTTATCTCCTAAAAGGACAGTAAAATTATGTATCCCAGACTGAGTAGTAGTACTTACCACCCCAAATGAGTCTACACCGCAGGGAACATAATATCATTATCATGACGAGGACAACCCAAAAACACCCGCGGTGATGATCTGGACTGAGTGAGTGAGTACCCAACGGTGGAAGATCCTTAACGTCCTTAAGTGATACCTCTAAGCGCCAATTGTGATATCAATCAGGCCAGCTTCTAATTTAATTTACCTTTGCCGTGCAAGACAAGTGCTCACGAGTCGACGGGGTAAACTTTTATGAGTGAATCAATATGTGTTGATATCTACCCCGAATATGCACACATAATCTATACCAATTATGTAGGACTCGTTGAGGGGCTTAGACTATGTCTGGACGGGAGTGCCCAATGAATGTCCTGTGCCGTGGCAGCAGATACGCAATCAAAGACTCGTAGACACACACGCCCAACAGCATCCAGGCTTCGCTCAAAAAGGCAATTCAGAAGCCAATAGAGACAGCGTAAGCAGGACTTGCCCCACAGAACCACAGATGGAATGTACTGTGAATTTGACGGCATGACAAAAGATGAGTAAACATGTACGAAGGTGAAGGACATTTCGAGGCTGGAATATCAAATGAATACTCAACATTTGTCTGCTGAATGGAGGCTCGGAACAACAATTGGCCGTTACTCCTTAGCAGCTGGCGGCCAATCATCTTCCTCAACCAAGAAGCCCCGTAGACGCTATCCTGACACAGACCTGCGCACGACAGCCTCGCCGATGTTCGTGCCCCTTTAACCTCCATGTTACGGACGAGATCAAGTGGATTCATTCATCTTGCAAACATTTTGAAGAACTGACATAAGCTCTTATCGAGATTGACCATTTTGAAGAACTAACATAAGCTTTTATCGAGACTTGTTGCTCATCTCAAACTTGAGGAGAGTACTGGGCCCATATAAGTGACTTGGCCCATACCATGCTCTAATGTAGGTCGCAAAGTTTCGTTTCGTGATCTCGGACCCTACAAGGAAGTCTCGCAAACATGGTTTCTTCATCACTGACCGACCAAGATGATAGCGACGACTGTCAAATCACGGTCGCTCCCAAACAGTCCTCGCTGTCTGAAGTCCACACCCGCCTCAGCAAAACCTACAGCAGAGGTATCGAGGCAGACCGTCGGTCGAGCGCTTTCAATGGATCGACGCTATCTAAGATCCGCAGCCACCTCAGCAGAACACACAGTCAAGCTACAGAATTGGAGGAGACGGAGGATGAGGTTGACTGGCGCACCCTGCCAGGGTTGACCACCGCATCTCCAGTGGACCGAAGCCTTGGTCTGACCTGGAAGAACTTGACCATCAAAGGAGCAGCCACGGGAGGAACCATCAATGAGAATGTGTCCTCACAGTTCGTCCCGCCGTTCTTGAGAAAAGACAGGTTCACGACCACATCGGTGAAAACGATAATCAACAACAGCTCTGGCTGCGTAAAGCCAGGTGAGATGCTGCTGGTGCTAGGCCGTCCCGGCGCAGGTTGTACATCACTCTTGAAAGTCCTAGGCAATCGGCGCAAAGGCTTTAAAGAGATCGAGGGCCAGGTGATGTATGGGTCGTTCAGCCATGAACAAGCTGAGCAGTACCGCGGGCAAATTGTGATGGATGAAGACGAGAATACGTTTTTCCCGACTCTGACCGCGGGAGAAACCATCGACTTTGCTACACGTCTGAATGTTTCACATGACGGCCCGACCGGATCCGGCTCCCCAGAGGAGGCAAGACGCGCAACTGTGGACTTTCTCTTCCGCATGCTGAAAATTTCCCATACCAAAGATACGAGAGTCGGAAACGAATACATCCGCGGTGTCTCTGGTGGTGAGCGAAAACGTGTTGGCATCCTGGAGGTTATCGCTGCCCAGGGCAGTATATGTCTCTGGGACAACTCCACGAGGGGCTTGGACGCAAGCACGGCACTGCTGTACGTTCAATCCGTCAGGAAGCTAACGGACCTGTTTGGCCTTTCATCGATCGTCACGCTCTATCAAGCTGGTAACGGCATTTACAATCTGTTCGACAAGATCTTGGTGCTCGAAGACGGTGAGCAGATCTACTACGGACCAAAGGACTCGGCAAGGTCATTCTTCGAAGACCTTGGCTTTGTCTGTGCAGACGGTGCCAACATCGCGGACTTTTTGACAGGTATAGTGTGCTATTTAGGCTCAGTGGAATTGACCGACACTGACACTGAGCAGGAGTCACCGTGCCCACTGAACGCCGAATTCGTAAAGGCTACGAGCCTCGTTTCCCAAAAACCGGTGCAGAGATTCGCGCACGATTCGAGTCCTCGGCGATTAACAGGAACATGAAGGCTGAACTGGACTATCCTGACGCAGCGTCGACCAAGGAGCTGACAGCGAATTTTGCCGACATGGTCAAACGCGAGAAACACCCGGGCTTGCTAGCCAAGCGGTCCCCGTATACGGTCAGTTTCTGGTCTCAGCTGAAAGCCAGCGTCAGACGTCAGGTCCAGATTCTCAGAGGCGATAAAACGGTTCTGTTCGTCAAACAGGGCTCGAACATCATCCAAGCACTTACGGTCGGCGCACTTTTCTACAACGCGCCGGACACTTCAACAGGCACCTTTCTTCGCAACGGCACTCTCTTCACAGCTATTGTGTTCAATGTCTTTCTGGCACAATCTGAGGTTACCGATTCCTTCGTTGGCCGCTCTGTTCTGACCAAACACCGCAGTCTGGCATTTCACCACCCTGCGGCCTGGTGTCTGGCGCAAATCATTACCGATATCCCCATCGTCCTCTTCCAAATCACGGCTTTCTCTCTTCCGGTCTATTTCATGGTGGGACTGACTCAGTCCGCTGGCGTATTCTTCACATTCTGGTTCATACTCATCTCCGTGACATTCTGTCTTACAGCTTTCTTCCGAGCCGTTGGAGCCGGTTCCAAAACGTTCAACGATGCAAGCAAGCTTTCTGGTGTCGCTGTCCTGTCGCTGCTCTTGTACAGCGGATACATGATCGCAAAAGGCGCCATGAAGCCCTGGTTTGTCTGGTGAGTAGATATCTCCCTATCCGTCCATTTGCGCACCTAACAACAATGCGACAGGCTCTACTGGATCGACCCAATCGCGTACACATTGAACGCACTTCTTTCCAATGAATTGCACGGCAAAATCATCAGTTGCGCCGGACCAAATCTTGTTCCCACGGGACCGGGATACAATTCACCGGAGAATCAGGCATGTACAGGCGTTCGTGGCGCGACGCCTGGGCAAATCGCCGTTTCTGGAGAACAATACCTGGACTCTCTCAGTTACAGCCACTCGCACCTTTGGAGGAATGTCGGCATCGTTTGGTGCGGTCTCATGTTTCCCTCTTTCAATGATATTGTTGTGAAACTGACAAACACGTTTCCGTAGGGTTTGGTGGGCATTCTTCGTCTTCCTGACAATCCTTGGCACCTCGACGTGGCAAAGTATCTCGTCCCAGAACGGAGTTCTCGCGATTCCGAGAGAACTCGCGGAAAAAGCACGACTCCCGACCGAGGACGAAGAATCACGAGGCCGTACCGGTGCAACGACACCGGCAAGTAGCTCGTCTCTCGGCCCCATCGATGAGAAAAGGGCCAACGAACGACTCAACCAGAACAAATCCATCTTCACATGGAAGAACCTGAACTATACTGTTTCGACTGCGCACGGCCCTCGCCAATTACTCGACAACGTTCATGGATGGGTCAAACCGGGCCAATTGGGTGCACTAATGGGCTCTTCGGGCGCCGGCAAGACGACTCTTATGGACGTGCTAGCACAGCGGAAAACCGATGGCACAATCACCGGGTCGGTTCTGGTGGATGGCGAGCCACTTCCGCTCAACTTCCAACGGTCCGCTGGATATTGCGAACAGCTTGACGTTCACGAACCCCTGGCGTGAGTCTTCTCCTCCTCCCCCCCTTTTTTTTGTCTCACAGACTCGTTTGGCACGAGCTAACTGTGGAAAAATGCTGTTGTAGTACCGTGAGAGAAGCATTGGAGTTTTCCGCCCTTCTACGTCAGCCGGGGTCTACTCCGAGAGAAGAGAAGCTGGCCTATGTCGACGTGATCATTGACCTACTCGAGATGCACGATATCGAGAACTGTTTGGTCGGTCATGCCGGCGGCGAAGGCTTGTCGGTCGAACAACGGAAGCGCCTGACCATCGGTGTCGAGCTCGTCGCCAAGCCCAGCATCCTGACTTTTCTCGACGAACCCACCTCTGGTCTCGACGGCCAGGCGGCCTACAACATCATACGGTTCCTCAAAAAGCTAGCAGCCGCGGGCCAAGCCATTCTCGTCACCATCCACCAACCCAGCGCCCAACTCTTCTACGAGTTTGACACGTTACTTCTCCTCACCCGAGGCGGCAAAACGGCGTACTTTGGGGAGATCGGGGATCACGCCGCCACCTTGAAAGAATACTTCGGCCGCCACGACGCCGCATGTCCGCCAGACAAGAACCCGGCTGAACACATGATCGACGTCGTGTCCACCAGGAAGAAGGACTGGCACCGGATTTGGCTCGAGTCGCCCGAACACGACGCAATGCTGTCGGAACTCAACGGCACCGTTGAGAAGGTCAGGGGGCATCATACACACGTGGCCGACGAAGACGAGGAGTTCGCCACGGGCCTGTGGTCCCAGATCAAGCTTGTCACCCTGCGGATGACGAGGTCCATGTATCGAAACCCAGAGTACGTCAACAACAAGTTCTCGTTGCACATCATCACTGGACTCTTGTCCGGCTTCAGTTTCTGGCAGATCGGTGACAGCGTGAGCGATCTCAACCTCCGCATGTTTTCGACTTTTCAATTCATCTTCGTTGCGCCGGGAGTCATTAGTAAGTCTCTCGTCTGTCACGCAGTTCTGATTAAAAAAATTTTTGAAAAAAAAAGGGGGGGCGCAAGCTTGCAGCGCAGAGAATTGAATTGAATTTGGCTAACGACGTGAATTGTGTACACACAGACCAACTACAGCCCCTGTTCATCGAGAAACGCGACATCTATGATGCTCGAGAGAAGAAGTCGAGGATGTACAGCTGGAAAGCCTTCGTCACTGGTCTGATCCTCTCGGAGATGCCGTATCTCGTCGTCTGTGCCGCCCTGTACTTTTTCACCTTTTACTACACCGTCGGCTTCTCCGGCGAGTCCAGCAAGGCGGGCCCCTCGTTCTTCATGATGCTGCTGTACGAATTCCTGTACACCGGCATTGGCCAATTCATTGCGGCGTACGCGCCAAACGCGACCGCGGCAGCCCTCGCCAACCCTGTTGTACTCTTCACCATGGTCGGCTACTGCGGCGTCCTCGTGCCGTACGACCAGCTTGTCGACGGTCTACGCTACTGGTTGGCCTGGCTGAACCCCTTCACCTACCTCATGTCCGGTTTGCTGCTTTTTCCAAACTGGGACGTCGTGATCAAGTGCAGTGAGAATGAGCTGGCCGTCTTCGACCCGCCTGCCAACCAGACCTGCGCACAGTATTTGGAGGACTACATCGCGAGTCCCTACGGGATGTCGAGCAATCTTCTGAACCCCGACGCCCAGGCCGGCTGTCAGGTCTGCCAGTATCGGTACGGAAGTGACTGGCTCAGGTCTCTCAACATCAAGGAGCGCTACTACGGGTGGAGGGATATAGGGATCGTGGCGATCTTCGTCTGCTCCAGCTATGCGCTTGTGTTTTTGTTGATGAGATTGCGAACAAAGAAGAGCAAGAAGGCCGAATGAATAGCTAGCCAGCTCCTTCTCGTCGGAAAGGCTACATATATGACCAGCAGCGACATTGTTTCCTCTTGCGACAGAAAGCAGGGGTGGCAACTCTAATCTGACTCTAGAAACCTATCAGGTCTGATTTGGGCGCTATTCGACGAAATAGAGAGCATTTAGACCAAGACATCTATCACTTGTAGAAAGGAAACTCACGAGAGATACCCTAGAGCGCCAAATTGGTTCAAGTAGTGGTACATAGGACTATCAGATTACCCACGGTGGAAGTGAAACAACAAGTTCTGACAGACCAGGACAGAAATTAAGAAGAATAGAACTTTCAAAGAAGAGAATCTCGATCAAACATCAGTCGCTTCCGCCAGCGGAGGTCAAGAATTCGAATGGCGCCGAATCGACAAAATCGTTGTCCATGTTACCGACTCTCGTCTCCGGGTCGACATTTTGCAGCGCCAGCATCCTGACCGGGGCATTGCTGGTCAAGTTCATACTGCCAAGGTTGATCCAGAAGAACATGGGTGCCAGGGAGCTCTCCCAGTAGTACCGCAGAGCCCTGGTGTCGCTGTATGTGCGCCACAGTGTCGACGCCACGTTCGGCTGTCCTGGCAGCGAAGGCGAGAAGGGAACGCTGACGGCGCGAATCATGGATGCCGTCACGGCAATTGATTCCTCCTGGTCGTTGGCGCTGGCTGTCACGTTGTTGTAGTATGACAATCGTGCGAAACGGTCCGCCGGACGGCGCGTACCCGGGAGCGAATCGTTTCCGATCGGCAACCAGTAGGCGTTGATGGCGAGCTGCTGGTCGTACGGGGGCTGGTTTGTCAGGACGGTGTATTGTTTTCCGTGGTGGACCGTCAAGACGCCATCGAGGTACTCGAGGATGAGATTGTCGCCAGAAGCGTCGGCGAGGCTGACATGGCCGACCGACGGTGTTCCAGGGATGATCTCGGTGGTCACAATTTGAAACTTTTGGCGCCCCTCTGGGGTGTAGAGGTCTTTAGCGGCCTCGTCTACCGTCGCGTAGTTGTCGAGGAAATACTGAAGCCATGCGCCCACCGAGAGGCCGGGGACGGCGTCGTTGCGCGCCCCGTAGTCGCTGTCTGAGAGGTACAGGAAGTTTCCTGTCAGACCCTCGGAATTGATCCCGTCCACCGTGGCAGCATAGTACATAGCTGTGACGACCGAGCCGTATTTGGAAGTCCAGTTCAACGAGTTGGGTCCGGCGTTTCCACTCCGGTTCATGCCTGGAGGGAAAGCCCAGATGCTGGCATTGGTGGCCACGAACCAATCCATCGATCTCCCTACTATGATTCGGTTGTTGTCACCGGGACCGCTGTTGTACGTGACTCGTGAACATGCCGATGCATGGGTTATGAGGTTCCCCAGAAGGGGGAGACATAAAGTGAAAATTGAAGCGAACATCGTTTGCGTGAGGTTGTAAAAGGGGAGTGAAGTCAGCCAGAGGAAAAGGAACGCAGACAGCAAAACATGCAACGTAAGTAGCAACGTATATTAGTAGCACTTACATAGTAGTCAGTAGTGCTGTCTTTACTACATGTTTGGCCAGGCCATGATTCTTTCAGGTTCCAATGCCCTTAGTAGGGAAGTCGGTGCCAAAAGACGAGTCTCATCACTCCAGCGACGACCCCCGCAAGGTTGATGCCATGTCACTCTGTTCGTAGGTTGCCAGGACAGATCAACAGCATCGTGTCGAGAGAAAAGAGACGTGCAGCTCGTATTCGCGAGTTTAATGAGCACTTCTGGTTGACGCACGGCTCTGTAGTACTAATAGTATGAGTTTCTAGAGGAGCTAGAGGTGTATTCAGTACTTGATCTCTTTGCCAACCCGCGATCCGAGCACAAGTTATGGTGGATCGTGCTCGGTCGCTAGTCCGGGGAAGTCAAAGATGGTGAAGTGGCCAATGCCGTGACGACTTTTCCTAGACCTGCATGGTACAGGAGATTGAGTTAGCGGGGTGTCGGGGATGCTTGCAAAGAGGAACTTGAACCACTCCAGTATGGCTTACAGGAGGGTCTGAACATCGAATAGAAAAGGTCTATGTTACTCCTCTATCAACCCATCTTCCTGCACATCCACTACTTCCTCCTGACGAGAATGGCTCACCACTCTGTACCCACTTCTCATGTCTTTTGTATCTTCCATCTGCCCTAATGTCTGTAGAATCAAGGGACTTGTGACATAAGGATGAATTCTGATTATCTGTCCCCGCCGCTTCAAGCCTTACCGTGTTACACACCCGTCGACCTGTTTGAAGTATGACACAATCCCCCAATTCAAGCATGTAGGTCAAACACTATTCTTCCTCGCAGGTGATTCTTGTCCATGAGTTCAAACACCTCGGCGGCATCTTCCAACTTCTTGGTTTGAAAATGTGTCTTGACTTTGCCTCTGCATCGACATCGTTAGCAGTCCACCAGTAATGAAGTCCGGCAGTTTCAACCGGGTCTGATCAGGTTCTTACTTACCTCGCAGCTAGCTCCATGAGCTGAATCGCCTCCAGACGATTGCCTACCGAACTACCCACGACCTTCGCGTTCAAGTAGATGAATTGAGACGGCGTGGCATTCGGCATGGCCACTTCTCCGCCTTCTGGGATCCCAACACAGACCACAGTGCCGCCGATTCTCACGAGGGACAGAGCTTGGGCGTAGGCAGCATTGTGGCCCGTACACACGATGACCGCCGCAACTCCTCGTCCTCCAGTTGCGGCCTTTACGTCGCTGGCCAGCGTTTCTTCACCACCCTGGCCGTACTTGGCCAGGTCAAAGAAGTCTTCGGCTCCACATTCGCGGGAAATGGTCTCCTTGTCACCCATGTCGACGCCCATCATCCGGTACCCCATGCCGTTAGAGCCTATCTGGAGAGCCAGGTGGCCTAGTCCTATCAGTGGAAGGTGATTAGCTAGCGAACAAAAGCCGCCGTTGGATTTCTCGTCGTAGTAGTGGAATCGACATACCTCCGCCAGAACCCAGGATCAAGACAGGGTCTCCTGGCTCAGCCCCCGCCTTTCGCAGGGCAGAGTATACCGTCAAGCCTGCGCAGAGCAACGGTGCTGCCATGTCGCTGGGGACGCCGTCGGGGATGGGGGTGACATAATGCGCAGGGGCAATGGCATATTGCTGGAAGGTGCCAGGGTAGAAGTACCTGTCGACGACGTTGTCAGTACTAGATACCTTACGGAACTCAGCCTCGCGCAGGCCCTGCCAACACACATATGCCCCCGAGCAATGAATCGATACTGAACCACGGGCGAGAAAGGAGAGGAGGAGGGAGAACTTGCCCCGAGACTTTTCCAGACTCACAGTACGAGTCAAGACCGGCCAGACAGATGATGCAATTGCAACATGCGTACGCCATCCACTTGATCCCTACTCGAGATCCCAACTTTAGGCCTGATATCTGGTCTTCCGCACCAGGGCCAAAGGCCACAATCTCGCCCACGCCTTCGTGTCCGCCGATTTGGCCCTTGGGCGTCGGCTCGATCCTCGCGGTCCATCGATTCGTCATGATGGCCATGTCACTGTGACACAGTCCGGAGTGCGTCAGCTTGACGAGAACCTCGCCAACCCCGGGTCTGGGCGTGTCGACATATTGGATCTTTGTGGAAATACTGCCCGGGTTGTCGTAGACCAGAGCCTTGTGCTGGGTTGGGATATCGGGTGCTTCCATGCTGGCAACCGTGAGCTAGGAGAATAGTGGGTCTCTTCACCGGAATCGAATGATCTCGAAGTCGAGCCTCCTGTGTCGGCAGCAAACTGGAACGATTCCTGACACTACTATCTGCTTCCGCCCACCTCGTGGTCTACCTTAGCACTATGGAAATTGTGTATAGGCCGAGTGAGTAAACGAGAGTGTTAGAAGCCGCGAGAATGCCATGGCAGGGGCGGGTTACTGCGATGTGGTGCTGTGGGAGTTGAGATCGAGAGACGCTGTTGTCCGTTTCTCAGCCAATCGCTTGCTTTTCCGCCCCCGGATTCAGAGACATGATCCATGAAAACTCATTACACAAGCAAAGGCAAGGCCCGGAAAAAGCCAGCTATCATCGATGACAGATTACAAAGGTCGTCAACACTGATCTGGTGTATCCTGTCCAGACTACTTATCAGTGTTACATATCAATCAGGTCGGTCGTCAGTATGTGGAGACGAAAGAACCCAACCTGGGGACCCCTCAAAATCCCAAAGTGATGGTCTCCTCAACCTGCGTCGGCCTACCCATTCGAATAACTCCCGTCTTCTGCTTCAGATCCATGAGAATGTTGAACAGGGTGGCCGCAGTGCTTTCTCCCTTTTGCTCACGGCAAATCGCGGTCGGAGCATTCGCTTCGTCCTCGAACAACTTGGAGACCTCGGCCCAAGTCGGTTCGGTGGGCAAGTTGTCACACAGCTCCGCCATCCTGTCGACGCGGAAAAGCGAGTCCTTGATCCAGACAGTATCCGTGATTCCAGGGTGTTTGAGCAGCAGATGGTTGGAATGCACAACCCTCCCCTTTCCGTCTGGCACGAGCTTCTCGATGGTCGTCGAGGTAAATTCGAACCCGGTGGCATCAGTCGCGTCGGCGACCAGTATATGCGCCGGTGCAGCCATGCCCCAATGCTCCAGGGCCTGCACGGCCTCCTTCGCCGACTGGCTCTCCAGAGCCATTCTCAGACCCAAATGAACCGGCAAGCGCTCTGGATTCATACCCTTGGCTCTGATCGCGTTCAGGCAGACCCCGACCCCGGCGGAGTTGAAGCCAATCTTGCCGATTATACCAGCCTCGGTGATCATCTGGATCGACGGTTTTCCAAATTGTGCGATTTTGACGATAATTAGGTTTTCTTTTTGCTGTTCCATCCACTGTCATGACTCAATTGTCAGCTAAGCTCAGCCTCACCGTCTGAAGGTCGAAGATGAGGAGTGGAAAGGGGCTCCAAGGAGAGGGAAGCATGTACTAACATCCCAGTTCTGTCCAAGGTATGCGCGTTTTTCAGTATTCCACGCCAACGACGTGCAACCATCACTGAACGCGCCGAACGCAATCTCTGTGCGTACGTTCAAGGCGACGATGTCGAGAATCGACCGACCCGATCCCGTGGCGACACCTGCATGCATTCAAAGGTCAGCATTGTGATCAGGTCGCCTTGAAATTGAGCCCTTCCAAGCCTCCTTTCGGTCGTAGAGCTGTTAACACGAGCTCAACTCCACGAACCTTGCATCTCTTCATGATATGCCGGCCATGTCGACTTGATGTGGTCGCTAAAGCTGCTGGCAATGTCCTGCACTTGTGCCCAGTCTAGCTTGCTGGTCTTTTCGAACAACGACGCATAGAAGTCTATGCATCGCGCGACGTGGTCCTTGGCCGCCGTGCCATGTTGCACACCTATCTATTGGGTTTGGCAACGGTCAGCCATGATGTTTACCGACAACCTAGGACAATTTTGAGGGCGGTGTCTGGAAGACAAGTGATTTACCTCGTATGGAGTTCCCTGGCAATTTACGGAAAGCATTCTGAAGGCGTTTGAGGGTAATTCCAAGCCGTTGCTCTGGCTTGAGGTGTAGTCGCACAGGTGGAGGAAATTGTGGGTCCTCCAGAAAGTCCAAACAAGACCACAAGATCAGATTATGGGTACAGTGTAAAGTGTAGAATGTATAATGTAGATTGTCAGTGCGAATATGAATATGAATGTACACTTGTAACTCAAAGTCTATGGGCTTCTTGTCTTATCTCTTTGCCTCGGTTGTGGGTATGTTGGAAGTGGCCCGCAGACAGATATGGCGTCTTCCGTCGGTAAAAGCCAGCGCTCAATTCCGCCAGCTGATGAGGGGGTTGATACATGATACTGCACATGGGACCGAAGAGTTCCCAGTACCACAATCTCCAGGAACGGTGGGCTGGTGGTAGGCCGGCGTTTGGCCTGTGAGCTGTGAAGTGTTGAGGAGCCCCTAACCAGAAGCTCCAAAACGGGGGAGTTCGCTCACCACCGTGCATGTCTAGCGCCCACATCCGATGGGTCCAGTGACAGGTCCAGCCGATCTTCTTCCCTGGGTTAACTAGTCTTCGTCGAGCACCTGAATAGGTACGTAGGCGACCTATTTCAGCAACTCAACTGGCAACAAAAGAGAGGGCAGTCTTGTGGTCTGTCTCATCGTCGATCTTTTGCGTTTCTGTGCCCTCGGTCGTCAAACACCTTTCCAGAAAACCGACATAACTAGGTTATCATCTGCAACATGGGCAAGAAACGGGTTCTCGTCGGTTACGGCATCGACGTCGACGCCGTCAGTGGGTGGTAAGTGTTCTACCCTCTGGGTCATCAGCCGTCCCGGCCCAGCAAGCATCACGCAGTCCGTGGTACTGACACGGTGTTGTTGTTCGTAGGATCAACACTCGCGACGGATCACCAGCAAACCCGACCGACGTCTCTCGGGGCGTGTTCGGAGCCACCGTCGGCATCGACAGGCTCCTCAATCTCTGGGACAAATACGGCATCAAGACGACATGGTTCGTGCCGGCACACTCGATCGAGAGCTTTCCCGAACAACTTTCCAAAGTGAAGGATGCCGGCCATGAAATGTGCGTATTGTAAACGTTACCTCCCTCTTTTTTTTGTTTTTTCCTCTCTCTCTCTCTCTCTCTCTCTTCCATATCTCTGCTTTTCCCCCCCTCTGACTGACGCCTGTCACCATATGTGACGACGACTGGCAGTGGTCTACACGGCTACACACACGAGTTCGTCTCGACGCTCTCCGAACAGCAACAAAAGGACGTCTTGACCAAGTCCGTCCAAGTGCTGACCGACTTCACGGGCAAGAAGCCCCGCGGGTGGACGGCGCCGGCGTGGTCGACGTCGCGGCAGACCATCAAGCTCCTCGAAGAGTTCGGGATCGAGTACGACCACTCGTTCATGCACCACGACTCGCAGCTCTACTACTGCCCGGACGGCAGCGAGGAGTGGACCGAGACCGACGTGGCCAAGTCGGCGACCGAGTGGATGAAGCCCATGAGCGCCATCAAGCCCTCGGCCGTCGTCGAGGTCCCCGCGAACTGGCACCTGGACGACTGGCCGCCGTTCCAGCTCAACCTGAAGCAGCCCTCGACGCACGGCTACGTCGACACGTACGTCATCGAGAGGCTGTGGAAGGACCAGTTCTCGTTCTTGTACCGCGAGTACGACACCTTCGTGTTCCCCATGAGCATCCACCCCCAGGTCAGCGGGAAGCCCCAGGTCGTGCTCATGCACGAGAGGATCATCGAGTGGATCAACCAGCACGAGGGCGTCGAGTGGATGACCATGGAGGATATGGTCAAGGAGTTCAAGGAAGGGAGGCTCGGTGGTGCAGAGGTCAAGGGCGGGAAAGTAGCGTAGCTAAATGCTACCTACTTACTACATAGGAGAAGAATTGGACAGCATTTGTTTTTTGACGACTGGAGATCCATATTCAACCGTCGGATAAACGATTGTCGGACTACAGGCCATCACTGTATTGTAGGTACCGTTGACCTGCAAAGAAATGGACATTGGTAACTTGTAACATTAAAAGTCTCGGTCGGCGTATTTGATTTACTATGACCTACAAAAGAAGACAGAACATTGAAACGGCCTAAGAAACAAAACACCACGCTCTTCTCATGCAGCTACTAAGACAGTTCCACCCGCCCCGTAGCTCTGCACGTATCGTTCGACAATATGCTTCTCAACCTGAAGAGGCTCGTATGCCGGCTCCTCGCCTGGCTTGATACAGGTGGGCAAGCATTCAATGATCGTATCCAGAGCACCATCATTGAAGAAAGCGCAGCTGTATCGGTCCTTGCCCGATAAGGGAGAGATGACTCGATGCATGGTAGACTTGTATCGGTTGTTTGTCCATCTTTGCATCAGATCACCGATATTGCAGACATAGGCCCCCTTTACAGGAGGGACATGGTGCCAAGTGCCGGTAGCCTTATGCAGGACTTCCAGCCCGCCGACTGCAGCAAATTTAGCAAGAGTCCCGATTTCATCCACAGTCCGAGAATACTCACCCTCGTCCTGCAGGAGCAATGTCAAGGCCCCGAAGTCGGTATGGGCACCGACACCTCGAGTCCGGCCGGCCACATCGGCGGGTGTGGGAGGGTAATGATGAGACCGACAAAGACAGAGCCCTGGAACACGAACTCTCAGTAATTCATCTCTGGCAGTAGTCGACGTCCTTGACTTACCATCTGGGTCGGCGGCAAACGCATCAAAATGGTCTTCCGGTAGATCGAGCGACAAAGCCATCAATCTGAACACATTCTTCGACAGCTCATGGACAGCATTGAAATAGTCGAGGTAGGCTTCCTTGAAGCCCGGTAAACTCTCGGGCCACTGATTTGGACCTTGCAAGAAACGTCCGAGTGGCCGTTCCGGTCGGACGGAAAAGCCTTCTTTCTGATCTGGAGTCGCTGATGTATCGAGTTCGTCTAGCTTTTGACCACCAATGCGCTCGTAGCCACGATAGCACTTGGAGTTCTCCTGCGAGACCTTCTGTTTTTCTGCTAATGGAAGCGCAAAGAAGCTCGCGATTGCAGACAAGAAACGTTCTTGAACCTCTACAGGCACGGAATGTCCGATAACCTGCAAGAACCCCTGGTTTTCATACGCATCGCGAACCTCCAATGCTGTTTGCCTTTTGGCTTCAGGGTCGCCAGCCAAAAAGCCTGAGATGTCAATGACTGGTATTTTCACCAGTGGTGTTTCGGCAATACTTCCCATGGCTAATCACAGCAGTCGAATTTTAAGAAAAGTCACTCTCCTACACCACTTTTGACACCTAACAATGGTCCTTATATAAGAGGGTGGTGGCAAGGAAAGAAAACACGTACATCTTGTTTGTTTCGAGGTGCATTGGCACGCTTGGGATTTCGGGCTCAGTCAAAACATGCTCGATAAAGCCGATTAGCGGTATGCCCAGGCCACGGGGAAGGCATCCATAGCTACCTGATTCAGAGTGATCAGTGGACTTTTGCCTGGAACAGGTGGATGCACATGCTAGCGATTATCAGATCCACCCCCTACCTCATTGGACACTGGTTGATATCATCGATAATGGCAGGACACTTGCTGGACGTGCCGTGTTGCGGTAACCGAGGACTTCGGACTCTGGTAAAGGTTGCACCGTCTCTGGTTGGATGTCGATGCCCCAGAACGGGAAAGAGAGGCTTTCAGCCTCCACTTTCATTATACCCTGGTCGGGGACTCAACGGCAGTATGCCGCCAGAGGTCACTATCAGTCCAATGCTAATGGCTCATGGAGTATCCACCGGATGTAGGCGACGGACCAAAGCGCAGGACGTGGGCGACGGAAAATAGCGACTGGCTCGACAAGTATCCCCTTCCAACCAATAGATGTTGATGATGACGGTTTCGTGATAAACGTACCCTGTTGAGACTATGCCTGTACCTTGATATCTGGAAATGGATCTGCAAGACTTATAAGACGAAGGTCTCGCTTCTGGATCATATTGCTCGCCAGAAGGGAAGCACTCATCCTGCGTCAACGGAATCGCAATCATGGCTTTCAAGATTCCAGGTCTGCCACCAGTCAGACTTCACTCTCCTTACTGGCAAAAGTAAGTTTGGAAACCTAGAATATCAGAAAGTACTCGCGTTAACAGATTTATCAGTGTCATTATCGGCATTCTGGTGGGCTTGACTGCTGGACTTTATGTTGCCCTCAATCTTCTTGGTGCCGGAGGCGGTCGACCAAATGCAGCCCAAACCGTGCAAGTGGTTAACGCCACCTTGTGTGCGGTCTGGTTCTTCTCGGCCTCGTTTGGGGGAACAGTCCTGAACAAAATCGGTCCGGCTATCACTGCCTCCCTAGGAGTGTTGGGCTACATAATCTATGTCGGTTCTCTGTGGTACTTCGATCAGACTGGCAAGGAAGGCTTCCCAATCTTCGCAGGTGTTGCTATTGGTGTAAGTCATAACCGGGTACATACAGTCATCCATCCGCTGACCATGCTATAGATCTCGGCTGGGTTGATCTTCGTAACCATGGGGTACATTGCAATGTCGTACTCCGAAGAGCAGGATCGGGGCAAATACATTACCGTCTCGATCAATCTCCAAGCTGTTGGTGCCATAGTGGGTGGCATCATTCCTTTACTTATCAACCGCAATTCTGTAAGTACTGCACCACTGCACCGTGAGGACTGTCTGACTGTAGAATAGACTGAGGCAGCGGGTGTACCGCCGGCCGTGTACATCGTTTTCATTGTGGTAATGGCAATGGGTATGATAGGGGCATTTGCTCTTATGCCGCCTGACAAAATCGTTCGTGACGATGGAACCAAGGTTGGGGTCGTTCAGGCTCGAACCTTTGTGGAGGAATTGAAGGCAAACCTCGAGATCTTTCGTGATTGGAAGCTACTCATCATGGTAAGTGCCCAAGGGCGACGCAACGGTGTACTCAATACTGACCTTGATATCTACAGATCCCCGCGTTTCTTCCAGCAGAATGCTTTCTTGTCTACGGAGGCTCTGTCAACGCATACCACAATAATCTTCGCACTCGATGCCTGCTGTCCTTCATTTCGGTAGTACTGCAGCTGCCGGCAGGTTGGGGTTTGCAATGGATTCTGGACAATAAGAAGAGTAAGGGTGCAGGACACAAAGTTTCAAACCAGGCTAATCTCAGGGCAGTGAAACGGAGAACCCGTGCTTTCATCGGACTTGCTGTGGTTGGTATTCCATTGACCGGTGCTTGGATTTGGGAGATCATCCGCACTCGTAATTATGACCGTTCCAGCCCACCTGAGCACCCAATGGACTGGACTGATGACGGCTTTGTCGCGATCTTCTTCTTATTTATGATGAACTGGGTCTTCAGCTCGCTTTGGCAGTACATCATCCTTTACTTTCTCGGCACTCTCACAAATTCGCCTCGCAAGTCGGCCAACTATGCAGTAAGTCTTCTCCGTGATCTCGAATCATTTTTGAGACTAACATTGCTTTCAGGGCGTTTTTCGAGGCATTCTGGGCGCTGGCGAGGCCATCTGTTTCGGTGTCGATTCTATTGCTGTTCCATATATGAAGGAGGCCGCCGTGATATTCGCATTTTACACTACTGGCGTATTGGTGTTTGCGTACCTGGCTGCCTTCCACATTCGTGAGACAGAGTACTTCAATGGTGAAGACGATGTCGTTATCCCCAAGCATGTACTTGAAGAGCACGAACTCGACAGCAGCAGCATCGCGGGCGAAAAGGTACCAATCGAGGACCAGACTGTCACCATAGGTGACAACAAGGCTTGAGTCAATATACCTTGCGTGTCAGGTACACACATTCCTGCAGCGAGCAGCGTCAACTGCTGTGTTCTGAAGATCAAGCGGGTAGTTAAGTAGTTGTTATAACGTTGGTTGAAGAGCCCGGATGTGGATACTGGTATTGAATGAATTAAGGTTATCGACACTCAGGTCTCTTGATTTGAAAGTGCCAAATCCATTCCAAACCCGAATTCTGCGTTCCAATCGTATGGCAGATATGAGTAAGCGTCGAAGGTATCATTTCCGTTCGAGCTCAATAGAGGGTTGGTCACTGGCCAAATTTCGAATGGATCGCGGAAATGCGCTGTCCCATCGAGGTATTCGTCCATTGGTGCATTTTGTAACAAGTCAATTTCGGATGTGCTCTGGTTCCGAAGAAGGAGAAAGTCCAAATAGTCTTGCTTGATCGGCCCCAAGAGCCTTTCATATTCCTGAAGGCATTGGGTGGCAGCCGGCCAGCGTTCGGAAATTGTTGAGAAGAATCGCGAGAAGCGATCCATGAACTCTTCCACCTCTTCTATCTCGTAAGCATCGGCGATATCGGGCCGGCAATACTGCAAAGCCTGAAGGAACACTATTGCAGATAAGAAGGTGTGATGGCATGGATGAAAGACATATTTCATATAGCCGAATTCGGTGTTTGCCTGCCGCCAGTATCCAGTCGCAACCTCTTTGCTGGCAGCAAAAGCTTTCATGAGATGCTGCCGAGATGGAACTCTGATCCTTGGACACGAACGAAACAACAAGACGATGATGTAGTTGTACGCGATATCAGCATACAGTTCCAGCTCGTCCCATTGTGATTTGACGGAAGAGTCCTGGTTCAAGGAGGCTTTGTGATGCACTTCTTCTCTCCAACACATAATCTCGTGCTCCGTCTCGGCCATCCAGGACTCCAGAGACGGACAGTCAGACGGCAATGGTTCGTTCTGATATAAGATAGACATGATTGAAGACTCGACTTTCCTGAAGAGCCAAATCCTTCTTGAGACGAACTTAGCTCGTGGTACGTTCACGTCGATGCCATTGCGCGTGATACCAAAGTCAACGTATTCGGCTGGGAATTCTGCACTGATATACTTGTTCTGAGTACGGATAGGCCGATTCAATGGCGCGGAGACGGCGACTTCCATCTCCCAAGCGCACCAGAATATGCGACGACGCATATCCCTTTCGAGGACATCAATATCGATACTTTCTGGAAGTTCTCGATGAAGGCCAAGGTCAATGCATGCCTCGCTTGACATACCTGTGAGCAGCCACAAGTTGGCAACATTTGGATTGAGAAAGGTGTATTGAATGAGTAAAAGTAGTGCCTGGAGCCCCGAAAGATCGTTGGAGAGGACCACTGGGACGTAGAGCATGGCGTTACGAAATAACCCGGTCCCAAGTGACTGTGCTCGAGCCTGCTTGTTCCGCGCGGCCGTTGAAAGCGAGATTGCCATGATCAAGCTCACCATATACAAGTCTCGTGCTCCTGGTCGAGAATCACTAGGGACCTCAAGCGCCTGCCTCCTGAAAACAGCGTCGAATGCCTTTATGGCATCACTGGAATGGTAGATGGGATACTGTTGGATGATTCTGCTTATGTAAATGTCAAAGAGAAATTCAGCGACTCTTGTTGGAACCGAAGTCAGCGGCAAATTCGATGGGTGCTGGTTCAATATCGATCGTGGATTAGTTTCGTCTAGATCATTCAGGCCAAACGACTTCTTCGCGGATGGAATCTGCGTCGGTGCTGCTGAGCAGCCTGGTAGGCGAATGGCTTCAGTAAGTCCAAGAAAGCTTGGGGTGATGTCGTGGAGAGTATGATTCACGGCAGTGTCCCATAACATGATGGGTGAGAGTCGTCCTGTATCGCAACTTGGGAGAACTCTGCCACCGGACAGATGGCCCGAGCCTATGCCTGGTAGCGAGTAGCTATCGCGCACCCGTTCAAGGTCCGCAATGCGTCCTTCCAAGTACCTAGCAATGCTTCGTGGAGCGGTCGCGTTCGTCGCAGTGTCGAGCGACACACAGGGAACGCCGGCGGCCACACAGACAGAGCATGAAGGTGACTGGGCATCACACTGTGGCATAGTCAGAGATGATATCGCACTGGCAGAGACACCGCACCATAATTTTCCTCTTTCGACATCGTGCACACGACACCACGCGCCTCCTTACGCGATTGTTGGACCCCATGGTGCTCGCAGGAGTCACTGAGGCTTGCGTCACAAGAGCGTGGACATGCTCATGCTATAGCTGTCTGATATCGCAGAAGGACGCACTCTGGCCCTGCTCAGGTGTCCCCATAGTCTGGGCTTTGATTCGAAGAAGATAAGCAGTGATAACGAAGCGGCGAGAAGTGGCGGAGGCGGGATTTCTGGAGTTGAAGATGCTTAGGGAGGAGGAGCGTGTAGGTATCCATGACTTCGGCTCACTAGTTAAGTTAGTTAGTTAGCGCAACCTGGTTGCCCTAACTGAGCCCCTAAGGCGCCCCTAAGGAGCCCCTAAGAAGCCCCTAAACAGCCCAAACAATCCGCTGCTGGCTGGACTCAACCGCCTATACATGCTCGGAAACCGCCATTTCTGGGTACACCCGGGCCGTAGCTTGGACGCGTGGAAACCCCCCCACTCTAGGCCGCTTTAACTACGCGACTTTCAATCGACTGGCCTGGAGAGACATAGATATCATCGACCTTGCTTTTCACCGAGTCGAATTGCCACAAGGGTTCACGACAAAGATCTCGATGGAGAATGTCTCGTAATCGATGCAGCAGGCGATGGAAGTGACAGATCTCGACACATTGCTTGCGCTGCTCCCCGCGTGCAGGAGATGTCGCAAGGCCAAACGACGTTGCGACACGCAGCTCCCTGCCTGTGCGAACTGCAGCAGAGTTGGCGAAGACTGTGTCTTCCTGGACCATGTCTCCAAGGAATATCTACCACGCACGTACGTATGGCAGGACAGTATCGTTTTCACGTCGGCCAACGTCACTAACACTACTCAGGTACATCGCCTCCTTGGTGGACCACTTGAAGTCATTGGAGGCGGACCATCCAGCAGACGCAGCATCATCAGCCACGCGGGAATCGACGGCCTCATCTCGGCGGCCTCGCTTTGTCCACGTTCGAGATTCGTTCAGGTATTTGGGTGCGAACGCACCCTTGGCGAATTCCACCTTCAACAGTCTCGCTTCCCAAAGCCCACTTCGAAGCAACCAGGCGAGTTCACGGCTAGGGATCCCTTTGACATGGTCCTGGGACGCCGGCTCCCACCAATACCTCGTCAATATGTACTTCGCGACGATACATCAGGTGTATCCGATCTTGGACCCTGAGTCTGCACTCTTCAGCGATCCCCAGCGTCGCCAGATAGAGTTGTCTCCTTTTGAAGCCTTTGTCCTGAACATTGTCTATTCCATATCATGCCACTGCCTTCCTGGCAACAACCCGCAACTAGCTCTGCTCTCGGACACTTACCACCGCGAAGCTCTGACTTACGCCGATAAAGTGACGGCCGAACTGAACCTCGAAGCACTGCAAGCCGTCAATCTGCTCGCCCTGCGTAGTCTCTTTGACTCCCAGACAGGTAGCCTGGGGCAGCAGATAGCATTTGCTCACCGTCTAGAGCTGGAACTCAGTGCCAGAGAAGTGGACGAAACGTCCCATGCCTTGATCGCACTGAGAGCGACGACATACTGTGTTGGTAACCAGATGGCCACAGCACTGGATCGGCCGTCCGGCCTGGTCGAGCCGGTGAGTACTGTAAATGGCCTCATGCGCACCGCGAACGATAAGACTAATCACCATACATAGGACGACGCACAGTCACTAGCACTACCAAGCGATCTCATGCGTCTGTGTGGTTTCTACAAAACGCAGTCGAGGTTTCGTGACGGAATCGCAACGGATGAAACACAGCTGACGGATGCCGCTGGACCCGAGCGCTTGACCTTGAGTCCGCTGGTTCAAGCTGCGAAGAACGAGACCGTTTTCCTGCTCAGACCCAATTCGGGGACAGCCATGCAACTTCTCACTTCGTACTATGAAGAGCATATGATTTTCAACGTCTTTACACCGCACTGGGCCTACAAGGCTGGAGCACTCTTGCTTTCGGACCCAGCGCAAGAGAGCCCTCAAGAAGGCTATGTGCTCGCCTTGACAGTATTGGACCGATGTGCGCTGAAATGGCCAAATTCTCGAGCACTACAAGACGTTTTGAGGGCCTTGGCAAGGCAGAAGGTGAAGGCGAGGTCAACATCAGGCTAATCACAATTAGGGAGCGCTCATTTGTGCACCCGTTCCACCGTCACGGAATCAACTATGTGTCCACTACGCAGCTGGATCCCGAGAGAAGCCTTATTGCTTTCATGGGGCACATGTTCAAAAGGGGTTGATGCTTGATGCAATACCTCTTGGCGGTCACTGCGTCATTGACCTGAGGACGGAGCGACATGCCGTTTTTCCACCACCGATCGAGCCATTACGAGTGCGCACTCAACCAGTCGTCACTGCATTCTACTGTAGGACCTTGAGCCATGACACGGTCACGATGCACCCCAAAATTTCCCTCCACTTGACCTTCCTCGCACCCTTGTCGCTGCTCGGCCAAGATCAAATCTCGACGGCGGGACGATAGAATTTTGAGGACAGCTTCATGTTGAGGAACATCTCGTTGTACAGAGAGGCACTCCAGAATGCTTGAAGGACAGGCTAGAATAGTCATTAGTGGCGGAGGACAGGGTATGATGAATGCTATCCATGAAACTCTCACAATTCTGACCATGGTCCCACGACGATAGGTATCGGGCGAGCATTAGCGCGCCATTTTGTGTCGCGTGGCCACAAGATATTCATCCTCGACATCAACGAAGACAATGTCAAACACACGGCGGAAGAACACTTGAAGGAGTACGCCGACCAAGTTTCGTGGTCCAAATGCGACTTGCGGAATGTTGGTGACATCCGCTCGACCATCGACAAGGCCGCGAAGTTCCTCAACGGGCGCATCGACTTTTTGATCAACAATGCCGGAATCTCGCATCCATACTGGCCCGACGGGAAGACCATGGCCGATCCTTCTGTGCTGGACACGTGGCAGGCGTACGTCGAGACGAATCTGACCGGGCCTTTCGTAACGTCTCAAGCATGTATCCCGTACATGAAAGTCGAACAGCAACAGGACAAACAGAAACTGCCCGACTCCAGTGTCGGCCGCGCTGGGCCATGCATCATCCATGTCAGTAGTTTCCGGGCGCTGATTTCAGACCCAAACCAGGAAGGGTATGCTTCCTCAAAGGGTAAGTCGTGTTGACTTGGCGTTCGAACTCCCCACGTTGCCCGGCCGTCCGTCGCTAACCAGAGATGTGTGTGTGTGTGTGTGTATGTTTCAGCGGGCTTGCTTGGCCTCACGCAAAGCATGGCCATTTCGATGCAGTCTTTCGGAATCCGCGTCAACATGGTGTCACCTGGGCGCATCAAGGTCACTCATGAGAACCCTTCTGGGGATGAGACTGGCGACGGTTGGGAAAACGCCGAGGACGACGTCGACACTCACCCAGTCAATCGAGCAGGCATGCCGGAGGATATCGCCGAAGCATGCGAGTATCTTCTCGGCGCCGGGTTCGTGACGGGACAGAATCTCATTGTCGATGGAGGTGTTTCAAAAGTTAAAGGCAAGGCGTAAAGAAGAGGATCGTCGGACAAGGAGTAGGCTAGCCCTCATATGCGGAATTCAAGGTCAATTACCTGACTTGGCATGTAATAACCTCGTGTGAAGAGGGCATGGCTTTAGGCCAAGGAGTGATGCTAGCCGATAAATATCATATTCAGGTACCTATTCCACATACCTGTACGCACCATCACCATATCATCCCACACACTCCCCAAAGCTAACCACCACCCAAAGACCAAACGCCGATACCTCATCCTCCTCCAATACCGGAACTGACACCATAATCCCAAAAAAAAGCCTAGATGAAACCCCATAATGACCCTAATTTACATAGACAGAGAGAAAAACCTCCTGATCCTGCCATCATCAACACCGAAAAGGGGCAGTGGGGGGTGGGGTATAAAAAAGCAATGCTGGTCGTTGGCCAAACATGACTGTCATTTTTTTTGGACGGTGATGAAGCCCGATCCCAAGCATGGAGCCATGAATCGTGAATGAATGAAAGATTGGTGTGTATATATAGAGAGCGTGTGCAAATGAAGCGAGGAAAATTGTTGATACAACCTCAAAAGGAAGCAAACAAAAGGCTTTTATCGTACATAGATGGTAGCGTATCCAGTTCCCCAGTTCTCGGTCGACGAGAACGAGTCGTCACTGTCGGCCACCTTGTGCCGGAGACGATGCTGTCCATACTTGATGGACTGTGGGGACGGACCGCGACAATGGACCAAGACTGGCTTGGCCTTTTGAACCGGTTTGAAGGTGCGGATCTCGCTGATCTCGGTCACTTCGTCGGACAAATCGTACTCGGTCTGGTTGTCTTCTTCGTCGTCGTCGTTGCGGCAGAAATCAAAGGTGAATGTGGACACGGTCGAAATGCTAGCCAACGTAGGGACCGTGCTGGTTGACGAGGGGTGCTGCGAAGTGCGTGGTGACGAAGACTGTGTCCGATCGACGTGGAACTGAGGTCGGATCTGCTTTCCGTGCGAAAAGGGGAGGGAGAACGATGGGACAGGGCCCCGCGTCTTAGGAGGTTGACGAGGAGCCGGGGTTGGGGTATCTTGGTAGTGCAACGTGCGTTCGTGGAAAGTCGGAGAGTTTGGCAGAGACCAGTCGAACTCATCGCTGTCCTCAGAATCATACATAAGTCCCGGGGGCGTGGAAGGTGTGTCCATCTCGTCGACCTCGCCCAGGTTGGACCGGAAGCGGGCCCTGGGAATCGACAGGAAACATGTGGTGGAGCTGACGCTGGGATTGGACTTGTGCTCGCTGTGAACGCGTCGGAAGCGCTCAAACTCTGGCGAGGAACAGCACTTGCAGATGATTACACCGGGGGGGCAGTGGCAGTCTTTAGCCGACGCGTCGTCCCGTATCTGAATCGGTGCTGGTCTTCGAGAGTTGTGAGACGCGTTTGAGAGGGCCGAAAATCTCCAAGAACTTCGCAACGAGAATGACGTAGCGTAAGAGGCATCATCGAGCGCTTGGTTCTCATGCTGGAGGATACTCGCACGTGCATTGTGTGGCAATGGCGTGAGATAGGCTGACTCCTCTACAACTTCAAAGGACGGATCGAGAACTCCACTCAAGTACATAGACAGCCTCTTGCGATCGAGTTCTCCCTGGCCGTCGAGCCATTGGCTCTTCCGATACGATGTCCTTTTGGACAAGGCACCGGTTTGCGCAGAAGGCTGCTCCTCCCCAATCGCCGGCCCTCGTTCCTCTGGGGGGCCGTCTACAACAATGTTGTATTCGGGAACTAATACCGAAGAGGCTCGGGCGGAAGGTGCAGGGACCCCAAGGTGCGTGCCTTGACTGGGGGCATCATAGCCAGTGGTGAATAGTGGTAACGGCTCTTCGTCAACGTCACTGGGTGACGGTAAGGGAAGCTCAAAGCCAACCAAAGGCGACGATGTTGTAGACGGCGGTAGGCTCGACTCGGTCGGCTTCTTCTTGCGTAGCTTCAGCGGGGGAGGACGCAAGCGTTGGACATCAGAGAGTCGGTGCTTCAAGCTGGGCTCAGGGCCGTCCATAGCAACCGTTCTTTGTTGTTCACTCAAGATCATCCTAGCAATATTGGGTCTGTTCACCGGGGGGGTAGGCGGCATAGGAAACAGAGAGAACCCCTTCTGGTCTAATTGGTCCATAGCAAAATCTTTGAACACACTCGAGGCCTCGTTGGCTGAACACACTCGGGTGGAGCTCTAACTCGGCGAGGTACTATGGCGACCAGCGGTGTCTGTGTTGTTTTTTGTTGTTGTTGTTGTTCTCTGGAGATTGTTGATGGGAAACAATCGATAAAGAAGATTGGGAACAACCAGGCTTATGAACGGAATGTAATTGATTCACGACGCAAGGATAGGGGATGGGTGCAGGGGAGAGTCCGTGGGGAGAGCGCGAACGTCAAAGGGAATTGTTACCGCTGATTGTACCATCTTGGTCGACGAGAACACGCCAGGCGAGGACGAGGTTGAGATTTGTTTTCCTCCGTGTTGAAGCTTGGTAGAAGCCGAGATTGCAGAGCAGGTGCACCATGAGGTCTGTGTGAGGTTTGCTCTGCCACAAACAACCACTCACGAGATGGCCGAGTGCGCGGCCAATCAACTTACCTGACAGCTGACGGTGGTGTCAATTCTGCTTTGAAGGCGTCAGGGCCTTTTCCAGAGCTTTTGCCTGCGATTTGGTAGTAGGATCAATCTGCGAGGGCCTCAGAAGACAGCTTCTGACTGCTGCCATTGCCGTGCGAATCATCATACTGACGCCTGAGGTTGCTGGTATCGCGTACCACATCGCCATAAACAGTGCCCTGTTCGAGTGGCTATATGAGCACACCAGTCCCCGTCAGTTCTAGGTCTCAGCCTTCAATCTTTGATGAAAGCCTCGGTGTTTCAGTCTGGAGGAGCCTGTGTACCCGGCCCGGCGCAGGAAGAAAATAAGCATCATGGAGTACAGCTGTTGGACGGTCTGTCATGGGCAGCCATGAAGTGATTCTACGTGGCAGCTGTCTTTGGGGTTGTTGACGTGGGCGCCAGCACGTGATATCACATGACTAGTGCTTTTCGGGACTACTCTGTCGACGCTGTCTGCAGCGCGCCTGGAATGTCTCGAGGAGCACGTTGGTACCGAGTATGATCATGAAACAACAGAATCACTGGACTTTGCTTGCCAGAGAGGTACGTGCTGGTTGGACGAGGGTCCGGTCATCTTGCGTCGGTCGAGTGTTTCTCGGACAAGATACGGACGCGTACCTCCACAGGCGAATCGTCCTGTGTTCCAACTCAGCAGATCACGACACGAATGTTCCTGTCGCGCGATTGGACCATTTTATGACCAAAGTCGACTCATTTTACCTTGAGCTACGTCCTCTGCGAGATCGTCGTTTGGACAATTTTTTCGTTGAGGGTTCGACGGGATTATCTACACAAGACACATCATGCAAAGAACATGATGCTTCTACGGCCTCTAAAAGGACCATCGAACGCTGACAAAGCAGCCTGTTGCCGAAGTCCCGACGAAAGCGTGTCGAGAGACCGTCCCAACGTGCTCTAGCGAGCAAACGAGGGATGCAGATGCGACTCAGACTGGCAACTTGAAACCCCATGTCAACAACAAAAGTAAGATAGATGCCCTGGACCAAGAACAACAGGCATCCGATAAGGTTTCTAGGTGCAGTAATGGACTTGCCGCTCCTGCTAAGTTGCCAAAAGGAAAGGCAGGGTGGTGCCGTTTTCATGTTCAGAGACACCAATCTGACTATGCGAGCCAAGGGGTGATCGAGCGATGCAGCTGAGTGCACCACGGCCAAGGTCAAGAGAGTTCGTCCTCGCAAATTATTGTCCTCGATACGATACGGAGTAGTCGCAAATAAAGTTCCCCTTCGCGAGTTTCCTCGCTTCTCTGACTTATTAGCTGAGCCTGAGGGCCGCCACATGGCGCTCGAAATGCCCTCCAACAATCTATTGGTGCGGACACGGCATCGTTTCATCCTTACCCTCCGCCCGGCGTCTGCCCTCTGCTGCTCAGTCTCGCGGACAGCGATTGAAGACTCTTGAACGAGCCCTGAACGAGTCTTGAACCACGGCAGAGCAGTTCGAGCTGAGTGCAGTCCCATCTGCCGACTCCACACCCAACAGAAGCAACACCCAAGCATCAACTGAAGCAACATGCTTATCCCGACTTTGCCCGGCTTATTGGCCGAGTAAGCAGCGATAGGCGCAAGGCTTGATGCCCCCAAGCCACAGCGGCGTCTTGGCCCAGAGTCTTGGACGCTTCAGCAGGCTTGGCGCGGACCCATAGATAACGAGGCTCGCTAATCTACCACGCCCAGCTTCCTATTCTCTGATGCTGCAATATTTGCAAAGGTCGTCAGGGGCCAATGACGGTACTTATGTGCGTTATCAGTCTCATCGCACCCAGTCGCCATCCAGTTGCCAGTCCGGCAGCGCAACCCCGTTCTGGTCAAGGTCGGAACTGTCTGGACTCTCAGAGGGGAAAGCCTCCAGGAATGCGCTTCGAGACCCTCTCAACACGAGGGCATGGCGGCGGTGGTGGTGGGAAAAAGAAAGTTGCTTCTCTCGTATCGCGATAGCGTGGGGAGAAGGGCCATCGCGACACGCGGTAGGCGGATGGTCTATATATCCATGGATTCTCTAGCTTGAGAGACGTCCTGTGTGAGCCTCTTCGGTAAAATACAACCATCCCATCACTGCCACTCGATCAACAGCAGGTCTAACAGGCCCTTGCTACCAAAATGGAGACACCGCCGCCTCTTGTACGTTGATTCATCTGCTCATGGACCTGATATCGAGCTTGTCACTGACTGCGCCTACTTACAGCCCGAGTACAACTCGAGCATTCCCAATGGCGGGAACCCAAAGGAAATCAATGTCAATCTTCCATACACCGGCCTTGAGTGGGAATATACTTTCCAGGTCATCATGGGCGCTCTGGTTTTCGTCATCGTCCCCGGTATCGGTCTGCTCTACGGCGGCATGTGTCGAAGGAAGTCTGCGCTGGCCATGATTTTCCAAGCATGGACCGTCATGTCCGTCTGCTCATTCCAGTGGGCGTTTTGGGGATTCAGTCTCTCCTTCTCTCGAACCGGTGGTCCATTCATTGGTGACCTCTCAAACTTCGGCTTGAAGAACGTGAGCTGCACCCTGTCATCCGGCTGCACTCTCTTACTCACGTGTTATTAGATCATGGCGGCACCATCATGGGGATCTGCCGTCATTCCAGACATCGTTCTCGCCTTTTACGAACTTATGTTCTGTGCATGCGCCACCATGATCGTGGTCGGTGGCTCCTTCGAGCGCGGACGAATCCTTCCTTCGATCATCTTTGGTTTCTGCTGGTCCACCCTCTGCTACTGTCCCATCGCGTACTGGACCTGGAACGCAAATGGCTGGCTCTTCAAGCTTCCCGCCCTTGACTTTGCCGGTGGTGGCCCAGTGCACATTTCCAGCGGCTCGGCCAGTTTGGCATATGCCCTCGTTCTCGGCAAGCGCAAGAGGTTAGGAGAGAAAACGCTCTACAAGCCTCATAATGTCTCCATCGTTTTCCTTGGTACTGTGCTCATCTGGTTCGGCTGGTTCGGGTTCAACGGTGGTTCGGCCTTGAATGGCAGCATCCGTGCCATGATCGCCATCTGGAACACCAACTTTGCCGCCTCCTGCGGTGTGGCTGGATGGTGTATGATGGACTACATCAAGAAGCGAAAGTTTTCCGTCATCGGGGCATGCGAGGGTGCGATTGCTGGGTTGGTCGGCATTACGCCTGCTGCAGGCTATGTATCCGTTTGGTGCGGTGCCGCCATCGGCTTCATCACAGCCATCGTGATCAACCTGTTCGAGAACGTCAATGACTGGATTCGCATCGATGATGGGCTCGAGGTCTTCAAGCTCCATGGTATCGGCGGCATGGTCGGAGGCTTCCTGACTGGTATTTTTGCATCGTCTTCCGTGTCTGCTCTCGACGGCATACCAACCCTAGCCCCAGGTGGCATCGATGGAGTTGGCAGCCAGATCGCACGTCAATTGGGCGAGATTGCTGCTATTGCCAGCTGGTCGTTCACCATCTCTTTCATCCTCCTGACGATCTTGAAGTACATCCCGGGTCTGCATCTCAGGATCACTGATGAGGCGGAGATGGTTGGTCTGGATCTTGACCAGTTTTCTGACGAACTGGTTGGCGAATGGACACTGTTTGCCGATGACGGCGTTCACATCCGCAGATCCTTCGAGGAGATCACTCATGGTGTTGCTGCTACGGAAACCACCGCAGGCGACGCTACCCCAGAGCAAAAGTCCGAGCCCAAGTCCGAGCCAGTCTCGTCTTGAATCGGGGTCTGACCGTGCTATGTGTGGTTGCTTCCTGTTTGGGTGGTGGAGGTGGGACTTGCATTCGGGATGATGGAGGGTGCTGCATTTCGTTCTGTATGTGAGATGGCTTGATAAGCAAGGATACTGTCGCTGGAGCCTGGGTTGACAAGTGTGAGTAGATGCGCATTGCATTGTGTAGCTAAATGTGAAATATAAATATTCTCCGGCGCCGACCTCGATCCGCCGATATTCAATTCAAACAGTGTAATGAGATTCTGTTTTCTAGACACCGCTTGGACCAGGGATGGATCATTTGCGATGACTACTCCGTACCGCTCAGAGCTATAGAGAGCCTCCGAGAGTCGATTGTATTATACTTATTCCATAGTGGTGTTTCGTCGTCCTTCGGGTACAGCCTCATGAATGCGGGAATCGTCCAAGCCTCTTCTTCCCTTTCGTCACTTCCTCCTGCCCCAGTCTCCTCCATCTATCTCCAGGCATTGTTCATGACCCAAGAGAGTATTCACCACATAAAGTAACACACGCATCCATATCTGTTACTCTCTCTCCCGTCCCGTCACTCTCTCTGCGGGGTGACGTGATAGATCGTCGACCGTTGCACTTGTGTCGCCGCTTAGCTCGCGGCCACCAACACCACCGCAGTCACTTCAGCCTGACTGCGACAGGAAGCCCAACATGTTCGCTGCAAAGAGACTAGGCAAAGTGAGTCCCTCCTCCATACAACATTACTGCATTCAGCAGCTTCTACTATGGGACACAAGGTTAACATCTGATCTAGGAACTCCAGAAGGTACACCATTCTCCCTGCACATCCATCAACCTCCCTCCCTTGGCCATCTCCCACAGTTTTGATGGCGTTGCTCGAGACTCAAGACTATATACAAGTTGATTCTAAGATGCCCGGGGTCTGACATGGGGTGTATATGCACAGGCCAAACAGAGTCTCCCTCCGGGCATTGACCTAGTCAAAGCGGACGACTTCAAAGAGTGGCAGGTTGACATCCGGGTCCTCGACTCCAACCCTCTCTACCTCAACCAGATATATCGCCTCAGTTTTATTTTCACCAGCAACTACCCGATAGGTACGTCTCTACTGGTACCGGATAAAGAGGAGAGTGAGAGGGAGGGAAGAAGAGCCGGATGCAAACTCCATGTAACATGCCACGATAACCAGTACTGACGCACGCATCTTCCCCCTCTGCAGAACCGCCCGAAGTAACATTCATCCATGTGCCACCATCTTCTTCTGCGTCCTCTGTCGCACCGACCTCAAACACCCAGTCACAATCACAACAACAGTCCCAGTCCCAGTCCCAGTCACAAACCACAACCGACTCCGGCCGATCTATACCGATCCACCCGCACATCTACAGCAATGGCATTATATGTCTCGACCTACTCGGCAGCGCAGGCTGGTCACCCGTTCAATCCGTCGAGAGCGTGTGCATGAGCCTGCAGAGCATGTTGACAGGCAACACCAAGAACGAACGACCGCCCGGCGACGAGGCCTTTTGCCAGAGCATGGGGGTGCGAGGGCCGAATGGATGGACCGGGAGCGAACGCGGAAGAGGCCTGAGAGGCGTCCGGTTTGCCTACGACGACGATACCGTATGATTCCGAAAGACCCGAAGCAATTATTATATGTGTATGTGAATGAGTTCAGGATGCCGTGGTGTGTTTGCAGTCCAGTTCCCAGTTCTCGGGGGGGCGGGAGCCCATCTTCTACTGGTGTTATAGCACACTGCGTGGCTTGATATCGATATTTGTGCTGCTGTCCCATGGGGGATGCAGAGGATTTTACACCCACGCATAACTGTGTGCATGGCTGGCATCACGGAGTATTCAGCGCAACTATATTCCAACGTGCCAAAGTCACAACATGGCGCAAGAGAGAGTTGATGCCAGTGCAAGGTTTCTGGATACGAGACAATCAGGTTATGATGATATCAGGGGATGAACCCCAATGAAGAAACACTTGGATTACCTGGGTAACCGTACATCTGACGTACACTTGGCGTACCTAGGTTGGTACTTCTGGAGTTGAAACTTGAAACTTAAGACTTGAAAGTTGTGGCGTTGGGAAATCGGGAATTGGGATTCATGGAGCTGGAGTATGGCGCTACTACGAATCCTGAAGACATTGAGTTATCAGCGATGGACCGAACCATGCCGCGCAGCGGGATGAAGGGGGCGTTGTGCTCTCGAGAGGCAGCTTTGCGCCAGCACACTTAGGTAATGACGACGACGAAGACGACGACGACGACGTTCTGATATGATTCCCTGGGGCCTGGGGTTTAGAATAAACAGCATCAACAACAGAGAGTTCGACCTTCGACCTCCTTCCCTCTGTCTCGTCCTTTCTTGTCCCTTTCAGACTGCCTATGCAGAATACCAGGTTAGTGTGCTAAATTATGGCTGAGGCATCCGCCGCCACGAAGCGTCACGTATAAGTGTATTGTAAATCGGTGTAGAAAGACCTGGCTTGCCATTCAAAGACCGTGATGATGATGATGATGACTTGGAGGTGAAAAGGTGAAAAGGACCTCCCTATCTAGGTGTCTGTCTAGGTACCTCCCGAGCTACCCATGCCTGGTGCCTTACATACCTAGGATTGCAGACCCCCTGAGTGTGCCTGAAGGTACTGGTATGGTAACCTTGGTAACTTAAAACACCTGAGGTATCGTTCCAAAGTGCCAAACGAAGCCACTTGTTGCATTCTGTCGGCGTTTCTTGACAAGTCCACAACACCTCCAACAACAACGAGGTGGGTCTTCTCTTTTCAAACTTGATACCCCCGGATCCTGGACGATGGTCATGCTCAGCGGTATCTTTTTTCTGCGGACTCGATATCGATACCGAAAAATACCTCATAACAATATACAAATTATCCGCGGTCACCGCGCAAGCAACAAATCATCAATCAAAGTCCGCGGCTCTCGCCCGTCCTGAGGTCTTGGGGTTAGGACTCGAGCTTCGTCTCGGTCTACCTCTGCCACCATAACCACCACCACCCCCACGACGACGGACTGGACTCGGACTCCTTCTTGACGATCGTCTCGGTGGCGAGGGCGAGGGCGAGCGGGACTCTGAGGCTGACCGTTCGCTTGATGAGTTCCTTCTTCTCCTCGTTGCAGGCGGCGGCGGTGCCCTGCGTGACGGCGGAGTGTAACTCCTACTCCTGCTTCTGCTTCTGCTTGGCGAGTACCTAGGTCTTCCCTTTGCGTTTCCACGGCGCGGCGGGGAGCGTGAGACTGACCGGACGGGCGACGGAGAGCGTCTCTGAATGCCTTTCCGGACTGGATCGTCGCGAGGAGCATCTCGTCGTGCTGCGAACCGTGGAGGAGACCGAGATCGAGACCGCGATGTGGAATATTTCCGTCGGCGCGGCGGTGGAGAGCCAGAGGGACTACGTGACGCTGAAACTCTTCTTGCACGTGCCACTGGAGCTCCTCTTCGCGGTGCCGGTGAACGCGAACGTGAACGAGATCCGCCCGAGTAGCCGCGACTTCGCGAGCGAGTTGGTGATCGACCTCGTGGACGAGCGGGAGCTACATTTCGTCGTGGAGGACTCCGGGACACCGAGTATGAGGGCGATCTCTTTCGATCGGCACCTCGGCGTGGTGGCGACCGCGACCGCGATAGCGAGGTGCTGTAACTTCGTTCCCTTCCACGGCGTGGTGCTGGAGATCGTGAGCGTGACACCGAGTAGCTGTCGCCTCGATCCCTTCCTCGTGCTACGTCCCTGCGAACCGGGCTTGGTGATCGGCCATCTCTGATCCTGCGTCGATCTGGCGTTGGGCTTCTAGTGTACGACCGGCTAGTCGTGTAGCTCGAGTAGCTCGAGTACGAGCTGACACTTTCCGAATCGGAGACATCATCGGCCTTAGGAGCGGGAAGCGCAGGAGGAGCCGGCTTTGGCAAATTCTTGAGATATTCTCGCATTTCTTCGGTGAGCGCACCCATACCGATGCTGGTAAAGTAATTGATCGAGAAGCGTGTGTTTCGTGGATTGTCGGTAGGGAAAATACCCGTGAAGCTGGGGCGGAGGATGTCGTCTTTCATTCTTTCTTGCAGTTTCGGCATGCCTAGAGACTCGGCCAGATCTTGGAACAAGATCTTGATGAAGATTCGACTGCTCGAGGTTGTTTCATCCTCATTCAGATGCACCACCGAGAGCACATGCCAGCCAATGGCATCAGTACTGAGCAAATGGCCGAAGAAACGGGCGATGTTGCGTAGCCTGTTCGTCTCATATCGGTGGATAGTGTCATAATACTTGGCGAAAGCCTGCTCGAATAGATCTGTCCAGAGGCGGTTGAGTTTTGCAAAGCGTTCTCCAATAAGACCGAAAAAGTTAGAATACGTCTTCTCTTGTGAACAGCATTCGATAATCATAGACGGCAATTCGGGTTCCTGCCCAGCTGGAAGTTGAACTTTCATCAACTTGTGGCATGCTTCTTCAAAGTCCAGGCTGGACATGATGGTGAGGTAGATGGTTCGTCGTAGGTTGACCAAATTAGTGTTTGTTTGATCCTTAATTTCCATTGCTCGCTCTTGCTCTGCTTCTTCATCGTCGGAGCTTTCGTCATCATCACTACTTCCAGCGTCTTCTTCATCACCACTGTCCTCTCCCAGAATCTCAGCCTTCAGTTTTCGATATGCTTCCTCGTGCTCTTCCCATTCAGGATCAAACTTGAAAATGTTGAGCGTATCTTGTGTGTCGATGTCGTCGTCCAAGTCAACCTGATGTGTGATCTGATCTTCTTCCTCCACCAGATCTAGTTCTTCCCTGATGGCAGGGTTATCCTTGTATCGGTCTTTCCTCACTTGAAACAGAACTTCAATCATGTACTGAGTTCGCTTGTCAATATCGGCTTCGTGGAGGATGCTTCGGAATTGGTCGAATACTGCCAACGCGATCGGTGGGCTCATTTCCTCCAAATGCTGTCCTACTTCTCTCGTCAATCCGACGGCGATTTCCACCGAATCGTCTGTTGGTTTGTGCAACAGTAGTAGAAGGAGGTGAGCAGCCACAGTCTCGTGCGCAACTTGCTGGTTGCAAAGATGGGCGATAAATGTGGTAGAAGAGATGCAGACGGCTTTGTCGTTCCGCTTGAAAGCCTTGCGGAATTGAACCACTAGACGGTTGAGTAGCAGCTCGCCGACTTGGGGAAGCTTGGTGTTGACGATTGCAGCCATTGCAGCGTAGATGGGTGTGAAGGGAAGAGACGCTGCCTGGGCTTTCATGATGCTTCTGCAAAACAAGCCCCGTCCGCGAACCAGGTTCTCTCCGAATAACTCTGGAACAATGTGCTTGATGTTCGAGACGTTGACTTTATTAATCAAACCATTGATGGATTTCTTGAGCGCTTCCCAGGCCATGCGCTGATACTCTTTACTGCTTTTGTCCGTAATCTCTGCTTGAAGCGCTCGCAACCTGGCAGGCGGGATGTATGTACCTCCCGATCTCATGGTGAGGAGTTTCTCATATTCGGCTTTCGCGGCAGCTTGTTTCTCTTCCGCAGTCATGGGCTTCCGTTTCGCTTCCTCTTTTTCTCGAGGCTTGAATCTTGCCATGAGCTCCCGCTCTCGTTCATCGACTTCCCGCTCCTGTTCTTCCCCGTCCGGTTTCCGCCTGCCATCCTCTTCTGTCCGGGCTAACCGACGACGCCGAGGCGAAGGGGATCGTGAAGGCGGCGACCGTTTCCTTGCACCTGATGGCCCGGGTGAATAAGTGGCGCCCGGTGGAGGTGTTGGAAGGCGTACAGCCGAGGACAAAGTCATGGTGTCTGCCATGGTGATGTCGTTGCGGCGCGACAATCGATGCTGGGTGGCAGATCAATGCGAGATCAAGCCCGCATCCTGGGCAGGGCCGACAAAAAATTGTTTGGACAACTAGGCATCGATGGGATTGTAGAGGCGTTTGGACTTCGGGGTTCGCCAGATCGGAAAATCTTAGTGCCAAGCCCGTTGGCAGCAGCCGCTCGGTCCCAGTGGTTCCTAGTAGGACGAGTAGTACGGGGTACGAGACGCGCGATTACTTCGACACAGCGTGTTCTTTGTCCCAGGCATTTACCACGTTCTTCACATCTCGCGAGGGTCAACTCTTTGATATTGTGGAACAAGCGAGAGCGCGTGCACAAGCAGAGATGGTATGTTTAGCTCCCCTTATCACCGCGAGTTGACACTGACTCTTCGCAGCTGGACAAACTAGTGGGCATGGCTATGCTCATAGCAGCCACGACCATTTTCTTGTATTATACACTATGGACTCTCTTCATGGTATGGAAAGCTCTTGCTGCTGAGCATGACCAAGGGACTGACACAGGGGCAGCCATTTGTCGACGATGACCATCCGCTTCAAGCACTCTTTCCTCCTCGTGTCTGGGCCATACGCATTCCAGTGATCCTCACTCTTCTCGCCTCGGCCGTTGTCGGTACATTCCTCGCGATGGTCATGATCAGAAGCAACAGAAAGAAGGCGGCAAAGGCACGGGCAGCAGCAGCGAAGAAGTCGAAATAGGTGGACTGGCGAGTCGGGAACTTGATTTAAAGAAAAAAGAGCCCATGTCATATATACGAACCAAGTGATATCAATCGCTTCAATGTGGGAAATGGGAAGTCCTCGCAATGATGGAGACACAAGGAAAGGCTGTTTCATGCTCTTGTATATTGTCACTGGCCACAGAGTCAAGGTCAAGTAAGTTTGGTGTCTTCGACGGGAACACAAAGGGAGGCTTCCGGTTTAGAGGAGTACTCTCAATAAACAAAACTCTGGCGCCGAGGCAATTGGAAGATAGCAACCTAGCTTGAATGCATAGTACTGGCTTGGTCTTCAGTCGAATGACCGGAGTTGTACACCATGTCGCAATGGGCTCGCACATCAAGAAACTCAGGAGTTCTTGATATACATCCAAGCTCCGTTCTGAAGTCATGACCCGCTCTCAATATATCACGCTCAGGCAGCTGCTCCCTTCCAGGTGAAGGCTGAGGGTCGACTGAGGCAGGTGAGCGAGGTGAGGGTGGATTCGCCTCGAGGTTGAGCACTCTCACAGCCCGAGAACAGAATGCTGCCTTGTGGAATAGAATTGTATTGTACGGACCGGCAAGATCATAGAATGATGGGAAGTAGCATCGCGATGCTGCTGACAAGCGGCAGCGGAAGCCGAGGATGCGGTCAGATGGTAGGACGGGACGATGAGGTCGAGCATTGATGATGATCAGGTTGTGGTCACAAGCACATGGACAGAGGTGAGCTGCGAACGGACAGTGTCAAATGACATTGTTGGTGCCAGGCAGGAGGTGTGTGCATTTGCCAATTCCCAGCCACCGGCCTCATCTCATCATCCGGGGACGAGGACGAGGAGAGGAGAAGAGCACGATGCCGTAAGCCTGGTGAGACGGGAACGGCTACGGAGCGCTGATTGTAATAAGTGAAGGAGGAGTGGCGGTAACCCTAACACACCTAAAGTATCCGTCCTCCCCCTCTACAGTACACAACACCTACCCACTAACTAACCTACTGTACCTCTTCGAGTGCCCTATTAGCTACAGTAGGTATAATATATGAATAGCCTATTATCCGTACCGAGTTCACTATCGCCAAGCTTAAGCCACTAGGAATTGACCATCCACGCGCCCCCAAGCGCCTGCGTGTTCGGTATCTGCGCCGATAAGCATCGCCGCCTCCAGGTCTGGCTAGTGACGGCACTGACTGACCTTCTGACTCCGACGCTCGACTACGGCGCCAGCTTCTCATAAACAACCTCCAGCTCCAGACCGCAATCCTCTTGACTGGTATACTCGTTTCTCTTTTCACAATCTGCTCCTGTAACCACAGTCCTACTCGATACTCGGAATCAAGCTTCGTTCCATCTTCTCAGCGGCGCCAGGCGTCATCCCGTTCCCGGTCACGCCCTCGATCAACGACGACGCCTTCACACCCCGCGTTGGCCAGGGGTTCCCCTCGAACTCCAACCCTGTCCCTCCTTCACATCGCCATCTCGACCACGGTCGACTTCAGGCATATACCATACCAGTGGTCTGCCCGGGGCTACGCCTGCTGTGCCCTTGGCGTCTACTGATATCATCTTGAATGCCAGCAGTCAACAAATCCAAGTCCACAAGCAACAGGAAACCCATACCCTCCCCCGACCTCATCGATCCTGAAGACATACCACAGGAAGAAGAAGAAGCGAAGGTAGGAAGGAAGAAGGCAAAGCATGCTGCCGCGAAACAGTCGTCCTGCCTCGACAATGCCGAAGAATCCCCATCTTCAGAGCAGATGGGTCAACAATCACGCCAGCCCGCGAAGCCGCAGTCAATACTCGGCCAGCTGAAGTCGAGCTTCCCTCAGAGTGACCATAGGAATGATAGTTCCGATGCCGTGAATGAGGTGGACTCGACACGGAAGGTCTTCGATGAGCATACACCACCCACCCATGTCTGGGCACGAGGTACAGGGTATGGAAGGTCCCCGCCTGTTGAACCGATCCCTGGCTTCAGCTCGGGAACCCCTCCTTATGAGCCTGGCTTCAGCACTCGAGGCAGCTTCGCCAGAAGCCCTCCGCTCTCTCCGCCGTCAAGGAAAGCAAGGCCTGTAAGTTATGGAGGCGGCGTCCCTCCTCTGCCACCTCATCATAGGATGTCGACTTCGCCCTACAGCTACGCGGTGAATGCTTACGGCTCGCCGCCTATCCCGCCCCATCTACCCCAACAACATTTCTACGGCCCTCATGATGTCGACCTAGGCCTTGCAAATGCCACAGCGCAAATGAACGTCAAAGACCCCGTTGCCCTCAAATTCTCCCGTCACCCCACATCCGGGAACGAGGCTCGTGAGGCCGTGTTCATGGTAGGAGACGAAGAGTTGAATGTTCTCACCTACAATGGCGAGAAATTGGAACATTCTGGATTCCTGGGAGGTGTCCGGGGTGAAATCCTCGACGTATGCCTTCTGACCTGGAATACTGGCGACGATCCTTTTGTGGACTATCGGCCGTTAGTGGCAATCACTGTCCATGGGCCAAACAATGTGGAGCGTGAAAATGGGGATGGTCCCCTGCCGGATGCGGCGGGTGTGTACCTGGAGACAAAAGTAGCCGTATATTCCATGGGCAAGGGATGTCATGTGGCTGATTTACTGTGTGTCCCATCTCCGATGAGGATGTTCCATGGAGGCGGATTACCCCCGGGTTCAGCCGCAAATTTGAAGACACATGCAAGTGGAAATGCTGTCGTTGTGTCTTCTGGTGATAGTGGCGAAGTATTCGTCTTCTCTGCGCGAAAGAATCACGCCTCTGCTGCGTTTGAATGCCTAGGCAAGTTCTGGACATCTATCCAACCACAAATTCAGAGAAGAGATTCGTCGCAGCCGACCTCGGACGCTGAGATATCACCTGCAGACCTTGGACGCGGAGTCGATGCCGACGGTTCGGCTATTATCAGTCTCAGTGGCCGATGGCTCGCAATTTGTCCCGCGGGCACTCCTTCTCGCCGATCAATCGGTGCTCTTATCGGCGAATCTGTCATCCATAGCAAACACGCACATATCAGTACTGGGACAGCCCCCTCGAGACCTCCAGTGACATGTGAGGTAGAATCGCCTGACGTTGATACCTTTTTCGGCAAGGTTGCTAAAGGCATAGCGCAGGAAGCCGTGAGAAGTGCCAAATGGATCGGCGAGAAAGGTGTGCAGACGTGGCAGAACTACTGGAAGAAAGACTCCACTGCCGACAGCCTGCCCACAGGAACATCCTCAAGCCCACCGGTGTACTCGCCTCAATTCGGCATGGCGCAGTTCCCGCCCACGCACGCAATGGAAAATCCAAATGTTCCAAAGGACCCCGACGTTGTCTCGATTTTAGACTTGAAGTCTCTGCAAGACACTCAGGGGAGGCGAGGTGTCGACCTCAACCCTATCGCGACCTTTCAACCGCCCCGAGGTTGCAGCTTCCTGTCCTTTACGCCCAGTGGGCTTGGTCTTCTCACTGCAAATCGCAAGGGTGATGTACAGTACGTCTGGGATTTGCAACAGATGAGACATGTAAGGGTTCAACAGACAACGTCGCCACCTAACAGTGGTTATGTACGACAGGTTGCCCGTTATGAGCGGCTGAGTCCTTCCACCATTGTCGATCTTGCTTGGGATGGCCCGACAGGGTATAGGTTTGCGTTACTTACAAAGAACCGAACAGTTCACATTTTTGATCTACCCAAGATTGCTTTCCAATGGCCTCCGCCACCTACCAAGCGAAACCGACCGTCATCTGCGCCGGTCGAACCTCCGCAAGCAAAGCCAGAGCAAGAACCTGCTCCGACAGGGGGTTTCTTTGCCTCAGCGATGAGCATCGCTGGAAGGACACAGCCAATGCTGGCAAATCTACGAGGTCGAGCTCCCAGCATCAACAGCAGCGGGATCACTGGGTTTACTGCCTCAGGTATTGGACTGTCCACCACTGGCTTGAAATCAGGCAGAGCTGTAGCCGCAGGCCTTAGTAAGTCTCTTGGAGCTGCAAGCGAAACCGTCACGAATATTCGTCACGCGAACCAGAGCAGGCTCTATCTGAAGATCCCAGCTCGACCAGGCATGCTTTGTTGGCAAAGACGTGAAGGAAGATCCGTGTTGTCAATCTTGGATCTACACACCCTCAAGGACTATTACGTCCGAATGACGAAGCCGAGAGAGGATCGTCATCGGCAAACAGTCTCAGTCTTTGATGCCCGAAAACCTGTTGTGACCAAATTCCCAAAAGGGCTCGAAATGACCACGGATCCCTTGTATAGAGGACATCACGCTCGCAATGATGACAAAAGTGGAAGCCCGCTTCCTGCAGTAGCTGGATTCTGGAGGTCCAGAGCAAGTAAAGCCGACGGACTGAAAATGTCGCACCCCTTGGCGTCCGCTGAAATTGAGACAAATGCGCCATATCAGCCATTCCACTGCGATCATCGGGTCACCATTTCGTTGCTCGAAGACCGCTCGTCGAAACGGCTCCCTTCGAGCATGACTGGACAACAGTCAACGTTTTCGCAACGGCATACGCCCGATATGGCGGAGAAATGGGTCTTTGGTGAAGACATCCGCTCTCAACAGGTACCTCCCATTTCGGTTGAGCAGGCGGTGAACGAGGATGATACTTTGATTTACCGAGAAACCAAGATTACTTCAGGATTTCCCATCTCAGGCAGCACGCCAGTTGAGACCCTGACGGAAGGGGTTAATCACGCTGTTAGCAACACTAAGAAGCGGAAGAGCAAGAAGAACAAGACCCCTGCTTTGGTTCACGACGAGGACACGTTTATCGAAGCTGATGCGGACTTTGTGAAAAGTCACGATGAAATCGAGCAAGATCTGAACTCGCGAAAAGGTCAAGTGTTTGATTTATTGGAGGATGAAGACATGACCCGGTGAACGAGATCAATCTCTGATGTCAAATCTGAGCGTGTGAACGATTCTACAATCCAATGCCGGCGTGTAACAAGGATACCTACCATGAGTTTAGTGTCTGGTCGAAGCCTCAGTTGTCTCACCTGAACGAAGGCAATATGCGCTCAGATGGAACTTACTTTACATACTTCCCTGCAGCTATTACAATATATATGACTTTATGGGAGTCTAAGGCCTTGAACATCATCGCACTCTCTTGAACTGCAATCAACATGGACGAGACTATCATTGACCAGAGCTATCTTCAAGAGTCCATTGCTAATTGCTTATAGACGACTTGCAACTGATGATTTCTCAGCGAATCGGTGACTTTAGTTAAGGCATTCAATTCACTTGGCACTGTCGCACTTCATGTTTACCTTCTACAGCGCTCACAAACTAGGAAGAATACTTGTCAGCCAGCTTCTGCGACCATGATGTCCAGCGTTGCAGCAAGTTGGCCTCTACAAGGGCCATTTATGGCCTGGCTGTTTTCGGCCTTCGGCGTCTAGCCAGCTGGCGCCTAGATTTGAATTCCGTTTTACCGCCCTTGTGACAAGCTATATTTTGATGCAGTCTCACTTGACCCGGACTTCCATGACAGATAGTGAATGAACTGGTGTTCACGGCTCATTTTCAGACGGTGACCCTTGTACTCACTTTCAACGTGAGATGGTTCAGCTCACTTGAGAACTCCTCCCAACACCATCTCTTGTTGCAGTCACTCATTCGATCTACGACTCTCTTGCCAGATCAAATCCCCCTCGCTGAGAGTAATACTCTCCTGCTGGCGCTCCTCCCTTGCGCACTATGGATGGAAGGTGGGTTCGCCCATGGACGCCTAGCGTCGTCAGTTATGATGGCGGTAGTCAACGCTTATGGGAGAGATATGTGGCTCAGAACCCAGGTCTGAAGAAACCACGACCAAGAGTAGGTGCTAGCTTACGACATTTACAGATGTTCGACCACTGATGGTGTCTTGAAGGAACTCCGAGAGCTCGAACATCGCCTGAGATCGATCTCTCAGCGCATACTTGCTGACCCTTTCGATCCGGGCAAGCGGCTAGCCAGAGCGAAAATATTACTCACCCTACAGTATCCAGAACTGGCAATACAAGAGGCCCACAAAGTTCTGCTTTTGATTCATTCACTGGTAATATTCATCATTGTCTATTTCAGAGTTTTCTGCGATGTAATCAGCGGGGCTAACACGATACATGCAGGGTGAGAATTCAGATTTGCAGCCAAGTCAGGGCAGCTCCGACATGAGTGGAAATTCGGCTCTGTTCGTACTAGCACAGGCCCTCTTCATATCCCGCTGCTTCTCTGAATGCGTTGCCGTCCTAGAACGAAGCATGTCACGCCGACGAGGAAGTCATTGGGGCCATGAGTCTTCCAGATATGTTAAACACCTGGAACTGAAACAATACGCAGAGCGTGCTTTGCGCCATGAAGAAAGATATCTCGAAAAGGATGATAGCTGGAGAGATTCTACTGAGGAGGAACAACATGCCATGCTCGGCAAGGGAGACATCAGAGTTGTGCCGTATCCCTGGATCCCCAAGACACTGTTTCGCCGAAGCGAGTCGGCCATTTCACGAGCCAACAAGACTCTACAAGACTACAGCCAAGACTCTCTCGTCATCCGAACGAGCAGCTTGTCCGTTCCTTTGCGTAGCTCTGGTCAGATCCAACACGGCCAAGATGCTTACGGCATCTTCGCAATGAGAGATCTTCCCGCCAACACGAAGCTTTTCTTGGACAAGACAATCCTGTGTGCCAGTAACGGGTCGGCTCAATGTACAGCGTGCTGTGCCGATCTCAGCCGAGGTGCAAGCCGATTTCAGGGGAAACGGTACTGCGATCGAAACTGCTTCCGGGACCTTCAGGCTGCGTGCGGTGTTGGAGCGCTTTCCAGGCACGGCCAAGGCCGGCAAGCAACGAGGTTTAGGATGAACGGCTTTCAACCACTCCTCCCGGATTCTGGCTTCAAGTCTGTGGTCAACGAAGAGCACTTGCTGTTTCAGCGAGCGGTGGAAGTGGCATTTCATTCGACCAAGAGACATCCTGGCCAACACCCTTTGCAAGCTCGAATGCTCCGTCTTCTCACAGCACGCTATCACCATGGCAATCAGGCAACGAGGAGATACTCGTATGCTGAAGATGTCTGCCGCCGAATTGAATTTCTGCAGCAGCTCGGTGTTGACATCTTCCAAGACGAGCTGGGGGAAGCCTGGGTCCTTGAGACTCTTGCCAACCGGATCCAAACCAACTTTCGAGGCTACAGGGGGAAGCATGGGGACGAAGTGGTTGCCGTGAACACCATGTATGCTTTCTTCAACCACAGCTGCGTGCCGAACGTAACCACCAGCCATTCGAGGAAAGAAAATAGTGCGATTTGCATGACGACGACGAGGAGGATCGCACGTGGTGAGGAGCTATACATCAACTATCTCTCTGACGAAGACTTGGACGAGAGCCATGATGTGAGGGAGGAGAAGTTGCAGGACTGGACTGGTGGAATGTGTCTGTGTGTAAAGTGTACTCGGGAGAGAAACCGGAGACGATGGTCGCTGCGTTTTCATGACGACGAGGGATAGATGATAGCTCACGGTGACGTGTTGTGTGGACAAGGATGGATCTGCGCGTCGGTGGCCGCGATGGAGGGATGTTCTACGACTACGACGAGAGATGCGACGTCGAAATGACGGGATTCTTTCCCTGGACAGTTGCCTCATGCCAGATGCGGTGCAGTTGGAAGCACGCTTATTGAACTTTGGATGACTTGTCAATGTCAAAAACTTGGGCGGGATGAATAGAGATGATGAACAAGAAGATGAGTTAAAAGCGTCCAGGATGATTTTAAGTCTTGACCTCGCTAGGGTGAAAGGGGGGGGGGATGTTCTTTGGGGCGGTAGCAGAAACCTGAAAGGAGCTCGCTAGCTAGGTAGATAGCTCTCTGACGACGACGATGAAGGTGAAGGTGGACACGATCAACATCCATCCGACTTGTCGATTAAAGTCGCTGGCCAGACATTGGGGTGCTCAGAGAGAGAGAGAGAGCATTGTTTCTTCTTTGGGAACATGGGCATGGATGGACGATGTCGGTGGTGGAAAAAAAAAGCCCTCATCATCTTTCTCGGAGATGAGATGATGTACATGGTACGAACTGAAACCACCCTGACCCTGGGATTGCTCGGGTGGTGGTGGTGGTGGTGGTGGTAGTAGCAGACGGGACGCAGGATCATTGGCCCATGCATGGATCCATGAAGAATGTTCGCTCGTCGCGTCAAAAGAAAAGCCTTTCTTTGAACGTCGGGGGGTTCAAGAACAACCCAATTTTATCGGGGTCTGCTACACACACACACATCATGTTGTCTCGTATTATGCTCTCTGACTGCGTAGGTGCGGACCGGCCGATAGTTACCCGGGTATACAAAAGTTCAAGAGCGAGGGTAGGTGTGTCTGTCTCACCTGTCAGCGAATGGCGATACATGCCTGTTTTCCTTTTCATCAAAGGTCAGTAGTTCTCGGTGTCTATCTCGAGCATGAAGGTAGTAGAAGCCTGGCGAGCCATAACATCCACATTTTCTTGTTCAGTGTTCAGTGTTCAGTGTTCAGTGTTCAATCTAATACCTGTAGTACCACCGGGTGTATAGCACAGGTCGAGTACCGTCTACCTACAGGTCGAGACAGTACAAGTCCTGTCCTGTCAAGGTCGTCATGGGGGGAGGAAGTGGTACGTGGAATGATGAATGACACTTGAAAAAAGAGGTCGCCACGTGTCGTCGTGTCGTGTCGTCTCGTCACTTTGTGTGTCGCTCGTGTGGCGATTATAATACGAGAAAAAATACGCTCTGAGCTACTGCATGTACCCTGGGCACTGTGAGGTACAGTAGTAGTTGGTTGGTGCCGATGCTCGTGCTCGTGCTCGTACTCGTATTTTGGCGGAGCAACTTCGTTTCGAGGTGGGGAGGGGGAGGGAAGCAGGGAGGAAAGCTTTCCTGAGCTGTGGTACCGATACGAGTACGACGACGAGCATTACCAATCTCGACAAAAAAACAGAGTGTCAGCCAGTTGCTAAAAACGCCCCCGGGCGAGGGAAGACTGAAAGTGGATCGATCAGGAGGATCGAGAATCTGAAGGGATTTTAAAAAGGGTCAAAAGGATCGAGACTCTCTGACAGAGAAATCATGTTGAGGCCTGGTGGGATGCCTGGTGTGCGTCCGATTGAGGAAATTCATACTGTCCGCACTGAACAACCATTCATCTCACTGTAGCTAACGTTGCGAGGGCCTTCTTACAGTGGCAGGTTTCGCCATTTCTCAGACAAAGACGCTCGAAGCGGACGAAGAAAGACATGCCAATGCCACTAACCGGTGCAGCTCACTCCCCTTTCATCCGTCCCATGGTCGTCGGTAGCTGTGACCACCACGTCTTCTCCTCGCAGACTTCAAATTGTTTGGGAGGTCAAAGTGGGTAGGCCAAGCGGTGTCCACGTCAAGGGGCCAAGGCAGACTCACCCCAAACAAGACACTGTACATTTGTACTGCGAGACTAACCCTTTCTCGTATTCCTCGCACGTATAATGGTTCCCTATCGAGCATGCGATCCGGGATTGCAGATTTGCTACCGGTCCTCATCAATACCCTGTACTCATGTCTCGCAACTTTCGCAAGACACGTCGACGTTCGTATTCGTACTCGTATCTGGCGCAGAGTGCTGAGTACTCCGTGGAAACCGCCCATAATGTCCGGGGGTTATCTCCGCAACAAGTAAGGAGGTACATGTGCATGCAAGTGTATGACAAGCTTACTGAGCCCTTGCTGAATATGGCCCATTGTATCTCCGTGAAACGCTGTACGGTAGATGTAGAGTCTTGGAGTTCGGCCGAAAGAACAGAGAAAGAGACAGCAGGGCGTTCCCCGGAGACCGACAGGTCAGGTACAAAAGGTATTGGTCGGAGGTTCGCTTGTTTTGGCCCCCGTCGCAGACTTGAAAACAGCCTCGACTCGACCATGACACCGAATTTTCGTCCTTGTCAATCTCCATCTCTGAAGGATTCAGAGAACCGTCAGATGACAAAGCTTCGGAGCTGGTTTTCCAAAACGAAAGGCGTTCGGAACTCTGTTTCTCGTGTGACGTTGGATCGACTTCGCGCCTTCGTCCGGTTTGGTACAGTACGAGCTTCTTGACCAACCCGTCTCATCGCGCCTTTGCAGCACTCAATTCAAAGTCAAAGCGAAGGAACGTTACCCTGCAAGTGCTTTGCCCACCATCTCTTTCGCCCGGGGACTCAAATCCATGGCCAATGCGAGCTCTTGTCCCCTCTTGCCCATCTTCGTCCACGTCTTTTGTAATATGCCGATGATCTTCTCCTCGTCGTGGCCCTTTTCGAACTCGTCGAACTGATCGTCTAGAAAGACGAGGCAGGCCACGTCCTCGATGACTTGTGCGTCCGGGTCTCCTTTGCCCTCGCCCTTCTTGAGATCTTCCTTGGCGATCAGTGAGGCCACTTTGTCCGCCTCTTCGGCCGAGTAGTCGCACTCGAGACAGATTTGCTTGACCTGGTCAGCCTGGCGCTTTTTCAGAAACGTGCGCCATGCGAAGTACCCCGGCCTCGTGCGCGGGTACGAGTCGCGCGGGACTTCCCAGCGGCGGAAGTGTTGGGCTCGTGCCGCCGTCTGCAGAAGAGGGGACGGGTCAGGAGTGTGCAGCGTGAGGAAATGGGTCATTTTCTGGGCGTAGTGTAGTTCATAGGGAATCGACGTGTCCTGGACGGTGATTTTGTTTGGGTCTTCGGCGTGGGCGGCGTCGATCAGCGACAGTGCTTGACTGAGGTTTGGAGCCATGGGATGCGAAATAGCTACGGTAAGCCACGCAAACTTGTACCAGCTATTGGGTCTGGGGTACAGGACTGAGCTTGAGATGGTGGTTCCGATGAGTATTGTATTATACAAATATCTACAGATACGGAGCACTCGTTAGGTACGGAGTACAGGTTGTTGATCTGTCGAAAATAGGCGAGGAGTTGAATCCCCGACGACGTCATTGGTCCAACCTTTTTGCCTGACTGTGTACAAACCTACATACAAACCCGCAACGAGGTCTGACGGTGTTGGTGTCTCTAATCAGAGAGATCGACGCTTTAGTACTTCGTATTCTGTTCTCGTCTGAACCTCAGCATACTGTACGTGTCTGGGCGGCAAGAAAAGAGGTGGTCGACCTCGGGGATCGTGCTAGATATCCGATCGTACAGTCTCATTATTGTCGCCATCAGAGGTATCCTCACTTCGCCTTTTGCTAGTATACAATGGCTTTGCAGGTAGCTAAGCTCATACTCATACTCATGCTCATGCTCCTCCCTCACGCTTCGCATATTCATCCTCCATTCTCTCCGAGTACAAAGCATCGGCTTCTTTCTGCGTGAGCCTCTTCTGCTCACCGACACCTCCCGTAGTGATGCGTCCCTGCGGTGGTTGCCCTGCCCCGTTCATGATCTGAGGCTGCTGGGCCGAGGGGTCCAAGGGGACTCTTGTCTTTGTGGTGGTGGTTTTCTTGTGGCTGGCATTGGCCCCGAGGCTGAGACTGCCCGAAACTGCGCCGGCCACCGATGCACCGGCGCTCGCAATGGCCTCTGATGTCTTTTTGAAGTATCCCGCGTCGTCGGACATGGTGGACGGTGGTCTAGCACAATAGTGATACGAGGGCAGTTTACACGGGCGAGAAGTCGATTGTCGCTGTGTACGGAGTAGGAGCAGTGGATTTGTAGCGTGAGGAATACGGAGTACGAGTGTTGAGTAGCTGGGTAGCGTAGAAGAACAAGAACAAATGCTCCAGGAAGCCGGAAGTGTTTTGCGATATCTTATGTATTTTTTCGGTGCTGGTATCCCACCTCGACGCCTTGCACTCGTACTGGCGCTCTGACTTCAAAACCGGTTTTTGCTGCTTGAGTTGCCCGTCGTTTGTTCTCGACGTGTTACGGATACGAGGACAAAGGGATCTCGAGCCAACGACGTCATAACACAGCGTCGATCTGCTGTAGCGTGTCCAGGGTCGATGCTTGAGATACAACCACGAGTATATCAACAATCCTCGAGGGATGGAGGTGGAAATAGGAGACTGCACCACTCGCTCAGTACAATGTACCCAAGGTAGGTGGACTTGGACGAGCACATCGCCGACCTGACTGAAGAACTGTCCTCCGCAGCTGGACTTTTGCTGGTTCCACCAGGCTCTAACAAAACGTGCATGGCCATAGAATGAGGCACACGGTTCAATGGATTCTGATCATGAGTCGCAGTTCATACTATACTCATCAATGCCATGGTTCTGGTCGTGATTGGGAAGCACCTCGATGCTATTGACTTTTCTTTTCCCCTTGACCTCCCAACACCTCCTCGAATTGTCACTGTATAGGTATCTACTATTGTTGTATTCACTTCGACCGGCCATGGAACCCCCCATTTACAGCAGATTCACTGCCTCTTCAATAGCCTCTTCAATGTGTATTGACATGTTATTGTTGCCAAACTCTCAATCGTCCCCCTTGACCGCCCTCGAAAGGTATCTTCCGTCTATCGGACAACATCAACTCTTCTTCGCTCACAAAAACTCTCTCACTTACCACACACACACAACCTCGCAAACACACACACACACACACACACACACACTCAAACACCCAAACAAACTCAAAGGACAGACACCATGCTCTACACAATCTTCCTCTTTCAACTCTTCTGGGAGCTGTTGACACAAATCGTCGGATTTGTTGACTTCTGTCTCACCCTCTTCTTGGTTGCATTCGTAGCCACTTGCCTTTCGATCGCCTGCAAGAAATGCACCGGCAAGAACTTGTTTGAGGTTGTGTGCCTCGCCATCTCCTTCATCAGGGACCGATGCTGCGCTGGTCGCGTGTCGGTCGCCTGTCAGACACCCTTTGGTGGTTACCGGTCGGTAGCCACCCAAACCGACTACTACAACGACGAATTCCTCTACTACAAACCCCGCCGTGGCCGCATGCGAAATCTTCCTGGCCTCCCGGGCCTCTTCAAAGACCTTCCGTTGCCGGAGGAGGGTGGTTCTGTGTTTGAGGACTGGCGCATTGCCCATCGCCTCGCCGCTCGAGTTGCTGCAGTGCAGGACGCCCAGCCGATTGGCGTGACTCCTGGCTCTGTTTCGGTGGGCTCTGGTCTCAGAAAACGAGACATGAGCTCATTCGAAGAGCAATCGGGTGACGAGGACTGCGATGTGGTGGTGCGCCCCGGCCGAAAGATTCTGGCGCCTCGCATTCATGGGGCGGGGACCGTCAAATGTCCCGTCGCTCCTGAGAGTGTGGCCTTGGGGGGTGTCGTCCTCGGTGACAATGAGGATGGCACCAAAACAGACATGGACGATGACGAGGAGGATGACCTGGAGATCATCACCGACGACATCGTTTCTTCTTCGGCACCCGATGTCGAAGACCAACAACAAAGTCCTCGAGTTGAGGCAGAAAGTCCACGAGTTGTGGCATCAGAAAGTCCACGAGTTGTGGCACCGGAAAGTCCTCGAGTTGAGGCAGACATGGGGGAGGGGGAGGGGGAGGAGGTTGGGCCAGCAGAGCCATTGGTGTTGGAGGAGGATGGCATGGAGTTTGCGCCAGCGGGCTTTGGGGAGGCCGTGCTGGAGGAGGACGACGACATGGAGTTTGCCCCGGCTGGCTTTGGGGAGGACTGAGTGGCAGGGTCGGTTGAACCGAACCAAAGAGCCTGGATGAGAGAATCGGATGGGCTGGACCTACCTACCTACCTGTACGAGTACATAGAACACGAAGCTGCAAAAACTGCAGCAGGGGAATGTGAATGAAGAGAAAACACATTCCACACGATTGACCGCTTCTTAGACTTTCGTACCTCGCGCTTCAACAACCGCCGATGGCCCATCCCCGACACGGAGAGGGAGGACATTATCGACGCGAAGTCGCCTGACGCCCTTTTCTCACCATGCAAGGTCTTTTGTTCCTGACAATCAGCCAGAGGCGTGTGTGGTGTTGGGGGAATCATAATCCATGAAATGACTATGCATGACTAAAGTTCTCGAGCCCTTGACGTCGATGTGCGGCGCGAACGAGAATCCATCCCCGCCGTTGAGATGTTCTCGTTTCCATGAGCCAGTCGTTTGCAGTCTGGAACTGCCGTACTGGTGAGAAATGCCTCTTAGCTTCGACAGAGAGGCTGATTCGAACATGGGGGACCCTGCGCGAAGAAGAAAAAATCATGCGCATTCGGCCGACTCGGGCACTGAAGAGTCAACGGCATTTACAATCTGCACCGACCGAGCCACTAATCATTGATGATGGCCATAAGCCATGGTACGATTCTTTCCGACGAGATGCAACACCAAGCACATCTCGGGCCCGCCGGTCTTGGATTAATCCGGGCTCCGAGTACGGGCGTGCGCACGCACTAGTGATTGGGAGCGGAGGGACGAGCGGAGGGTCGTGGTGGAATGGCACTTTGCGACTTCTGGCGAGTCTAGCCGCATCTCGAGCTCCAAAAGGTGAATGATAGGCGACAGCTGTCGAACGGGCCATGGAGATAGGAGGAAGAATCTTCCCGATGTGAGGCATCTCCCCGATATGAGGGTTTTATATCTCGCTCGTTGGAGCCCTTGTCCACGGCCATGGAGTCTCCACGGACGCCAACTGTTTTCGTGGCTGTAGTCTATCAAAGGCCCAGGACACCTTTTTGGTGGCAGTGGAACAAATTTCTATGCCCGAAAGGGTTCGAGTGGAAGGCTGAGACGCGTCGGTAAAGAGCATGAAGCGAGGTGGTGTGGTCTGTTCGATGAATACGAGTACGAGCGGCCTGCAGGAAATCACACCTGCCTAGAGTGCGCCTTGGGACGCCTTGATACGGGCAACCAACAGCCCTAACGGTGGTGTCCGGGGAGGGTGCTAGAGCCTAGTGAGGCCCCGTAAAAGGCTTGTTCGAGGGCACTGCTTAGTTGAAGTTAGGTGGTGGTTTCAGGACTCAGGCTCCGACCCATCTCGTCATAGGCCGGCCGCACTAGGCCTGTCGGGGCTAAAGGCAGGGCCTCTCTAGGGACCCCCTTGTCGTAAATCGTGTCCCTGCCCATTAGCCGTGCGGCGCCACCAAGCATCATCATCGCTACACGTTAAAAGATGATACACTTTAATGCTCTGCCTGATTTCTAAACCCCAGGAACTCCTTACCGATTCATCTTTTTGATTGCTCTACCTCTGGAAGTGCGTTGACTCGGAACTATTCGCCTTCCGCTCTTCTACCCATCTTTCCCTTCCTCGTCTTCCGCCCTCAGTCTGTCTGCTCCGTCGCCGTCAGCAGCACGGCCATAGACCCAACGAGTCGTGTTCCGCCCTCCGCCCTGTATAGCACACCGTCACCCTGCGAATATGCGCCCATTGGCCCTTGGATCCTGAATCTTCTCCGCCCTGTGGCCACCGTCCGCGGCTCGCTGCATCCCGTTGTCCGAGAAACATTGTTCAGAAGCCGTGAGCCGCAAGTGCACTTCCTCACTGCGAGTCCAGCGTCGCCAGCACCATGGACCTCCGACCGGGGCTGGATACCCTAGGGTATGACATGTCCCAGTTCATGCCTCAGCACCCTCCCCAGATCTTTGGCGCCTACAACCCGGACGGAACGCCTATCCCTCCGACGTTGCCCCCCGGCTCATACTTTGGAGACCTGAACGATGGCATGGTGGATGAGAATGATCCCAAGCGCCGACGTATTGCGAGGGTGCGCCCCCTCCCCGAGCTAAGGCGGAGAACAGTTGACCTTGTCTGACATTGACTCCAGGCTTGTGACATGTGCAGAAAGAAGAAAATCAAGTGTGATGGGAAGATGCCCAAGTGCGGGCATTGTATCAACTACAAAACAGAATGCATCTTCACGCAGGTGGAAAAGAAACGTAATCCTCCCAAAGGGTGAGTTGTGTCGAGTTTGCAGGGACTTTGTGGCCTGACTGACGCTCCTTCTAGAGCCAAATACATTGAAGGCCTAGAAAACCGACTCGGTCGGATGGAATCGTTGCTACGCATGTCCGGTCTCCTGACTGAAGATGATGCGGGCAAGACCGACCTTGGTACGTTAGAAAAACGTCTGGCTGAGAAAGCGTCTGCCAAAGCCATGGGAGCGAAAGGAACAGAATCTCCCGCCCCCCCAAAGAGCGGCGCGAGTTCTTCGGCCCCCGAGAGTTCGAGTCGACCGGGCTCTACGCATCATTCACACGATACTCCCCGGGAAACCATTGCCACACCGAGTACGGAGAACGGGGAAAGGTCTCGCGAAGAGGTCGAAAACCTCTCCGAAGCCATGTGTTCGCTGGTGACCAACAATGTGGGCGAGACACGATACGTTGGTGAGTTGCACGTCGTCTCCTACTTCTTCCACGCTGACACCGATCAGGTTCTTCTTCGGCGTTTTCCATCTTCTCCAACAAAGGTATCGAATGGGTCAACGAAAAGACCGGAGATACCTCGTTCCAAGAGACTATACAGAATGCTGTCAACGAAGAGGACAACAAGTGGATGTATTGGAAACCCGAAGTCTTTGGGGACATCTTTGTCCGCCGTGTCTTCAAACCCCTGCCACCCAAGGAGGAGGCCCTCTCATTATTCAAGGACTTCTTCGAGAACTTTAATTGCATGTTCCCCCTCTTCCACGAGCCCACCTTTATGCATCTCGTGGAGAAACAATACTCCAAAGAACCGTATGAAGGAAGTGGCTGGTGGGCAAGTATCAACGTCGCACTGGCCATTGCCTATCGCATCCGCGTCATGAGCAACGTTGTTCCCCAAGAGGACGACCAGAAAGCCTGGCTGTACCTGAAGAATGCCATGGGAGTCATTACCGAGCTGACGATGCGGAATACCGACCTCCTCAGTGTACAAGCCCTCCTTGGCATGGCGCTTTTTCTGCAAGGGACACCCAACCCTCAACCATCCTTCTTTCTTATCTCGGCGGCAATCCGATGCTCTCACACCATAGGATTGCACAAACGTGGATCGCACTTTAATTTAAATCCAATCGAGGCAGAGCAACGGAAGCGAGTTTTCTGGATCGCATATCTTCTCGACAAAGACTCGTGTTTGCGAGCAGGCCGGCCTCCGGCGCAAGACGACGACGATATGAATGTTGACTTGCCATCCGAAGATCCTCCCGACAATATTGGAAATGTCCCACTAGCCGATGGGAAAGGCAAGGTCAATCTCTTCCGCCTCATGTGCGAGTTCGCCATCATATCTAGCAAAGTCTACCGACAGTTGTACTCCGTACAAGCATCGAAGCAAAGCGACGGTGAACTTCTCAACACAATCGGAGAGCTCGACCGGGCATTGGAAGCTTGGAAAGACAGCATTCCACTGGACTTCCGTCCCGAGCATGAAATAAAGACAGCCCACACTCCCCTCATCCTGCACATTGTCGTCCTCCACTTTTCTTATTACAATTGCCTAACCACGATACACCGAATGTCGGTCCATCATGGGTATTGGACGAGCCGGTTGTCAGAGTACGCCATCCAAGGTCTCAACGCCAGACCACTGAACCCCAGAGTGTTTTCGTCGGCCGCACTTTGTGTTTCAGCAGCCCGTGCCTCGATCCATCTCATCAAATACATTCCTCAGGGTGACTTTGCCTGTGTCTGGTTGGTTCTATACTTTCCGGTATCAGCGCTCGTGACACTCTTTGCCAATATTTTGCAAAACCCACAAGATACCCGTGCCAGAGCTGACATCAAGCTCATGGACCTTGTAGTGAACTTTCTGTCGAACGTCGCACATGATGAGGGTACAGGTTCTCTGAATCGCATGCTCACCGTCTGCTCAGAGTTTGCTCGCATTGCACGAGTTGCAATCGAGAAAGCTGAGAAGGAAGGCTCGAAACGCAAACGACGACTCGTGCCTGAGGAAGTCTTGCGGGTTAATCAATCGGCCATGGCCCAAGTTCAGGCTCAGATCAATGGACGGCAGTCTACCTCGAGAAGATCTAGTGGGGCGGGTGGTTCTCCTAGCAATGCTCCCAATGTGCCCAAAACACATTCTCCGACCGTGGCCAACGCCAATACCAGCACGAGGACCAACCCACAACCTTTTTTCAACGTACCCGGTTTCGATGGGAACGAGTACGCCGACATGCTCAGTCAGAATGGTATGAGTCCGGACGTGGGACAAATGCCCAGCGCCACCATGTCTCCTCTCAACGCCGGTTCCTTCCAACAACCTTTCGTACCTCAAGATTTGTGGCAAATGCCGATGACCTTTGAGTGGGATTGGGCCGAATTTGGGCAATCCGGCGGCGGCGGCTACAACGATTTCATATTCAGCGATGGCATGAATGACGGGACAATGCCTCAATAGTGGGGTATGCTTGATGTTGTGGTGTGTCGAGTTTGCTTCCGAAGCATCCATGGTTATCATTCTTTGTTTGTATTTGGGACGCTCTTTATCTTGGTCATTGGAGGATGGACGGTTCTTTGTTTTGTGTGAATCAGCGATCATTCGGGCAACGGCAAGCGATGGCGCCATTTGAGCAGCATCAGCGGCAACAGATGAGATGTAACGTACTTGCATCAGCAACGACTATTGTACCAGTATCATGATACCCATGTTTTAGATTCTTGTCTACCCCTGTCTGTTGGATACGGTTTGTTCGTCTTCTTTTTACGCGATTCCGCTTCCGGTTCAACTTTTTGCAGAGAGCTTGGAATGGATGGATGGATGGATCGATCCGGCAGCATTTTCGAATCATTTCCCTCAAGACACCTGCTCGGGGTGAACCGAGGGACCCCAGAGCACCTTTTTTTTTCTCTTTCGGATTTATCTCTTCCGACCAACATACTTGCTTGGGATGAATCGATGCATCCCCGGCACCTCTTTTTTGAATCATACGTGGCCAAAACCTACGACGTTATGTCCAGGCTGGACCTCTGTCCCCATTGACAGAATCCCACGTTCGTGTGTTTAGGTCGGTGGTTTGGGATGTTTGCATTTGCACCTGATGACTGATTGATTGCCTGCCGTTCACTTCACTTCACTTCGTGGTTCTTTCTTTGGGCTGGGGGGGGGGCTTCGTTTCTGCCCCTGAGCTGTCTTTCCCACTCACTCACTCACTCACTCACTCACTCACTCACCGACACTCTCTCACACTGCTTTCACAGATGTTTGGGAAAACACTCGACTCGAGCCGAGTGCAGTTACTCCACGGTCCTAAAACTAATTGTCTGCGCCCCCCCCATTATCCTGCCTGCTCATTGATTGATTCACGGTTGGACTGCCCATTCATTGTTTGTCGCTCCCCGAACAATGCCGACTGTTGACAATGAATACTCTTTGGGATACTTGCTACCTTGTCGAGCAGTAACTCCACCTGGGCTGGTGAATAAACCATCTTTGTGGTCAGCACCACAATAATGCCAGTACCGTCAGGCTCGAAGGTAGGGAGGTAGGTAGGTAGGGAAAGATACGCAATCAAATCAATTGAATGCCTCTCTTTGTTTCGCCGGCTCCCTACATACAGATTCAGACCACGCGGAGACCTGTCCTGCCTTTCTCTTTCTCTCTTGGTTTCCACTCCTACTTTCATCCTCCAATCCTACACGTTTTTTCGTCCCTGATCCAGTCAGCATTCCTTGCTTCGGCTCGATATCTCAAAAACCCCAGGTCTCGAAGAAAAGGGATCGACACCAACAACAACAGTCGAGACCTCGCAAAACTGCCGGACAGTTTGAATTGTCAACATCAGTCACGACTGGCCCCAAAGGAACAAAGCTACAACGCAACGTGTTATCGCCTTTTCATCAAACTTCGAATTCATCTTTCCCTCTTCAGCAGGAAGGGAAAAAATGGCAAACGCCCTCCTCTTCCTCTCGGTCATCTGGCTGAGATTGCAGACGTGGTGGTCTACCCCTGGAGTGCCGTCCCTCGCGGCGATCAGTATCCCACTGGACTCTCTCGGCCTGTCTCACGACGCCGTCTTCGAATCTGGACAATGGCTGAACGACTTTCTCGCCTTCCTCAACGTCCCTAGACCTGGATTGATCTCTGCCCTGTCGAATGACGAAGGTGTCGCGTTGAGCATCCACATGCCCCTGAGTACCGAACTTCTCGCGCCTCTCTGCCTGTCGTCGAACACCAGTAACATCAACACTACACCGCGTTTAAATTTCCAACGACCGCCTCTACCACCATCGTCCACTCCAACTGACGCGTCGAGGACCATTCATGTCGACGAACACGCTGCTCCTTCCGAGACGGCTGCCGGCGGTACCTTCGAGACTGGTTGTGATGCAAATGAGGCTGACGCTGGTTCTGATTCTGGTGATGCTTCCACCGCGGACGACAAGGACAAATGGTCTCGCCTCCCCAAATCACAGTGGCTCGCCTGGTTCTTGTCTGGACAGGCCCAGATACCTGTTGGAGCAAGTTGGTCGTACGACATCGGTCCGCTCACTTTTAAGATCCCCCAGACTCTCCTGCAGATCATTGGACTATTGGTCACCGTCAGCATCATCGTCTGGCGTGTGTGTATTCACGTCTCCATGTCCGAACTGTCCGAACTAGACATCAGCTGCACGCGTGCCTTTTCCTCGGTTGAGGTTTCGTCACCCTTCAACGCCATTGACGACTTTTTCATCTCCAGCTTGGTCGCGGATACAACTGCCAAAGAAGAAGCGGTTGCCCCTGTTACATCGGACGAAGTTTCCAACGCAGGTATTCTCGTCGGCTTCCGCTTCGTCGTTGTTGTTTTGAGGGCACGAATCGCCAACCTGGCCTCGAATGTTCAAGGTTTAGCACAGCAAAACGCCTCCTTTTTAGACGAAATCGCAACATTGGAGCAATGGAATGCGGCTCTCAAGAACACAAATGAAGCGCAAACTTCTCAGCTGGACGCACTCCGCAAAGAACGCGATGACGCCCGGGGAGCTATGAAGGAGCTTGAGAGCGAGGAGCAGGACTACCAGGACCAGATGCAGGGCATCCTTGAGCACAATGTCAGCTTAGGCAACCAAGTCGAGCGACTCGGTCAAGACAAGGGCGCCCTGCAAGCCACGATCGCGACGCTCACACAGGAAAATGAAAGACTCCGTGCTGAGGCTCGTCGTTGTCGCGGCCGAGGACAAGGTCACACTGCGACAATCAAGCGATCCTCGACTTTGCCTGCCACGGCTCCCTCGGAGGCAACCTCCTCGTCTGCTCCCGCTGCTCCCGCGCTCATCTCGTTGGGTGGTTCTCCCGTTCCTTCTGCTTCGTCGATGCGTGGGTCTTCAAACTATCCTCGTGCTGGCGGCACGGTCTTGTACGGACCACCCCGACTTAACAGTGAGGGGATCCCTACAAGACCGATGACGCCGCAAGAGCGGGAGGATCGGCGTGCAGCGGCGGCAGCTGCCCGTCCAGATGTGCCTAGGGGTTCCGTTGGTGACAGCGACGTTGTCGTGGCGGGTGCGCCAGAAGAGATCGTCGCGCCCATGGCCGACGATGAGGTGCAAGGGAGTGCTGGCCAAGAGAACCAAGCTGCTACTGTTGCTGATGGAGGTGGTGAAGGCCGGGGGCTGGAAGATAGTCGTTGGGCCAAGGTGGATGGTGGGCCCGTGGGCGACAAGGGCAAGGGGAAGGCCGAGGAGGGCGAGGACGAGGTGACGGATGGCCGTCGTCGGAGTGAGGGTGGGGAGAAGGGAAGAGAGGAGATGAAGAGGAGCAAGTGGGCTTCATGAGTGTGGTTTGTACAGCAAGTGCAAAAGGGGTCGGGACGGAAGTTGAGGTTGAGGTCGGGGAGACTAGGTGTGTGGCATATCGGCCAGTGGCAGGACGAATGGGAATGGGGAATAAAGGCAAATGAGTAGGTATATATGATACTGGACGATGAAACTTTGCAGTTCAAGGAACACGTCGCCAAACACCTCGCTGGTATCGAGGCGGTGAAATGTCAACATTTTAAAGCCCAACACTCTCGGCGAAATCCTTGCACGTCGTACAGAATCCCCACGTCCTGGCGCAGTTGAACTCGATACTCTCCTGGCTGCTGTCCGGGGAGGTTGTCCCGGCCCCGTCAGAGAGAAGAATCACGTCGTATCCTCTTGAAAATGCCTGAAGAAAGAAAATGGTATGGCAGGTCAGACAGATGTCGATTTGAACAGCGGGAGGGAGGGGCTGGGGTGGGGGGGGACGGAGAGGGGAGAGAAGCCGGTCGGCAGATAGATAGTAATCGAGTAGACTCACATCCTGCAAGCTCCCGCCTACGCATTGGTCCGTGTTGACCCCGGCGAAAAGAAGAGTGGTTATGCCTTCCTTCTCGAGGAAATCGGTGCACATGGTCCTCGGGCCCCAGAGGCCGGACATGCGGTTCTTGTGAATCCAGACATCGGGGGGACTGGCCGTCAGGCCTTGTTCGTATGATGCACGCAATTCGGACGTAAGGTCAGCGTTCCCTGTTGTTATTGTTTCGTCAATATTGATTAGATCGAAGCCATCGGGATGGACGAGGCGGGTATGTAAATGGGTAATGCGAAGAGACAGAGACGGGGGGTGCAATGTTTTTTCTCACATGTATCTCTCATCAATAATCGACCTCCGTCGACTGTCGTTTTGCCTTGCAATGTCACGGGACCGATGTCGGTACCTAGGCCTTTGTAGAGGCGAGGGTTCTTCCCCGACGACGTTTCGATCTGTGCGTCGGGAAAGGAGTCGCAGCCCTGGTTGACGCCGTGGGAGTCGATGGCGGCGCGTTTCTGGTTGGCGGACGCGGTGGCGTACGATTCAAAATCGGGCGCGAGAACGGTCTCGAACCCAAAGGCGCGCAACGTCGACGGGGGCATGGCTTTGATCTCGGCGTCGGTGAGGCCCCAGTTCAGCCAGATAATGCGGATGCCGGCCTTGCGGGCCGCGGGGATGGCGTAGGTGAGGAGCTGGTGCTGCGCGAAGAGGCCCTTCGAATCCTCGGGCCGTCCGAGAGACGGCGACAGGAAGAAATTCTGCATGTCGACGATCACGAGGGCCGTCTTGGACGACGCGACGGTGACGGGCAGAGTGTTGGTCTTGAGCGTGTGGTTCGGCGTCGGGCAGGGCGAGGTCGGTGTCGCTGGATGTGTCAGATCGAAACCCTTGGTCGAGTCGTAGAGCCAGAAAGATCCCTCGGGGTCCCCTATGACGCCGCGGCGATGGGATGGGTCGGTGTTGTTCATCGTGTCTTTTGACTTGGGTGGACGAGGCTGAAGATCGTCAGGGGGAGATAAGACGGATGCGGGGTAGGACCAGCCGCAAAGTCGGCGATCGACGATAGAATCCCAAGGCGAATCCGCGATGAAAATTTAAACTTGGAGCGAGAATAATTAGAAGGGGAGGGAAGGGAATGAGAGCAAAACAGAAAACAGATCAGTGTAACTCACTCACGCTTGTTGTCCGGTTGAAGGCCAGCACGTAGACTTAAAAAGTGTCGTTGCTGATGTCCGCGCTGGGGTGAGTCTAACTAGTGCGAGAGCGAAACTCCGACAGGCCTTCGAGATAAGCGTTGTCTCAAAGTGGAAGGTTGTGAACTTTTGATGTCGATTCGTTACCTGTCGGTAAGGATCTTTCTTGCGCAAAGACCGCTTGGAATGACATGGGAGAAGAAAAGACAGATTATCAAAGAAAGATGCTCGCGGTGCCATTGAGGAAGAGCGCAACTAACTAGGACGTACTCATCCGCATCGATCAACGACTAGGCTGGGCGTATGTGCCCATCACTTCAATCATCCAAGTGGAATTTGAGCCAATCCACGGCTTGTGAAAAGGCGGACTCGATGGCAAATCGCTGCTTCTTGTCCTTCATGTCGCCTCTTACAGCGAAGCCGTGGCTGACGCCGCCGTACAAGGCTATCTGCCAGGGAACACCAGCTTGCTTCAAAATGGTTTCACTCTGATGTCTGCCCGCCACGGTAAAGATATCGTCGTTCTCCGCCGCCGAGATAGAGAATGGCTTTGTGATGGCTGCCAATTCTTCCGCGTCGACAAACGAAGGGTGGGCACTATAGCCGACATCGAATGAACCCTCCTTCAAAAAGCGAACAACATATTTGGCGCCAAAGCAATATCCGACCGCGCCAAGTCTCTGTGCGTGCACTCAGCTTCAGCCTCCTAGAGTCTTGCGAAATGGTGCTTGGTGTTTCAATGGAACAAGCGTACCTTGATGCCAAATTCCGTCTTCATCTTCTTGATGCATCCTTCAATGATGGGATCAATACTTGCAGGGTCATGAGCGAGCTTTCTGTCCGAATAATGGCCTAGCTGCCACTTGGAGAGGTCGATGTTGTAAAAGTTGCTCGCCTCGATGGCATCTCCGTAGAAGAGATCAGGTATGACGACGTGGTAACTAGGTTGACCAGGTCAGCCATATTGACCAAGATCCCAGGCAACGTCAACCTACCCTCGAGCAGCGAACTGGTCCGCAAGAAGTTGTGCATTGGTTGACGAATGGCCAATGACATCGGGAATGCTGGAATGGACATGGTGCATTAGCATCGATTCTGGTGCATGACCATCCCATGGTTTTGTCTCACAAGAGAATCCCATGCTTTTCGCCGTCGACGGTGGGCTCGGCAATATAAGCGTCAACTGGACCAAACTGAGTGTTGACGAAACTTGGCTCGATGTGACCGATGGGCGTGCCGTCATACTTGAAGCCCTGGACGCAACAGGCTTGTATCGGACCTGAAGCCATGTCGCTGTTGGTGAGTAGTAGGAAGGTTTCAAGGACAAGGTTGGAGACAGGGGAAGTAGGCTGAACGGTGCCTGTTCTTTTCAGAGCTCCGGACCTTTATATAGTGCCCTTCAACGACACTTTGCGCCTGCTGACTCACTTGATTTGGAATCATTGTTTCGTTCATTTCCATAGCAATGGATGAGCCTCGCTAACGCAGGGACATGTTGTCGTAGAAGTTTAAAACAACTAGAGAGCCATCTCGTTGGAGGAACGTTGACATGAAGTCCTTATCTGAATAGGAGTCTTAGCTGAGCAAAGGTCCACACCAGGTAACTCAAAAGGGCTAGTAGATTGAGACCATTGTGGAAGATAGATTTGTCCCCGCTACTTTTGGCGGTATCGGTAGACAGGTACCAAAATGCATGCACCGTCAAAATACAGCAACCAAAACAAAGTCAAACTGTCCCAGTGGTGGTGGAAAGTATACCCAGGCATGCGCGCATCCTGACTGCAGTCACAGTTACGGCAAGACTTGACACTGAGTGGGAACGACCTCGTCAAATGAGATGGCGACGCCAGCAGGCTCTAGTGCTGGAACCTTAGGATGTTGCCAACCAGAGAACATTCTTTGAAAGGGATCTGTGATACGGATAGTGGAAACACTCGGCGTACAACTGCACCACCTTACAGCTCTTGATAGCTTTCAAGGGTGTTAGTAGTCTATATTCAGGTTGGGTATGTGATTGACCGCATTTTCCCAGCCTTGGCAATTTCATGCAATGTCTCATTGTGTATCACATTGTTTCTCGGGGCAGAAATCATCATTGTGGCTTATAACCATGAACACAATATGGCGAAAAAAGAATGGTCAACTTACGAACGACGATACTGCATTGATTCTGACGCGAGAACGTTTACAAAGACAGAGATTCATCACAATACGAACGTCCGTGGCGAGCTAACAACTCCCTGGAAGTCAACCGAAAGAATTGTGAACGAGTACTACGCACTACAGCTCGTCAAGAAGAAAACAACAATCCCTGTGCCTCAGCCTTTACTTCTGAAGAAGGAACTCACTAGTTGGTCGATAACTACGGAATATGTCGCCGGCACTGCTCTAGATGAGCTTCCAGGGAATATCCGTGCAACAGCAGTCCCAAATGCTGATCGATACATCAACGACCTCGTCTTGCCACAGCTGGCGACTCTCAAGTCCAGGTGTAGCGGAGCTCTGACTGGAGATGTGATACCTCCTCGCCGCGTGATCGAGAAGTACCCTGAGAAGAAATGGACGCCTACAAGAACGCAAACTCAATCAATATTCTCTGCGACCCGTTGACCGGCAATTTTGTCTGTATAATCGACTGGGAGTATGCAGGATACTACCACCAATTCTTCGAAGGTCGACTATGGCTGAAGCCATTTAATGAAACGGAGCATGATGACAGCGAGATTGCTCTTCTGGAGCGATCCCTGACTGAGGTGATTGAGACTATTTTGGAGGTTTGACGGTGGTTGGGAGTGGAATGGTCTTTGAGTGAGAACATTCGTTTGTTTGCGTTAGCCCTGCGACACAGTCCCTGGCTTTGTGCGAGTGGCCTATTTACAGCTCCCCCTTTCCCGTTGTATACTAGTTTTGCTTTCCAAGTGCCTCATTCTGTCCTTTCCCGAGACGTGCCATGCGATCCGTTGGACAAAATTCGGTATCTCACCAAGGATCGGGGCTGGGTAGCCCGTGTGAGCACCGCTCGCACGCACTGTGGCTGCACTAAATGAATCCGGATTCATTTAGCGCAGCCACAGTGCATGACTCCCTACTCGAGATAGGACGGCCCATGGGGGAGAGGCGACGTCAATTTTCTCTCTCGACCAATTGTCTTCGCCTGCTTTTCACCTTACTTGTCCGGCAACAGAATGATCTCCATCACAGTAGAAGATGTGAACGTCCAATCATCTTCTTTTCAAATTGCTCGAGGACAACAAGGATCTCACGATGAACGTGGATTTCCGCCTTCAGCTTCTCTACGGCATCAATATCAGAATTTGGAAACATAGTTGTGTAGACTATGAGCTCCAAGTACAAGGACCTGTCATACTGTTACTCTTTATTCCTCTAGAACCCAGTACGTGTGAGGTCAACCTTCCCGACAAAGCCCCACTCCAACTGCGATCGAGGTACCTTGGGGCTCCATTTCGAGTATCAGGTTCCTTTGGCTTTTCATTGCCGACTTCTTATGGAGTCTTCGTCGTTGGGGTAGACGGAGGACCTCTCCCAGAGGGTTTTCTGTGGGATGTTCCGGCATGATAGGTGAAGCCTCAAAAGAGGTAGACAACGGTAAGAAGTTCTTTCGGAGACGAGATGCTCGAGGAGCAGCGAGAGCAGGCCTGCACGGAGCAGGTATAAGACTATGGTAGTGGAGAGGCTTGCTGAAAGAGCTTGCATTTGCAAATGCATAATGCAATGCGTGTTCCTGCGGCAGCAAGGAGGAGAGCACTCTGCAGCTTCTTTATAGCCGTACAATACTACTCTTGCTGTTGTACAGACCTTCTCTCTCTAGTTCATTCTTGACACACCTTCCCACGATAAGAATGAACGCCTCATTCTACCCTCACCTTATTATTTATATGGTGTTCTACTCGAAAATGTGAGTAACCAGTCTCAATCGGTACTTGAATACTTCCTGATCGAAATGCAGTCTTTCAAGCAACCACATTCAGACTACCATGAAGAGGAATGGTCGATCGACGATCAGACTTCTATGACGGCGTTCCTGAAGAGGCAAGCATCGCTCTCAGAGTCCCGCCTGAAGCCATGAACCAACTTTCTTTGTCTTCGAATGCCGTCAAAGCAAAGAGAAGTCAGAAGGGCCTGAAGTCCCCCGAGAAGGCGGCTCGGAAGGCCGGAGAAGCGGAAAAGAAAGAAGGAACTGCTCAGAACCAAGGTGATTCTCAAGAGAGAAGCAGTAAAATAAGACTACCTCGACAGAGAGTTTCCACTTTGTCCTCAAACGCTTGCGGAGCTGCTTATCATATTCCTCTTTATCTGCTAAAGCTTCCAATTGATGAATGAAGCCGTCGCAATGTCCAGTATTCCATCATAATCCTGTGAAAGTCGTCGCTGTCTTCGTGCCCGTTGGTGAGCATCGGCCGGATGTGATCGTAGAATACAGCCAGAAGTGATTGACTTCTGAAGGTCGGAATATTGCCCATAAATTGTGTCCTGACCTGACGCGTGTTGACGGTTCAATCCAAGACAAGTAGGACAGCTTCACCCAAGCCCGCTTTTGCTGAGACGGGATGGTCTTTCACTAATCCAGGTACATCTACACTACCGTAGGGAGCCATCGGGTACATATGCGGTCCCGTAGACATAGATGGACGAATGTCGACTGAGGTGCCTCAGTAACCCTCAGCCAAATGATCAGGTAATCCAGGTACATATACAGCACCGTAGAGAGTCATTGGGTACATATGCAGTACCGTAGATATAAGGTGCCTCAGTTGTTTTACCCCACACATTCGTCACTGTCCGTGTTTGTGGGTTAAAGAAAAGTGTCACGTTCTGGCCAGCATATTGTGTACTCGGTGCATCTTTAACTGCTCTACTCTCACTTCCTGTCACCGCGTCGATCTGGTTTGTCCTGGACTACATAGCGTTGCTATCTGTTTCCTTTTTGTCTAGCCACACGTCTCTGACTTGCGTCTCTCCTGGGTCCCGTCTTCACCGCTGCAAGCATGGCTCTTCTCCAAGCTAGAGTCAAGAGTGTCCTTTCGGGCGACACCTTGATAATCACCAACCAGAAAGGTGCTGAACGCACCCTTTCTCTAGCATACATTTCTGCTCCTCGTTTGAAGAGAGAAGGGGACGAAGTAAGCTCACCTGCACCCCCAGACCGCACCGCAAGCTAACTATTAACCTTCAGCCTTTTGCCTTTCAATCTCGCGAGTTCATTCGAGAACAGTGCCTCGGCAAGGTGATTCAATTCCAGGTCCTCTACGCCATTCCTACCACGAAAAGAGAGTACGGCCGAGTTAAACTTCCTACCGGGGCTGAGTTGCCCGACCTGATCGTGCAGGAAGGGTGGGCCAAAGTTCGAGAAGATGCAGGCAGAAAGGAGGACGACGAGGAAGCCCTTGCATACTTGGACAAGCTCCGAGCCCTTGAAGGCGAGGCAAAGTCGGAGGGCAAGGGCGTCTGGGGTAAGGGCGGTCACATTGAGACGTCCTCAGAGGTCGCCGACCCTAATGCTCTCGTCGAGCAGTACAAGGGCAAGAAGATTGATGCCATTATTGAGCGTGTCCTCACTGGAGATCGCTTGATTGCACGGATCATGCTCACTCCCACCAAGCACGTTCAGACCATGCTGGTCATGGCGGGGATAAGAGCTCCAGCCACCAAACGAACCTCCCCCGAAGGCAAAGACATCCCTGCAGAGCCGTACGGCACTGAAGCGCATACTTTTGTGGAGGAACGGTTACATCAACGGAAGTGTGCAGTTGAATTGCTCGGGGTGACACCACAGAACCAACTCATAGCAAACGTACTACACCCCAAAGGCAATATTGCGAAGTTCCTGCTTGAAGCTGGTTTGGCTCGATCGAATGACCAACATGTCACGCTGCTTGGGAACGAGATGTCACAATTCAGACAGGCTGAAAACGCCGCCAAGACTGCCAGAAAGGGTGTCTTTACTGGTGTCTCCTCCAAAGCTGCTGGTGTACAGGAGGCTGATTTTACCGTCTCGCGAGTCCTCAATGCCGAGACCGTCTTCATTAGAACCCGATCTGGCGAAGAGCGGAAAGTGACCCTTTCGAGCATACGCCAACCCAAGCCTTCCGATCCGAAGCAAGCTCCATTTGGCGCCGATGCAAAGGAATTCCTGAGAAAGCGTCTAATCGGCAAACACGTCAGAGTCAGCATCGACGGTAAGAGGCCTGCTTCCGAGGGGTTTGAGGAGCGTGAAGTAGCTACAGTTACCCTCAACGGGAAAAACATTGCCTTGGCTATGGTCGAAGCTGGATATGCTTCCGTCATCAGACATCGCCGCGACGACGACGACCGTTCCCCAGATTACGATGCGCTTCTCCTTGCAGAGGAAACTGCCCAAAAGGAAGAAAAGGGCATGTGGTCACCCAAAGCACCCGCAGCCAAGAAATACCAGGATTACTCCGAAAGTCTACAAAAGGCCAAGATGGAGGCCTCAGTCCTGCAAAGACAAAAGAAAGTTCCTGCCGTGGTCGATTTTGTGCGAGCTGGCTCAAGATTCGTCGTCCTTGTTCCGCGTGAAAACGCCAAGTTGACGTTTGTCCTGTCTGGAATCCGCACACCGAAACCTGCAAGACAACCAGGTGACGCTTCTGAACCATTCGGACAAGAGGCTCTGGATTTCGCCAGCAGGAGATGCATGCAGCGAGATGTTGAGATCGACGTTGAAACCACAGACAAAGTTGGCGGCTTCATCGGCACCATGTACGTCGGACGAGAAAACTTTGCCAAAGCCTTGGTCGAGGAAGGTCTAGCATCAGTGCACGCCTACTCTGCCGAACAAAGTGGACATGCCAATGAGCTCTTCGCGGCCGAAAAGAAAGCCAAAGAGGCACGAAAGGGTATGTGGCACGACTGGGACCCCAGCCAGGAGCAGGAAGAGGAAGAAGCAGCGCCTCTTCCCACGAACGGCACCAACGGAACCAATGGAGAATCGGTCGAGAGGAGAAAGGATTACCGGGATGTGATGGTGACACATGTCGACGAGGCCGGAAAACTCAAGATCCAACAGATCGGCTCTGGCACGAGCGGTCTGACCGAGCTCATGAACGCCTTCAAGTCGTTCCACCTCAACAAAGCGAACGATACCCCTCTGCCGGGCCCTCCCAAAGTTGGCGACCTGGTTGCAGCCAAATTCACGCTAGACAACGAATGGTACCGGGCTAAAGTGCGCAGAGTTGATCGCGAAGGCAAGAAGGTCGACGTGACGTATCTCGACTATGGCAATTCAGAAACAGTCCCGTGGAGTCGCCTGCGCCCATTGACGCAGCCGCAGTTCTCGACGCAGAAGCTGAAGCCGCAGGCCACGGACGCGGTGCTCTCGTTCCTGCAGCTTCCCACCTCTCCGCAATACCTCCGGGACACGGTCGACTTCATCATGGAACAGACCGATGGTCGCGAGCTGGTCGCGAACGTGGACTACGTCGCACCGGAGGGCACGCTGTATCTTACTTTGTTGGACCCCAAGATCTCGTCAAAGATCGACGAAAGCATCAACGCCGAAGTGGTCCGAGAGGGATTGGCCATGATCCCGACGAAACTAAAGGCCTGGGAACGACAGTCGGCGGACACATTGACGCAGCTACGAACCCTGCAGGATCAAGCCAAGGAAGCCCGCAGGGGCATGTGGGAGTATGGTGATTTGACCGAAGATTAGTTTAAAACGGAATCCTTGGGTCGGGGTCGGGGCCACCGGTTATCCCTTGTTTGGACAACTTACATTCCACACCGACAACCGACAACTAACGTGAGACGAATGAGGCTCATATTCCATTGTGACCTAATTCACTCAGTATGGGATGACCATGCCAGCTGGCGAAGGGGACAGATGAAACCGACAGAAAAACAGTCAGCAACAAGGATTAATCTTTGGACAGACAGTCTACGACCGAAAAAGGAGCATCGCTGAATGGACAGTCTACGACCAAAAAGACAGAGAGCATTTAACGACACGCAAAAAAGAATGAAACAAAAGGCATCTACATGTTTGGGCGTCGACCGAAAAAGAAAAAAGCGGCAAAACTCAACGAACCTTTTCCCAAGGCTCCGTGTTTGTTTGCAGATCAGCATAGCGTACGAGTACCTACCTACCAGATTGACGACGCTTGAAGTACAGTAAAAGTACAGTACATATCAATCTCAATCGTTATGACCTATCTTCCCTACTGGTACAGTAACTTTGGCATAGGGCTTGCTTTGCATTTCGTTGTTTGTCTTGGATCCTCGTGACCTCTACCTGTCTAACTAGCAGACGTAGAAGTTTCTCGCCCTGGAGACTTTTGCACTTCTTCGTTTCTGGTCTTGGTTGGTTTGGTCACGCATGTGGTTTCTACTTCACAAACTTCTCTCAGCTCTCTCATCTCAGCTCTGGTGCTATTCTTCGACGGCGGCGTTCTATTAGTGGTGGTGGCGGTGGTGACGGTGGTGACGGTGGTGGTGACTGACAAAGCTTGCTTTAGCATATTTCACAGACCCCCTGGACTCCTCCCTTCGTTCATGTCCACGGGTGCCCAAGCTGTCAGTGATCCCTTGGACTGCCTAGCGTATCGGGTCCTACAAAGTGCGGACAGACAAGATGAACAGGTGGCCGGCCCCAGCGTTCAACGTCGTACTTGATTCAGTGATCCGGTGACGACTCCAAGTTAGGTTCTATCGGCCGGCCGGCACTGATCCTACCACAGTGGTTCCTACCTAGATAGATCGCGAGGGGCCTCGTTTTTTTTTTTGGAGATCCCCGGGCCAGAGAACCATCCGTATCCTCCTGCTCGGTCTGTCCGCGGGTTCGATGGCTTGCCCATGTAACCGTAACTCTGTGTCACTCACTCACTCACTTACCTGAAATAGTTGTTCAACGGGTCTGGATCAATGAATGTCAACATGATGACAAGCTTGGAAGTTCTTTGTCCAACATCCGTATCCCTGGGGCCTATAGAGCTGCTCCAGTATCCACTGACAGAGAAACTCGGAACGGCGAATCCAGTTGGCGTAGTGTACTAGTCAGTCGGGTGCCCCCGTGCTTCTACTACAAGTGGGCAAAAGACACCCAGAGACTGAATCGAGTTACACACACCCACGTACGATGAAACGCCACAAAGGCATTCTTTTGCTGGTGGTCAATGCATGCCGAAAATAGCCGACGACCCGAACCCCAGGGCGCCGGAGACGTTGCAAACGGTACCAATGGATATCCACCCACCCACACAGGCACACGCCACCCAGTCTCACTTCGGGTGGTCGGTCTTCACTTGGACACTGACAGGCCGTGATACCTGCGTGCTGGACGCCCTGGGACCGAGAAAGACCACCCATAAACGCCGACAGCGCAGTTCTGAAGCCAGAAACAGAAGTACGATCGCCCATGTCACAAGGTTATGTTTGGCCAAATATTTCAGCCACGCAATATTTGGGGCTCACCTACTTGTAATATGCGGTTGGTCATACTTGGCTGGTGAAACCGTGAGCCCCATGGGAGACAGAAAATGGTGATCGACGCCATCTCCGTACTAACAAGAGTGGCGTCCGCCGCCGCTGCACCTGATATCCCTGGTCTCCAAGCACGCAGGTGAGCGCTCGGTATTCGTACAGCGTCGACGGGGTTATACAAGACTCTTTAGAGAATCTCCCTATTTTCACATCCGGTCAGCAGCTGGCTTCAACGAAGCGGTTCCCATCAGTTGAGACCGAAGTTCCGTCGTCTGATTCTTTAGGCACCACACGACCTCATGCAAAGAAATGAGGCGCCTTCGTGACACACACCACACATCGGCAGAAGCTCAATGTCATTCAAGAAGTGGAACAACGTGGCCAAGGTTCATTGCACCATGTATTGTCTCATCGCCCTTTGCCCTCAGTGGTATGTCCGCGGCATGCCAAGTCTTAGGCCACAGATGAAGTTCGGATTCGGCACAAGCATGAGCATAGCAGTAGAGCCCGGGCTGGATGGAAATGGAATGGGACTGAGACTGAGACTGGACGGGAGGAAGAGGATCAAAGTGGTGGGTGGCGTATATATATTCTCGCATGTGTCTGGAGACTCCCAACTCCCTGAAGTTGTGCTGTGTCTGTCGCCTGGACGAGGCTTCTTTCGAGCCTGAGGTTGACTCGTCGAACTTCTTCAAGCATCGTTCCGCTTAACACGTACCTTATTCACCGCTCTCGATAAAATAGACCATGGCTCGAGCTCTCCCGCCCACACCTAAGCCGCAGACCCCCATGGACTTCCCTGGACCACTTCAAGTTATCGCGGCAGGTCTCCCACGTTGCGCGACAAGCACGCTCAAAGAAGTTTTCGAGGATCACTTGTCCATTGGACCGACCATGCACATGAATAGGTGTCCTCCACAGCCGGCAACGATGAAACTTGTGCACGATGCTCTGCGCGAGCAAGACACAACGAAACGCCGCACCATACTGTACAAGCTATTCCAAGGATGTGCTGCGACCGCGGATTTTCCCGGTCACCTGTTCATCGAAGATCTGGTCGAGATGTACCCGGACGCCAAGGTGATCTTGAACGTGCGCAAGGGAGGCGCCACGGACTGGGGGTCGAGTATGAAGACGACCATCGCACCGTTCATGAGCTGGTCGTATCGTGTGGCGTGCTACTGGAGCGTACCGGACTGGTGGCATTATCAGACAGAGAGGGCATGGGAGGAAGACGTCCGAGAGCGCTTTGGTGTGGGACATTTCTGGGATAGCGCTGTTTATGATATGCACAATGAGTGGGTGAAGAGAATATGCCGTGAACACGGGAGAGAAGTGCTACTCTGGGAGCCGGGTATGGGATGGGAAGAGCTTTGCGGGTTCCTGGATAGAGAAGTACCGGTCGTGCCATTGCCGAGAAACAATGATAGAAAGAAGATGGAAGATGTCGTGAAGTGGAGGATCGCGCTCGGTTGGAAGCTATGGGCGAGGAAGGCTGCTATCACCGTTCTGGCAACTGTGTTTGGAAGCTGGGGATTGAAAAGAATATCGGGGCTTGTTTGATGGAAGAAGGTGTAGACCCGCACAGGGGTGATCGGATACCTGCATGAGCAAATCATGGACTCTGCTGAACCATCAATCCCGGTAGAAGAGCAGTGGCATACATCTGTGTGAATGTCAGAAACATCAGAAGAGACAAGAAATCGCCCAATGTGAGAACATACTACCGCAGTGATAGGCATAAGCTCAGTCAGGCGCTGTGATGTATCTGCGTCTGGAACGGGCACGAGTCCGAAGGCTTCCCAAGCCTGACAGATCCGGTCCGGCAACGTTCTCAGCTTAGACTCTGCACTGAATTTGTGGACTTTTGGGTCCTTCAGCTTATTGAGCAAGGGAAGTGCGGTGTGAACACCCAAAGCAGTGCCAAATTCACGAAAAGCAAGTCGAGATTTGAGAGGGTGATCAAAATAGCCAGCGTCGACGATCTCTGCCAGATTCTTCAGAGTTCGATACTGCAGCTGGGATGCCCAATCTTTGTCTGGGGGCCAAGCCGGCTCAGGAACTAGCCAGTGTGCTGTCCACAGTGTCACTCCGATATCGAGAGTATCGTGTGTTGAATAGTGCGGAGCTTTCTGGTCGACTATCTTCTTCAATGCAGAGATTTCCCCGTCAAGTACATGATGATCATCGCTGAGGCGCTGAAGGAGACTGTATGTAACGTAGCCGTCAATAGGGTCAAGGTTGCCTTCAGAATTAACAAGACGATACGACAGGTCCATGCTGACTTTCCAGAACATCCTTGGACGCTCTGCAGATGTGTTGGTCATGAAATGAGGGAGCACTGCTTTTGCCATGGATACTGCTTGGTCATTGTACCATTTGTTGCCTGTAACCAGTGTCATTCGATTGAGGGCAAACATCCACACGGTTAGGTAATGGAAGTACTGGCCGTCACCATCAGGGCCGCTCTCGTCGTGCTTGCCAATCCGAAGACCACCTCCCAAAGGATTGTCATCGGTGGCCCCAGGAAGTCTCTTAGTTCCATCCCGGGTATAGCCTAGAATATTGTGGACCGCCGTTACAAGATTCGTGGCTAATGTGAGATAGCGTTGCTCGCCTGTGGTTTTGTGCAAAGTCAGAAAATTGACAACAGCGAAGCCGTCGGTCCAGAGATATCGCCCTCGATGCCCTTCTGCAGCAGGTGGTGGTTCCCACCGAGTCAAGTTTGGATCGTTGGGTCCGGGGAAGGGGCCATAAATGGAGTCCATTGCCTGTATGAATTTAGTTAGTTTTATCGTGTCGGAGCTTGCCATGGTATGTCGAGAACTGATATAGCAGAGGCCGAGGAGAGCGAAAAGGTAATCCACCACGCAGACAAAGGTGGAGAGTCGAGATATCGAGGCTATGTATGGTTGATAAAGTCCCGCTCGATGTGAATGACTACAGTCGGGTACCATCAGGCTCATGAATCGCGCTATGGTCAGCGGAGCGAATGAAGTAAGTGACCTCAAGCTGTGAATTCAACAGACGGTCTTATATATACGAACCAGACCATCTGATGTCAATTGGATGCAGGGATGCGCAGGGGGTTGATTCCATTGGTCGAGAAACTCAGCCTGTCATCGAAGAGGTTTGAACGTTATTAAACCTACATACGTGAAACAATATTGAGCCGAGGTGTGCGTCTAAGACTCAGCCTGTGATACGGCCGCTGCTGGCCACAGATAGCTCGCTGCACCCGTCATCTTCCACGACTACTCGTACCTTACTCAGAACATCACACATCAAGGATCATTGGTCCAGAGTGAGGGCATGACGAGCACGGGTACCCCCTTCACCAAGGAATGTTCGAGTACTATGCAATATTGATGTCGCAAGAAAGTGATCGGAAATTGGAGAGCCTGAGAGTTGTCCCCAAGGAAGGAGTAACGGTGGTGTGTGTTGTCTGAGATCTGGGATATTCGTCGATACATTTTGTCTCAATCGTGGCCGTATGGCACCTATTGTGAAGCACAGTAGTCGGTACCCGGTACATCCTGACCACGAAGGATAAGGAAATTTAAATCCGGGACTCGGAAGGACTAAAGTCCGAGGCCTTGGCAGCCCCTCGTCGAGCCCCTCATTTGGTGCAGTCGGGAAAATGCGTGCTCGACGTCAACGGTACAAGCTCTAGTACTGTTACAAGGCCCAAGTTCCGTACTTCGGCGCAGTTCCATTGATTACGCCTTTTCTGATCAGTCTCCCTACTTCTTCCAGTAGATCTTCTCTCCCTCTTCCTCTTCTTCCTCTTTCTCCATCCATCCATCCATCACCATTCACCACTTACACATCTCGAATCTCAAAAACCCCCAAACAAAACCGTCAAAATGGTCAAAGCAGGTAAGCAAGCAAGCAAGCATCACCCCGCTTCCTACTGCGCACCTTGCTACTCGCAGGCTGTCTCTTAGGGCATGGAGCTCAGGAGCCTCCCATGCTGCACCCCCGTGTGTTTTGTCAGCACCCTCGTGTCTTTCCAGGCCCTCAAGAGACTAACGTGACCCGTGTCTTTCTCTATGTCTACAGTTGCCGTCCTCCGCGGAGACTCGAAGATCACTGGCACAGTGACTTTCGAGCAGACGTCCGAATCCGCTCCTACCACCATCACCTGGGACATCACCGGCCACGACGCCAATGCCGAGCGAGGCATGCACGTTCACCAGTTCGGTGACAACACCAACGGCTGCACCAGCGCTGGCCCTCACTGTACGTATAGCTCTGATCGCTGTTTATCCCGGCCCACACCATCATCGTCACCATCGGGTGTGATGTGGATCAAAGCGAAAATGATAATGAAAAGGAGAACCCGGGCGCTGACAACACACTCTTTCTTTTTCTCTTCACCACAGACAACCCATTCGGCAAGACCCACGGAGCCCCCGCAGACTCTGAACGCCACGTTGGTGACCTCGGCAACTTCAAGACCGACGCCCAAGGCAACGCCAAGGGCAGCGTGAGCGACAGCCTCGTCAAGCTGTTCGGCGAGCACAGTGTTCTGGGAGTACGTTTTTTTCTTCCTGCCGAACAAAGAGAGAGAGAGAGAGAGAGATAGAGAAAGATCAAGCGAGAAAACAGCTCTTACTGACGCGTTATACAGCGCACCATCGTCGTCCACGCCGGCACTGACGACCTCGGCAAGGGCGGGAACGAAGAGAGCAAGAAGACTGGCAACGCCGGTCCCCGACCTGCCTGCGGTGTCATTGGCATTGCCGCATAGACTACCGTATCAACCTTTTTTTTTTTTGGAAATCTGATGAAAATCTGATGAAACAAAACAGAATCCAAGAAAAAAAAAGATCGAATGCAGATGGTTTCGAGACAATGAAGCCGAAGAAAAACCTAGGCAGATCTTTTCTTTTGGACGCGGACCTTCGAGCGCTACGAGATTAGATTTGTATACGCCGGGGAAAAGCCAACTGGATTTGTTCGATTTGATACGACCCTTGAAAAGCCCTCGCTGGACGGGCAGGCAATCTTTTCAATGAGGATGAAGACGGAGTGATGAATAACCACCCAAGTCTGTTGTAGCTAGCCAGCTGGTCATCATTGTCGTGGGCCACGTAGCAAAAAAGTCACCCGCCCTGACGCATGCACTCACATACAATACATCGAAAAAAAGTTCATCCTGCACCATCAGTATCAAGTCATCTGGTCTTATCCGTACTACATGCACAAAACACAGGAAAGTAAAGGCATCATCCAAAAGGTATAATAATGTTCCTTGTTTGGCCCTATACACACGACACAACGCAAATCTAGCGCCATTCAATCTCATGCTATGCAAACCGCAGATCCCTTTCTGCTGGCCTCAAGGGTTTCTCCCGAGGACTTTCGTTTGATCAACACAAAAAGCCTGCGCAGACAAAGCCTACAAGTCAATAACGAGCAAATCGCTGCTCTCTAGACAATGAATTCGAATAGTCAACAGACAACCATTCTCCCACCACCGCCAAGCACTCATTTCAGACGCCGACATTGAAGCAACAAGCCCCTTTATCCTCCACGGACAAGGTGACGCGGAAACATCGCAAGAGGACTCTCAGTGGCCAGGAGAGAGCTGGCCACGACCGAACGCCCATACGAGAAAATCCCCCTTAGGCCTACACCTCCGCAGCCGTGACAAATCTTTCCATCGGGGGCCGCTCGATTTCCTTCTCCTTTTCGTCTCCGCGGTGGCCGTTCTGGTCGGTCAAGGCCAGCCTCTCGGCTTCGATAGTTAAACCCTTGGCTGGATCGCTTGCAACAATCACTTCGCCATGCCCTGTGTTGTCGCCTTTTGTTGCAACTCCGTTTGCTGTCGCTGGAATGATTGAGACTGACTCGCCGCTCAGCTTGTCTGCGATGGCTTGAGTCATTGCCGCGGCGTGCGCGGGTACAGGTCCAGGCTGAGGCTGTGATGGCGAGCTTTCTGGCGTACCGTTCGTCGTGGGCTGTTCTGCAGGCTGTCCTGTAGTCGATGGTTGTTCCGGTTCTTTGGTCTCTGTTTTGCTCTCGATCAGAGCGGCCGCGGTAGTACCACCTGTCGCCGCGGCAGCTTCGGCTTCAGCTTCACGATGAGGTTCGGCAGTACCATTCGTTCCACTTTTGGCAGTGAGCGTTGATACATGCGATAGACCTTTGCCAGCGTGGACAGGAAGCTCTGTGTAGTCTGCAGCATAAGCAACAGGCCGCTTCTTCTCGACTTCTTCGTCCGGAGTTCGTAATTTGCCATGTTCAGAGCCGACAACCACCCGCTTCCCGTCAAGCCATTGACATGGGCCTCTAACCCAGCCTTTATTTCCATCCTTCTCTAAAGCAGCACGCGTTTCATCGTCGAGATGTGGGAGCTGGCCCCATTCCCAGTCCAGGTCACCGCCATAGCGTTTCGGGAAGTCCTTGGTCTCCATGAATTTCGAAAGAGTTGGCTTTATGTCGTTCTTGCCGAGGATGAAGATCTTGGACACGGTTACCGGATCGAACCATCGTTTGACCCAACCCCATACGGTAGGGAAGAACGAAGGAGCGCCGATGATCTGATCCTATCAGTTCCAAACCATGAATGTTTCAGGCAACAGGGTACTCACAAATATCCTGTCCAGCGTCTCGGGGTAGTGTGCGGTGGCCAGTATACTGGCGTCCTGCATATGGTTCTTTAAGTTCCAAAACTGAGTCAGTCCGACGCCAGAGATATCGACAATATTTGTGGAATTCGTCACGGGAACTTCGGGATTCGGCCGTTCGAGCGTACAAACCAGAGGGAGGACAAAGTTGAGTAGATTTTGGTATAGGGCGAACAGAGGGATCAATTTGGCTGGGGTGGGGAGGTTCTTGTGGTAGGGAAGACTGTCTTTGTATGTTTGCGACTCTTTCTGATATTTGGACACATTCTTGCCGTCGAGTCCCTTGATCACGTAGACGTAGATCGGAATTCCTCGCTTGTCTCGATGGCCGGTCCATTGGGGATACTGCCGGCATGTTAGTTGGCCAAGTATGCGTGCAGCGAACCGAGAATCTCACCATCAGACGCGCCTTTTCGTAGGTTTCAACATCGAAGTGGTTGTAAAGCTCATCCACCCGCTGATCCTTTAGCCATTTCTCTGTGTCTGTGAACTGGCCAATTGCCCCCTTCACATCGAACTTGCGAGCTCGCAGATATCGGCTGCATAACACGTCAGCGCATGCAAGGGACGTTCCAAGAGATCATGCAGACATACAGAAGCGTCGCATCATCGTGGGAGGGTTTGCCATTGACCCCGTCAGGCGTCCACCACCCTCCCACTTGCAGTTCTTTCTTGAATTCTACAAGTCTTTCTTCTTGGGCGGCAGTGAGGTGATTGAGGGTGCCGGTGAGAGGATCGGTGGTGGTTGTTCTCGTCACGGTCGACTGGGCCTGAGTAGAGTGATCAGAACGATGAGACTGATGCGATTGGCCGGTGAGGGTTCGATAGAGTTGGCTCATTTCGTGGGCGTGTGCTGAGGAGCGCTGGCACGCTGCAGTGTAGACTCCCACACTCAGACGATAAAGGCAGTTCGGTCGCACAGTTAGAGATGAGGTTGTCAAAGGAGGGTGGCGAGCACAGCGTCTCTAGGAGGCAGGAAGAATAATAAGAAGGAAACTGGACTCCCGATTGAGAGATTTCGGGTCGCGGTCTAATGATGCAAGTCAAATTGTCTGTAGGACTCTACAACGAATACGAGTCTGTGCTAGGAGGGCCCCCGACGAGGAAGACCATGTCCACAAGGTCGAAGACGCCGTCACCAAGCAAGCCCTGTGGTACTTTTTTTGACTCAGGAGGAGGCCCAAACCGCACGTCTAAGTCCGTAAGCCTGACCCGGGGCCCAGAGTCGGCCAGCCCGGGAGGAGAGGCACCACCATTGAGAACTGACATGCACTGGGGAGCCAATAGAGGGCGGAATGAAGCTGTTGCTGATATCATCCTCAGTGATCAATGCACAAAACGAACGGATCGCGTCGCGACATTCGTACCCGAGACGCCGCCTGGGACGGAGAGACGACACAAACTTCCCGCCGCCCGGTCAATGGGAACACAAGGCTTTTGCTGAGTGTGCATAAATCTCCCGCACAGTCGGCATTGCCTGTTTAATAATTATTATGTTTCGACATTGAACCATTTATTTGGTACGCCATCACGAACTCAATAGGAAATCCCTCCAAACAAGCTCAAATTTCGGCCTCATGTCATAACCCTTTATCGACATTCGTTACCGGTTAGTGATCAAACTACTCGGAATCGTACGGTACCCCCTACACCGTCTCTCATCTGACTGGTGCTGCTGGGTCGACCCCGGTCAGCTGAAGTAACCTTTCCAGTAGTCTCATGTAAGCATGCGATGCGTTCTTTTCTGGGTGCCCCGTCTCCGACTTCGACCGCTTTGAAATTTATCTCAGGTTCCAGTACAGAGTGTCAGGGTAGAGTGCCGATAGGAATTTCCCGAACGTCAGGAATTTCCCAACCAGCAGAGGGTCCGCCTACTTCTGTTCGTGAACCGAACTTCCGCTCTTTGCTCCATTTAGGTTGCAGGCGCGTCTGATGAAACAGCATGCTCGATGACCTTGGAGCATCCCATGGAGCGTTGTTCAGGACAAGCAATGCATTGACGTCCGCTTGGCTCACGCATCCTTTTTTGACTCGCAACTAACGAGTGGATGGATCGGACCAATCTAGATTGCAAACCAGCGGACTGGCCGCGTGTGCCGTGCCATCAGCAGTTCTCTGCCCAATTTTCACTGACCCATTTGGCAATTAGGGTTGTCATGTTCTCATCCGGCATGTACTTATCCACGTCGTCATCTGTATAGTCAAGGCCCAAGAACTTCAAGCCCAGCAAAATCCACGGCTGGACGAACTCATTGAACACCACATCGACTGTAGCCTCCTCTTGGTTATCTTCCGGAAGGCCGACAGTTGACTGAATGCAGTTGGGCACTCGATAGAAGGATATGGGAGTATGCACTGTGTCGTCACCATCGGTGCCAGCATCATCAACCGTCGTGTAACCCGGCGTCAATGCATCGTTGGCGGCGAGAGAAAATTGTTGCATGTCCTGGTGGGAGGGCAATGATTCCTCGACAACAACATCTTGGAGAATCCCCATCTGGTCCACTGGTGCTAGCTTTGACATGGCCAACGTTGGATCTGCATTCTCGAAGATCTGACCCGCTCGATTGAGGAGATATATGAGTTTCTTCGCCCGCTTGTAAGGGACGTCCTTGAGGTAGTGGAAGCCACTGGTGAAAGGGCATACAATCAACGTCGAGTCTTTGGTAAATGCTCCCTTGAAGATGTCGAATCGAATCGCCCCAGTATTGGAAATAATCAATCGTGCCCGATCGTTCCGTTGGGGGTCATTGACTACCTCTGGGAAAACCTGCTCTTCTAGCCAGCTGAAGATGCTGTTGTTGCTTGGGTACGGGGCTCGACTCATCCACAAGTCAAGCGAGGAGCAACCGAATGTCTGGTCGAGATCAAGAGCCTGCCGCGCTTGGTGGATGGCCTCTGTGATGTTTCTACCGCGGTCCGAGTGGAAGGTCGAAGAGTTATGGCCAGAATGATGATATAATGAATATAAGTTATTGTCAATGTAGCGCCTGAAGAATGTCGGGGATGTTCCTTGGCTCGTATTGGTCGACAAGCCACTGATAGACTGGAAACCGATGGTCTCCATAAAGCGTCCACTGGCCAAGGCATGCGCTTTCGTGTCAAAGATGCGATAGTCTCTAATGTGGAAATGACCTCCAAAGAACTGGATGGGAGTATCCAATTGCACAGATCGAATGGCCCGGAAGATCAGGTCGAACTCTTCAGAGCGGATGGCGGAATGTCCAACAACCACAAAGAGATCGATTTCTCGGTCACAGATCGCGTCCTGAAACCACGGTTCTTGAATGGCCTTTTCGACTCTTTGCACAATGGTATTGTTATAGTTACGGTCAAAGTTGAACAGAAAGCCAAACGCCATGATGCGAACCCCCTGCTTTTTTGTGGTAAACTTCTTGTACCTGGGCGCCAGGGGGACCACCTCACCGGTGTCTGGGTCGTGTATATCGAGGTTGGAAGCAAGGTAGCTGCCGGGGTAGGCAGGGGCAGTAATCAAATATTCGTTCTCAGACGAGTTCTGTTTGTACAGCTCATGGTTGCCGGAACACAGAACGTCCATATGCTGCTTTCGAAAGATATCGAACGTGAACAGCCCTTTAGGCTCTGATGCATCATACAAGCCGTTTCCCTCGATGCGGTCACCGGTGTCGACTATCAGGAGATCTTTCCCTTCTGCTTCTAGTTTCTCTCTCAGCCTGCCAGCAAAGTCCACATAATCGCCCCAGTCCGCACTGAACGATGGCTCAAGAAGATGTCCCGCATGCCAGCCGTGAGTATCGGTCGTGTGGAGGAAGTTGATCTGTCCGAATTCGAGGTCACGGAGAGGAGCTGCAAGAGCTTCGGGCGCACCTGGCTGTACGGCGCAGGCCTGCAATGCCAGCAGTAACAAGGCCAAACACGTCTTCAACGCCATTATGGGCTATCGAAAGCAAGACATGTTCAGGATGTGAAGCCTGAAACGACGGAGAGTGGTTCTTCTCTCGCGCTTAAGGTCCTCTCTTCTGAACAGGGAGGGCCACCCAATGACCACACGCTGCACGGAGACCAAACAGAGGCGTCGGCGGTGGTTGGGTTCTGATAAGTACCTACGAGTACATAGAGGCTCGCTATCCGTACCCGTATTCGTATTCGTATATAGTGCCAAGCTTGCCTTAGGTAAGCTCACCGTTCTCTGGCTTTTGGCGTGGCTTCGGCGGAAATTTGGGCTGGTGTCCGGCGATCCACTGAATCGAGCTGCGCCCGGAGTTCAAACGAAGCTCCCCAATGCAAAAGATTCCCGTCCAACATTTCTTGACAGTTGTCCGCGATATCATCTTCCCCGACGGCGAGCATTAGAAGGTCATTTCAGTTCTCATCTCCTTCTGCTCTTTCAATGGCTGCCTCGAGACTCCTCAGACCGGCCTCAAGGCTGTTGTCCCAACGGACTGCTCTGCCCTCATCCATCCGTCCTGCTTTCAGACACGCCGCTCCCCTCTCGCTCCCAACGATACGGGGGTATGCCTCAGAGTCGAATCAGACGTTCACTGTCCGAGACGCACTCAATGAAGCTCTCGCAGAAGAGCTGGAATTGGATGACAAAGTCTTCGTTATGGGCGAAGAAGTCGCCCAATACAATGGTCGGTATATTTTTGAAGACAGAACAATCTAGCAGCGGCTAATACCAAACTCACAGGTGCCTACAAGGTGACCAAGGGACTTTTGGATAGATTTGGACCGAAGAGAGTGATTGACACGCCCATCACCGAGTCAGGATTCTGTGGTTTGGCCGTTGGCGCAGCTCTGGCCGGCCTTCACCCTGTCTGCGAGTACGTCCAATATTGTCGTGCTTCAACTCGTCACGCAAAAACTGACCATGCGCAGGTTCATGACGTTCAACTTCGCCATGCAAGCTATCGACCAGATCATCAACTCCGCAGCTAAGACCCATTATATGTCGGGCGGTATTCAACCCTGCCCTATTGTTTTCCGTGGTCCCAATGGATTTGCCGCTGGTGTAGCTGCCCAGCATTCACAAGATTACTCTGCTTGGTATGGGAGCATTCCAGGCCTCAAGGTGGTAGCACCTTGGTCTGCGGAGGATGCAAAGGGCTTGTTGAAGGCGGCCATCAGAGACCCCAATCCGGTTGTTGTTCTCGAGAACGAGTATGTGCACCACAATATACATGAATAGCGCAGCGGTTTCTGACTGGAGCAGACTTCTCTACGGACAGGCATTCCCTATGAGCGCCGAAGCACAGAAGAACGATTTCGTCCTCCCCTTCGGTAAAGCTAAGATCGAACGCCCAGGCAAAGATCTGACTATTGTCACCCTCTCGCGCTGCGTCGGACAGTCATTGGAGGCGGCAGATGTGCTCAAGAAGAAGTATGGTGTGGAAGCAGAAGTCATCAACCTACGCTCGATAAAACCCATGGACGTTGAAGCAATCATCAAGTCGGTCAAGAAAACTGGTGCCTTGATGGCAGTCGAATCTGGTTTCCCGGCCTTTGGTGTTGGTGCCGAAATCCTTGCGTTGGCTGTCGAGTATGGTTTCGACTATCTCCAAGCGCCCCCTGTCCGTGTGACGGGTGCTGAAGTCCCGACGCCGTATGCACAAAAACTCGAGGAGCTGAGCTTCCCTCAGGTTGACACCATCACCAGCTACGCCGCCAAGCTCCTGAGGGTGTAAAAGACCAAGATCTCCGGGCTTCAAAAGCAGCATTCTGGATGTGTTATTAGCGAACGCGTTTTCAAACCTGGTGGGGGATCTGGGTCTGGCCTAGTTTGGGTTGCTGTCGAGTGACGGCCACATAGTGGCCGGCCATTGTTATAATTTCAGCTTTAACTAGTCCCATGTATTGCATGAACAGGTGGCATGGCACGAACAAGACTTCTGGCGCATATTGCTTTCTCGTATACATTGAGGCTACCAAGAAACCCCACCGCAAACTCCTTGCACGACACCACCAGTGATTTGGAGCTCGCTTGCAAGTGCGGCTTCACAATGGCAGCTCAGTATTCGGTGCCACTGATCCGAACTCACTAATGGTATGCCACATCTGGTACTGGTCGACCGCTTCTCGTATTTATGGTTGCACAATATGAAGGTATTTTCACAACCCCGTAACATCCGGTGCCCCTGGTCGGAAGTGATACGAGGCCAGCATACCAGATGACTCGGCCAATGTAAATGGCAGTCATTGAGCCTCGAATCTGTCAAGCACATGGGGATTTTATGCTCCCGGGGCTGGTAGGTGGAAATAGACAGCATTGGGCGCCTGCCACACCAGGCCTAGACCTTCTTCAACCCTACCACAGGCTCAGGTAGTCAGTCGATCTTCTCTCGCATCGACGCTGTCACTGGTAAAATTAGCATCCGAGTCGTCGTCATCTCACGCTGCTCGGGTTTTGCGTCTCCTCTGCGCGGACGATCTACTCACCATCTGGCTACCGCTACCGATGGGCAGTTCGTTTACTCAGAGGGCAAGTCCACTCACCATTTGCTTCACACCCTCTCTTCTCATCTCGGATCCGGGTAGGTCTGACAGCCGTGAAACAAGAGTAGGTGCGTCCAACGAAGCTCATTGCCGGTTTCAGCCTGTCCTTCCATGTACCGCATGGAGTGAATAGCAATCGCGGGGTTGACGTCGACCAGATTGTATTCTGTTCCGTACGTGTGGTCCCGGCATCATGGTGTGCAGATACAAGCTTCAAGGATCTAGAACCTGGTCGAACGCTTTTACCGGTTCCGCCATATCTTGCATCAAAGCGACACCTTGTTCGGATGGCATCCTATTCAATCCAGCCTGGAAACCACTGCGAAAATGCAATTCGGCATCGAGCATGACCAGGCCCTGTCTTTTGAACTCGGACGGTCGCGGCTCTGGATCGAGAAATAACGGTTATGGTGGAAGTCGCCCTCGTCCGGTCATGGTAAATCCAGAGTCAAGGCTTCAATTATGGTCCTAAATGAGATGAAAGCCATTTCGTGCCAACACACACGTGGACTTCCCAATACGGCTGGCTTGAAGAGGTCTGGACGACGAGGCTATCTGGTGCCTCGCTTAAGCCCAGAACGTCGTTCCCAGAGAGTACCACTGCATATGATTCCCCAGCCACATCCAGCTTGACCGGCCCGCTATTTTTTGAGATCTCAATCAGCTTTCCAGCCCAGTGGATGGGCGCTACCCACTACATACGTGTGTACACAATGTCCGGGTTGTGGCATGATACGGCATGTGCAGCATCTCTTTTAGTGGTGCTTCTGCCCTCGGCGATATCGTGATACAAACACCTCTTCCAAGCTACTTGGTCGTCCAGTGTTGACTCGTGTTACACCCACTGTTGCCATGTGGCTGCAACTTATTTATCGCAAAGAACTGGTCGATGTTTGGGGATGGTACCAGACGCCCATGTGGGCAAACACTTCTCACCGATCTGGGCGAGCATATCCGAAGACCCTTGTGAGGTCGAAACAAGCCGCCACTCCGTCTCCCCTGCCCTCCCTGGCTCGTTTCAATGTTACTAACACGAGGGCCCGATCCCGTCAAGTAGTCCGATTCGAAGCGCCGAAACATGGTCACCCATAGCACCACAAAGGAGGCCGTCGATCGGCATAACTGCGTGTAGTCACAAAATTCTATTGTAGGATAAGGTACTCCGTACCATGCCCTCGATTGGGATAAACGAGTATCCCATCCCTTTTATACCACAACAGTCCCCACTTGTTCAGACCCGTCATACAATTACTGTTTCGATGCCTCTGAACATGACACAGCCAAAAGGAACAAGATATATTGCATCAAGTTGGGCCACACACATATCGCAACGAGTCTGTGTTTTCAATATTTGCTCTATTGGCGGCCTCCTGGGTGATATGACTGAGATCAGATGCATATGGGTTCGTCAAGTGTGGTAGGTGTTTCGCTCGGCACATATCCACAGTACCGATTGACCATTGGTAGAAAGGAAATCATGCTACTTTCTATCATCTCTTCGACCTTCCTCTCGAGGTCCGCAGACAGATCTATTTTCTGATGCTGAACTTCAGACCCTGCGATCATTTGAGCCTAATGTGCGTTTGCAAGCAGATTTACTGCGAAGCCAGGGAGTCTTTCTTCCACCGGCCTTTGGTTTGTCCTTCACAAGATCACCTCGTCACCTTTGTCCAGAACAGGCCGAAGAAGGTACTAGAAGACATCACGCACTTACAGTTAAGGTTGGAGGAGATTGAGGCTAATGCGATGCAACCATACCTTGCAATGATGGCGATAAGCGCTGCCATGCCTCCAGGTCAGCATCCATACCTCGTTGAAATCAATCGAGTTACAAGCGCCCTGTCAGAACTCAGCGGTATAACTCGTCTTGCTCTGCTCGGGCCAAGGGATGCAAGCAAGAATACGCCAGCAACCGTGGTAAGCACTAGTGTACTCGAGTGGGTTGTAGACCACTACCACCATCTCCGAGACTTGAGGCTCGAGATTGAGTCCTGTCGGTTGGACAGCCTGAGAAGTTTGACAGCATTGCGGGCGCTTCGGCTCTCGGGTTATTCGGAGACGAGCCCTCTCAAAACTGCAGATGTCTTGAGCAGGCTTGGATCCTTGGAGGATCTGTACATCAGTGGCCCGTCACGAGAAGTGCAAATACAACAGAAGCATGGCACTCCGTCGCGGATTGTTCAGTCGGTGTCGAACTCCACCTTTGAACAAGTCAAGCCCCTGAAGCGTCTGAGTATCAAAGAGGTTGTGAATCCACGCGGTGAAGGCAGTGGCCTCCTGACATTCAAGACCGTCAAGGCTCTTTACGAGATACACCGGGACAGCCTTCAGGTGCTCCACATTTCAGCAAGTGAGACGCCTTCCGGGTCTTTTGTTGCATATCTGTCGGCCTTCTTGATCGCCGCTTCAGAATTGCATGAGTTATACTTGACGTGGCCAGGAATGGACGACGACTTTGTGGATAACTTTCCAAACCCGGTCCGGCGGCTGAAGTTGGCCGTGTCCTCACCCGCGCAGGCGCAGGCCATTGTGTATCGATTGGCCGCCGTGAGGTATCGCTTGAGGTTTCTCCAACAAATCCGATTTAGCGTAATCAACGCACCAACGACGGTAATGGAATTGGATCACAAGCAACAATGCTCGAGTTTCGGTCTGCCGATTCCACACTTAGCAGTGTAAGCCTGATTCTCCTTCCGTGACGACGTCCAGATCCGGCACTGATGGCACAGTTGCTTACTGACATGCCTGTAGTCACATCAATTCACCATGGCCTACCAGCTGGGAAATATGGCAGCCTCTACCACAGGACTGACTCTAATATGTAGAGCAACATCTGTCGGGTGGACTTCGAAGAGTGCTGTTGTCGATGATCAATGGCCCGGGGATGTTGTTAGTTGTAAGGTTCAGCCTTGACTGTCTTTAGTCTGTCCCTAGTAGTGTTTAGAAGAGCCCCTGATTACCAGGTCTTACATAATATCTGACAAAGCGTCGCAAGGCTGCACGTGAGTGTAATCAACCGACTGCGATTGGCTGCTGCTCCGTCTGTACTTTTGGATTGCAGTGAGTGACACCTGCAAACATTCGTTCAGAGTACAATTGACTATTGCACATCGAGTCCTCGCCGGGGGTCGAAGCTCTACTAATTCTCTATCCGTGTCACTTGGTCTTCGACGATGCCATCATAACCTTACTTGGACCCTTTCCGGCCTCGTGTTGCGAGTTGTGAACACGAGAAACTCCCAACTGCGGATCCTCAGAGACACCCATTCCAGCACGCACACACACACACAGAGAGAGAGAGAGTGAGAGTGCAGCAGCAGCAGCACCACCACCACCACCACCACCACCATGGCCTCCGACCTCCCTCCTCTTACGACAAGCGACACACGAGCGTCCTCTATTTCAGCGATTCCAATGCACGAAGTCGAGCCCTCCCCCGTCGACGTCGACGACGATGACCCGAACGCTCTTCTCCCGGCCCCGGCGACCGCGCCATCTTCGTCGTCGTCTTCGAAACTCTGGTCTTTCTCGTCGACGACGAATTTCCTAGGTCTTACACCGTCTCGAATGCTGCACATACTCAGCGCGACGCAAAAATACTCGACGCTGCCCCCAACGATCTACCTGGCAATGCACTACGCCAACACCGCTCTGATCCCGCTGGCCACGCGGTCGGCGATCCAAAGCGACCGCTACCTCCTCCTGACGCGACCGTACTACCAGTCCTTTCCCTTGGAGCCACTGCTGATCTTCGCGCCCATCATCACGCACGTGCTGTCCGGCGTCGCCCTGCGGCTCTACCGCCGGCGCCTGACGGCGAAACGGCACGGGGCCGAAACGCACGCGCAGCGCAAGACGATCCGGTACGCCCCGCTCAGCACGACGTCGGCGGCAGGGTACGCGCTGTACCCGATGTTCGTGGCGCACGTGGCCATGCAGCGCGTGGTCCCCAACAAGGTCGAGGGGAGCAGCGCGGGCGTCGGGTTGCGCTTCTTCGCCCACGGCGTCGCGCAAGACCCGTGGTTCGCAAACACCTTCTACGCCGTCTTTGTCGCCGTCGCCAGCTGGCACTTTGTCACCGGCGCCGCCAAGTACCTTCGCCTCTCGCGCGAGTACGTCACCGAGGGCGGCGAGAGTGGCGCCGTGCGCAGGAAGTGGAGGACGAGGATCGTCAATGGCGTCGCGGCCGCCGTGGCTTCTCTGTGGATCGCGGGCGGCTTGGGCGTCGTTGGAAGAGCGGGCCCCGGCGTCGGTTGGGAAGCGAAGAACTGGGATCGCATTTATGCTGCTGTGCCGTTGTTGGGGAGGTTGTTTCGATAGATAAAGTTGAAACGAAAAGGCTCATGTCCAGGGAAACGAAAATACTTCCCTGCTTGTCACTATCTGGTAGGCAGGTGGGTTCTGGGGAACTACCTCGGTACGTACGGAGGCATGTCGTATATATATATAATCCATCTACAAGAATCAAGTCGTCAAGTCGTCAAGAGAGTGCGGAGTATTGTGTACAATGCAACGATACAGTGTGTACCTTTGCACCACCATGACCGGTGTGTTCAATGTGGTTGCGTGGGTGCGTGTTTACTACTGATACAGATATTATACAGCATGAGCATGGGCATGAAATGGCATGATGTAACTCTTAAAACCCGCCAAAGTTCCACCGTTTGCCATCGTTGGACAGACATGAACAGGAATTGTACGACTATTGATTGCCCCATCGGTTTCTCGTTTGCGGTCTGTTGTCTGTCGTTGTCGGTGGGAGGGGCGTCGGGACGTCGATCGACCGAAACCAATCACTCAAGCAATGGTCGATGTTGTTCCCGAGAAGCCGACGGCACATGAGATTCCTAACCTTTGTTCTGTCGGTGTTTGATGCATCCATTCGGCATTTAGCGCGACATGTCACTATCATCACCACCACGGCCATCATCCTCGTCTTCCTGGTCGTCTTCTTCTTCTTCTTCTTCCTCCTCTTTCCTTTCCTCCGCCCTAAGCTCCACGTCCTCACCGACATATGGAGCCAATAAAAATCTGTTGGATACAGATTCCATGTCCTCAGCACGTTCCTCAGCAAGCATCAGCGCCTGTTCTGCACGAGCCGCTTCTTCTGCCTCTATGTCTGCTCGACGCTCTGCTCTATACGCTTGCCAAAAGTCATTGTCTGAACGGAGCATTTCAGTAATCGCTTTGACGATTGTACAAGTGGTCGCGCTGGAATCAAAGTGTGCTTTGACGTTCTTCGCCGCAGCCTCAAACCCAGCCTCGTCATTGGGCAAGATCCGAGTCCACGTCCAGTTGAGGAACCGGTCAAGCATCTTTCTAGCCTCCATAACGATTCGTGCACTTTGAGCTGCAAATACGTCGTCAACGCCATCAACTCGAGTCTCAATCCTCAACCAGTCATTGAATTTGATGGTCTGAGGCGATTCCAGTCTCGCGCTGCGGCTGAAAAGAGTCAGCATCAGTGGTGTGACCATGGAATTGTTCTCGAGCCACACTGCTCCGTCGCTCACGTCGTCGTTGCTGCTCTTCCATGCATACGCAATTAGACGACCGTCAGTTCTATACTTGCGCCTGGTCCGACGGACTGACCTGGTCTTTTCGTGAAGGATGCTGGCTCTGGAAGGGTAGCCGTTGTTCTGGATATCCAAAGTCCATTTCTTGACGGTGGCATCCCAAGCGGCCAATTCCGCAGTGACAGTGTTCACTGCGAGAGCTTTCACAAGGACCATATTGTCAGAGTTATAGTTGAGGAATTTTGGAATGGCTTCGAAAATCGTCTGGCCCTCTGCTGGTGGATCAACCATGCCATATTTAGCCAACGTCTGATGGACGGCTTGACTTGTCAGCATCATTTCTGCATAGGCACTGTGCTTGATGCATCGTTCTTCGCTAAGCTGACTCATGAGAAGTTCGTCGCCGGCTTGGGAAGCGGCATGATACTGTCGAAAAGCGTCGATGAGAATAGAGAGGTCACTTTCTGAATCACGGTCGAAGTGACGCTTGGACTCTCGTACTTGACCGATGCTGAGTTCAGCGTTGTGGATCAGAGGGTTGTTGAAATCGTGGCAAGCGAGAATGACCATAGGTTCAAGGCAACCGAAAACAGTCCCAAGCAAGACTCCCTTTGCAGATGCGGCGTGTACGTTCATGTCTGCAAGGAATGCACCAACCCGAGTTATATTGCCATCACTGTCGAGTGCACTCAGACTCTGCAAGTCTCTATACGCCGAGTCAATAGCATCTTCACTCGGTGGATCGATCATGCCTCGCAAGAATTCTCTGGGGCTGGAAGAGTCGCCGGCATCGCCGTGGTTTGGATGTGCAGCCAAAAGCAGAACAACATCAGCAAGATTAGATACAGTTATCTTGGGACGCGCCATCGGCCTGAACGTGCGACAACGTTCCTCTGTGAAAAGTGCATAATAGTTTCCCGGTGAAACCCGCCCTGCCCGTCCACGGCGCTGGATCATGCTCGTCTTGCTAATCCATTCGTAAGGTAGGCTTCGCTTGAAAGTCAGTGGATCGTAGATGCTATTCCTCATCTTTCCAGCATCCACGACGTAGACCACTTCGGGCAACGTGATTGAAGTCTCGGCAATGTTCGTCGCCAGCACAATCCTTCGGCAACCGATGGGAACTCTTGTGAAGACATTGTCATTTGTATCTCGGAATGCCGAGTGTAGCTTGAAGATTCTAAATCTCCTCTCATCTTCGAAGTCAATACCCATAGGTTTCATATCTCTTAGAAGGTCATAAATGGTGTCGATGTCTAGCTTGCCAGGTAAAAAGACTAGCACATCGCCTTCAGGCTTCGTCGACGCTAGATGTGCGATCACCGCCGTTACCAAGCCTAGGTAGTGGCTACTGGGTGTAGATACGGATGAAGTTGTGCTGGCATCAAAGGCTGTCACAGAGCAAGTCTCGCCGACGTTTGCATCTTCAGAGTTGGCTTCCTGCCCAGTTCCTTGGTGCAAGGCTCCATAAATTAATTCGTTCTTGATGTAATCAGCACTAGATTTGGCGGTCTTCCCCTGGAGCAGAGCTTGCATCGTAGGATGCAGATCCTTGCCCACAGCGAGCTCATTCAAAATTTCTGGCAGATAAAGGGTATTGACAGGATGGCCACTGCCCCCAACCTCGAAAGAGCAGGCCGTCAGGGTGCCTGGTTCGGATGAACGGACGAAATAGTTCAAGAAAGAGCTTGGATCAATCGTGGCACTCATGAGAATGATCTTTGGATAATCAAGTCCGCACTCCTTGAGAGTTTGGATATGTCTTCGTATGAGAGACAAGACCAAATCAAGCTGGGCATCACGCTCATGGACTTCGTCAAGTATGATATGGGAATACCGTTGTAGGAATGGCCAGCCCCGGGTCAACAAGCGATGTAGGAGGATCCCCGTAGTACACAATGTGATGGACCCGCGCTCGTTGGGAAGTTTAAGCTCGTTGCGAATCTGGTAGCCAACTGACTGGCCAAGGGCTTCGTCTCGCTCGTAAGCAATGCGACGGGCGGTAGAAGTGGCTGCGATTCGTCGTGGTTCGGCACAGAGAATGGTCGTGTCCGGACCTTGATTTCTAAGGATAGCATTTTCAAGAATTATCTGAGGCACTTGAGTTGTTTTGCCAGAGCCCTAAATTTCATCAGCAAGACGTATTGGTATGAAGTGCAGCGGAGTACGTAGGTAGCTAGCTGCTGCCTTGGAATCGACTGCGTCTTCATTTGGGAGGACAAAATTACCGTTTTGGCCAAAACGACTGTTACATCGGAGCAATTGATGGTGTTGATGAGGGACTTCTCGCCCACGATCTGATCATGCGCAGCGATGGGAAGCTTTGCTCTTCTAGCGGCCATCTCCTTCATATGAGGCAGCGATGTTTTTTGCAAGAAGGCCAATCGCATTCGAATAGCAGGTGCTAATTCTCTGCGCCGGCCCTTTCCAGATCGGGGCTGTCCTTCTGGAGGAGCCCGATCGTACGGATCAAGAACAAGTTCATCTTCCGGCAGACCAAGCCCTCGTGCTAGTTTTAATGTCTCTATGGATGATTGAAGGTTTACTGGAGGCAATTTCAAGTTGAAAAGTCTTGACTCCTGTACGGTATATGTTTGTCCGAGAGCGGCCTTCGTCAGGCCATTATTTTCCGCACCATCTGGTTGTTGTTGTTGTTGTTCGAACGGGAGGCTTTCCTCTTGTTCCGTCCATGCTTCCGGTGTTTCATTTCTGAGTCCTGTCTTTGGGTGGTCTAATGGATTCCAATGAATGCCATCATCACTGGGAGGGGGGCTTGATTGGAGTGCTTCTGTATGCAAGCAGCGGACAGAGAGGATGGACGGCTCAAGGGTTCGAAGTGTTGCTAGCCGTAGCCGTGCAAACGGTTTCAGGGAAGACAAAGAAGGATAACTGCCTGGGCTACGTGCATTCTGCAACTTCTGCAGGGACCACAGGGTTGTCAGTAAATGCATTGAACCGCATATTCTCGCATTGGGCTGATGGACCAACCTGCACCACTTTCCACGGACGCATATCGATTTTCTGAACAACCCATCTTTGCGACATATATTTCCAGCTCAGAAACAGGTCAGCTGGATAGCCCTATCTCTCGTCGAGGTCGCTGGATGGTATCCGTATCATCTTCGCAAATTGGACGAGGTCTTGTTCCTTGCTACTCGAGCCTTGTCTTCCCCAGAGAAAAAAGATTGACCAATGGTGCACGTCGAGACAAGGTGGATCACGTGATCATCAATCCCCTCTTTATTGACTTACCTAAGCAGGAATCCTCCACCAGGTGTGACACCCTGATCTTACATACAGTACATAATGGTATTCGTTGTTGTATACGAGTGCCGAGGTCAGCGGGTGCAAGGTTTTGCATCCAGACTCAGTGTCCATGACTCGGTCAGAGCTGTTCTGTCCCCCTTTTGATTCAAGATAACTGATCCTCGGCTAGTGAGTAAGTTCCACGTGCATTGGTGTAGCTACATTATCCTAGTCGTCCATGTCCCGCTCCATAAGCATATCCTCGGGATGAAGCCGGAACTGGTCCAACTCCGCAACATACATGACATGGCGGGACGAAGTCAGGCTGACTTCGTCAGGCATCTATATATGCACCCTTTGATCTCAAGCAGCTGACTTCTGAACATGGCAGACTTGATCTCAAGATGAGAGTCCTTGCGTAGGATGACAAAGTGTTGATTGTCAAGCCAGGCAGCACCGGACAACATGGACCTCCTCGAGAAAAAGAACGTTCACGTCTCCCGCGGCTTCACATACAACTGTTATGTCAAAGTCGCCAGGCCCGGCCTTCCCACATTGCTCATGATCCATGGCTTCCCCGACTCACCTGAAGAATTCTCCGATGTCGTCCGCGACTATCTTCTTCCCAACGGGTACGGCATCATCGCAATCGACTGTCTGGGATATGGTGGAACCTCGAAACCGGCAGAGCGAGAGGCATACGACTACCAACTGCTGGCCCAGGATATGAAGGAGATCATCGACCATGAAGGTGTTGACAAAGTCGTCAGCACAGGACACGATTGGGTCAGTCGGGCCTCATGAAAGCCACCCCATCCTTGTTTCCTTTGGTGGGTATTGACCTAGCCTTGATAGGGTTCTCCGCTCGCTCAGCGCTTCTACAACTTCCACCCCGACCGTGTGATCGGCTTGGTGTTGCTCAACGCAGCATATAACGCGCCGTCCATAACGCCCTTTGATCTGGATGCGGCCCTGAAGATGTCCGCCAAGAACTTTGGCTACGGCACATTCTGGTACTGGAAGCTGTTCACTGCGCCTGACGGTGCGACAGTTCTAGACTCCCACCTCGACTCTGTGTGGACTTTACTCCACGCGGCCGAGCCGGAGCTCTGGCTTCGGACGCTGTGCAAGGAGGACGGGGCTCGCGATTTCGTCGAGCAAGACACAAAGGTGCCGGTCATGCCCTATGCCACTGAAGAACGGCGGCGTGCGTGGTTCGACAGATTCGCGTCTGGCAATTTGGATGCGCCGCTCAATTACTACCGAGCTGCTACCTTTGGATCTCAAGACAAGGCAATGGCCGCCATCCCCCGCGAGAACTACGTGGTCAAGGTGCCGCATTTTTTCTGGGGTGGTATCAAGGATTGCGTCTGCCGCACCGAGATATGTGACGCCAGTATCAAAGCCGGTTGGACGCCAGACTGTACCAAAATTCTGGTCGACTCGGGACATTGGGCTCACTTAGACCGGCCAAAGGAGTTTGGCGAGGCGTTGCTGGGTTGGCTGAAGGCAAAGTTTCCCACATCTCATCTCTGATCGAGCAGGTGAGGCAAATGGGGGTTTGGATCTATCGTTCATTCTCCGGCCTCGCTTCGACATGAGATACCTTGACCTCCACTTACGAGGTTGATCCGTTTCTTTACTGCTTTGAAGTTACTGCTGACCAACCGGACGGTGACAATCGCTATTCCGGATATCTTGGTCGAAGTCATAATTACCAGGAAATTTCAGTCAGGACCCACACAAAGTCAGGGCACGGTAATGAGGATAGCTTGAGGTGCCAGATATATCATACAACAGGACATTAGCACTGAATGAACATCTATCTTGATTTCCATAACTTTTTCGAGTAAGTTATTCGTGGTTGATTGAGCAAAAGAGAACGCTTTTACATTGAAGCGAGATATACCTTCATTGTCCCCAGCCCCGGAAGGGAGTCGCGCTCACCATGCCCACATTAGTTTGTGCGCCAGAATCCGCTCTCCTAGCATCTCATACAGAAAGGGGGTCACCCAGCTATCATTGGTTCGACTCATCCGCCCAAAGACTGCGCCGCCCTTCCACGCAACGACTTGCGGATCAAGCTCCCTTGGAGGCCGCGAAATCAGAATATCTTTGCCGTAGCCGGGTAGGATGCCTTTGAGAGTATCCTCTAGATGCCCTGCCAAGCCAGGGATAATGCTGGTGCCTCCTGTAAGCATAATGCTACTGAGGAGATCACTTGTCTTCTGAGGTGAGTTTTTAGCGGCATGAGTGATGGAAGTGACAATTGCGTTGGGGAGAGGATAGATTGGTAGGATGTCATCACGTCGTTCGATGCTCAATGGTTCTTCTACCTCTTCTTCCACCTTGGGCTTCTCGTCACGAGGGGCAGCGCCATCGGCGTCATCTGGTTGCGGCGTACCGTCTAGCTGTCGGGCAGGAGAGCTCGCTGCAGATGGCTGAGGGGTAGCGTCCATCTCCTTGATGTTGCTGAATGATGGACGGCGAGATGCGTTGTGGGATTCTTCCTTGGCGCCGTTGGTGGTGCCGTTGGTGACGCCGTTTGTTTTAGGGTTGTTCTTAGTCGTGGTCAAAACTTCGTCTGGAGCAATTGAGGTGAGTATCTCCGCCTGAGCAGTCGAACTTGGATCGTTGGGCTTGCCGTCGTATATGTCGTAGGATTTGTCGATCAATTTCCGCCGGCCTTCAAGCTTCCCTGATTCATTGAAGATCTGTGGTCTGAACAGTCCCATTGGCGCCAAAATGACTTCATCGTAGATTTTGAATGTGTACTTTCTAGTTTCCTGCCCAGGAGCCCTGAGATGAAAGTCGTACAATTGAACAGAGATATCGGCCTCATTCATGGTGCAGAATTTCTGCTTCAGTTCTTCTGCAAGCTGAAAATCAAAACGTCGGTTCAGGTTGATTTCCGCATATGGGAAATGGTTATAGATAACCATCTTCACAAAAGCTTCAGTGATGTCTCTGCCACCGTACTTCAAGTTGACTCGCGAATTCTCAATCACCATGCCATCTTCGACACATGAAATGGCGGTTTTTTGTGCGCCAATATCAACTATACAACAGGTGGTGAAACCTGCACCGAAGGACGCGGCCAAACTTTCTTGGATGAAGCACACTCGGCCAAAGCCGAACTCTGTTATAGCCATGTCGAGAAGACTCGTGACATACATCCTCTCATAATAGTCGGGGATGACAATAACACAGCTGTATTGACCCCAATCGCTTCGAGTGCGAATCTTGAGCTCCAGTTGTGATTTGATCGCATCTTCGACGATGAGCCGAATGTCTTCATACAGGAACCGTTTCGAAGGGTAATCGGCTTCATTGAACCAACCAAGCTTAATTGGCCAGTAGAGCTTGTAGCGAGGCGTGGACTGGTCTGGGATCCGCAAAGCAGCTTTTCCGGTGATGTATTCTGGAGCATCCTTTCCGTCGCCTCCTGTGTCGGTCCATTCAATGCGCATGGTGTCATTGTGTTCTGTTATGGTCTCGAAGGTATTCCTTCGATTGTAGCTTGTGACCATGTCTCTGGACTGAGGCAGCACTTTTCGCTTGTTCATTCTCATTCTGACTTTCAAGTCATTCGACATGGCGGAGAACTTTTTCTGGAAATCTTCCCCGAAACGCTTTTCTGGCTCTGGAGGATATCGACCATTGTCTAGCTTTGCTCGTTTCGGTGCCGGTTCGCCATCGTTCTCCTCGCTTTCAGCCATGGGGGCACGTCGTGCAATGACCATCGGGACGGTCTTGGGAAGAGCATCGTTTGCGAGGCCAACTCTGAGATTCTGCGACCCAAGATGGATGACAATAGTCTTAGCGCCACTGGAAGCTTCGTCTTCAGCTTCCTCCTCATCCTCGCCCTCTTCCATGTCAATGTCGCCGTCCGGTCCCACAGGCTTTCCTTGTGCCAATGCCCGGTCTCGGTCTTTATGCTGTTTTATTAACTTGTTCCGGGCTTCCTCTTGCTGAGATCGGACTGCTAAAATCTGCTCGTCTCGTTTGAGGTACTCTGTCCACACCTTGTCAGTTTAAGACCATGCGATTCAAGGTCAAGTGCCTGCGCACCCGTATAATAGTTCTTTTGGTTAATTGACATGATCTGAGGCCAAGATGTCAACTCCATGTTGTTGTCTGTCCTTTCGAGGCCCTCCTCGCGCAAAAGCGCCTTTCCACTCTTTTTGCCCACCATCTTTTTGTCTGCCGTGCGCGAATGAACGTTTATTGTTCGGGGATGAACGCGGTAGGATACTGGGTATTACTTGTTATCTTGCTTGTGTGCTCATTGTTTGGTCCTCAGGTCGTGTTTAGTGAGAAAAGGCGAGTGATGCACAGACTGCAGAAGTGCAGGTATAAGTATCTTCAGTACTGACAGAATGAGTGTCAATCCTCCGCATCCCTCGCTTCCTGTTGTTGCTGTGGCGCACGAATGCATAGAGTTGTGGCGGTGCAAGGTGGCTTGACATGCATAACACTTTGAAGGCTCCTTCACAACTTCGACTTCTCGACGATCTGGTCAGAATAGCCACCATCACCGACACCTCATCAGCAGCACGATACTTGCCCTCCACGACTACACCAGCACCCCAGCTATAGCCAAACAACATCAAGTCACAGCAGCAGCACAGGTTGCTCTCTCACAGATCGAGTCGGCTAGAGTAGCGGCATGGTTTTGTAACCGCCTTTGTTCCCGCGAACTTCACGTGTGATCATTTGAGCCAAATAGACATGGGAGGTCTAGTGTCGAAATACCTTTCCAACCTTATTTGGGGCAAGAAGGCTATCCGGATATTGATTCTTGGTCTCGTACGGTCTCGAACATCTTGGAAAGTTTGCACACTCACTGATGGTCATCAAAGGACAATGCCGGCAAGACCACACTTCTCTACCGACTCAAGGTCAGTTCCATCAACCGCGTATTCGGCGCTTCACTAAATGATTGCAGATCGGGGAAGTGGTGACAACAATTCCGACGGTTGGGTTCAATGTTGAGTGAGTACATCGCAAAGGCCAGTTGGACGGCGTCTGATGCCACTAAGGTCCGTGCAGTATGGCAGCCTCAATTTCGACGTCTGGGATCTCGGTGGCCAGACGTCCATAAGACCCTACTGGAGATCGTATTATGCCAATACCGCTGCCGTGATATTCGTTATCGACTCCACGGATATCGAGCGGTTAGAGATAGCTGCCGATGAGCTCCGATCCATGCTGAATGAAGATGAGCTGAGAGACGCTGCTTTGCTAGTCTTTGCAAACAAGCAAGACCAGGTATGTAAAGCCACATGTCCTTGAGTACGTGCGACTTACACGTTGTAGCCTGGAGCGCAAGGCGCCGGAGAGATTTCTGAAGCTCTGAAATTGAGCGAGTTAAGAGATCGGAATTGGAGCATCGTGGCCTGTTCGGTGATCGATGGTAAAGGCATCACCGAAGGCATGGATTGGCTCTCGTAAGTTGCTCCAGCTCCCAATCAACCATTGTACTAAGACAGCATAGTCAAACGGTCCAATCCGAATCATGACATTGGTTATGGTATACCCTGCATCCTACGGCGCTTGAAATACATGGATCTGGTGTTTAAAGGCTACATTGCTTACATTTTATCTATCCTTTTTGACCTTCTCAAGCCACGTACTGAGCTCCACGGCCAGCCGTACGGGCTGATCGTAATGGATCAGATGCCCGGCGTTCTTAACAATGACCACCTCGTCGGTTCCAATCATCTGTGCAAGTTCCTGGGCCACGTTCACGGGAATCCAAACATCTTCTTCTCCCCAGATGATCTTGACAGGTATTGCCCTGCCCACTTCGTGATACCGCTGTTCTACCTCCTCGATGTCTCGGCCATCTGCTTGCCTCACCTGCCGGGTGTAACCCGTCATTCCTTGAAGACCATCGACTGTCCATGGCTTAACTAGCATATCTTCAATCGATTGGCTCAATGGTTCGAAGGCTGCTTCGCGGATGTAAGAACGGACCAACGCCTCGGCCAAGTGACTCGGGAGGTTGTTGAATATCGTCGCGTTTGTGGCTATCAGACGAAAAAGAGGGGACCCAAAGGGGCTAACTGCCAGTGGATCGACCATGCACAAGCTCGCATACTGAATACCATGACAAAGATATGCCCTGAGTGATATGATACCACCAAAGTCATGCACTACGACATGGGGCGGCTCGGTCAGTTTCCATGCTTCGACGAGGGCAGCAAAGGCCTCTGCTTGGCTAGCCAGGGAGACATTCGGTTCGCTTTCAGAGTCTGATGTCGGCGTGCCGCCAGGAGATTCACCATATCCCGGATTGTCGAACAGGTAGACTCGGAAGGTCGAGGAAAAGGCTTGTGCGTACGGAGCCCACACTTTCGACGACCATGGCGTGCCGTGGACGAAGATAAGGGGGTAACCTCCCGGCTTTCCAAGAATGCGATATCGAATTGTGTAAGTATGGTTGTTTGTCTTCAGGGATATCGTCTCGTTGAGCTGAAAGGCCTCCATGATGTAGACATGAAGTGTTGTCAACGGTATGTCGTTGATTTTCGACCATTGGGAAACGACTGATTTAAGTATGTGCCAGCTTTGTATGATTTCTGGGTGATCAAATCGTGCCCTTCAATCCACGCCCTTTGCGATGCCAAAGTGCCGAAGCTGAGTAACCTCGATCTTCTCTGGACCCAGTGCCTTGTGAGCGCCGATCTGAAAGTTCATTGGCTTGAGCGTATCTACATCAGCAGCAGAGAGGCCATGTTGTATTTGCCCGCTTCGACCTCATGGTCCCAAAAAATCAACCCAACCCGAGGCTCTCACCTGCTTTATTTCATTCTCTCCTCGTCAAGCTGGCCAATGTCTGGCGGAGCTTAGTGCAACAGAGGTATCACTGCCTCATGACGAGGACGTGCAGGAAAAGGTCTTGATGCTATGGTGCGCCGTATTTCATGATCCACCGTATTATCTTCTCCGCATGGCCTGTTACTACGAGGTACTCTTACAGTCTCCGTGTCGTCGCTTTCTCGGTGTTGTGCATCGGACGCTCGAAGCTGGCTATCTAAAGCAGGCACGCATCTGAAGCTATATTTTTTATCCATGAACTAAAAGTGACCTGTTTAATCTGTCATCCTGGCTCGACCAAGGGCTCTCCTCATCCTCATCACCTCCGCCGCTCTCTTCTCCGTCATCTCTCTCATCATCCTGGCTCCCTTCCGTACCTCTGCCCGCCTAGGTTCAATCCTGAACCAGATAAGGCCCTTCAAGCCAGCGACCACGTCTTCCAGTTCCTTCAGACCTGTCACTACATCCGCCATGGCTTCGCCCAAGTTTCGTAAGCCACCGCAGGCACCTCCAAGTTTCACGGCAACGCCCGAGTCGGTTGTGAAGGACACAAAGGAAATGCTTGCGCAGTCCAAGAAGGTCACAGACGACATTGTTGCCCAAATTGCGGAGAAAGATGCTACCTTCCAGAACGTACTTCTGCCAATGGCACATGACGAGAACTTGCAGACTCTGAAAGCGCATATCCTTGGCTTCTACCAATCTGTCTCCACGGACCAAGCACTGCGTGATGCCTCCACCGAGGCTGAAAAGCTCATGGATGACTACAGCATCGAGGCTGCCATGCGGGAAGATGTCTTCAAGCTTGTGGACGCTGCGCTCAAGAAAGCGGACAAGTTGGACCCTGAATCGCAGAGACTCCTCCAAAAGGAACACAAGGGCTTCGTCCGTAATGGATTGAATATTCCGGCTGGCCCAAAACGTGACCGTTTCAAGGAAATCAAGAAGAGACTTAGTCAGCTCGGAATTGCTTTCTCCAAGAATCTGAACGAAGAAAAGGGTGGACTGTGGTTTACCGCTGAAGAGCTGGACGGTGTCCCCGAGGATGTCCTGTCCATCCTGAAGAAGGAGGGAGACAAGTATTGGTTGACCTTCAAGTACCCGGACCTCTTTCCCACGCTCAAGTATGCCACCAATAGTGAGACCCGAAAGAAAGTCTTCGTGGCGAACGAGAACAAATGCAATCAGAATGTTCCACTCTTCCAGGAGGCCATATTGCTGAGAGATGAAGCTGCTCGACTACTGGGATATCCAAACCACGCTGCTTTCAGAATCGAAGACAAGATGGCGAAGACCCCCAAGACCGTCGACGATTTCCTCGGTGATCTGCGCCAGCGGTTAAGCCAGGGGGGGTTGGACGAAATTGAGACGCTGAAAAAAATGAAGAAAGCCGATCTTGAATCTCGGGGTGAACAATTCGATGGTCGATACTACCTCTGGGACCACAGGTTCTACGACCGAATGATGGAAGAGAAAGATTACCAGCTCGATCAACAGTTGATCTCGGAATACTTCCCTTTGCAAACCACAATCCGGGGCATGCTCGAGATTTTTGAGCAGCTCTTTGGTCTGGTCTTCGTTGAAGTCGTCGGCAAAGACCGGGACAGTATATCTCCTTCTGGCAAGGGTGATGATATTGTGTGGCATGAGGAAGTTCAGGTATTCAGTGTATGGGACGATGAAGGGGAAGGCGGTGGGTTTGTTGGCTACCTTTACCTAGATCTCTTCCCACGTAATGGCAAGTACGGACATGCTGCAAACTTCAATCTGCAACCAGGGTTCCTCCATACAAACGGTACGAGGAGGTATCCCGCAACCGCGCTTGTTTGCAACTTCTCCAAACCTACGGCCAAGAAACCCAGTCTGCTCAAGCACGAAGAAGTCACCACGTTATTCCATGAGCTTGGCCACGGTATCCATGACCTTGTCTCTCGAACCACCTATTCACGGTTCCATGGAACCAACACCGTTAGGGACTTTGTCGAAGCACCAAGTCAAATGCTCGAGAACTGGTGTTGGACTCCATCACAGCTGCGTGCACTGAGCAGGCACTATTCCACGTTGTCGCCAGAATACTACGACTCCTGGAAGGAAGCTGCGGGCTCAAATAGCGCAAGGCCGGAGGAACGAATCCCGGACGATCTGATCCAGAAGTTGATCAAGACCAAGAACCTCAACGGCGCACTTTTCAATCTTCGACAGCTCCATTTTGGTATCTTCGACATGACTATCCACGAACCTCGCGACCACGCCAGCATCGAATCCATGGATATTTCCGAAACCTATAATGCTCTGCGAAAGGACATCAGCAAGATCGACGGACCTGAAGTCCTGGGTGAGGGTAACAAATGGGGCAATGGACAGGCCACTTTTGGCCATTTGATGGGCGGTTACGACGCCGGTGAGTTGTCTTCCTTTCCCGAGAGCATTTCTCCGGTGTGGGTACTAACGTAGGACACCCAGGTTACTATGGTTACCTCAGCTCGCTGGTCTACTCTACAGACATGTTCTACAGTGTCTTTAGGAAGGACCCCATGGACCCGAAGGAGGGTCGACGTTACCGACATACGGTGCTCGAGAAGGGCGGTAGCCAGGACGAGATGACGACGCTGATTGAGTTCCTCGGCAGAGAGCCCAAGACGGACCCGTTCTACGAGGAATTGGGCCTCACCAAGGGTACCCAGTCAGGTGCTGGGACGACATGATTCCATAAACGGGAAGATATATTCACAGTGTATATACAAGTAGAGCAGCAAGCCTGGTTTTCCTGCTTATGCACTAATACATTAGCTAGATGACCATCCCTTGCATCGCCCACCAATAAAGAAAGATCTCCTCCTGTCAAAGACAATAATTACAAGACAAGCCCACAACACCGGTACATCCGCGCAAGTGATCGTTCGTGGACGACCCGAGGTAAATTGCTTGTATACCTCTCTTTTTCAACGCCAGACTACCGAGGGCCACGGTCAACGAGAAGAAAAAAGTACATGTGGAGATCAGCGACGGGATCCGCGCGCCGACGGATATTTCACGAGTACGCCGTACTGGTTCTCATGCACGGGGTCAATGCCCGGTCCGACCCAGACGCGCGTGTTGGCCGAATCCTGCAGTTCGATTCCTTGGGGGCCCCAGGCCTTCTCCATCTCCAAGCGTTTCTCGCTCTTGGGCTTGTTCTGCTTGAGGCGGAGCTTCTCGAAGAAGACGTACGCGGCGTAGAAGACCATGCTCTCGGCGCCCTTGCGGGGTCCACTGGCGCCGAGGCGCGGCGTTCGCTGGTCTCGGGCAGGGCGCGGTTGATGGCGCGGATGAAGCTCGCGCCGGTCGCGTAGGGGGTCTCGCGGAGGTACTTGTTGATATTGTTGCGGATGTCGTCGCACGTGTCCATGACGGGGACGCTGTCAGTGTCCTCGCCGGCGAGCTTGATCTGGGACACGTCGTCGGCCGCTTCGACCTCGGCGATGATGTCCTTTTTGGATTTCGCCGAGGACGACGACGACGAAGAAGCTGTGCTCCCTCCGGCCGTCGTGGGGTTGTCGTTGGCTTTGATCTTTTTTTGTCGCGACGTCTTGACTCCCGCCAGTTGGCGGCGTTTGAAAAACGCGGCCGCGCCAAAGTAGGTGTCGCTGCCGGAGCCTTTGTCTCTGCCACTGAGTTTCATGAAGTGGTTGTACGAGGCTGCGCTGACGCCGATCTTCCTCTGGAACTCGCCGATTTTCATCTCGCCGCTGTTGATGAATTGGCGGATCTTGGCTCGGATTTGCTGCGCAGACCATTCCTAGTAGACGCGGGTGTGACTTGTGAGTAGAGCCGGTCCAGAAAAACGAGTGTGCGAACACCGACAAAGTATGTATTGTCGGGAGGAGCAGTAGATTCACAGGCATGCATGTATATATGTATACATGCGATCGCCGACCCAAGGTATTGGGTCATTATCACAAGGTTCACGAAGTAGTACTCACAATGGGCATGCCATCGGGCAATTCAAGGTCGTCTGGATCGACGGCCAATGCTTCGTCACTCTTGCGCTTCCTCCCTGTCGAAGCCTTCCCGGTTGTTGAGACCTATACTGCAGATCAGCGTACCGACTAAACGTGCAGAATCGGGCCGACCGCGCGCGACAAGTCCATACCTGTGGCGCGACGTTAACACTTCGCTCTGCAAGAGGGCCAGCGCCTGCCCCGGCCATTCTCATGGAATCAGATATCTTGGCGAGGTTGTTGGCAATAGCACCGAAAGGGTCTGGTGGTATGGTGAAGGTTGAAGACATTTTGGCAACAACAAGCAACGCGAGCTGGGTACTTATTTATCTTCGGTCGTTCTCGGGGACCGAAACGGTGAATCCTTGTAGGGAGTTTTCGGAGAGTGATAACAGTACATACAGGCTCAGGTCAAGGGGGGGAAGCGAATGAGGCGACGCGTCTGGTGTGATCCAGTACATTGTATGTACCTGACTTCATCACATCACGCACTATAGCATCAGGTTAAACCGATTGCGGAGTAGCGTGGTTTGGGGCTAAACGCCTGTTCACGTGGTACGGGCTCGGTCATGGTGACTGGCTGCGCACCTCGTGGTGGACCTCAACCTGCCTGAACTTCGATCCTGCGAACACCAGACGCAGTTGACGACCTTTTAGAGCTTGGGCGATCAAAGTTTTGCGTATCTAGGGCATCTCAGTCATCTTCTATCCGAAGTATTTTCCGCCGTTCGCCTGTCCAATCTTCCCATCATGATACATTCATGTCAAATAAAAATACGGCGCCGAAACCAGACCCCTGAACGAGACGACCAAATAGTAGTAGAGCTGAATAAGAAATTCGTTCAGAATAATGCCCCCGTCGTTCGTCTCAATAAAGAAAGACCCATCCGAGAATTTAACTAGATAAAACCGCGGCCATCGGCGGAGCGATTGTGCATCTCGTACCCTTGGCTTCTGGGACGAGGCTTCTCGCCTGGGCCTGCATTCGAGCCGTTTCGTGCCGACATTCTTGGCCCGAGGATGACCACGGCAATGTAGATCAAGAAGATGACCACGGCAAAGACGCTGTACACGACGACCGAATAAGTCGGTACGTTGGTGCTGCCAACCTTCCCCGATTGCTTGAAGCCAAGACCCCCGTTGACGATCCCGAGCAGGATGAAAGCCCGGCCGGCCCAGCGATGGCCATGACCCATGGGGCTACGGGTACCATTCTTGCGGAAGTGCAGATGTTGGAGCAATCCCAACACCGGCTGGAAGAAGACCATCCAAGCCACCAGAACGAAGCCGATGACTTGATGGTACTCGTCGATTTCATCGAGTTTATCGGCTAGCTTCACGCCCAAGCCGAGTCCGACGAGCATCAGGATGATGCTCACCGCTTGAAGCGGACCGTGGATGTGTCTGACCTTCTCGCGGTAACCGAGATAGATGGTCAACGAGGACAAGGGGAACAAGAGCACAAAGGTCAAAGACATGATGGTTGCGTGCGCGATTCGAGTGGATTTGTTAGGGTCGGTGACGCTTGTGCTTGTGCCGGCGTTGGACGGGTCGGTGCCTACCAAGGGATTGGAGACGCCTCCTGTGGATGCTGAACCAGCGCTGGTGGTGGTCGCTGTGGCAGTCTCAGAAGCAGCTCCGGAGGCAGCTGCAGTCTGCGAAGGGCCTGACGTGCCTGACGGAGCCGCTGAGGAGGAACTGTCAGTGGTACCTGAAGCGGCGGCGAAGGGGTTCGGTGAGCTGCCTCCAGTCCCAGTTGTCAGGTCGAGGCTGAAGGCCCCCTCGGTATCGTGCTGGGAGATGGATTCGCTGACGCTGGTCGAGTCAAGCGCATCGCCAGTCTTGTAGGCCCAGATCCAGGAGCTCGATGAATCTGTAGGGTCCATACTGCCACCATTCCAGCTCAAGCATGAGTCACATCGAATGTTGGCGACCATGGCGCCGCTTGAAGTGATACCGGTTCCCTCGAGAACCGACACCTGGGCATCGCTGTTCACTCTTGGTTGGACCTGACCAGTGCCCAGTCTCGGAGACACCGTCACATTGTTGCTGTCGGCAGCATAGACGACGAACATGTTGGCGCCAGCCATCTGAGATCCTTGCCCGAAGCCGACCCATTGTGTCCCGCTCGGAGCGCTGATCTGGAGATAGATCGAGCCACTACCAGAGGAAGCCGTGTCCGACGGGACATTGACCGAGATCGCATAGTTGCTTCCTGAGAACTGTGCGAATTGTGCTGTTGAGCCGGCCACTGGCGACGTGTTAGTGAACGCGCTTGAAGAGGTTGACGCGAAGAACGTACCAAGGGCAGCGGTAGCCAAGGCTTTCATGATGACCATTGTGTTTCAACAGATCTCTTGGCTGATATATAATACTTGTATGAGTCCACGCGAGTTCCAGGGAGCGGACGTATATGTTATATACGAAAATATTCCCGTACACGTACGAAGGATTATCTCTACGCGCTGGACTCAAAAACTTGTAGCATTCGAACTCTTGCTAGAAAGACGCTCCGCGACGTGTGGAGCGATACGGGGGATTTATCAGTACCGATCGAAGGCTAGGGATCTGGCACGACATGGCACAAAGTCTGTGCAAATTGCTGGGCGTCTTGCGCGTCTGGTGGCTTGCCAAGGGGGCCGCATTGCTCAGGAGTCCGAAACCGTTGACGAGCCAAGCCCCTGTTGAAGGATCGTTTTGAGACGTAGCTTGCTTCTGACTTGTTACATGACCCAGTCGCTTCTTCGCAGCGTACAGGGGCAGTGCCTATCATCCGCGACAAGATGGTGCAAGAAACTGCGAGGTGAGTGACAACTGTACAGTCTTGCTTATGCACCCCGTACAGTACTATTCTCATAATGAGAGCCTCCGACCATACCAAGGCTGGCACAGAGATGACAGGTGCTAATATAAATAGCATCCCTAAAATGGAGAGCCCTATAACAACAGGGGTAAGACGTTGGGCTTTACCAGGTTTGGGCCGCTCTGCCATGGTCCCAAGCCCCCATGGCCCATTCGGGAGTCTGGTGCCCTAGAGAACGGGCATTCGCTTAAATCCTGTGGCTTGATGGGAGCCAGTGAAACCCCCATTCTGTGCATGTCCCGGGGAGGGAATAGGGGCTAGACAGAGCTTAAGCCACCGGGTTGGCAAGCCGGGGGGACCATCAGCAGGATCGCACGTACATTGATTGGCCATGTCAATTCCTAGGGCCTCGCAAGCAGCCCATTCCACTTGCTTGCGAGTCTAGGGCTGATCTTGTACCTCCGAACAGGTACATCTCCGTGCGACGCATCTGTTGTGCTGCTGAAAATTCCGTGAGTTGCCATTCGTACGCTTTCTTGACTGCGTCTCCATCTATTGGCGGCTATCGTACCTGTAAACAGCAAGTGTCATCGTATTCCTGTCATTGTGCATGCATTTCTATGCGAGTTTGAGAAGTATAGTGTATATGTGTTTATGTATATGAGAAGAGAGAGGCGTCGGCACGAATGGTACAATCAAAGTCGCCTCGCCCCAGTATGCACTCTTCTTTCTAGTACAAATCTTTCTCATAGCCCACTTTACGCCGAGTCTGTCGGCCGGTCTCTGTCGAACATTGGTCATCATCTGGATCGCGTGGCACTATCATGCAAATTCGCATGGGCCTTGAGCACCCGTGGGCTCTTCTGAATGCGCGGGCACACGCCGCTCTATTTTTGCTCTGTGAAGCGGCGACATGGCCTCTTCTGCAACTTTACGAGGCAGAGGCACCGTCCCACACGACATGTGTCTCTCTCAGGCAACATGCCTCGGGGACTTCATGGTGATGGCCTTCGCAGCAATGCATAACACGCTGCGCTGTTTATAGCGTCCAATGATCATCGACTCACTCAATTGAGCCCTACAGTTTGGCGGAATTGCACCGTAGGACAATTGAATGTTATATGCCCACAATAGCTGGCAAATGCCAGTCCACCCGGGTGCATGGCGAAGGTATAGTAAGGATCTCGAGACTCATCCTGTACCTTTGCTGAATATGTTGCTCACCTGGTGCTCAGATAAACTCATTGTGTAGTTTTCATCATGATCTCCTTGATCATCTCATTTCCGAGTCTGACTGCGTCAGGGAATCTTGGTGCAAAGTACTGCTGGATGTTCTCAAAGCGATCACGATAGGCGTCGAACGCACCAAACGACACGCATTCAGACCAAGCCTGGAGGAAGCTATTAGCGGCGTGGTCATACGAGTGCATAATCCACCTCCACCTTCCAAAAAAGATGGAGTGCAGGAGGTGTGTGTACGTGTGAGTGTGGGTGGGCGCGGGTGTTTGCGCGAAAGCATTGACCACAGAGCCAAGCTGATGGCCGAAGTATAGACTTACCCTAGCGGCAAACGTGAATTCCAAATCATCCGAGCGAAAGGTGTTATCTTCGATCGCCGTATTGATCGTTTCGTCCAGCAAGGCCTCATCTCGAAACAGATACTCTGTGACGCCGAGCCAGATACGGAAAAGCTAGAGGATCAGCAATAGAACTGCACTTGATAGAAACACGGCTTACAGGCGTGGAGCAAATCATATGGTCGTACGGCACAATGCCGAGCTTCCACCAACAATCAACTATCCCCAGCAAACTGAGATGGTTGTTTGGTGTTCTCTCTTTCGGGGTTTTCGACAGAGAGAACTTGTCCAGCACGTCATCTCCCAGAAGGAGGTTGTGGTGGGCAGTTTCGTTCGAGAAGACCGCGGCGCCAGCAGTCTTGATCCTGGTAGCAAGCTCTTCACGATGGCCACCCAGCATAAGCTTATACAACTCAGTGACAGACTGAGCATACTGCCGGATCTGCTCCTTGGCTGCAGGGTTGAGGATTGCAAGTCCCGCATAGACGTGCCATTTGTTCGCATAGATTCGCAAGGTGATGTTGATCTTAACGTTCTCTATGCCACCAATATAGCGGTCGATTTCCCACGGAAATTGCTGGTTTGCTGCCCAAGCGGTTCCCATACTCAGAAAGGCAGCGTGCGTGACTGCCTGGGTATCTGCTGTGATTCGATCATGCCTTTCACCAGAAAGAAACACCATCTTGGAATTGAGGCAAGAAAGGATCCGGACACAAAGATCAACACTTTTCTGCGAGGCTCGATGCTGGATGACGACAAGTGGCTGGCCGGTGGGATCTACAGCAGGCCCATGCAAGGAATGGCACGAGACAATTTCGACATCGTCGGGCAAGTACTTTTCGAAAGCGGCGAGTTCGGGGGCTTTACAAGAGGTCTGCCCACCGACTATGGCCCCAACCTTGGTTGAAGGACCATACTCAGCGACCACCCTGTCAATGACTTCAGCTTCCACGCTGTATATGATCCATTCGCTGGCTCTTGAAACGAGATGTCCATTGGGTAAAATATTTATTCCTTTCTAGTATTGGTCAATGGTGGGTGCTCATCAACTCTGCTGACGACACAAACCTCATCCTCGAACTCTTTGTGGAGTGTCTGAAATTTGTCTGGTCGGTCGCAGGCATTGACTCTGCATGGCACATTCTATCAGTCCCATACTATATAAATCTGAAAGCATTAAGCAGCAAGCAGCTAGAGCACATCTGTGAAAGCAGTTAGTCGCCGAGCACAAAAGTGAACGAGAAACAATATGCTTGGGTATAATCTCTTCAGACAAAAAAAAGTAAGGTAGCGAGGGTTTTACATCAGTGACAGCCCACACGACAGGACGCTACATCAGAATGATGAAGCAGTATCGTGATGACCATGCTCGAGCCAAATGCACTCAGAGTCATCCTTGAACAGTGAGAGAGGGAGAAAAGACAGCAACGTACCTTGCAAGCATGAACAAGCTCTCGAGAACTTCTACGGTTCTGAGAAAACAAAATATGCGACATCATACCTCCAACCAGCTTGACTGAACCTCTTCGCATACAAGCGACCCATGTCACCCATGCCAATAATTCCGACAGCAGCGTTCTTCTCCATGCTGACCACGAGCGGCCGAGGAGGCGGCCGAGGACAGCCAAAGAGTCAACCAGTAGTCGACTCGAGGAATTGCAGAAGGTAACCGATGCCCTAACAATGAGCTTCACAAGTGCTCTGCGTAAGTTCTCAGACACAGTTCTTCATGGATCCTGGTCTTCGAACAAATATGAGAGTTTGTTGCCAAACAGATGAATGAGTCGAAAAGTCGAAAAGTTTTGTCTTTTGATGCTGCCAAGACCCATCGCCGAATCAGGCTTAGACCACAATCGGCGGTCGTGGGTTTCAGTCCCGCCGACTCCCACACTGCGATTTCGATTTTGGACCAGGCCCTAGAATATTCACTTTCTTTCATTGTTTGTGACCACCAGCCGGACAATCAAGAGTACTTTCCCCAACTCACAACTCGACAACAACATGCCTCCAAAGAAGAGAGTCGAACGCCCCGCCAACGAGAACATCTCTCTCGGCCCTCAGGTCCGGGAAGGTGAGTTTTGCGCCTCGAGAACGGTTTTGAAGACGGCAGCAAAAAAACTGACGGATTGTTGTACAGGCGAACTCGTCTTCGGCGTTGCACGTATCTTCGCATCCTTCAACGACACCTTCGTCCACGTCACCGATCTCTCGTAAGTCAAGACCCATACACTCGCGCCTGACGAGAGTACACAACGGTTCGACGACAGAAAAGGCTAATGCTCTCAAATAGTGGTCGCGAAACCATCTGCCGTGTTACTGGCGGTATGAAGGTCAAGGCCGACCGTGACGAATCCTCCCCATACGCCGCCATGTTGGCTGCCCAGGACGTTGCCCAGCGATGCAAGGAACTCGGCATCAACGCCCTGCACATCAAGATCCGAGCCACTGGTGGTAACGGCACCAAGACCCCAGGCCCCGGTGCCCAGTCCGCCCTCCGTGCCCTGGCCCGTTCAGGAATGAAGATTGGAAGAATCGAGGACGTCACTCCTACTCCCTCCGACAGCACGAGACGCAAGGGTGGTCGTCGTGGTCGTCGTCTGTGAGCATGTGCGCTGCACAATACTGCGCGTACATTTGTCGTTTTCGTGGAAATGAGTCGTTGTGGGATGGTTCGCATATCACTTCGGACACACGCAAAGCGATCTCAGGGCTGGGAAGAAATTGATGGTCGTGGTCACAAATACGCGAAGAACGGCTCCTTCTGCCTGGTCTTCACACACATTTCGTCCTGCTCCAAGTAGTTGGCATGAAATCAATCTCAAAAAAATTCTTTGTGACTTCATAATTTTTCTTCCCACCGTATATGCCGTCTATCTAGAAATAAATCTTGCCCAGCACAGTACTGTATCCAACAGAGGAACATGGATTCGCCGACCATTCTGATCCTGTCGCTGCCGCCGAAAACCTTCATCGGCCTAGACCTTCTCTCATTTACGTCCGCGCCAAATTTCCATGGCGTCAGCAACGTCACACCCGGCTTGCATTTTGTTTACTCTGGAACGGATGCCTCGCTCTCCATCCGGCATGGCCGATGGGTTAATATAACATCGCAATCGCAGACTCAAGTTTTGCAATGGTCCGCCGCCACAGAGTCTCTGGATCTTCTGGATCCCACATGCGCGCCAGCCCGCAGTGCGATCAACACTATATCGTCTCAGGGACTGGTCGACTACAGCGCGCTCCAGGACGCGACATCCGATCTGTCATCTCATGAAGCCTCTAATTCGCAGGCACACAGGTCTGCCACTGGAGATGATGACCGTGGGGATGAGAGGGGCGAGAGTACCGACTGGCGCTCCATGATCTTTCACGTCTCGCCCTCCCTCCTGACACGCATATTGTCCCCAGCATGGGCAGTGTCAAGCATATCGTCTGCGCCGTCTGATACTGAGACTATTCCTGGCTTGTCCCACCTCGAGGCAAGTGATGCCTTTCACCAATCGCCTTTGAATCTTCTGCCTGTCGACCTCAAGCAGACGTGGGCGGACGAAGACATTGGCCGGACACGCACCGACCGCGCGAGAGATCGCAGTTGGTATCTCGGTCATCTCATACAATCTGTCACACCCCCTGGAAGCGACAGGGCTGTTGGTGCGAAACAGGTGATCGGGGAGCTACAGTTTTGTTTTCTCATGGTCCTCACGCTGGCCAATTATAGCTGCTTGGAGCAGTGGAAACGACTGTTGAGTGTGATCTTCTCGTGCCAATCGTCTCTACGCGAGGCCGAGGCTTTCTTCGTTGAAGTACTGAAAGTATTTCGTCGACAGGTAGCGCACATTGACGATGTAGAGGGCGGGTTGTTTGAGATGAGGGATGAAGGAGGAAGTGCATGGCTCAGAAAGACATGGGGACGATTCCGAGCTACTGTAGACGAAGTTCTCACCACGAACGAGCAGGATAAGGGCCAACCGGATTCATCCAGGGAAGAAGCTGCTTTAAAGAAAGAGGTTGAACAAGTGCAAACGCTGTTTGAGCAGAAATATGGATGGGCAAGTGAGAAGGATATTCTACGGAGGGGAATGCTAGAGCTGGAGGATGGGGAGAGAATCGAGGTCAGTATGTTGGGTGCAGATGAGGACGAAGAGACGGGAGAGTATGCGCCTGTGGTTGTCGATACTTGATGGCCTGGCAAAATCAACCTGGACAGGTAAGTAGGTACCTTGTGCCGGAGAAACGCAGGAGCTATTGCAGTGCAGAAGATTTTGAACAGTGGTTTTATTCTTTTTCGCTCTTGTGAGAACGCAATTCCTTAAATCGTTCGTAGAATGAACCATTTGCATCGCACTGATACTTGTTGGTGACCGAGGATGGCTTATATCATCTTCAGGGTCCTTGTCGACAAAATGACTGGTTCCCACACCAATGTATTTCACGAGCTGATCGCCTCTATGCCACTTCCTCTCCTTCGATCGAATCCGCAATGCATTCAACCTCGGGCAATCATCATAACCAACCAAACACCACAAACCACCACACTGGTGCTGGTTCGCTTAACGGTAGGATTTCTGGTATCTGGCTCTGGCACCTGGACCACCGAATTTCTTGGGTTCGCACCGTCTGTTGTCGGCAACGAGCAGTGTGCGGTCGTACTGAACAAGGGCTTGCTTCAGTTGGTTCTTGGCGTATTCATCGACGTATTTCTGGTAGTAGGCGACAATTGACTTTGCGATTGCCTGTCGGATGGCGTAGATCTGGGAAGTGTGACCACCACCGGTGACTCGGACACGGATGTCGACTTCGGCGAACTTGTCCAGACCGATGATCAGGATAGGCTCGTAGACCTGTTTGATACATTCATTTCCATCAGCCATTGACTCTCGACCCATGCCAATGTTTTCCTTGATTGCTGCCAACGTACCTTGAAGCGGAGGATCTCGGGTTGCACGAGGGAGAGAGGGCGGCCGTTGACCTTGATGAGGCCCTTTCCTTTCTGTACCAAAAATTGTGAGCTTGCCGTCTTCAATTTCGATGTGCTTTGAATTATCGAACCTTGCAATGGGCGACTGCCGTGGCAGTCTTTTTCTTGCCGAAGCACTGCACACTCTGAGGAGCCGACATGGTGAACTGGCGGCGATTGACAGAGGAGTTACAGTCGAAGAGTTGTCGTTGTCGAGGTAAAGTCGTCGAAGGGAGATTTGCGGTGCGGTGGGCGGGCGACGAGCAAAAGTTCGTGTGCGCACACTTGCCAAGAATGATGGAAGCTAGTACTAATATGGACTAGCTCGTATCGTTTGGAAGCTCGCCGGGCGGAAGTCACTCGATATTCTCTCTTGAGGCTTGTTGTGAAGATTATCTGGACCATTCTATCTGTACACACGCGCTTCTGACTGGTGTTTGTGGCTCGGACATCAGTGGTCGGTCACCAAGGGGCAGTTGTACCCATACACAGATAGCGGCGTCTCCTTATGTCGCAAACCGTGGGCAAGGTAAATCATGCACCGTCTCTCACATTCGTAGCTGAACTAATCCGGCCATCAGACTCGTCTTGCCTACTCTCGAACATGGCATTATATCGACATTGGCAGTGATACAAGGTCGCTGGGCCGAGTTGCATCCTCGATAGCGACATTCTTGATGGGCAAGCACAAACCGATCTGGGATCCTTCAACAGACTGCGGAGACTACGTGGTAGCAGTCGGGTGTCACGATTTACATGTTACCGGCAAGAAACGACAACAGAAACAATACTACACACACAATACACGACCCGGAAGTCTCAAGCAAATGAGCATGGAGCGGATGATTGAGAAATGGGGCGGGGGAGAAGTTCTCAAGAAAGCTGTGAGAGGAATGCTGCCCAAAAACCGGCTCAGAGACAAGCGGTTAGCCAGATTAAAAGTTTTCGAAGGTACGGCGCATCCCTACCGTCAGAACATTGTCAGATTTGCCGGGGCACCGCACAAAGGCAAAGTGATGGAAGCGATTGAAGCATCGAAAACCGCTTCAAGTACTTCGTGAAGGGGCAAGCAACGTTTGTGTCATTATAGAATTCGGGCTTCTAGCGAAATGTATGAGTATGATGGTACATTGTCCTATCCACAGCATGTTTCTTTATAACGCCATCTATTGAACCGGTAGAGAACTCCAACCATCGTCATGTTCGTGATTTGGTATATGCTGCGCCCGACAATACATTTACAACTTGGCCTTCACTTCGCGCGAAACCGTGCACTTGATCAGACCATTGGGATCGGATTGTGGTGCGTAGACTTCAGCGTCCTTGCCGGTGTTCTTGAGTCCGTTATGCCAGCTCAGGTCAATTTCAAAGTAGTGCTTGTTAGGCAGCGAGTAATCAACAGCGGCGACAAGAGGTTGTGCCGCGAGGATCTCCTGGCCCATCTTGTACATGGTGTTTTGAACGCTAGGAGACTCCTCTGTAGCAAAGAGTCGGAAGGTGATCTCCCTGGACTTGGACCAAGTCTCATCGAATTTGCTCGTTGCCTTCTTGACCACATCGAGGCCAGAGAAAGTCGACCACTTCCAGCCAGCGTCCACAGACGTGCTCAGAATGCGGTCGTACACGTCCGGCAGGGTAGTGAATTCGTCTCGGACAAAGTGGTGGAATTCAGACCCAGTGCTCTTGAGCACGAGCAAATCAGAGATTCCGGAGCGGATCTCGATGCCCTTCCCCTCGAAGATGTCTGCTTGCACCACTCTCTTTTCATTGCCGTCCCGGAAGAAGGAGTGCGGGTGTGGCTTTCCATCGATGGTCATGCGCGTCCATCGGTGCTGGACGATGCTGATGTGCGCAGCATGGATGTGCTTGTACTTTTGAATGAAGTGGTTTCCCAGGGTGGAAGCGAAGAGCTCCGGTGGGTGGATAGGGTTCTGTTTGGCCAGGATGTAGGTGGTGTTCTTCATCGAGTCGGTCGCGACCACGACGCTGTTGTCTGCTTCAGTGTAGCTGTTGCAATATTAGCCTCGGGCTCAGTTTTGCAAATCTCTAGTCACTTACGAAGGGTCAATCTCTCCTTCCAGCAAGACACAAACAGTCATCTCGTACACAGTGTGTGTCTTTGTAGCTTCATCGCGCTCAACCTTGTAGAGGCGGATATTGTCCTTGCCATAGCGCGCTGCTGAAAGGTAACCCATGACGACTTGAATCTTCTGGGGCTGGTCCGTAAGAGGGTTGCTTGCAAGCTGTCCGTCCGTCTGAAAATACAATTGTCTGTAAGAGAGAAACAAAAGTTGGCCGTGGAACTTCTTTATAACAAATTCCTTATCAGAGGGGCTGCTGTTGCCAGGGACATGTCAACTACTGCGCACACCAATTGCATAGACACAATTGCATCCAGATCCTAGTAAATCGCTGATCACTACGGAGTTACGCCTTCGCAGGGGGAATTAGATGCGTAATAGTGGAGGCGATTGGCTCATCGGCAACGAATATGCCTGGTGGTGCGTGTATTGTACGATAAAACATATGGCGGAGCTCGCCGAAAGCCTTCACTTATACCTAGAGAGCCCAGCTGCTGTATTGTAGATAGGTTCTTTTATCAGCTGATGAATCTGCTGTCATTCTGTATGTTGTACGGAGTTTTGCCATCTGTTCGTACAGAGACACCCATGTCCTTTTGCTGTCCCTCTACAGAATGGCAATTATGATCAAAGTGACATGTACGAGTTGAGACGCAGGGCTACGAGTCATGATGTCAATTTGCCTTAGCCTGAAAGGCTGATAAGGTTGCCGATTCTATCGAGGCTTGCTTGTGGTGTATAGTGACGATGTGAGTAACTCAACTTGCACAGCAATGTGGCAAGGTCTCTGGAGAATTGCCAACCCAGCCCAAGCCATTACTCTGTATTCTGGGGAGAAGACAAAAGGAAGCCAATGCCAGAATAAACCGTGCTTCCTGCCTTGAACTCCCTACTCGTATTCGTGTCCGTAACCTACTCATCCTGTAGTGAGGCAGAGGTACCATATTGTGGTAGGGGATATCCGCATACCTACGACTACCTAAAGGCACCTACCTAGTAGATGGCTATGGACCTACAGTACATACAATATCCAGCGCTGTCGTAGGTCAGGTAATCAGCCACGTCGATAGGCTGTGGCAGGCTGGCACCATGTGTCTAGGGACTCCCGCCGGGCGCACTAGGCACAAGTCCGCCTACGAATGATGTGCGGGGGGACGTCCAAGTTCCCTACATTTGACACCCAGACTTTAGCCCGATTTCGCGAATCTCGGCCTGGCTGCGCTTCGTCCAGACTCTCTACTTGTACTCTCTGCGCTCCAAGTTGATCTACAACAACAACAACAATCCATCAGAACATCACATGTCCTCAAGCAAAATTTCCCAAGGCGCAAATCTTCGATAGATAAGCAGTTTCGTAATGATGAATGCACGATGAGCGACGTCAACAATTGCCGGTGAACGTGTCTGTTCATTTCCACGTTGGCCGATCATCAACATCCTCTACTCGCCTAATGAGCCACTTTCGAGTCCGCACCGATCCTTGACGTCCGATACACGTTCTCGCCCTGGAACAGACCTCAGGATCCCTCAGGCATAGATCTCGGTCAAGCTGCCTCTCATTTCATGAGTGTGTACAGAGCACCTCATCCGAACAAAGCAACCCTAGTGGGACGGCCTTACGATCCATGGCCTGCAGATGGCCTCGTCAGATCAAGGGTCGGGGTACTCGGTGACGCCAACCCAAGGCAAAGGATTTACTTTCCGCCATAGTTCACGGAAGAGTGATGATCTGTCGGCATCGCGACGACCGTCCATCAAGGATGGCCGCTCGCTATCCGGTGGAAGCAGTCACTATGGTCCCAAGGCATTTATGGCTGCCATGACATCGGCCAATCCTCCCGGATCCTTCAGTGCGGACTTGAAAAGTGCGATGCAGTCAGGGAGAACCACACCACAAAGTGAGTTGGCGGCAGTACAGTTTTCGCGCCATCCACCACAATACAAAGATGGAGACATTCTTGATACCTCGGAGAAAAGGCAGGCCGCCGTGCGTGACAAGATAGCTAAAGAGATGAAGATTAAGCTGGGGACCGAGAATATGCTGGAAGCCCTCTTGAGTAAAAACAACAAACAGACCAAAGAACAACGCCAGCGGGTTGAGATGGAATTAGGCTCATCCAACAGGAAGCTTGCTGAATTAAAGCAAGAGCTCGACCAGGAGATCATGCGCGCTCAATCCCCCACGACGCCTCCCAGCAAGAGAATGACCAGCTATTTTCGAGGCAGCCCTCTGAGGACACCGCCGTCCTTAGCACAGTCTCAGGAGAATCCTTTGGCGGAGTCTATCGACAGCGAATCTCCAACGGTTGTCCTCACAGAGACACTTCAGCAATTGGAGGCGGATGGCATGCAACCGGACTATTATATTGAACGGGCGAATACGTTGGTCGAGCTTCTTAAACGCAATCCTACCTTGAAATACGATCTGGCCTGGTCAGTCTTCAGCTTGCGTGTCCAATTGATGCTACTGAGCGAGAGTTCCGACGTTGTCGCGGCCGGTTACAGGCTCACACGACATGCCATTGCTGACCGCAAGTCGTTGCAGACCATCAGAAATCTTCACACCGATGAGCTGGTGATATTATCCTTGGTGAAACGAGAGAAGGCCCTTTTGGAACGAGAACAAGCCGTCAAATTCGTGCGAGCTTTTCTAGATGTCAAAGACGGGGTCTATGAGATCTCACGAGCTGTGGTCCGGAGCTTGGTGGCCGTTGCCGAAACCCCAGACGACAGACTGAAAGATATCTGCCTGTTGACGCTGGCAGAACTTCTGACCAAGCACACCGGACTTGTCGTGTCCGCCAACGGCATGAGTACACTCACAGAAGCCTTGGCTGATGGCTCATTCCCAGCCCCGGAAGGTCTTGTTGCCGGGTTTCTCCAGATCCTCGATCACCCTCTCCAGCGACGGTTCTTGCACACTGGTCGAGAATTCGAGGCAATGTTTGCTCCCTTCACTGACCCGTTACTCTTGAGTGGCCATGAAGACAGGCTCAAGAATTGTGCTCAGGCCATATCTGCCATGCTCAAGACATGGCCAGGGTTCTTGCTACTCTCCAGGAATGGCGCAGCGCCACTCCGATCGCTCATCGATTCGCTTGTCTACCCCATCCCTCAGTCGCGCGACATAGTCCTTGAGCTGTTCTTTGACATATTACGTATCAAGCCTCCGTCGTGGTCAAGTTCGTTCCTGGCTGGCCGGAGGCTTACCACCTACGGGCGGGTCAACACAGCACCTGTTGAGCAACCTTCGCAGAGGCAAATAGCGGAGTCTAGCGCCGAGGGCAAATTCGATTTGACATATCACTTCTCAGCATTTGTTCTGGCCGCCCTTGTCAAGGCCGATCTCATTCACGCTCTCGTCCAATTGGTCCGGATTGAGGAAGACCTCATGCTCAAAAGGAAGGCTGCTCTTCTACTAACAGAAGTATTGAAGTTAGCCCACCACACTCTACCAGAATCTGTGAGTGCGAACATACAAGTATTGGGTGATCTGATCCCTACTCTCCAAGACTATGGCTCTGAGACTTCTGCCACGAACATGACATTGATCTATCAGATTGAAAGCATCAATCGAACCTTGAACCGGACCACAGGTTCACTGTACGGAAGAGGCGTTCGCGCTGACGAACTGGTCGCCGCGCCTCAGGCTGTTGAAAGATCAAGGTACACCGCAATGATGGATTCCGATCAATTTCGACAAGCCATGACCGACAGTCAAGTCACAAGCCATTCCCAGTATGTCAAGTGGAAATGGGACCTGATACACAGCCTCGTGGAAGGTCCACTCACGAATCCAAAGAGATTGGAAGACGCTATCAAATCCCCCAAATTCCTCAAGCGGCTCGTTGGATTCTACCGCCCCTTCAAGTACAGATTCTCTATAATTCGAAACACAAGACCCAATCAGCGCTATGTCCGTACAGGATGTGCTCTCATGAAGACTCTCACGCAAACCAGTCTTGGACTGGAGTATCTTACCGAGAACAAGCTTTTACGGCAGATTGCAGAATGCCTGGCCCAGGTTTCTCCTCACAGCGGGATCACATCTGCGAGTCCGCTATTTGACCGGCAGCACATGGCCGAGACTCTGAGCGGTGGGTATTTCGCTCTCATTGGTGCTCTGAGCCAATCCTCAGAAGGCCTACGGCTGATGGAAAGGTGGCATATCATGGACATATTCTATCATTTGGTTAGATTAAAAGATCGCGATGATCTCGTGAAGGCGCTCCTCGGCAACATGGACTACACCCTTGATTCACATCTACGAGTTATCCTGTCAAAAGCCCTCACCTCAGGGGTCAAAGACATCCGGATCTTCGCGACGAGGTTACTTCGGCGATATGCGGTGGGTAGGGTGCAGTATTCGTCTGGACTCCAGGATCGAGCGAGTTCACACTGGGCTCTCCGGCTCGTGCTTACACAACTATACGATCCTGACATTGAAGTCGGCGAAATTGCCGTGAAAATACTGGAAGAAGCTTGTAACCAACCTCGTCATCTTGAATACGTCGTCAAATGCAGGCCGTCATTGGACCACCTGGGCGAGATCGGTGCACCACTCCTACTGAGGTTTCTGTCCACTTCAGTTGGTTACCGGTATCTTAGTGGCCTGGACTATATCACTCAGGAAATGGATGATTGGTTTTTGGGACGCAATGATGCCTACGTGGCGTTGGTCGAGGCGTCAATCCTCCGCGCATACTTGGAGGGAGCACCGCACAAAACGCAGTTCTCGGTAGACCCTGCTCTTGACCCGAGTGAGCCAGGCGTTGCTCCTCCTCACTTCTACCGCGAACTTGCGCGAACCCAAGAAGGTTGCAAGCTCTTGCGACAGTCGGGACATTTCTACGAATTTGCGTCCACGATCAGAGATTTCCGACTAGACGAAGAAGACGCAGAGTCTCTCACCAAAGTCAAAGGATGTATGTGGGCAGTCGGCAACATTGGCTCAATGGATCTCGGTGCACCCTTCCTCGAAGAAGCCGACGTGGTGACGGCCATTGTTCGCGTCGCAGAAGGTGCACAGGTGCTCTCCATGCGTGGGACAGCGTGTTTTGTGTTGGGACTAATCTCTCGGACCTTACATGGATTCGAGATGCTTGCTGAAAGCGGCTGGGACACCACAGTTGACCATCGAGGACGTTCATTAGGCCTCTGCTTGCCTCGCAACCTCGAGGCTCTGTGTCTGGTGAGAACTCCCTTGTGCCCCTTACGAGACATGGTGATACTGACATGCCATAGAAAACTGTTGGTTCTGACGCGGCTCTAAGGGTCGCAACGCCGGAAGAAGATGCCAAGTACAAGGCTGCCGTGACTGACGACGACCCAATGCGTGCGAAAATTCTGAAGCATATCGTTGAGATGGGCAACTCGGTGATGTACAAGAAAGCGGCTGGCGACCTCCACGCCTTGAAGGTGAAGCACCCCACTTACTTTGCCGAGACGGAAATGTTCAAGAGAACGCTTGTCATTCTTGAAAGTCACCATTATCGCCTTCAAGCGAGGCATTACATTTTGAATCTGTTCAACAAGGGATTGATGCGACGAATCATCTTGGACGAAGAAATGGACGAGGATGACACTACCGGTTCAGATACCGGGTAGAGGTCTAGACCGGCCTCTTGTGAGGGCCGTATTGAATTTTCCTGTGGTCTATATGGAGTACCATGTCGCTTGTCAGGCGAGGCTCTGTGCCGGAGCGTTGTGCAAGTGTCACTGGATTTTGAGCCTATTTGCCTGAGCTTAGGTGCTAGATGTCGCGTGGCAGACAGGCGAGGCGGAGTAAGAGGGTGGGCACCTAGGTTTTGCTTTCTCCCTCGATATGTGGCATAGACATGGGCATGAGAATGAACCAGAGAAATGAGATTTGCCTTTTTGGGCAAGCTTCTAGAACGCGTCGAAGTCACTCTCACTGTACGAGTACCGTGGTGTTGTAGCGTCGACTCTGTGGTCGGTCTCACACGGACCACTTGGATCGGATGGGAGAGTTTGGACCAGGCCTGGAGAGGTATCTGTTCGGTTCCGTCCGTCTACTGAGTGTAAAAGAGGACTCGGTAGGGGACAAGCATGGTGGTAACAGGACGAGATGGCCACTATCGTGTGTGAGATCAAAGTGTACGTGTCATACACTGAAGACGCACGGTCCGTCGGCGCCCTCGCGAGGCTCGTGGCGCCAACCCCGAGCCTGGTTTTTCGGAATGGAGCCGTCATCGGTCGAGCTCTGAGGCGAAGTTTGTGTTCCCATGCCCGGAAGCAGTAGTGGGCTACAGCCAGAGGCGACCAGGGTGCGGACAGCGAGAAATCAGCGATGAAAGTCCTTTGCCGGTAACGCTAAGCGGTGGGCGCGGTGGTGGTGTTCACTGTTATTAGAAGGCCTGGAAAAGGCGCCTTTCCGGAGGCTTGGGGGCCTTTGTGAACCCTGCAGGCGGTGCGTCCTGGACTCCTGGCCAGTGACCAGTCCACTCAGCACGGCTTCTGCGATCCGCCTGCAAACGTCCAGATCGCCATTTTCCTTGACATCGCTCCTTCATCGGAAATCCATGGGCCACTATGGGCCTGCAGCCACCACTCGCTAAACCGCCGCAGATGTCTTCAGATCCATAATCCATTCCATCGTGGTCCCAGTATTTCGGAGCCAGCGCCGAGTCAGTCTCTCTCTGTTCTCTTGCGACATGCGGCACCTGTTCCTGAGCAGATGTGCAGATCATCACCCATGGATCCTGCTACCTATCCGTGGGCATAACCACATCTGATTGCTCTGGTCAAGAGTCTACACGTCGTCGATAGTGCAGCTACAACGACCTTATTGCCTCGACTTTGCAATAAACCTTTTCGGTCTTTTGTCTGTCTGTGCGCACTCCTTCACAAGTATCCAGACCGGTCTTTGCGTGCTCTTTGCCTCCTAGCATGTTCCCGCGCTCTGGATAAAGCCCAGCAAACTCATTCTCGTGCCCAACAGATATCGACTGTCCCGACCATCCTTCTCACGGAGCTCCTCAGACCCCGACACCGTCCCTCTTCCATCCATAGCAACAACTTCGATATATGATTCGAGGGCAGGATCGATGCCGTCCTTCGTCGCATGGAGACGATATACTTCCGAGCCTAGATGGTACCTCTAGAGATACGAGGGGACAAGGGTTGTCGAAAACACGAAAACGACAGAAACACGTTCCCACCCCATCGTCCGCGCAGATGAGCGGTGATGGAGATCCGTCCGAGATGAAGGCTCACGGTGCGTATGACGCTTACGAGGATGCCCGGGCCGTAGTGAGGTTGTTCCAATGCTCGCAATGTTCCTACCCACTGAGAGATCCTCTGACATTACCTTGCGGCAATTCTCTCTGCAAGCCATGCCTCCCACCATTGTACAAACGAGAAAACATCACATATCCACAGATAGATGGCCGGTCGGAAGGATTCCTGTGTCCGTTCAAAGGCTGTGGACTGGAACACTCGGTGGGAGACTGCGGAACCGATGTGACCCTGAACAAGATCATGCATGTCATCAGGACCTATGTTACCCAAAACCAGACAGATTCACCCGGGGTGTCGCTGTTGCTGGAAGAGAAATTGGACTGGCCCAGCGTGAGGGAGAGTTCCATCGACGTCATGCCCAGGTCACGTGTCCTACCAGGTGGCCGAATCCTCGCAACATACGTTCTGGCAGACATGGGCGAGCTCCATTACCAGTCGGACGTCGTCTATACGCCAGCCGGTCCGAGTGCTGAAGATAAACTGATCCGAGAACGGGATATTACGACGTTGTCAGCGCTACAAGAGGTGGTTCAAGCCGAGCTGGAGTGTCAGGTGTGTTATCAAGTTATGCTCGACCCCCTGACGACGACCTGTGGCCACACCTTTTGTCGAAAATGTTTCGCCCGTGCCATGGATCACGCCAACTACTGTCCAATGTGTCGTCGCCGTCTACCACTCTTACCCAGTGTAGTGAGTGAACCGAGCAACAAGAGAATCAGCTTCTTACTTCAGCATCTGTTGAGCGACCTATCGGAGGCGAGAAAGGCTGTTGCAGAGCAAGAGGACGCTGTTGACGAGGATGGCCACTTGCCATTGTTCCCTTGCACGTTGGCTTATCCACAAATGCCAACCTTCTTACACATCTTCGAACCACGGTATCGACTGATGATCAGAAGGGTAATGGAAAGTGGTTCGCGAAAGTTTGGCATGCTAATGTATCGACCGTACACACCTCCCTCGGGAGAGGCACAATACATGCCATATGGCACTATCCTGTATATTGAGCGTTTGGAGATGCTACCGGATGGTCGGAGTCTGATAGAGACTAGAGGACTCTACAAATTTCGCGTTGTCGAGGCCTCGCTGCTTGATGGCTATCTCATTGGAAAGGTCCAACGGATCGACGACATCCCTGTGCATGAAGAAGAGGTCATCGAGGCTCGAGAGACGAGTACCGCCGCGCCCCCAGACGCCGACGAGCAAACTCAAATCCAGCACCTGTCAACACAACAACTACTGGATATGAGTCTGGAATTCGTGGAGCAAGCTCGTTCCCAGTCTGCACAATGGCTCCACCAACGAGTATTGGCAGCTTACGGCCAACCACCTTCCGATCCGGCGATCTTCCCTTATTGGTTAGCCAGTGTGCTACCTATTGCACAGACGGAAAGATACACTCTGTTGCCGGCGACGAGTGTGAGGGAGCGACTGAAGATTACAGCATCATGGGTGCAGCGTCTGGAACGCGCCAGGCAGTAAGTCAAACTTGTCTCCCTCCGGCCCCCTTCAGCCCTTCCCCCCTCTATTTTGCCGACTTGCAAGGCCATGTCGCCTGACGTCGTGTACCCAAAGAGAGTTCAGAGCAGAACAACGGACGGCAACCGCAGGTCCTGCTGAAAACGAACACAATGGCACCGAATAAGCGAAGTCTCACAAAGGCTCCGGAGTCAAGTCAGGAAGACAATTCGTGGACAGAGTCAACGGCATGAACAACATTTGCTATGCAAGATCAGTATCAAGAACAGCAACTAACCTTATTTTCACCCAACAGGCAGCACCCTCTCTCGTGCGTTGTGTCGTAGCATGCTGTAGTCATGGGCACTATGGTGGATTTTAATGTGGTTACGCCTGGTCATGTCATTGTCGATTTTCCTAAGAGTATTCCGGTTATTAGACCTCATATCATTGGCAAGGGGCGATGAGCAAGCGATCTCCGTTGCCTATCATTTGTCGGGCGTTTGTTGCTTTGGGAAATTTTTGGGAGAATGTAGCCTTCGGGCGCGTGACATCCCACTTGATGTTATTGCTTGCATACGGGAGTATATGCTACTAGTTGCGTACCTGACGCATTATGTATAGGCATCATAAGAGGTCGAAACGATAGGAGCGACAGATGATTCATTTCTCAGCCTCTTCGTCCTGAACAGACATGTTGGTTTCGAAACTCGGTTGCCTTATGATACTTTTATTCGTATACTCCGTAACAGCTGTAAATTCGTGTTCACCATCGGCGACGAGGCTGGACGAGGCTGGACGAGGCTGAGCGACGCAGCAATGACGTCAAGATGCAACGCAAAGTGCTTGATGTTCTTTTCCCTGTCAACACCTGCACACCCAATAAGCCAGGCGAAGGCATTGGGATCCTCTGGTGCACCAAGTCGAGTCTCCCAAGGATCTCAAGAATTACGTTGTAAACTGGGTTGCCACCAGTAGCTTTTCCACCCTCGGTCGCCATGAACCCACCCAAACGCCCAGCAGCACAGCTCCTCGCATCCCTGGTCGAAACTCTCTCCCGGTCGACGACAGCTGCTCCTACACAACGTGGCATCTTCCAATGTCATTCTGTCAGGCTTTCTAGACGTGGGAACCACGCCTCCTCCTGCCGCATCGCGACGCCGCCTATGAAATGCCGAACCTTCACTACCTCGTCTCCTCTCCGCCAACAACATAACAACCGCGTTTTCAACCCCTTCCGTACACCGTCGCAGTTTCACGACTCCTTACGTCTCTGCTCGGCCAACAACACGCTTCTGCTCGCCCTCTTCACCACGTCGACCTGCACGCCGTGTCGGGTGATAACGCCATTGCTCACGAGTCTCGTCGAGACGCGGCCGAGGGACGACCAGGCCGATCGGTTCTCGGCGTTGGCATTTGCAGAAGTCGAACTCGACAGCCCAGACATGACCGAGGGGAGCATGATGGGCTTGGGCGTCGAGTGGGGCGTGACGAGTATGCCCACTCTCATGGGGTTTGGAGGGCGACGGGCGGAGAGAGTCACGGATCGACTGACCGACACGAGAATGTTGAGTGACACTAAGAGAATGGCCGCGTGGGTGGACGAGCAGATGCAGAAGGGGGATCCGTCTGGAACGGGCGCTGGAGGTGGAGGATTGTTGGGAAGGGTCTTTGGAGGATGAAAAGTGCCTCGTGTCTTACAGGAAACATGCCCAGCATGAGGTACGGCCCACGGTCCTACTTCCTTTCGAAGAACAGCTGCTGGTTCAATAAACCCACATACCTACGAGACGAGCTAGAGTGACGCCCGGAATAAATATGACAGGCTGGACGACTGCCGGGTCGATACAGTCGAGCAGAGTTACTGCACCATCGACTCCTCTACCGCTTTTGGAATCGCATCTACTCGCTGCGTTGAAGGCGGGGTACTTGGTCATCCCTGGCATACGTGAGGGTTAGAAGGGACGAAGCGACCACGGGTTTCTCTGTCCGGGAACAAGCGGTGTTGGGTGTTGGGTGTTGGGTGTTGGCTACGTCGCGGACGTTCGAGTGTTTCACTGAATTAGACGTCTTACTATGGAGTGCCTGGGTGGGATGGACCGTACGCGGCCACGATACATATAACCGTGTTGACTCAGGGGCGAAATGCAGAAGGCGAGCTTGCCCTGGGTAGCTATGGGCCACGGATTATTCCGCTCTGCCTCATCTCATCAGAGAGGACGACGGTGTGAGGATGCTGGTGGAGAAGGGGAATCGTATCGCTGGGATGGCCCTGCATGTTCAATGGTTCGTGAGGGAGCGAGGAGTACAACTAAACAAATACGCGGCCTTCGCAGGGAGTGAGTAGGCTGGCTATCAAGACTGCATCCGGAGCCTCGATTTGGAGAAAGTTGTAAGAGCCTTCATACGACTTTCGTATATTTCTCACTCGGCACTTTTGGTTCGATCTTACGTGAGGCGTCAATTCCCCCAGATTGAGGTGAAAGTCAAAGTCAAAGTCATCCACACATCAAGCCTGATTTTTGGCATAGATCCTGGGTGTCTGGGTATTGCAGGGCGGGCAGTACGGCGAGTCCTCAGGTGAATCCCAAGGTGTGTCGGTGAAATCTCTGACTTGGGCTCTACACGGGGGTGGATGGTACAAAGTGTTACGTGGTCTATGTATACACTATCATATGGATCATCAGCAAACTCCACTTGGACTTATTACTGTAGTGTATGTAGGTACTGTTCCCGTGGGTATTTTATTTATTGAATCTTTCTCCGACGCCTTTGTCCGTGCACGTTTTGTCTCCCCCCCCCGAATCGGCGACGATGTCTCCTCACAGAATTTGTTGTACTTGTTAAGAGGCTCAACCCTCGGGTACACACACACACTCAGAACCACTCTGTATGTTTTTGAAAAGCTGCACCTCCAAGGGTCAAAAATACCACTGTATTTCTCAGCGAGGATGGCGACACCGCCGGATCAGCAGATCTCTCCCACGAAGGAGCAGTGGGACCAGCTATGTCAAGACGTGAAGAAGAACTTGACGGAAGAGATGGGTTCGGAGACTTGGTACTTGATCATCGTAAGTCGAAAGTCGTGCACACACACACACACACACACACACACACACACACACAGTCCTGCTCATGTCTCAATTGCTGGGCCCCCCCAGCAGCCGCCATGGTATCTGTATCGTCTGGAGGACGTGGGAAGTGTACCGGGCCATACAACTTGTCTACACTTCTCAGGGAAGGCATGAGAGCATCCCCGAACAAACCACCTTTCAAGACTCTGCGTGGGCACAGGACTAGTTAGGACGGAGGATGTGTCGTGGTATTATATCGACTACCTACCCACCTACTCAACTACCCCCTTACCTACCGGACATCCCTTACCTTTGCAGCCTCAACTCGACCCCCGTACCAATGTCCATTTATATCCCCAACCGGCCAACCACCCCTTCTCCTTTGTTGTTGTGTTTCCCTCTCGGAAGCTCCCTGTCTATCCGTGTCAGCACAGCACAGCACAGCACGTCTCCATCCATGCATCCTGTCCCTGAGTCAATGAGTCAGTCAGTCAGTCAGTCGTCGGTCGTCATGTACTAACCTCGTGCTCCCCTTCCACACATACAACAGGCCACAGCCCTGACCGTCTCTCCTCGGCCACACCTCCTCGCGGACTTCTGGACACACATCACCACGCACGACCCGTCCTTCGGCACCGCAGACTCTCGATCTCGTCTCTCGACACGACTGGGGGACACGCTGATCAAGCAACTCACGCTGTCCGGTGCGCCGCAGGTGCTCAGCGCACTCATACCGCTTGCAAAAGCGCAAACGCAAACACCCTCCTCTTCCTCCTCGGACGGACAGAGACCGACAGAAGAAGGAGAATTGGACATCGAGGCATGGTAGGTGTACCCAAGTACCAAGTTGAGACCGGAACGTCAGGCCTCCCGGTCTGTGACTCTCCTAGTCCAAAGCGTTCCTTCCGTCCCGGCATACGGACCTATATACTTTATCATCAGAACGGTTTGTTCTCGGTGTTTGTTTACCCACTCACACACTTTCTTGTTTATTTTGTTCCCTACTTGCTTACAATACTTGTGTGTGACAACAATAGGTCGTCCCTGTCGCTCCCGGACCTACACGCCCGTGGCATCGAGACGATAACGTCCATCTACGGAACGCTGTGGCGGCGGATCTTCGCCACGTTCGGGCCCTACCGCAAGGACATGGGCCTGCACGAACTCGGCGTCGTCTACGGCCTGTACCTGTCCGACTTCACGCACCTGTCGCCCCTCGAGACCGAGACGGTCGCGTACACGAACATCACGTGCCAGGGCCTCGCGGGGCCGAGTCTGTGGCACGTCCGCGGCATGGGGAGGGTGCTCGGGGCGAGAGGCACCGACGAGGCGGACGCGAGGGTCGCGCGGGCCAAGGACGTCATTCGCGGCGTCAAGGTCGCCGTTGCCACCGCGGTGGAATTCGTCGGCGACGACTTCGTCAGGAGAAGCAGGCTCGACGGAGGCGCGGACGGGACCCAGGGGTGGCCCAACGTAGGTGACGTCTCCAGAGATCTGGGTGGGTGGGGAGAAGACGATGACATTTCGAAGACGACGAACGCCGAAGAACGAACCACATAGTAAACTGGAAATAGAAGACAGAAAATAGAAATAGACATGTCGATGATGATGATGATGAGTATGTCCTTGAACTCCTCGCACCAAACCAAGCCACCATTTTCCTTCCACCACGTCTGGCGTTTTCATGTCCAATGTCCATGTCCATATCCACGTCCATCAAGAAATTGACTACACGGGCAACGCAGAGAGAGGGAGCGAGGGGTGGCTAGCTTTCTCTTACCCGTTTCACTTTATAAGACACATGCATATTCATAGCCAACCAGCACGGCAAGAGTCGGTCAGTCTTCTTTCTACCTTTGTGTGTATGGGAAAAGTCACAGTGGGTGGTTTCAATACGTAAGTCAAGTCAAGTCAACTCAAGCCAATTCTTCATCCCTGTCATCTCTGTCATCTACCTATCATTTGGTATCACGCTGGAGATTTTATCCACGTGCAAGAGACCCGGGGGGGGGGGGGGAAAGGGGAAGACGGCCCTTTTGCAATATCGACCACGACCGACTGACCGACCGACCGACCGACAGAAACCCTGTGGTTGGTTGCCAGCCACTAAAAGTAAGCATGCGTTTTTGACAAGAACGGGGCTGGTGGTGAGGAGGCAATTGTCATTGCCAAAAGTCCCCATCCGTCAAACCACCGACGCCTGAAAGGCCGTGAATGCCTGGTCCTTCGTAGAGTATCCCGACTTGATCATCTTCAGAAAGATACACATCGACTATACCGACCAAAGTACGGTCCAGACGAACTGGCGGAGCTGCTCGTTGTTGACATTGGCTACCTAACCTGGGTAGGAAGCACCCGGTACCGGGGTAGGTTTTTGAAACCATCAATGCCAATGTTAGGTACCTAAGTGACTGCTTTTTCTCACGGCGCAAGTCCTCGCTTCTCAGATTCTGAAAAGAAAATGAGCATACGCCACAGCTTGCGCACCAACACTTCGGCTTCTTCGTCCAGAGCCTGGAATCACATTGTCAGCATGTCATCATCATCATCATCTCGAAGTCGTAATGGACCACACTTACCCCTTCAAGTTCACCAACCAGATCCTGCGGCTTGCCTCTTGACTGTAAAGCGTTCACCACGTAGTCGACAAGCATCTGCTCCTGAACACCGAGGTACTCGACGATTTTCTTCTCAACGAACGGCTTCAACCGTTCATCAATCACACTCTCGTCCACAAAGTCCCACTTGACTTCCCAATTCCAAAGACCATCTTTGTCGTTGGGAATATCCGCTGCAAGTTGTCGGGCCGCTTGCGCACGCTCCTCCTCGGTCATTGTCGACGTAGCAGACGCATCGTACTGAATAGGGATGAGGGTCCGTCTGCCGCCGGCTTTGGAATCTTCCTCTTCGTCCTCCAGCAGACCTTCCACCTCTGCCACAGTCCGTTTGGTGGCTTGTTGCGCCGTTTGCGCTGCGGCTTTTTGCGCCGCCGCACCCAAAGACAGCTTGAAGCGGGCAGGCTCTCGACGACTCGTTTGTGGTCGTTCGTCATCCTCTTCTTGCTCTTGCCGATTCATTTCCTCTTCTTGTCTGTTAAGGAAGTCGTCTGCCATAGCACCCGCACGCTCACGTTGCTGATTCTGTCTCGCCCGCTCCCGGTGCTCGGCTGCGCGGTCTGCCTCGTCGTGGGCCATCTCGCGCTGCCGGAAGCTCGCTCTGTTCCGGATCCAGAGGCTCTTGTCCGCATAGTACTCTTCCGTCTTGCGCGAGGCCTCGACATCGTCGTTCCACTCCCGTAGGCGCTTAGCCATAGCCTCTTTCGCGGCATCAAGGCGTGTCGAGTCGTCCTTGTCTCGTGTCTTCTCTCGCTCCACGGCGGCGGTCCGCGATCGCTCCCGATTTAGCCACCGTCGTTCTTGGTCAAGATACTGCTTCTCGAGCTCCGCATCCTTCTTTGCCTGTCGCCTCCGTTCGAGTTCCTCGTCACTAGCGTCGGTGTCCTCGTCTTCGAATGCGGAAGCACCATTGATTGCGGTGCCATTCACAAATGTAACTCCTTTCTGATAGTCCTTGGGTATCTGAGCGCCATAGGCTTTCGGACCCGCCGGTGCACCCTTCGGCCCAACCGGGATACCGTTAGAACCGCCCGGCCCGGATGGAGCACTTGGAGGAGGTGAAGCAAGACGATTGTATCGATCTCCGTTCATAATGCGATTCCGCTCCTGCTGTTCAATCTCCTCTTCTCGTTTGAGCCGTTCAAGATCACGGCGATTACTTCGATCTCGGAAAGCGGCAATCTCTCTTGCGACAGTCTCTCGCATCTCGGCAGGTATATCAGACAGTTCATCGTCGACATTGATGGGAATGGTGACAACATCCCCATTGGCTGCCTCGGCCTGGCCATCAACCATACTGACATCGCCTTCTTTGTCGATGCTCGACATTTCGTCCTTCTGAATGGGTGCTGTAGGGTTGCTAAGGTCCTTTAACACGGCGGCCAATGCATCTCGAGCATGATCAAGCCGCATCTGAGCCTGCTCCGGGTCTTTTCCTCCCACGGACTCTTCCCATTGCTCGATGTAGCTTAGTGAGTTGTCATCGGCAACAATCTATCCAACATTAGCACTTTCAACATAGCCCAAAGCCCGGAAACTTACAATCAGCTTCGACATCTCGACGCTTATTTCTTCATCACCGTTTGCCTCTTGAGGACTCTGTCGCTTAACAGGGACTTCAACATCTCTCAGGATTTCTATGGCCGTCCCTAGACTTTCGGGATCCTCGTACTCTGCAAAACCGAATTTGCAGGGTTTGTTGTCGGCGTCTGTGGCTCGGATCCATCGTCGTAAACTTCCGGCTGATCTTAGTATGCGCTCAATGCCCTCATCACCACCTGTCCCTTCGGTGATGCCACCAACGAAGATCGTCTTTATAATTTCTTCCTTTGTTTGTGGTTGAACCTGCGTGATTCGGTCTCGATCCCCGCCTCTAAATTCCGAGCCCATACCGGAGCCCAGCCCTGCTCTTCTTCCGCCTCTATTATCCCTCTCATCTCGACCGCTTTCAGGTTTCGTCGGACCTGATGTGCCTAGTCGAATCACTGGTGCGGAGAAATTGATGTTGGGCATGTTTGGAGGTGGTTGGAAATTAGACGGAAACGAGCCAGGTCTGCCTGGTTGGTGAGCTTCTTGCGGCTGCATTCCGGGAGGCGCTCCTGTACCTGGAGCAGTCATACCAGGTGGTGGTGCTGGGATGAGGTGAGTTCTTGCCTTGCCAATAGAAGAATCCTTGCGTGTCAACTTACCCATTCCCGGTGGCGCGCCAGACACACTGCCATAGTCGCCTGGAATTCCATATTGTCCTGGCGCTATAGTATCAGTCAGTGCCACGTGCTATCTCAGCTGAGGATGAAAAGTCTACCTTGGTAAGGATTGTACATGGTGTGCGGATTTGGAGAGGAGTTTTTGAACCCGAGTACTTTTATAAGGTAAATCTTTCAAATGATTTGGTCTCGAGGGAGCGACATGGGCAGGCGACCGTGATGCGAGGTAATGCTAGGCAATCAATAATTGCGAAGCTGGAAGATGTGTTGTTCTAGTTCTCGAGACCAACGGGCTTTTCGGTTCAGTACGAATACAAGGCGCAGGGAAGAGTGCGGAATTCGGCAATACTTTGATCCGCGCCAAGGCATATACATCGCTACCGGCCAGACTTTCATTCAGTCAGTCTCTACGGAGTACGAGTATCCTTGTACACTTACTAATATGGACAGCCATCGATTGCAGGTATCGCAGTCGCCATGGCTGTCGCCCGAGTCAACCAAGAGAAACTTTCATTCCCCATTACTTCTCTATCGACGTGGCATGGCCGTGATAGTGAGTGGGTCGATAGTGTCTCGACCACGAGCTTCTCTTACCTGCTTAGGGTGGCTGTTCATCGACGATAGTTCGGAGTGTGCTGACCGGCATGGATGCATGACAGCATGATTTGTCACTTTGTCAGGCTCGCTATTCGTTGTAACAATGATCTATGTCTTGGATCCACAAGATACACTGCTGGGGTCGATGTCCTGGGGGGTTGATCGTCGTGAAGGACAGGATTGTAGGCATTGAATCTCATAATTTCGTATGGGTGTACAATTTGGCACCTGGATCCTTGTACTGGTTATACCATTGGCAGGGGATGACTTCGCGGACGATTCATCATCGGTACATCCTCATCCGTAGAGGTTCCAAGGCCGAGGACTCTTCTTCCCCCAACATGTGCCGTTGTCTTCAGCTTTTCGGTGAGGCGGCTAATGAGAGTCGGTCTGTGATGTGAGAGTGGTGAGTTCTGCTTTGGTGCTCTACCGCCCTGTCATTGGGTAGACAAATGCAGAGCCTGAAGAGAGCGATGCAACAGCGCCAGCCACGCGTCATGTAGATGTGCAGATCGGAAGTTCCAGCCTGCTCAGGGGCTACACCAGTGGTACAAGGCCTGGTAGTATTGGATATCTGAGCCAGGGCCCAGGATCACCCATGCTTGTGACAGATTGAAGATGCTCGCGAGGCCGCCACAGCCTCGCAGGCCCGAGACAGGGAGTTGGCCATTTGCGACCACTTCGGAACAGCAGAGGTTAGCCGGAACTTGAAGGAGAGGCATCCTCCATAGTCTTGTTAGAGGAGTGGTGCTTCCTGAGGCAGCACCTAAATCAGGTGTCTGGCCAGATTCACTAGGCTGGCTGTTGGCGGAACATGAGCTGGTGACGGTCTGGTAGATCAATATTGTGATGCACACGCACTTGCACAACCACGCCAGGCGATGGTGCGAGGAACGGCCCTGTAATGGTGTCCGCGCGTTTGCATGGTTTCTAGGCGTCAGAGGCGTAGGAGTCCGGGGTTTCTGTGCGAGCTTGTGGCGGGAAACGGTGAATCCCGGCGCCGCGAGCCAAACGACTCCTAGTGCTGCGTGTCCACCCGCCGGTGGCAACCGATTAGTGTCATCTGTCGGGGAGCCGGTGGTCGACTAGTTCTGCTTGCATGAAGGATGAGATGGTGTTGATCAATCATGGCGGATATCTTAGATGTGACACATTGTGCAACCTTATCTTGCTGGTTTTGGTAGTGACCACTTGGGCCATGCCCATGAGTCCGCCTGTCGTACCTACAGTAGGATACTTCATCGCGTCGCGCGGCCAGTTCTCCATCGAAGCCGGTAGAGACCTCTCGCACTGTCAGTAAGAGTAAGGTATTCTGGCCAGGGTCTCGCTGTGCTCGTACAATAGGTAGCGGTGGTTGTCCCCACCGACCTCGTTCCTAATCGGGCAATGGGAAACCCTAGGCATGGGGGTGAGGCCGGACGGTTAGGTGTGTAGGGGCGTTTCAAAAGCCACTGCCAGAGGTACGAAAGGAGAGATCAGCGTCGGGGAAGCGGGAGAATCATCGTAGTGTTTCTTACCTTGAGGCCAAACCAAGACAGCGAGTCCTCGGAGCCAGTAGCTCTGGAAGAGTCAGAGACATCCCTGCTAATGCTCGTCAATGGCCACCGCCGAAGCTTGACAGGGCCGACTAGCGATCCGTGCCAGCTTTCGCAACCCCGCTTCAACAACCCATCGATTATCTACGACTCTACAGACTCTCCTTCTCACCTCCGTCTACACCGTATGATTCCAAGCGAAAACGACGCTCAGTCTTTGCGAAGAAGCACCAAGCACCAGGGGCCCAACTGCGTCTGTCCCGATCCGGCAGGGCCACACAGGCCTAGGCCACCGTCGGGTTGCACACCGTCGTGTCCGAGTCAGTTCATGGCGGAGGGTTGAGTTTGTGATACTTCGATCCTTGTACCCAGTCGCCGGTGGCTTTCTCAGACTTTTGCTCGCCAGACTTTTGCTCGCGTCAGATTGCCCAGTCTGGGCCACTCCCCTTTCCACAGTACGCTTCTTCCACCATAAACCTTCCGCTGTCCGGACCTTCAGCTTCTTTCAGTGCATCATCTGTTCGTCCTGCTGTTCGAGGATGATCGACTGCGGCGATGGCAGCCATCGCTCCTAGCCAGAGTCTACCCTCTGACAACAGCAATGCCGGATATTCCAAAACTACTCGGCGCCAGTATCAGAGCTGTGACCAGTGTCGCAAGAGTCGACGAGCCTGCGATGCTGGCAGCTTGCGTGTCGTCAACTTTCCTTTCACCGACGAGGACGCAATAGGTCTCCCCAGGCCAAGTTGCGAAGCCTGTTCCAACTGTGCCAGAACTGGCAAGAAGTGCACCTTCGAATGGCTTCGCTCGCTTCCTCGACAAGGTCTTCCGAAAGGGATCAAGAGGAAACTTGATTCCAATGTTGTGGCTCCGGTGCCCACGGCCTCCGAACGAGAAACGGGCCGGGAAGCCACGCGTGAGCAGTCTTACAGTTCGTCTTCGCTCCCAGTTCCGGATGCCTTTCTTCCGTCTGGGCCTATTGCACTAGAAGAGAGACATACTTCCAGCCACCATCACCACAGCAATGGATATGCATCAGCCCCATCCACTCTTCTTCCACATCTACCTTCATCAGATTTCAGGCAAGGGTCTCCAGAATCGAAGCACGCTGATGCCTTGCCTGAACACCATCCCACTGCCTCTCGCGCGGTGGGCAGCAGCAGCAGACGAGACTTTCCCTGTCGACAAAACACGAGCAGCGATTTTCACCCACCTGCCTTGCCCGGTTCCGACTCTAGCACGTCCTCGGCAAGCTATGAGGCATTGTCTTCAAGGAAAGGAACTGCTCTTTCCCACACGTCTGACAGCGGGACCTCTGCTAGCTCAGACTCTGGGCCGGGAAATGGACGGGCAAAATCTCAGAAGCGCGATCAACATACTGGTGCCGCCTATGGTGCCAATCGATCCGACGAAAGCTCACTGGGCAACTCCGCGCGACGAGGCTCCTCCACTTCAACCAGCCTATCTGGCAAGAAGCGACAGAGCTCAAGTCCTCTGATGAACCGCGGACAGATACGGTTCGCGGACGGTGCGTTGAAGGCAATGATAGCAAGTGGCCTCTTGCGCATCTATCACGACAGTTTCGAGAACTCGCTGTCCTGCTGGGTGACTGAAAAGAACTGTCCGTACGAGACTGAACTCGCAGAACTGATTGCCCAAGCGGGTCCAAGTACAACCGCAGAGGAAGCGGCACTCCGCCTTGGGGACAATCGGATCTTTTCGCGTGTTTCACGGCTCGACTCGGCGTTTACTCACCTCAGAGGACGACAGCTGAGCGCGAGGGACAACAAAGCGGCGACAGATGCTCTCAACTCAGCCATCATGGCATTCGCAAGCCAGTGGTCTCATAGCTCCCACAACACCTTCTGGCGTAGCAAAGAAGGTCTTTCTAGGATGAGAGCCTGGCAGAATAACAACAACAACGCCTTCCTTCCACCCGGTACCCAGCCGAATGAATCTACCGAATCGACGGATTTCGAGCGCATGATCCAGAAAACACTGTGGCATGAGGCTCGCAAAGCGATCCAGGAGACAACTGAAATCGATTCATTCAAAGTGATTTTAGCGTACATGCTTTTCGCCCTCACCCAACGACCGCCCGACGAAAACCAAAAACCAAAGCCAGAGTCGACCGGAGATGCGGCATCATCGGACAACGGCAACACTAACACGAATCCACTGGAATCGGTTTGTCGAGAATATCCAGGCAGCGGCTGCCCTCCCATCTCTACCGGCCCAGCTGGAGCCGAAACCGAATGGGATCCCTTCCAGACCGCTGAGCTCGAAGGGCTCGCTTCGCCCCCCGTGTATCTCGAAACGGCGGTGCGCAATTTGTTCTCCTGGCGTCGCAAGGTCGAACGGTATCGGCGCAAGAGCTCAGCATGTCAGCACGATGGCAAACCCATACCCAAGCTGGACCTCAAGGACCAACAAACATTCAACATCCTCTTCTGGCTAGGCGTGATGTGCGACACGACCTCTTCAGCCATCACGCGCCGTCCCCTCGTCATCCCGGACGAAGACTGCGCCATGATCCGCGAGAAGCTCGACAAATTGTCGCTGAGCGGAAGCCAAGCGGACGAACCATCCTGCACCACCACGTCGTTCTCTTCTTCTTCTTCTCCTTCTTGTCGTTACGACGACGGCACTTATGACTCCTCCGCCACGGCACCCCTGTGGGATACGTACCTCCTAACGTTCACGCCGGCACGTACACACACGAACCCGTTCAGCCTCCCGTCGCCGGCGCGATGGCCGTGCAGCTTCGAACAAGCGGCGCAGATCCTGCAAGAAGCCATCCCGGTCAAGGTCCTCATGTTCCGGCGGGTGGCGCACCTGCAGACGCTCGCGGCGCGGCGGGCGTCGCCGTCGTCGCTCGAGTCGACCATCACGGCGGCACTCGACGTGTACTCGCACTGGAACCGCACGTACCTCCCGTTCATGGCCGACTGCGTGTCGTCGCACAACGACCTCCCGCCGCACGTGCAGTCCTGGTACGTCATCCTCGACGGCCACTGGCACTACGGGTGCCTGCTGCTCGCCGACACCATCTCCCAGGTCGACGCCGAGCAGCGCACCATGCAGGTCCAGCGCGACCTGCGCCGCAAGTACGGCCTCCTCGCCGAGCTGCGCCGGGACAACGCCCGCGCCGTCGCCCGCATCGCCGAGGCCAGCCTGTCCGAGCACGCCCCCGTGTTCCGCAACAACCCCGACTTCCACTTTGCCTGCAACGGCAGCGCCATCCTCACCGAGCCCTGGACCGACGTGCTGGTGCGCGCCATGGGAAGCGCCTGTCGCATCTTCATCAACTGGATCAACGTCCACCAGAACCACCACAACCACCACCACAACGATCACGACCCCACGCACCGCTGGGTCAGGGAAAACACCAACCTCGCCAACCTCTACATCCAGGCCGAGTACTGTATCCAGGGCATGGCGCTACTGGGCCGCAAGAGCGACGCCGCGAATTACACTGCCGGGGTGTTTTGGAAGAAGCTCAAGGAAGTGTATTATTCTGGAAGTGGTGGTGGCGGCGGCGGCGGCGACGTCGACAATGCTAATTTCAACATCAATACCAATGCTACCTACACGACCAACACCTCCATCCTGACCACCACGACCACCACGACCACCACAAACGCCTACACCTACACCAACATGTCGTCGTACTCAAATCCTTTGGGTGAATTCGACAATGTGAGCATGAAGAAGGAAATGACTTGAGGAACATGAAGCGCGTGTTTTGTCAAGGTCAATTATACTGACCGACTGACTGATACGAAATTTAGCGAAGTTAAAAAGGACACAAATTGATATCGAGACAGATACCCTGCATGGATTTATTCGTTTGTTCTGTGCACACAATTTTTAACTTGGACGATACCCGTCCATGGGGAAACCTTGGGACACCACGAGCAAGATAGTAGCATATCTTAACTTCTATTGAGCATGGGTGCCTTTTTTGGGGGGGAATTGAAGGCGATCACATCATCCAATTTGGCTGGGTTACGGGGTTGAACGGGATTCTGGGGGTACTCGGGGGAAACGAACAAGGTACATAACATATTTAGATAGCGTCAGCATATCTCATCTTTAATGTCGGGCTCCAATTTACGGGCAGCAGGGAATGAATACACATCATCAGCCATCATCGATCACCATCCTTGCTTGACATTGATTCTGAATCGCCAGTGTGCGTGTCTCACAGCAATCTTTGAAATGTCTCAACCCCCCCAATACGCAAGGCCAACATACATTAGGGCTTCGGTCAGGGCACCAGAGTCTTCAATGCCAGGGTTGGTGGTACACATGCGCCCCGTGCCTGTCAACACATGTTAGATAGAAGTGTGGCAAGTCGAAGATCAACTGGGTATGCTTCGCCTTGCCACGGGCGAGACATTCTTTAGGCTTTTTGTCAGCCATGTCAGACGTGGCGATTTGAACGAAGTTGGGTCTTGTGGGATAGGGGTGCGTGTTTGAGTGATAAGAAGGTAAAACGTGTTCTTGCCGGACTAAAAACAACCGAGTGTGATGAAGATGGCAGATAGAAGAGAAGAAGAGGAGAGAAGAGAAATCCAAACGAGGCTCAAGTGAGCAGGAGCATACGTAGTTACCTGGAGAGAGATTGTGCGTGCCTTGCCTTTGCCAGTACCTGCTCTCATCACAAAAGGGAAACCGCTTGAGAGGGAATGCATAAATGTCATAGCACACGGTATCGAGTGATGCGCGCAGGAGTAGCTTCGCTAACGACAGGTTGTCAAGTCCTTGAACTCGTCGAACGCAGAAACAGCGCTGGATGGAGTATCGACGGAAACTAGTCCCCAGACATCAACATACAGGAAAGAAGGTGACAGGAGGACAGAGCCAGATGAGGTGCAAGTGAGAAACGCTTGTCCAACCACTCCATCCTGCTTGTCAAAATTCATGTTTTTCAATGATAGTTGAATTGTAACATGTCAAGGCGAAGAAGGACTTGCGCAATAGACGCTTGCCAGATCAAGCCGCTCGATTTATCTCAGCCACTGCGCATAGGCCCATTCTATCCGCCTCAGGACATTGATCTGCCGGCCCACACCGGACTTGATGTCGAGTAGATCGTTCAAATCCTGGAGAAATTCTCTCTTCACATTTCCCGGTAGGACTGCAGCTGCTCGCTGGCGCAAAAGGTGTGTTTCGCACAATAAGATGCCGTGGTTCTCCTCAGAGATGATGCCGTCCTCATCAACATCGGCATTGGTCAATGTCCGATCAATGTTTCTGAGACTGTGATTAGCGTAAATTGTGGATAACACCGATCCTGAACATACCTGACGAGCCGAAGAGCTTCACCTTTCCTCTTTCCCTGTTGTAGACCTCGGCGCCCACCGAACACACCACGTAGCCATTGGATGAGGGCATAGGAAATGAGAACCCCGGGTGCTATTCCCACAAATCCAAAAAGCAATTCTTGGCTCTTGAGTAAGGAATCGATCCCACCAATCGCAGTCTCGACGTCGACCTTGGTCTTTTGGACCTGGATGAGGAGTGTCCGAACAAGTTGTCCCGTGATTGCATTCTTGATGGGACTTTGCATTTCTCGTTCGTATGCTTTAAGAACAGGAGTGAGATCTCCCTGCCTCACTTTCGTCCGAATTTCCGCGATCTGGCTGTCGCTGAACTTTGTGCCATTGTCAGGGTTTTGCACCGCGAACTCAACCACCATTCGTTCTAAGCTCTCTCGATCCGCCTTGAGACTGTCCCTGCTCTGAATTGCAATCTCACTTTGTTCGTCATGACGAATGGTTCCGACGAGCTTCTTGGTGGGCTCCAGCACCCAATTGGCCCAGAAGTCAATGCATGTTTGCCCGAGTTCCCTAAACCATTGAACGATCTCGGCCTTGCGATTAACTATTATCCGTAAAATTGTACTGCCGGACAGCAGGAAGCACACGGCTGGGATCCAGTATCGTACAAGACGCGACGGTTTACCATATTTGGAACGCATTAGCTCGGCCTCTTGCTCTTGGTTCGGTAGATGTTCGTCAAGAATCTTGATGAGGGCGGAGGCAACTTCTGCTGCTGAAGCTGTCGTTGGATCGAGAACGTACCCATCGTCGTCAGACGGCGCCCGAGTGACAGAATCCAGTAGACAAACTGTTCGTGCAACGGTGGTTTGCCAGTCCTCTTCCTGCGAATGGAGCATTTGCGGCAATGCCCCAGGTTTGCGCTCATCTGGCGCACCTTCAAAGACAAGACCTTCTCGGACAAGCCGGCCGATTGTAGCAGAGCTTGACTGTCTCAGGCTTTTGATCTGCTGTAAGTTCCTGCGCACCTCGATCTGAGCAATCGAGAAGGGGGAAAGTATTCTTGTCTGTGCATGAGCCAATGATCGCTCTCTGACACTGTTTCGAACGAGCCGGTAGAACTCCTTCCAGTTTTCCGACAAGCTGTTCGTAGCCTCCCGGGCCGAAGCACGAAGATCTGCCCCTGCATGAAACCTTTGTCTTGCGTCGGCGTAGACTTCTTTTGCCTGCTTCCAGAACCGCAAAGGTGAGGTCTGAATGGTATACAGCGCAATGTTTGAAGAAGACCCCAATATATCGTCCCAATACCATATAGACTCGCTCAGAGGGATTGTGTAGTCCAGGAGAGAATTTAATAGTAGCCCATACACCTGTGCGGTAGCCTTGCCAGTAGCCACCCATTCGAGATTAGATACATCAGAGTTTGATGCTACTACGGCACCTTGTTTTTCTTCTTTCTTTACCAGCTGGGAGAGAAGACTGCGGACTTTCGACCGGCGTATCAACGGTCTCGAGCTCGAGGTGGTAGAAAGGGATCTGATAAGGGCTTTCAGTTGAGCAGTCCGAGGGTCGTCTTCGGCGCTGGCTTCGATTTCACGTCGTTCGGCGCCGGCTATTGCAACTCGTTCCTCGGCCTCTCTCAGCTGGAATCTGTCGAGTGCGGCATCGGCGCGCCGAAGGTCGCTGTAGAAATGTTAGAAAAAAACTCGATCAAACGAGGTTGGGCATACTCTTCAACGAAGGACATTGTGAACACAATCTACGGTTAGATTGATCGAGGTTCGACAGGCCAGTCAAATTATCATACTAGCGCCCTCCTCAACGGGAATTGTGTCACGAAACTTGTAGAGATAGTGCTCGCATTGCGCCTTCTACAATATTGGTAACAAGCCCTCGTTGAAGCTGTCAAAAAGAGATATAGTCCGGGTAGCACATGGTTCAAGAATATTCCCAGCGAAGCATGATCGAGACATGACAGATTGGGTTACGTCATGGGCGCAATAGTCCGAGGTGCTGTTTGCCTCCCTGGGAATGTACGAGTACGAGATCGAGATACTATCCAAGTAGAGCAACGACGAGAAGGTTGAAGCATACCACTCTCACAAACAACGTCCAGGACAAAGAGCCATGAAGCTCAGATGTGCCGGGTAGATTTGATCCTGGACAAAAGAATGCTGTCAATGGCAATTCATGTCTTGCTTGTCAACGAGGAGCCATTTTTCGCAGGCAGATATGCGCAATGTAGAACTGGGGGTTCTTGAGAGTCTGTACCTAGTTTTATTATGAATTTCACAGGTTCTAGGCCATCTCAAATACAGGGGAACGGAATAGAGAGCGAAGGTTGTTCCAGTTACCGTGTCCCATGGGATCTGGATGTTGCCAAGAAGCACGAGGCTGGCGAGGCTGCGCAGTCGCAGGCGCAGCGCCCGGTAGCAGCAATTGCACGAGGGGAGGTTAACGGCTCACTGAGCTTGGGGGTCACTAACGTAGTTACAGGTAAACTACCTTACCTTGCTGTTAGTTAGGCTCACTATTAGTGAGGCTTATCACCTCAGGCCGAACCGGGACTGTTAGGCCTGGCCAGGCCCCCCCAATAATTCCCACCGTCGCCTACACACGCCTATTGAGTTCCATTAAACCCATTATCTCCAGCCACTCCCGTTAACCCAGAGGCTAAAAGCCACGGCTGCTCCGTATAATACGACCCTGAGAGACTCGTGCCCGGTGCCTCGCAGCCGCTTGTTGGCCGCCCATTGATTGACCGACTGACTTGATTGACGGCAACATCCAGCATCCGACACTCATCACTCAGCGACATCATTTGTCGCAGTCCCATCACTTCCACCTAATAACTGCTCTGTCTGTTTCCCAAGGCGTCAATCTGCCTGTTACTGTCTCCCTACACCTCTCCGGCTTCTTCTTCCTCTTTCATCCTCTTGCTACAGTTCCTGCGACACACCTCGTTTGACCGCCCATTCACGAATCTCGGCGCCATCCTTTCGCCTCCCCGTCTGAGTGACAATTGTTCACTGTTGGTCCGATTGCCAGCCCATAAACTCCGACAAGCGATCGTGCATATACTTGCCATTCCAATCGTCGATACAATCACCACAGCCTCACGCAATGGCAGGCACACGGAATTACGACTTCTTAGTACGACTTACCCCCAATGGAATCCCGCGACTGCTCAAAGCTGTCCTTCAAGCCACGTTTTCCTCCTAGAAAACACTCTGTTCTAACATCCTTTCCTTGCCAGATAAAACTGCTCCTGATCGGTGACTCGGGCGTCGGCAAGTCATGCTGCTTGCTGCGATTCAGCGAGGACAGTTTCACGCCCAGCTTCATCACCACCATCGGCATCGACTTCAAGATCCGAACGATCGACCTGGATGGCAAAAGGGTAAAACTACAAATATGGGACACTGCAGGGCAAGAAAGATTCAGAACCATCACAACGGCATATTACCGGGGCGCCATGGGCATTTTGCTGGTCTACGACGTGACGGACGAGAAGAGCTTCAATAGTACGGGTTTCCCCCCTTCCACTCCCCCAACTGCCCACTCCAGGCGACGACTAACCAAAGTTTCTGACCCACCGCAGACATAAGGACATGGTTTTCCAACGTCGAGCAGCACGCCAGCGAAGGTGTCAACAAGATTCTGATCGGGAACAAGTGCGATTGGGAAGAGAAGCGAGCGGTGACGACGGAACAAGGACAAGCACTGGCCGACGAGCTGGGCATTCCCTTCCTCGAGGTTTCGGCCAAGTCGAACATCAACATCGAGAAAGCCTTCTACTCGTTAGCCTCGGATATCAAGAAGCGATTGATTGACAGTTCGAAAGAAACCGGCTCCGGAGGCGGGGCTCAATCTGGTCCCGGCGGTGTCAACGTCGCACAAAACCAGTCCGGAGGTGTGGGTGGCAAGTGCTGCTAAACGGCAAGCACATGCAATCCAGTTGGGCCGGAGAGGGGGGGGATTTGGTTTTTCCCTGTCTACTGGAGATGCGAGCATTCCTCGACGCTAGGCGAAACGACGACGACGACGACGGTCAAGGAGCAGAGTTGCCGATGAAGACAGTCTCTGTCTCGCTTCTCCTGAAGAGCGCAGGACGATAGTAGTAAGTGAAGACGTAATAATGATGCGAAGATCCGAGACCAGCAGGCTTTGATGAACTCTTTTGTGTTTGTTTTTTCTTTTCTGTGAATTTGCAGAGGGAGGGGAATTGGCCGGATCAAAGCACGGGTCAGGCAGTATATGCAGGCGTTTGTAGGGTTAAACCATACATATACACAAGAGCAAAAACAGAAAAAGAGAACAGCTTTGGTCAGGCGGGCGGGCGACCGACCGACCGACCGACCGATCGTTCCAAACCAGTGCTCCAGTTATTCAGCGTTTTGGTGGTAATCTGGATTTCTTCTTTCTTTCTTCTTTCTTCAAGATGCCTATGACGATGTGTAGAGAGTGCCGAATCCAGAAAAAGAATTTTCATCGCTTTTCGTGCCTGTTTCCCATGTGTAGAGTAAGAGTCAAGAAAGAGTACGACTTCACCTCATCTACTCCCTCCGGTACCTTGTATACATGACAACCCAATCTGCATGGACCTAACTCAGAAACATGAGTCGAGGGTTGAGGGTCCAGGGTTCGGGGTGCGCGGCAGGGGCCGTTGAAGAGATCACCAGGCCTGCTGGGTACTCCTTACGGTATACAAAGATGATACTCTTACGTGGTGGGGAAAGTAATGTTTGTATCTATATCTTTTGACTGTCCGATTCGTTCTTCATCCGTTTCATGGCAGTTCAAAGATAGGGCCAGGTCAAAAAGAGTCTGACGGGTAAGAAAACGGGATGAAGAATAATAACGGGCAAAAGTTAAAATCTTATCTGCTTTCAATGAATGCTCAAAGTCGTGTCCTTCATGGCGTTGGGATTTTGGCGCCGCCGCCCTTTGATTCTGTCTTTTCGTCCACAAGGCTGCGCACAGGAGAAAAGAGAAAGAGTACAAGTCCGCTTTCCGGACTCTTGTTCCGCTGCCGTTGCTGCGGCTGCTGGCGGCGAGGTCGGACATGCTACCTAGGTATCGCTGACGATTGGGATCCTGGGCCGAGACTGAGATCCGGGGAGCCCGCATGTTGCCAACACTCCCCCCTTCATTGCCTTTGCCTTTTGCCTATTGTCTATGCTGTCCATTTCCCGGCGGCACCGTCCCATCGAGTTAAGTGGGGGTAGGAAAGTTTAGTAGCCCACGCCGACTAGGTAGGCGCCCAGCTTCTCGACCGTGTTCGCAGCGGTGCCGGGCTGTACTGTCTCTGGGTAGTGTGTGATGAGAAGAGCCTGTTTCGTCTTGACGATGACGACGCCTTCCCGACCCTGAAAAATGGTAGAGCACGAGTCCCAGGTTAGTATACACGTGTTTCATGTCCATCTGTACTGAGGACACCGAGTCGAGGAAGGAGGGGCTGGGAAGAGAAGGGAAGTGAAGGAAAGAGGGAGGCTGAAGAGAGAAACGAAAGAAAACGAGAAGAAAGCGGGTAGAGGAAAACCGGGAGACAGCAAATTTTGTGGCTAACCTTCTTTCCATACAGACTTGTCTCGTCGGCTTTGATGACAATGTATTTCTGCCCGGCAATGTGCAGACCTGTGGACTGGACCTTCTTGGGTGTCGAGGTGTCCCTGTATGCGCCTACAACCTCCTGCATCTCTTGCGGCGTCACGCTGAAGCCCGGCGAGCTGGCCCATACGGACGTTCCCTCGCCATTGAAGATTGCGGCTTTATCGACGTGGCCGGTGCCAACAAGGCTAAAAGGGTCGCGGGAGGTTAGTATGTGACAAGGACTCCTGGGGGATGGAGGTTCGGGTGCGCCTCGGGGGCCGGGGTATACCTTTGGTCGACGTATGCTGTGTGATAAGCAGGCTGCGTTAGCAATGGCCCTGCAGGAAACCTCGTGCGAGGGTAATGCATAGGAGGGAAGAGTCGACGAACCTTGCCAAGACATTGTTGTTGCGAGTTCAGGTTTCTTTCAAACCCCCGTATACAGCTGGAAGAAGAGAATGTTCCGGAGCAAGGAGGGGTGAAATTCAGTCACCGGATTGATGGGATGGTGTCACTCAGGCGCCGTCGGTCGGCAATTCGTGTGAAGGACCGGTGTAGGGTGCAGGAGGACGATTGACTGATGGTGAGCGTCGAGGGAGTCAAGAGTGTCCGGTAGGGAGAGAAGAGATGGTGCTTTGCAGTGATGGAAACTGAGCAGGATGTACTGTTGGTGGAGAGCGCAGTAGGTGATGGTAGGTAGCAGTTTGTTTGATGGATCAAGAGAGATTGGGCACGACGTAGGGAGTACGGATAACAGGTATTGTTCTCTGTCACTGTGACAATAATGACGGCACCGGCGGATTACGTGGGTTTTTTTGGTGAGGGGCTGTGTCATTTCATTTCAAATGACGCACACATAGCGTTCCAACATACCTGAATGATACGCTTGATCGCCCTGCCCCGCCATTTGCTTGGCAGTGCCTTTGTGAGCGTGTGCTCAGCCTCGTCGAACGGTTACTTCGTACTCGTATCTACATGCAGGTACCAGGTAGGTATTCGTAGGTATACCAGGTGCCTTGGATGCCCATCTGCCTCAGGCAAGCATCTTTTGTCGATCATCGCAAGGTATATGATAGCGACATCGCTCTTGGTCATGCTTACATACTGCTGTTACCGATGCTGACCCTTGAGGATAGACCGTGTTCGACGAGTCCGCACCTTGCAAAGTCGCGACTCATACTGGCTTAGCCATCCTACGTTATGGGACACTCTCTGGATTAGGATGATCGATCCTATTTGTCGCAATCAAACAGGAAAGTAAGCGGCATAGCCGTGAGGCTTAACCTTCAAATTCTCTCGCCTTTGTCATGATGCCCAACGCTACCTCGAACTTGGTAGAAAGAAGCATGCTAAAGACACCTCAGAGTCTCATTGTCACATTTCCATATGTTTTTTGAACAAATTCTAGTTTGTGGCCATCTATACCCAGCAAATGTCGCTCAAAGTCTAATATCCAAAACCGGTCACGATGCAGCTCGTGACAGATTAACAGTAAAGTCTCTCAACAGTCCTTCTCCTTGCAGGTATCGTTTACCATTGCGTCCAATTCTGTCAACAGTATCCCGGTTCAAGCATTCGCTGAGCCGTCGTATCCCGGGCTCCTGTATGCGGTGTTCCCAGGTCGCAAGTCCTCCATCGAAACGTCTTGCGAGGTCTTGGTAGTTGGGACCTGGCTCCATTCTGAACTCCATTTGGAGGAGAGTCGAGGAAAGCAAAATCCAGGGTGGAAGATGGTCTGACACGCTGTTGCGATCACGATCATTCTGCAGTGATGTTAGCCACAGCCGGTGAGTCGGCGTCAAAGGTACTTACACTCCCTCGAGTACGATAAATCCCGTCTCGTTTTGCATGATGTCGTTTCTCCAGCCACCTGCCATTTCAACGATACGGTAGACGCATCGGATGAAGATGGTAAACCAGGCCGTCACAACACCAAGAGCAAACAGTCGAAACTTGGTGTCCTTCAGGGTGGCGGCAGCCTCAGCGGAAAGGGGGGTATGTCGCATACCTCGCTTCACCCGGAGCACATATACAATGGCAGTCACCGCGAAGAATGTCAGAGCGGCTACCTGCCAGGCGATACCGGCCATCATCAAGTTGTCTCCGAGGTCTTGTTGATCTTGAGTGTCGGCCGTGGATGCCATCGCTCCACCAATTGCTTGAAGAAGCAGGGAGAGGAAGTCTGCGCATATGAAAATGTAGGTGTAGAAGCGAGGCTTGATGAAGGAATATTGAGGTCCGAAGCACAATGCGACGTGCTTGAGGGTGAGGTAGATCGCTGCAGAGTTGAAAGCTGGGGCGATGATCAAGCAGCAGATCTGGGTAATGAAACCTGAGTCGGCGAACGGATTGCTATGCATGATGATTCGGCCCACATATCCAATAGCTTCAGTCAAACAGCCTAGACACAGTGCAACCATATAAGACCACGTCTTGTATCTGATGCCGAGACCTAAGTTGAGCAGGCCGAAGAGGGCAAAGAAACCCAGGAAGAAGGCATTGGCTGGTACGCTGGGAAGGTAGCCATACACTGAGAGTTCGGCAGGGCATTCAACGCTGAGTTCAGTACAATTGTTGGACATGTTGGAAATGTCTTCTCAGAGACTGGCTTTGAACGAACAAGAAGAAAAGGAAGTAGCTAAAGATCAAGAACGTTGGCCGATTGCTGGTGGTTGACGATGCTGAGGAGGATATGGAATGATACCTCCTCTTGGGCAGACCTCACCTTTATGTTCGAGCTTCTCGAAGAGCATGGCTCCACAGAGCTTCTCCAGCCGTATTGTTTCATGAGTATGAAATCATGCAAAGTTGTTGCGGCAGCCTTATGGCTTGGGGAAATACGATGCAAATTATGCAGTCTGAATGGCGCAGTCAGAGCCAAGAGTGCGATACGGATACGACAGGTGTTATTGTGCTCGAGCCAACTCGCAAGTTGGACCCCCATAAGGAATAGAGCCAGGCATCAGGCTTTCCATGTGGTTGATGAATGTTCCAGTTGCAGCTAGTCGCCGTGGTTTACAGCCCCCAGTGGAGCCTTGTATAGCCGCCAGCTCCGTGATAGTTCAGGGACATCGATATCCGTTGTTTGCAGATCCCGGTCTCCCACAACTCAAGTCCCCAGCCCAAGGTCTGTCGAAGGATTTCTGGTCCGATACTGCAACGCTGGCTATGCAAATGACGAAAGTCCTACTCCTGTGCTGCGGTGAAATGTCTGTAGAAGAACCACAAATAGATTTAAAGATGTTTAGCTGCTTGGCACATGCCACGTTGTTCATTGGTGGGCCACTGCTTTGCGGCCCAATAGTTAACCCGAGCCGAAACGCAAAAGCTAATTTCTTCCTTGCTGTGCTCGTGCTCGTATCCGTATCTCGTTGTTCCGTATATCGTATGTGCAAATCCAAACATGGTTCCTCAGAAGCCTCATAAAGACGAACGGAGTCGTATTGATTCCCAAGAGTAAGAATATACGTTGCAGCGGAGAGAGAATATTTCTATCCTCGTGGCTTTGACACTCGATTCTTTTCGTCCACAGCCTTCCTCGCCTGCAGACTCGCCTCTTCGAATGCTACAATAGCAGCCTGAGGAGTTCCGGATATGGAGCGGACTCTGGAGCTTGCCTGGTTAGCTCCACCTATCCGTTTCCTGGGAATCCTTTGTACGTGTGTATCGTACTGTCCCAAAAACTAAATGAAGAGGTGCTGCTTGGCGCAGGCTTGGTATCGCAATCCGTTTGATATGTCGTTGATTACCCATGTCTAAGGTATGGGCAACACAGAAGGCTCTTACCGCCGAATGGCCCACAGTCTCGTGTGTACTTCTGCAGTGTGTTACGGAACACTGTGGTAGAAATTACTACGTCCGTCCTGCGCTTCGCTCGAGGCGCACAGACCAATCTTCGCGACAGCACTAACCAAAAAGGGACGTCCCTTGCGATTCGCGCGCTTCATCACTCATGCGGCGGAGCTTTCCAGCAAACAGGGACAACATCTCTTGTTCCCTAAAGAGTGATATGACCATTTCTTCTTCGCAAAGAAGCCCTTTACAGCCTGACACAGCGGCACAACATCTCTTTTGGAACTTACTAAGCCTTACAACTACCGATATCTGGACCCACGGGTCGCCCTAAATGCCAAGGCACGTTTACGTCGGGACGGTGGCTGACGCTTGATATGATATGGCTATACTGATGGTTTGAGGTGACCTTTGCCAAATTCGTAGCATGTATATATCGAGACGTTCCTTGCGACAACGGTAACCGAATGAAGCCGACCTCTTATGTAATCGGCCCTGGCAGCAAAAACTCTTTCCAGATCTGAATGATCGCCCATCAATACAATGGTCTACCATGGTCCCAGCGGGGGTTGCAAGGCGTGCAGGACTCGCCGTGTCAAGGTATGTCAGCTGGTGGCAGTCTAAGTATCATCGGAGCCTTTTCTGTGGCCGAGACCATATCGCTAATTTTTCAGTGCGACCAAACCCGACCATCCTGCAACAACTGTACGCGCCGGCATCACAGCTGTCCAGGGTATGCAGACGTCTTTGACGGCGCTCACAGGAGCCAAAACAAGGTGATACTACGGCGGGTCGAGAAACAGAATACTCTACGAGACTCAACCTCCAGCAGTGACAGTACGAGCAGCAATAGCCCAAGCAACGACAGCCCCGCAGAATCATCGTTGTCAAGCGGCAGCGGCAGCGGCAGCAGTTCACTCACACCGCCATCAAGGGGTCCTAAGAAACCACTGCAATGGGTCATCTATTCCGCGCCTTCGCAGACCGACGAATCTCTGCGTGACAGCCAACTGTCCACGAATGAGCTTGCAGCAGACAGAGCCTTGCAGACACGCCATTCTCAAAGAGACACGAGACCTTCTATCGGCATTATGCTGAAGCCAGACTCGGAAGAAGCGGCGACATGCTTCTTCTTCCACCACTACACTGGTAGTATCTACGACGAGAACATCCACAATGGGTTCGCGACGATGTGGAAGCCACAGTTCGTCCGGGCGGGCCTGGACTCTCCTCTGAGGCTCGTCACCTCAGCGTTCACCGTCAACATCACCATGATGTGGTGCCTGCAAGGCTGCGACACGCGGCCTGCGCGGAAGCTCATGACCAAAGCGCTGACGGCCACACGTAAAGCCATCCAGGACCCGACACCGAACAAAATGGACGAGTTGCTCATGACGATCCTCATTTTTGACCTGTACGACTCGATGGTGCAGCACTACATCCCCCTCCCAGTGACATCCGGCAAGCACAAAGAAGGCGCCCTGGCACTTGCTCAGATCCGGGGCAAGACCAACTACGACAACCCGATCAGCGCCGGCCTCGCCAAGGCGACGCGGAGCACGCTGCTCTTGCACGCTCTACGCACGCGGACCCGGCTGATACCAGGCGCGGAAAAGCTCTTCGAGGACTCTTTGCTCCCGATCAACAAGGGGTCGGAGCTCGAATTGATCGTCGTCCGGATCGTCAATCTCCAAGCTCGCCAGTGGGAACTCAGGACGAGTCAACCCGGGCAACAACAAGGCCAACGGCGCCGGCGGCCATGCGACGACCGGCACGTCTACTACAAGTACGAGGCCATCATACGCGAGGCGATCGCTCTGGACGACCAGCTCGTCGAATGGCGGCAGTCCGTGACCGACCCGAACTGGCTGCCGCAGTACGTGCACCGCGACGAGGTGGCGCCGTCGATCCGCGCTGCGGGATTCTACGGCGACCGGTGCACCGTGTGGCAGGAGCTGATCTTCGCCGAGATAGCAAACTACTACGCGCAAAGCAGGCTGGCCAACCTGCAGATCATCCGACAGGCGTTCGCGGACGCGCCGTCGCCGGAGGAGGCGCAAGAGGGCGGCGTCTCCGCGACGGCCGCGGAGAGGGAGAAGGAGATGCGGCAGATCCTTCTCACGACCAACGCGACCGTGCAGCGCGTCGTCGACGCCGTCTGCGACAGCGTGCCCTGCCACCTCGGCGACACGACCGTGCTGACCAACCCGCTGTACAGCGACCAAATGAACGTCCCCTTCAAGACCGTCAAGAACCCAGCGACCCGCACCGTCACCACCGTTCCGGCCGACCTCCCTCTGTACAAGTCCCGCGCCGCCGCGTCCGGCGGCTGGGTCCTGTTCCCGTACGTGTGCGGCGTCCTACGGCTCGCCGAGCCCGAGGACGACGCGGTCCCCATCGTCCTGCGGGACGGCCAACTCGACTGGATCAAAGGCCAAGTCAAGCGCATGCAAAAAACCTTTCTATACTGTGATCCTGTGTGGTGAGTCTTTGTTTGTTTGTTTCTATTAGGTTTCTTTTTTATATGGAAATTTTATAAGTCCCCCTTGCCTCCTGATGACAGAATGAGGTTGCTACTTGCTGGCTGGCTGTTCTACCCCTATCCTCGCACACTATAGACAAGAGTTACTAACGAGTCAATCACGATAACGCAGGTTCAAGAGATTACCAAAGTCAAGTGGGTAAAGAGGACGGACTATCCGTCTGCAAAGAAGTTCAATATGACTTATGCGTTATGACTTTTCACTATTGCAGAGAGGTCAGGAAAGATACCTTCTGCGAAATAACTCGATGTAGGATTAACCAAATACTATGCCATTATCGCTACTACTTGTAGACTCATGCCTGCCCGCAAGAAAAGAGATCAAGCACTTATTGGCAGCAGCACCGCCGCCGCCGCCATCACCGAGCAATGGATTTCTGACTCTCTCTCTCTCTCTCTCTCTCTCTCTCTCTCTGAAAAATAAAAATACACCTCATTTTCCATAGACATGGTATCTCTTCTCGATTGCACTAGGGTTCGAAACAAGCGGCGAATTGCGTGGTATTCGCCCGAACGACAGACATCCGGGTCATTGCCATTCAATTCAATACTCAATTCGAAGTTCCCGTATATGGCGAGAAGAAGGACAAAGGTAAACAAAAAACCGTTCCCTCAGAGCAAGATCGAGGAAAATGAAGTAATACCGGATGGGCATACTTATGCATCTCCACCATTGGGGAAAAGACAATTGGACGAGCTTTTTCATCTCATCTCCAAACATCCATTCATAGTCCAGCAGTCGAGCCTCCTATATGTGCCACAACAGAATGTCAGGGTTGCGTCTTTCGACGACTGGGAAGGGTCTGTGGGCGGAGAGAACTTACCTCGAAAGACATTGATTCTCTACCAAACTGGAGGAAGCAGTGAAACGATTGGAACTGTTCCACGGACCCACCGAGTTCAAGGGTTGCTTGGGGAAGACCACATTGGGCGAAAGGGGGATACCACCTAATCGTCTTGGGAAGAGGCGTGGATTTAGGAAGGTCTGGGATGGTGATTTCTGGCGGCGTCTGGAACCGTAACAACGAATCTGGGCGTTGGTCAGTTGATCGCGTTCCGCCTGGATGACTCTCACTCACATGGTCATTTCTTACCAAGGCTGAATGTGAGTGTGGGTAAAGGTGTTTGCGAGCCAGCACTCGTACCACCTTTGACAACGGCCTTACTAGAATCACCTGAAGGCTTGGATGTACTGGCGGTGTCCGTTGATGTCCCCGGGCTGGAAGTTGAGGTAGTAGGCCTACCAAACAGTCCTCCGGTCGGCTTTGCCGCCGCTGCAGGGGTTCCGACTTTTGCATCGTCACTACTCTGTTTGAGCGATCGAGGTTCAATTTTGTCAATGTTTACCGCGCCTGTACCTGATCCAAATAGGGATGGTTTAGAGTTGGAATTACTCGTGAAGCCTGTACCTGATCCAAATCCAGAGGTAGAGTCGCTTTTTAGGCCTGTAGATGTTCCAAATATCGCTGATCCAAATCCAGAGGGAGAATCACTTTTCGGGCCTGTATATGATCCAAATAGTGATCCAGAGTTGAAATTACTCATGGAGCCTGTACCTAATACAAATCCAGAGGGAGAATCACTTTTCGGACCTATAGATGTTGGAGGTTTTGGAAGTGCTCCAAAAGTCCCTGCTGCAAATCCAGAGGTAGAATCGCTTTTCGGGCCTGTATATGATCCAAATAGTGATCCAGAGTTGGAATTACTTGTCGGGCCCGTACCTAATTCGGATTGTGATTTTCCAGGGTTGGAATTGGTTGTCCCATTTTCCGGGCCATTCGAACCGGACGAGCCAGAACTGAATCCCTTACTGCTGGAGCTCGTGGGAGGAGTCGAAGAAATTTTAGGAAGCATCTGACCAACAATATTCTGTGGGCTGGGTGACTTGTCTCGTGCGCCACTGGAACTCGCAGGGAGAACCGACGGCGGGACCGATGGCGTGTTTTCAGGCAGCACAGAAGCAGACTTCGAAACCGAAGATATGGGGTGAGTTGTGTTGGATACTGATTCTGGCTTGTGAGGTTTGGTGGCACTGGCTTGAGGCGAATCGGCGCCCAGTTGAGTCTTCACCTCTGGTGTGCTCGGCGGTGCTTGAGCGTCGGCTCGAGAGGTGTTGTTGCTTCGGAAGGCTCGGCTATCATGTCTCTTGCATGTTTTAAGCGAATTCTTCAAAGTCTGAAGTTCTCTCTGAAGATCTTCCCGTTGTCGCATCTGCCGAGGCGACTCGCCCGCTAGGAGCTGAAGCATTTCGTCGTCCATCCGACTGGCTGTCTGTGGGGAAAATATGTCACTCAATTTCGAGAGGAGGCAAGCTTCAAATCCGAGAATGACAATGTTGTCGATGAAGTTCTCCAAAGCAACATTGTAGTACGCCCTTGAATACTGTAGCATTTTCCTGCGTGTAGGCTCGTCGGCGCCGGCGGTGGCACCAACATCACGGCTGTCCACGAAAATCCCCGGGGTCTCCTTCGTTTTCGTTCCCGACCTAGCTTTCTCTTCGAGGTCATCATCAATGGCGTCCTGCCTCTCGATTTCTTTCAGACTCGCCTGCAATTTCACCTTGGTGGAATAGAAAAACGAGCCCTTGAAGGGCGCCAGCAATTCGGAGTTCTTCGCACCGAGTGTTTCCTGGATATTTTCCAGGGCATCATCGAAGACATGTCGCAGGACACGCTCGGCCATCTGGCCTGTTTGAGGACATATGTATTGGACGACCTTGCGCAAAAAGGCCCGAACAACACGACACATTTCCCCTGAGCATTCAGATGCTATGGTCGACCATTTCCGTGACTGCACTTTGAACAACTCCCCAATGAGTCCTGGATTGAAGAGAAACGACAACTCTGGTCCGCGTTGGTTTTTCAGTAACGTTTCCACTATCGTAAGAGCCTCCCTCAGATCGATACGATCTGGATGATGCTCGGGCCAGATCAAGGCAGTCGACGCGGGTGTTGTATTCTGGTGCCTAATCGAGTGGGTAGAAGAAGATTTGGTGATCTCGAAAGTATGTCCCTGTGAACGCATTGATGATTCAAACGCGTCTACCACGGCCATAGTCGCCGCTCTCAGTCGTGTCGTTTCCTTGTCATCCTGGAAGAAAGGGTCGCTGTAGTTACCTGCCAATGCGTTCTCCACGAGTCTCGTATATTGGCTGCTCATGTTGACAAGGTACTGCTCGAGCTCTCGGTGCGTGGTCCGCGCCGGGCCCAGAGTGTTTAGATCGCGACTGACCCGCTCGATCTTCTTCTCCAGTGACACGATGAGGTCGGGGAGGAGGCGAGTGATGTGTTCTTCGAGATAGGTGGACAGGGCTGAAGTTAGAGAATGAATACCGAGTTGTGCGTAGCCGAACGTGTCCCATGGATCTTGCCGGAACAGATCTCGTTCAAGAGCCTCGCGGTCAGCGCCTTTACGTCGTTCATCGTCATTCAAGCACCGCACGATGTGCCAGGGTCGCTTGAAGCGGAATGTTGGGTGTTCGTTCTTGGCCAGCGTGACGATCGTCGGTAGCATCCCTCGCTTGTCAGCTCGCATTAACTGATCTGCCTTTGTGATAACTCCGATACTTCGCTCTCCTATTGGGTCGAATGATCGGGCTTTCGCCAGGATGCCTTGGTTGTAAATTATGTTCTCGGCTGAAACGACGATGAGGATGATACTTTCCGTTTGAGTGAAGTAGTAGTCAATCAGGGCTATAACCTTGTCAACATCCTTCTGATCATTAGCGGAGTGGATGAGTCCGGGCAGGTCGACAAGCGTCAGATTAGGCAGATCTCGTCCGTGGATTTCAAGATGTAGCACGTCGCGACTGATGGAGGCGTCGTTCGCAAGATCCATGATCTGCTTGGCTTCTTCCATGATTTCTGGAACGTTGTCGAGACTAGTGATGGTCCTGTGGAATGATTTGACGCGAGACTGGTGTGCATCGGAGGACCCTGAAGCGGCACTGATGGTAGCATGTCCGGTAACAGCATCCTCGCTCGTGTATCGAAGAGCAAACTCGGTTGCGAACCGTGTGCAGATGGTGCTGCTTACCGGAAAGGCTATGCCTGACAAAGCTCCTAGGACTGACGATTTGCCGCTGCTCGTGTCGCCGCAGACGACGATTTGAGGGAGATTGGCGAGGCCATGGCGTCGGAACTTGTCAATATCGTTGAGAAGCTCGAGTCTTTCTTGCGATTGGAAGACATGGATGGATGACTTTGTTATGTCGATCCCCATGATGCCGATACTATGAGTTGTTCACGGCCGCCTAGGACACAACAGATGAAAAATGGAAAGACAGGTGGCCAGAGGGTGTAGGGATAGACTTTTATCATCTGCCATGCTGGAGGTGTCGATTAATTGTGCCCATAAGATACAGCGTCAGGTCACTGGACGCTTCCCCTTTCAGTTCACTTACAATAATAGTGTGTACTCGAAGCCAATGCAACTTCGTGGCGCTTGGGGGCTGGTTTCACTTTGATCAAGTACATGGGTGGTAAGTCAGGTCTGCGATAAGACGACCTCTGCGTCGACCGACACAGTGGGGCCAGCTTGAAAATAGTGCTCCTGATGGCGCAATGATTGTTTAGCCTGGTGCGCCTCTATCCATACTGGGGAGGCAGCATATCATGAAACAGCGATCGTGCCATTGGGCGCGGAAGCGCGGATGTCAAGTCGCTTGCACGCTTGCTGCGAGACACGCATGCACTGTAGATGAACCACACTCAAACCTCAAGCGCGAAGCAGGGATCCCCTTGCGTTGCATCTCTTCGAGGAGGCCGACGGTCGTACTGTACAGGAGGGTTTGCATGAACGAGCCGGCGCCCCCTGGTGGCTCATACTGGTAGTGGACAATTCTGCATTAGTTTGTTCGTTGACGACGCGGACGACGCTGCCATCGTGCTTTTCTTCCAGTGAAAACTCTTGAAGAATTCGATTCCGCCGCTCATCAAGCGTATGCGCTCATGAGGGACTGTAGATTATCCGCGAAGGGTCTGTAGAACAGTGTAAACAATGAGAGTTGAGCAGAGGCGGTGCCGGCGCCCCGTTCGTGTACTATGTACTTTTGTGCCTGGCGATCTTCACGCACTCGAACTTCCCCGAGCCACGTCCAACCTAATTGGGACTAGTGCATATAACACCGGCACCGCCTTCCGCTCGTGGCTGAGTACGAGGCACCTACGCTACGAGTAGTTAGGTATGTACTCACTCGCGAAGCCCTCTGTAACTATGTAGTTCCTCGTCCTCTGACTTGTTAGCTATTTTCCACCAGGAGAAGCCTCAGGGTTGAGATCCTGATCGTAATGGACTGCCCAGGACGAGCCCAATTTCATGAGGCTTAGCTGTTCCAGGAGACCAAGTGGTAACCTTCAGGTCTTGAGATATGATATGATTCAGTACCTGAAGGAAGAGATGTCTAGACGAAGATACGCAATAGGCTGCGCCACCGCGCCTGCCACGCCCTGGCCTTGATGTCACCTGACGCAAGTGAAGTGTAACACCAAGTGACGCCCTGAACTGCTCTATCTGTGCAGAACGTACTATCACGGCCATAGGTGCAGGTGTGCAAGCACGGAATAGGTCAAGAACCTGCAGGCTACTCAGGGGCCGAAACTTACAAGTCTGAAGGAGAGAGGGCGGTCCGTGGTACGGAATTGTATGGTCATTCTATCACCTAACGATATGGTACAGTTTTCAAGTTGTTTGGTGCGTACTGCCAAAACAATGTCTCTATTTACCATCATGGATGAATATATCCCAACGGTCAGTGGAATCGAAATAATATGGAGATCGTTCCTTTATTCCTCTGTTTCACCGCGTCATATCTTTCACTGAAGCATCATCGCCACTAGACCGGATGGACGACGCGACCGACCCAGCACTCGACCTCTTCACAGCAAGCGGCAATGGTGGTGGCAAGGCGTTTGCCGTGCGATCTCCACCGCTTGCTCTCCTACTAGCCGTGTCCTGGGTCAGTTGTGTGGCTCGTCCGTTTATACTCGAGGAGTTTCTGCTCCAGCGTGAGTCGAACGCCGCTGGCAGGGCAGGCATAGGAAGTGGTGAGAATGGCCCATTCGACGCACTCTCTGACGGTGTGATCGACTTGCGGATGCGAGGCTGGTACTGGCTATATGGGCGGGGCACGCTCACGACGGAGTCAGGTGGACCGGGCACTGAGAAGTCGCTTGGTGTGGGCGAGGAGACGCTTTCGCGTATATTCAGACCTGCAATAAGGTCTGAAGCGAAGGGCCGCGGAATAGGCTGCTGTAAGACAGGCGGAGGTGGTGGAGCCCGTCTCCCTCTAACCGGTGTCGGTGGATTGTTAGCCAAACCGGTCGGATGCAGTTTGGGGACCGCCGGAAGTGGTGTAGCTGGCGTAGACGGCGCTGCACCATATTCTTTCAAGATGGTGTCAGCGGGGTAAGTGGTGTCAGTGTCACTAGAGGACCAAGTGGGTGGTCTCTTGATGCTGGCAATGCTGACTTGTCGAAGAGTTGGGCCGTTGCGGCTCACATCGCTGTTTGCAAGGTGTACTTGATCTGAGAACGGGTTCTCCGATTTCTCACTGAAGAGGTTGGGAGTGCTCGCAAGTGCCTGTTGCCTTGGGCGTGCTGTCATTCCCGTCGAGACCTGGGACATGCCTGGGCTTGGGCCTTTCTCGTGGTCGTGAAGTCTTTGAACACGTCGAGCGCGGAGCGCGGCGATTCTATCTCGTACAGGCTTGCAGTATCGACACAACAGGTATACTCCTGTAGCGATGGCAAAGACTCCCACGATAGAAGCAACCACAATAAGTGCCGTATGATTCGCCGGGTGGTGGACGGAAGTATCGACGGTCGGTTGATTGTTAGATGTTGAAGCTGCACTTGTTCCAGTGGCAGCAGCGATGTCAGTGGATGATGATGATGTTCCCGACACAACCGGAGCATTGACAGGAGCTGTAGGGCCCGTTCCCACTGAGCCCGCTGGTGCGGTAGATGTCGGCATAGAGGTTGACACGTTGGATGCAGTTGTGCTTGTCTTCGGGAGGAATGGGTTGTCTGCCGTATTGGTGCTCGAAGACTCCATTGTACGACTGCCGGATGGGAGACCTTCCGCAAAGGGATTTTCTTCGTCATCACTCATGCCATCATCGTCGTCGCCGCTGCTACCATCCTCCTCATCGCTGCTACTATCGTCGTTTCCGTGACCCTTGGCGCCATCGTGGCCATCATTTTCAGGTTCCTCTCCTCCTATATCCATGGCGGCGGCCTTTCCGTGGATAGTGTTTGCGAGGTTCGGCGGCAAGTCGAGTGAATGATTCACACCTCCGCCATCTCGACGAAGACGAGATGAACCTCGAGGGAGATGTGCCTTTGCCTTCGCGATTCTGGACCTCTCTATCCGGTATCGAAGTTTGCTTAAAGGCATGATTTGTGTCTTGTCAAGCAAAAGAGAGCAAAGATGCTCTTCTAGCAGTACAACTGCAATTCTCGTTCCAGCATGAAGTACCTAATGATGCAGTTGAAGGACCCAGCCCTCACAAAACAGAAAAGGGAGAGAAGGTAAAAGGAACGAACCGTATTCGACCAGCGAACTTGGAAGACCAAACAAAAAGGCTGACGTGGAAGGGAAAGATAGAAGGCGGTTACTTGTTTTCCGAGTAGACGGTACCTACATTATGCCTTATGCCTCCGAGTGGAGAGAGGGATTTCCGGAACGCTGTTTCGCTTGCATCGATGCATGCCTCTGATGGTCTGAGGCTTGGCAGTCAAGGGAGTTTGGTTGTCGATAGGCGTCTGAAGCCTCTTCCGAAACGCCGCGAAGCAGGGCGACGAGGAGGGGCTGGGACGCAAGATGGTCGCAAGTCCCTGTCCAGAAGCCATCTGGTGCCGTGAGCACTGATCAGTGACCGCACTGACCGGATGAGTCCTGGTACATGTGTGGAGGTAGCATGTCGGAGACGCGAAGCTGAAACGTTTCAAGCCGCGACTGGCGGACGATCCATCTTGGCAGGGAGAGGACATATTCTACAGTACACCCTCACTTCTCAGGGAGGGATTCGGCAAGTCGCGTAAAGTAGACGCTCCTAGAACCTCGGCCAAGATCTGTCAAAGAACAAGACACTCTTGGCTGTGTTGTTCTTGAGATAGGGGATCATACAAGCCTTCCAACAGATAGACGATTGCCGGGATACAAACGGCGGAGCTGTTTGAGATGTTAGCCCCTATCGGAGGAATTGCGTTTTGCTGTCGTTGCCGCGGGACACGTCATGATTGACAGGCTCATGAGATGTCTAAGAGCCAAGGATGGGTTGGACGTTCGCACTCTGTACGCTGGATAGATACATCATGCATCCTGCTCAAGGGCAAATCGCAGATGAAGATGGATTAAAAGTTGTTGCCGCGGCAAAGGAACAATAAAAGTCCGGCACCCTCCGGTCTCACGTGAAGCCTCCGGGCTTCTTCTCCTGCGGCTGGAGTATCATTTGGTAAGGCAACACAAGGAAGAAGAGATTGCCCTCACTACAAGGTACCTCATTAAGCCTCGCTATCTCCAATTTCGACTCACACTAGGTAAGACTAAGAGGCTCTCCTATTGCTGACTGACTACTGTAGTTGTCAACCATGTGCTGCCAACTATATAATCAACAATGTTCATCGAGTGCTCTCAATCACAGATGGGCCGAAGGCGTCGACTACCCGATCGCTTTATTCCACGAGGCAATGCGGCCTATGCCCTCCGCCTATCGAGGGAGGCTTGGTCGCTTATCTGACATGCTGATTGCCACAGCATGTTCCCCAATTCGCGATGAAGTCCGAAGTTTGCTCCCGAATGTCACATTGTCACACCACCCTTTCCAGCCGGACTCTGGCTGGCAGTGGCTGCTTGGATAGTCATGCTGACTACCTAGCACTGAGTATAGCACCGTGCTCTTGGTACCCAAAATGCCCCCACTCGAAGGTTTACGCTCCACGGAGAACATCGTGTGGCGCCTTGTGCCTTCGAGAGAAGGGCCCAGAAGGCTCTGAACTCCGCTACTGGCATTGCATATGCTTCGGGTCTCATTGTCTTGTTTACCTGTACCGTTTTTTTTTTTGACATGAAGCACGTCGTTGCCGGTATCGGTACACGGCTAAGTACCTCATGCGGATAAGGTCCTCCTTGAAATACTAATTTAAGCAGGGCGAAGCGCGCATCTCTCGTCTTTGGGCCTTTTCCCTCTCTCAACTCTCTTTCTGCGATTTTTCTGTTGATACAAAGACTCGTTTATATAGACCCAAACCACTGCACGGGCGAAGACATCAAATCACCTAGACCTATTGCACTATCGGCCACAGAATAGAACCATTTGTCGATTTCATTACACTGTCTCTTCTCAACAGTCCGAACAAAGGGACGAATCCCTCCTATTTCCTCATCGACAAATCCAACACAAATTCGACAAGATGTTAATCGCTCGCCGTTTCTCAGTCACCAACTTCGTCATCGCATCCTCCGCCCTCGCCTTCCAGGTCTTTGTCCTGTACCCGTGGCACAACAAGCTCGACGAGGATTTCGAGAAACTGAAGCAAGAGAACACCAGGCTCTTGGCAGAGGTCGAGAAATCACGTCTTCAGGATCTCAAGGAGATCAAGGAATCCTTCAGCAAACTGCGCGCTGCGAACTAGAGGAGAAAAACCCCCCCTAATCCTCGAAACACTCGACATCACAACCGACAGAGGCGTGATTATGCAGTGATCCGAAAACCAGAAAAATGCCTCAGGAAACAGCTATGCGCACGCGAGCACCCGAAGAAAAGTTTAGCGCTACACCACGGCGCGCCATTACTATCATTATCATTGCGAATTTGCGACAATAACATGTTCTCCCAAGCCCGATACGATCAATCAAGTTTTGACTTGACGCCCTTTGCGGATCGCTCTGTAGTCGGTTGGTTCTTCCAGCGATCTCCGCAGTCATCGCCCCCGACAACGACCGAATCACCTCCGAACTACCGAAACACCTCCGAAAAAGCCCTGAATAGACCTTTTTTGTAGATACCTCCTACGGACACACGCGTACATACACACACCTCTCACCCACACGCTCCCTAGCGACACTCCGACGCAGGAACCGACCGGCAATTCCCCTGCCTTCACCAGGGGGGGCCTGCACGGAATGTTTAATTTCCCACACGTCGTTTATCGCCCCTTGCTTTTTACCATTTCACCCACCCTGGCATCGACGACATGCATCACATGCACACCTTCCGTCCAATACAGTACGAAGTACACAAAGAATTGACACCGTCCCGGCATGATAGACTCCAGCAAGAAACCATCAAAACACAAATTCACAACCAACAAGAATTCAGCAGTAACGTCCAAAGTGCATTAGACACATTACCCAAATAGATTCGAGCCGTGGGGGCCATTGCGGCAGGTACATGCATACATCTTTACGAGGGATGGCGGAAAGACGACGACGACTACTCTAGAAGCATTGGTTACATGGAGGTTTTTTTTCTTTCAATGATTTCAATCTGCTTCTTTCTGATTTTCTTTTTTTCCTTTCTTGGGGGGTTGAGCACCAACAAGTTACGACCACTGCCTCGAATTCCTTTTCTCCTTTTGTCTCCCCTTGAGCGTTGAGCCAAAACCAAACGATTCGCCATTCCAGCAGTTGTTATGTGTCCAGCGGCTTATGGTAAGACTTGGAAATTGGATGTTGGAAGTGGCCGAGTACATCTTATCATTTAAACATATTATTCCCCCAGACCTTTTTATCATTTACCTTCCTTTGACTTGAACCAACCTTCCGACCGTTGCCAAACATCCACCTTTCTTCCTGTCGCGTGCATGTTTTCCCTTTCAAGCCATAACAGTCGATTGCAATTGAAACACCATCCGTCATCCATCATCGACATCCGGCCTGGTGCTAACTTCGCTTCCTCGCAATCCAGCTGGTACGCCTTTAAGAATAATGTCATCATGCACGACAAGCAGGGCGGGCGCAAAGACGTTATCTATACATGCACCTCCGACTCTGTTTGTTACAGCAATGGCGGAACTGATCTATCTTAACAACTAGTATTTGATTTGCATGTCTGGTCCATGCTTCCAACAGTCTACGCTAACAGCACCCCTTTCCTCTCGTACATTGGAGCTCAGCCTCCTAAACACGGACAGTGAGTCCTCGCGTCTTCCTTCTAATGTTCTGATAGCCGTGTTCCTGCCTATGCATTACCCGGGCTGTCGCATTAATAGGTATATCTATCAGTTCCCATTTGACTTCAAGCATTCATGATTCTCTAGTGATTGCAACCGAGTCAGGCCCAGTCACATCGCCAGAAGTCACTGCTTCTTCGCCAGGGGCGCTGTTGTCTTGGCTGCCAATGACAGTTGCCTCCTCGTGCTCACCGCGCTCATGCTTCACTCTCGCCGCCTCACTTTGCAAATAACTCGCTCTTCTCTCGGCCTCTTGTTCATGCTTGTCACTTACGTTGACGGCGAGGAAACTCTTCGGTAACTGGACTGTGTTGAACTTCGCTTTCAGCGTTGATATAACCTCTTTCCAATCTTGATGATTGGTCAACGATCGCCTTGGGGCTGATCCAATGGCATGTTTAGAATCAAGAGATATATCGAGAGGATCGATGGTGTGGCAGCCAGGCGATATAGAAATGCGGATTGAATAGGTGGACTCGGCTGTGTCGGCGTCCTTGGCCTCGTACAATTCAAAGCAGATTTGAGAAAGGTAGTCCAGTTCTGGAATGGTGGACCGCTTGATCTTGGTATGGATTCCGCCTTCCATGATACAGTTAAGCAGTGTGTAGATATGGGATTCCTTGGTGAAATAGATAAAGGACTTTGCATCGCTGGACGCCTGCAACTCCTCGAGGTCGTCCACGATTTCTCGTAGTAGTGGGAGTGATGTCAAGAGGCCAATCTCCAATTTCTCTTCATCGCTGATACCGTACTCCTGCGGTCCGATGTAGTCGAACAAGATTTTGCTGTACCGATACAGCTCCCTCAAACGACCAAGGCGCTGATCGAGGCTCGACTTGCTCTCAGAAGACCCACTGAAGAGCTTGAAGTAAGAAGCCCCCTGTTCCCACGAATTAAGTGGTGGAGCTGCCACAGGCTGCTTCAGAATAGACTGTCTCCTCAGACCGATCTTGTGAGCAAAAGAGTGTTTGTCTGAGAGACTACCCGCAACAGACGCAGTGCTCTCCTGACGGCTTTTACTCGAAGGTGAGACGGAACCCTCGATCTGCTCTTGTTCAACCGGACTGGTAGATGCAGCAAGATTCTCCTCTTTGGCAAGATCGTCCAGCAGCGATTGGCTAGGTGTGAAGACCCATTCAAGGAACTGCTTGTTGTGAAGTGCGTCATATTTCATCGTGTCGTACAACTCGGAGATCTTACTGGGATCAGCCTTCTCAGTGTCGCAGAACTCGGAGAACAACTTCTCCCAGCGCTCCTTAAAGAGTTCTGGATCTTCTCCAGTACACCATCTGGACTGAATGGAAGCAACAGACACGCCCTCTTTGCTCGAGTCCTTCGATTCTGAGCCGCCATTGATTGCAGCGAGTGATGCGACCGCCCCGCTAGTGAGCTTCTTGAAGTTATGCCTCATGACTTTCCGGTGAAACTTCAGGAGATCGATGACATTCTGCATGACCACAAACGGGGACGCAACATCCTTGGGCCATGCAAAGGCTTCAGGGACACTGCCTTCACGAAGAAGGTGCTTAAGCTTCTTCTTGACTTTGTCCATGACATCCTTGGCCGCGTTTGAGTCGTCCAGAAGATCTTTGCGAACTTGAATAAAGTCTTCTGGGATGTCTTGACGATCGAGGAACGCAGCAGCGAAAATTTGCGCACTGGTCTTGACCCGTTTCTCGGAGCTAGTGAATAGGCGAACATCATTTAGTACCTCTCTATTGAGCAACTTGAAGTCGTCACGCATGTTAGCTCCCAAGTCCTGAGACTGGTAACGAGCAGAATGCGTTGGTTCTCCTCCCCATTTCATGACCAGCTGCAATTTGTCCAGGACAAGATCGTTCTCCGCCGCCGAGAACCTCGAAAAGGTCGCTCCTGACATGGAGTCACTCCTCGTCTGTGGTCGATGCAATTGGTTAGGATCTTTGAGATCCGGTATCGAGCCCGAACGGTCGGCAAGCGGCGAGTCGTGAATCTGGAACGGTTCTGTCTCTGGTATCGACAGCACGGACGGACTGCTCGGGTTGGTTGGGTCCATGGAGTTTGCCTGCATCTCCTCCGGCTTCCGCTTTCGAAACATTGGTTTAATTTGGACCTTTGTACCAGGCTGGGAGCCTTTTTTCGCAAGGGCGACTCGCAGATTACGCAACTTATCTGGGTCTTCGAGGTGATCCTTTTGTGCGGTCCTGACTGCGGCCTCGACACTCGCTAATGCAGCCTCACCCTTAAGTAGTACTTCCTCGTGGTGACCTTTAAGAAGATCAGCAAACACTTGAGAATGTGCAGTAAATTTGATCTTCTGCTTTGGAGTCCTGTCCGCATGTCTGATGACGGTCACGAAGCCCTTGAGCTTCCAAGAATGTTTTGAACTGGGCATCGGAGCTTGTGCCTCTGGTTCCTTCGCGGGTGTCATCAGCTCTCCTGCCGCTGGCCCCACAGATGCCGTATGCACCGCTGGGGGAGGTAGCATTTCGGGATTATCCACAGCTCTCGGCATAACCTGTGCGTTGGAGCTTTTCTCCATGGTTGGCGGAGAGCTAAGGGGAGTTGTCAGTGTCGAGGATCTCGACGAGGGACCAGCCGTTGACTGATGATGTCTGTTGGAGTGAGGCAGGTGCTGAGAGAGCTTATTCATGCTTGGTGACTTCAAGATCGTCTTTAGTGCCGAACGATGAGGGTGATTGGTGCCCTGGCGGCGTAGTGGAAGTTCACCATTTGACTCCGGGGATGGTTCCTCAGTCCAACCGTTCTCCAGCTTGAGCTTCTCAGTGACGAACATGCCTCTCAAAATCTTGGCGCAATCATTGTAGTAGTCTTCATTATCTTTGACGAAGCTCCAACCATTGACATCGATGATGTAGCTGGAAGTCCCGGTGCGCAGCAGATCAAAGCCACAAATACGCTGACCAAAAGCTCGAGCGACCTTTGCAGCCATTTCTCTTTCGGCATCGGTGAGCTTGGTAACATACCTGAGTTCCTTCCCATGTGTATTGCGGCGAACTAGGCCATCAACGACAGGCGATTTCCTTGTTTCTGCATGGCAGTAGTCGGGTCCAACAGTGTACGCCTTCACGTCTTCAGCATTCTCGGTCCGCAGAAATTGTTCGTAGATGTAGCTGCTTCCTGGTTCGGTAATGGATCGTGGTACAACAAGATCAGGATCGTACTCGGACGACTTGTTGCCGATCTTCCGGAAGAGTCTCCTTGCTCCGCCCTCCTGAGATCTAGGGAAGTAGATGATGACATTGTGGTCTTCCCCGTTGACAGGCTTTTCGACAAAGGGTTTCTTCAGTGATCTGCCATCAACAATGATTGTGTCACCCTCATCTGTCAACTCGACAGATTTTGCCGGAGGTGCTCCGCCACCCGTGCCATCTTCGGGGCCTTCTAACACAACTCCGGTCATATTGTAGACATGCTGCGCAAGTTCAGCCGACTCTAACCGTGGGCCTCCGTCTCGATTGACTTCAATGCGTCTAGGGGTGGGGATCTGCATCTGATCCAAGATTTTGAGGCACAGTCGACGATCCCACAGAACCTTTTGCATGGGTAAATCGTTCACCACAAAAGGTTTCCGCAATTTAACGTATGCGATGGCCTTGTCCAGAGGGAAGCCGTCTGAAAAGAATGAGATGAGGAAATCACTGTCGGGATTAGTTGGCAAGCAAATCACACATTTCGTACGAAACATAGGCTTACCAGATAGGCCAGTTCTCCACGTCTAGGCGAGTTAGCAACTTAGCATCGTTCGTATTTTACGACAGGATCAAACTAACCTTCATCAAGAATAGCCTTGTCACCGAAGACAATAACTTCAAAATCACCATTGCCTTGGAGTCGCGTCAGGATTTGACGACTAGGACGACTTCGGGCTTTGACATCAAGGGCACAAACTCCGATCTTTCCCATTGATATCTTGCTTTCAGTACTTCCAGCGTCATTCTTGGAGGAGCCGGTTCCACTGAGACGTCGGCTAGAAGAGATTGAGCGAGGTTTGGTTACTCGAGGAGCCCTATTGGGCAAAACAGTCTCGGATCCATCCGTCTTAGAGGCAGATCCTAAGGTTTGTCCAGCGGGGATCGAAGATTCGCTCTTGGTGCCTGACGGCGCAAGTGTGGCCTGTGATGATACTAGATCTGAAGGATTAGACATACTCGGATCGAAAACAGGAGGTGAAAGCACAGGGGCGCCTGGGGATGTTGAGGTGGAGGCAGTGGTGACCACGGTAGGGTCGTATGCAGTTGTTGGAACCTGTATAGTGGTGGGCGAGGTCGCAAGAATGGGAGCATCCAGGCTCTTGACTGAAGCGGGCGGACTTCTAGCGTCATCTTGAGACTTTCTCTGAGACCTTAAGGAGTTTAAGGAGGTGGACAGTCTCCTGTTGATGGTAGGCGCGGATGAGGGAGGTGGCATACTTATACTAGAACGATCGGCCGAAGCCTTGGTAGTCTCGGCTTGAGGAGCCTTGCGGACTTCAGGGTTTTTGTGTGATGCCAGTAGCGAATGTGTTGAGGGCGGCCGACCAAGAGACACTGGCGGTCTGGACGATGTGACGGAAGAAGAGCCTGAATATACCGCTGTCAGAGAAGAAGTGTCGTCCAGAGCACTCTCGGAGTTGTTCGTCGACGTCCGGTGCAGCGGTGAGCCTTGCTCCATGGTGTCTGTTGTACTATGCGGAATGTGCCCGGACTAATTAGTACCACCTTCATCCAACAGCGACGTCGACCGTGATCGAAGCTCGCACAACCTGCGACGAGGAAGCGGTGAATTTCGTCGGAAGCTTCGTGCGGGACCAGTCAAAACGAATGACCTGAAGAAAATGTTCAAAGAGTAGAAGGTGGAATATTACACTATCATGTTGAAGGGCGGTAGTAGAAGGAAAGATCTACCTGAAGCCGGCGAGGAACGAACAGCTGAGCGCCTTGACGGATAGGAGAAGACAGATTATGAGAAGGACAGACGTTCCGTTATCGTTGCCGCTGCCACCGCCGCTGTGGTGTCTTTGCCGTCCATTATATTTTGGCAGGTGCGACGGGATCCCGAGGCCCCGACGTCATCGCTCCTTCTCACTTGCTCCGTCCATTTTACATGCAGTAGAAAAAAATAATTTAGTGCTTTCCGCTTTGGGATTCGCTCTCCAGTCAAACTGCGCTCAACATACACGCAGTCGCCAACCTCCAACATGTCACGGAAGAGCCGATGAACTTTGGGAAGACTGTATCACGCAATTTTCTAGCATGGAGGATGCCGTCGAATTCCCAGCGACCAAGCGACAGCGCCGTGAAAGTGTCCAGAGCCCTCTCAACCTCAAGGCACGAACGAGTTCTCGACTCTTTTCTCCATTTCGAGTATGCTCTCGCTGCATTTTCTGAAGACCTTTTGCTGACTGCTCGCAAGACTCTAGGCTTGGTCTCTCCGACCAGTGTCCCGTTCACGTCTGTTCCACTGGGCAAAACGACTTTTCAGATCACCACTTCTGTGGGCTACGCTCTACAAACCTACGACTTGCAACGAGGCCTCAATCTTGTTTTCCTCAGTCGCCCCCAATGCCCGAGTCAGATTACGTCTACGTGCGCATATCGAGACAGAGTCTTTGCGGCTTGGGGAGGATCACACCCCGCCAGCCCTAGAGGCGTTTGGGTTGTCAAGCGAGGCCAGGTTGTTGGTGAGTTAGAGGTTGATAACACTTATACTCAAGAGATTGAAAGGATACTTGTATTTGGCTCTTGGATAGTAGGATGTGGAAAGCAAGCGATCGAAGTCTGGAAATCCGACACGTACGAACACTATACAACCATACTCCCGTCTACTCCTGCCGCTGCCAGCAATTCCAAAGAAGTTTTCTCGGGTCAAATTTGCACCCTACCTACCATCCTGAATAAGGTCTTTGTTGGAAGAAAAGATGGCTATATTGAGGTGTACAATGTCAGTACAGGGAGACTGGTGCACACAATCCTCGCTCCGTCGGCAAATTGCGGTTCGGTAACCGCTCTTTCCCCTGCCCTTGCGCTGTGTCTGCTCGCAGTTGCTTACGCCGATGGCTCTCTTATCATATTTGACGTCGAGTCCGACGAAAAGGTACTGGAACTGCATCAAAAAGACACCAAAAAGCCAATCACATCGATAAGCTTCCGGAGTGATGGCATGGGTGCGGGAGACGATGGTCGTAAATCTGGCTCAATGGCTACGTCTAGTATCGGTAGCGGAGATATCACGCTCTGGGACCTCAATCGTGGAGGTAAGATTGTGGGAGTTTTGCGAGGGGCCCATGAGACATCGAGCCTTGGTCAAGCCACAGGGGTGAACAAGGTCGAATTTCTTCCTGGACAGCCTGTGCTGATTTCGTCGGGCTTGGACAATTCTCTGAGGTCCTGGGTGTTCGACGAGAACCCTTTCTCACCAACACCTCGACTCCTACACTCACGGAGCGGCCATTCTGCTCCAGTAACTAGGCTCAGATTTCTGCCCACCGCCTCAGATGGGTCGGACGCTGCCGGGAAATGGCTTCTATCTGCCGGTAGCGACCGAAGCCTCTGGGGATTCAGTCTCCGGCGCGATGGCCAGAGCACAGAGTTAAGTCAAGGTGCAGTCAAACACAAGGCTCGGAAAACGGGACTGCTTACAGACGATGGCCCTGGAGTGGAGCAATTCAAAGCCTCGCCTATCATTGATATGGCCTGTTCCCTAAATAGAGATGGCGGGATGGGTGCAGTGGGCGGCCAAGTCTGGGCTAATGCGAAGACAAGTAATGCAGAAGTGACCAGCAGTACTGGTTGGGAGAGTGTTGTCACTGCTCACCTCAACGATCGCTTTGCGAGAACGTGGTCTTGGGGAAGGAAAAAGGCCGGCAGGTGGGCTTTCGAGACTGGCGATCATAAGCCCGTTACTAGTGTCACCATCACGACATGTGGTACTTTCGCTGTCATCGGCTCAGCTGGCGGCAGCTTGGACATGTACAATCTTCAATCTGGGGTACACCGTCAGCGTTACCCTCCTCGTCTGACTCCTTCACAGGTCAAACTGCTCCAACAACAAGCTCAGTCAGAGCAGATTCTGACCATACCACAAGGTCATCGAGATGCTGTGACCGGCATTGTTGTTGACAGTCTCAATCGCACAATGGTTTCTACCAGCCTCGATGGCTCTGTTATCTTCTGGGATTTCTCGACCGGAAGGCTTCTAGAGAGACGCGCTGACGCCCAGGCTGTGCCCACGGCCATCCGTTACAATCCTTCGTCGGGGCTTCTCGCTCTTTCTTGTGACGATCTTTGTATTCGCATCATCGACATAGAAAGCAGAAAGATTGTCCGCGAGCTATGGGGTTGTGTAGGGCAGATCTACGACTACTGCTTCTCCCACGACGGCCGCTGGGTAGTGTCCTGTTCCATGGACTCTATTATTCGCGTATTTGACCTAGCGACAGGCCATCTAATTGATGCCTTTCGAACTGCAACATGCACCAGTATTGCATTCTCATCGACTGGCGAGTTTCTAGCAACCACCCACGCAGGTAGCGCTGGCATCAATATTTGGACGAACAAAGCCCTTTTCACGCACGTTTCAACGCGGCAGGTTGATGAAGCTACAGGTGTCATCGATCTCACAGAAACAGCGGCCTTCCAAGCAGCAAGTCAACTCGCCATTGCAGAAGCGGAGGCCGACGCAGATGACGAGATTGACGGGATCGACGATGAATCATCCACCGTCGACCAACTGGATCGAAGCCTTCTCACGCTCTCCATCGTCCCTCAATCACGATGGCAAACCCTCCTCAACCTCGACAGCATCCGCGAACGCAACAAACCAATCCAGGCCCCCGAGAAGCCCAAGGCGGCGCCCTTCTTCCTCGGCTCAGCATTGACGAACGGTACCGGCGCCGACACAAGCTTGTCCACAGCTGCCGCAGAGGTCGAAGAGACTGAACGCTCTCGCATATCTCGTCTCGCGCTCGCATCCTCGTCGCAGCCATCGCACTCGAAAATCTCGTCGCTTCTGACTTCCTTTTCGTTAGAACGTGACTCGAGGGAATTGTGCGATTACCTCACTACACTCCCCCCGTCGGCGGCAGACCTGGAAATACGGTCCCTGACGCTGTCTGAGATGCCCCTTTTCGTTGGCGCACTCACGGCCCAGCTCGAATCACGACGCAGTTTCGAATTGGTGAATACATGGATGAGCGTCTTTCTCAAAGTGCACGGCGACTTTGTCGCAGACGTCCCTGGTCTCAACGATGCCGTGCGCGAGTGGCGATCGGTCATGCAGGTCGAAGAGGAGAGATTGAGTAAGCTGGTAGGCTATACACGAGGCATTGTAGAGTTCTTGAGGAGTGCGAGGTAGATTTGGTGACGATGTGCATCTTTGCATGCCATTTTCTTTCTTGGATAGGGCACTCCAAGTCAGATAAGCTTAGTTCAATGGCCACAGAGGAGAAGAACGAAGATTACAAGACACTTTTCAAACATATATTGGTGGCCATTTTGTGTATCTCGTCTCATCAAGAATCGTGAACGTCATGGCTGGCCGAGAGCGAGGGTAGCTGGGTCCTAAGTGCCTATCATAGGTAGAACTGGAGAGGTTTCAAACAACACATCAAGCTCGACGCAAGCCCAACCGACGCGTAGCGCAATGCTCATTGCCAGTCAAGTTTTCCTACTTTTCCATTCCCTTTGTCCCTGTTGTGGGCATTCTCGTACGTCTGTGTCTCCGGAGGCGGAGGGGGATCTATTTATTTGAGACCGTTCTTGGCCTTGAAGGCGGCAAGCAGACCGGCAGTGGAGGAATCGTGGTCAGCTCCGGCGCCCTCGGTCTCGAGCTCTTTCTGGATCTTCTTGGCCAGGACCTTTCCAAGCTCGACGCCCCACTGGTCGAAGCTGTTGATGTTCCAGATGACGCCCTCGGTGAAGACCATGTGCTCGTAGTAGGCGATCAGCGCGCCGAGAGCGCCGGGGGTGATCAGCTCGGCCAGGATGTTGGTGGTGGGCCGGTTGCCCAAGAAGGTCTTGTGCGCGACGAGCTCGTCCGGGGCGCCCTCGGCCTTGACCTGTTCCGGGGTCTTGCCGACCATGAGAGCCTCGGCCTGGGCCAGGAAGTTGGACGCGAGCATGCGCTGGTGCAGGCCGCCCTCGACGGGGTTGTGAGAGTTCGCGGCGAGGATGAAGTCGGTCGGGATGAGCTTCGTGCCCTGGTGCAGCAGCTGGAAGAAAGAGTGCTGCGCGTTGGTGGCGGGCTCGCCGAAGAAGATGGCTCCGGTGGTGTACTTGACGTATTCGCCGGTCCGGGTGACGGCCTTGCCGTTGGACTCCATGGTCAGTTGCTGCAGGTAGGCCGGGAAACGGTGCATGTACTGGTCAAAGGGCGAGACCAGGTGGGTCTGGGCACCGAAGAAGTCAGAGTACCAGACGCTCAGCAGGCCGGCGATGACGGGGATGTTCTCGTGGAGCGGAGCGGTCTTGAAGTGGTTGTCCATGGCGTGTCCGCCGGCCAGGAACTCGTGGAAGTTGTCGTAGCCGATGTACAGGCACACCGACAGGCCGATGGCAGACCAGACAGAGTATCGTCCGCCGACCCAGCTTTCGAACCCAAACATGTTCTTGGTGTCAATGCCAAACTTGGCCACCTCCTCTTTGTTGGTGGACAGGGCGACAAAGTGCTTGGCAATGTCCGACTCCTTTGCGGATTGCAGGAACCACTTCTTCGCCGTGTTTGCGTTGGTGGTTGTCTCGGCGGTGGTGAAGGTCTTGGACGCAATCAGGAAGAGGGTGGTCTCAGGGTCAGAGTCTTTGAGGGCCTCGGCGATATGAGTTCCATCAATGTTGGAGACAAAGTGCAATTTCATGTCGCGCGCACCGTACGGCTTGAGTGCCTCCGACACCATAACAGGGCCACTGTTCGTTGTTAGTTTTTGTTGACTGCAAGAAACGAAAAAAAGAAAGGATTTTATTCTGCCTTACAGGTCCGAGCCACCGATACCAATGTTGATGATGGTTGTCAACTTCTTCCCAGTATAACCTTTCCATTCACCACTTCGGATCTGTTCTGAGAATTCCTTCATGTGTTCTAGGACCGAGTTGGTCTCTTCGACGACACTCTTGCCTTCGACAGCCATGGGTTGATTGGTCACGTTTCGCAGAGCGACGTGGTACACAGCTCTCTTCTCGGTGAAGTTGATCTTCTCACCAGCGAACATCTCATCCCTCAGTTGTTCCAGATTGGCTTCCTTGGCCAGGTTGATGAGAAGGTCCAAGGTTTCTTCGGTCAGGAAGTTCTTGGAGAAGTCGAAGAGGATTTCTCTGTTGTCGGCGTCGTTCTTGAAGATTCTCTTGAACTTCTCAAATCGCTGAGGGTCTTTCTCGAAGTATTCCTTGAGGACGATGTTGCGGCCCACGGTGTTGTGGTGCTCAACGAGAGCTTGCCACGCCTTGAGCTCGGTGGCCTGCGAAAATCCGGGCATGTCGAGTCGTCGAGATATTGGATGGAAAAGGAGGGTCTCTGAATGTGTGAGGTGGTTAGTAGGAGTGACTTCGGGAGGGAAACGGTCTGTTGGGCACAGCACAGCGCAGTGAAACTCTGGCTGCCGCGGAACGGGTGGAACTGTCTTGGGCTTGGGTTTGGGGCTGATTCGAGTCGCTTACACTTGATGTCGTAGGGAAGATTGTTAGGAAAGTGAGAGAGAGAGAGAGTGGAAAAAGTCGCGGTGGTTGAAGACAGATAAATGTGTTTTGGTTGTGGTCTACGTCGAAATGCTGCGAGAGATGGAGGGGCATTTCGCAAGCTCCGGCAGAATCCAAACTATGATGCAGGGCAGAAAGACACAGCCTGAGGTAATCCATCTGCCCCACCATCTCTCACAATATCACACGATATCACCAGACTCTACGAGCATTACAGCACATGGAGACCATTCAGGAAAACAGTAAGCGGCCGTCGGATGATTAAGCCTTGCAAATACAGGAAATCGGAACTCATGTCAAGTCGAGGAACAACGTGTTCGTGGGCTAATAAGTTTAGTACGAGTAGCGGGTATCTTGCCGTTACATAATCGCCGCATGCACCGTCTTCAGCCTTGTCCTTCCACGGCCAACCTCTTCAGACCATCATTTATTCCCTAGTACCACTGTGGATGCTGTCCTCCTTTTGCTTGTCCATGTCCCCGTGACAACCTCCCAGTTTTCTAGAGTAGCAACGCCGACATGAAAATCAAACTGCCCAGAGCGAACAAAGATACCGAAGATCGACCCTGCAGACCTGCCGCGGCTCCTTTATACCCATTAATGGGAGGACTGATAGTTGGTGAAGGACCTTTGGTGGCATTGAAAGTGACGTTGGCAGTCGGTGAGGCGCCAGTGGCATTGGCCACCGACAAGGTCGATGTTGTCGTATTCAGCGCAATAGTAGTGGTATTGCCATATGAAGCAACAGAGCTTGTAAGAGGAAGTCCAGTGGTTGATCCGGTCAGAGCGCAAGAGGTGGTGGAAGCACTGACAGTAACAGTGTTCGTCGTCGTCGAGGTGATCGTAGTGGTAGTGGACAGTATTGACGACGTTGTGTTGTACATGCCATCGTCGTCGTCATCATCGGTGTCGTCTTCGCCATATCTGCATCTGAAAGAAGCATGTCGCTTCCCGTCTGCAGAAAGGCATTTGGATCCAGTGGTAGAGCAATTGAAACCGGATGGACATGCGTCTGCGTGGTCTTAGCATCTCTACAAATATCAGTAGCAAAGGGTACATCACTCACAGTCGCTTGAGCAGCAAGTCTCGCCAGCCTTGGGGTTGTAGCAGGTATCGCTACCACAGGGCACATAGTCAGCGCCGCAACCGGAACAGCTACCATCCTGACTTGGGCTGCAGGCCTCATAGCGGAGACGCATGTTGTCGCCATGTCCAGATGCTGCCGTGAAGGGAATTGCTGCCACTAGGAATGCAGTGACAGCGAAACTAGTGAGAGACCGCATGGTGGTTCTGGAGTGTTTGTGAGTGAGACTACGAATTTTGCAAAGAGTGCCTAGTAATGAGTGTCTCGGGCAATAGCTCGATGTTGTAGCAGGGAAGAAACCGCAAGAGAAGATATCGAAACATGACAACACTATTAATATGCATGTACGTGATTTCTTTGTGCTGAGACTGGAAGCAACAACAAAGAGGAATATTGCATACCCAACTGTGGAAGCCGGTGACGGTAACACAGACAAAGGGTTCGAAAACGGTTGACCCCGTGAAACGCATCATTTCCGGTTCTTGGGCTTTTTGGGAACAGACCAGATGTGATGCGAGAGCACTAAATGTGAGTATCCGAAATCAAGATAGTACAATGGCCGAGGAGCAATTGGCGCTGAAAGATGTGGGAAACAGCACCGGGAAGCCTAGGGTGCAGAGAGCCTACCAGGCATCCGAGAGGAGAGTGAGCTGAATATTCAAACCTGTTTTCGCACGGAGGATCAAATCGCAGGCCCTCGAGTTGAGTTATACGTGTTGATGTTTTGCAAAGTTCAATCTGCGAGTCCACGGGCAACCGCAACCACAGCCTTGCTTATCTAAGAACATGCCAAGGCAAGGCTGTCTCCCGTCACGCAATAAGGGCCGAGAGTGAGGCCACCGGAGCTCGATGTGCAGCCCAAGTCCCTGTGTGATCGTGTCTGGGGAATCTGGCTGGGTCTGGACTGGACGACCTCGTATTGTAGTACGGAGTAAATCCCATACGATACGCGAGCCTCGTGCTAACCCAGATAAAATCTCCGTTCACCACCTCCTCAACAAGAGAGCGGCGGCTGCAAACCCACGCCAGCCGCATTCGGTGGCTTGCTCCGAACACGGACTCTCGTTCAATGCTTCAAGCCTCCAGGAGTAGTGTCTACAAAGCCAATAGCTTAGTGAGAACAATCGTTGGATTTCGCCCCTGGTAAAACAGATGCTAGAGTCAAGGCTGGAAAGATTACTCGCAATGAGGATGGCGCTGTGACTTTTTCGGGCTTCTCGCTTGCTCATGCCCGCTGGGCAATTTGAACTCGGATACTTTGGGCTCTCCACTCTAAGCCTCAACCCTTGATCGTCCAGCATTCCAGCCAAATCTTCCTCATCAGCCTATAGGCTACGGGGAAATGCGCCCCTGTGCATGGCCGCCTCCCGCTGATACCGCCCAATCTGCGCTTCGAGCAGCTTCCCCTCTTTCAAATTGCCTCCTGGACCGGCGATAGACTAACCCACCCTCTGGGAATGGCTCTTCAACTCCAAGCCAATGTGACATGAGGCGATTACTTTACTATCGCCTTAGCTTCCTGCCAATGGTCAGCCCTCACCATTTTCCCGTGGTCTTGTTCGAGTAGACCCTGAGCGTTGTGCCTAGAGCCCTAGGTCTTCTCAACAAGACCGGAGGTATGTTTCTCTCCTTCGTTTTTGGCACTTCACCTCGTTGCGCAAGAGACCGTCTTTGACTCGGCGCTTCCCCGTCTTATTCACTGCCTGGAAAACAGGCACCTCGTAGACGGAGCAACTCATTCCGCCATTTCGATCAACCCAGAAAAATGGTGTGATACAATCGTCTCCCCCGCCCGCGCGGTAGAACGAATACCCCTTCGCGTTCCTGGTGTCGATTCTGGAGGCTTTTCGCAGCTGCGAGCGGTCTGAAAGTCTTCCATCATGGCCATTTCTCGACTCTACTCTGATGGCAAATATTCACGGCGCCGCTGGATTGTCGGCATTCTTGCTTTTCTGACCTTCGCGGTCCTTGTAATCTCATTTACTCACTATCGACGGAATTACTATGGCGAAATGAGCTTTCCCACATCACACATTGAGACGGAATTCACAAAGGATCTTCGCGTCAAAGAGTTCATCAAGCCGGAAGGTGTCAAGGTAGTCGGACTGGTCTTTTTCGGTAGAAAGAACAGAGTTGAGATCTTGCGATGCTTTTTGGAGGTGAGATGTTCTAGGTTTCGAACCATTCTGCATGCCCTAACCCATACTCTTAGCGCAACCTGGTTGATAATGGCGGCTGGCTGGACGAAATCCACTGGGTCAAGAACACCGATAAGCAGGATGACTTGGCATATTTGGATGAGATCCTCGCATCCTCTCCCCGCTACAAGAAAATTGAGCTGGAGGGCGTTGGTTTCGTCGGCTACGGCTATGCATGGTCCCATCTTGAACCCGGCCATCTGTATATCAAAATCGACGACGACGTGGTCTGGCTCGCTGACGACACGATCCCGCGCATCGTGACCATGAAGATCGCCCACCCCGAATATCTCCTGGTCAGCGCAAACGTCATCAATTCGCCCCTGATGGGCTGGGTGCATTATCATATGGGGGCCATGCACCCTTACCTGCCCGAATTCGACGTCTATGATCCTCCACTGCTGGATGCCGTTAGATCTACTGATCGTAAACCGTGGCATTACTCCAAGTACCCCTACTGGAACGGTCCGGACGACTATTTCTTTGACATCCATCAGGATCCGCCCTACAACGGACATCGATGGCTAAGACTGCAGAACGACACGGCGATCCACCGCACTCCCGTCAGTGAGATCGAGTACAAGACATGGGGGACCGGTCTAAAATCATGGGCGATTGCAGCGCAGGAACATTATTCGTTCCTGGAAAACCTAGCCAACGACCAGCTAGATCGATACAAAATGGGCAAGGCCTGGCTGACAGATTATAAACGCCTTAGCATCAATTTCATCGCAGTGTGGGCAGATGATGTTCTTAACAACCTTCCAATGGACACTGTGGACGAGGAGTGGCTGACCATCAACCTGCCTAAGAAGCTGGGTCGCAGTGTCGCAGTTGAGACCGACGCCCTCGCCGTCCATTTCACCTTCGGCACCCAAGGCAAGGTCGGGCAGACCGACTTGTTACCGCGGTATCACGATTATGCCCTTGAAAATGCCTGCGCCAGACGAGTATGAGCACGGTAAGAACAGAGCATTGCCAAAGCAGGTCAACCTTGGGGAGACGAGGACGCTGTCCAGCGGGCAGGCAGTGTCGAATGACAATGATGGTTCGTCCGGGGACGAGCATTAATATCCTCCCACCAAGCATGGGTGTCAAGAAGAGTGGACTACGAAGGCTTCTTTGTAATGTACGACTAGACGACCCTCTGACATCATGTACCTATATCATCAAATTAGCAAGGAGTTGGGTTGAGAAGATCCGGCGAGTGACTTTTCCGAGTTGTAATTTCCTAAATGAGATTGAGAATGACCACCTCTCTTTGCCACGAAGAGATAACTAGGCGACGTCGCTAATCACGCACCAGCCGCTGACTTTTGACCTCTCACGACAAGGTCATTCGTGGGTTATTACTACTGCCGTTCTCTATTTCTACTTCACCTGACAGGTGAAGCATCCCACAGTTCCTCAGCATTGTCTCTGAAGAGTCTCTCTATGAGTTCAGGGTCATTCTCACACCACTCAAAACACCTCTCAATGAATGGTACGGAGTCAATGCCATCGAACCTCGTATGTGGCCAATCCGTGGCGTACACAGTTCGATCCCTGGCCTCTTTGATCAAAACCTGTCCAATCGGATCCATATCTCGCATGTCAGGATCTTTCGACAGTCTGTACGGCGCCGACAGCTTAACCCATGTCTGCTTTTGCAAGAGCGAAACAAGTGACTCGAATCCGGTCATTTGGAAAGGCGAAGTAGCTTGCGAAGGATCAGATGGATCTGGCATAGTTGGCCAGCCGAAATGATCTACACAGACCTTCACCCCCAGGTCTGGCACGATCTTCTCCAAAGGTGTCGCGAGCCTAAGTGGAATATAAAGTTGCACTACCCAGTCCAAGGGCTTGAGGACCCGCGCATAGGCTTGCAACTCGCTACGGAGTTCTGACTCGGTGACTTCTCTGCCTACAGACACCAGATTGAGTCGGGCTCCCCTGACACCGAGGGCGTGCCACTTCTGCATAGTAGAATGATCGATTGCGCGCGGGTCGAGTCCGACAACAGCTCGGCCATGTCGAGGCGTCAGCTCTCGTAATGCATCGAGCATGCATGAGTTGTCATTTCCGTATATGGATGGTTGGACAAGAACCATATTTTGTATGCCAAGCTGAGAGTAGAAGGCCTTTGCATCTTCTAACGTATGGGCATGAGGCCTGTATTTGGCGTCAGGGGCCAATGTGTAGCGGTCTGGGTCAACGACATGCATATGACTGTCCCATGTACCCTTTGGCAAGGGCTGTGAGAGGAGAGCCGCGACCTTGTGCTGCTGTTGAGAATAACGTCGAGCGAACACGCCTGGGGAGCAGACCCTTGAAGGGCAAAAGAGCCTGGACGATTTGGGAAACGCCATCTCAAACCCCTAGACTCCTTGCGTTCGCGGGTGAACTTCCTCTGATACGGTTGATAGATAAGGACCTACCTAGATATCTGCCTGAGATGCTTGGACACGCCGTACACAAGACTGATCGAAGTGGTACTTATGTCCCTCTGGTGGACTCCTGTTTCGGCTAAAAGCAGCGACAGGCCGCAAGGGGTAAAGCACAGACACCGCGCGACGTTGCAGATCCAAACCCCGTACAAAGTGTCTCTCTCACCATCTCGCCATCCTGCAAACTCCCATTGAGCCTCTATTTGAGCATTGTTTCCACCTTCTATTCCTTGTTCTATTGCGGAGTATCGCACTACGCTCTCCTCTGATTCTCGCGATTCCTGTCACCTCGCGTTGCGCCTGCACGATTGTCGGCCTTGTTCCCTTGCAGCATCCTCAAGCCCAAAGACACCTTTTACCTACCCGTTGATCGGGCCATCGCTGGTCAACTCCCAATATGAGGCCAGCATTGCTGGCATGGGCGCTAGCCGCCGTTTTCACGACATCTTTTGCAGCACCGCCAGGTTCGCCCAAACCAGGAAATGTATTATCAGATGATGCAGTCTCGGGAGAGACTCCGGCGGAGGGAGGAGAGGCAGTCGAATACACAGTTTTCAACGGAATCAAGGTACCTCCTATGGTAGAGATAGAAGGAAGCAAATTCGCAGAGACGATAAAAGATGGCTACTGGTATGGGCTCTACTACGAAGCAATCGACAATTACTGACAGGCACTTCGCAGGTGGGTCAAACATTACTCGCCGCATTGCGTGCATTGTAAAGCCATCGCACCTCACTGGCAGACGCTTTACGAGTTCTATGCGACATCCGATCCTCTTGATGGACTGACAAAGTCTGGTCAACCAGACCTCTCCTCTCCAAACAGCTTTCATGGATACTACAATTTCCATTTCGCCTCCCTTAACTGTGTAGCGTACGGTGACGCCTGCATGAACAATGGTGTGCGCGCATGGCCGACGTTCCTGCTCTACAAAGACGGCGTGCTTGTTGAGAAGTATACGGGTGAAAAATCGATGGACGGCTTCAGCAACTATGTCGAAGAGAAACTTGAACAAATCAAACCTGGATCGAGACCGCGAGGAGGTGTCAAGGTGCCAAAGGCTGGCGCTAAGAGTGTCGACCGTGGAGCTTCCCCTGAAGTACCTCTTGCAAAGGACAAAGACGCCGCTGCAGGAGTTGCTGCGGGTTCTAAGCAGAACAAACAGCACCCGGCCGAAACAACATCTGCTATGTTGGCTTCTGAGACCGCAAGACTGGGCCGTCAGAACAGTGCCAAGTCAGGACTCATGGCGAACCCCCAAGGTGTCTCTGTCCCATTGACTCCAGAGTCATTCCAGAAACTCGTCACCACCTCCCAGGATCCTTGGTTCATAAAGTTTTACGTTCCCTGGTGTTCCCATTGCCAGCATCTTGCACCCACCTGGTCTGAATTGGCTCGCGAGATGGAAGGCAAGCTAAACATTGGAGAGGTCAACTGCGAACAGTCTCCTCGACTTTGCAAGGATGCCAAGGTCAGTGGGTATCCCACCATTTACTTCTTCCGCGGCGGAGAACGAGTCGAGTACGAAGGACTTCGAGGCCTGGGCGATCTTCTTTCCTTCTCCAACAAAGCGTTGGACAGTGACATCAAGTATGTGGATGCCAACGGCTTCAAAGAAATGGAAGAGACCGAGGAAGTGATCTTTGTCTATTTCTTTGACGATGCCACCACATCGGAAGATTTTGCTGCTATGGACCGGCTGACACTGAGCTTGATCGGACATGCGAAAATTGTCAAGACAGACTCAGAGATTCTGGCCAGCCGCTTCAAGATTTCAACATGGCCTAGGTTGCTTGTTTCTCGCGATGGACGACCGACGTACTATAACGCTCTTGCTCCCAAGGATATGAGGGACTTCCGACGTGTCCTTACGTGGATGCAATCGGTCTGGCTCCCGCTAGTGCCGGAGTTGAGTCCAGCAAATGCAAGAGAGATCATGGCAGGCAAGTACGTTGTCATGGGCGTTCTGAGCCGTGATCGCCCTGATGAGTTTTTGCAATCACGACGTGAGCTAAAAAATGCTGCGCTTGAATGGATGGACAAGCAAACGCAAGCTTTCCAGCTAGAACGGCAGGAATTGCGGGACTCAAAGCAGCTCCGTATCGAGGAGGCCGAAGATCGCAATGACCAGCGAGCTTTGAGACAGGCCAAGAGTCGTGTCATCAGTATCACCGAAGAGTCCTTTCGCAAACAAGTCAGTTTCGCGTGGGTTGATGGGGTATTCTGGGAGAGATGGCTACGCTCAACCTATGGCGTTGATGTCTCGAAGGGTGAACGTGTGATCATCAACGATGAAGATGTAAGTTACCTAGACCTGTCCACACGTTCAGCTCTGTGCGTCTGAATTCAAACTAACGTGTACCTCACAGAACCGACGTTACTGGGATGTCACAGACTCGGGGGCCTTTATTGTACCCTCCCGAACCTCGATCCTTGAGACGTTGAACAGGATCATTGCCAACCCGCCCAAGCTTACGCCAAAGTCCACAATTGGCACGTTTGAGAATGTTTTCTTCCAGATTCGAAACTTTGGCACTTATCATCCATATTTCTCTTTTGCCATTCTGATTGTCAGCGTGGTCCTGTTGCTTTATGTTTTGAAGAATGGAACAACTATCAAGAGAAGTCTCAGCCGGAACAGTAGCGGCTATTTCAATCTCGATGGCAAGGAAGGTCTACTGGGAGGTTCGAATGGGAAAGCTGATTGATTTGATTACCGAGGGTTGATTTTCTCCGGCTTGCGGTAATGAACAATGAGAGCGACCGTTCTTGTACGATGAAAAGAGGCTTATATCAGATTCCGCTGCAGTGATCGATGATAAGACGGGTCTCAGTATGAATTGAGGCCTTTTTTGGTATATGTACAGTGTGCATGGCGATGGCGTTTTTCGGGCCTGGGTTTTCATTATTTAATTCGTTTGAACTGAACTCGACCGACGTCTGGAGTGGACTGAATTGAATTGGTTTCAAACAAAAACGTGGAAAATGACTTTTAGGTTCTTTTTTCTTTGAAATGCTAACGTTAAATCTGATAAATGGTTTATTGTCATGACATTGAGGGACAAAAAAAAGGAGACCACGAGTGCTTCTTTTATGGTTCTCTGATCATCGGCCCCCTTGAGGTGGCGACATGATGGGGTCAAGTAGAGAGAGACAGACAGAGAAAGACTCATTGAGCCTTTTGCTGGTGTACTCGTATTACTTATGCGCACACCAGCTTTGCTTGCATACATACACACCCACACCTGGTTGCTTTGCATTGCGCACACACATACTGGCTTGGCTTGCACAATCGTAAACGCACAGATACACGCACACGTACACGTACACGACCACGTTCACGCAAGTCAACAGGGGGAGGGGAAGGGGGTGAAAAGAAGAGTGAGCTGTTTTGGCAATCAAGCTTCGTCCATGGAATAGGACTAGGCGACACCTTTTGTCTTGTGGAATTGGTTTTTTTTTATTTTTCTCTTGCTGCAGCGGTAGGCACTTCCACAGCTGCATCTCGCATCGAGGTTTGTGCGTGGGTGGGTGGGTGAGTGTACCTTTGTGCGAAGCCAGCGGAGACGAGGCGGTTCACACAGGTAATAACACTCGATGGGAATTCTCATCTTTCAACACGTTTTCTGTCCACTTTTCCTTTCCCCACCGTCTTCGAAATGAAAAAAAAGGGAATCGTAATTTTTCACCTCATCGACCTCAGCGAGAATGCGTGCGACGGCCTCGAGGCTCGCCGGCCCCCCAATTTGCAACCTCAAATCTCGAATCTCCATCCTCAACTTCGATCGCGCAAGATTCATTCAGTCGGCCCAGATCCAGAATCAATATAACGTTGATTTGATCATTTTGAAACTCCTCCTGTCTCTCTGGAACAATCCACCCGGTGGTGAGACGAAGAGAGGGAGAGAAGGTTGCCGTTTCTTGTTTCCTGTCGTTTATCGACCCGCGCCGAACACTCTACGTCCGCCACGTTCCTGCTGTTGCTGCTGGACGACAGGCACGACGTTGACCGGGATCGAGTCGAAGCCCATGCTCTTCAGGAGGTCCTTGGTGTCCGAGTCGACGTCCAGCTGGCCGCTCTCGGTGTTCTGGGTGAAGTCCAAGGCCGAGATCTCGGGCACGTACTGATCCTTGCGCTCGCGCTCTTCTTCCTGGAGCTTGAAGGAGATGCCTCGGACCGGTCCACGTTGGATACGCTTCATCAAGTGCGTGGTGTAGCCTGCGATCTGTAACCAGAAGACGACCCCGTCAGCATTGGATTTTCAAGACATTGCGCGGAAACGTGTTCGGATATCTGCCCTCGTTTTCTCTCGTCCTAAAGAAGAGTTCGTTGCCCCTCCCCCCCGCGAAGAAGAGGACGAGACCCCAACCCCAACCAAATACACGTATCCTCCTCCATAAGGGGGAAAAAAAAGAAACGCACGCACCTTGTTGCGAAGACGCTTCGACGGGATGATCGCAATCTCATCGCATATGCGCTTGTTGGTCTCGAAGTCGAGAGTGAGCTTGGGGTAGTACCGCTCGATGATGACCTTGGCGGACTTCTTGACGGTCTAGAAAGAGGACGTTAGTCTCTCTCGAGCAAGAACCATGGATGGAACACGAATGTGCAGAAGAAGAATGTACCTTTGTTCGGACGCGACCCATCTTGACGGCTTGATCGATCTGGCGTTGTTGTTGAGATCGAGGGAGGTGTGTGAAAAAGGTCGAAAGAAGTGTAAGGTAGGGTGTGTGCGTGAAATGAGCCCCCAGACACAGTGGGCGCACCTTGGGAATTTTGCGAATGTGGATGTCTTGGCGCAGTGCCGGAAACATGGCCAAGAGGCCATTATGTAAGCCTCACCACGGTTCTTGTGCCTCACCAAAGTGACTAAAAGGTGCAGTCTGACAAGAGCATAATTTCCCAAGTCACTTGCACAATCATCATTCAATCGCCTGAAAAAAGGAGGTTTGGAACTTCGTCAGACTCTAACAAAATACTTCACCCTCCAAATGAGATCTGTAAGATAGAGGTCACTCTGCTAGTAGGACTAGACACCCCAGACAGATGAATGGCCATGAGAAGATTTAATTTCTATACATAGTACAAAAGGTGTTCTTACAACCCTACGCAGACCTATTTGCCAGATTCTGAGTAGCTCGGCGCGTCATCTCGTTCAACTCTTCACTGATATCCTGACTCGGTGCCGGTGTAGATCTCGCTACAGTAGACTGCCTCTTAAAAAGTCTGTCCAAGGGCCTGACCTGCGTGGCAGGGGCCGGCCGCGTCGTGTTTGTCCCTGCACGTCGGCGTTCAGTGATCTCAACTGGAACATCATCCTCGAGATACCAATCTTTCATGAGCTTCGTGTTGATTTCCACTTTTCCACTTTGTGAAACTGCAGCAGAAACAGGCTGGACTACCAACTTGGGACCGTCCTTGACTGATTGCCACTGCCAGGGACGATCACGCAACTCGCTCCAATGGGGCTGTGGAATCACGAAACCAGCCATGCCGACATTCGGAATTGATCTCTGCTGGCCGATCTGGATCGTCTTCAATAAGCGGGCTGGCACTGGAGGTCGAGTGTCTCTGGGCCCAACAATGACATCGTTCTGGGCAAATGACTCCGACCTGAGATACGACAAGCCAGCAGAAGGATGTGTTCGAGGGGGCCCAGACTCCTTGTATTGATCGGCAGCTATCGTATCACGTCCGTAGTGCCATGGTTCTCTGTTCATGACGGAAGTTTTGGGTCCGTCAGCAAGATCGAAGAACTCGACTATCAGCGGTGCGAACTTGCTGGGTTCAGAACGTAGTTGGCGAAGGTGCTCGTCAACGTCCTCTTCGGTAACCTTCACGCTCGTGTCATCGGCAGGACCAGTCTCGCCAGTCTCGCCGCTTTCCAGAGCCTCTGCACGACGTTGAGCTATCCGCTGGTTGATCAGGTGTCGTTCTACGTGTTTTCGGAATTCTGCCTTCTTTGCTCTTGTGATCTGGCCCAAGAACGCTTCAAATTCTGCACCGTTAAGACCGGCCAGGTACGGACCCAAATATCTCCACCGTCGTCTAGACAGTCTCGCTGGCGACAAGCTGGACTCTGAGGTGGCTGATGCTGAGTTCGACTCAGGATTGTCTTTCGTGGCCTTTTCGAGCGTGTCTCGGAGATGCTTGGGCAGTTCTGCGGCACGCTCGGCAGGTGATTTGTCCAACCATGATACTGGGCCGTTCTTCCCTTTCAGCGTCAACGGCACCTCCGCGGTATGGTCGATTTCTGGATCGAAAGCACTCGTGCGTTCATAGTGCCTCTTATCCCTGGTGGCGGGAAGAGTCACTCGAAGATTAAGCTCTTGGTACTTCCGTAGGGTAAGCACATGGTCGGCCGCAGACTCAAAATCGGCAACGTGCTCAGGAGTATCGATGCCTCGCAGGATTCTAACGGTCGGCGTGCCAGATTTGGTCGTGGTCGAGACCGGCAGAGCTCGCTTGAGACCCCAATCACCTTTGAACAAGGTCGACCTGGGAGTTTCGAGTGCTGCTCGGAGTGGATAGGGAGTGGTCGCTGTGTCTGAAGACACGACAGGTTCAGAGGTAGGTTCGGTCGGTGGAACTGAGAGGGCAGTAGGAAGGGCGAAAAGCTTCGAGTTGCGCAGTAGGCTCGCCGCCGGAGACAGACGAGCAGCCGTCATTGCTGCAATGTCTGGCCCAGCTGTTGCTGGCGAAAAGGTGTCGTAAGTGAATCCGAAGCTTGAGAGCCCGAGCAGAAGATTCACATTGGGAAATCTTTGCCAAGGTTGTAGTTTAACCGGTTAACAGCACACGCCTACGCCCAATCGGGAAATACGGTGATGCCGCTCTGGCTCATCCTTCAGAGATAGATCTATGGTTTTCTTCCTTAGCATTCTCAGTAAGCACAGACGAGCGGGCGGAAACTACTCTGCCTATCATTCAATTTTACTGAATGTCTTAGGAGCATACTATCGATTGAAAGACTGCTTCCAGGAATCGCCTGTGCCATTTGCTGATTTGTTCCGTCTCACTTCGTACGAGGACCGTAGATTGAATCCAACCATTTCCCCATCAAGGTCCAACACGTTAAAAGGGGGCACGCTAGGTGTACCTCTCTTTCCTCGCCTCGTTGCTCGATTTCCTACTTCACGCAAGTACCTTCGGGAGAGTCAATTCCTAGAACTCGAAAAATGACCGCCACAGCCACCACATTCACGCTACGAAACCCACCATATGCATATCTCCATCTCTCGCTCAGAGCGCTATCTCCTCAAGACACGGCGCAGAACCTAGACCTGGACGAGATCACGACCCGCTCATACCTGACCGCTGCGTTGCAACAGTATCTCGGGTTGACAGGCACAGCCATCCCCATTGACATTTTGAAGGTTGAAGGTCCCAACGCCTGGATCCGGGTGCCCAAAGATGACGAGTCCGGTGTCGCTGGTGCGTTGGCTCAGTGGTCGTCAGCATCCAGGGGGGTGAATCTGCGCATCGAGGGTAGAGGAAGTTGGCTAGGCGGTGTCGTTGGGAGAAGAAAGGATGTCAAACTGTGGAGTCTCGAGCGATGAAGCTTTGAACGAAGAATTGATCGAGTATGGGATTACGGCACGTCTGGCTCTTGCTGTCGCTCTCGCTCTCGCTATCCAACACAAACAAACCCGAAACACTACCAACACAACCTCACTTATATCCAAGGCTAAGCACCGCTTCAAACCGACGATAGACGTCAAAGATAAAGTCAAGTCTAGACGCACGGCTTCGACTTGACCTCGATGTTGCAATTCATTTCAAAGCGTCACTCAGCGACATCATCTCAGAATCGCTGCTGTCCGAGTCCATCCACTTCTCTTCGAATTCCGCCTCCTTCTCCGTCAACAACGAGTTGTCCTGGCTCCGCCCTCGCCACAATGAACGGGCGATTTTCGAAAACATGCTCGGTTCGCTTCGCTTGCCTATGGAAGATCAGGTTGTCAGTGAGCCACACGGCGACAGTCCCAGACGGCGGACATGTGGAAGGGTGGAAAGTCGGCCAGTCGACAAAGCCGAACGGAGAGGATTGAAGGGCTTTGCGAGGTGGGAGGGAGGAAAGACTCATTACTGTTTTGCAGATACGCCCTGCGTACTTCCTTGATCTGTCGCAGCTGAAGCTTCTCTTCGCGCTTCTTGGCCGCTTTCTCTTCGAGGTACGCAGCGCGGATTTTCCTGTAAGCCTGCACCTCTGGGTCATGTTGGACTGAGAAGCCTGTGACGGACATTTTGTGGACTAGACACAGGAAACAGAGGCAAAAGTGGGTAGTCAGGGGAGCACCGATCAAGTGTTGTCAGACGCCAACGGTCTTGTCTCGGGCACGTCGAGTATATTGTTTGCCTTGGGGATATGAGCGCGGACAATGAACCTCTCAGGGGCACAAATGCAGTGAAATTGTTCGATGCACTCGACTGAATTCCTCCACTCCTTAATATACCTCGATCATGGCGTCAATCACTTATCATCACCATTATCATCACATTGAGCGTAGCTGTATCTCTACATGGCCCGATGCATAGCATTTCGCCGAAAAGCGGACACTTCGGTTGTTGTTCAGCGTCGGGCCAAGTACGTCCGTGGTTGGTCGTTAGTCGTTGGGAACCATCGCCGAGTCTTCAGACGATCTATAAACACGGGAAAGGAGTACGTTCGAGACTTCACACAATTCGTAATCTTCTCGTTAAAAGGTACAAAAATGGAACGTAGATCCCAACTATCTATATCGAGCGCTACCGCATCAGCGCTGAATCCAGATTCTCCTTCCCAATCAAGAGCGGAGCTGGTATGCTCGTACAAAAGACGGAAAAACAAGTTCTCCATGTCGGGAACAATTTCGTTTCGTTCCTCTATCCGCAAGCTCGAATCACCAGGCCTTGATCCTTGCTCCCTCATACACGGTATTATCGTGTTCGACCGGGAGAAGTAATAGGTGAGATCTAAAATAGGGACTAGTCTGAGAAGCGCGAGAGAACAAAGTGGACGATGCCGTTTCAGGTTGCATCGCTCCGTGTGGGGGGTATAAGTGTGGAAATCATTGAACATGGCAGAGTTTAGTTCTTCGACAGATCTTTATCGTGCTTCATTGACGATAGGAGACTCGTAAAGGGTAGCTAGTTCGTTTTCGTGTGGTAGAAAAGGAGCCGTAAGATGTTGTTTGTTCAGTTCGGAGTTTCGTAGTCTCATATCATGGGTTCGCATATGTGTATCATGTAAGGACTGACCATGGTTGTTCTTGCAAACATTGTTTGAACCGTGGCAGCAACCCACGCCTCGCGGATTGTCATTCAACCATGGGAGCAGTGAGCTGTCATCCGCAGAGTCTGTGCTTGAGAGCGTTCCATGTCCCCTTCTGACCTCGCTCTTGAACAGGTCAAGTGTACTCATGTGCTCTGCCTCGAAGAAGAGTGGTCTCGGGGAACAGGAGCTCCGGCGATGACCGTGACGTCTCGTAAAAACTGTACCAGCATTTCCACCCATTTCCTCGAGGTCTGGCCTTGATGCGTCGTGGCAGTGTAGGAAGAGTACAGTGGGAGAAGATACGCCGCTGCCAGGTACGCTGCGACCTTGAAAGTAGGTGTAGAGTAGTGGTAGAGGGTCAGCACGCTAGTGAAACGGGCCAGGCACCCGCTAGACACCTTGTTCAACGACTGGTGGGACACAATGGCCATCAGTCAAAAGACTTGAGTGCTGAGGCCTCGCCCAATAGCCAGCGCCAGCCTCCTGTCGCGCGTGTGGTGTCACTTGGTCCAGGATGTATAACAATACATGCGGTGTTCCCTCGATTGCATCAATAGTAGTGATAACGCAACACGTTGGGGAATTCATCCAGGCTCTTGAGATCTTGACTGCATCATCAAGTCGCGATGCGATGGATGGACTCTTCCGACACTTCCTCAAGCGTGCGTCGTGGTGGTAACGGTGGTCTCGGGGGGAGGATAATACGCTGGCTGTCTTCCGCCAAAAAGTTGGGCATAGTTCCTCGACCGAACTTGCCTCATATAATGTTCCTGTTCATTTGTGAAGGGCAATATCCCTTCTCCATCCCCACCAGAGCTGGTTCGCCTTCGGTCCATCACTTGATGAAGTGCTGCGCCTGCCGCGACGGTGAGACCGGCCACCAGGACACATATGAGGATGACAAGGCCGTCAGATAAACCCATGGTGAAGATCAGAGGGCCACTGATGAGGCTGAGGCTTTATGACTGTCGCCGGGGAACTGATCTGGCAGGATTGACCGGTGACAGGACAGGATGTGGGAGGTTGCAGTAGGCAAAGGATTTTGAAGGAAGTACAATGCGAAGGAACAGAGGAGGGGGGCTGAGATAGAAGAAAGCTGAACGCGACACGTACTTTTAATGGTTTGTGCAGTACAGGTACGGAGTACGAGCAGCCACAGGTGAGAAAAACATGGATTGGGTGAGTTGGAGGTGTCGTATGCCTGTCCTGGCCTGACTTGACTCGACTCGGGAACGTGGTGAACTCTGAATGCGTCGCCAGACCACGGCTTCTTACGAATGCCGGAGATGGTGGTTGGATGTAGTGAGAGAATTTTGCTGCTGTCGTGTTGACGGCGAATCGACTCCAGGCTGATCAGGCCTTTGCAACGCCACGACACTGCATTAGCGAGAAACCAGGCCAATAACCTGCGTTAGCACAACTGTCGCGGGGGGCCACTGCGTCGTCAGCTACTTGTACAAGTCCAAGCCCCTCCCCGGGCGCCTGGGATGCCCATTGCTTGGTGCTATGGGGGCATCCTACGGGTGTCAACTGTAGGGGCATCGTAGGGGCCTCCGGGGGTCATGCAGGTACCTGAGTACCTATTGTGCCCACGCACTATGCACACCTCCTAAGGTATTGTACCTAGTAATAAAGACCACGTCCATCCAGCCTCCCGAGTCACCCGCCCTCGCATCCCGCACACCCGAAGACGAAATCAGTTTAGCAGAATACTGTGTACCAAGCACTGGCAGTTAAAGTGCACCGTTCATCGCGTCTGCCATCATTTGTTTCTATAATAAGTCCCAAGCTAGAACTCCATCAAGATGAAACTTCCAGCCTTGCCGAAACTCGTTCGGATCCTTCCGGGACATATCAAACTACTCGTACTGTACAACACCAAATGCACAACAGTCCCGTTATGGACATGGTGGAGGGGGGTCCTTGCAACATAACGGCAACGCTTGGCGTCTAGGATTTATACACATGTCCTACGGAGAGCTTTGCTGTTTTGTGCAAAGATCGCAATCAGCATCTGTCATGCTGGCTTAAATTTTGTTGACACGGGACACTGTCAATCTCGGTGATTGTGTTTACATGAGCCACGCGTTGGATCTCTGCGGAATATCACGTCGAGGTCCAGTTCAACCATAAAACTAATCGGTTGCGACAGAAGCTGCAGCTGCACGTACGATACAAATTATAATTTATCATGGCGGTGCTCCGTACCTGGGTTACTCGTCTCGGGAAAAGGCGTCCTCCGAGCCGGTCGAGTTCTCTTTTCCCGGATCGATTGCACAAACAGACACACATCATGATGGTCTCCTCGTCAATCAGTCATCGTATTGTGTTTTATCAAGCGGATTCGCCCCGAGGGCGTTGTGCAATCAGCGCTTTCACAACTGTGGCTCAGGGGATCTCCAGTTCTCACGAGGAGCCACTCGATCGAGGCAGAGTCCCTCCCACCAGCCCGGAGCATCTGAGACGCCAATGACCAACTGATCGCCATTCTCTAGCATAGAGGGGGCTTTACGGGGAAAGAATGCTATCCGCCCACACATCTTATCATAAAGCAGCGTCGGCTTGATGCATGGAGGAGATTCGGCCTGTAGCGACTTCACCTCCGTCGCAGATATGTCTGTTAGAGGCAAGCTGTCTTAATGCCACCCCCAGCTTTGTCGATGCCTGAAAGCCCTACTAAGGGTCGGGATCTTTCGACAAGGCCTTACAGTACACACTTACGCTCCCCACGCACGCTGTCTATCCGCCTCTTTCCCTAACACTCTTGAGGTTGGTCTAGAAGACGACGGCTACTGCGCTCTTGAACGTCACACATTGACTGTCGGTCGCTGTGCAATTACTCGACTCGCACTGCCTCACCGCGTCAGCAAAATCTGACACAACACGCGCCCCAAATAGCAATGTTGCCAAAGCGGCCGCACATGCACACGCTCTCGACGACCTTAGCCTTGGCCTGTTTGTTTCCGCGCTCCGGAGCAAATTCTGCTGCTACTGTGGTGACCACGACGCGTTTCGATATGAAGGGGATATCTGGGCCGTGCGTCTTACGTGACTTGGTCAACGGCAGAGTGTGATACCGGATCTATGCATTTGGCTTGTACCCCGAAGATCTTCCCCGTAGCCCCTACCGAACCGGACTGAGAGGTTCGCAAGAGCTGAATGAAGACGAAGCTAGATGTAAGTCAGAGTTTTACTTCTGGTGGGTCGTGGCCATCTAGGAGCTTGAGACGAGTTAATTCAATTTACTAGTTTCTTGTGATATCCTCTACGTCAGAGCACAAGAAGAGCGCTCATCCTGGAGGACCAAAAACCCCGTTTGGCCAATGAAAGCCTTGAAAGATCAAGTTTATGAAAGCACGACATCAATCTAACATATTTTGCCTCATGTCGAGAGCTCTGACAAAGGATCTGTCGACTCCTTAGGCAGCTAGTCGGGTTCAATGCTATCATCTTCTGCATCTCTCGCAATGCACAGATCTGTGCAAGGAGAGACGTGTAACCTGACAGAAGACGAGCAGGATCACCGTTACTAAATTGTCCGGGATTTGTCTTCGTCGGCGTCAGACTAGCGAGTCGGTAATCCTCACGTCCACCAAGGTATTGGATACGTATAGATCAGGTATTTCGGTCTTGCCCCATCAACAAAAACTATTTGAGATTCACAGCATGATCTGAACGTCGTCACACCTTTGAGTCAGGTGTGGACTTTGATCGAGTTATCCCCGCGTTGGCCATGATGCAGTGGCATCCTTGACTATCACGGATCGGAAGCATCGAATCCTTCTCTCTTCCCACCCCTTCGCCTTGGGCTCCAGTCATGAACCAGGTACGGGGTACTCCGTAAGTGGCAGATGCTTCAGAAGAATGGGCTCATATAGCGACTTGATCATGAATGAGCTTGTGCAATTGCTGTACTGGATTTTGGAGGAGTATGATTTCACCAACTACAGTCACAGTTCCTCCTTTGGGGGTTACTCCCAGGAACTGCGATCTCTCAAGAATTCCTTCTGTCTCTTTCTCAAGAACAACCGCGGGCCTTCCTGTTTGACAAACCAGTAATCGTCTAGCTGCCACCTCTCTTCAGGATGTGCCAATTGGACGTGGTGCCCCCGGAGCAGCTGAAGTACCAATTGGAGATCTCCATGAACGAAATGTTCTTCCCAAAGCCACGTCCTCGGTTTTACCAATTGAATAGGCCTGTAACCACCACTTTATGAAGAGACGGCGGTATACTCACAGCGAGCCAGTTCCAGTCCGTGGTCTTCGACGTCTTTTCCTCCACTTCGGTCCACCTCTTAGGTGGGAAGACCTCTTGGTTGCTGCCGTAGACGGCTTCGTCTTGCGCGGCAACCCAGGATCTCATTCAGATGATTAGCCCGCCGCACAAGAACCGGATCGGTGGTGGTGCCCTCGCTAACTACATGAGAGGGAGATCCACGGCTAGGGCGATGGTCAGTGACCATATATACGTCCTGGTAGCAAGCAATACAATGTCGGTGCGTGGGAGCATCTTTCTGATTCCTCGTAGAGCTAAAAAGTGGCAGTGTCGTTGGCTTGAACGACGAACCTGCGGGTCTACGTCTAGCTATGCAGACAGAACACGTGTCTTAAGATGGCATCCATGCAGTCCCTTTGACTTATTCGGTCATGTTTATCGCGCTATGGTTCATGCACGTCGGCTGGATCGGATCTAGAAGACGAATGTCAGGCGAGTAGTAATGGGCAAACACGGCTACGGCGTCATCTTCATCTCCGACAGCCCGGTCGGCAGTTTGAGGACGTGTCTCGGCGCAACCTACAGATGGGCCCTTATACTTGCCCGACGTATATTCGAGGGATATGTTCTTGGCAGCTGTCGACGAGAGCGCCCAGGGATCCAGGTGCTCTGGACACTGCGTAGCTGCCGTAGGACTCTCCCTTTGTGGTTTTGCAAAGGCCGAGGAGACCACGCAACTTCGGTGTTTCTGGGGCCCGTGATTCCCTGGAGAACATAGACACTGGGCAATCCAGTGCCAGTGGGTGCTGATGTCTCCCACTGTTGCAGTCAAGATAACCCTGCCGACGAGTACTGGGAACATCTGTTTGGGACCATTCTCTGAGCTTTCCCGGCCAATACGGCCGCCACGTTTTGGTGCTCGTTAACACTGTGGCAAAGTTGCACGCAGCACCGTCCATCAACATGATCAGGACTGCTTTGAATGGTCTGGTGGACGTCTGGGTGCTCTTTGGGGGTGTTGGCGTTTAAAGCGGCATGGGCAGGAGACACACCAATGCTTCATCTCGCTGCCAAGCTTTCACTCAACGCGTGTGATGGATTTGAGACGCGACTGCGCCCAAAAGGCGTTTCCCCAATTCTCGCCGTCGCAGGTGGTCAACAGACACTGCTGGTTCGCACCATCACTACATATCTGAGATTGCGAGGATGTCTGGACAACCAGAATCATCATCGGCAGGAGCTCGGAAAGCTCTCAATTCTGGCAGTGATGCGACCTCTCCAGAATACGAATTGCCATGGTATGCCAGCTCTCCATTCAAGCACGCAAACAATTCTAATGTGGTATACAGGGTCGAAAAATACAGACCGGTATATCTCGACGACGTTGTCGGCAACACAGAGACGATCGAGCGATTGAAGATCATCGCAAAGGATGGCAACATGCCTCATGTCATCATCTCTGGGATGCCTGGAATCGGAAAAACCACCTCTGTCCTCTGTCTGGCCCGCACTCTTTTGGGTAACGCATATAAAGAAGCTGTCCTTGAGCTCAATGCAAGCGATGAAAGAGGTATCGATGTGGTCAGAAACAGGATCAAAGGGTTCGCACAGAAAAAGGTGACGTTGCCTCCTGGGCGGCATAAATTGGTCATTCTAGATGAAGCGGACAGGTATGGCGACGAAGGCTTCGTATTCGCAGGTCTAACGAGACACGTAACAGCATGACAGCCGGAGCGCAACAAGCCCTGCGAAGAACTATGGAAATATACTCAAACACGACCCGATTCGCCTTTGCTTGCAATCAATCCAACAAAATCATCGAGCCGTTGCAATCGAGATGCGCAATCCTCCGATATTCACGACTCACGGACGCGCAAGTGGTGCAACGTCTGCTACAAATCATAGAAGCTGAAAAGGTAGAATACTCCGAAGATGGCTTGGCAGCGCTCGTCTTCAGCGCAGAGGGCGACATGCGCCAGGCTATCAATAACCTGCAGAGTACCTGGGCAGGATTTGGCTTCGTCAGCGGGGACAACGTCTTTCGTGTCGTGGACAGCCCACATCCAGTCAAAGTGCAGGCCATGATCAAGGCATGCTGGGAGGGCAAGATTGACAGCGCAGTTGATGCCCTGAAAGAGTTATGGTAAGTCGAGGAGCGTCGTAACTTGGGCTGTCCCTGATTGGAGATTGTTTCGACTGACCACGAATACGTGCACAGGGACCTCGGGTACTCGTCACACGACATAATAAGCACAATGTTCCGGGTGACTAAGACGATTCCTACACTGTCGGAACATTCGAAACTCGAATTCATCAAGGAGATTGGCTTCACACATATGCGAATCCTCGAGGGAGTCCAATCCTTTCTGCAACTCAGCGGATGTCTGGCGAAACTCTGCAGAATCAACATGAAACCCGAATTATTTGACCCCCCAGCGTGACCGCAGCATTCAAAGGACCAACAACTCGATCCCTCGCGCACGCTAGCCTGCAAAATCTGTTGTTGCGGACATGGCACCTGAGGATCTCGGGGGCCTAGGCGCAGAAGGCCGCATGGCCATGCCGAGATTTGGGCCCAGTAACCAAATCAATGGCTCAATTTACATCTTGGCCGGAGCTAACTTCGCCGACTACCCCGACTTAGGCAATCCACGCACATAAGGCTGGATCTCATGGGGGCTTACGAGGCCTCTACACGGTGTACGCTAAACCATTGGAGAATGAATGACGACGACTCTGGCCTCCGATTACCCTACGGAGCGAATGTAGTACCCAGTGCTGGCGAAGATATTCGTCAACATCGTCACCCAGGGCAAGGATTCACTCTGATCGTCGTGTTGCTCATCATGGGATCTGTGGGTGGCATTGGAGCCGGGCAACGCACCAACTGGACTTACAGTAGAAGACGAAGCTGATGCTTGGCCATACGAGTACCCCGTATGTTGTGGTGGTTGACGTGGACCCTGCAGCGCTTGCATCACCTGCGCCAAAGATATTGACAGTCTGCCTTGCTCGGCCGTACTCTGTACATTGGCCTCCCTTGAGAAACGGCCATTGAGGCTCAGTACTGTATGGTGTTCTTGAGTTCCTAGTAGATGGCTGACACAAGCTACATGATTGCAAGGAGGAACGGTGTCAATCCTTGCGGCTGATGAGCAGGGGCGCCGCACCTGAATTTCCAAGTCCGAAATAGCTGCCAATAATAAGCGATAGTTTCGGGCATAGTGCCGTCGCCGATTGGGGCGGTAGGGTTAGTTCATCGGACAACCAAGAGTGCCTAAGCCAGCCTCCTACGGGCTCTTAAGGGGCCCCTTGGCTCCCCTAGGCCAACCCAGGCGTAGGCATTGCACATCTCCAGCCCCTCGCGGTGCGGCGATGTCCAGTTCGACCTCTCCGGACACATCATTAAAATCCCCCATTGGCTGGCGTGGCGCATTCACTCCGACTCACCGATGTTTCTAACTTGGGCGATGTCTCGTGTCCAGCCATCGCCCAACAAGGCTGTGTCGCCTGTGTTGCTGCCACTACAGTACAGCCCACTCTCGCTACTCTCTCAGACTCTCACTACCTTGGTCCTTCTGTCTCGAGCTAGTACCCGGCCATTCACTCACTGACGAGCCAAATCGTTGCCCGCCTTATTGTTGCCGTGGGATTGAAAACTATATCTTTCCCATACCCGCCTCCTGCTTTCGCCTCTCGAGTTTCTATTCCATCCCCAGGCCATATAGCAGAGAGTCCAGCCCATTGCACTCCCTTAGCTCGCATTGACCTCTCCCTTCCCCAGACGAAATCCTCTCCACATTGATCTACAACAGTCACATCAACATGAAGTCCTTTGTGTTGGCAGCGGCTCTCTTCGCCTCGTCGTCTTTCGCATGGCTTCCATCATGCGCTGTAAGTGTCGCTTTGTGCCTTGGGAGACTGACTATTCTTTACTGACCGTCACAACAGTGGTCGGATTGTACGGGCAGCTGGGATGGCACCAACTGTGACTCTAAGAGTGGCTGGGACTGTCTCTGCTCCAACCAAACTGCCATCTCTCAGCTGAACACCTGCGTCGCGACATCATGCACAAACCAAACTGACCAAGAAGGTGAGCAATGAGATACATGGCTTCCAATGGAGAAGAACATGGGGCCTGAGACTGACACGTTATCTATAGCCATCTATGGTGCTGTCGCCCAACTCTGCGCCAATGCCGGTGTCACTGTCACCGCCTCGCAAGAGGCAACCTTCAGCGCAACTTCTGGTGGCTCTGCCTGGCCTTCTCAGATCACTGCCGGTCCTGGTTTTGGACCTGGCGGCAACTGGAACTCTGGTCAATGGTCTAGCTGGATCTCTGCTTGCTCGACTGGTCTTCCTTCCGCTCCAAGCGGCTGGAACGGCCAAGGTGGATGGGGTGGCCCCGGTATGTGGGGTGGCCACGGTGGCTCAGGAGGTCCAGGAGGCCCGTTTGGCGGACCTTGGGGCACCAAAGCAAGCGGCATCAACTGCGATTCATGGACTACCTGGACTGCAGGCTGGGGGCCCTTCTCTTCCTGGACCGGTACCTGGTCCGGCTGCAGCACGACCACTGCTTCTCCTGTGCCAGCTACCATCACCACCACTGTTACCACTGGCGGATCTACCCAAGTCATCACCGGCACCACCTTCGGTATCCAAGCCGTTGCGGCTGCCACCACAACCGGTAGCTCAGACAGCGGTGCTGCTTCTGTCCGCGGTCTCGGCGCCTGCGGTGCGCTTGTTGCCGCCATCTTTGTCACGATGATTGCTTTGTAAAATGGTTGAGCAATGGAAGGGGACCGATACCTGCTAATCTGTGGGAGCATGTGATACCTCTGCATAATGGGCGCTTTTGGCGATAGGAAAACACTCAAGCCACGACTACGACGATGACTGATTTCATGACGAATTGAAATTGTATTGATATTGGGTACAAAGGAGTTGAAATATGACATTGTCTCTAAGTGACCAATTTGATTGGAATGAGAACTTTATTGTTAATTCGGTGTCGTCCTGTCTCGGCTCAAGAATTCACCTTCGCTGACTATACAAGATACGTAACAATCATGTCCCAGTATCATACGAAGTACGGAGTACATGTCGTTTCCTCGCACTCGAGAAGAATCGATGAGTGATTTCCCAATACGTCATACTGTAAACAAACGCCAAGCCTCGCCAGGTCACGCGACTTACAGGCACCGAAGTTCGACATTTCTTGAACACCTTCATCCAAGCACTTTACTGTAACACAGGTCGATGCGACTGACTGCCGTACACGCAGCTTGGTCGATTCGAATGACATGTCAGGCCTGCAAAGAGTTGGCCACCACCTTCTGCCTGTTGGAGAGATTCAACAAAAGTGAGATTTGCCTCAAAGGAAGTGACCACCAAAGAATTGGATGTTGCCTGTTGAACAACGAATCTGTTGCTGGTGACTCGATTCTGTACTGGATCGTCCTAACAACATCACTCGCCATCCTAAGACACCCAGCCTAACATTGATACGACTGCCTCCACCCTCCCTTCCTCCTCCCTCCTCAGTGATCCCCCTGTTGTCGCAGAAATCATCAGATATCCCAAAATGGTTGGCCTCCCTCTCCTTCTGGCGACACTCTGCCTGGAATTTCTCAGTCAGGCAACCGCTCAAGCAGACGTTGATCAATGCGCTGTAGGTAAGTCACTGAATCAGTTTCCCTTCTCGAGCTGAGCGGGGTTAGTTGACCTGCATTGGGAACGTCGATGGCACCAACTGTTCTCAAAGGTAAGAGAACTTGGACAGCTCGCAGTTGATCATGTGTCTCACTCAAGTCTCAGTCAATGGCCCTGTCTCTGTGCAAATGACATGTACATCGAACGAATGAACAACTGCACCATTGCATCGTGCAATGCTACAGCCCAACAAGGTACGACTCTGCCGACTGCCATTGCGAAGATGGGTTACGTGAGCTGACTGACTTGTCCCCAGACACTTTTACAGTGGTTGCGCAACTGTGTGCCATATTCGACGTCCCTCTGACGATTGGTCCCGAGGCCACCGTTTCCATCTCTTCCTCTGATCTCCTCTTCAGCACGGTAGCAATACCTACCCAATCGTCCTTACCTCCTGTCCTCACCTCGAGTGGCGGTAGCACAAGCTCAACAACCGTCCCGAGTCAGTCGTCTTCTGATACATCGCAAACCAGATCGGTGTCTTCGATCTCCTCATCGTCCGTGTCTGCCATCACGGCACCGTCTCCTTCGGCAACCAGCGGATCAACACGCAACAACGTTCCTTTGGAAATAACACTAGTGTTTGTAGGTTCGATGGTCATCACACTCAATTGGCTGTTTGTATCATAGGAGGCGGCGTACGGAGTAAGAGACAACGAATTTCCCACGACAGGAAACGACGTGATCGTCGGTACCGAAGAAGCGAAATCAAGGCAGGGATGAGGGTTGGTTTAAATCTTTTATTGAAATACAGTACAGAGTAATACAATTAATGGCAGAAGTGAGATTGAAGAATTTCTGCACATCGACCCACTGACAAGGCCGCCAATGCTCGTAGACCCTGGCCGAAGTAGGGTGAGGCTACGAGTACAACGATGTTCTGGCTGATCAAGATTGTTCCCTGCCATTGCTGTCCAATGTGGTGATCCATCGACTGGACAGACAGTGACAATCATGCCACTGTTCTCTATGTAATCGACATGTCAGGGTTTTACCGCCTGGATGATAGTCTCCCGTACATGTTTCCAATTGTTCATCTGTTACAATGGCTGTCTCTGAGGGAGGGTGGGCCTAATTTGAGCTTTCTCGTCAATTTGCCGGTTTGGTCAAAGTGAAGGCTCCAGAGCTGGAACTCGTTCGAGCCGTTCGTTCATGGGAGCCTCGCGATGGAGGGCACTAAGAGCCAATGCCGGCGCCGGGGAACTCGACTGAACCAGCATTGTGGGAGGCTGGTGGGAGTGATCAATTCCCAACCCCAGCACCACTATTGGGGGAAAACGTCACCACAGCAAGGGATGTGCTAGGTGAACAGCTGGAAATAGGCAAAGGGCGGGACGGATCAGAGTATCGACACTGAATCGGTGTGATTCTGACGGTACGAAGTGGCTCAGACGAGTCGAGGTCGTTTCCGACGCTGGTGGCACAAGGCAATATAACAAGGCACACGCGCTGATTCATGTCATGGTCAGCCTGTCGAGAAGCGAGGCCGATGACCTTGGAAGTGAAAGGTCTCTTTTTGTGACTACTGGTACAAAGTTCTGAACCTTTGGAGTACGAGCATGTCGACAAGACTGCTGCAGACTAAGGTTTTGTTCCTGCATACAAAGGCGTCTTCTTGTTCCCTCTGCCGCCGCCGTCGTGAGCGTCTGCGCGCTGTTATTCGGCCGTGGCTGCGTCTCATAATCTCCCTAATTCCTCGTCGCTCCCGCAAGTCTCCTTCTCTTCCACCACGGACTCCTCAACCGTCCCTCGCTCTCATCTTTCACCGCGGGCGCTTGAAAAGCAGCCTGTCAGAGATGCTCGTCGGCGCGTAACGTCGTCCTCCCTTGACCAACCACTGCCACCGATTCCACCACCTTCACCACCCCCAGCGTCCGGAGATCTTGCGCCAACGCAAGGGCCCGACCCATTCTTGTTGACGTCCTCTGCGGCCCGTCCGCCCGTCACCGAGCACGCACCCTTCGACCTGTCGCCGTCACGTCAGCACAGCACGGGGCAGAGCCAGAGAAGATCTTTTCTCGAAGCTCTGCTAGCCCGACCTACAAAGAAAGTCCTACCCCCGGACCATCGATCTGCCACGTCGCGCATCTTGAACCCGATAAACTACGTCCCTCGGCCCACCAAGGTGCGAGTGCAACCTGAGCCGCAGCACCAACCTCAATCCTCTGCCGCCGACATTGGCTCTGGCGAAGTCCGTACCCTCCTGAGCCTTCCTGAACAACGTCGTTCAAGACAACACTCCCCGACCGATCCCATCGTCGAACACAGCCCTCACCTCGCACCGCAAGCTGGGACCCGTACCAGCGTGGGCTTGCCGCACGGTCACCAACGCGCAAGCATTCAAGACGAGTCTTCTCCAGGCATCGGGCTGATGGTTGATCTAGAAAAACAGCAAGGGGCTAATGGCGTCAAAGAGCCGGAACGGTCACAACTCCCCCGGAGGTTCAGCTCTCGAGATCGGAGAGATGTAGATCAGCAGTCGACATCGGTTCTAGGTCAGAGCTACGGTGTCAGCCCACTCGATCAACCACTCCAACCGCCACGGCGCATTACGTCGCATCAGTCTCTGAGACGGGCTCAATCTGCCGCTTCGACAAACTCTGCAGCCTTTACACGGGCGTACACGGACGCAACTGTGCCTGTCAGTGGTTCACAGGAGGAAGCAACTGGTGCAGGTTATCCCGGCGTTGATGAAGGTAGCGTTGGCGAGGAACTTGTATGGGGAGTGTCGCATCCGTGTTTCCCACATCTCAACCCTCACGTTCCCATCAACTCTCCCGAGTACGAAGCTACACGGATCATTCGAATACGAAGAGATTGGATGGTTGTGGGGGACCTGGCTCCTACATTTTCCAACATATACCCGGAAATCCTCGACCCCCTGATGCAGGAGCAGGAATTTCGATATGTTATTGAGCACATTAACCAAACCTTGGTCCGGGCCTACGATCCATTTTCCGCTTGGAATTGGTTGGATGGATTCCTGGGTTTAATGACTGGCTGGTTCTGGGAAGACTTTCGACCCATCGGTCCCAAGGGCCATTTAAAGGACTTGGAAGAATGGCTGGAAGATTGGAATCATACAGTTGGTGCGAGGGATGGAGTGAAGATCATTCCACTTCGGCGGACAGGGTATATGAATATCGATATTCAAATCCCCGATCCTCAAGTGAGAGTGGTTGGTGATGGGGATGTCGAATCCCAGCAACCAACTCCCTCGGCACAGGCTCCGGATACAAACGGCGGTCCAAAGTGATGTTGAAGAGAAGAATGCCTTGTTTTTTTTTGAATGTTTTTGCCTTATTGTTTCTAACTGAAAAGACAACGACGCATTTTGTGGTGTTGGTAAAGGATTCAGTCCTTGAGGTTGCAGTGGGTGGAAGTATTACCTTCTTTTTTAGTTTCTTTTTCCTTGTATGGATCAAAGATATTGGATATTGTATTATGGGAAAAGGGTGGAAGGGAAGGGCGGGGAATGTGTGTGTGTGGGTGTGTGTGTGTGTGTGTGTGATATTTTGTACGCATTGAGAACTGAGCGTTTTCAGCATGGCGTTTTGAGACAGTCAGTTCTTCCATGGGATTCGACAGGACTGTGTAGATTTTGGTTGATCAAGAATATTAAAAGCCGTTTGACCGTATCATCACCAAAGGATAAGGAGGAGAAGAGGAGGCGGGAGTAGTCGGTTGAAGTCTGGGATTCTGTTGCATCAAACAAAGATGAAGAGAGGGAGAGTGGAGGAGTGGAAAAGGGGAGAAAAAGATACTGTGTACTCTACACCGGGGGGGCTTCGTACAGATGGTACCTTGAGAATATGTATGTATGTATGTATGTATGTATGTATATGGGGGTGGTGGTATAGGAAATCCGTACTGAGTTCGTACGGGGGAGTACTCAAAAGCTTCACGACGTACAGTATCTGATCTGGATCACGGTCCACTTTTTTTTTATTTTTATTTTAATCGTGTACATACCTACCTACCTACCTACCTACCTACATACTATACCACCTACCTACCCTACCTACTGACTCGGCAAAGACTTTCGTCGGCGACTCGACGTTCAGGCAAAGATGGATACCAAAGGCTGCTACGTCTGCCGTACAGGTAGGTGTGTCCATCCACGCATTGTCGTCTCCCGGTGGTCACCGCTCGGGTTCCCACCACAAACAAGGAGGAACAATCGTAGGTGGTTGCAGAGAGAGTGCCGGTGAGTACATAAGTAAAAAGTTGCCGCACGTCCATTCACCACTCTGCTCGGCGTTTTTGATCCGCGTCGGTCACCAAGAAACGCGACACGGACAGACACAGAAACCTGTACATATGTATGTACGTATCCCAAGACCTGAAGGCGACTACGAATGGGAATATGAATTGTATTGTGTACCTTTCCAGTATTGCCTAAAGTGACCTATACGTATTAGATAGCCCACACACTCACTCGCACACTCTCTCACTCGAGACACCCGAAAGGAACAAAAGAGGGAGACGGGGGAAACAGACCGACAAAGTCCTCAACCCGTCCTCACATGGTCATCGATTGCTCGATTTTGAATTCGTACAAGTACAATGTTGCAAGCAATGATGTCGAACTGATCCTGATATTGATACAGTGTATGTATACACACCACACATACCATGACGGAAGCAATGTAGATACTCAAGGTAGAGTAATACAATCCAAGAACAAAAGTACAAGGCGAAACAAGAAAGGAAGGCAAAAATGGAAAGAAAATAAACCACAAATGACCACCCATTTTTCAGCACGTCCATCATCCATAGTCCACCCTCGTCATGCCATTTTTTCGCGGCTGTAAGCCCCAATACAGCCATGGCATCTTTTTGGGGGCTTTTTTTTATATCCAGTCCCTCGAACATGTTTCGTGATCATATCCGTACAATCGTGGTGATTTGAAAAAAGCGTTGTGCTCATGGTCGTGCTCGTACTCGTGCCCGTACTCGTACAAATCATACATAAATCGTGCAGTAAAGGTGTGTGTAAAAAGTCAGCCACTAAGCCAAAAAATGCCCGCCAACAAAGGAGAGAAAATGATATTAAGTATGAGCTTGGTCGTATTCTCATCATCAAGAGTCGTTTCTTTGTGTGTGGGACATTCATGAACTCGACCCAGCTTGTTGTCGATCACCTCCACTTCCGGTGCCACCACCAGGAAGAAGGTCCAAGCAGACAGTGAAGATGTGGATGATTTGTTCTTCCCATATCCCCATCTCAAAGTCGACCAGTCCATATTGTTCAAGTTGATCGCACATACTGATGAGCTCGTCGATCAGACTGGTAATCTTCTCGCTTGAAAGCATGTCCCCTGAGAGCCTCGTTGTTCGCAATGCCTCTTCTGTGACTTCTTTCTGCTTTTGACCAAGCGCTTCCCAGCAGAGATTCAGCTCAGTCCAGAGTTGGATTCGTTCAAGGTGGTTGCTTTCGTCGTCATGATGCAGTCCTAAGTAACAGTATAAGTGAACTCGTTCCACGCACATGCTGGCAAAAAACTCACCCAGGGCGTCAACAGAGCTCGCCAACCAGCGCGTGGCCGCGAGGACCTTCTCACTCGCTTCGTTCACTCTACCGGAAATAATACTATCGAATACGCTTCTGATCTGCTGTCTGTAATCCCTCAGACCTTCTTGCAGCGCCTCTTGCTTACTATCCCGAGCCGCCCCACTTTCGGATGGTTGTTGCTGGTGCTGCGTGGCTTCAGGAAAGTCCATCTGACGGCTTGGGTATGTTGGGAGAACTGGCGCACGCGTTACTGGCACATTGCCGTAGACGCTTTGTTCCGCCTGCGTTGTCAGATACTGCGACGGACTAGGCCCAACTCCTGCCAGTGCCGCCTGATCGCTTGGAGGCATATATTGCGGTACCGCAAATTGACTTGCCATAACCTCAAGCGCCTGTCGTTGCTGGTATGAGATGTTGTCATACATGGATTGCCCACCGACCGGTGGGAGCATGGTGCCCTGTCCATACTGCCCGTATTGGTGCTGTTGCTGCTGCTGTTGTTGTTGTTGCGAAGGCGAAGGAGTGATCGACCCTTGCCTGGATGCCTCTTGAATGTATGCGGGTGAGTACTGCATTTGTACCCCTTGCATCGGGCTGCTGCCCTGCATTTGAGAAGTCCCATACTGTTGCTCGTGGAATGCGTATCCCGGATAGCTTGGGACATACGGTCGGGGAGTTATTGCAGACGAGCCCGCGTCACTCCTCGCAGGGCCGGTTGCTTGCCCATACCGATCACTAGACGGAGGACCCATAGGCTGGCCTGGCAATGGCCGTGGCTGCGTTGGTGTTTGGTATGGTTGTCCATACTGCGTACGTCGACGGTCATTGCCGTCCATTTAAGGAAAGACAACTCGTGTGTTTGGCGCCAGGGTGATGGATTTGACGAGCGAGCCTCTGCGCAAATCGTCGTTCGATGTATTGCGGTCACCGGGATAGTACCCTCCTTTTCCTCTGGTGCCAGCTTTTCACAGTAGACAGTTTGTGTCTATTCATGCAACCAAGCACGACCGCTGTGAGAGATGCCCCGAGGTTAAAAAGGGAGTATTCGGTGTGACCCGGTGACTACAAGATGCTGCACACTGGATCCACGCAGGACAACGCTCTCGACCTGGTGACGGGAAGCCGGGTTAGTGACTCGATCGGACAGACTTGCGCCAATGAGTCTGCGAGTTCTGGCAGGATAGATCGAAAGTGCCGCAGTCGGGCAGGGTCAAAGTGACGTGGCGAAGGGCCGAGGGAAGTATCGGTGTTGGAATGCAGATATTCGACAGAAACAACACTCCGCCCGCAATAAATGCCTCGTCGATACGGCGAAACCCAAATCCAGGGAAGGGCGCCCAGTCATCAACTCAAAAGAAATACTTGTGCCCAACTCGCAAAGCATGAAACGTGCGGCCGAGGAGGGTGGGGTGCGGTATGAGGTTTTTGGAGAGGGCGCGAAATGGCGATGCAAGGACCACGTATTAAGAGACTGCGGACACAGCGTATGGAAAAGGATCGTACGAAGAACAGTCAAAGGAGCGTTTGGTTGGCAAAAGGAAGGAGAGAAGATGCAGGCAAGTTACCTTGAAGTCGAGGAGGGAACAGCATATACAAAGAGGCCTAAGATGCAGACGCAGTGGCAGGTGGGAATCGCCAAATGCGCACACAACGCAAGAGGCGACGGCAGCTTTGACACGGACAAACTTGATGGGGAATGGCGTCGACACAACATGGCAGCAGTCGAACGAATGATGAATGGGTCGCAAGTACCTGGTACGTCAAGATTGACTCCTCTCTGTGCGTGCCTGTGTAGTAGACTCAAGGCCTGCCGAGGAGTGTGCCAGACAGCGGAAGGGAGAAAGCCTTGACGTGTGGAACAGCGCCACAAGCAGGACTTGTGCCAGACGGAATCTCGTATTGTCAATCGTAGTGGAAGAGGGAGGGGGCGTGTCATCCACTGGTCAGCCTGCCGGAGATGGTTCTGGACGCGAACATTGCGCAACTCTCTCAAGAGATCCATCGTCTGGACGGAAGTGGTCGTGTAAGCCCTTTCAAAGGCCGCATTCTGCCGCCTGCGCATGGTTCATGGGAGGAGACTTGGTTGACCTGGCTGGTGTCTTGCTTGGGCCTGCTCCGGCCTTGGTCCCTTCAATCCAAGCGGAGCTGGCTCGTAAGACAACGGAGGCTTTCCTTCAGAAAAGCGGGCAGCAAAGGCATGGCCATCTGGTCAGATCCCCGGTGGTGGGCCATCATTATAGGCCATCCAGAGTTCGCAGCATCGCTTCCTACTGCACGCTAACCACTGGTCCGACAAGGCTTGCATTTGGGGCCTGGCAGCCCACCATCTGCCGGCGTTGCAGGCGAGATTTTAGAGTGTGGCGCCCGGCAGGGGCGAGAGTCACGAGAGGTCGCTCCTCAAGCCTTAGCGGTCGAGGGAAAAGATTGGCTGCCTCTGGGGGGTCATGGGTGTCGATCGCTCCTCAGCGAATGCCTGGAGAAGGGATCGATGCGCCTAATTAAGGGTAAACACCAGGCATCATCATCCGAAAAACTTCGAAGTCCGTCCCCGGCAGTGGTCTGTGATCTCCGGTCTGCGGTCTGTAGGCTGTAGGCTGTCCGCCACATATCCTTCTGTGTTGCCGAATCGCGCTTCAGCCACGACCTTGTCCTGCTTATTGTCGCATTCCTGCAGTCTGCGGCTCAATTTCAGGGTCATGCCTGGGTGACACACATTAAGTACCAATCACGCATCATCTCGTCTAAGGGCAACGATGGCGACAATGTGCGCATGCATGTAGTCACCGTTAGGAATTCCGGATGGTAAATGACCTGGTCCTCTGCTCATGATTTGATCGTGTTCGAAGTCCCGTCCGGACCACCGCTTCCGGTTTCCATTATTTCGAACAGATTGTTCACCTGCTCATGAATAGATGGCTGTTAGTTTAATTTGAACAGGTCAAAAAGTAATAGCCAGAAGACACCGTCGATTTGTGTAGCATTAGGGGTGTGCTATTTGCGCCCAGCTTGCTCTTCGGACTGGCAGGACTCCTCATTCCTCGTTTTGAGGTCAGATCACGTACATGCGAGTACCGGATCCTCTTTCAGGTCCCTCGAACTTCCTTCTAAGTTCCGGGGCTTGGTCGATAGGCTGTGAGTCCGTGCCTCATGTCTCTTATTAGAAGCGTTGTCGAACCGAGCCAGTCGGATGGAAGGCTAGTGGGCTTGATGCATCGTCCCAAAGATCTGGGGAGCTGTCAGCTAACCGCTGTCTCGTTAGATACCCAGCACTTCACGACGGCATTCCTAAGCTTTGGTTTGTGTCGTCTGACCTGTGATCTGGCGTAACTGTATCTGATCTTCTATTCTTGCCTGGACGTCCGAGTTACAAGCCTGATTCTAAGCTGCTTCTGCATCATGGGCCATTTGGACATCCTATGTTATTGTTGACCCGCGACGCGAGATGCCCTTGGCTCCTTGCACCAATGACAATGTTGGCTCAATCTCAGATGCGTCAAAACCACCGTGCGACGGCCGCGAAGTGGAAACAAGGACCGCTGCAGCTTGGGTTGTTTCACACCTGGTCTTGTTCGCCCTCTAGCCTCAGGAGGACCGGGCGGGACCCCGTGAGCTTGTCAGATCGTAAGATTAAAACCTCCGTGGCTCATCGCCATGTTTTTTCACTCGCAAGCAGAGTCCGTTGTTTTCGTCCAGGGTTGTTGGCACTGGTACCAACTACGCTAGAAATTAGAGGTTGGAACCACTGGACCAACACTTGACGAGACGAGGTTGATGACGCGCTTCTACTAGCGTTGAATATCCCTGCGTGTCCTTCGTTTCCAGTGTGGCTTGACAGCGCGTTTCAGCTTTGTAGATTGTTTGATCTCCCGCCTTCGAGAATTTTAGGCTCTGACCGTCGATGGTGAAACGAACCGCATGGTCCTGTAGCGTGCACGCACTTGTAATACTCCGCAGCAAAGAAGAGACAGGTTCGCGAAGCATTGTACCAGTACGTAACGGGTATCAGCAAAGTTGCAGCCTTTGCAAGCGTTCTTGTTGCTCTGAACATCCTCTTCAAGGCCAATGGGCTGTGATCTAAGTTCGAGTCCTATGCACCACGTACAGAGTACGCGGCGTCGCACTGGCCATGCCGTGGCCAACTGCATGTGCAAAGGGTGCGCCAACTGGGGAGAAGTTAGATGAGCTCCAGGGTGGTGAGTGATGCTGTCCAAAGACCTAGGATTGAAGATTGCACATGTGGATCGAGCTGCATCCATTGCTGCACTTACCAGGATCCATGGGTGAGCCATTTCTTCATGCAAAAGCTGCATGCGTCGGCGCCAGCACCGCTGGATCCATTGCCTTCTTCATGGCCGGCCGAACGCGCAGACAGGGATACAAAAAGGCTACGTGAGACTCGAGATTGTCATAAGACGCGTGATATAGCTACCTGGATAGACAGCATCACGACAGGCAACTTCACGCAGGCATGGTCAAGAGCGAAAGGTCAACGTTCCCTTCACATATCTGTGCAACGTTATGTTGCCAGCAAAATGCACGTGGGAGCCGTCGATCGATACGTACATCTTATCTGGCTTTGTGACACGACTTCTCCCAGCTACATCACGCATTCTCGACTCGGAAACTTCATGTCGGCCGCGAACCCGCGTGCGTTGGTAGACCAGGTTTGATATGTGGAGATGGAGAATGATTGAGCAAGATTTACTCAACAGGTCATAAAAGGTCATAACGCAGGAGGCACAGTACTTGTATTAGTTTTTCACGCAAGCCAGAACAGGTCAACGAAGCCCGATTCCTGGTGACAGGACACATTCGGTACACAAGAGGAATTGGACAATAATGTACAGACAGACAAGTACCGCTGCTGTTGGGCGAGCGTCTTATCGCTTGACCCAGGCGGGCTTCTTCCTGGCCTTCAGCCTTCCGGGCTTCTTTCGTTCGACACGTCTCCTATCCGACGTAAGGCAGCCGGCTGCGTTTAGAATTAGCAACATCCTCAGCAACACCCAAGAACATCAAGCACTTACCTCGTCGAAGAGCAGGCTTTAGAGCAGGCTCGTGTACCAACAATGCCCTGGCAACTGCCAAGGTGATCGCTTCAGCTTGACCAGTGACTCCTCCTCCTGCAACCATTGCGAACACATTGTACTTGTCCGCCCGCTCAGTAGCTTTCAATGCCCAAAGCGCACTCTCGCGATCGTGTAGGCGAGGAAATGCCTGCACAATGTTACGTCCATTGACGAGGACTTCTCCTGTTCCTTCTACAAGATAAACTTTCGCGCCGGATTCCTTTCTGCGTCCGATTCCAACTGATCTTCCAACCCTATCAAGTTTTCCAGGTTTGGCTTTTTGCAACCGCTCCGAACCAGGCCGGCGGAAGCGATCCAACACCTCCCTCACTTCCCTTGGTCGAATTCGTGGATGTATCTTGTTCAACCGAGTTAAGAGCTCCAGGACCTTTGTATATTTCGAAGCAGGGACGGTTTCTCCTGTGGAGCTACGGTATTGACTGAGCTTCAACCACACTCCACGCGGAACGTTATCGGGAGGTGCCAGAGGCAGCGCGCTATGCTTCTTGACGAGTGATTGTAGTAGCAAGACGTTGTCGTTGAAAAGCGGTGAGGCGGTGAAATATGAAGGAGATGCAGGGAGGACACGAGCAGGAACCGCTGGTGTGTCGATGTTCGAGAGATCGATCTCTGGTGCGGCTTGGATTTGTGTATCAGTAGAGTTGGATCTAGACGCAATAAGACCGTGTCGCTGAACAGGAAGCGGTAGCCATGACAATAGGCTTGTCGGAAGATGTCTGCTCTGCACTCGGCATTGGCGACAGGTCCGCAAGATGGAAGCTGGAAGAGCTTGCACCGACGGTCTTGCCATGGTCGAAGTGCCTCCGCAACCAAGTATGGACGGTTACCCGGAGCACATAGGACGAGGAGAGGCTGCCCTTTGTGGTGACGCCCAATTGAGTGGCGAAAGGGACTTCTTGAAGGTGAGATAAGTCCCTTGGTGAATGCAGATGGAGATGCATCTGGTAGTTGAAGTGCCTCGATAATTTCTGCCAAGCTTCCCAACTGCGCCTTCCCTCTCAGGCTCGTCCAGAAAACAAAAATTCTGATTGCCCTCCCTCCACTCGAACAATCATCTTGCCTTCTTCTTTTCCACATTTCGTCTTACTGCAACTCATTCAAGATGTCGTTCGGTAAACTCTACGGATCCAAGGTATGCATTTAGCCAATTGCTTGAGGCAACTTGGGCAGCAAAGGCTGATTGAGCATCCAGGACAACGCCCGCTCCACCGTCCTCCTGGCGGTCGCAAAGGAGAACAACCTCGATATTGAGCTGATTGATACTCGTCCTCCCCAGACCGACCCTGAGTACCTCAAGGTGAACCCTCTCAACCGAGTCCCAACTTTCGTTGGCGCCAATGGCTTTCTCCTGACCGAGGCTATCGCAATCGCCATCTACTGTACGTACCAAATCACCCCGCCACAGCCTTGTCCACTGCTACAAGATGAGACGTATTATCACAACAGTTATCCCTGTCTGAAAACTTTTTGTTGACTTTATTTGACTCTGATCCACAATCATAACGGATTGATTCTTGTGCCTTGAGTTCGAGAATTTGACTAACGACTTTATAGTTGCATCTCAAAACGAGAAGACAACCCTTCTGGGCAAGACTAAACAAGACTACGCTTCCATTGTCAGATGGATGTCCTTCTCAAACTCTGAGCTCCTCCCCAGTATCAGTGGATGGTTCCGTCCTCTGATTGGCAGAGACCCCTACAACAAGAAGTCAGTTGACGATTCCAAAGCGGCTGCTGCACAGATCCTCAAGGTCCTTGAGCAACACCTTCTGGTCCACACCTTCCTTGTTGGCGAGCGCCTTACTCTGGCCGACTTGTTCACTGCTTCCCAGATTGCACGTGGATTCCAGTATGTGCTGGACAAGGCCTGGCGATCTGAGAACCCAAACACCACTCGATGGTACGAGACTATTGTCAACCAGCCAATCTGGAAGGCTATCATCGAGCAGCCAATCTTTATTGAAGAGGCTGTGAAGTACACTCCCCCAAAGAAGGAACCAAAGCCTGCAAAGGCCGCAGCTCCAGCTGCAAAGAAGCCTGCCAAGGAGGAAGAAGAGGAGGAAGAGGAGGTCAAGCCAGAGGTCAAGCCCAAGCATCCTCTTGAGGCCCTCCCCAAGCCTACTCTCATTCTTGATGACTGGAAGCGAAAGTACTCAAACGAGGAAACTCGCGAAGTCGCCCTCCCATGGTTCTGGGAACACTACAAGCCAGAAGAGTACTCCCTCTGGAAGGTTGACTACAAGTACAACGACGAGTTGACCCAGGTCTTCATGACCTCGAACCTCATTGGTATGTTGTGTTTCTTCCTTTGCTTGAGATTGTCACGCTAATCCCCCTCCAGGCGGTTTCTTTGCCCGTCTCGAGGCTTCCCGCAAGTACCTCTTCGGAGCCGCCTCGGTCTATGGCCAAGCCAATGATTCTGTCATCCAGGGTGCCTTCTTGGTGCGCGGTGACGAGGCTCTCCCTGCTTTCGACGTCGCCCCAGACTATGAAAGCTACGAATTCACCAAGCTTGACCCGAGCAAGCCAGAGGACAAGGCCTTCGTCGAGGACCAGTGGTCATGGGACAAGCCAATTGAGGTGAACGGCAAGAAGTACGAGTGGGCTGATGGTAAGGTCTTCAAGTAGAGGACGGGTATGCAGGCGTGTTTGGGACTAGTCACGTCCTACACATGGCCGGAATATGTAAGGAGATGCGCATGGAGAAGATGAGAGTGATGATCATGATGCCATGAGAACGGATGCCTGGAAAAGTACATGCTCAAGATTGGTGTCGCTCCACAAACCAATAGATACAATGCGACAGCGGAAGGCAATGCATGCATGTCTTGTCCCTCTTTGAATTGATTCTACACGTGTCTCTGGATTCGTCCTGCGAGCATTATGTTACAGAGGCAAGGATTAGAAGTCATAATGCTCAGCACCCGCTTGTTGGGGGTCCATATTGCAGTAGGACTTCAGATGCCTGTGGAGAGACCGTGCTTCAGTTTCGAAGACAATCCCTTCCCTTGTAGAAACTCTTGGATACTCCCCTGTTCGTCCCCTCTATCGTAATCACATGAGTAGCATGTAGGTGCAACCGGACCACAAGCGACCCGGGTGATGTAGATAGAGACGAGTAATTTGGCCAGGCGAATATTGAGCATTCATGCGGCGAAAGAGCTGATGTAGTACTGTGCACTGTCAGCAAATGCATACAACAAACAAGCAGTCGAACTCTACCGTCAAACACGACTCATCTTCACTCCCATTTTCATCATTTGGCAGATAGACATACAACACCAACCCGCCCTCGTTGATGAAGCAAGCAATAACACGAGCACTCACCCTACCGACGCTGAGAACTCTTGACCAATCTTTGGCATCGATCCTGACCTTGGACCATCCCGCTTCGTTTTCGCCAGTCGGCCCGCCCAATTCCTTCATTCTGGTGCTTGGGTGGTCCCTTACACCCTGCGAACCATCTGGGAAATGTGCCGGATCTAATTCAGGGTTGGCTAGTCCGGTCCAACGGCTGGTAATATTCAGAGCGTCCGTCTTTACGGAGATCTTCAACGAACCATGCATATTCGCACTGAGTTCGAGGCGTGGACTCGTGTTTGCAGAGGCTTTGGTAGTGGCCAGGGCAAGCCTGGTGAATCTGTCAGATATAGTCTTGATCTGCGCCAACGGAGGCAGAAAGATGTTGACATCAGGTTCCTGAGTCCGGGGCTGATGGATCCTTTCCACCACCTCCATCGTGAGGACCTTGACTGGGATATCCTGGGTAATGACGGTCTCTCGTTCTCTGGCGCCGTTGGCTTGAGATAACCCACTTTCGGAAAAGTCGAAGGCGTCGCCCTCCTCGAAAGTCGAAGTCGACGGCGGCAGGGCAACGACATTAGTACCACCGGTGAATGTAGTAGTCACAATCGTCAATGACAGCATAGGAACGTTGTCCTTCTTGGTCAGTCGGATCTGAGTGGACGTCGCATTGTAGGCCGATTTGAGGGCCCTTGACAGTGCCTGAATAGGCACCTCGAGGTTGATGGTGTTCTTGGGGGATGCTGACTGGAGGATGTATGTCTCGAAGACCGTCTCGGGCTTCAGAACCGACCAGACCTGGCTCCCCTTGTCGGGGACGATAGTGAACTGCACATCATCGTCGTTCAGCCGGCACCAGGCAATCTGGCCCAGGGAGGCCAAAGAAGCGCAGAACTCTGGCACAGGTCAGACTGCGGGAGCGGCGGGCTGGTATCGGTCGGGGAGACTCACTGGCAAACAAGTTCACATTCTTAATCTGGCTCTTGAAACGCATTGCATTTCTGGCGGCGCATGAGAGATTGGATGTGTCGTATTCGATGGTGTTGGGAAGGGTTCAGGCCTTTTGCGATGGAGTCTGAGGGCGAGCACAGAGCGTGGAGTCTGGAGACTAGTAGATAGAACGTTAGTGACCCTCTACAACTCACAAAGAACGCGCCCCGTACTCCATATTCGCTGTCCAGCTAGACGAAACTAAGGCCAGATGTCGCGTCGTGCGGGAACGCGCCATGTTGATTTCACGCTCGATGGTTTGCTGGGATCTCGGGAATCTGTCCGGATCCCTGTCTAGTGAGTCGGGCAGGACGTAGGCGAACACCACCCATCACGTACAGTACAATTTTTACCGGGATTCTGGCAGGAGAATCCTGAAAAGCGACCTTGACCTCGGATTGACGTGCAGCCTGCGCCCATTGCATTTCTCCACCGGTTCTTAAACATCATAATCGTACTGTATTTCTTTCTCGTGAGACCCCTGTGGGCTCTCGTATTCAATCATGAGCTTTATTCTTAGACAGTCGCAGCCCTACTTCTTATGAGCACACCTGCACGCCCGCTCATCGATGCTCCCAGGTACGAGCAGGCGAGTGTCCCGCAAAGCCGGTTGCTTTTAGTTCCAGCATGCTGGACTTGCGTCTTTCCCTTGGTCGGCGCTTCTGGAGACACCAAGAGCATATGCGGGCAAGATAACTGCCCCGGCCTGCGCTAGAGATGTCTCTAACCACTCCTACCAAACCGAAATTCCCTCTCTTCGAACGCCCTGGTGATTCGCGGTCTCCGTCCAGGTCCCCTCGCAAGAAACCTCAGTTTGCAATCCGAGAACTCGATCCTCTTTTGGCGAATCTCTCGCCTGATTCTACCCTACGAGCTCTGAGGGCAACCGACACGATCCCCGGCGGAGGCTCCCAAGATGCCCTGGCTTCCAGCATCGGTGACGCCAGCCCTGCAGAGCGAGAAGTTGGCATCCGAGCCGCTTTTGCCGCCCAGAAGCTCCGCGAATGGAGGGATGAAGTGTCAAAGTGGACATGGCCAGGAACAAGAGAAAGAGCACTGGGGTTGGGATTCATAACTCCTCGAGGTGCCCAGGGCTTCAATCTAGACTATCGTGGCTTTTTGACGGTCACGCTAGCAGAGCACTACGAGGCTAGAATAGAGGAGATTAGGGACGGCCTGGATACCCTCGGGATTGAAGACATCAAAGATCATGTTCTGGAGGCCCATGTACCCGCGAAAGCGTCGCCCATGAGCCCTCCGTCCAGCGGAAGTCGAACGAGCTACGGCAGGATGCGAGACTTTACAGCGTTGGTGACGGCTACAGTTATCCAAGCACTTCCTGACCTGGCTAAACTCAACATGCTACTCGATAACTGGGATATACGGCTGAGAGTATTGAGGCAACTTCCGCGCTTCTATGAGGTCATGGACTCTACTACCTCAGAGGTTCAGCAGGCCTTCGATGAAATTCAAAACACCGATGCAGCGGCCAAATTGACGGAAGATATGATTGAACGTAAAAAGGTGGTTGTGGGGGCTCAGGTGGCCGAGCTAGGTCGACGAGTCGACCGACTTCTTGATATGCTGGAGGGGCACGATGATTCGCTTCCTCAAACGTGGATCGACCGGTTGGAAAAGATTGAGCTTGACTATGCCACATGGGTCGTAGAAGCCCAACAAGTTGTCCTGAGGAACAGCCTGGGAATGACACTAGGTAAAAGCCCTCGGCAAGGGCAGTTGGCTCCTAAAATGACTCTTCCTGGCTTGGACAGCGAGACGGCGCCATCTCCGAGGGAACAGCACACCGATGGCGCCGAGACACGTCCAGAGGTTGTTGAAGAGCTAAGGACAATAAACACCGAATCATCGTCACCCAGCAAAGGCGACAGATCGGTGAAACATAAACCTTCACTGAAGCTGAACTTATCAGCAGATCGAAACGGACACAGGAGAGAAATTTCCAAGGTCTCTATCGCAGACTCTACGATATCGGGATTTTCAGATCTGTCCAACGCCGAAATCATGGATGCTCGACAGACCAGCGTGCTCCCAAGCCCCAAGATCAACCTTGTAGACAATCCATTCCGAGCAAGTCGCGACGAGCTTACTTGGTTTGGCAACTCAACAGCAGCTCAGCAGGAGCTGGCTTTCAGACCTCCAATGCTTCAACGAGCTTCAACCGCTTCCGTCGAGGTGGTCCCAAAGGACCAGCTCAAACGTGTCGTGCTAAGGAGAAGTGCCAGCTGGGACATGTTGTCTGCAATGCCTGAATCGCCTGAAAGCACCCCTTCCAAGGCTCTGAGGCAGCTGACTGGAGCTGACTCACCACTGAAAGATACTGCAGTGGCCGAACTCGAAGGCTCTGAAGTTGTCCTAGATCCTCCGACTGCATCGACCTCGGAAGGCAATTCTCTTGCTTCGCCTTCTCTTGAAGTTGAACCACTCCAACTGAAGACTAAAGAGGCACCCCCAGGGCCACCGATAATGCCAGCCTTGCCACGGAGGTCAAGCAAGCGAAACACCCAAGATAGACTGAGCACATTTTCCACCTTGACACCTATATCCAGTAATAGCCCTGTGACGCCCGTGGACAATGTGCAGACTTTGAGCGACTCCACCTTGACCACATCCATCAAGGAGACCTCGCCGAATTCGGCGAAAAAGGTCGAGTCACTGGAGGATAAAATCCAAGACATACTGACAACTCTACCAACGAAAATTCGACTGGCCAAGGACGGAGACTATTCTGGCATCACGCAACCTTCGTCAACATCCTCGACACGATCTTCCACGCCCACAGCCGCACTGACTTTGTCTCCTGTCAAGGCTGAAACCTATACACCTAAGAGCGATGATTCCGGCATCAGGCTATACCATCTCACCCGGTCGGGCCAAGCCCGAGATGCACCTCCCGTCAAATTATTCGTGCGAAGCGTTGGGGACGGACAGCGTGTCATGGTTCGCGTTGGAGGTGGTTGGGCAGATTTAGGAGAGTATTTGAAAGAATACAGCTTGCACCACGGTAGCCGGTCCACAGCAGATGGCCGTCTAGAAGTCGCTAGTTTTCCCAGCAATGGACTTAGGGACGCCAATGCCGCCCACAACACGCAAGGCTCTCTTGCTAAGCGCAAGTCGAAGTCTCCTGCTTCGAGCCCGCAAACCGCAGACATATCCTCGCCTCCAGATCTGTCGAATCCGAGACTGCGTCCGTTGACGCGAGTGCGCTCTCCTGAACCTGAAAGAAGAGTTGTCAAGGACAAGGAAAGCTGGACGCCGCCTCCAGTACCTCCCATTCCTTCGTCATATTACTCCAAATCACCCACGACCACGACAGCCGCCAACCGGGACAGTGGTGCTCCTACCGTAGCCATTGGCCCTGCGCAATCACCCGATGGAAAAGGCACGGGCCCCAGCTCGAGAACTACCACAATACAGGCCCCGGGTGTCACGACCACCACCACCGTCACACCCGCAACGACAACGGCGACGAACTATACGCCTCTCGGTGGAGCCGGGCCAAAGACGAATCCACGACGAGCTGCCGCCTTTGCGACGGGCTCCGCTGCCGACAATGATGCATGGGTCGAGAATCTCGTCGGCAAAGCAAGGGCAGTCAGTGGAGGAAATGCAACAAACATCGGTCAAGGCCCGAGCATGACCACGACCACCACGACCACGACAACTACTTCTCTGGCTACCTCGAGTAACAACACGCCTACAACCCGCCGTGCATCCTCTTATATGAGCTTGACGCCGAACTCCAGCCCCGTCACGCTCTCGCCCAGCCCCAGCAATTCCTCTGCCGCCTCGTCCAGCGACTCGAAATCTCGTCGCGTCAGTCTCACAGGCCGGTCCAAGAGCCGAATGAGCCTGAGCGACATGAGCGGCATCCGGAGAGTTTTCTTACGAAAGAAGAGTGAGAACGTGAGGTGAAACAACAAACTGATACCATACAGACACTTCGTCAAAGTCTGGTTCTGCCGCCACCACCACGACCACGAGTATATGTTTGTTTTTTTTCTCGTTGTGGCGACCTGAGTCGCTGACGCGGTAACGTGGGAAGTCCTTGACGAGTTTTTGGGCCAACAGTACCTTACATAAATACATACCCACCTACAAGTACTCCGAATTCGCCTGCTTAAGAGCCTGAGACGCGTTGATGTTGGATGCGGCGTGAGAGGCTAGGTCGATACCTTCGTACCTACCTACTTCACCTTCTCCGCAGACACTCGTGTCAACCGACATACAGACAATACTTGCATTAAGTTAGCTAATCTAGTCTCATTGCCTGTTTCGAAATGTACTATGTATCTATATCTTCATACTATCCCGAGTGCTGTGGGTATTCCATGTTGTGAAGAGCGCGTGTATAACAAATGCATTGGGTATATGAACAAAGTCTGTCTTATTAGTCCAGAATGTAATATATCGAAGTCACTGGCAAAACGCTCACATCTGCATCCACGTCAGCGTTAACAATCACGTTTCCGTCCACGTTCACATTCCTGACGTGACGTGCATCTGCCCTGCGCTGGCCGTCACTAGTTATGGCGCTGAGATCCCTACCACCGGCGAGCGCACACGTGGTCGGAGTAGTGGTAGTGGTAGTGGTAGTGGTGGTAGTGTATCGTGCCATTGGGGCAGCTCTGGCCTTGGTCACCTCGTCCATCCCGTCATTTGACATTGTCGAATCCGTAGATTCATCTCTCAGCAGTGACAGTGAGAGTGGTCTTGGCCCTTTCCATCGGCCGAGTTCTCCGCCGACACCATGTCCGTTACGATCAGGAGACGACACAGGGGACTCTTCGGCCCTTTGCAAAGGCGAAAGCGAGAGCGAAAGCGGCGAGTTGTAGTCGTAGTCACAGTTGTAGTTGCTGCGCGTGAGTGGTGGTGGTGCTGCGCCGTCGTTGTAGGTGGTTGGGGAATGAGAATCACTTCTCGACCTCGGCGGATCATGATCATACTGTATATCGTCAGCACACGGCGACCCTCCCCCAGTGGGTGCAAAATTCAAATCGTGAACAAACACGGGGTCTGACGGCGTGGAGGTTGATCATTGCTTCATGGCCCACGACCAGGTACGCACAGGATAGATCAGCAGAGAGGGTGGTTATCGCCAACATGAACGACCAAAACAGTATAGATCAAAGGTGAGGTCGGTGGCTTACCTCGTCCATGAGATCCGATAGCCCCCGATGGTGGTCCTTCGATAGGAGATCCGGGCTCGTACGCAGGACTCTGCGCAAAGCCTGTACGAGACAGCGGTTCTGAGATTCCAGGTCCGCAATCTCTTTGCGGTTCTCAGCCAGAGCCCTAGATACAGTCAGCGGTCTGAGAAATCGATACGAAACTGCCAGAGTTTGAAGTAAAAACTGCGGAAAAGGAACCAAGGGGAGGAAAGGAGACAAGGAGGGTTGCTGCGGTTTGTTCTCACCTGTCAAGTCGAGCGCGCCTCCGTTCGCTAAAGGTACAGAGCGTGCCTTCCTGTCGACATTTCTGGCAACGTGGTGCGCCTGAGCATTTGGCTTTCTGCACCTGGCACCGCGTACAGGCGTGAGATACACGGGGAGGTTTTGGCGCACCGCGTCTCATATCGGCAGAGTCCATAGCGATGGCGATGGCGATGGCGATGGCGATTCGCTTCAGGAGAGAGTTCAAACTGAATCTGAACTCACACGCATATGCATACTGCGTGCACCAGAGAGGGGAGCGAACAAGAGGGCAAAGGCACAAAAATGCTGTTTTGACCTTGGAAGGGTCGCCTCCTAGACAACTGCCTGGGCGGTGGGTGTAGATAGCAACGTCTCGATGAAGAACACCACCATCATGACCGAGCGCCACTCTGTACTAAGCTTTCTAACCGCCACGATACGTACCGGGGACGCTGAACCAGAAATCCGACGGTAGCATGTTACCGGTGGGAGGGAAGGACCTTTGAAGAAATAAGTACACTCACTGGCTCATATTCCGATACAGGTGAACAATTTGACATACACGCTACGTTGACTAGTGTGGGCGCTGGTGACGGCTACATTCTCCCTCGGCTTTTTCTTCCACCACACTCCCAGGTTGGTGTTTCCATGGGTCTGTTTCGGTTGCAAGCTCCATCATGGATAAAAGACGGGTCACATGCTCAAATTGTGCCCGTGATCTGTATGATTGCTCGGTTCGTTCGTTGGTTGTCTTGGCGACCTTCTGGCAAAGACAGCCGTTGAGGAGAAAGTAGTCTGACTCGATCTCCTATAGATTTCTGGGGGCGGAGGAACCTTTTTTGTCGTGTTGCCGGAAAATGGTGCCGGCGAGCCGTAGTGTCCGAGTCTCACCCGCCGTGGATGTTTGGGGCATGATCGGTAAGCTGGGCTGCTCACAGGACCCCAGGATAAATACTTGTCTAGGGGCGTAGACCAGTAGGTGCTTCGCGCCATAGAGAGGGCATGGCTAGTGAGGCTGACGGGGACACATGACAGGCCAGGTAGGTGTTCGCTCAATTCAGTTCTGTTTTACCTTTGGCCCATTCGTTGTCCATTTGCCCCTTAAGATGTCCTACAGGCAGAAAGATCTTTGCTGTCATTTAGCTTTCGACTCTGGTATCAACTTCGAGGAGTCGAGACTTCCTCGGGCTCGTCATCTCATGATGAAGCGGTGAGCTGAGGTGCTTATTTGTGATAGAAGCTGCCAATTTCACGGGCTGGGAGTACAATTCCGAAACTCTATATGTCTTTGGGATGGTGTCGTTGTTGGGCAAATTGCATTGCGTGTGCACTCTGATACGCCTGGTACACCGCTAACGTTAGCCAAGCGCAAATTGATGTTACCATCAACTGTCGGCGGCCTCTTGTTCTTCTCTCGAAAACGGCCTTTTAGTACTGCAAGCTGAAGGTATGGCTGCGACTCTGAAGTAAGCCGAGAAGTTCCCCTTCCGAGATAAGTAAAGCGTTTCAAGGCCGAGAGATGGCTTTCTTTGGTCAGAAACCCGGTATTCTGACAGTAACAGACGGCGTCAAAAATTACCAGTAGCTTTCATGAGTGTTGGCATGTCAGGCAACTCGACAAGGCTTTCATGGGAGTTCGGGATGATGACCTCTCAAGCTTCATGATTGGGCGCGTTCGAGTATAGCATGTCGAAAGATGACAGAAGATTCCAGTCCGTAGCATCCAGTTGTAGAAAATCGGTAAACTAGTATACTTCGAATTAGCTAATTTCCAACCCAGTCGAGGTGACAATATCGACATTGATAGTCGATACATACCTCATCCGTAGAAGCAGGCTCGAACTGAAAGTTGTCAAAATTGAAACGCAAAGTCTCAGCTCCAGCCGCTTGCAATCCAGATCCACTTTGCTGGGTGCCATGGACAACTTCTTCAACTGCAGCATGATCCGCTTCCTTTGTTCTGCCCAATTGGACAACCCGAGAAGCCACATTTGAGACTTCCCTCGGCAGTGAGATGGACATCGCAGATGCTGTCAGAAATTCAACATAGCCGAAGTGACCAACACAAGCATCTAGAAGGCCAAGGTCGGTCGCGGCGGAGGGAATTGTTGGATGCTTGACTATATGAATGAAGAGGCTCACCATTGCATGGAGCGGATAGTAGAACGCCAAACATGAGGGTGTGTTTGCAGTTGCGTTGACAAGTCGAAGAGCTAGAATGATCTTTCGCGCGGCTTCGGCAGTGATGTCAGACGATAATGCAACTCGACCTTCGACAATGGCGTTGTAGCGAGTACCAGTGAATCGTGAAACCAACCATGGATAGAAGAAATGGCAATGTACAGCCATAATGCTGCTGTGGATACTAAAATGGAGGTACAAGATCTCGTGGACCTGCTTGGAAGAATGAGAAGACCGACCCAAAGCACTAATCTGGAGTTCTTCTGGTATTTCATTGAGTAGAAGATTCAATTCATCATGAAATTTCGTGACAGTCTGGATGAGCTCGTCGGCAGTCATAGAAAGTGCCTTAAGCGAAAGAAGTCGACGGCCAATGCCAGACTGAATTTTGGCAAGACGAATGATGATTCGGAAGCATGGGGAATGTGGTTGTATGGACGGATAGGCGTCGGGCGTGAAGATGTTGATATTCTCATCATCAATCGCCGACGCGCGGCAGCTGCTCTGGGAGAGGTACTTCTCTAGAGCATACAATGTCCACCATAAGTTGCTTCTTTCGAGCGCTTCTTTGGGACACCTCCCCCATGCTCTGTCTGGCTGACGATGGAGCCCCTTGGCTTGAGCGAGATGAACGGCGTTCGAGCACAAGAAATTCTTGAGACCGAGATGGCCCAAGGCTTCAGTATAGCATGACTGCGTTGCTGTCAGTGCAAGTTCTCAAAGGCCTGGGGTGTTTGTCAGCACTATGTTACCATCAGTACCAATGCTCGTATCGCTGTCAAGTTGGAAGGAGGGAGGAGAAGTTTGGTGAGCACCGATAATGCCATCTTGAAATAGCGTCCGGGATCTGCTTGGGCAATTGCAAAGGACACGGTAGAGTCCTCGGAGAGTATACTTCGAAGACCAGCCGCGTAAATGACATGGCGAAGGGCGTAAAAGGCGACATCGTCTCTTTGGGTTTGGCCACGATAATGGCCTCGGAGACGAGCTTCGAAAGCGGTCCGGTCAACGATCCCAAGCGAAGACTCCCAGCAATTACGATAGAATGCTTCAAGCTCAAATGTGAGCTACCGGTCAATAACGAGAAGAGCCTCGTATAAACTTACCATCGACGTATTCAAAAGCAATAGACTCATTAACTTCCGATGTACGTGACTCAGCAGGCAAGTCATTGTCGTAGGAGCTCTGAACAAGATCTCTTGTAAAGCGTTTCGCAGCTGCCGCAAAGTCTTTGTTGCCAGTGGCCTTCCATACCCACTTTGAGCCAGTCTCTGAACAGATTGAAGTCCACGACCAGGGTTCGTGGTATTCCCAGACTGCGTCTTCAGGAACGGTTTCGCCGTGCTCATTGATGCAGGTACGATCAGAAAAACCTCTATCAAAACCTGAGATTGGTTGAGTTGGGTGTGTCTGGTGTCCGCATTCACTGTCGCCAATTGCGGTTTCCAATTCTATATCGAGCGCTACCGCAGACTCACTGGTTGTAGATACGCGGGCATCGTGAGTCGTCCGCCTCCGACGCAGAGTTGCTGGCGGGTAGATGCATTCTTTTCCCAGTCTCAGGCAGTCTTTACAAGGGGCGTCTCCGTTACCTAATAAAGGTCAGTTTGATTTTGCGGAAACGGCGAGAGTCCAGTAGATCACATCTGACTTTCCTCTGTCGACAATTGCGACATGCGACAGTAACTCTATCCGTTCTCTGTCGAGGTGGTCGGCCAGACATCGTCAGAGGTCTAAGAGGGCCCAAAATATTATGTAGATTTCACGATCAAGGCCTGAAGGAGCCCCCTTTGGCGGCGAAGCAATAGAAGACTGTGAGGAGGGATCATACTGACGGAACAGATCGGATAAAACCATCCGAGATGTACTCGAGTGGTGTTGCAATTCCAATAGGCTACCTTGGTGAGGCAGGGTAGGAAGCGATGTGAGTTAGTTAGAGGCTTCTAGGCTGTGTCATAGGTACCAGATGTCTAAGAGTGCGCCCGGAGTGATTAAGGGCGTAATAGGGGTAAGCCCACTAATCTAGTCGCCGCGTTACCAGCCTAACTACCTAAACGTTAGAGGTAGAGCACCAAAACCCTCTGAGCTTTGAAGATGCCTAAATTCATATTGCATCAGATGCGCTGGCAGGCTTGCATCCAACCATTCACGCGCTCGAGCGTCGACTTTCTCTAGGTGCCTTCAATTTGCTCACCTCATCCGTTGCTACTCATTCCAATCTTTCTTGATGAAGCCGGTTGGGAAGGACGAGGTGATTGTCTCTCAGACCTGCCTGAAGATCACGGCTTTTTGGGCCTTGGGCAGTAGATTGAGCCTCATCAACGCCGGAGGTGAATCAGCATCAAGACGCCATACTCATACAATCTGATCAGCCGGCTGTCGTCGCCTTACACCCTTAACATCCGAAGATACACGAGGTAGTCCTGTAACCGTTGGATACACTATTGCCGCTATCAACGACGACCCCGGGGCCCTTTGCCTTAGCTGCCGCCAATGATGTTCGAACCAAAGTGTTCCTTACAGCAGCTTGTGCGTTGACCCGTTCCTTGCGCTGATGACAGAGCCGGACGGAGCTCTGGCAAGTTCCATGGTGGCTACGACCTCGGAACATACAGGTTCGGAGCAACCACAGGGTCAAGACGACTAGGCCGAGCAGGCCTTTTCATTGCACACACCAGTAAACGACGACAACGGCCTTCATGCTGACATATTAAGTGATCAAACATTGGGTATATAACCACCCCCGAAGTGGCTGTGTTCACTCTTCTTCGGACATCTCTCAGTTACTAGAAAGCCACAGCCTTTCGTTCGTGTGGACCAGTTTCTATCCAAAATGAGTTCTTTTGCCATCAAGAATGTTCGCATCTTCGACGGGGACAATGTGCTAGAAGATGCGGATGTCATCGTGAAAGATGGCATCATCGAGCAGGTCGGGCCTGACCTCAACCCAGGCGACCTGCCCAGCATCTCGACGCCAGGCTACACTTTACTCCCGGGCCTTATTGATGCACACTGCCACCCAGACCGCGAACTCAGGTTGCTAGAGCAGTCGTTCCGATTTGGCATAACCACAATCATGGACATGCATAATGTGCACGAAAATGCGGTGCAATTGAAGAGATGGGCACAAGCGAGAAAGGACGTTCCGGATGTGAAAAGCTGCCATTATGCCGCGACGATAAAGGGCGGCTGGCCAGCATGGGTGGAGATGAAGCTACCTGGTATTGAGGTAAGTACCTTGTAGTCATGATCGGTAGACCAGGCTGGAGGTGCCTGAGAACAAGCTGACTTTAGCCAGCCGGGACGTTTCGACAATTATCCGAATGTTAACAGCGAGGAAGCAGCAGAGGCTTACATCCAGAAAGCTGTAGAAGGCAAGTATGACTACATCAAACTGATGCACGAAGATGGGCGGGCTCTTGGTATTGCCGAGGGTCAAATTGAAAAACCTACAGAGGCGGTGCAAGAAGCCGTCGTTCGCGCAGCACATAAACGAGGTTTGAAGGTTGTTGGGCATGCCTTGTCACTTGAAGACACGCGTGAAATCCTAAGAGCTGGGGTTGACGGACTTGCTCACACGTTCTTCGACGAGCCCATGACGCCCGAGATCATCGAGCTTCACAGGCGCAACAATGTCTGGGTCAATCCAACACTGGCATGTGCAGGTGCTCTGACCGGCGAATCGTTAGACATATTCAAGCAATTCTCTGAAGACGACAGAGTCAAGAACAAATTGTCCACGGGGGACATCGAACTGATGCATCACTGCTTGCATTTGAAGGCCCCTGGCGCGAAGTGGGAATATGCCATTGACAGCGTCCGCCAGCTCAGAGCTGCCGGTACTGACATCATTTGGTAAGATGCCTTTGTACATTCAGTCTGATCCTTTGACTCTTAGCTAATACTTGACCACACAGTGGCTCCGATGCAGCGGCCGGAGCCCCAGGGTCCGTCTTCGGTGCCAATCTACACATCGAGATGTATCTGCTCGTGATGAAAGCAGGGCTGCCTGCACAAGAAGTCCTGAGAGGTGCGACCAGCTTGACGGCCGACCTGTTCGGGTGGAATGACAGAGGCAGGATCGCAGAGGGTCTGAAGGCCGACTTGCTTCTCGTCGAAGGGAACCCCTTGAGCAACATTACAGACACGCTGAACATCAGAGCAATATGGCGAGACGGTGTCAAATTTGAGGGTCACCAGGGCTTCCCTCAACACTAGGTATCTACAGTAGATAGGCAATGCATGTTTTGACACACGGCTCTTATTTGTCCCGTACTTCAAATGCATCTTTCTCCCCACTGATGGTCGACTGCAGATGCCTAGGTCTTCCCTCCCTTGGCTATTCTGCCTGAGTCAACAAAGAGATTGAGCGTGACTTCGGCCTTGTAGAAGTCGGATGCAACACCACATCCGAAGCTTTGTTTGCTTCTCAGCACTAAATCCTAAATATTTGTCTTCGGAATGTTGAGCAAGTCAGGGGGTGGAGTCACATTGCTCGGCCCGAAGCTCAGGGATTTGGGGGACTACTCGTACGGCACGTACAGCTTCGGATGTTAAGCAGTAGCTCGGAAGTAACAAAACCAACATGACTATTTCGCCATTCGGCCTCATGCTGACTATTGCAGATCCGGAGCCCGGGCCCACAATGGGAAGTCAGCTGATACCATTGCTGTCGGTACGGGCTTACAATGGAGAATTTCACGTTCAGGGTACATACATAGACAGAGACGAGGGGCTGAGAGCTATTCGGGAACCATTCGAGCGGTCTAAAAACTTGACAGTTCGAACATGCCCCTTCAATCCCAGGGTCCCCGAACATCTCGGCACACTATACCAGGGGCAGGCAATGTGCCGTTGGCGAAGAAGTTTTTCAGAATCCCTTGTGCGCAGGCACCGGAGTTCCCGGTACCGCAACAATGTCCAGGGACGTCCTGGGTCAGCAGGACGCTTCCTTCGTGCTTTTCAGACATCTTGACGGCGTTGCGGACCGGCGTGACAGGGTCTGCGGTGTTGCCGATGAAGAGCAACGGACTCGCTCGCGGGTCATAGTCGCTGAGATTCGAACCAAAAGGCCCCGTGAACCGATTTCTGGGCGCCGGTCGGACCGACGCAGGCCAGTGCACGCAGTGCATGGTTATCTCCGCCCACAGAGGTCCGACGATACGTGACTGAGACTGCAGTAGCTTGACACGCTCCGTGAACCTTTCTTTAGAAAGCGATGTGATGTCGTCGCCGTCACCACACAATACAGAGACGCTTGCCTCAAGCTGCCACGCGTAGCCCGGCACGTATGGTTCGGACACGGGACCTATCTGGCGTCCAGGGAGCGGGTGAATTGACTGCCAGGGTGTTATGGAGGGCACGAAATCACCGGATGACGCATTATGAAACGTCTCTGCGAAATCGAAAAGAGAAAAGGTTCCCTGTGCATCCCCGTCCATCAGTACACGTAGACTGGCAGCCAACCTTGGCCAGTAGTCGCTCGGAAAGTACAGGGCCAAGTGGATGCTGGCTTTGAGCAGGTGGTAGGTGATCATGGCCAGGTTCCCGTTCAGCAGGACTGGCATTGGGTCGTCGATCAAGCCAAAGAGGAAGGCTTCGACCTTGGTTTGAATGTCGACGTGATGTGTGGCGGTTGCATCGAACAGGGCGCATTTGGGGCCCGCCTCGAAGCAGTATTCAAAGAACTTTGTCCACGTTTGGTTGTTGTCCTGCAAATTGGTCGTCCATCCTGTTGCGGCATAATCATCTGCATCGACGACGCCGTCCAGGACCATTCGGCCGATTCGCTCGGGGAACATGGACGCGAACGTATTCCCAAGGTATGTCCCGTAGCTCAAGCCCCAGTAGTTGAGTAGTGGGACGTGTCGGTCCTCGTCTCGAAGAGGGATCTGGCTGTTTGATGGAGATGTCGCTTTCGAACTCCTGAGCTTCTTTGACAGATGAATGTCGACTTGGTCGATTATCTCCACCATATCACGCACCACGAGAGCAGTGCTGACGAATTGGTGCATGTTGGTGCCGTCGCCAAAGTCACCATTCCGTGCTTCAGAGCACAGTTGGCCAAGTCCTTTGTCGATGTTCCATTTGGCGTTGAACGCCTGATGATCTGACACTATATCCCCAACGTCTAGGGCGAGTGCCTCCACAGCAGTCCGATAAATGTCATATGTAAAACATGCCGTGGAGGGGGTCGAGAACTTCATTCCCCGGGGATCAAATGAGAGAATCTCAAAATGCTTGTGGGAGTCGACCACGCTTTGGAGTGATCTCGCTGAACTCAAGAGAATGTCGACTCCAGATCCGCCGGGGCCACCTGGATTGATTATGATTGTGCCGCCAAATGACTCGTCGGATACATCGACGACGGCCGGGAGGCGTACAATCGCAATGGAGACTCGATTTGGATTGGACCGGTTGGTCCAGTCAAGAGGGACCTCCAACCTGGCGCATTCGAAGCTCCCGTAGCATTGGACGTACTTCAACTCCGTAGAAGGCTGCACAAGTGTCCAGTCGAAGTAGTCATCTGAAGTATCGTGAGGGACGGTTGTGGCTAGGGATGCGACGATATGGGCGCAAAGAGCCACTCTGAGGACAGTGAAACTAAGCAGCATTGTACCAGCCAACCAGACATATGATCCAAATTCTTGACACCTATCCGATGTGAGTTCCGCTGCAAGCTATCGAGGGTGTCTTCAACAAGACGACCTTGGAACGAGGTGGGAATTTTACAAAAGTACCCGGCGAGTATAAGAAGCGAAGTCAAGGCGAACTACGTTTTCACCCGCAAAATCGTGGCCCGTTGAGGAAGTTCAAGGGCTCTAGTAAATAGGTACATCACACATACAAGTAGCGACGCTCCTCTTGAGACAGTGTCTTATATATGCAAGGTAGTACTTGTAGGCAACACAGTAACTCGTGTCTGAAATACGAATACGAGAGTTGGGGCTCCGTAAATGGCGCTGCTTTAATTTTGCATTGCTGGTGGTTAAAGTGGCTGCATGATCGATGACGGAGCGACGCGTTCTTTAGCGCTGGTACTGCCAGTGTAGGGAGTACGAGCACTAGAACATCCCACTGACAGTGAGCTGATACCTGCGAATCGTCTGGACCAAAGAATACACGCTGGCATGACCAGGCGCGAACTTCAAAACGGCACAATGAGGGTGGCATAACGAACATGCTGGCCACCAAGTTGCATCTCATCACCGTGGATAGACAATGTCGTCCTCTCAGCCCTTCCAACCGTCCTCTCCATTAGCAAGCGGCAAGAGAAGGAAGTCTCGCTTTACATACAAGCAACTTCACTTGCTCAGCCAGTCTTCAACTAGCTGCCCATTGAGGGTCATCGCTTTAATCGACTATGACGCCTTTTACGCTCAGTGTGAAATGGTACGGTTAGGTGTCGCTGAGTCTCAACCTCTAGCTGTTCAACAATGGCAGGGTCTGATTGCCATAAACTATCCAGCGCGCGACTATGGGCTGAGCCGACACGTCACCATCACTGAGGCGAAATCAAAGTGTCCAGAGATTGTAGTCCAGCATGTTGCTACCTGGAGAGAAGGCGACACCAAGTGGGCTTATCGAGACGATGCCGCCAGCCATATTCAAACCGACAAGGTATCTCTGGACCCGTATCGGCTCGAATCTAGAAAGTCTCTGGCTCTGGTTAAAGAGATACTACCGCCACCCCCTGTGCAGAAGGTTGAAAAGGCCAGCATCGACGAGGTCTTTCTCGACCTGTCTGCGCAGATCCATCAGATACTTCTCGAAAGATATCCCGAACTCAAGTATGCGCCGTACGATGACCCCACCGAACACCTGCCATTGCCGCCATCGACTGCGTTGGACTGGCAAGCCGATGCTCTTGTAGATCTCGACTCGGCAGAAACTGAAGATGACGATCCAGACTGGGACGATGTTGCCATGAATATTGGGTCGGAGATCGTACGTGGTGTGCGTGCCGCCATCCGCGAGAAGCTCAAATACACTTGCTCAGCCGGCATTGCGCGCAACAAGATGATGGCGAAACTGGGTGCCGGATACCGAAAACCTAATCAGCAGACAATCGTGCGGAATCGGGCAGTGCAACATTTCCTATCGGGCTTCAAGTTTACCAAGATTCGTAACTTGGGTGGGAAACTCGGTGAGCAAGTGGTGGACACGTTCAACACCGACGAGGTCACAGAACTTCTCAAGATCCCCATTGAACAGCTCAAGTCAAAGCTAGGAGAAGAGACAGGCACGTGGCTCTATGGGATCATTCGGGGCGAAGACCATAGCGAAGTCAGCTCTAGAACACAAATCAAGTCGATGTTGTCAGCAAAATCCTTCAGGCCGAGCATCAACACGACGGACCAAGCGAACAAATGGCTGCGTATCTTCGCTGCAGACATATACTCTCGTCTCGTTGAGGAAGGCGTGCTAGAGAACAAGCGGAGACCGAAGACGATAACTTTACACCATCGTCAAGGCGGACAAACGAAATCCAAGCAATTGCCCATTCCCTCGGGCAAGAAGATCGACGAGACCATCTTGTTCGAGCTTGCAAAGACACTACTTGGACAAGTCATCATGGAAGGTCGGGCATGGCCTTGCGCCAACCTCTCGCTCAGCGTCGGAGGTTTCGAAGAAGGCGTGGCGGGAAACAAGGGTATCGACACCTTTCTCCTCAAAGGCGAAGAAGCCAAAGCTGCCATCGATACACCGCCTCGGAGTAATACCACTACACCCAACCTCGAACATTCTCGGCCACAAAAGCGTCGAAGAGTAAATGACGGTCCTAACATTACCCGCTTCTTTGCCAGGGGTGAAAGCACAGAGGAGGCCAACGAATCCGCCGAGGAAGATATGATAGCGCAGGAGCATCAGCTTGAAGAAACCGAAGATAGCAACGAGGTACGGCGCGACGAAGGACCCGATCGACGCCTCGCACCCGCTATGCACGAACGGGACATCGCAACCTACTTCTGTCAACAATGCCAGAAGCCGATCAACGAATCCGACCGTGGCGAGCATGAAGATTGGCATTTTGCTAAACAGCTCCAGGCCCAAGAAGCGCCCATCGTGTCAGAACCAACGAACAGCCGTCCTCCTGGATCTGTGCAGACGAGTAGAACGAAACGAGGAGGGACAGGGTCAAGTAGTCGAGGTCGAGGTTCAAAACCACAAAAGGGTCAAAGTAGACTCGCTTTTGGATAGTCTCACTTTGATCTTTTTTTGCGTACTTTGTACCGTGTCGGGAATGTCTTTATGTTTTGATTCATTTTAATAATAAAACCAGAACCACCCTATAAGCCCTGGTCTTTGTACTCCTTGTTAAACGCTCTCCCAATAACCATCCTCCGAATCTCACTTGTACCCGCGCCTATCTCGTACAGCTTGGCGTCCCTCAGTAACCTTCCGGCGGGGATCTCGTTGACGTAGCCGTTGCCGCCCATCAACTGTATGGCGTCGAGGCCGCATTCGGTGGCGCGTTCGGCGGCGTACAAGATGGCGCCGGCGCAATCCTGGGTCCGCACCTCCCCTTCCTCGTCGACCTTCCGGGCCGTCTCGTACGTGTAGGCCCTGCTGGCCTGCAACTTGGTGTACATGTCGGCCAGCTTCCCCTGGACCAGCTGGTTGTGGGCGATGGGCACGTCGAACTGTTTCCGCTGGTGCGTGTACGGCAGCACGAGGTCCAGGCAGGCCTGCATGATGCCCAGCGGGCCCGCGCTGAGGACGAGTCTCTCGAGGTCGAGGCCCTCCATGAGCACGGTGACGCCCCTGTTGACCTCGCCGAGGACGTTCTCCGGGGGCACAAAGACGTCCTCGAAGACCAGCTCGCCCGTGTTGGAGCCGCGCATGCCGAGCTTGTCCAGCTTCCGCGCGACGCTGAACCCGGCAAAGCCCCTTTCGACGATGAACGCCGTGATGCCCTTGCTCTTCTTCTCGGGCTCGGTCTTGGCGTAGACGACGATGTAGTCGGCGTCGGGCCCGTTGGTGATCCACATCTTGGTCCCGTTCAGCTTGTACCCTCCTCCGTCCACGGGCCGGGCGGTCGTCTTCATGCTCACCACGTCGCTGCCGGCCGAGTGTTCCGACATGGCGAGCGCGCCGACCTTGTCGCCCGAGATCAGGCCAGGGAGGATGCGCTCTTTCTGCTCCTTGCTGCCGTTCAGGCACAGCTGGTTCACGCAAAGCTGCGAGTGCGCCGCGTACGAGAGCCCGATCGACGCCGACGCCCGGCTGAGCTCCTCGAGAATCACGCAGTGTGCCTGGTATCCCATGGCGAGCCCGCCGTACTCTTCGTCGGCCGTCGGGCCCAGGAACCCGGCCTCGCCTAGCTTTTTCCACATCTCGTCGGGGAACTCGTTGACCGAGTCCGTTCGGGCTGCGATCTCTTCGGGGATCTCGCGCCGCGTGAACTCTTGGACGCGTTCGCGGAGTTCGTAGAGGTCTTCCCTAGACGGAGGCGTGAAGCCGCTGGGGTGCTTTGATTTCGACGTCGACGCTGATCTGACGGCGGTGTGAGGGCAGAGAAGTCGAGGGGCATGGCGCGCGAGGTGTGTCGCCGGGCGGGCTATTCGAGGGAGGAGGGAGGATACCATTTTCGAGATGGTATATAAGGAATGGTCTATCAGAGAGAGATGACAAGTGCACACCTGGTGCGAATGGCATAAAAGCAAGAGAATGAATCTCTCTGTGCTCGTGGAGTTGTCGCACTCCCGCACTGCCTCGTGCCCTCCGCAAAGTCGATGTCAAATGCCGCTTGTAGCCGCAGCGGGCCGCGGTGCCAAACCAGGTGTTTACCGAGGATGCATTGATGATGTGCCCCAACTGTGGGATTAATACTTCGTAGAAGACACAACGTTGCTCAAAGGTGTTTGATAGTGTATTTTTTTAAGTGAATTATCAAGAGGCTCTTCTCGGCTGCCAGAGATAGTCTGGATACTATTATATACAGACTGCATGTGTCTACCGAGAAAGAAACGACACCCCTATCAACGATGAAATCAAATGCCACAACAGGCCTATTTTGGATGACTCCCAGGAACTTCATGATTGCACAAATCAGCCTGGGGGTTATCTCTTTGAAGTAGTGGTCACCTTAACCTGCCACCACCTGTTGCCAGAAGAGACCACATCCCGGCGTCTTCCTCTACGGTTCTATGGCGGACATTTTGGCGACAAGCCAACCCAGACGGTTCGAGCACCTCCAAGTATTCTTCCAAGAGCCTTTGTGATATTAGCTTTCAGGTTCAACGGTCTTCGTTTAACCAAGGTTTGTATGTTGTCGTGATACTCCCTTGGGCTCAATTTGGGATACAGAAGAACTGTGTAAAGAATGACCAGGTCTTGTGGATTGCGAATATCACGTTTGCAATCACACAAAGTTGTAGGTCGCAGAATCTGTAACGCAACAGCAGCGATGACTATGCAGTAGAAACGGAAGAGTCGAGCGAGATAGAAGCCTAGTAATTCAGAGGTCAGTACAGATAGCATTGATGTGTGAAGTCTGCATCCGCTCCTTGTAACTCAACAAGCACAAACTTTTCGACTTCATTTCCAGACATCTCTCTGATACAAATGGAGTACACAAAGCACACCGAAAGACATCCAAAGAGAGTTGCAACTGGGATAATCGTGTTGATCGAGCCTCAACGTTACTCGTAGAGCCGTAGTCGATCTCCCGGTCCAGTGACATTAGGGCGAAATATTGTTCCGATCCGAGAGACAATACGACTGCCCCGACGAAAAAATTCCAATCTCCATCTGGGCCTGGACGGAAATCGACCATCTCAACGCAAATGCCATCGAAATCGAAGTGGACGACGCAATCTCTGATCTGATGGCAACTGTCGGTCTGTTCACGCTACACAGTCCATTCTCCACAGAGAGAAATCCCTCGCCATGGGGTCTGTCCCACTGACGCCAACATACATACAGTACATCCGCATTAATTTTGGTGGACATGGAGTTTTCTGAAGCCTGCAGTCGAAGTCCTCCACAGACACTGCTGACCGTTATCCCATGCATTCGATCCTGACCTTGCCCAATGGACAACAACGTCATGGCGTCACATTGCATCTCGAGAATGCCATCTTTTAGGAGGCCCCAGCAAGGTACTGAAGCTAGAAAGCATGTGCTCTTTTATCTGCAGCCACCCGGCGAAAAACTCGCGCTACTGAGAAGCTAGCACAGACATCGAGGTACCATGTACCTATCGTAGCCTCTCAACACCTTTGCCACCTCTGTATGTGCCGTTTGCTAGGCCACTCTTTGGATCCACCTTCACCGGCAATCGCTGTTCTTCGTCTCGCCTCTTGGACTGCGATGGCGTCGTTATGCATATGTTTCACGGCTTTGTCCAATCAGTCTAATGCTGTACTCTTGTCTAGATGTCAAGAAGGGGCAGCAGAGCCTGACACGGGATCTTACAACTGGTAGGTCTTCTCTCGACCTTGATTCTGGTCAGAGCGGCAACGCTCGAGCACCCACCAAATTTCAACTCCAATCTAATGCAAGTTGCTGCGCCTCCTACGTATATATCTATCTGGGCCATCATTACTATTTCGCCAGATGTATATACATCCTACGAAACCTCCCGATCGCGCCATTGTACAGTCACGATTTACAAATAGACCTTTCCCAGAACACGCTATTCTACCACAATAGACTTCATCATGGCACCAGTCGCTATTACTCCTCCTCCTGTGGAGGTGAAGGCTCGCCCTGGTCTTCAGCGCGCCAACACTGCTAATATGGGCACCAAGAGAAAGATTATCTGCTTCTCAGGTAAGTTTCAATCAAGTGACAGACGGGGACTGTTTTTTAATTGGAGTTGCAGACTTCGACGGAACGATTTTCATGCAAGACACTGGTCACACGTTGTTTGACAATTTCGGCTGTGGCCCAGAACGACGAGAAGTCCTTGCTCGTCAGATGGAATCTGGAGAGCGAACTTTCCGGGAAGTCTCAGATGAACTGTACGCCTCTCTGGACGTCCCCTTCGAGGACGGTTTCGAGGTCATGAAGACGGCTCTGGACATCGACCCCGACTTCCAAACCTTTCACGAGTTTTGCGTCAACAACAGCATTCCCTTCAACGTTATCTCGGCCGGACTGAAACCTGTTCTGCGCAAGGTTCTCGATCATTTCATCGGAGAAGACATGAGCAAGCACATCGATATTGTGGCCAACGACGCAAAGATTGCCGAAGACGGTAGCAAATGGGAAGCTGTCTGGAGACACGACAACGACCTCGGCCACGATAAGGCCCAGTCAATCAACGAATACAGAGAGATGGCCGCGATGCAAAGCGACAACGGCACGATACCGTTGATTGTGTTTATCGGAGACGGTGTTTCCGATCTTCCAGCGGCACGAGAAGCCGACGTACTCTTTGCTCGTCGTGGTCTCAAGCTGGAGGAGTACTGCGTCGAGCACAACCTGCCTTACATCCCCTTCGACACGTTTGCCGACATCCAGAGGGAAGTCATCAAGATTGCCAAGATCGATGATGAGAAGACACACGGAAGAGGCCTGCCGGCGACATTTAACCCTCGTGCCAACATGTGGAGACGGGCCAGCAGCAAGGCATCGGTCCCTCTTTTCGCGGCGCTCAGCCCGTCCAAGGAGGAAAAGGCTTTCATGTGGCCCGAGACTTTTACCAGCAAACCAACGACTGTGTCTGATGCGGATGCTGCGAAGGCTGCTGTTGCCGCGCCAGTTGCTTGATTGGGTGGTCTCTCCGTTCAAGCAGTTTTGCCTCTTCCCAGCGGCACACTGTGTTCGATTTTTGATACGACTCGAAACCAATACAATAGCGAAAGGCGTTCAGGAAGCAGCATTGGAGGGTCGTTTTATTATGATTACATCTACAACGTGACAGCGAAAGATCCCTGATAGAAGCAGCTACCTAGATAGAGAGAGTGATACCACTTTTGCCTAGAAATCGGAGCCAGAGATCGGAATACATCAAATGTCAGTCTTTTGAAGTTACAATAGTCACTTACCTTCACATCGCCCAACTCGGGAAATTCACGATTTTTCCCGCATAAAAATACACCATCTGAATTGTAAGTGAATACCATCTATCTACAGTGGTTTTCTAGATTCTCCATATGATTGATTAGCACAACTTACTACGCTTGGAGAAAGCATCCGAGACGAGTAGAGTGATTGGGAACCAAAAAAGCCAAGTCCAGTGTGCAAGTCCGAGAAGACACCCACGAATACCTAGTAGTTGGCCCTCAGGTGGGCAAGGAGATCTATCTGTCTGTCTGTCTGTTTGTCTGCCTTTCTGTCCGTCTGCATGCCGCAACGATCTCTCCAACCTCCGTTGACGGTCCCGGCGTCGTTCGTGGCCAAGAAATCTCAGATTCTATCACTTCTCACACGGCCCGGGGACGACTACAGCGACAAGTCGCCCAAGGGGACAGTCGACCATCAGATCCGAGGACTCATAGATGAGATCAACGCCTACGACGGCCTCGTGACGACGAGCAGTTGTGCAGGTCGCGTGGCCGTGTTTGTCGAGGGGCCGAAAGCGACGGTGACGGAGGAACCCGGAGAGGAAGTGGAAGATGGCCTTGGAACGGGGAAAGATTCGAAGCAGACGACACCAGGACCCGGAGACTCTGCGACTGCGACGACAACGACAACGACAACAACAACGACATCGGCATCACCCGGAGGCAAAGGTGGTGGGAGTTGGCTATATGTCTCGCATGATCCTATCGGACCGTTAGGCCAAGTCCGTGAAAGTGATGATCACAGCGGCCACGCGAGCGAAGAACCTTCATCATCGAATTCTCCGCCGCGAGGAGATTTCACGACTCTGTTCAATTTGACGTCGATGTCCACATCCAACACGCATTCCACGCCACTACCACTACCACTCAACAACGACGACGACCACACGAGGCCGACGTTAAGATCGAAGTCGAAATCGAAAAGTCCCAGACTCATCCATCTCACGTTCTCGCCTCTGATATTACACATCCACTGCGCCACTCTGCGGCACGCACGCCCCGTCGTGGCCGCCGCCATCAACTCTGGGTTTCGCGAGAGTGGCGTACAGAGTCTCCGGGTCCTGGACGATCCCGAACACGGCGTGATGGTCGCGGTGCGTACGGCCGGGTTGGCATTTGAGACTGTTGTTGGTGTTGTCGTTTCTCCCCCTGACGCCGCAAGAAGCGACGAGGACGAGAACGAGAACGCGAACGCGAACGAGAACGCACCCGGTGGACCAACCGGTGAAAACGCCACATCGAATCAACCGTCAACGTCGACGTCGACGATGACTATGATGCAAAGTATCGTCAGCGAAGACTACCTTGCCATGTGCGCGGGGATGGTCAACGAGCGGTTCAGATGGAACGAAGAGCGAAGAGAGAGATTTCGAACCGAATTGAAGCGAGCAATGGCGAAGGAGGGGTTCGAATGCGGATCAGGATCCGGATCGACACCTGCGTCGTCAGGGGAGCCCAGGGCGTGGGAAGACAAAGAGGCGCGACGCAGGAGGAAGAGAGAGGAAGGGCTAGAGAGATCGAGACGGAAGAGGGAGCTGCCACGAGTAGAGAAAGAAACCTGGAGACCCGAATCACCGATACTCTAAGAGTGTCGCCAGGTGATTGATGATGATCGAGACGGTGCGTGACGACAATAAATATATCCTCAACATTGCGATGATGGAAGGGCCTTGGTCGGACCCGGAGAGGTCAACAATGTTCATACAAGTCGTTTGAGGCACCTAAAGACCAAAGACCAAAGGCCAGGGAAGACAGTGATGATAGAAGATACTTTTCCGCTGGCTCTGTTCTGTTTTTTGCGGTTTTTCTTTCTCTCTAATGCCTTGGAACTGGGTCGGAGAGTATCGCACATGGCGGATCGCGTTACCGTGTGGACAGCTCAGCCAACTCTCCAGGCCCTAAGCTACTACAAAGCTACAAAGCTACATTTATTACAGCCGCAAAGCACAGGGCAAAGGCAACAAAAGCCACCCCAAGTGTTAAAACGGACCAAAACTACACTTTCCTCCCCCTCGCCATGAACGGCTCCCTCTTCGACGACCCCCTCACCGTGACGTGGTCGCCCATTCTCACCAGTGCGAACTCGTCCAACCCGGCCTCTGCGAACACGGCGCGCAGCTCCCCCTCGCTGAAGCCATGGTGGCTGATGGTGTTGACCGACTCCTTGAGTTCGGGAGATTCCTCGGCCTCCATGGCGTGCGTGACAAAGTCGACAATCATGAACACGCCGCCTGGCTTCAGTCTCTCGACCAGCCGCCGCGTCGCCAGTCGAATGTCCGCGAAGTGGTGGAACCCCAACCCCACGACCGCGAGGTCAAAGTCGTAAAATTGTGGACCGGCGAGCGCGGCGGCACTGTCTTCGCCACCGGTGGTGGTGGTGGTCGTGGTCGTGGTTAACAAGTTCCCCACGACGGCGTGGGCGTTGATACGTTCATCCTCTTGGCTGGTGGTCGTCGTAGGAGCGTCGCTTTCGGGATCGGTAGTATCCGCGAATCTTGAATTGTAAGCCTGCACCATGTTCTCGGACAGGTCGACGCCGACAAACTCGCTGGCTCGACCGGCCAGGATGGCCGTCATGGTCCCCGGGCCACAGGCGTAGTCCAGCACGCGGACACTCCGAGGTTGGGTCGTGGACGGTGATGATGATGACGATGGCGATGGCTTTTCGAACGTCGACGAAGGGTCGAGGAAGTCGACGCCGATGAACGAAATATTTGACTGCACGAACGCGGTGACTTTGTTGACCAGTTCCCGTTGCCATTCTTGAGATGTATATGATGTGGCGACTTTGCTGTTTTCGAAGAAAAGGCGAAATTAGTATCTAGATAGGGGGAAGGGAAGAAGGAGAGAATGAGAATTGATGTGGCCCAAAAACCTACTTCCAATGTTGTCTGTTGACTTCGGTAAAGGCCGCGGCGTCTTCTGTGCCGTGACGGCCACGGTCATGGTGATGATCGTGGTCGTGGTCGTGGTGATGGTGTTGGTGATGATGATCTGCCATTGTGTGTGCCTGTACAGGGTATGACGAGGATAGTATGTCTCTCTGTGTATGCGAACAAAGTGATGGCTCGTGTGATGCTCCCGAGGGCGAGCACTCAAGTAGTCGGACGTATGCTGTCGCTGCTGTCGCTGTCGTAGCCAAAGAAATCACAGACGTGGAAGAAGTGATGGAAGAGATGAGCTATAACCTACAGTCTTCCTCGAGTCTGGACTGATGTCTACCCTTTTATATCCACAGCCCAGGCACAAGGTGTGTTGGGTCAAGTTGAGCAATCAAAGGAGTTGTTCGCTCCAATACTAACTAGTCAGATCACGATATGTCTCCGCAATGGTCGGAGACTTTTCAAAGTTGCCGGAGCCTCACCTTACCAAAGGCTACATACTGCCTCCCTAGTACATGGTAAGGCTACTCCCTCCCTACCCTGTACTCATCAGTTGAAGCCTCGCGTTCTCTGCACCTCACCAAAAGTCCCCGACATTCTACTCTGCTTGTTGCCTGGCTCCCTCCTATACGATGTGACTCACGGTCCTCGTGTCTACGTACTCAAGGACTCAGCCCTCAGTAAGCAATGATCCAAGCTCCACAGACAGACCTTTCATGGCCATCTCAGAATTATTGAATATTCTAACAGTTCTCAATTGTCCCTAGGTACTCAATAGATAGTCTCTACCTATAGGGAAATCACGGGCCGTGCAAATTCTTGCTGTTGAAGTGACCCGTATATCCCCTATCACGTACCTATCATACAAAGACAATCACTCACATACATCGTCATCATCATCTCAATCACCCATGATGGTAAAACTCTCCTGCCTGGTATCAGAGCTAGCCCGTGTTGAAAAGATAATAACGCCGATGTTAAATCGACTGTCGCCAGCTCCTATGCTATCAGTGGTATCATGTTGAAAAACACTTTTTGTCGCTTCGTCAAAGTCATCCATCCATCCACCCACCCATTTTCCTTTCCACCCTGATGATTTTGCTTCTCTCATCAGAAAAATAAAAACGCCATAGAACTCAGATCAGGTTGATTGATCGAGCCAATCTCCATAAAACGCAATATCTAACGCCGGATAGAACAGAGTGGGCTGTAGGGACCTCACTTCTTTTACTTCGCGTACTTGGCACGGAAAGTCTTGGCCGCGTTGACCATGTTGATCAGGGCGGCTTTGGTTTCAGTCCATTGACGGGTCTTGAGGCCACAGTCGGGGTCGATCCACAGCTGTTCAGGCTTCAAGTATTGCAACATTTCAGCAATACGGTCCTCGATTTCCTTCTGGGAGGGGACGCGAGGAGAGTGGATGTCATAGACACCCGGGCCAATATGACGAGGATAAGCTTCGTCAACAAAGACCTTGAGCAGCTTGGCATCAGACTTGCTGTTCTCGATGGAGAGCACATCGGCATCGAGGGCTGCAATGGCATAGAAGAAGTCCTGGAACTCCGAGTAGCAGAAATGGCTGTGGATTTGTGTGCCGTCTTCGACACCCGCAGTTGAGAGGCGGAAAGAATCCACGGCCCATTTCAGGTAGTCCGTACGCTCCTTGCCAGTGCGCAGGGGTAGACCTTCACGCAGAGCAGGCTCGTCGACTTGGATGACGTAGACGCCGGCTTTCTCAAGGTCAACAACTTCGTCACGGAGGGCCAGAGCTAGTTGTTGAGCCTGAACGGACTGGTGGACATCATCACGTGGGAATGACCATCGCAAGCAAGTAATCGGACCTGTGAGCATGCCCTTCATGGGCTTCTTGGAGATCGAAGCTGCGTACTTCGACTCCTTGACAGTCATAGGAGCAGGTCGAGAGATGTCTCCGACGACAATGGGTGGACGGACACAGCGAGAACCATATGATTGGACCCAGCCGTTGGTGGTGAAGGCGTAACCCTTCAGTCTCTCACCAAAATATTGAACCATGTCATTTCGTTCTGGCTCGCCATGCACGTAGACATCAAGATCGAGCTCATCCTGGATCTTGACACAGGTCTCGATCTCCTGCTCAATGAATTTCTCATATTGTTCGGCAGTGATCTCATTTTTGGTGAACTTGTTACGTTGAATACGGATTTCCTTGGTTTGGGGGAAAGATCCGATAGTGGTGGTGGGGAATAGAGGCAAGTTGAGGCGCTGCTGTTGTTGGGAGATACGGACAGGGAAGGGAGACTGACGATTGTGCATCTGCTCGGTGACCTTGCTTTGTCGGTCCTTGACGGCGGGGTCGTTGGTGATGCTCGAAGAAGCACGGGACTGCATCGACTTGGCGTTGGCCTCGAGAGCTTCTCTGACTGAAGCGGGGCCATCAGTCACAGCCTTTGCAATGACGGCAATCTCCTTGGCCTTCTCGCAGGCAAAGCTGAACCAATCGGCAATCTCAGGATCCAGCTTCTTCTCGCTGGCGAGAGTGTGAGGGGTGTGCAAGAGGGAGCTGGAGCTGGCAACGATGACTCGGTCCTTGCCAAGTTTCTGAATGGCGGCCTCGACGATCTCAATGGCATTCTTGAAGTTGGTCTTCCAAATGTTACGACCATTGACCACACCAGCCGACAGGATCTGTTGAGGACCCAACGCGGCAATGACGGTTTCCAGTTGCTCAGGGTTGCGAACGAGGTCAACGTGAATAGCGTAGAGGCTCTTCAACGACTCAAGAACATCGATGTTGTGGACAATGTCACCAAAGTAGGTAGCAAGGACAATTTTGCTGCCGAGACCTCCAAGCTTCTCGTACGCAGGCTTGAAAGCTTCCTTCACAGCGGTAGGCAGATCGAAGACCAAAATAGGTTCGTCGATCTGGACAGTCTCCGCACCGGCGTCCTTCAATTGCTTGAGCAGATCCACATAGAGGGGCAGGAGCTTGTCGAGAGCAGAGATGGGGTTGATAGATTGACCACGGTCTGCCTTTCCGAGGTACAAGAAGGAGACAGGTCCGAGAAGGACGGGTCTGGTGGTGATACCAGCCTCCTTGGCTTCAAGGAATTCCGTAACCGGCTTGGGTTTGGAGGAAAGTTTGAAGACCTGGTTGTCTTGGAGGGTAGGCTTGACATAGTGGTAATTTGAGTCGAACCATTTGACCATTTCCTAAGTGCGTTAATAAACGGTATTGCGTGTTAACGGAGGATATCCAACTAACCAAGGCCGGCACATCAACAGCTGGAGCACTGTCGGTGGCGGGTCTTTGCAGACCACGACCCATGGCGAAGTACTCATCAATGGGAGCGAGGTTGTACTTGGAGTAGCGTTCGGGGATGACACCAAACAACTGGATGTGGTCCAAAACCTGATCATAGAAAGCAAAGTCGTTGCTAGGAATGATGTCGATTCCGGCATCTTTCTGAATTTTCCAATGCTCCAATCTGAGTCTCTTGCCCTCGGCCAACAGGTCATCTTGAGAGATTTTGCCGCCCCAGTATGCTTCGGTGGCTTTCTTGAGGTCTCGATTGGCACCCATGCGAGGGAAACCAAGGATGGAGCTGTAAGGCGGGTTAGCAAGCCTTTCACAAAGGACACGGGGTTGTTGGACATACGATTGAACCATCCTGACGGTAATGCGTGAAAACTTGAGGCGGGGTAGTAGTAAAATGATTCACAATCCTCTCAGACCTCGATTGAAACTCTGTGAGCAGGATATCGATGTACTGGGGAGAGGAAATGAAGAAAATGGGAAGAGGAAAGCGGTGAGACAGTCAGAATATCAGAGATGGAAATTTTATCATGCAGTCCGTGTATTATTATTTTAGTGAGCGTTGACGTGACAAGGGCCCGATCCTGGTGGGATGTTTCTCTGCACTCAGTTAGACTCATCTCGGACCTCGCACACCTCGGAAAGATTGGACACTCCAGTAGGCGCACTCGGCGTTTCTGAGGGGTTGAGAGCCTGGGAGGGGCACCTAACGATGCGTGGCGATGCCTAAACGCGTCTAGCAAAGCCTAATCATCCCTAGCTCGTGGTGCTTAAGACTCCAATACCGGCGACATCAGCCACTCAAAGTCACCTCTCCGAGGAGCTTTGATTATCACGCCATATTGGTGAGAATTACTACCTACGATTCTAGACCCTCGTACTGTGCAATACTCACGTATGTTCGTTGCAATGATAGATACGTACAGTACTGCATGTTGTCATGGAGGGCTCTTGATAGGAGGAGCCCCTCTCTCCCTTCGCATGCTTAATCTTTTGGGGCTAATCAACGAACCCTAGAGACGACAACATCCATGGGCTATGAGGACTTTTGCAATGTGAGGTACTGTAGAATGTCGGGGAAAAAGTCCTACAACACCCCAGGGATGGCGGCAGCTCTTCCAGCAACAGCCCTTTTCCCAAACTTCTCCATGTACCAATTGCGCTGGGTCACTGCTCGTGGAAGCATTGTGGCCACCTCGACAACAACGAACCACAAGGCTGGACTTTGCCATCCCCAGCCGAGTCCCCAAGTTCCTCCGAGGATGTAGTATCCTGTCCACTCAATCCACTCCCAGACGTAGTGTGGACAAAGGATGTTTCTAAAGTATCCCTGTGGCGGCGGGATCACATACACCTTGTCGTAGCTGACCTCAATCTTGCCTTCTGATCTTGCTTTGCGTTTTGCTGCATCTCGCCGCATGTTGTGCAGTATTGCCTCGGCGCTCATATTCCTCCATAATCCCTCCGAGAAGAATGCGAGTCCAATAATGGTGCCGAGAACAGAGCCATAAGAAAACAGTTGGCGATCATACCCCTGTACTTCATCCCTCAGAGCAGAATATACTAGACCACAGGCAATGTTGCTCGAGTTGACGTACTGGTGAAGGCCCATGATGATGACGATTATAGGATGAATGGGCGACATGCTTGCCGCAACGAACAATGGGGTATAGAATGCTCGATTCACATAGTGGACGAGGTACAAGCACGCTAGGATTTCATACTGTGCCGGAAGTCCTGTGCCCATAAAACTGGTTGATGCATCTGGGGTAGGCTTCAGTTTGCCTGGAAGTGTGTAGAGAATGTAGAGAAGATTGAGCGGCCCAGCGCTTTCAGCGATTGTCCATGCAAGTCGACCATGTATGTTGAAGCGCGAGTTTGACGACGTCTTGCCCATCGCTTGGAAACTGCTCAAAGGCGTCCATTGTAAGATTGACAACTGTGAGTAGGCCTGATCAGCAATAGCTCGCCTCTTCAACGTGTTTTCCGTCCCAAGCCCATAGTGCCTTAAGCAAAAGCCCTGCAGGCTAGGTGGGAGGAAAGAATTGCCAATTCTCAGCACTTACGATCGGCCAGAGTCTATAGAAATTCATCAAAAAGTTCGAAACTCGGGGTGTGGGCGGGAAAAATTCCCCTCGCGGAGGGATGCCTGATATCCAAGATGACATGGCGGCCGATCAATGAACAACGCCGATAGGGGAAGCTAATAACATATAAGTAATCCAAGTGTCATGGGTATTGATCTCGCTGCTAGAGAAGAGGTTCCAATGTAGGCCGTGGTGTGTTCGGGATCACTATGAATCGTGATGTCAGTAAGATTGAATTCCATCGGTTTCTGTCAACTCTTGTCGGGAACACTGACTACAGGTAATAGGTAGCCACTCCTTGTGTTTCACCAAAGTGACCAGCCCTTCGATATCACTGCGTTCTACGACAGAGCATGAACTACAAGATACTGCAAGACAATCTACTGCAGGGATGGTAATCACGGCCATGCGCGGCAAACTTGACACAATTCCGCGAAGGGTCTTGACAGTAGCTCTAGAATTGATTATGGAAGATTCTTCGCATTGTATCACTATCAAACAGGTCATCCCCCCAATCTCGAATTAGACGTTTACCCAGATGCCTCAACTATTATGGAGATATCTTAACCCGGAGGTAGTGTGCTAGCATCAACAACCTCATCAGCTTCCCGCTGCAGATCCTCGTTCGGTCCGTACAAAGGTGAGCGGGGGAGCGCCATGAGACCGGTTCGTGTTGATTCGAGTATGCCAAATGGAGCAATCAGTTTCATGAAGGAATCGATTCTGCTCGGCTTTGCGGACCTGGACACTGTTAGGGCTCGGCCAGCTGTCGTTACAAATCTTGGAACTTACACTTCGACAACGCAGTTGTTCGTGCTAATGTCAAGCACCTTTCCACCGAATTGATGCGTCAAGTGAGTGATGGCTTCAAGGTGCTCATGCTTGTGACGAAGGGCCTGGCTTGCAGCAAGGCGGTTGGGATGGTAGCTGGCGCCTTGACCGAGCATTTCCTTTGCTCGCTGCACAAGGCTCGCTTCGTCTTGCTTGTTTCCTTCCAATTCCTGCAACCTCCTCTCTGCGTTTTCCTCATGGGTGTCGTGGCTTTCCTCGTTAGGCTCATCGTATTCCTGGGTGGTCATCTCACGATGATGCTCCATCAGCTCCTCATAAACTTCAGGGCCCAGGATGGACACCTTTGCCAGAAGCAACTCGCGTTGGACCAATGCGGCAGAGGTATAATCCAGCACTGCCCAAACGGGCACCAAGTCCTCCAGCTGACGTCGAGCTTGTTCCACGACGCCATCTTGGCCTTGCAATACAATAGTCATTCGACTAAGGTCCTCCACTTCCGTGTTGCACACCACTAGCGAATCAATGTTGAAACCTCTGGCCGCTAAGATTCCTGACACACGAGATAGCACACCCGGCTCGTTCTGAACCAGGCAGTTAAGAATGTGTTTCTTCGGTGGAGCTTGAGAGGCTACCGGGGTTTCGTAGAGAATGGAGGAGACTGCTGCGGCGGCACCATACTGAGGCGAGGTGTCGGTCACGGGAAGAGGAAGGGGAGATCTTCGGTGCAGAGCCTTGTAGGCCAGCGCAGAGGTGGAATTTGTGCTTTTTGATCTTGTTGACGCGGGTGCGAGAGAGTCGAGGAATGAAGGTCCGTTCTGTGCCCGATATTTTCGCAGCGCATTCCTACCTGCAAAGGACAGGAGATTGCGCGTGCCTGCCATGATGGCGGCTCGTAGGGGATTCAAGCTCGGTGAAGAGGATCAATTCATCAAGAGACTATGGCCTTTTCACAATAGCATTGTGAGTCACAGATAGGAGGAGGTCGGCGTCGAAGGGCAAAATTTTGGGATTGGATGTTCGGCAAGCGAGCGAAGTCGGTGGAGGAGGAGGAGGAGCCAAGCTGTACGAGTCAAAATACAGTGGGTGGGCGAACGAGGTGGCCAGGGGATCCAGGCTCAATGGGCAAGTACCACGGACATGCCTTAGGTACCTGTTCACACCTACTAAGAGCCTAACAGGTACCTATAGGCTGTCGCTGTCTGGTGCCTCTAAGTTAGTCTCTGGCTACTGCAGCACTTCCCCGGACGCCGGCAGAAGAAAAAACGTGACCTCGGAGTTCTGGGTTCCTCCCCAGCTCCGGCACCGCGAGACCACAGTTTGACCCAGCCAACTCGTACTAATCCCTCTCTGTACATAAAAGTCTTGCTGAGCTGAGCTGGGTTACTGGCTGTTCAAGGACCGCTTCCCTCCAGCTATCCAGATCCTCAGGCAATTCCGTTGCGAGGACTAGGACTCAACAAGCTCAGCCCGGACAGATTCTCCGTCGCCTGGAGCAGAGGAGTAGTCTGTCTCGACGTCGTTGCCCGGTGCAGTACAGCATGGTCAATGGTCATTAACGCTACATGCAGTTCCTGGCCGGTGTCTTGGCTCGGACATTTCCACCCTGTAAGTGAGAAACCACTGCGCTCGGAACGAGAACACCCATGACCACATGGTCCAGAGGAAGGCCTTTGTCATTGTGAACATTTGAAGGCCAGACATCTACGTATAGCAGGCAATCAACAGAATCATGTCTTTCGATTTCAGAGGCAAGGTGATTGTAATCACAGGAGCTGCTAGTGGTATCGGGTCAGCCATTACTTGCAATGACAGATGGATTCGAACTCCTGCTGAATGTTGACTACAGCCTCGCCGTGGCAAAACGCCTTCACACTGATAAGGCCCAACTCGCCCTGTGTGATCTAAACACCGCCGGCCTGGACCAGCTTGCTGAGGAGCTACAGTCGCCTCATCACAAAATCTTCCACCTGGATGTGACATCAACCCGGCAATGCCAGGACACAATTTCCAACATTGTCAGTGACTTGGGCAAGATAGACTGTCTCTTCAATTGTGCTGGTATAAACCCGACAACTCTACCACTGCAGGCGACGACAGATGAGTATTGGGACAAGATCGTGGACACAAGCCTAAAAGGAACGTACCTCATGACCAGAAGCAGCATTCCGCATTTGACTGAAGGTTCTGTCATTGTCAATGTGTCCTCGGTGGCAGGACTAAAGGCAAGTGCTGGCCATGCCATATACAACGCCGCAAAATTTGGCGTGATCGGCTTCTCACAATCCATGGCACTGGAACTAGGTCCCCGGGGGATTAGAGTCAACGTTGTCGCTCCAGGATCGATAAGGACTCCGACAAACAATTCTGTTCGTCAGGGCAAGGAGGTGATAGAAAAGACTGAGCAGGGTGTCGCGCTCGGAAGGATGGGAACCGCGGAAGAGGTGGCCAACGTAGTAGCATTTTTGTTCTCTGAGCAAAGTAGCTACGTTAACGGCAGCGTCATCGAGATATCTGGAGGTCTCTAGCGCGAGACAGATGAATCGCACAGATTAAATCACTGTTTCATGCGGAATTACGAAACCCTTGGGTATGTTTCGATTCAACTTCACATGGCCATTTCTGTGAGCCCCTAAGATTGGAATATTGTCCCATCACACCTCGACGACAGCCCGATATCTCATCTTTCCTTCGTCGAGTTTCTTCATGGCCGCCGTGATGCCCTCTTTTGTCATGGGAAACTTCTCCAAGACCGGCCTGACGTTATGTTTGGCAGCGAAAGTCAACATGGCTCTCATTGACTGAGGATGCGCGCCGCCCGACCCAACAATAGTGTACCCATACACCAGCAGAGGGAGGATCGGCACAGGCCAAGGATCGAAGGCCACGGTAAGGGGAAACACCTTTGCAAACGGTGCCAGCACGGGGAGATACCTGTTGCCGCACCGAGACATCAGCCGTGAGTAAGTGCTCGCCAGGTAGAGATAGATGGTGGCGGGGGAGAACAGATTTCAACTCACAATGACAGATCTGGAAGGACGCTCGTCGTGACCAGGAAGAAATCGACAGGCTCGACGCCCTCGAACTTTGTCACGCCCTTGGTGGCATAGAACTCGGTGGCTCCAAGCTTGAGAGCCTCTTCCTTCTTCGACTCGGTGCCCGAGAACACCACGGTGTCCAAACCCATCTTGCTGGCGAACTGAATGGCCAGATGGCCCAGTCCTCCGACACCCAGGATGCCGACGCGGTCTCCGGGCTTGACGCCGTGCTCATACAAAGGGGCCCAGACCGTCGCTCCTCCGCACATCAGCGGTCCAGCCGAGGCCGAATCGATCTCGTCGGGGATCTTGAACAGAGACGAGACGTCCCAGGCGATGCCGGTGCTGAAGCAGCCCTGGTCCAAGTTCTGCATCCCAAATTGCTCCGAGTTGAGGCACTTGGAGTGGCGGCCGGTCAAGCATGACGTGCAGTGTAGACACACCTTCTGGATCCAGCCCATCCCTACGCGGTCACCGACTTTCAGATCTGAGATCTCTGGGACCAGGGACCCAATCTCCCTGATGATGCCGACGCCTTCATGGCCCAGGCCCTGGTCCTGATGTCGGTAGTGTTCGTCTGTGCCACACACGCCGCTGTGCGTGATCTGGATCAAGGCCTGTCTCGGCCCGACTTCTCGGTGGCCCTTCGCCTCGACGATGTCTCCGGACTCGGATCCCTTGAAGACTGTAAAGTCGATGCCCATCGTTGCTGTTGTCGTTGATGAACTGGCTAGCTTTTCAAAATCGGGATTGGGGATTGAAGGATGTGAAGGTGACGAATGTTTCGGGCTGGAAGGCAGCACACTCTATCAACGACAAAGGGGTCTTCCTTGGAAGAGGTACTTCAGTCTTCAAAAGCTGGCCGAGAACGGACTGCTTTGTGTCTTTATATAGCCAGCAAAAAAGGATAGGTAGATATGTAATCTACCTCATACTGCCTCCGAACTCTCGCTCTCTAATAATTCCCGTGTCACACTGTATCCGTGCTCGTGTACCCGGCCCCCCCCCCCCCCCCTTCTCCACCAAGATTGTTAATCAAGGTACATGCGAGTGGTCCACGCAGAAACTCACCGGGCAGATGTGATGACGGGTGGACATACATCGCTACACTTCCTACCTATTCAAGTAACTAGGGTGTCCCTCCGTACGGACAGCTTACGTACGGAGTACGGACGTCTGCGCCAAAGCTGGTCCATGCTTGATTGGCTGCTTGCACTGCGGCCAATTACTTGAAATGGAAAAAGGAGGCATGGGCTGAAAGAATCCATAGCCGTAAAGGCTCCCGACTGGCTGGCTCCCTTTTCAATAACGCGTCCACCGTGACTAATCCATCCGTCCAAGAATCCCCCATACATTGCTCCAAGGAGGAGCTGCGCAGGTTCAAACGCGTGCTGTCCTAACTAAATAGTCTACCACGCGACGGCGGGATTGGCTTTCCGCGTGTGTAGCTAGAACTCGCGTTACTTATTTTGGAGACAAGGATAAATCGTCCTACGGTATGTTCTCTGAAGACTTTGGTATTGTGGATATACAGTGATGGCCTGCGGTGTGGAGTGGAGTGCGTGTACTCTTTTCGGAAAGTGCAAGGGTATATCTATCGATACTGAGCGGACCAGACACCTATCCAGCAGCACAGCGTTCGTCGGTATTGAGAGAGCCTGCACCTTCATGCACCAAGGCTGAGAAGGGAGCAATGGTCTGACGTTGGTGGCAATTGAGATGATGGAAAAATACTCGTTTAGTAAGTAAAGTCTGACTGGGGAGTCTTCAAGGCTTCACGGAGTTAACACAGCTCGATAAATTACGTCTGAAGCTGACGATCGCTTCCGTGACGACGAGCAAGTTTACCCTTTGAGCATGGCCACTGCCTCACGGTTGTGTGCGAGGGATGACCCTACCAGGGGGCCTCAGCTCGCTATGTATGTACCTAGGGACGGTGAATATCATCCAGCCTCTTGGCCACGAGCAATGAAATGTCAAGGATAGTCAACCCTATACACAGACTCGGCGACATTGAACCACCCTTCATACTCGACCTCTTGCTTTGTGTCGTCCACATCGTAATGATAGTGCCCGCCCTTGGTAGTTTCCGCGCTCCCATCCCCGGCCTCAGTGAAACAATGTGTGTGCTCCATGCGCAGATTCAGGCCCTTGTCATCCCCGGAGTGCACGACACTCAAACACACCAGTGGGCCAGCGTCGGACCCGTCGCCATCGTCAAACTCCATGTCGAAGAAGCGTAACCACTTCACCACGTCGTCATGGTCGCGGAACGGTTGCGCAGGGAAATCCGGCATGACATGCAACCTTGCCTTGCCCTTGCGGATCAGGAACACGCCGCCCAGGGAAATGAGGCGGTCGTCGCCAAACGCAGATTTCAGACCTTGCTGGATGGCCTGCGTGAGGTTGAGCGGACCAGTCCGCGATCGCGCCTTGACGTGCAGACACGGGCCTGGCTCTCCGTCGCAGCAGAACAAGTTACACATCAACCCCAAGTTCGAGCTGGATGGCAACGGACAGCACGAGACGGCGTCGGAAGGCGATGTGATCTTGGCGTAGTGCGTGCGATTGCGCGTCATGGTCGACGCAGCAGCTGTAGTAGAAGGCTCTCCGGGGGGTGCAGCTGCTGTGCCGTACGCGAAGTTGGGCATCAGTTCAGCGTTCTGGCCCAGCACAAAAAAGGGACCGGCGCCGGCACCGATCATCAGGCCCGACGTGGGCGACATGTCCGCCTGGCTGGCTATGGCTCGCAGCTCGTACCTGCGGCTGAAGTCGGAGCGAACCAGGTACGATGGATCGCCGACTTCGACGACACGAGGCGAGCCAGTCAGTCCCGGGCCGGCAAGGTGGTAGGGCGGGAGAGTGAGATCGGGTGGCGTTTCCACTGTGCATGATGAAGAGGAGAAGTTGGACGAAAGTGTGGAAGTGATGGCTTCAGCGAGAGCGTGCAGCGGAGGTGGTGAGAGTGCCACCTTCTTGACGGGCCACGATTGGTCTGTGGACATGGTTGTCGACAAGTCAATCCTGTGCAATACTTTGCTCACATATACAATAATCGCCCAAGTACTCCGTACCTTGGTGATCGTCCTGTGTTGAAGAGCAGTATCCCACGACTTTCCTACACTAAGCTCAAAATAGGCAGGACCTCGGGCCAGAGCCTCGTACGGGGTTCTCAGCCTTGTGGAGATTGATTTACTGTACGTCAAGGGGGTCCGAGGTGATTCCAGCCTTAAAACTACAACCCAACTCTCCTTCAATCTCATCACTCTGAGAAGGCATTGTTCTTGTTTGCGTATAATCTCGCATCATCACTCTTTCTACCCCGCCCACTGTCTGCTCGTTGCTAAATTCCGTAGGTTCAAATCATTTGCCAGCGCCCCCCATCTTGACAAACGACAGCGTGGTTCCGTGCAGGTCATCACGCCTAGACAAGCAGGCAATATGAGAGTGTTGAAATATGACTGTCGACTCCGTAGTCACCTCCGACAGGAATGGAGAGAGCGACCGGGCGAGCAAGCAAGCAAGCACTCTTGATGAGAATGCCTCTCTCCGCGACACAGGGCGAGTTTTGTTTGATCATGCAGTGGTGATCCGACAGAAACGGCGAGTGTCATCGAACGAGCAGCTTTGAACGGGCTCGTTGCACGCAAACCAATACATACCTACACAGGTATATAAAGAGATGAACGACAAGTCGTTCATGCTTGTGGTTTTTCTACCTCTCTATCTGTCTATCTATCTATCTACAGGCACCCTAACCAAAAGAATTCTCTGGACCGTCCAACACTACCGCGCAGACAGAATATATATCAAAAATCAAATCATGGGATCGTTAACATTCATAGAAGACGCGATTTCCAACGTCCATCCCGAGGGGGACAGGGGCACAACAAGACATATGTACACCCCACCACCTATGGCAGTTATTGGTCAAGGAGGAACCTCCAAGGACATCGAGAACTGGGATATAAACGTACGAAGCTGCTCCATCTGCGTTTCTCCCCTTACCCTTTGCCCATTGTCGTAAAGTCTTGGACCGCAGCCTGACGTGTTGACTCTAGACACCACCTCCTACGCCACCACCAAGTCCACCACCCACGCCGCCGCCGACACCACCGCCATCACCACCACCGGCATCCTAGGATCGCTATTGTAGTCAGGCACCACGCCGCTTTGACCCGTCCGATGAATGACTCCGACACTTCACAAGGACAACTCGCTGTGAGATGACGATCGGCGAGGAAAGGTTGAAGACGGCCGTGGATTTCTGGACGAGCTCTTTCCCTTCACTAACACTCGAGATACTGATAACAAAATGGATGATTTGACACAGGCATATCTTGTGATCTTCAAGGCACGTCAACGGAAAGCTGAGGCACAGACGCTGTACGGTCTGAACTGGCAGGGGCATCTATCTTGTGGGACATTGGGACATGGGGGGACTTTTCAATTGAGAGAGCCGAGAAGTTTTCAGGAACCAGATGCTTTCCAAATCCAAGAATGATATTTTCTGATTGGAAAAACTATCCATGTAGGATACATACTAAAATAAATCTCTGCCGTTGCGCTGGCCTGGTGCGTGTGAGAGAGAGCAACAAAGAAGGGATGTGATCCAAGAGATCATGGACTGTCCGTCCATAGACACCAAAATAATCATGGCCAACAATCCCTCAAGAAGAATAAAACCGGGAACTCAAACATCTTCCAAGGTATCAATCAAAATCAGATACCAAATATTGAAACCAGACCAGGCGCCGTCGCTTGCTCAGATAAATAATGCACAATTGGACAGACAAAAAACAAATAGATGGATGTCTCTCAATCCACCATGGGCGGCTCTTCCTGGGGTCCCGATCGCCATGCTGTACAATACGTTGGAAAAGAAAAACAGACATTCTTCGCTCAACAAACTGACCACAGAACGCAGATGGGGATGGCGATGATGGCATCGGTGATGATGCCGGGGAACGCAATCCCTAATAGACCAGAATCTTGATGCCGTCTGTTCCTGCAGGCCATGAGATCTCGACCTGGTCACCCTGCGGGACGACCTCGCCGGCAAAGGGCTGGCCGGCGATCGAGCTGCAGGGGAAGAAGCCGTTGGACGTGGCCGCGGGTCCGGACCCGACCTGCCACTGGGCCACGCCGCCGGGGACGACGTCGATGGCGCCGATGTTCTGGTTCCTCAGGTTGCCCGAGGGCCAGGTGGTGGTGTCGGCCGTGGCGGGCGCGAGGCTCGTGAACAGCTGCGCCTTGAGCGACCCGGTGGCGTACGAGCTGGGGTCGGCGAGGTCGAAGACCAGCTGGCACCAGTTCTGTGCGAACTGTTGGGCCACGGTGAAGGTGACGAGCGCCGTCGTGTCGGCCCCGCCGTTCGTGTACGAGCGCGACACGAGCCCGAGCGCCGTGTTGAAGTCGACCGCCCCCGTCTTGACGTTGTACTGCGACGTGTAGTCGGGGTAGACCTGGGCGACGTACGCCGCCCCGGAAGGGTAGCCTGTGTACGGGGCCGACGCCCACGGAGAGCCTGAAGATCCCGAGGCTGTTGAGCTGTCCTGACGGACCCCCAGTGGAGCAGCTTGCGAGAGCATCTTAGAAGAGAGAATGCCGCCGAGGATGATAGCGATCACGCTTGATTGAACCATTTTGGTTGTTGTTGATCTGTAATGTCGAGAAAAGTTGACTTGTGTGTGGTGAAGGTCTTGACGAAGTTTGAAGCGTCAAATTTCTTGGGATGTCTTGACCAAGACTTGTTTGCGTTGAATGGTTTGGTCTTGACTCAAATATTCCTGTTGCGAATGTGACTACGGGACGAGGATGAGAGATAAGAAACAATTGAGACAACGAGAGAAAAAACGAAGGCAGATATACTTGTTGAATGCTGCTGTGTTCACTAGTGATTGTATACAGAGAGGCCGGGGAAAGCATGAGGAGGTCGGAGAAACACGGGTCTTACAGAGGTCAGTGCGGACGACGATCAAGATAGACAGGCACGTTCCCTCTTAGGCTCGGGTACGAGATTGACGAGAAACAGGTGAGATGGGTGCAAGTGGTTGGGCGCAGTTAGCCATGCAGTAGAATCTATTGTAACAACATCCGTCCCAAAGGGGGAAATGCCTGAGGCTGAATACGGCGGGTTCTCGGCTCGACGAGGCTGGACATGTTTATACTTCAACTTTGACACCTTGGCATCAGGCTGGAGCCGGGACCATTGCTCCCCAGCCGCGTGCGCCTGTCGGTGGCTTGATGAGGATTGCGCCACCTTGTGGTCTGTGCATCGACAGCGCGTGGGAAAAGGAGCCTCATCTCACAATATTCAGACCTTCCCAGTCAACCACGTATCAACCGTGAAAACCCGGGGTCGGTGCTTTGCCAAACATGGACAGTGGAAGCGGATTCTGACGAGGCTGCAGACCGGCCAGTTGAGCTTCTCGAGGCGGTGCAAATATTGTCTTCTGTCAGCTTTGAGGAACGGCGGAAAATCGGCCATTGGTGCAGGAAAAGAACAAGTCCAAGAAATCTTTCGCCCAGGAATACCACGTGTTCCACACGATGTGCTGAAAACGTGTAACGGACTGAAGGGAGGCAAAGAGCCATGTAGCCATGTGTTGGAATCTCTCGATAGAACCGGAGTCTAGTGTTGTGTCATAGTCCGGCTTCCAGCCGTAAGCTTTTAATGGCCGTTACCGATTATAATCTTCCTCCGTAAAGTGCACCACAAGTCAATCAGCGGATGGTTTCCGATTTAATAAGTCTGTGTATCATAACGCGACATCCTCCATTTCGGCTCCTTCCTTTACGGTCCCAACCTGGGGTTCATGTTTCTGTTCGGCATGGAGGTCCCGGGATTTGTCGTCTGATGAATCTTCTTCTTCTGTCTCTTCGTCTTTCTCATCATCTTCCTCTGCATCTGATGTTTGGGCCTTCTGTTTGCCCTTGGACTCGGTTGACTGTGTCTCTGGCTCTTCCTCGCTTTCTTCCTCCTCGTCGTCATCATCTCCACCGTCAGTTGGCGTGGGTGGAAGATCTTTTTGCGGTGGAGTCGGCGGTACTTCAGGGCCAGGCTCACCACTGACAGTACTCTCACCGGTAGGACTCTTTGGAGTTGTCGTGGTCTCTTTCGGTCGTTGCGGAATACTTCCTTGCGAGGGTGGAGCAACTGTCGAAGGCCGACCAGCTAGAGACGGATTTGATCCAACGTGTCTTTGCTTGGGATCTGCATCCAGATAGTATCCGCGGACTCCTATAATCTTCCCCTCCCTTTCACACCCCTCTATCCATTCAGGTCTGACAACTGGAATGTTCATCTCATTAGCTCTCTCCCAGTCGCGACCACGACCTTCGGTGCAAACGAAATGGGTTGTATCGATGCGGATCGTGTCGATTATCTTTGCGCCAATACGCTCGATAGCTGTTTCAAGAGCCTCCCTCATGGGCGGGGGCATGACTCCTGGTGTTACCGTGATTCCGGTTAAATTGTTCATCGCATGAGTCTTGACAGTCAGGTCGTTACTCGTGTAGGTTCCGCCGCTCGTCTTGAGTACGAGATAGAAGGAGTATTCCGAATCTACAGCCAGTCCACTGATCTTGGTGGCTGTCTGTTCCAGTGGTCGTGGAATGTTTCCTGCCTTGCTTCCATTTCTATACAGCGCCAGGGAGTGAAGAGTAGTGGTCGCGAGTTGGATAGGATCCCATTCGAGAACAAGAGAGGTTTGAGTAGCATTTCGGAGTCTTAGTACAGGTGTAGCTGGGGTGTTTATGCCATATGTGTTTAGGATTTGCTTTTGTAGGGAGGAAAACGCAGCCTTTGCTTTGTGTTCAGCCTCGAAGTTTTGCTTTACAGTGATGTCCACAATTGAGCCTGAGGCTATGGATGAAGGCAAGAGTATCGATGGGAATTCTATCTAGACAAGGTGTCAGAATGGCTGTCCGCTCTATAGTACATGATACTCACCAGTCTTTTATCTTCGGTGAGCAGAACCGCGACGCCTGCATCGACCTTGCCAACGGTCAGGGACACCAGCATGACTGCGAAATTACTCGACAATCCAGTGAAGCAAAGCGCTCGGCTTGTGTTGTCGAGGACCTGAATACGTTCGGAGCGTGGAACTACACGGTTTCTTGCCTTGGGTGATACCGTAGCTTGTTACGGAGTGCTACAGTAGCTGCTATGTCGCCAATCCAGACGCCTTTCTGGACTTTGATCACGTGGTCTTCGGCTCAACTTCGGCTCAGAGCTCCTCCTGCCGCCGTGTTTAAGAGGATACGCGCCCCCGCAGACGGCTCGACTAAGCAGCCGTTACAATATGCGCCTTGAATGGAGGGGTTTGGTTCTGGTGCATGGGCTACCAACCCGTGTATCACCGCGTGGACAGCACAGGGGATTTCTTGAGGGAGAGAGAAGAGAAGAGACCGAGCAATCGAAGACGAGGTCTACTTGACAAATGTCCACCGTTGTGTATGATGATAGGGAGAAACAAAGCTTTGCTAAACGACATCGCGAGCTTCCTTGACCCAGCCACGCGAGAATGGTACGTCAAGCGTGGCTTTCCCTATCGATGGGGCTACCTCTGTACAGGCCTCCTGGAACAGGCAAAACCAGCCTCTGCTTGTCGATTGCAGGTCCTTTCGACCTGGACATCCACATCCTGAACCTTGCCAGCGTCGACGGCAGCATTTTGAATGATTTGTTTGCTAGGCTACCGCAACACTGCGTGATCCCATTGGAAGACGTGGACCTTGCGAGTCAAAAACGATCGTAAGACAAGGAAGCAGAGCATGTCCATTCCATGTCAACCCTTCAGAAAGCAAGACAAAACAAGTGACGCTGTCTGGGCTTCTCAATATTCTCAACGAGGTAGGGTCGCATGAAGGCCGATTGCGTATTATGACGACGAATTGCATTGAGCTGCTGTGCTGCTCGTGTGGACCGCAGGATCGAGTTTCGACTGGCCGACAGAAAATTACATGTTGGCCGCGGATGAGATAGGTAATTGCTCCTGCGGAACTCATTTTCGTGTTCATACATTCATTGCGAAGACATCCGCGATCCATCTACCCATGTCTCACTGTCAAGAACTAAGCGAGAAATGTTGAATGAGGCGGAGGCGGAGTCGTCTCATCGAGGTCGAGGATGCGGAGGGAGGCGGGAGTAGAGCGCCTCCGCCTCATGAGGAGTCATCTCCTGGGTGACAATGATTTTGAACAGTCCAAGGGGTACTAGTTCTTCGGCGAGTTTTGGAGGACTTTTCTGAGTGGGTTGCAGGCTCGGTACCAGGCCACTTGGCATCAACTCTCGCAGCGTCTTGTTGTGTGGCAACTCTCTTCTTCTCATAGTTCCAGGCTCTGTTTCCATTATGACAAGGCCGGTGTTCCATCTCCCTCTTCACTCTTCAGCTTCTCCAACATTTGCAACGCTTCAAGCGCAGAAAGTCTGCTAGACCTCTTGTACGTCAGTAGGCCTTTGATCACTGGAACAAGAATCCTCAAAGTCTCTTCTGGAACTTTCCTCGTCCCATAGTATATCGAGGGGTTCGGCCGTCTACCATTCGCACCTAGCGGTGAAGGCGTTAGCGAACCGACGTTGCAATCGTCGGATAGAGATTTCAGCCAAAGCACACCGGACAACCCGAGTAGATTAGATCAGACAACCAAAACTGAAATCGAAAGAGGGACCTGCGAGTTCTACAGGAAAGGATTGACATACTCTCTGGATCCAAAGGCCCCGATGAATAAATTGAAGCTTGTTGTATCTTCTCCCAACGAGGTATCCACTCCTTCGGCAAGTCACCCAAAATATCCATCATGGTTAGGACAAGATCTCGATCTCCACCGATGGCGTAAAATGGAAACATGTGGAAGACCAACATATAAATCTTCGGCGGCCGAGACCTGTTAGCACCGCTACCGACACAATAGGACTGAGAAGGAGGACGTACCGCGCAGCCGGCTTGCCATAGATCAGTTCTATGGTCGAAAGAATCCTCGAAGATAACTTCTGGAGCTCGGCATTCGCCTGGCAGAGTGCAGGGAGAACGCTTTTGCCCTTGGCGAAACGTTTCGCCCAAATCGAGTATCTTGATTTCTTCAAACTCTTCGTCATTCCAATCATACCACGGCTCAGTTTCCACATATTCCTTTGGAACCGACGGGCTTAATGGGCTTCCATCTCGTCGAACCAACTTACAGCTCACGTGTGAAGTCAGCTCAGTCCAGATTCCGCCTTCAATGCTTGCCAAGCGACGACAAGTGAAAACAATATTGTTCATGTTTAGATCTACTGCGGTTAGTCAAGAAACCAAGCAAGAAACCCCTAAGCAGAATTACACTGGGAGGTTGTAACAGCTCCAGGGTTCTTCATACCTCCATGCGTAAATCCAGCTCGATGTAAGACTTCGATTGCCTCTAGTAGTCTCTGAGCAACTTTCAGGACGATATTTGGAGCAAGCCATGTGTCTTTATCGCCCAACTGCTCGAGAACAACAGGGAGACGTGGACCAAGAAGTTCGGTAACGAGACACAGATGCTTGCCGTTGGGGCCTTGGTGGAAAAAGTGGTCGCGTAATTGCACAAAATAGGTAGATAGCCCAAGCTCCTGCGGAAGCCTCGCTAGACGCTGATACGACCTTAGTTCTCGAGAACGTCTGGACCTCTCAGCGGTCAGAATTTTTATTGCAACCCATTCATCCGTGCTAGAGCTTGTGAATACAGTCCGTCGTCATACGAATGACGCCAATTACCTTTCGTCAAGTGCAACCCATACTGTGGAAGATCCACCATGACCTAACTTGTTGTAGACTGTGTAGCGACCATTGCTGAAAGTGTCCTCGATCGCCACAGGATGCAAGCCTCCGGGTCGGTATTTATCGATACGCTCTTCTGTGTGGACGATATATTCGATTTCGTACTTCTCCAGTTCCGTTTCGTATGCCGACATTGTGAAAAGCTTGTAGATTGACCGACTGCATGGGAGGGATAACAAAGTCTTAGAATATTTGGGCTGGGATTACCGACGACGAGATCAAGTTGGTAATGTAGAAGTGAAAGTGAAAGTGAAGGGGAAATTGACTGTGACACTGTGATGTGCAGATTTACTTATAGGTTCGTAGGACAAACGTGCGGAAGGAGCCTTCCAGGCAACATCTCTGGTACAAGCGCAGGAAAAGGCTATCGCCCTTTTTGCGGGTCCTTAGATGGCATTGACCAAAGAAAGGTTTCTACTCCAGATAACCTAGATGCCTTTCTGAATCTCACGGTCCCCAGGACAGTATCCCGCTGGCCAGCCAGTAAAGAGAGGACTTTTGATTGGTGTCCGCTCCGGTCGAGATTGAACTTTGTGAGTGTATAAGTGGACGATCAGCAGTTGACAGACTTACGCAGCCATGTGACTCATCCGTCTGAGAAGGAAGGGCACTCCAAACCTAGTGTCCATGGGTTCCAACACCATTATGTTGCAAGCAGGGTGAGCTCCAGCTATACCGGTCGAATAGTTGGCGAAAAAGGCTATGCATCTCCTGTATTCTGGCGTGAATAGCGTTCGTCCATTCTTTGGATTTCGTCTCGTAAACACAACAATATTTCTTCTGCTGTCATTTCGACGCATGTTGAACAGGAGCAAGCCAAGAAATTTAGAGAAGTTTTGACCTACCCTTCGCCCAGACCCCAGGGGCCCACCTCGAGTTTTTCGTCAGTGAACGCTTCGACTTGAAGGGTCTCGACCTTGGGAGAAGAAGCTTGTCCTTGAGCCAATCGTTCCAGTACTAACCACAGGCCACCAGTTCCAAGACTGCACATGGAAGGCTGAAGGTCTACGTCCCCAACGCGAAGGCCGGAAGAGACACTAGTAAACTCTTCGTTGTCAACTTTGCTGCTCGCCAACACCTGTTTGTACGGTCCTTGACCTTGCTCAAGCGTCATCTTGAACAGTGACTGTGCAATTGCAGGGGGCACTTCGTGCCGGGCTACAAATGTCACACAACTCATCCTTTTGATAGTGAGAGGGGCCAGTAGTCGATCTGTGTTCATACCGAAGACCGCGGGTGCGCTCTTGATACTAAGTCGCCCGCTACTTTCGGGGGGAAGTTGCGTTAAAGGAGTCTTCTCGCTGGAGCAGAGCTCAAGCGTGAAGTCAGCATTTTGGTGGGTATCGAAAGTCGAGCAGATGATAGTGTAGTTGCCGCCATCCAGTTCCGTCTCCAGGACAGCACTCCCATGCCGATAGTCCCCGGAGTGTGCGAGCACATCTCGTGGTCGAAGACGCACAATCCTTGACCCACCGCTGAATACAAGCAGCATTTTGACATGAATGTTCGATTCTTGATTCTTGCCGCTCTTGACACGGAGAAGCAAAGCTAAGCGCTGCTTGCCGCTGAGACTTAACCGAAATTGTGGATTGGTCAGGTAATGAGGAGAGTCCGAATTGCCCCCAGCGGTTGATCTAGTCCACGATGATTCAATGCTGAATCTTTCAGGATACTGGAGTCGAGCTTCTGACACGGTGACTGGGCCCTTCGAAAATGCTGATATAGTGAAATTTATCTTACCAGGAGGTAATTCTTGAGAAACCACGACAGCCGTATAAGCGGTCTGTGCAGTAGCCTTGAACCGCAACAGAGTGTTCGGGGAATCGACAAAAGGTCCCCTTGTTTTCGCCCCGCTACTGGCTAATACTCTCCTTCCCTGGCGCTCATACAGATAGATGCTGATGTAGCCATTTTTGCCAACTGTTGCTTGCGAGTAATCGCCTGTTCTGAAATGTCTGTTCAAAAGCAACCAGACTTCGACGTCTTGTTCTGCGGTAATGGCAAACTGGGGATTGTCTACCAGAACGTTTCCAGTTCGATCAAGATTTTGCTGCCGCCATGAAAAATGGAGATCTTCTCTGTTGGTGAAGAGACCAGGATTCCAGTTGATATACATATTTTCGAAATAGCTGAACATACTGTTGAACTCCATCCAGAAAGTCCCAGGCAGCATATCGTCGTCCGTCGTTGCTCCAGCTCCGTCCTCTTGGTTGGGTCTTCTTCTTGATGCACCTTTCCAGACATCGCCATCCGCCCAGGGGTTCTTGACTAGAATCTCCCTAGCATCTTTATTAGATGACACGGCTAGGACTGCATAATCGTGTTCTGCTGCGAGTCCAAGGTACTTTTGCTCGCGGCTTGGAAGTTTGCCAGTGCCAATGGTGATTAGCATGTTCCCCTCGTTGAAATTCGTGGCTATTTCTTCCCATAGACGATCCGGTTCAACTCCCTCATCGTGCAAGAATACTTGCTGAGGGAGCCAGCCGGTCAGCACAGCAAGATCAGTGCCAGAGTTACTTCCAGGGAAGTCGTAGCCCCCTCGTACTTTGAGATAAGCCTTTTCTACCAGTGCTGGCCATAACAGACCGGGATTTCGACGGTCTATGACATGAAGCACCCGGGAAGACTTCGAGCTCGGTAGAAAGTCGTCGATTTCGACCCTCCGCCAGCAACCGTTAAAATATAACCGTAATATATACTTCCTGTTCGGCGAGATCGAGATCTGGTCATTTTCATAGTCGTATGGATGAACAATTGAACGTAAGATCTGTTCCAATGTCAATGGGACATTGCATCAAACTGATAAACCCTACCTTGGGATGACCGGCCTGTGCACGGGAGACACCAGCACATAGGCTTGCGACTACTGAGCAATCAGATGTTAAATCTTGGACCAAATCCATCGGTTCATTGGCTTGCATCATTGCTTTCGTCGGATAACGCTGTCCCGTAGTATTGTTGTCAATGGAAAGAATAGCCTCTTCTGCCCGTTTCCAGCCGCCAAAAGTTTCCAGTTGCTCTGCGGAAAGCGGAAGAAGCGACGAATCTGTAAACGGTTCTTGACCATCTTGTAACAAGAATTCGTCCGGATGAGGTGCGTGTGTCCAAGGCTTGAAAACAAAGCCATTTAGTTTTGAGCCCTCGAGAATGATGATGTTTTCTCTCGTCGTAAGCTTGCGGGCTGAAACAGGTGCCTTGAGTTCGCGCCTGACCTGGACATTGCTGGACGATTTTGAAGCCACAGGTGATCCATTCTTGATCTTCTCAGCTCGTGCTAGGAGTTCCTTACACTTTGTGTCGAGTCTCTTACGATCAGCAGGTCTGTCGACCAGTCGAAGGGCTTGAAGGTACAACTCGGCGCTTCTGATTGTAGCCTCGAGATCCGCCGTTGAGCCGGCCTTGGAGGCTTTTCGTTCTATGGAGAGCGCCTGCTGCTCGAGTATCGACCATTTGGCATCCATTGCTGGTGATACATTTGACCCTGAGTCGTAGCGAGCTTGATATAATGCCTTCACATAGATACCGGTGAGGTCAATATGAAGAGAAGCTGTGATCGACCGTAGCACTGCTCCGTGCGAGGCCTGTATGGTTGAGCACAAGACCATTTGCGCAGAACCAGCCTAGTTACATGTAGTGAGCCGTGCCAATGCCGAAAACGACCCGGGATGAGACGGTTCAACAGATCCGATGATGCCAGATCCAAAACTTGCCGTTGTTGTTACCTCGGCACAAGGCTCTACGGAGCGGCTGGGAGAGACTGGACGCATCCCCCATGTCATCCCGCAGGCTTTCTCGGGGGAATGAGGATCTGGGTTGAAATGATTCTATAGATACACTTGTCGCTGCCACTATTTTCCTTCCTGCCGGCCTCTGTGTCCTCCCATTTCTCCCCAGTTTCTCCTTCGCTTCTCCTTCACTGTACACAACATCTCGCTCCTTGGCCCGATATCCTCTGAACGGTCGACGGCATATCTCTCCTCGTCGACACATCGGAGCTCTGGACCACGAAACCCAGCGTCACCTTCTCACCATTTCAGAGCCCCCCTAAGCGATAGTTTGCAGGTGTGATAAGAGTTGTCGCAAAATGTCGAGCGAGGCAGGTCTGGCGCCTTGGGAGAGCGCCGTGGCGGGCGCATCGGGTGCGGTTCTGGCCAATGCTCTAGTATATCCTCTTGATATGTACGACATGTCCTCACCTTAAAATGGTGACCCGATGCTAACAGACATTCTAGCGTGAAAACGAGGCTACAAGTGCAAATAAAAAAGAAGAACCAGGAGCATCACCACACTGCCGAACATCATCACTACGAATCCACCATCGATGCTATTGTGAAGATCGTTGAACACGAGGGTGTACATGGTCTTTACTCGGGTCTTGCAGGTGCCCTCGCCGGAGTTGCATCCACAAACTTTGCCTATTTCTACTGGTATTCGGTGGTGCGAGATCTGTGGACGAAATATGAGACAACTCCCGGCCAACATCCGGGTACGGCAGTTGAATTGTCCCTGGGTGCAGTCGCAGGAGCTCTTGCTCAGGTATTCACAATCCCTGTTGCTGTTATCACCACAAGGCAGCAAACACAACCCAAGGGCCACAAGAGGGGCTTTTGGGAGACTGGAAAGGACGTTGTCCACAGCGAGGACGGCTGGACTGGCCTGTGGAGGGGCCTCAAGGCTTCTCTCGTGCTGTGTGTCAATCCCGCCATCACATACGGTGCTTACCAGCGCCTGAAAGATATCCTCTTCCCAGGACGAGCACGATTACGTCCATGGGAGGCGTTCGGTACGTTACCTTGTTTGTGGAACGTGTTTGGATGCCGCTAACCACCATCTAGTTCTCGGAGCCATGTCCAAATCCCTGGCAACACTAACAACACAGCCACTGATCGTCGCCAAAGTTGGCCTACAATCACGACCACCTCCGGCTCGCGAGGGCAAGCCGTTCAAGACGTTTGGAGAGGTTATGGCCTATATCATCGAGCACGAAGGCCCTCTTGCCCTCTTCAAGGGCATCGGTCCTCAACTACTGAAGGGGTTGTTAGTCCAGGGTCTTCTGATGATGACCAAGGAGAGAGTCGAGGTGCTGTTTATTCTACTCTTCGCTTATCTGCGTGCCGCCAAAACGAAGCGGGCGAAATTGGCCGAGACTCTGAAGAGTCGTGCCATGCCTGTGGCGGAAAATGTTCTTGAGAAGGCCAAGACTGCTTTGCCAGCAACCGCAAAATAGATATCGCATACGAGCTGCGCTGGCGATGTGCAGATGGGCGAACGGATGTATGTCGGGTGACCTGTCCGATCAGGAGACCTGAAAACCAGCAGCTCTTGACCGGTCGATTCCCTAAGAATGACTCCCTGGAGAAGTTCATATGGACTCGACTGGTGAGAGGAATTGTCTTTCTTACGGAGCATGAAGCGATACAGCAATTGATTAGATTCCGCTTCATCGGATATATGGTTGTTTTGTGAAGTAGTATCATGTCGTGTCTTTACACAGGGAACGGCCTCGGATCTGAGGAAAGTGGGAAACAAGACCACCAGGGTGTAGACGCGGCTTGGTTGAGTAGACAAGGTTTGCTTTGGCTATGTTCTGTTCCCTTTCGGCATCTGCAGTATATAGTACAAAATCTTTTTTATCTGGGATGACCATGTCGAGAATTTTCGAGTGTGATATAGTACAGTCTTCACAGAAGGCCACGGGCTAATGCGAAGGAGCACATGCCTAGCGGTCGTGAGACGTAACAACGAACAGGCCGTCGTTCGTTGACTAGGCGAGCTCGAACGATTGTGCGCAAACACACTTCATCGATTCCTCTTTTTAGCCCATCCTGTGAGAGGTTAGCGTATGTTCGCTGATTGTGCCATGATCATATTCAAGGAGACGATATTGGGAAATGCTACGGTTCAGGAAAACAGGGGCAGAGGGTTGACAAACCAGTTTGGCCTCTCCGCCATTCAGCTGCTGCCGCAGCAGACTCGGGCGATATCTTCTTGAAGAACGCGATGAAGCCGCCTCCCATCGTCCTCTCGCCAACTAGAGGCCGACATATCATGACAGGCTCATCAGGTTGTTCCTCCGGCAAACGACCTGCCAGTGCTTCTGTCGCATCTTTCTCGACATCGCCCTCGTCCATTTCCTTCTGCTCAACTCCCAACGGATTTTTGTCAGTCTCGATATCCGTGACGTGCTCGGCTGCCGGGGGTTTTGCGTGATCCTTGTACTTTCGCGGAAAGACCATTCTGACGTCCCATCTGCGCCCGGTACTGATTCCCTCACCGAGTTCGAGAACTCTTTCCATGGCCAAGGGCAAGTTCGAGTCTTGAATTGCTCTCGCGCACTCGCCTATCTGTGTCACGCTAGGGGTGAAGACGATGATCTTCGCGTCGTCGCGCATCGCCTTGCTGACGTGTTGGAGCTGTGTATGGACTCCTGGCATGTCGAGGAGGACGTAGTCCAGGAAGCCATCATCGGATGTGCTGGCCAAAGGATTCCAAGTGCGCGACTTGCGCCGGGAGAATTGTGCCTGAACCCAGTGACTAACATCTCCGGCATAGAAGTCTACGTGTGGCCAGTACAGACCTTGCCGGAAACCACGCACGATCTTCTCTGCATGCCAGCGATTTGCTTCAACCTTCTCGACGGTGTGCAGAACAGCATGGCGGTTTTGTTTCCATTGCGACCATGCTTCCCTTAAGCCAGTCTCTATGGTGGGTGCCTCTGGTCGTTGGAGCTCGTTCTTGTGGTAATGAGGGATGGGAATACCGAGCGGAGGAGGATTGGCGGAGGCGATGGCGCGTGAAACATGGAGAGTGAGACTGCCATGGCCGGTGCCTGCTTCAAGTATCTCGAGTGGCCGAGAAGTCGAAGAGTTGCCATCGCCGGTCCAAGGAATGGGGTGAATGTCTAGGAGTGACACGATGGAAGAGGCATAGTTTGCATAAACCTGAGACGTGAGCATGCAACAAAGACATGAATACTAGGGTATTAGCATACTGGGGTCACAAGTCTCGGCGTCAGGGCGACATAGTCGTCCAGTGTTGGGGCATCGACTTTGTATATGCCTTTCGGGCCTCGAAGGTAGAAAGAGGACAACGGTTGCCCAATGATGTCGTTGTGCGACAGCAACCCGTTCTTGTAATTTGAGGATCCATTCTTCTGAAGGGGCCCTGTGAGCTTCAGGCCATCAACGAGCACCCTCTCGCCCTCTTGAGCAGATTAACACAAAGCAATGGGGGAGCGATCGGGGGTGGAATTACCCGCAAACTTGGTCAAATCGCGGACGGGGAGACCTTTAGTGTTGACCGTTGGCTTTGCAGCCTTTGAGAAACCAAGGGCTGTTCTCAAGGCGTGGAGCAGCCCCGACATGCCACAACACCCTCGTTCTCTCCTTAGAATGCTTCCTGATGAGCACCTGTATCGACCTGGGCCGTGAACTTTTTTTTGGGCGCAGCTTCGGGAAGAGAAGGTCTGCCGAAACCCCAGATTCTAACGCGGAAGCCACCAACCGCATTAATTCTTGTACTAGCTTGACTGGGCGACAGGTGGCTGATCATCCCTGCGTCCGCCTCGGCGAAGACCTTCTAATTTCTGGATTGGGAGGCCTCCAACGCTTGGAGGGCTTCTGCTACTCATACTTTATTGCAGTGTGCGCCTGTCACTTGTCACATCAATACCCAATTCTTCTACTCCGACATCAATGCTCAACTCAGTCTTTTGCTAGGACTGATGCGAGATTGATAGCCCCCAGCGTGGGCGTCGCCCTCAAACCACATGCCAGCATGACGAGGAGACTAGTCAGTTGCGCCTCGAACTGATGTACAGTTTCGATTGTCTAACATTCAAGGCAGTTCCGCACCGGCATCCAGCTGGCCGTCATAGCCACCGTCGTTCTTTTCACCGTCATATTCATTGACAACCGATACCGTGTCCTCCCTACGTCGATCCACAACCATCTGCCCGCGCATCATCCAGGCTTTGTAGTAACAGACATCACTGTTGTTACATGCTCTTCTTTAAATCCCTTTTCCAGTTGTACGAAAGACGGTCCATACTGGCACCGTATCAACAAGGACTTGTATCTCAATAAAGGCTACTTATCAAAAGCCTACCTCCTCGTCGAACGGAAACGAGACACCGATCTCAAACCGCATGAAGAAGTCGTCCTTGATATCAAGGTAGGACGCATTCAACCGTCAAATGTTGGCGTGAACTCGAAAGATGAACGCTGGGAATCTCGCCCGGCAGGAATATGGATCAAAAAGTCTGCGAAACGCAATGATGACCACAAGATTGTTACGGGAGTAGATGTGCTCTTCGGTGCTGATGCCGCAGATCCCCGATCAAACTGGAATATCCTAGACATCTCTCTCTTCATCGATGGTGGCAGCAACACCGCCGAACCACGACTGACTGTGCGCAAGGGGCCTGCCATCAGAGTTGAGAAGCCTGTACCACGAATTCGCAAGGACGGCCGATTCAAAATCATGCAAGCTGCAGACCTTCATCTTGCAACAGGACTTGGAGAATGTAGGCACGCTCTACCCGGGGGCTCGAAATGCGAAGCCGATCCGCGAACATTTGAATTCCTGGAACGCCTGATTGACGAAGAGAAACCTGATTTTGTTGTTCTGACTGGTGACCAAGTCAACGGCGACACCGCACCTGATTCGCAGACAGCTATATACAAATACTCGGAGCTCTTCGCACGTCATCGTATTCCTTACGCCGGCATATTCGGCAACCATGACGACGAAGGCAACTTGGACCGAGCGGCAAGTATGGCTATCATGGACGGATTGCCATATTCACTTTCTACTGCCGGCCCGGAGGATGTTGATGGCGTTGGAAATTATGTCGTTGAAATTCTTGGTCGGGGCTCGACGTCACACTCTGCCTTGACGCTGTACATGCTCGACACGCATGCATATTCCCCGGATGAGCACAAATACCATGGCTATGACTGGCTCAAGCAGTCGCAGATCGATTGGTTCAAAACCACAAGCCAGCATCTGAAGCGTAAACACCGAGAATACACGCACATACATATGGACCTGGCATTTATACACATTCCACTTCCGGAGTATAGAAATCCGGATGGATTGAAGTGGGTTGGCAACTGGACCGAGCCGCCAACTGCACCAGCGTACAACAGTAACTTCAAGGACGCTCTCGTCGAAGAGGGGATCGTCATGGTGAGCTGTGGGCATGATCATGTCAACGACTACTGTCTTCCTGCGCTGGACAAAGAAAAGAAGAAGCCCGCGTTGTGGATGTGCTATGGCGGAGGCGCAGGTTTTGGCGGTTATGGAGGATACTACGGCTATCACCGCCGTGTGAGATTTTTCGATTTTGACATGAATGAGGCGAGGATCACGACATGGAAGAGGCTGGAGTGGGGAGATACAAAAAGTCGCATCGACGAGCAGATCATCGTCGACGGTGGAAAGGTCGTTGTTGATCTGTAGATTCTTTTCCGCCACATGGTTCTCGAGGTTGTTGTGTTCTCCCTTGTAAAGATTCACGCGCAATACGGTTGAGCAGAAATTGGCTAATTGGGCATATATGGCACCTTGAGGGAAGGCAAAGAAGGATGTCTCCGACGCGAGCCCACATGCAGTACGATACCCACGGCTATTCATGTATTGCTAAGAATTCTATCTCATACTTGTACTATGGCATATTCTACCACCATTTCTCACATTGGACCCTCTTCTCGTCCATGCCTTTGGCCTTCTTTAACAATTCCACAAATTCATCAGTCATGGTCGGCAGCCCGCAGACATAGGCCACAGTGTTGGCCCGCGTGGCTTCTGGTCCAAGTGCCTGGAAGAGGTCATCATGGCGAATACGTCTATGCCGATAGGTGATGTTTCCAGCGACCGTCCCTTGTGCGTCTGCACTACCTTTCCGGCTTGTCTCGAAAAACGTATACCGGTAGTCGACTTGTTCGTGATTGCTCCACTTTCTGGCGACGTCGGCCAGTCTCTTCTCGAACAATACTTCTTCTTCCGCCTGGCCACCACTGTGGCTGCTGCTGTTTGGGCCATGTTCTCTTCTCGCGGTATACAAGACTCTTACTGCGCTGACCATTCCGCCCAATCTGCTCTTCGTGCCCACTTCGTCCATAGCCGAGATCATACTCATGATGGGGTTGATGCCGACCCCTCCGGCCACGAAGACTACTCGGTCTATATTCGCACATTCGTCCCTGTCGAGCGAAAGCGGAGGGTATGCAAAGGTCCCGCCGACCCGGAACGTCACAGTCGAGTCCAAGATCTCCGGGACGGGTCGCCAGAGGTATGCGGCTGGCGGGTTGCTCGGCGACGCTTGGATGGCCAGCTCGATGTGTGGGTTGGGCTGATGCTGAGACGAAGCGGCTTGGGGCGGCGAGGTGATTGTGAATCCACCGACCACGTCGACGTTGGGGATGTAGAGGTCGATGTACTGCCCTGGCATGTGTCGGAGAGGCGGCTACTAGACGGTGTTACGTGTGAGCCCAGCCATCAATAATCAATCAGAAGCAACGCTTGTTCACATGGGGAATCAATCGATGGCATCAGTAACGCAAAGCAGTTACGACGACAATGACAACGGCAGGCCTGAGAAGTTTTCTTTTTTTGACCTCACGATTTTCACAATGGGCTCTTGATATCGTTCTGGGTTGTTGTCATTGCACCTACCCCCTCTCTCGGAAGACTCAGGTTCAGCAAACGTATCTTGGAGTTGACCTGCTCGATCTTGCTGAGGCGGGCAGTCCAGACGCCCTGCTGCCGAGGGTCCTCGGCTGTACGGATGATGTGTGGTATTGAGTCTTTGACGGTAGCCATGCTTCGTGTCTGGGAGGGAAATGAAGACAGGACAATCCTTTGAGGAATGGTTGTCTTGAGCAATGTCGAGCGCGTGAATGTCGGCCGTAGGCTGTTGGGGAAGCTCATTATCCCATCGCTGCGTATGTGATATCTGCTTCTTCGACAACGAGGGGTTTTGGTCGTTCAGGGATCCTGGCCTTTTAAAATGTGTTGTGACCTGCTAGGTACGAAGATGACTCGTATGCACACAGGTTCAAGTAATCCCTGAGCAATAGAAGTGATGGACTGAACCCCACATAACAAAGTGGTCTGTTCTGTAGGTGCGACAATTCCATGACTACGCAGTCTTGTCCTCACCGCACTGGATGCATCTCCAGGTCGTGCATTCTTTTCAACGGTTGAGATTTTATTGTTTGTTGTCTTAGTATTGGAATATCTTTCCCCATGATTGTCTTGTGGCCTTCTATGCTTACAACTCTTCGATTGAATCTGTGATATTCAGATACTGCGTGTCGTGCGGGCAGTGCCTGCGCCCTCCCTCTCTCAATCCGAGCAAAGTCGCACTACGAGACTACTTCTCCACAAGATGTACGCATTTCGATGCGTTAAGCAAGGCAAGAACATTATGGTGTACACCTCATGCAAGATTTGAGGTTTCTTGAACAGCCTCCGTGCGAAATATTCCAGATTACTATTGTCGGAAATCGAGTATGCAACTATCATTTCTCTCATTCCCAGAAGGCCACATCATGATCAAATAATCCTAGAAGCATTGTTCAATGCATAAACGAGAAATTTGAGGACCGATTGAGGCTGGTTCGAGCTATATCAGGACAGATATCTTCCGGATCATATGGACTTGTCGGTCATCTTCGCCATAAGCGCAAGCTGTAGAGAACAGAGAAGGAAGAGACAAATAGGAAAGTCAAATGCAATAAGGAGCTGCAGGTAGAATATCACGCCTGGAAAGAATATTAGACAAGGACAGACCCCACGATAAACGTGAAGTGACTTTGCGCTGTAGCTCACCTCATCTGCTGTGTACATGCGGCGCAGCTTTCTTATAATTATGGAAATATCATCAGATGGCCTGTCATGATCAAAACACCATCATATACACCGTTCCTGAGTGATTCAACACGGAAATGAGGAGTGGATTTTGATATAGGCCCATTTTGGTGTTGGCACCTTCGGGAGGCTGGGAGTGCAAAATTTTCAACCCATCATGATAGGTGAGAACTAACATGTCGAGGACATATCGGAAAGTGCCGACAGTGGGAATAGTTATCTTTCATATGAAGAAACTCGCATCATTCTGTGGTTATGCTTCTTTTTCACTGATATCCAAACACATCTTTGGTGTATATCAAGTCCAGCGCAGGAACAGCTGTAACGTGTGGCAATGAGGGGTAGCAGGAGAGGAGGATGAAGTCTTGATGGGCCAATCGCATGGTTGTAACCGTTGTGCGGCATCAGAAGTAGTTATAGTCATCGAATAGATACAGCGAAACGCTCATCGTGCTTTCCGGGAAGATATATCGAAAGATAGAAAGCTCGTCGTTGATGAGTTGCGGTTGGAACAGACGTTGCCGAGAGGGTCATTCTTAGTGGCCCCAGAACCACCGCACGGCTGGCAAACCTCTTCCACATCACCTCAAGACATCTCTTCCTCAACATAGTGGCCTGATAATGCTTACCCACCCACCTTCACTCCTTTATCGAACGTCGCGGAGGAAATTGCGATAAAAAAGGGCCTCGTGGCCGCGAATATTCAATATCGGATAGGTCAGCGGGAGCGAACCTTGTGCAGCATATCCTGCCTACGTGGGCACACAAGAGGTACCATACCAAAGTGTACAATCAGCGTCAACAGGATGAATACTGATAATGCCCAGGATCTAATTGAAAACCCCTCTTTGGATCATCTGCTTTGATCTTGATCCAGATTCCAATCTTTCCCACCGACGATAGCCAATATCAAGCCATTCTTTATCAAACAGATGTCCCCATGGCAGTAGCATTGACGCTTTCACATCCCACGAACACAATGTCGACCATGACTACCCACATGAATATGGCGGAAGCCCCGAGTCTCGGTCTCTCAAGGTACGAGTGATGATATTGTTCTGCCATATATCCACATATCAAGGTGGCGCTCGGACACTGATATAAGCATAGTCACGACGAACCTATGCTCGATGCTTCGGATGATTCTTACATCAAAATGGAAGAGGATGACGACGATGATTCCTCTTTCGCCGGACAAGCTTCTGCCCTAAGAAGTCTTCAGGTCGAGAGCGACAACCGTGATTCACCCAATAGCTCCATGACCTCGGCTTCAGTTGCTCCGTCTCTGCCTGACCCAAAGGCCAAAATTATAACCAAAGTGGAAGGAAAAGTTGAAGCAACCCCTAACAACGTAAGCTCATACATGTTTCTGAAAGCACCCTCGAATTGCCGGTCCAAATCATCAATTCCTTCCCGACTATCCCCATCCGAATATGCCAGCCAATGCGTGGCCGCAGCCGAAGCGTCGAGGTTGGATCCTTACGCATTGCATGAAGACGAGCATAAGCTATTACAGGATAAATTATGCTATTCCCATGTCAGCGTCTACCTCAATATTCGAAATGGAATTTTGAGGCTGTGGACTCGAAATCCGAGCGTGAGTGTCAACCTCGAAGAGGCGATTGGTTGCACAAAGGACGAACGGTGGACGCGTCTTGCCTGTTTTGCATACGAGTGGCTTCTTCGACGAGGCTACATTAATTTTGGCTGTGTGAACCCACCTGCTATTACCAAGTCCGGCGGACGTGGTCGTAAGAAGGAGACTCCTCGAGAAACAATCGTTGTTATCGGAGGCGGCATGGCTGGCTTGAGTACTGCTCGGCAGCTCACCAACCTCTTTCAACACTACCCCGATCGTGCTCCTCCCAAGATCATTGTTCTGGAAGGTCGCGACAGAATAGGCGGGCGCATATACTCACATCCGCTAACTAGCATGCGATCGACCAAGCTCTCACCCGACCAAAGACCCATTGCTGAGATGGGCGCCCATATCATCGTTGGCTTCGACCGTGGAAATCCTCTCGATGCTATCATTCGTGGCCAACTCGCCCTCGATTATCACCTCCTTCGAGATCTGTCTACCCTGTACGATGTCGATGGCACCCCAGTTAATGGTGTGAACGATGCAATGATAGAAAGATTGTACAACGATGTCCTCGACCGAACTGGGCATTATCGGTTGAAACATACGGTCAAGAAGACTGCACAGGGAGAAAAGGATTTGATTGATGCGGGCCGAGATCCTACACACGATGATGGTCTTACTATCAAGCAATTTGAGGAAGCCGCCGCACTTGGCACGATTGATCAATTACTTCCCAAGAAGAAGTCAAGACGAAGAGGTGCAGGCCATCGAGCTGCAAAGGGTGACAAATCTTCGGAAGAGGTAGAGACGAGCACAGAGACAAAAACGCAACTGCCAGCCGCTCAAGCCGCAAAAGAGTTTGGCTTTCTACTTCGGAAGACAACACAGATGCATGAGACACTCGAGTTGGACGACCTTGCCTCTCAGCCCAATCAATCACTCGGTGCGGTCATGAATGCTGGCATCGATCAATACCAGAACTATCTCGACCTTAAGCCATATGCTCTTCGGCTGATCAACTGGCATTTTGCAAATCTTGAATACGCCAACGCCGCCAACGTTGACAAATTGAGTCTCCGGGGCTGGGATCAAGATATTGGCAACGAGTTCGAAGGTGAACATGCACAAGTGGTGGGCGGATACCAGCAACTGCCTCGTGCACTCTGGCGTCATCCCGATCCCTTGGATGTGCGGACTCACAAATCAGTCAAAAGCATCAAATACACCGCTGCCGGGTCTGCTGGCAAAGCCACCATAACTTGTGAGGATGGCCAATCCATCGAGGCTGACAAAGTCGTCTTTTCCGCTCCTCTTGGAGTCCTCAAAGAACAATCCATTCAGTTTGACCCACCACTACCACAGTGGAAGCGTGATGCGATCCGGAGAATGGGGTTTGGGCTCTTGAACAAGGTAATCCTGGTCTTTGAGAAACCTTTCTGGGATGTAGAAAGAGACATGTTTGGCCTGCTGCGACCTCCTCGAACCGGTAATGGTAACAACCAGAGCGATTACAAAGAGGGTCGAGGTCAATTCTACCTGTTCTGGAATTGTATCGAAACAAGTGGGTTGCCTGTCTTGATTGCACTTATGGCTGGAGACTCAGCACATGAAGCCGAGAAAGTCAGCGATGAGGTTCTGGTTGGCGAATGTGTCCATCAACTGCGGAATGTTTTTGGCCCAATGAACGTTCCGCCACCAGTTGAATCAATTGTCACACGATGGGGTTCGGATCGATTCGCACGAGGCACGTACTCGTATGTTGCCGCTGAAGCAAGACCGGGCGACTACGATCTCATCGCAGCGCCAATTGAGAATTTATTTTTCGCGGGTGAAGCAACAATAGCCAGTCATCCAGCCACTGTCCACGGCGCATATCTCTCTGGTCTTCGAGCCGCCAATGAAGTCTTTGAGTCGCTGGTGGGACCAATCCCAATCCCACCAACCTTGGTACCTTCGCCCGTGGCAAAGAGAAGCAGCAGCTCTACGATTGATTTGACTCAGATGGACACCCACATGGCAGTTGGTGGAAAGAGAAAGGGAGATGAACTACTTCCTGCGGGCACTTTCACTCGACCCGTGAAGGAAAAGGATAACTCGTTGAATGAAGCATGGGACGCAGCCATGTGGGTCCGCATCTATGATGACCTGGGACCTCCTCCTGTTAAACCTCCAAAAGCCAACGTCAACTCATTCCTCGTTTTCTCCGGCGAGCATTGGGAAGAAGTCAAGATTCGCCTGGCCGAGAACCGCAAAACAGGAAAGAAAGGAAAACATTCAGAACGTGATCAGGTCCGTGTCGAGTTGGGCAAGATGTGGGCTGCTCTGTCTGAGGAAGGGAAGAAACCATACACCGATCAGACAAACAAGAACCGGGAGGAGAATGACAAAGCGATGAAAGAATGGGCTGCCAAGGCGGCCGAATGGGATCGACGGACATGGGAAGTCAAAGATGTCTGGATCAAAGAAGGTAACAGTTTTGAAGAATTCTGTAAGCGGAAGCGCGAGGAAGACGAGGTGATGAACGCGGCAGACCAGGCTAAGAGGGCCAGACTCTAGGCGCTTGCGTTGGATATTGGAGGACGGCGATGATCACAGTGGTGGGTACGTCAGTCCTCTTTGCTCAGGGTGAAGGGTTTGATCATTGGATTGTATATGTTATTCCGGCGCGGTTATGTTTGATTAGGTCAATCACAATGAATATTGGAAGGTGTATGGCGGTGAGTGGCACCTCTCGAGGTAAAGTATTGATAGCTGCCGGGTGGGTGTATCGCATCGACGGAGTAGTGGTTATGAATTTCACATCCTGATAGCCAAACATGCAGGTTTTTGCTATCTTTACACATGGCGAGTTGAATTGGTTGTTGGGGTTACAATATGCGCTACCGATATCGGCCATCCTCACCTCCCCATCTCAGATAGTACTGTACCTAGGTAAGTAATAAGGTAACAGGCCATGGGCGTTGATCCCCGACACCTTGGTAATAATAAGCACGAGCACCCTCTGCTTTTAGCTTAAGAATTGGCCGAAAGTCAAGGACTCTCGTACTCGGACTCGGACTCGGGACTCGGATCCAGTCACATCAAGTTGCTCGCAGATTGACTCAGAATCGAAGAGAGACGTCGACGCTTTTGCTCTTCTTCCTTTCGTCCTGTCTTTCTCTACGGTGTACGTGGATCGACGGGTGATCGTGAGACTTGTTTTTCGACCTGTCAGGTCATCCATCTCACTCATCGAAATCTATCCGCCTTATATCTATCTACCTGGGTGGGTTTGGCAGCCTCTCTGGTATCTTGCTCCATCCAACATTGCCCCGGGCGTGTGTTACTGTACACTTCCTACTTTCGCAATCAACCGCTGTGGGCTCTTTTTTTTGGATTTCGTTGCGCCTCTCTTGGACGGTTCATCATGGGCGCCTTTTACGAAACCCTCCCGCCGTCACTTATAACGTGGCTTCTCCAGCAGAAAGTGTTCTGCATCGGGTCCGCGCCGCTCAGTGGTGCGGGGCACATCAACGTCTCGCCCAAGGGAGTGACGGACAGAGGAGGAGCAGGGCCGTTCTTTGGCGTGATCAAGGAATCCAAGTCGGTTCCGGGCAAGGTGTATCCGCCCTCCACGTCCACGTCGACTTCGACCGCCGGCGGCGGTGACGACCACGATGAGACCGATGCCGACAACAACAATAAAGATATCGTCGTCAGGAAATTCTGGTACGTGGATCTCACGGGCAGTGGGATCGAGACGACGAGTCACTTGCACGAACCGGGCAATGGGAGGATCACGGTCATGTTCATGGCGTTTGACGGACCGCCTAGAATCTTGAGGTTGTATGGAAAAGGTACGTACCCTGTCGCGACAGGCACGACACGAACCATATGATATCACACACACAGAGAGGAAGGGTGTGCTCGTGTGTCTTGTCCATACGTTGTGTGCTACATGTGCATGGGAGACCGGGTTCTCTGTGTATACGTGTGTCTGGATGTGATGAGATGCTAATGCTCTCCGTCGTGAACGGTACACAGGCAGAGTTTTAGAGTACGGGACACCTGCATTCGACGAAATCGTAGCGTCACAGGGCGTCAAGCTCATACCGGGCACGAGGTCGATCATAGTCGTCGATATCGACCAGGTCGGAACGTCGTGTGGGTTCAGCGTGCCCAAGTACGACTTTGTCGAGTACAGGCCGACGTTGCATGAGTTCTTTGAGAAGCGCGTCGCGAACGAAAAGGCCGGAAAGAGGGAGGACGGCATTGAACGGTGAGTTGCTTTGCGACACCGTAGTGGTTTTTTTACTTCAGTTCACCACAAGAATGGCAAGCTGACCTTGTGCACATCAAATGATCAGGTACTGGGCATTCAAGAACGCTTGGAGCATGGACGGGCTCCCCGGCATGCAGCGTGGTCTGCACACCGCGGTGACGGATAACGTCAAACCTATCAAAAAGATGGTTGGGCCTCATGCGCCCCGGGTCAATGGACAGTACAAGCCTCAGAGGGTGTTTGTGTTGAGGCATCTGATTCTCGCAGCCGTCTTGAGCGCCGTGAGCACGGTCGTGATGATGTTCTTCCTACTGAGACTCGTCGGAGTGGATATCGATATCAAGGAGATTCTGAAGCGGTGACCCACGTGCGATCGATTGAGTGATTGAGTAAGGAACGAAAACTCAAGGTTGACTGTCGGTTGTTTATGTGATGGTTGCGTGGACTTTCCACATTCTGGGGCCTCGAAGGCTTTTATATGGCAGGTACAAAAGACATAATGATTTCAGATTGGTACATTTTATGTAGGCTGTGGTCTGTCCCATTGTTTGCCGTCTCGCCAGAACCCCTCCACGAGAGCTGGTCTGCCGGGCTTGCCGTCGCGCGGTAGCTCGTTCAACCACTCCCATCGACATCCCTCCTTCCACCCTCGCTCACGCCAGTCGTTCATGTCTGCGCTCGGATCCGAATTGAGCGTCGGTATGTATTTCAGGAGGGCAGGGTCGTGTGCAAGACAGACGAGGACGTTTGCAGATTGCTCGAAATGCACGAGTTTGTCGACGGACGTCTGTGCCGTTTGGGGTTCGACATAGGCCGACGCCTTGTGATCGGAGACGAGAAAGAACGGCGTGGTCCTGCGTGCGTCCTGGCCCGCTCCTTCGAGACCTTGAGGGTGGTGGTCTGTAAACACACTGCACGGGCAGGGGGACGGGAAGCCGCCGTCGAGCACCCCGACTGGGATTGGGTCCGGTAGGGGAAATGCTTTGGTCGGTCTGATGTCGCCTACGAAATGACATATATCTCCGCCCATGAGGACGAAACTGCTGTCCTCACCGCCTCCTGTCGTTCGGGCGAGACCGCACATGTGGCCTAGACAGTGGCCCGGCGTGTCTTTGAAATGTCAGTCAAGTAATGGGGGTTCTCAGCTTGTAGTCGTATATCCTCTCCAAGGATGGGCACTTTCACACATACCCAGCAGGTAGAACGAGCCATCCCCGAAAAAGTCGTAGGCCCCGAAGCCACCAATCCGCAAGCCTGCTTTCTCAAAGTCGATCTCGTTCAGATGACGACCTGCAAAGTCCGAAGAATTCAACGGTGAGTCAGGCTTCTCCGGGTAACCTGGCAGGACGATGGGTGAGGCCTTGAAACCGGGCCCAACCACGATCTCAGTCGAGGACGGGAACAAGGACATATCGCCAACGTGATCCCAATGGTAGTGCGAGAACACGACGGACGCTAGAGAACATTACGAACGTCAGAAGCGCGACTTTCACGAGGCAAACAGTCACAGATGTCTGCAATTTGCAAGCACGCGACCGCCGCCGAAGCCGTATAAATAAACACTCAGAGGTAAACAAAACCTACATATCGAACCGAGACTGATGCCGTTGTCCTGAAGAATCGTCGGGATGTCAGTGTCGACTCTCAGACTGGGAATGATAATCCCCAGACGTTTCTGAATGATCGGAGGAAGATTCCAGTAATCCTTGCGCACGCCCAGGTCGAACATGATCTTCCGGTTAGAGGCTTCGTGCTCGATCAGGAACGCAGCATTTGTGACATTCAGCAAATCGAGGCCCTTTGAGGCGGGCTTGACGAATGACTCTGCCTTGATCGTCAGGACTGAGGTGGTGTCGATCAACCGGACGCGGACAGTGTGTTGAGAGGCTGGAAAATCCATGCTGGGCGTGGCCCTATCGCGTGTACAGGTTCTCCGAGGGATTGCAGCACGAGACTGGACTTTCTCGTAGTGTGCTTGAATGCAAGCAGCCTGATATACAAAAGATGTGGACTGTCCTTCTCACTCGCCCTGTACATGCCTATCTACGGTCAACCATCAACCGGAACCGGCCCCGCTAAAGGTCCAGCGGTTCTCGGCGTTTTTGCGCGCTCGAGTTTCCTCTTTAGGGAGGCACCGATCAGATGCTGATGCGGCGATTTGATCGCCGCAGAAACAACCTCTTGCAAAACGAGACCAGCAATGAATCAACAGCTATGAGGACTATGATCCAGTACATGGTTGTCCCATCGGCCCATCCACCGCCATGTCTTGTTTCATATCTAACCACTGGCGGAAATCGCCCATGAGGACTCAGAGCCTGTGCCCTGACGAGATCGCACCTTGTACGAGGATTCCATAATATGGCAGATCATATATATAACCGGGTAAGCGGCACGGTAACCGTCCCACTTCATGCCCTGTATCGGCGGTCTCTCCCGCCCTGTTTGTTGAAGAATCCTGTTCGGCAGTGAACCGTCCACTACCACACATGCAAAAGTTGACGAGCTTGATGAGTCTTGACTACTCGTTAGTCACTAACCTACGAATAGCGAACCGAATACTTCTCTTTTTGTCGCTGCTCTTTCTTCTCTCATTGTTTTCTCTCCTATGGGCTAGGACAGTACTGTACATGCTCAATCTTCCCTCCCTGTCTCGAATTATATACACTCCAAGGTTGTACTATCTCGACGAAGTGATGTTCCTTGGTCGTGCTGGGGTGGACGGTCAGAGTGATTGCCAACAATGGCGCGAGAGCAACAATACCAGCTCGAAGACCAGGAGAACCTCCTGCCCAAGAAACAGGTCATCATCGTCTTCTCGGCACTAGCATGCATATTGCTCGTCACCTTCATCGACCAGAACTCGGTGGGCGTCATGCTACCGACCATCGGGGGCGATCTGCACGCCGAGAACACCATCTCCTGGGCGGCCACGGCGAACCTGATAGCCAACACCACCTTCCAGGTCCTGTACGGCAGGTTGAGCGACATCTTTGGCAGAAAGGGCGTGCTGTTGACCGCCATTGTGCTCCTCGCCGCCGGGGATTTGGGGTGCGGCTTCGCCCAGAACGGGCCGCAGTTATACGCGCTTCGAGGACTAAGCGGAGTGGGCAGCGCCGGCATCACGGCCCTGTCGATGATGACCACGAGTGATATCGTCACTTTGAGGGAACGAGGAAGGTATGTTCCGTATGCCTATCGCACATCGCACATCGCACATCGCACATCGCACATCGCACTTCGAATACCCCACGCCGGGACCCCCTGGCCCTCTTGCTCTTTGGGAGCAAGCGAACAAATGTCGAAAGAGGCCCGTATCGGGTCCACACTCCTTCACGCACAACTACTGTCCATAGATTGACGACCTGTGGAAAATATAGGTATCAAGGGATCTTGGGATCTTGCATCGGCGCAGGGAACATCATCGGCCCGTTCATCGCAGCGGCCTTCACTGAGACGGCGACATGGCGGGCCATGTTCTGGTTTGTATCTCCTCTGGCCATCCTGGCCGGCGGGATCGTTCTCGTGGTCCTTCCGCAAAAGACACCCGGTGGCAGTTTTATGTCCAAGGTTAGCAAGATAGACTTTATCGGGTCCGTCTTGAGCACCGCCGGCATGATATTGGTCTTGATCCCGGTTTCCGGCGGAGGAACCTACTTTGAATGGCGCAGCGTCATGGTCATAGTCATGTTCGTGCTGGGGGGACTGTGCATGATCGCCTTCGTGCTCGTCGAGTGGAAAGTCGCACAGTTGCCTACGATGCCTAGTGAGTTTTTTCCTATTCTCCCTTACCCTCCCTACGAATATATATGGACATGCCGTGTTCGAAGTGTTTGAACCTTTGATTTTCATGGTTTAAACATTTGTTGTTACAGTTTCTTCCCTGGTTGCCTGTGGCTTGTTCCCTTGTTTTCACAAACGACTGACCGTGGGGGACAACGTACATTGACATCCGTGCACGCAGTCCGCCTCTTCAAGAACCGCGCCGTGTGCGTGATCTTGGTCCAGAACTTCCTCTTCGGCTCCGTCTACTACAGCATTCTCTACTACGTCCCCCTCGCACTACAGAACGTGCGCGGCCTGAGTCCTCTGGCCTCCGCAGGCGTCATCGTCTGCCTGGTCTTCGCTCAGAGCATCTCCTCCGTGGCATCGGGCCAATACATTTCCAGACGCGGTCGGTACGGCGAAGTCCTCTGGTTCGGCTACGGCGTCTGGACCGTGGGCGCGGCCTTGTTCTGCATGTTCACCCGCTCTCTACCCATCGCGGCCATGGCTGTCTTCCTGCTCATCGAGGGCGTGGGGGTCGGGTGCTGTTTCCAGCCGAGTAAGTAGCAGTCCCACTAACTAGTTTGGTCCCTTTTTGGTGTCCCCGTCCCCCACTGCCTCTTCCTTCCACGCCACAACCCTCACGCGAGTGCCGTATTTCCTTTGTTTGTTCGTGACGTTGTCGTTGTTGTTGTTGATAATCTCGATGTTGATCTCTCGTTCTCTCTAGCCCTCGTCGCTTCTCAAGCACATTGCGTCAAAGCAGATCGAGCCGTCGTCATCAGCGCGCGGAACTTTTGCAGAACCTTCGGAGCGGCCACCGGCCTGGCGATCTGTGCCGCCATCTACTCCAACGTGTTGCAGGCAGATCTCCCCGCGTCTTTACCCGAGTCCTTTCGGCAGACGGTCACAAGCTCGATATTCAAAACGCCAAACCTCAGCGTCCTCAACCACGAGCAACGAGACGGCGTGCTGGACGCCTATGCCCATGCCGCCAGAGCCGTCTTCATCCTCTGGGCGCCCGTGATGTTTGTGTGTTTTCTTAGCATGGTCTTTGTGGAGGATAAGGGCTTGGAACGACCCGACGAGAAGAAATCCGATCCGGTCCAAGTGCAGGCTGATCCTGTTTTAGAGGACAGCGTAGTGACAGTCTCGCCTGACGACGTACAAGATTCCGCTTCACATCACGAGAAGAAAGACGTCGGAATCGGCCGAGTTGAAGCTTCCAACCTTGACGAAACACATGGTAAAGGTGGAAATCGAGAAGAAGTTTAGCAATAGCCGGAGTGACGTGCCATACATTGCCCATTTGGGCTGTAACATCATCATTTCATTAAATGATACAAAAGACATCAAGTATTCGCTTTTATTCTGATTCAAAATGGGTACATATCCGACACTCCGCCACCGTACTGGAAAACATTCGAGAGGTCAAACTCCAACTCGGTCGCTCCAAGGATCTCTAGATCCAGCTGTGGTTTGACCCCAGGCCACGGCGGGTCCTGTGGTAGCACTGCGCCATGCGAGAAATCCGACGTGCTCAAATCAGTCGACTGGAGGTCCGAGAACTCACATGAATATTCAGTCGATGTCGACGGCGAGCTGAATGACTTGTAGTCGTCCCTTTGGAGAGTGGCAGTGTGCATCTGCTGCAGACGATTCCGCAGACCATCCCTGGCATGCCCGGCAACGGTCCACGAGTAGGACAACTCGGATAAGAGCACGTCCAAGAACGGGAGGACACTGTCTTTGTCCTTGAGATCTGTATCGTGATTTTGCGATTTCGTGGAATCTATCAATAGTGTCGTGTCGGCGGCAGTGATGACTCCATGCACAAACACAAGCGGAGCGTTCATTAGAGTATGCTGTGCTCTGTAGCGGCGCAGGATGCCAACAATGGTCTCGACAGAGTCTACGCAAATGTCCGAGGCTTGACGGGCAGCAGCCAGCTGCAAATGCGGCGAATGGTGGTGTACAGCCAACAGAGGTCTGTTCAACACGAGCCGCACGATATGGTAAAGAACGCTGGAATGTTTCAGTGGACAAGATGAGTAGAGGTACGGAATACGAGGGCGACATACTGCGTAGTGGCCACGCCTGGGTCAAGGGGCTCATTGTTCGAGGTCCATCTGCTCCACCGCAATTCGCTGGGAAGTGAATTGTACCAGCCTAGTAGACGCGCGTTCAATTTGTTGTGGACTGCGCCATTTGCAACCTCGCTCCGCCGGGAAGGTCTCCTCCTTCTTGAGAGATAGGTGTGGTTTTGGAAGTCTCCTGCGATTGTTGCGAGCTGGGCCTGTTTCTGCAACAAGAGACTGTAGAAGCCTGTCGAGTCATCATCAGACGAGTAACTTGCTATCTGCGAGGCCGCAGGCTGTGGAGAAATCTGGTAGGCGATTGCGTCGTCGGGAGACGCCGCAGGAACAACGACAGGTTGAATCTGCTTCGGGTCCGTGTCGTATTCTGCTAGATTCATCATCGGCGTGTGGCCGAAGAAGAGACTCAACATCCTAGGGTTTGAGTTAGTGAAGTCTGCCAGTCTCCAGGAAAGGGTGGGAACTTATCGGATATAGCTAGGGTTAGAGACATACGCCGCCGTGACTCAAAGTCAACGGGCAGCGTACCTGAGGGTCCTGTCGAGACAGGTTGGAGGTGATCCTCGTGGATACCAAGAGCTTCGGCCACACGGAGGGCGACGCCTAGCATTGTCAGTGATATGATTATCGACCTCGCGAGAGTTGCAGCCTGTACCTGAATACATCCAGCCTTTCGATGCGTTTCCCCTTCCACTTTCGAACACCGCGCATAACAGGAATGTCTGGGCAGTGGTCACATCAAGAGTGTCAAACGAGTCTGCGACTGCGTTTTCTGCGGCAGCAATGAACAATGGCGCCAAATGCTTGATGTTCTGGTCGTGAGACATAAGAGCTCCCAAAGCACAGACAGCATGTACGAGTCCAGAGATGGGCTCGGAGAGGGCGCTGGTGCGTGACGGGATCGAGTCTCTATCCAGCATCCGACAAAACGGTCGCTGCCATTGGAAGAACAGATCAACGCATTCGTCTATCACAAGACGAGGGATACTGGAGATACTGCTGTGTAACCACGCATCGGACACCGGCTGGGATGATGGATATGGTTGAATCAGTCCTGTACCATAGGCACTACCGGCTCGATGGAAGACTGGAGAGCCTGCAACAGCAAGTCACGATTAGCGACAGGCAATGTCTCGCGAGAATCATGTCGTGGCCTACCTTCTGCCGTGGCACCCCAGTATCCTGGCGGCGTGAACGTCTCGACGTCTACAATACTCGGTGTGCGATCGACGCCGGTGGGTAAGTGGTCGTCAACGTCTATGCCGCGTATGATCTCGTCACGCTGCTCGCCTGTCGACGATTTGATGCTTGACAGGAACGACTCTAGAGTGGCCACCCTGGCTTCCAGCGCAGTTACATACTCTTGAGAGACAGGAACGCGCTTCCAATCATCCGATCGGAACTCGCACTTGACTCCGGCAGTCGCACAGCTACGACAGGGCGTCGTTCGGGAGCATCTGATCTGTCACAATGCGTTAGGAGATTATTATGATTCAGTCTGTTCGGACAAGACTGCACATACCTTCCGCGTCTGACATCGCTTGCATCTTTCGAGGATGTAGGTCAGTCCTGGTGATCATGGGAGACCCGAACGCGGGCTACTTACGATATCCTCTTCTCTCCGCTTCTTTGCATTTGGAGGCACTCGGTAATCGGGACCAGTACGAGGTGAATATCGAATACAGAGCGCGAGAGAGTGCAATGTTCAGGCAGTAATGTTTTCGCAAGAGACGTGAAGAATGCACAAGGAGAAACAGCGAGGCGTGAACTGAAGTTGATATCACAATCTGCTTTCTCTGATAAGCACGCAATCGCCCCACTACGGGGTGCAACTCCGAAGCCGGAATCTCGACCCTGATTCGACAGCCTTGCATCTGCCTGCCAGCTACTATCAAGAACTCACAGTAACAAGCTTCCCGCGAGGCTCAGGATCATTCGACGATGAGAAACATTGAAGCTTTGCCGCGGGAAACAAATCCTTATCAGTGACGAAGAGAAAATCTGATTACAATCTTGAGACTACAGTCCAAAGAACTACATACACACCCCAGATACAGACTGCGCGCATTCACCGTCCCTTCCCCTGTGATCATGTACCTCACTCAAAGATCCTTGCTTCTAAAGAACTTCTGACCTTTGAACGTGAGCCAAGGAATGAGCCCAGACTTCTCCTGTGTCTTCTTGCCCTGTCCCTTGTACTCGCGGATCAGTGCTTCTGGCTTGACCTTGGACGTGTCAACAAGCACGGTGCCCTCAGCGTCTAGTGCTTCAGCCTGTACGCTCTTCACGTTGACGCGATCGAGTTTCAACTCAGTCTCGAAACTCTCGCGCTTGGCTTCGCCCAAGAACGAACGACGGTCATCCTTGACTTCGTAGAAGCGCCACACCTTGGTGCGTGTGTCACCATTCCACGAGACATAGATGCTGGTGGAATTGCCATCTTCGAGAGCAACAATGGCTGGCGCCTCGTTCGGAATGCCGGTCCAGTTATAGCGGAAGCCCCGGTAGTTCTCGACGCCAATACCCAAGAAGCCAGAGTCCATGTAAGTATGGAAGATCGGCGTGCCATCCGCTTTGAACTCTGTCATTGCACCTTCAGAGCCCCAGTTGACCATGACGTTCCCGTTGGGCAGGAGCTGAGTCGATCCCTGGGATTTAGACAACAGATCATCCGGCGGGTGGAAGGCCTGCACGATGGTCGCCTCCCAGGATTTGGTGTCTACTTCAATGATCTTGCCACGAGAGATGTTGTAGAAATGGACTTCGTGCCCACCCCCATTCTCGGTCCCATGCGCTGAATTGTCGTAAATGCTGATGATCTCCTTGGTGCCATCTTCACTTCGGCCCTGGAAACGAGCATGATGTTGGAAGGCGAACTCGACTTCGTCGCCCATCTTGAAGCTGGAGGATTTGCCCGAAAGCTGCCAGATAATCTCTCCGGTTGTGCCGTTGATTTTGTACGCGGCATTGGCGTCTCGAGCTGAGATCAGATAGTTTCCTTGGTCGTCTTTGTCGACTGAATTGATGTGGAAGTAGTCCCAGGCGTCAGAGCTGTTGTAGCCGGCACCCGCCTGTCCAGGATTCAAAGGAAGGTAACCCTCTGTTCTATGTCAGTTCCGAGCCTCGACCACATGGGTGCACACGTACCGGAGGGGTCAACATGTTCCAAACTACTCCATTCAAATAGCACTTCACCAGTTTCGATGTCGAGTTCTGGCCATGTCAGCTGGCCCGAGGAGTCGGAGGAATACTACTCACCTTGGAATCTGGCGTCGACAATCCATTGTTGCTCCTCACTACCACCGTAGGGGCTCAAGTCATACGGTACAGGGTGGTAGATCTGAATGAGAGCAGTCTCTTCGTTGATGATGTGGAACTCATGTTTGTCAGTCAAGCGGTGGTTGCCAGCGCGAAGCTCACGGATTGTCTCATAGTTCTGATCCAGGAAGGTCGTGTGCCCGTGTCCGTGTCCATATGCTGCGTTATGACTGCCTTCGAAACAGAAAAGTACATCTTTGCCTTTATATTTTGCCGCTTGGAAGTTTGTCGCCCAGATTGAAAAATAGGTGAAGCCTGACCATACGAGGTCTCCTGTGTCAGTGAAGATGTAAGGTGCTGCTTGCAACGGCCCATGACGAGTTCCTTCAGGATATCCTGAGAATGGTGCAATGAAGAGATATCCTTTCTCCACTTCGCTGGTGGCTGGAATAGTGATATTGAGGGTTGGAGGTGCCAGGTCTGGCCTTGACTTGTACCGCCAGTTTGCTGAAGCCAGCGGCAGAGACGACAAAAGCCATCCTAGAGCGAAAGTTGAGGTGAACAGCTGTAACATCTTGCTTGGTGGATAAATTATGTCTCTGTACCGTGGCGTCTTTCGATGAGGATAGGTTCGCCCACCTTGGACACACGACGTCTTTATATGGCTGCATTCTTTTCTTTATTTCTCCCTCTGCTGGCCAGGTTGTATTTTGGCCGCAACCACTCAAAATCACGCCAGCAAGCTACGCAATACTCCAGCAAGAAATTTCGTGACCCGCTCATGTTGAGTCGGGTCTATTGTCAATCCCAAAATCTAGCTTGCTGGTGGTGCTCCATTGTATCATCGAGACGGACAGCATGTCCGCGTCCGCGCGGATGGGGACGTTGTGGAGTTGATTGCACCATCGTCGGGTCGGATGGCGGTGTCCAGTGCTTGAGCCAGAAAAATTCGCCGCAACGTCCATTTCGCGGACATCATCTCCTATCATCCTTTGTCGGAGCTCAAGGCATAGCACCGTTTCGCTCTGCTACAACTTCTAGAACCTGATCGCAAGATTAAACCCTGGGAAAGCGACGACCCACTTTTCCACCCACGAAGATCTGGACGCTACTTGTCGGAAAGGCATGTCTCGATCTAAGCTAGATGTTGAACGCTTGATTTCATTTTTGGTCGACAGGTGTTCTTGACGTGATTCTCTATTCTTTCTGTTTAAACTTATGGCCTGGGGCCACTGAGGAAAAAAGGTCCTGGCGTCTCTTCAATCAGAGCTTCAGACGGCGAATCCCTCACGATGCATTCCTTCCCTGCCCTTTCCCAGACGGGTCGTCAGGCAGTCATTTCTTCTGAGCACACAACGAACAAGCCTGATGAGGCGACACCCCTCATCGGTGGCGGCGCAGACATTACGGATCAGATAGAAGAGAAGTGGAAGCCTGGGCCTGGGTTCATTTGGATTGAGATTGGTATGAGCAGACAGACTTTAGAGAGAGTACACTGCTAACCCACTATCAGCGATCTTTTCGAATGTCTTCCTCTCTGGCTTCGATGGCACCATCACGGCATCGACGTATGCCGTCATTGGATCTGAGTTCAACGCCGCCAACACAATATCGTGGCTTACAACATCATACCTGATCACGAGCACTGCATTCCAACCGCTCTATGGACGATTCTCTGATGTCTTAGGGAGGCGGACCTGCTTTTTCACTGCGACTATAACCTTCCTGCTTGGTTGTTTAGGCTGTGCTCTCGCACCAGATATAATTACATTGAACCTCATGAGGGCACTGACTGGGTTAGGCGGAGGTGGGCTGATGACCATGGCGACCATCATAAATTCAGACATGATACCCTTTAAAGAGAGAGGGATGTATCAAGCTTGCCAGAATGTGCTCCATGGCTTTGGATCTATCTGCGGAGCGTCTTTGGGGGGTCTCATCGCAGACACTATCGGCTGGCGTTGGTGCTTCCTCTGTCAAGTGCCTGTTTCACTGTTTGCATTCACCGTGGGGCATTTTGTCATAAAGCAAGACGACAAGCAGTTAACATCAGACGAGGAGGCCGCAACTGGTCCCGTACATGCCTCGAGGTGGAAGCAAATCGACGTCGGGGGGGCACTGTTCCTTGTCCTCGGACTTTCTGCGCAACTGGCGGCCTTAAGTATGGGTGGCAATGACTATCCTTGGGGCGATGCCCGAGTACTTACAGCTCTACTCGTGAGCATACTTCTCCTCGTGGCCTTTGTACAAGTTGAGATACGTACTGGAGCCCTTGCAGTGATGCCCATGTCTATGCTGAAAGGAACTCTTGCTGTGTCGAATCTTGTTAGCAACGTTTGCGTCGGGATGGCAGCATACTCGGTGAGTCAAACTATTACAAGTATGACAAAGCTGACGGGTATGCAGTTCTTGTTTGTGTTGCCACTTTTCTTCCAAGTTGTCCTCCAAGACAGTGCCTCACAGGCTGGGATGCGGCTTGTCGTACCGTCATTGGCAACACCTGTTGGTGGAGTGGTATCGGGCATAATAATGTCTCGCTGGGGTCGCCTGAGCGAGCTTGTTCGGACTGGATGCTTGCTGATGATGGTTGGCAACGGCCTTGTCGCTTCCCTCAAATACGAGGACTCATCGTGGAAATACCTGGTGTACTTAATCCCAGCAAATTTCGGCCAGGGCATGTCATACCCTGCCATTCTTTTCACCTTCTTAGCTGCCTTTGATCACGATCGTGAGTATGCTCCCTCAAGCTATGGTGCTACAGCTTACCTTTTGCAGAGCAAGCCGTTTCCACCTCAATGGTATACCTTTTCCGCTCTATGGGCACAGTATGGGGGGTTGCGGCGTCATCTACATTGATCCAAAATATTCTCGCACAAGATTTGCCATCTGCGCTCCAGGGGATGCCAGATCAAGCCAAGGTAACAAATCTGCAAAGCATTAATGGACTACATCTGACCCAACTTTGACATAGCTCATCGACGAGATTCGGCACTCAGTCTCCGTGCTCAAGAAACTCCCACCCGACGTGCAGTTGGCCGCTCGTCATGTCTACTACACGGCCCTTCGCTACGCATTCATCGCTAATACGGCAGTTGCGGCCATTGCTCTTGTATCTGCATTCTTTGCGAAAGGGAAAAGTCTCCACCGATCCCGGTGACATACAACACTTGAGACACTCAAGCGATGGCCAAAATTGACTTTGCTGTTCTTAGAATGGCAGGGCGCTTTGATTCTCACTTAGAACGTGCATTTGAATTATCATCTTACTTCTTAGTATCCGAGGTAGACATTAAAGCTAGCATTGAAAGATTTCTATATGCTTTTGCGCTATGAAGTGCTTGTTTAAACATCAGAAGATAAAGCTATCGTAAACTTTCCGCTGAACCAAGTGAATGGCCAAGTGACGAAGAATACCAAGGCCGCCGCTTCGCCTTGGTTTGGGTAAAATCCAGACATTGCGGGTGGAGGAGCAAGCCACCCGATAAGGCACCGATTGTGAATCCACAGCTGAGGAGTTGAAGTCCGTTAATAAGTACGGTCGAAATTCCCCATCGTCGGAGGTCCACTCCGTATAATGGCATAAGATAGCCCTTGTGAGGATAGCACTCTTCTCCCATGGAGTTCCACCCCGAAATATCTGACGTCTCGCATATACAGCAGCGACCACTAGACCGCGCCGGGTAACTAGAGTGGAGACTCTATAGCCGTCGAGGATTTGAGCCGCCCCTGGCGGGAGAAGCACAAGCCTGTACGGTCACACCAACCCTGACGCTCTGCCGTATTCCTAGTTGATATCAAAGATTCTCCTGGCATTTTCGTGATTTCCAGAGATAACGCTGTCTCTGATGCGCTCAACCCGCTGATAAAGCTATCTGTACCAGAAGCAGAGAAAGACAACCGTTGCGATATGAGAAAGCCTATAAGATCTCCCACAATCTTCGCGCCATATACTACCGAGAGATTGCATTTTCATCCTGGATAGAAATCACCTCCCATTGTGCTCTTCCGATCGCCCCTCAAGCACTATGGCTGAGAAAAGCATCTACATATCCGAAATGGCTAAAACCAAAGAATCGGAAGCTGTTGGGACGGGAGCTGTTCTCCCTCTTGATGTTGACGGCGACCAGAATAGTGACAAAAATGCCTGGCTTGGATCGACTCAGCAACATCCCTTCAGTTTGCCTGAGAATGCTCGATACTGGCAAAATGTTTATGAGACGGCCAAATATGAGGGTCGACATAGGTTTGATCCAGCATATCAATGGAGTGCGAGCGAAGAGAAGCAACTTGTACGAAAGGTACGTTCTCGTCAATGCCTGGTGACTGTGAACGCTCTCTAACGTCTAACCAAAGCTCAATTGGCGCATCATGGCCTGGGTGTGGATCATGTTCGCCTCACTCGACCTTGTTCGACGGAACATCAATCGTGCAATTTCAGACAATATGGTAGGAACTTTCATCCTCATCAACCCTTGACAATTGAAGCTCATGTCTATCAGCTTGCTGAATTGAATATGAACACGAATGATTTCAACAGCGGTCAAACAATCTATCTCGCATCTTTTCTGGCGGCCGAGCTCCCAGGAGGTCTTTTGAGCAAGAAAATTGGCCCTGATGTTATGACTCCGATTTCAATCTGTATTTGGGGAGTCATCTGCGCTTGCCAGGCTGCGATCAAAAATCGCACCGGCTTTTTCATCACAAGAGCTTTGCTGGGTTTCTCTCAAGGTGGTATGTTCCATTATACCAGTGAAGTCCTGTTCAACCATCATCCCTGGTGGGAGAAGGGCCATTGCAAAACATGGTACTGAACACCTACAGGGTTTATTCCAGAAATGGTTCTCTACCTTTCCTACTTTTATAAGTCCAACGAGCTGCCTATTCGGCTATCGATCTTTTGGACCGCGATTCCCTTGACCCAAATCATTGGTTCTTTACTGGCGGCTGGACTTCTGAAGATGCGTGGAGTCAACGACTGGTCAGGCTGGCAGTGGCTGTAGGTGTTGGCTGATTTATCAAATTGAACATGGCTAATATACGATAGGCTTTTGATCGAAGGTCTGATGAGTGTGCTTGTTGGACTAGCCACGTTCTTCTTGATGCCGGCTAGTGTCACCGAAACTCATAAGATCTTCCGCGGTCGAGCAGCCTGGCTGCATTCCAAAACTGGATGGTTCACGGAGAGAGAAGAGAAGATTGGGGTCAATCGAATTCTGCGTGATGATCCTTCCAAAGGAGACATGAACAATCGGCAACATGTTGACCTCAAAGGGATCTGGCACGCAGTCAGAGACTATGATCTTTGGCCTACTTACATTGTAGGTTCGACCAATTCTTCTTGTAATGACAACGCTGACTCTGCACAAGCTCGGAGTCATGGCGTTCATCCCCTTTCAGCCAGCTGCGAATTATCTCTCTCTGACGCTACGCAATCTCGGATACAGTGTGTTCGAGGCAAATATGCTGGCAATTCCAGGTTACTTTCTGTTTTTTGTAAATGTAAGTGGAGAGTCTTTATCAATGAATCTACTCATTGACAATGTTACAGATCCTTGTGGTTGTGTGGATGAGCGAAAGATATCGCGAACGCCTTATTTTCAGCTCTCTCAGCAACTGGTGGGTGTTGCCGTTCCTGATCGGCCTGCTAGCTATACCGGCAACAGCTAGTCCTTGGGTACGCTATGCACTGCTCACCGGTGTTAATGGCGAGCCTTATGGTAAGGACAAACGTCCTCTCATTTGCTCAGTATCTCACTAATAACTGTGAAAAGCGCATGCGATCCTCGTGGGGATGATATCTCGAAACTCTAATAGCGTCGGAACCAGAGCTGTCTCAGCAGCAGTCTACAACATCTGCTATCAAATAGGTTCCATCGTGGCTGTAAATATCTATCGAAACGACGATAAACCTTATTGTGAGTTTCGTAATACAGCGTTACTCTGGTGGAAGTTGCGCTGACCCTTCACAGATTACCGTGGAAACAAGATCCTTGTGGGCATCACCTCAGCCAACATTGTGCTATTCTACCTGGCCAAGTGGTACTACATCAGACGAAACCAGCAGAAAGACAGGCAATGGAAGGCCCTGAGTGATTTCGAGCAAGCTAACTACCTGTCGACAACCAAGGATACTGGTACCAAGCGACTAAATGTTCGTTTTGCGCATTGAACGTCGGATTTGGCTTCAGAGACTTTTGAAGGCGGGAGGATAGAGACGCTAGAGATGATTAGAGAGGTGATGGGGTACACGATCACCGTTTTCTGCGCTCGAGGGATTTTTGATACAGACGGCTTGAATACATTTGACATTCCCATATATTTGAAAGCTGTTGACCTCGCAGGGGTATATGTGTGGTTTCTGAACTTGACAGAAGCCTTCTGGATACCCTTTCAATTGCTTTCATGAACGTGATCGATACACTTGGGCACACTGGAGAACAGTGTGGTCAGGCTGTGGCGTCAGGGGGAAAAACAAGGCTGAGGGTGTATAAAAGCGGCAAGCAGAGTTTCTCGATGAGGAAGCAGCGGAGACGCATCTCCAAACCGTGTCCAACTGCGACCAAAATAATTAAAAGGCCCTTTGAACATGACAGACTGGCATTGTCAACACCCGTGAGACTTTGAAGACGCGAGATTCCAAATTCCCTTGCATACCTACGTAGACCACAACGCCGCTTCCCTCTCCCGGAAAATGCAACGGACACCATTTCAGCCGCCTCAGAAATCGCCCGAACTGTTCCATCCCCGACCTCAGCACATCTCCCAGGTACCGAACCTGCGGTCACCGCCTCCGCCAGTCTCTCAGCAAAGTTCGCAACCGCAGATGAATAGCTATGGCAATCCATACCAGTCTCCTCCACCAGCAGGCGGCGGAGGGGGTGGAGCAGGAGCAGCAGCAGCCGGAGGAGGATTTGGGCAAAGCTTCAATTTTATAAACGATCCGGCTGCGCAGATGTCGTTTCAAGTGGGCCAACACGCGGTCAAGGCCGGTCAAGAATACATGGAGCAAAACGTACGTCTTTCCGTTTGTGGAATCACCGCCTGCACCGGTTTTGGCACAGGCGGGACACTGCGCGCAACTCGTGGCGTTTATTGACGCATCTTCCAAAAAGACCACCAACCGCTGACCTGCCATTTCATACAGTTGAACCGCTACATTTCGATATCCGCGCTGAAGCACTACTTCAATGTGTCGAACTCTTACGTCGTTCGAAAGTTGATCGTTGTCCTGTTCCCGTGGCGTCACAAGCCATGGACGCGACAACAAGCGAGGATGACCACCTCTTCTACGGCCGCCGACGGCACCATGACACAACAGTCCTACTCGTTTAATTATCTTCCTCCGCGCGACGACCTGAACTCTCCGGACATGTACATTCCGATCATGGCGTTGATTACGTACATTCTGCTCTCGACGGTGCTTGCGGGCATCAGAGGATCGTTCCACCCTGAACTGCTGGGCAGCATCACAAGTACAGCGATTGCCGTGATATTTTTCGAAATCATTGTTCTCAAATTAGCCATGTACATGCTCAGCATCAGCAATGACTCCCAACTTCTCGATTTGATGGCGTATTCTGGGTACAAGTTTGTCGGCGTCATAGTCACCTTGTTTTTCAGCGAAATTTTGACCGGTGGGAGTGGAACAAACAACTGGGTTGGTTGGACACTGTTCTTGTACACATGGTATGCAAATGCATTCTTTTTGGTAAGTGGACTTCCCATACACTTCAAATGTTTCTGGGATTGTTGAACTCATAAATATACACAGCTTCGTTCTTTGAAGTACGTTCTTCTACCGGATAGTTCGGGAGATCCGTCGGCCATGCGTGGTGGAAACTCATATACTGTGGCTCGAGCACAGAAGAACCGACGGACATATTTCCTAGCACTGTACGCGTTCCTGGTACAGATGTTGTTCATGTGGATCCTAAGCCGAGAAGAGGCTGCCGTCAAGACCGTTGCTAGCAAATGGAGCGGACCCAAGGCATAGATACAGAAAAGTTGAAACGACCATGACGATACATCAATTCATCAATTCCTCTACACCCGTGTTTCACAGATGCATTCGCCTACCACCAGTCCAGTCTAGTCTCTTCTCCACCTACTACGCATTCGTAGTTTGGCCGCCGAATGGACGAATGCATTTTCATCTGGCAGGATATCCTTGACCATTCTCTTATGTCGTTCAAGCTGGTGGACCCTCAAAAGTCCTTGTCGTGCACCCGAGAATATCGCACTTGAAAAGTCGCTCATGCTTTTGCAGATGCGCTGTGTACGGATAGCCGCTGGTCAGAACATACATACCGCTATCGAGGGGGTTTTCTCAGGCCGAGGATGCCAGAGTCACGCATCGAAAAGGCCGAATTCCTCTCGAACACGATCCGTTCTTCAATTTAGTGGACGTCACCTTTCGTACACTCAAGTCCACGGGGACAAGTGCCCGGGCCTTTCCACGTGATTTCAGCTCTTCCAGAGACGGAACATCTGGACGGTTGGTCTGTGAGACATAGTCGGGAGAGGTCTCAGGTTCAACGGTTCGCCCTCTCTCAGATGGCCAGGCGTCCGGTATAAAGGCTGGACTTTGCACTGTGGGAATTCAACATTTACTGGTGCTGTAGCAGCCGGACCCAACGGGATCCATAGGTCAGTGGGTACGCACTTGGGGCTGGGTGGCTTACCACGGCGTTGCCTTGCGGATGTGATGAGGATGCGACGGATGATCCAAAATGAGGTTCAAATCCAGGGCCGCAGCCGCCGAGTTCCTCTGAGGCACTAGACTGAGATGGCCGGCACAGGGAAGAAGCATGGGCCTGTCTCGACAGAAGTGTGACCAACCAGACACTTTCGCAGTGTTTCGAAGCTCGCATTTAACTAGATGGTCTGTGATCTTTCTGTCGAGTTATTGGTGTTTCAAGATCCTTCCATGACGGACGATCGCTTGTTGGTACAAGTAACCTTTGGGCCGCATAACTTGTCATCGGCGAAATTTGCAGGAGTGCAAGTCATCCTCCGCCATCGGCTATTCGACCCTCTCTTCATTGTGCGTTTTGATGAGATCTCCGCTCAGGAGACCCTGGGCAAAGGGGGCAAAGGAGGCGCAGACGTGAAGCACTCGGAGAAAGGAGTTGTCGATGTCAGCCATTGGACAGCCTGGCAACTCAACAGGCCATACTTGTACGCTGGTAGAAGCGAGACCTGCACAGGCGGCCAGGAGCTGCTGCTGCTCTATTCACGAGTCCGTGGGATTCTCCGGTGGGATCTTTGGCCGCCGGGCTGAGATTGAGTGGTATGGACGAGAAGCTGTTCGAATTTGTGTAAGCTTGAGACACAGGTGAGATACGACGAGTGGTAAACAGACAGACCTCCGACTGAGTTGCGCCTGTCCTCCCCCACAGCGAGAGCGCAGGGGGAAGAATAACGGACAAATAGTCCTCGGTGGCTCGGCTGGGTAGTAAGTACGGAGTAGTAACTGTCATTAACTGGAAAACGTGGCGCAATTGGTCTTCGCTTTTTGTTTAGAAAGAAAATCCCCGTCTTCCGATCTATTCAGTACCCAAAGGAGTACCTAGGATACACAGGTACGAAACACCTACCTGTCTCCCTACTTACCTACCCATTCACCTCTTTTTGGACATGATATCTTCCTGCCGGATCTACCGGACGTCCCCGGCATCTTACCATGCCGGCGTGATTGAGTTCCCCGCGGAACGAATCGCGGTACGGTCTACATACCTTACTGATAGGTCAAATACACGTACACGACGTACAAGACGTTGACACTTCGAGGGTGGCCGAGTCTGTTCCACACACACACACACACACACACACACACACAAGATCGACAGCGTCCAGGAGGCGGCAGTTGATCGAGTGATCATGGACGGGGTCAGGGTCATGCATACCTCATTGATGACACACTGTATAAGGAAAACGGGGCACCACCAGTCCTCGGTCCAAGAGGCAGAGCGGCAACCGAAAAAAAACTTCAGTGAAAACTTCAGTGCCAGTATGGTCGAACGATGGCCCTTTCTGTAGATTTCCGTACATGGCACTAGGACGTGGGATTGTGGGCACACAATACACACAGCCGTATCGGCGAGCTATAAACACCGGCCTGACCTGACCTGCCCGAGACAGAAAAGCATACCGTTGAGAGGAATGCAAACTGCGACGTAATAGTTTGTCATTGGTTCGAACATCAGGGCCTACTTTTGCTCCTGACGAAGCTGCTCATGTGCAGGTCAGGAAAGAGGTAGGGGCGGGCCTAACGCGTGTGTCGAATTGAGCTGAAGGATCGTGCCCGGTTTTGAAAACACGCACACGGCCCCGTCCTCGTACCATGGAAATAGTGTCCCAAATCTGGGAGGACCACCTCGGAGAGAACAGACGAACAGACGGAGGTCAAATCCCATGGAACACTCAAGAACAATCGACAGCAGGGTTCGCTTAGACGGTGTGAGCAGGCCTATGGTCTGTACGCGCATGTGTTCATGTGCCGTGTGCCGGGCGGCACGGACATGTGGACCCTTGAAAGACAAGAGGATGCAGAAAGGGATACCGTGTCTCGCCGAACCACCACGTCCACTTACAGGATACGAACTCTCCAGCGCAAAGATAACCCACACCGGCTTGTTTTCTTTTCAGGACGAGTACTGGCAAGGCACGACTCCGACCGACCCGGAAATGATAAGACGGTGAGGTGAGGCTTTCTTCCTGATGGCCGGCTAAAACGGTCTTGCTGCTGCCGTGGCTGAGAATATCCAGTGGCCGGGAACCAACAGCTCAATCTTGGAGAATTGAACCGAAGACTTTGCTGGTTTTTTGCAAGTGGTGGCTCCATAACGTACTCGTACCGCCATGCAACCCCCCTGGGCTCAGGGATCCATGTAGACAGCTCATCAATCCTAGCTCCGGAGAGCAAATCGACCTCAGGCCGAATCGTGAGCAGGCTCAACGCGTTGTGACGAACCCACACAGACCGAGTACCCCCGAGAATCCGTGGGGGTTGTCTCGCCTGACGAACGCCCCGACACTGTATTAGTGATACTTACATCGAACCATTGGTGGGTCTCGTTCCTTAGGTCATCATCCCTTCATAAAAATGCCCTGTACATGTAAGCCAGGCCGAGGTGAGTCAACCTAGTTGCTGTGCGCTAGCGCAGCTTGTTCATAAACGAAGAATGCAACAGCCTCCCGAATTGGGATCCACTTGATGCAGGCTGAGGGTCCGAGCTGGATGCAAGTCGCAGCGATGGAAGCGATCACATATTGACCCTAGTCCTTGCTTTCGGAACCGTCGCTGTGCAAAGTGTTTCCACCGTGGTCACTGTCGCTGACAAATTCGTGGGACTGGTTGTTTCGTGGATGCGCATCAACGATCCTCGAGCACTCGTTCCCGCGGATACCTACCGGTGAGGAACAACTGCCGGCAGTTTCTGGGCATCTGGTTCACGGAATGTCCTTTTGCAGTCTGTTGAGGATCCACACATCTTGACCATCCTGGGAGCATTGTTGTCATCGTATTCGGAAGTAGTCGAATACGAGCAGGCATCAGTTACGAGGCGCTCGCCTCCCGCCACGAAGAAATGTCGAAGGGGGCCAAGTCTGCTCTGCGGCAAGGCTACAGGAACACTTTGTGTAGTAGACTGGCCATCGCCTGACCGAATTACAGACCCAGCTGGCCCGGAAGAGCAGTAGCGTCGTGGCGACTGTGCTCAGTTAGTCCGACGCTCTGTAGTTGCTGTCCCAGCCGCTAGCGAGGGAGAGGTCAGCAACTTGAAACCTACTGTGTTGAAATCACCGATCAGACCTGCATAATTTGACCGGCGATGAGTCTCCAATAAGGTTGCAGAACTGGGTACCGCTCCATACCACCTTTCGCACTTGATCAATAGAGTGTAGATAGTAGAAGGATGATCCACAAGGTATTACCGACGGTGTGCTCTCTCTGAACCAGCAATCGGCGGCCATGCGCCAAACCACGTCTCATATGAGTTGCCTAACAGCCTCGATACACTTTCTCAGTGGGTCAAATCTAGAAGACTTGAAGGCCGCTTTTTGACGAGTACGCTTGCCCCGTGCCTTGGGCCAGAGATGAAGAGGGCCTCGATTGGGCCGTTATGAAGAGGAACGAGCGCAAATCCTAGTGATTGAACAGGCGCAGCACCGGACTGCATTGCTAGACTGCTCGATGACATGAGGCCCGTGGATCCGCGGATCATGCGACACTCTCGAGATCGTCAGAAAATTAACCCGCGACATCAAGGAGGAGGGCTGTTTGACCCAACGTCCGCAAGGGAGAGGAAAGCGCTGACAGATGGACCACAGACGTAGCCTTGTGCTGGCTCCAGAATGACATGCCGCTTGCGTGGAGAGCGCCTCTTGCTGCAAGTCTAGGCCCGCGGATGAGAGTTGTAAGTCGACGATCTCATATGGCGTGTTCATGTATTGTCAGCCGGAGTTTCCGTATGCTTCGAGCGAGATGGTTGCATGTTAACGCGCTCATACAAACTCTGGACCCAAAATCACGATGCATTGAGATTGCCACCATACTTCTCGATATAGCGCACTCGCGAGACCCGCGTCCCGATCAGAGAAACCGTCCATCGGAAACATGTTAGAGGGTAATCTCGAAGGCACCAGCTGGCGAAGAATGATACACGCCACCGCCACATGCGCCGCAGTAAGCAGGAAGGGACGGAGTCCGCAAGATCCAACGATCTGGAGGCGATATGGCTCAAAGAGGCGAAAGGCAGGGGTCGCGGTGGTTGGGGCCGGGTCGCCGTTTGGATGGGTCCTGGTCCAGATAGTGTGTTCTTGAGTGAAAGACTTCACTGATTAGGGGAAGAGGTCGCCTCAGGGTTCGTGGAAGAAGCGGTTATGGTGGAGGAGGCGATGGCTGAAGATGGCGAAGATTTCAAATCATATGGAGGTTTGGACCACGATCGGATTATTCAGCGGCGTTCACTAACTTCGTTAGCACCATGAGCGTCGACGAAGTAGTTCGCACCCACGTACCTGAGGTCGCCCACTCTCGAGCGACGATGTCGTGCCCCATCGATCTGACTCTGAAAGGGCGACGGTGGTCTGTCTGTACACGATGGACTAGAGACAAGATGCCAGAAATTCTGGTTTCCCCCTACGGTCATGCCACTTCCTCCCCAGGTCATTCATAATGCACCCAACATCGACGCCATCGTATTGCAAACCCTCCTTCTTCCACCCGCGTTTCCAGTGATGGATTGCCAGAAACGAACATTGACGTGGCATTCTCCGCCGGGGAGGCAGAGGCGGGAACGCATCATCATGTAATCATCATATTCCAGCAAAATGAGAGAAGCATCAGCTGTTACTGGCTATCGAACCACTACTTCGGCTTGTGATAGGCGCCTCTACAACATGTCCATCAGCCGTCATCTGAACAAGAGCACTTCCTCAGGCACCGGACCATTCTGCTTAAAAGGCGCCACACCTTCATTGGCAAGGACTTCACTCACTTTGCTCTATGGTAGTCGGCTTGGTTCCGGTACCGTCAGCGTCGTGCGCTAGTCCTTGCTGAGGTGACGAACTTATGCCAGATATGACAGAGATTTGATCCCAGTTGTATCGGTCAGTGGAAGAGCTGCTTTGATGAGAGGTTGGTGCTCTGATGCTCCATGGCTGCTCCATGAACAGCTGATCACTCCAGTCCAGCTGCCCTCGAAGATCAGCAGCAGACCCTCTAGCATTGCAACTCTGGCTCCATCTGTCGAGCGACAAGAGCACGCAGCTTTTCCAAGACCGATGATTAGGAAAGATTATGGCACACGTCGCTTACAGGACGAGGTTGACATGCTCTCCGTTCCGGGCACGACGAGCATCAAGCGTTCTTCTCTCGCATGCGAATTGCCAGGTTATGGCCGATAGACCCAACAGTGCGTCGGGTATCAAGGCTGCGAGCTTCCGGTCATCGCGCGAACGAATGGGAGACCTTTTGCAATGCAGGCACTCAGGTGGTCAGATGCCTTCAGGCTAAGTGTTGGTACTGTTCGACATAAGCGCACCGATGTGTCATGGGACGCGACGTTGCGAACAACCTCTTGAGACTCGTCCTGCAGATCGAAGTCTGATCGGGAGCTTGGAGGGTAGAAGATTCGGACTAAAGCGTCAGCATGCCTAATGTGGGAAGCATCGATCTCCTTTCTAGAATGATGATCATCGTAAAGCTGTAGATAGCGCGGGCTTTTCGCATACCTTGCTTTGCGCCGGCCTGCATCGACGTGGAGGTCGGTATAAGCTCGACATACATCGCACATGTACCACGGCGTCTTGCCATGTCTGAGTCTCGTGCATCGGCGATTCGTTCCACGGACAACTACACGCTCCTAGTCCACTAAATGACCCGGTGGAAGTAGATAGATCTCGAGCAGCTTCGGTGCTAGGATTGTACACGTGCCGAGAAATCTTCGCCCATCTGTGGTAATATTAAAACATGATTTATGTATCGGCGATGTACACCAGGTACCATGCCCGGGCGCTACTCCGTAGTCCCTCGCCAATTAGACCGGCCGCCGGGGTCGAGGCGGCCCTGCATTGACAAATGGTACTGAACTCCATACATGCACCAAAAACGCCAAAAGTCCAACTCTCGCCGCAGTCAATCCGCGTCTGTACGTTAACCGAAGACCAGCTCCGCCCCTCCTCTTTCAGGCTCCCCTTTGCCTTGTCAGGATACGCGTCCGCTGAAATGCTGCAAGCCGGCTGCACTTGAGCCCTAGTAACAAAAGAAGACAACGGCAAAATTCTCATTGGCGTAACGAGCGTATGTTTCGAGAATGCCCTTTTGTGGGTCGCATTTTCGAGACCATTCTTGCCACCTCTCTATCAGCCTAGTTTCCAGTGGTGCTGGGCGGTTTGTCCCAATGCCGGAGCATCTGCCTGAGTGCTTGGGTCCATTCTGCCACACATGCACTGACAAGCCGGTCGAATTCGGCGGCAGAAGGCCGGCGGCCACCCCATGTGCTTGCTTTCGATGCAAGAGCTCGAGCATGCTTGGTAACAAGGTTTCTGTGTCCAAGAAGTCAGCATTCAAGCGATTAACGTTGGCAGATCGTGAGGTAGTGCTTACTCTCTCTCCATCTTCACCAGTACCAACCAGCAATAGTTCCAGCTGCGAACACTGTTTGGGTCTCGCACCACCATAGATTTCGCTTCGTCAAGGCATTCTGAACTGAAGGGGTACCTTCGAGTGAGACCTCTCAGCTCATTGAGGAGATTGTTAGAATTGACATAATGAGCCCACGCAGTGGTCATGGGCTCTGTGACTTCTGCAGAATCGAGATAGGCAAATATCTTCTCAATGCGGCGTAGCTCCGTAATGGTGTTGACACGGTGTGTGCGTAGGGATTCGATCAACTGGTCTTTGTTGTTCTGTAGCCGTTGTCAGTTCTCGTCTGCTTTCATAGAGTTGGGTGCGCGAGAATATTCAAGCATTTGAAATACATTTCAAGAATCCAAACGCGAGAAGATAACAGGAAACGAAAGGACAAATGAAACAAGGAAATGAATCGACCAAGGCAACGCAAAACTCGCAAACATAGGAAACATTACAAAAACGAAACCTGGACTGACTTGACTCATGGTACGAGGATCAGCTGGAGTGCCAGGAGAGACCAGTTGATAGTGTTGCGATCGACCCGCACTCCCTGATGTTTGTCGCGACATATTGTTGCCATGAGGGGACGGCATTGCTTGAAATGAAGTTGTCGGTCGTCGGGATGTTGACTCGTTCTCGTGAGGATCGGAAGATGGAAAGGCGGTTGACGAAGGGACGGCAGGGCTATAAGAAGTTCGACTGGTAGCATGAGAGGGCTGGCTCACTCCTCTTTCTTCTGTCCGTTGATGAGCTGATGATCTCCGTGAGGTTCGCGCAGCTTGGGAATCGCTCGAGGCATTCCGGCGACCGTCGTCCATAAACAGCAAAACTCAGGTCGTACGCCTCACCGTTGCAACTTGTTGGTTGGCTTGAATAAGCGTGATGATATAAGGCACTATATGTATGAAGCAGCAGTAAAGGGTTGCCAGGTCATAAAGGGGGCTGCAAAAACTTAGTAAGATCGCAGAACTAGACAATCAGGGCCAGAAACCACGAGGGGAAGTCATTTAGCAGTGTGTGGATGTGTGTGAATGTGACGATTCGAGGTAGAGAGATAGGGCTGACACATTTGGTTCCCCAGATGTACTATCTAGGGATTTGCCGGGCAAGCACTGTTATGGCATTACCATACACATTTGGCCTGCGCCATGACACGTACGGAAAAGGATTATCGTTTGGGGTCACTTGTCCTTGCTCGTCGATATCCACGCCACCCCAAGGCGCGGTACAGTCGTCATCCGGACTCTGCCATGGACCTCAGGACCGGTCCGTTCGACCCCGGAGAACATTGAAACCTCAGTTCTCAGCCTCAAATAATGCAATGGGCGGGTCCAGGCGCATCTGAGCATGATACCCACGTGTTAGCGGGTCAACATCTGAGGAAGAGTTCGCCATTACAGACTGCAAAGGTTCTGGCGAGGTAGTCGCAAGTGGGGGCCGGGGAAGCTGGACCGAACAGAAACAGAGTGTGGGAACGAGCCGTCGTTCGCCACGAGATAGGAGGTACCAGGATATAGTCGAAAGCACCAGAACGAGGGCGACCTTACTCATGATCGGACTTTGCGAGGTAGAATACTGGACCATGGTCGTAGCCGGCAGATCGGATCAATAGTGAATTCGGAAAAGAGGGCGGATCAAAACCAGGCCTCGCACAATATGGAATCCATTCGACCACAATTCCCGACGGCGCGCGCCACACAAATGATGACGGTGATCACTAACTCGTCGATCGACCCAACTCTCAGCGATGAGTAAGCATCGAGATTGATACTATGCTGCTTCGAGATTGGTGTCGCCTCAGCCTCTGACATGTGAGGCTGTGTCGAACCACAACCGTCCGATTCCCTGCTCAAGTGTATTACTCTATTCTGCAATGTATTCCCTCGAGGACTGCTCGCCGCTTCAGCCCTGTCCACCGCTTGTGGCCTGAAACTCTGGTTACCAAAGTTCCCGACCAAGGGCTTACTGGTGTCAGCCACGAATTTTTGCGGCTTGCTCGTATGCGTTAGCGAGGTACATGAGATAGCCGAACATCACCCCGCCAGATCCGCCGTCGAGCTCGTTTATAGAGGGTCTCAGGAGAATTGGTCTTATGAGCGAGGCTGGAACTGCCCGAAAGCGTCCCCCTCCAGGCTACACAAAATGAATTTTGTCAAAGTTTTGGTCACTTCTTGACACTCTTGGCATCGACGGCTTGGAGTTTCCTGGTGTCAAAACCGTGTTACCGCCAACATAGATGACTTTCCGTAAGGGGCCAACAGCACATCCACAACCATGGACGGTTGCTAGAGCTTCCCCCGCGACCCACTCACCAAGTTTCGCAGTTCCGTTGTTTCGAGATTGGATCTGTGGTTACACCCACCACGATTATGCTTTCATCTTGGGCCCCCAGGGCGCTGACGATAGTCTTGATTACCATAGGGCGAGGATGGAAGACCTGTACTTGTGTAACCACCGTTGTGGCCATATGCGTCGCCACCCGTTGACCAGGGCTGTGAAGCTGAAATATAGGGCTGGCCGGCTCCGCTGCGATCTTGAGTACTAAGATTCCCACCCGAGGAGCTTTGCAACGATTGACCCCCACTCATACCTCCCGCCGGGCTGCTTCTACCGCTGCTAGATCCTTGTAACCGCGCCCGGAGCCTGTCTCGAGAGCCCAGGGCCTGTGCATTTGCATTGGGGTTTGTTTGGTAACTTCCTGCTCTTTGACTGGGAAGGGGCCGGGCCGTTGGTGCTGTCGGCCCGAAGGATGTGGTTTGACTGCCGCCACTAGAATGTGACCTCGCGGTGTCGTTCGAACGTAAAGAATGTGGTGTCGGCCGGGAAGCCCTGAGGCTCTGGGGAGGAGGCGCACCTGATGCAGGGGCGGAGTCCCAGAGATCTGAAAGACCACCTCCTCTCCCACCCGACGAACCTCTCGAGTGCACCTGCTGGGTGTTGAATTGCGAGCCGTACGCATTCCCATACTGCCCATACGAGCCTTGCGGCTGAGGAGCAATGGGCCTTTTTGGATCAGGGGGGAGCCATTCGGGCAATGGTCGGCCTTTCTCTGCGTAATAGGCCCGGAGCACATTCGAGATATGTGAGCAGTCCTCGTTGTCAGGGTCATCTTCTTCAGAATCCTTCGTCAAAGCCTTGCGTAGACTGGCAAATCTTGATGAGAACGTACTTGACCACGTCGAACTAGAGTTGGGCGTACTTGAACCCTGGGATGTAGGGGGAGTGCTTGACGGATTGGACGTGAAGTACGAAAGATAGGAAGCCATGATGGGGCTGGTCGAACAGATGGACAGGCCACAGCGATCACACCAGGTTTGGGTAAGTTTCGCAAACCTTGGCTTGTCGTCGAGGTGTATTGAGAATAGGAGGAAGTGGTGTTGATGGCAGAAGTCGAAACTGGTGTTGCAGCGAGTGTCACAGTTGGCCGCAGGTGACAAACAAGCAAGGGCGAGGTGCGGTGCACCCCTCACAGCCTGACACGTGACGAGGCTGAGAGAAGCCGCCACTCTTGCCCCTTTACGGGTGAATGTGAATCTAGAGAACCTTCGCCATGCAAATATTTCAGAAGTCTGTACTTGACGAGTATTCGGTGTGGGCTTTAATGAGCTTTCTATGTAATCATGGCCCTTTCAGCTACCCACCGTTGGATGTCAGAGTCTGGTGGTCGGTACATCAGTCTGTGTCAAATATTCGCTTTCGTTCCTTTCAGCATGCTGCAGGGACATGAATCGTGGGAGCTGGGTGCGGTCGCCCTCAACATCAACTGTCTCAATAGAGTGGCGGAAATCGTTTGCTTACACGATAGCCAGCATATCAAGGTTCGGAAGGCTGCCCTGATTCTGCCGAGATAGAATCCAAAGCTTCTGAGCTTGACTAGAGCAAGCCCTTGTTAATCTTCGTGCTCAAAATTCCAAGCTCTGCTCACGATCACCGACCACTGTTCTCTCCTCCCAGTCCACTTCCCTCGACTCAGGGGAGTCGAGATCATACTCAATGAAGCTTCCTCCATCGCTCGGAGCCAATTTTGGTGTTGTAACCTCTTCCTCGTCCGCAGCGCCATCCATCATCGCTCGACTGAGTGTTGGAGAGGTACTATCCACATCCGGAAGCATGTATTCGACGACGCATAAGGGACCGAACTTGTCTGGCTCCTGCCACACCTTCACTAATTTCAGTCCGCTTAATGCTGCCAGATATTGCCAATCTCGAATAGTTCGCTCCTTTCCACCGATACTCATCATCATCAAGTCGAGCCAAATTGCCCCTGCATCTCTGCTAGTCACTGGTTCTGGAATTGCCATGTCAGAAATGAGTATTCGACTATCGGTACCCATAGCAGGGATGATTGCTTTCAAGATGCGGGCGGCGTCGTCGTCTTGCCAGTCATGCATTACACGGCGGATGTAGTAGACTTGTGCGTTGTGCACTGGCTGCTTTAGGAAAAAGTCGTGGGCCATCATGGTCACTCCAGGTAAGTCTTGACTGGAGATATCCTCGAGCACGCAAGGACGGTCCTGCAAGATTAGATCGCCTCTCAGGGTTGGGCAGCCCTTTCTCATTTCCAGCAGCGCAAGACCTCGACCACCACCAATATCAACCATCAACGGGCGCTTGGGACTGTTTCCCTTTTGAAGGATGTTCTCAAAAGGAAACATGGCAATCACTGGATGCAGAGCGTCGAACTGGGCCAGGCCGCGGATGAAGTTCTCGATTCGATCATGCGAGGAGTTCATGACCTCCCAGAAGTTCTTGCCAACCATACCATAAAACCAGGAGTGTGGGGTCTCGACATATGTGTTGAGGAGGGATTGGCTTCCGAAGTGGTCAAGGTAATGGTTGAGTCGATACATTGCCGGCATCATTTCGTCAAGTCTAGCCGTGTCAGTCCATTCGAAGGCAATCATAAGTAACGCAACATGCTTCAGACATCGACTTACGACACGTTATACAACCATTTGCCACTGGCGGGACCAGCATGCTCACTGTGCACAAGTGAAAGGCGGTTATGTGCCCATTCTCCCAATCGAACCTCATTGAAGATGTTGACGCAAGTCAGTTGCCGCATCAGTCGCACTACGGGGATGGTTTTTCAGTCAACGGTTCGAACACTGCAAAGACCCCATCCTACCAATCAATTCTTCTGCGGCCTTGCATCTCTGAGCGACCTGTTTTGCGGTAGCAGTGCCTGTAGGAGGAACAGCTTCAAATATTCCAAGCTTTGATGCCGCGAGACACGCCGAGATTGTATAGCCCTAACATGTTGTCAGCAGTTCTTCATAGATCGTCGAACATGGTGTTACAGGCTCACATTCACAATATGGTCCATGAGTGCATCATGCGGATCTTGAACACGCCATATCAATTGCTTTGCCTGCAGGACAAGATTGGCCGTCTGCTGTTTGCGTGTCGCCGGGTGAGTTGTCGAGCCTAAGCTCTGGGCGACTTGGGTAAGTTGCTCTGCCAAAGCAGCAATCTCTTCCGCAGAAGGATCCATGGTGTCGATCCAAGTTGGCGTTCTGGGGAATTTCAGGGTTGGTGGGTGGTGGTTTGGATGGCTGAAGTCGCGAGAGAAGAGTGAAACCTGAGGGTGAAATGCGCGATGTGAGGAACAACACAACAATCCACCTCTTCACTTTCCTTTCCTAAGCAGTGACAACAACCTCTGATGCCACGCGTTTTGCACAACTAGAGGTGTGAGTTTGAAAGGACGATTGCTGCCCGCGTTGGGCCCTGGCAAAATGCCATCCCTCACTACCTTGGATCCAAACGGTCAGCAGCTGCGTCCTCATCCCCCCTGCAGCAGCCCGGTCACGCATAAAGACTGTGGACTTCACAAGACTGCTCCAGACTTGGACCAAGAAAGTTCGATGCACAGCGCAGCTTGGGCTGGTGAGACAAAAAGATGGTGCAGGCAGCGTCAGCATTCTAACAATGTTCCAAAGCCTCCTCACAGCATAGGACAACTTGTTCTGCAGCGTGCTAGAAGTAATGGACTGATGACGCTCCAACCCCGGCACCAGAAGTCATACAAAATCAGGCCATGGCTCCCTGCGGTCTCGGATGTTGTTCATTATCGACCATGACCGTGCACTCTGGTGTGGTGCGAGGATGGATCTTGGGACACAGATTCTAATCCGGCCTGCACATGGCCTGTTCGGTATCTTTATTACCCTACCGTGAGGCTGTTCTACCGGTCCGCTTTTTCTCGCTATCATCCAGGTAGCGCGGAGCAAGAGCTGACCTCGAACCGTTGACCAGAGGACACTCTTCCAGCCAGCGTCGTGCTTTGTCGGAACCATTCCTCATAATCGAGAATGCAACCGGTTCAATATGTCTCTAAGCGGACTAATGCAGGCGAAGCAAGGATAGCTTCACCGTAACGATCAGTTGCCGGAAAATTCCCTCGTTCGCTGCTCGCCGCATGACAAGCACTGCTTCATCCGGGCCTATGCTGGGAATCCGGTTTTCCACGAGCCCATCCACTCCTCTTCCACTCTGCCACCAGCATCGTCACTCTCAGTCGGGTATTTGCAGCGCCCGCAGCTGCATCCATTTCTTTTGGAGTGAAGTTTTCCGGGCATGTCACGATAACTCTTTTTTGTCTGTCGACAGCCGCGCAAAACAATGCTACGCAGAACCAGCTTGGAAAAGGATAACTTGATAGGCGAGAAAATGAGAAACTTTGATGACTGGTCTCGTCGGACATCATCACCACCGGCGGATGGCGATCCAAGCTGCTGGAACGGAGTGCTCTGGTCGATATGCACGTCAAACACGACGGGTTGTACCAGGATGCACCTGGCGTGAGCTACAGATGCAACTGGCCGCGGGATGTCCTTCTGCAACGACGCATGGCGGCCTAGGTGACACGATCCCTCCTCTCAACAGACAAGCCAGTGATTTTCTAGAACTTAAAGGCCACTGTGGACAGCTGCGTCGACCCACGCGACTTGCTCGCCCAGTCGAGGCATGTGCTAAGAGTCGTGGCCAACAATGCTTGACGTAGCACAAGAACGCTGGACAAGCATGGTGGTATCAAATGAGATTCGGTGATTCCGGGCACCCAATGCTCTGGCACAGTCGCGACGGACCCATCTGGAATGGGTGGTTATTACCAAGGATACAGGACGGCAACTTCACACATTGTGCCGGAGAAAAGAGCAAGGTTCAAGGTTCGATTGAAAAACAAAGCACACGCGTACTTTTCCGTACACCGGCCTAGAGGTCGCTATATTCCTTGCACCTTACGATAATTCGGTGGCTTCCACATACGTCGGATGGCCTTGCCACCCCAGACAGGAACCAGACTGATGGCTCCCACCGCTAGAACCCTCCACACCCAACTCCAGCTAGCAACATACTCCAGATCGAAATATCCGCCAAGGAACGGCACGCTCGCCGCATAGATAGTAGCCGTACCCAGAATGCTGATGATCATGACTGGGTGCCAGGTGGTGACGGAAACCGCCACCATGATCAGCTCATTCAACACAAGAACCGTAAAACTGACACTGAGCATCCTCGGGCCGTCAACCTCGCCCACAATCAGTTGTGTAAGACCCTGGATGATGATACCCTGGTACACCGACACCAGAACCCACATGAAGAAGGTCTGGTAACTAAGGCTCTTGCCTGATTTGAGCTCCTTGTACAGTTCTGGGTATAGATTTGCAAGCTGCTCATCGACGTCTCGGTCCAACACGAGTGAAAAGACAGGTGCACTGGTGTATACCGTCGCATAGCCCACGAGCAACCAATCCTTAAACAGGCCCTTAGGATCGAAATGCCCCGCAATGTTGTACATAGTCTGACACACGCTGATAATCAGCCCTCGGTGAATGATGAACTGCGCCAGTTTCGCACTGCGCTTGTAACTGTTCCGTCCATGCCAGACGAGAAGCTTGGTCAGATGGCAGAACTGAGTAATACTGAAATCGGCTGCGAGACTGGCCTGGCGGCCTTCTTTGCCGACGATCCCGATACCGACGTCCGCGGCCTGGATCATGGACACGTCATTGCCACCGTCGCCAATGCAGCAGACACGCTTCCGTGTATATTTGCGGATGAGTTGTGCCACGTCCGCTTTTTGGGTTGGCGAGCAGCGGCAGGCAATCACAGCGGGAAGCTGAACCGCGACTGTGATGAAGTCGGTGCGGTACTGAGACAGCATGAGAGAAAGACTCTCGCCGTCGATGAGAAGGCATGATTCGGTTTGATTGCGTAGAAGGTCTAGAGCGTCTTTGGCTTGTTGTTTCGTCTTAAAGCGGGCCATGGTCTGGATATGCTGCCCACGAGCAACGAGGCGCGCCGACACGGCCACGCAGCGTGCCGTTTCGATTTTGTCACCAGTCAACATCCAGATCTTTACGCCGGCATTCCGAAGGAGCTCAAGAGACGGCTTCACATCCTTTTGAAGGCGATCCTCCACACCCGTCACGCCGAGAAGTTCCAAGTCATGTTCAAGGTGCGCCTTGACCACAGCTGCCACGCCAGCGTCGCGCTCCTGTAGGGCCAGACTGGCATCTGTGTATGCCATGCTGAAGTCAGAGTACTGAGCAGGGGAGAGACGTTTACGGCCGACCACGAGGGTTCGGAGGCCCTCTCGAGCCATGTTCGCCGTCTCTTCGTCGAGCCAGTCGTTCGCAGCAACTATCGAGGTCATGACAGTATCCGCGCCCTTTTGAAAGAACCAGAGCTCATTGTCAGCTGCTGTGAGTCCGAGCACGTCGGAAGTCAGCTGTACAATGATACCCATGCGCTTGCTCTCGGATGTGAAGGGGAAGATGTCTTTGATTTCGGCACGTACAACAACCTGGTTCGTTGTGGTGGACTGAAGGACGATTGTTTCACGGTCCCGATGTAGGAGTCGAAGACCCACGGATTCTGTGAATTCGACAATGGCAATCTCGTCGGGGCTAGACGCCTGATATGAGATGACCTTTTCTCCGTCCACTTCGTCTGTGGTGGGTGTGACGTTGTGACACAAGGCAAGGGCTAGAATGAGATCACGAACACGAATGCCGATCTCGCGGCGAGTCTTGGTGGTGCTCGTTCCTCGCGTATCGGCGTCTTGACTCGAAGAGAAGGTTTGATCAACATAAGCAGCGACCTCTTCCATAGCCTCACCAGAGTAGGCAACAGTGCCAACATGGATTTTCCTCAACTGCATTTCATTCTGCGTGAGCGTACCAGTCTTGTCGGAGAGCAGATATTCGATTCGACCGAGATCTTCGGGAATAGTACTCGTCCGCACAACAGTGCCAGGGATTCCTTTGTCGCGCTCAATGAACCGCGCATACGCTGTTTTGCCCATGTCAAGGTTGACGCGTAGACTGATCGGGATAATGGTTGAGAAGAGGATGAGATAGATCATTATCGCGACATACCACGGCTTTCGGTTAGAGGGCTCGAATCCTTCGAGCGCAACTAGGATGATGGAGAGTGTGAGGGTCATGATACACAAGATCTTGGTGAGATTGTTGATCTCTAGTTCCAAAAGTCCTGTTTTGGACCTTGAAGGAGAGGTAGATAGGGCGGAGCGAGTCTGTGGGCCTGTGTATATTACTGCGCAATATGTGACGGTACTGGAGGCAAGGACGGTGTTTGCCCAAGCGGTGTTCTCGATCGTTAGCGGAGCTGAGGTGGGATTGCTGTTCGAGTGGCCACCTAATGCAGCTTCGCCAATGCTGTCCAGGCTTCGATCCCCTCTGCCAGGATGGGGATCATAGGCAGAACCATGGCTCGGCCGAAGCTCCAGAGTTCCGACAAAGTCATTCACTCTTTTGTCTGGGGCTCCCGCTATGATTTGTAGACGCTGTAATTCCGATAACTTGAGGGTCTGACTCAGAGGACTCGGAAGTCGAAGTTTCCAATCCGTCTCGCCGTCGAGCTGGTCTGTTCGTATGAAGGTCTCTCCTGTGTCGACGGCGGAAGCAGCACCGGCTGCATCCCCCGTTTCGTCAGCGGTCAATCCACTAAGGGATTCGTTGAGATGGCTTTGTAAGATGACCACATCTGCAGGTGCTCTTTGGTTCTTTTCCAACTTTAACACATCACCGACTTTGATATCCCGAGATCGCTTCTGAACTTCGACGACGCCGTTTTGTCGCGGGCGGGAGGCATCTGGAAATGAAAGAACCGTAAAAGGCTCTGCATTCGCTTCGGCGTCTCGTCGTCTTCGTGCAATGTCGTCTATGGCCTCTTTCCCAATCGTGATGGTAAGTACACATGCTAATGGAACAATATAAGTTGACATATAACCGATTCGCAGAAAGGGTATAATTTGCGACAGTGCGACCAACAGAAAATATATGTTCAGGAAGAAAGAAAATTCGTTGTACAGTGTTCGTGGAAGGAAAGACCAGGCGGTATATTTGGCATTCGAGACAACGTTGGTGGGGAATCGCTTCTTCTGAGGTTTGCCGACTTGAATCTCGCGAGACTCGACGTTGTCTGCGTCGTGTTCCTCCCGCATATCAGCAAGCTCTTCTCGGACGAATTGCTGAAACTGCATGCTCTGACTCGGGCGTCGCGAGGGCGTTTCTCGCATCTGCCCAGCGCCGCCTTGTCCATTGCTGTTCTGTCGTTTCTTGTTCCTAACATTCCAGCCAGTTTGTTCTTCAGACCACCTTCTGAGGTGGCCATTACTTCGCGATTGCCCAGGCCAGCCATGGAGTAACCGTTCGGTATCCTCCTCCACAGCATATTCGTCTTGTTGCCTGCTTCTTGATCTCCATAAGCTGCCTCCGTACTTTTGTAGTCTCTGCAATGGAATATTCCCTGTCTTGCCCTGCAGCCGCAGTCTTGGACCGCTTCCTATACTTGCAACACTCCCGTTCAGAGGTGCAACAACGGGATCGAGTTCGTCGAGATCAAGATCATCATCAGAGGCCGAGTCAATGTCGGGACCTGATTGTATCGGGCGTTGGCGAGACATGAAGGCTCTCGGTCATCGTCATCAAATATCGAGGGCAGGGTGCCGGAACGCAATGCTGGCTGGTGTCCGGTCTTTATGCAGAGAGCATGGCGTGGGGAAGCTGCGTTACAGTGACAGTCTGATGTTCTATTGATATCAAGGCCACTTTACCAGTGATGTGCTCCGTAGTGTCGTCCCGACTACAACCTACGTGGTGAATTGCAGGGAGAGAAATATGGCGGCCTGGCAGGGACCAACATAGCCACAAGGTACAACAGCATGTGGACGAGGCTTTCGCGGTGGATGCGCGTCCTCCTGTATCCGGGCTCCGGACTAATACTTTATAGGCGTAGGCCAGAAGGGCATTAACTTAGGGGTGCTCGGGATGGGAGTTCTAGGGGGCATTCATGCGCTAAACCCTGAAAGTGACAACCATGGCCTGGTGAGTCGTTCTGCGCTTTGGTTCCGCAGGCGCAGCTGGAACAACGAAGGAATAAATTGGCCATTCGCCGTTATCCCGAAAGCCTCTTGAATTCTTGGTTCACGGCGTGAGCAGCTGGATGCGTTCGTGAAGAATCCGCTGGTTATCGACATGTCTTTCAGCTGTCTCTAGTATCCTTTGATCGTTCTGCTTTTCCGTGGCTCACTCCCTGAGAACCCTCCCCTGGTGATCTCACGCGGTCTCTCTCGGTTGTCAAGAGTCGCAATGGGGACTGCCAACTATGGGAACCACGTCGCCATCTCCTCTGATATCAGTCGATCTGGCCACTGGCTACCAGCCTTGCGACCGGAAATTCTAGAGACATCTGATGTGTCCAACGGCGTCGACAGCCTCGCGAACACGGTCGAGGATCTCCCCACAGGCTTTGTGAATGAGGAATCTCACATAATAGCTCCATCTTCATCGCTGGCAGATGGTGAATCAGGAGGCGTCTCTGCGCATGAGTTTCCCAAAAAGCCACAAGTAGAGAAGGATAATGAGCTCTCGCCTCAAAACAAGACGACCGGGACACCCAGCGCAGTATCTACAACTTGGTCACCAGAGCCCGCAGGATCGCACTTTGCGGACGATGAACTCCCTTCGGAAGATGATGATGAACGACTAGATCCAGCCTGGGGCATAGCACGAACTGATACAGGTCGGATTTTGGAAGGCGTTAACCGGTCGACAACATTTCCGGAGTTCTCGATTCCAGATTCCCCCAACGATGCCATCGATCAAGCCGCCCCTGACCCTGTGCTCAAGCCGCATGACACGGTTTCTGACATAGAAGATATCAACATATTGGAACAAGCAAGACTTCCTACAGAGCCACGGAGTCCCGAGTGGATGAAGGATGAACACAGAGGAACACGAGAGGCGCATTCGTGGACTATATCAGAGCAGTCACCAGAAGTCGATGAAGCAACTGAAAGATTCGAAGAAGGGGTTCCTTTAATACCATTGGAGGAGCCAGCCGCAACTATCTCCGAGGGGAAAGAAAATCCATCGTCATTCGACTACATGGCTACGAACGGCCCTGATGATGAAGAGACGTCGTTCTTCTCCCAGATCAATGGTAACGTTGATCTTCCCCCCGAACCTCCATCACTCGACCGCAAGTCCACGACTCAGGTCCTCAGCTCTCTGAAGTTTCCGACAAGCGATGCGCTTGATTCTCCCGCAGTGCAACACGAGCCTGAAGCGCCGGAGTCCTCTTTCTTCGAGTTGGTAGCTGATCAGAAAGGTATCGGAGGTCATCCTTCTGCCGGAGATGCTGAACCTGCCGAGAATACTGATGTCGATGCTGCCGCTTGGGCTGCTGCACTTAACGATGATGAATTCCTTGTCGAGGATGCCGATGACCTTCTTCCTGATTCTGAGCCCGGCTCGCCCTCGTCTTTCGAGGCCGCTCTGCAACAAGATGCCTCCTCTCTGGTTCAGGATAACTCAAATATATCAGGCACACAGGTTGCTTCGGATCCCTATGGTGGAAGACCTCAACCGCAAAGACAAACGTCAGTGAACCTGTACGCGCCTCATCAACCATCCACGGCCGATATGTTCCAGCTATCTCCCAAAGCAGGAGCAACACACGATCCCGTCGGGATCTCTCGACCTGAGCTAGCACCACTGAATTCTTTTCAAGCACAACCCCAACAGAGACCCTCAGTACAGCCGATGAAGAGTTTTGTCGACCAGACGAAGGATGGCTATAAGTCTCCGTACGATTTGCCTATGGACATCAGCAAGCCCAGAAAGAGAGCCCATGCACCCGCGCCTGTTCAAGCATCCACCATAGTTGCGCCCCCTCCACGGAGCAGCAGTCTGTCCGACAAGCCCTTGCAATCGCCGTTCGACCCATCCATGACTCCTTTAGCGCCAGCTATGAACATGCAAAATCGAAGTGTATCTGGTGTACCCTCATCCGGGAAGTCAGAGAGGCCAAAGTCGGGCTCCTCGAGTTTTTTCGAGGAGTTGCCCATCGCGGCCAAGCCTCGTCCATCCAGTGGTCATGGACGGTATACGCCACAACAAAACATCACTGCTTCTCCGCCTCAACAGCCTCCTCAAAGTCCACCTCGCGCTGCATTTTCGCCTCCACAAGCGGCCCCGTCGCCGCCCAAGCCATCGGATCCTTATGCTCAATTTCAACTACGTGCCCCAGATCGTATGGATCCTTATGCCAATGTTGCTCTCCATCCACCCACTCAACCGACAGTATCAAATACCAGATATTCTCCTGCTCCCTCAAGTTCCTCGATTGCATCGGCGTCGCGTCCAGGACCTTCCCCTCGATATTCTCCAGCACCACCTCCCGCGGGGCCACCTCCCAATACGCTGAACAGATACGCGTCTCAACCAACAGTTCCGCCTGTCGCGCCCCAAGGAGCCCCCCCAGTGCCACACAGATACGCCTCGCAGCCGAATGTTCATGCTGCAGCCCCTCCTCCTATCTTACCTTTCCAGCCTAGGACATCCAGCCCCTTGGCATATCACAAGGCTTCTATTGACGAGAGCGCCAGCGAAGTTTCGATCAGCCAGGGCCAAAGAGCAGGTGGGCTACTAAGACAAGTGTCTGCAGCCGGTGCTATTCCATCACAATCAACAACATCGCCCAGCATTGACACCTCTTTCTATGCCTCTTTGGCTAAGCCCCCAACCACCGAGAGATTACCGCCTCCCCGACGATCACAGACGCAGTCTCCGTCCAAACAACGCCCGCAAGCTGCATTTCCCGCGTACCTCAGCGATGTACCAAACCGCCCTGCATCTGCTTATGGTCAGCCATTGGCTGAAAGGGCTACATCAGAGAGCATCCCACCATCTCGGCCGCAAGCGGACGTTCGAGGACTAGCTACCGACCTTGAGTTTGTGCGACCCACTGATGAGGCTCAATTTGATCTTCTGGAACGTTGGAAAGGCGCGCCAGTGTTCACGTTCGGTTTCGGTGGCTATGTTGTCAGCACTTTCCCAAAGCACGTCCCGAGATATACTGCAGGATCAGCAAGACCTCTGATCAAGCCTGCCCCTGGTGAAGTCTTGACACGCAATCTGAAAGATGCCATCATGCCTCTGGATGCATTGGATAACTTTCCTGGACCGTTGCGTGGGAAAGCGAAGAAGAAAGATGTATTGTCCTGGATGTCCGACTACATCAGTGCACTGGAGACGTTCAGGCCAGATATTGCGACATATCAGTCTGTGTCTGATCCTGGCAGGCGTCACCAGGAAAAGCTGTTACTTTGGAAAGTTGTCAAAACCTTGGTTGAGCACGATGGCATCCTCGATGGTACCGCCCTAAAGTCTGTGAACCTAATCTTGTCCCCAGAAGTTCATGCCCTGGACGAGCAAAATGCCACCCAATACCGATCAGATTCGCAAATTTCTGGAATATACCGTCCAGCCGGCAACAGTGCCCGTATAGAGTCGATGGATCCCATGGCTGTTGAAACGTTACGAAAGCGCCTGTTAAGTGGTGACCGACAAGCAGCCGTTTTCCATGCCATGGACAATCGTCTATGGTCACACGCGTTGATCATCTCCTCGACAATGGAGCGCTCGGTTTGGAGCCAAGTTGTGCGGGAGTTTGTCCGCCAGGAGGTCAAGACTGTGGGCGAGAATTCCGAATCATTATCGGCTCTATACGAAATATTCGGCGGTAATCTAGAGGAGAGTATCGACGAGCTCGTGCCTCCTTCAGCTAGGGCAGGTCTGACAATGGTGAGCAAGACTGACAGTACAGGTCCCACCAAGAATGCTCTAGAGGGCCTAAATCGTTGGCAAGAAACACTAGGCCTTGTCTTGAACAACCGTTGTCAGGGCGATCAACAAGCCTTAGTGGTTCTTGGGAAACTCTTGGAAGACTATGACCGTATTGAGGCTGCGCACGTTTGTTATCTGTTTTCGAGGAGTCCAGCCAGACCACCTATCTTCGGTGGTAGTGACGATGATCAAACGCCTATTACCTTGGTTGGCGCGAACCATAAGAAACAACCCTTTGATTTTGGCCGCGACAACGAAGCGATAGTGCTCACAGAAATCGTGGAATTCGCAACAAGTGTGCTGGCTGCGGGTGCTACTGCCTCGTTCATGCCCCATCTGTCTGCCTACAAGCTCCAGAGGGCAAAGACTTTAGCTGAAAAAGGGCAAAAGGCGGAGGCACAGGCATATTGTGATGCCATTGCCGCGACACTCAAGTCGAATACGAAGATGTCGCTATACTATCATCCGCTCTTCCTGTCCGAGCTGGATGACCTATCAAACCGGCTGAAACAGACACCAATGCAAGGCTCTTCCTCATGGCTAGGCAAGCCAAGTCTCGAAAAGGTATCTGGCTCGGTCTGGAACAAGTTCAGCAGTTTTGTCGCCGGTGATGATAGTGATGCAGAATCCAAGGGTTCTGGAAAGGACGCGACTGACGCAGGGCCCTTCGCCAATGTTGTTGGGACGCCTTCGGTAAGCCGGACAGGTTCACAATCAGATTTGTACGGAGCGTACAGTCAAAGCCTGCCTGCAACGATCTCGAATTCACGATATGCACCAAACGGACTCCATTCCACACGCTCTTCGTCGGATCTTACTAGGGGAAGACCATCACTAGATTCCCAGAGGTCCCCCCCATCAACTTCTCATTCCCATAATCGCCCATATGAGTCAATGAACATGCTCCAACAGACTGGGGCAGCACATCCCTTCAATCCTTATCAAGCACTTGCAGCGGCCTCACCTCCATCATCATTCCCGCAAAGCCCGCCCAGATCTTCATACATACCCAACCACACATTCGACTCGATTCCGGAAGATATACCTCAACCGTCGTATGTACCTACGCCTCCGGCCGAAGAAATTACTCAACAGTCCTTCGGCTACCAAAAAGATGCTCCTTCGACACGAATGAATGAAGGAAAAGTTGCATATGGTGGCTTTGAGCCACCTAGTCAGCACGAATCTGCGACACCTCCCCAACATGATCAGGCCGGCGAAGGAGGCTTCGTCCCTCCTTCTCAGTCATACAGCTATGAACCTCCTACCGAATCCGGATATACGCCTTACGTCCCGGAGCCTGATTCGCCAGAGGACGAAAAGCCTAAAAAGAAGTCGTTCATGGATGACGATGATGATGACTTCCCTAAAATGGCGACTCGGTCACAGCCCTCGACATCGCAGCTGTCTGCTGGTGGCGAAGACGACGCTGCACGAAAACGAGCTAATGACGAGGCTGCTGAAGCCGCGTTCCGTGCGGCAGCGGAAGCCGATGCGGCTCGAGAGAAGGAAAAGGCGCAGGCAAAGAGGTCCTCGTCCTGGTTCGGCGGATGGCTGGGAGGTAAGAAGGCGGAGAACGGACTCGACAGTAGCAATACTGGGGGTGCGGAGCCCAAGGTTTACAAGGCTAAATTGGGCGAGTCGAAGATGAAGCTGTATTATGACAAGGACTTGGGTAAATGGGTGAACCCGGACAACCCAGATGCTGCAAAGAAAACAGCAACACCACCTCCTCCCCGGATGGGTGGAACTCCAGCGCCTCCGATGGCTTCGGGAGGACCTCCCATGGGTCCCTCTACCGGGCACACCTCGACTCCAAGTCTTCCGTCTATGAGTGTTGGTCCCTTGTCTGGACCTGGCAGCCGATCAGGGACACCTGCCAGTGGACCGGCGATGCCATCACCTCTGCCTGGTATGTCCGGCCCTCCTAGTGGCACGGGTACACCCCCGCCAGGCCCAACTTCAAATCCCGGGCTCGCTCCTCCTCGTCCAAGCACAGCAACCAGCAATGCTAGCAGCATCGATGATCTCATTGGGCCTGCCACCGGCCGCAAAGGTGCTGGAAAGGGAGCCAAAAAGGCCAAAGGACGTTATGTGGATGTCATGGCTAAATAGAAGCAACAATATGTGTTGCACCGATCTTTTCGACGGTCATTTGTATAGTAATCATGGGAAGGGATGCGTACATGTCACCGAGACGTCGAAATGCAGCTCATTGCAGTATGTTGCTGGCAATCTGAAATGTAACATCCTTGTATTGATGGGGCAATTATCCAAATAGCATAATACAGTGTAATACAATCCATAAGCAGATCATTCAGCAGAGATAAGAGTGCTTTCTGAAATATTTCGACTGTTCTTGTTGCCAACATGATGGAGATCCGGTCTTGTGGTCCAATGCACACGTGATCAAAGACGGCATATTTATTAGTCGGCGACGCTGCGAACGTCTGAACCGAATAACACTAGGTAGACTACATTCAACTGGAAGCAAGTTCTCTGAATTCGACCTCTTCATAGAGCCTACCCTTGTCCTCCAGCGACCCTACTATCGCTTCGAGCTCCCGCACTACGATCTGTCTGTCAGTTTATACGCTATGCAAAAGCCAGAGTTGTCCTCCTCTTCCGCCGCCGCTGCTCCTTGCTCGCTTCCACCGTGCCTCACTCCCTCGTCGTAACCAGTCAGGGCAAACGCTACCATTTCTCCAGCCCTAGAAGTCCTGCGCTTTCATCGCCGTCGTCGTTCACCAGCTGCAGTAGAAGCAGCACTGGTATTGGTATAAGCCATGGCCTCAGCACCTCCTACGGCCGACGCTCTCTCGGACCCCAACAACCCCCTGGTCAACATCTCCTGCTTCGACCTGCTCCTGATCGAGCTCGTCCCGCTAGCCGAGCGCATGGCTCGTGCCTTCGAAGCGAGCCTTGACGGGCACAGCCTCGGTTCTCCAGCGTCTCCCACTTCCAAACGCGGCACGAGTGGTGCCACCAGCAATCCCTCCACTACAACACACTCGTCGTCAACCGCGACCGGGGCGAACTCGGCCGTGGGGGCAGGAGCAGGATCACCAGCACCAGTACCGTCGGGCACAGGGATAGTACTGGCCGCCGACGGCCTTCCCAGCACCACGATATTCCGCGACAGCGTCTACGTGCGCCTCGAACGTCTCGGGTTCCGGGTCGGCGAAGGGCTGAGCGAGCGCTTCTCGTGCGACAGACCTCGGTTCACGGACCAGCTGGACGTCATCAAGTTCCTGTGCAAGGATCTATGGACCGTCGTGTTCAAGAAGCAGATTGATAATCTCAAGACGAACCACAGGGTAAGTCCAAGTTCCTGCTGGCCCTACCTGACCATTTCTCCCCGCCTGGGACGCGTGCAGTGCGTGCGTGCGTGCAAGCTTAAAGATACATTAAATCAAGAGGCTAAAGAGGAGAGCTAACCGGTGAATTATTTTTACAAACATCAACAGGGCGTCTTCGTTTTGACGGATAACAAATTTCGACCGTTTGCTCGCATGAGCATGACAACTCATGCAGACGCTGTTGCCCGAGCTCAACCACACTTGTATTTCCCCTGTGGGATTATTCGAGGTGTCTTGTCTAGTCTTGGTATCAAGGCTACTGTACAAGCTGAGACGGCCGAGTTACCAAGTGCCACATTTCAGATTAAGACTGCCCAGGCAAAGCCTTGATTGATATCACCATCATCCAGTCACGACCGCAAGGTGGAACCTCAATCAGCCTCGAAATTTTAGTCTTCCTAAAACAACCAGAGACTGGGTCGGGGATCGAGGCACGTTTACACGCGAGTTCGGACGCTTCGGTCCACGTCTTGAGTACGAACTTGCATATCACAGAGGCCCCAAAGGTCGGGAATGAGCGAATCGAAGTTATGAAATCACGACCAAGTGTCTCCCATGATCAGAGTATTTGGGTTACTGCATGAACGCGGAATTTCATTTTGTCTACGCGGTCTCTGCGGAAATTTGTCTCCCAAGTCTTGAAAGGGTGTGGTGCCACTTCAACTCGAAGGGCAATCATTCCTCGTGACTGTCGGTATTCACAATCTGCACCGCAGTCTGGTCAGTGTGTGGTCTCTGTATGTTGATTCTTCCCATCGTCGCAAATATCGTCAATGGTATAGGCAGGCAGGCTCGTTCTGGGATAGAAGTCGCTCACGTCCTACCTACGAGAATTGTCAGGCGAGTCGGACAGGGAAAGGGGACAGGGGTATACACATACTTTGGTGCGTTCTTGACGAAGCTGACACCGGCCTCGATATTGGTCTTTAGACCCTTGATGGCCTCATCGAGGAGCTTCTTCTCATAGTCGTTGGCACTGCTGAGAATGTCGATGGCCTTTTCAGCTCCATTGGGCTGTCGGACTGTTAGTTGGATTAAGAGAGACATTCCTTTACTAGACTTACGCCGAGTTCGACGGGGACAGAGAAGAAGTCGCAGCCAGTTGCCTTGGCGATAGCGTCACCACCTTCGACGCCAGGCAGGTAGACAAAGGTTGGCTCCACGATGCCCTTCTCACCCTTAGCTGCCTTCAAGAGGGATTCGGCGAATCTGAATCCAGCATATGCCATAGACAAGGTTGCAGATCCAGCACCGTCCTTGGCCTTGACAACCTCATCACCTCCAAATTGGACACGGTTGACCAGTGCGTCGAGTTTGTCAGCGGGAATGTCCACCGGTGGCTTGGCCTGGCTGAACACGGGAACGATGGTGTTGCCGGAGTGTCCTCCTACGACAGGAATTGTGAGCTTGCGGGGATCCTTCTCGCCAGTGATGTCTCCAACAAAGGTCTGAGCACGAACGACATCGAGAGTGGTGACACCAAAGAGCTTCTTGGGGTCAAAGACACCAGCCTCCTTGAGAACCTCAGCAGCGATTGGGACGGTGGAGTTGACAGGGTTGGAGATGACACAGATGGACGCCTTGGGGCAGTACTTTGCGCAAGCAACGATCAGATCCTTGACAATGCCAGCGTTGGTCTTGAACAGGTCATCACGGGTCATTCCAGGTTTCCCTACACCTTTATCAGTCACGGCTCCCTGGTGTGCATGTACATGACTGGATATAGACAGATGTAGACGTACGGGGAACACCAGCTGGAATAATGACAATATCTGCGCCTGTCAAGGCTTGTTTCTTTGCCTCTTCCGTCTCTGGCTTCTCGCCCTTGAAGTCACCCTTGGCAGCAACGAAGCCACCGATGTTCTGTAAGGCAAAAAAACAGTTAGCTACTGTGTTCGGATTGCTGGAACGGCCAAACGGAAGCCAGGGTGAGGAGAGGAGAAGCGTACAGCGACGGAGGAGATGTGAGACAGATCGGCAGCGACGCCAGGTGTGTTGACGACATCAAAGAGAGCAAGCTCGTCGATGAGAGGAGAGATCTTGCAGAGCAGAGACAACGGCTACAGAGGTTGTTGTGTCAGTGTTTGTTCGCGCGTAATGTCGTTCGGAGCTGGTTGGGCTCTCACCTGGCCAATGCCACCAGCGGCACCGAGAACGACGGCCTTGACCATGATGGAAGCGTGTGTGAGGGGTAGTGAACTGCAACGAGGATTAGACGAGGGCGGGTTCAAACAACGACACTTGATTGTCGGGAGGTACCTGAAGAAGAGACTTGGAGGAAGAAATAGTGAAGGAGAAGATTGTGCTTTTGAGGAGTGTTTGAAGGAAGCAATGAGGTAAAAGAGGTCAACAAAAAGCAAAAGCGGTCTAACTTGTTGGTGAACAGCGACTCATCAGTGCACACACAGTAACTGGTTCGTGACGAGCAGACAGCACGATTCCCCCGCCAAGCGAGTGCGCAGGGTTGCAAGTCCGGGCGCCTGCAATACACCCCGCGTCTGTCCGCCTGGGCCGGCTTCTTACCGTGTGCGCCAATGGGCGACCCCGTTGGAGGGTGAAGTCTACGCGACGCACGACGACGAGGCTACACGGACGAGAATGCTTCGGATGAGGCTGAGCTCCTTTCGGGCTAGGTTCGCATTTTTTGAGTATTTTATCACCTTGCCACTGGGCCAACTATCTTCGTGAGATGCCTCGGATGCATTCTAGCTATGGAGCTGGACTGGAGCTTCATCCGGTCCTGGCCGAAGAGGAATTATTTGAGTTGACTCCATACACGGACTGGGTGGATATTGACGAGGGTGAATCCGAGCATCGTGGCCGGAAGCACCCAAGATCTCCGGGAGACGGGTTTCGAATGGCTCTCAGAAGAGGTCTTCTTCTTCTTCCATCGGATCGTGACCTCGGTGTAGACTCCGATCAACAATGCTCATGACGAGGTCGAACTTCCCAGCGCTGAGGGGCGATTTATGCCTCCTGCTTCCTTGCCTTCAAGCCACGGGGCTTCGCCGCTGGGGTATCCTTCTTTGGTGCCTGAGAGTATTTGATGTTGCTGGCGCGGGAAATAGCAGCCTGGTTCAGGTCACCACGGTACGACCTCTTGCCGACAGCGTCTGCGATGTTCTTGAAGATCCTATTGGGTCCAAGTTAGCAATTGTCTCGTTGCAGTCGTCGGCATGGCCACGGCCGCAGGAGCTATGGCGCAGCGTATCTGGATATTCCTCACTTTCTGTTCGACGTAGTCTTGCCGTATGCATGTGTGTTGTAGGCAGTCTTGGGGGTGTTTGACTTTCCAGGCTTCTTGGTCAAAAGGGTAACACCGCCCTTGTCGTTGGCCTGGACGGAGACAGCCTTGTCATTGACGAAGCCCTCGTGCGTTCGCGAGTGCTTGTTGGTGAGGTTGAACGGGTCTCGAGAGAACTGAACACCACCGGCGGTCTTGCGCTTGACTAGGTAGGCATTGTTGCCTCCTGCACCGATATCAATCAGACATTGCCGGCTGCAACAGAGACGTCTAGAGTAAACTTACGGACAATCTCCCAGATGAGGTCGCCGGAGACGTTTGAGACTTCAGACATGGTGACTGTGGAAACGTTGGCTGTGGTATCACTTTCACAAACAACTTTCGCAGATGGAAACAATGCGCTTTTGCATCAAAATTCATGGTGGGTGTATTATGTAATCTGCGCCAAGACGCCAAGTCCACCACCGAAAAGTGGAAGTCGCTGCGGCCACACAACCACCCAAAACTTAACCGTCCAAGAAAGTCCAACGACATTCTCACCACACAGCAACTCGCGCCAGAGACACATCTATCTTTGCACTTGGAAGATAGATCAAGGTCGCAATCATGGCTGTCGGCAAGTAAGTCATCCCGCCAGGGCTTCCGAGTGTGCATTGGGCCGTCTCGAAGACAGCTTCGACGGTCGCATGTTGAAGATCGCAGGCTAACATCAATTTCTCCCGCAGGAACAAGAGACTTTCCAAGGGAAAGAAGGGCCTCAAGAAGAGAGCCCAGGATCCCTTCACACGAAAAGATTGGTACTCGATCAAGGCGCCATCCACCTTCAACCAGAGAGAGTACGTCGAAGTCCAGGATTGCACAGGGAGGAGGGATCAACGACGCTAACACCACGTTTTTTTCACAGTGTCGGCAAGACCCTCGTAAACCGAACCACCGGTCTGAAGTCCGCCAACGACGCCCTCAAGGGCCGAATCTTCGAGGTCAGCTTGGCCGATCTCCAGAACGACGAAGACCACGCTTTCCGCAAGGTCAAGCTCCGAGTCGACGAGGTCCAGGGCAAGAACTGCTTGACCAACTTCCACGGTCTCGACTTCACCTCTGACAAGCTCCGATCCCTCGTCCGCAAGTGGCAAACCCTGATTGAGGCCAACGTCACCGTCAAGACCACTGACGACTACCTCCTCCGCCTGTTCGCCATTGCCTTCACCAAGCGCCGACCAAACCAGATCAAGAAGACCACATACGCTGCCTCGTCACAAATCCGAGCCATCCGCAAGAAGATGACCGAGATCATCCAGCGTGAAGCCACCAGCGTCACCCTCGCCCAGCTCACCGGCAAGCTCATCCCCGAGGTCATTGGCCGTGAGATTGAGAAGAGCACGCAAGGAATCTACCCTCTCCAGAACGTCCACATCCGAAAGGTCAAGCTGCTGAAGGCACCAAAGTTCGATCTCGGTGCCCTATTGGGCCTGCACGGCGAGAGCACGCAGGATGACTCCGGCCAGAAGGTCGAGCGAGAGTTCAAGGAGCCAGCACCTTTGGAGAGCGTGTAAGTCGAACACTACGGGGAGCATGATTAGGATGATGATTATGGTTTTCTTCTTGAGGTTCCAAGGCTACTGGAAGACAAACGCAAAGAAAAAAGATGACAAGGGGTCCATGGTTCCTGGGTGCACAGTGTGCTATTGCGGCAGGATACGGGACGAAAAAAGAATTATGCTAGTCAAGGCGTCATGGGTAGACGATGAGGGTGATATTGTGTCTTGTCTTCGACGGACTTCGAATGGTTATCCTTGCGATGCCCTTGATGTCGCAACAGTAAGGACTGCATAAGGGATGTGTTTTATGCTACTCCTCGTAGAGATAGGACAGCATAGCATCTACAAACCAAGCCACAATTTCAAGTTTCGAAAAATCTCATTTGCATTTCCATTTGCATCTGCATTATTCTGCAGCGAGACATGGTTTCTACTGCCCACATGCCCCTGGTGATTTGACGCACACGTGCCTAGTTGATGAATTGAGGGAGATGGAGACGGCCAGCTTTTAGATCCAGCCGTATTATCTATGATTTTTCTCTGATTGAGCAAGTCAATAGTTCCACCTGCCTCTCCCTCTCTCTCTCTGTGTGTGTACAGGGAAAGACAAACATAGTAGTAATCGTACATTTTGTGCCTGCACGGATCAGAGATGTGACAGTAGGCCGTTTCTATGGGACAGACCACCACCGTCGCTCCTATCTATTTCGTTTCGAGAACTGAGATGTTTGTAAGATTACTGCATCCTGCATACTAGAAGATGTCAACGCCACCCCCGAGCTGAAGCTGAGGAACAAAGATCACGGTGTGAAGTTCGCGCATGCATACTTCTTCTCAGTAGATGGCAAGCCGCGTCCCGCACTGTAACTCGATGCCCAGCTCAGCTCTCATCGACGACGCGGGTGATCCACTCGACCACGCCGGCTCTGAACCCTTCAAACTTCTCGCTCATGACCCAATGACCGCAGTCAAAGTCCAGGAGCTCGAACTTGGGGAAGAACCTGCCTATAACCGGCAAGGTGTCGTCGGCGACGTAGTGGCTCTGGGTGCCGCGCACGACCAAGGTCGGGCCCTCGTACCGCGCCTCGTCGGGGTCCTTGAACGGGAAGTCCGCCATGGCCGGCAGCGCCTTGGCGAGGGTGTGCAGCGGTATCCTGAACCTGAGCTCCGTCTTTTGAGCGTGCCTGTGGTCGTGGTGACGGTCCGCCCCGCCACCTCCCGCGGCCTTCTTGACGAGGTTCGTCAGCAGGAACTGCCGGATCGCGACGTCCGGCTCGTGCTTGGCGAGGATCTTGTCAGCTTCCGACTGCTTCGTGACGGGAGGGCGGTGCGCCTCGATCTCGCGCATCGCCTGCACGTAGGTGTGGAAGTCGGACTTGAGGGCTGCGTCGACGGGCGCGTTGTCGACGGGGATCAGGGCCGAGTACGCCGACGGCCGGCGCAGCGCGAGCGTCATGGCCACCTTGGCGCCCATCGAGTGCCCGATCAGCGTCGGCCGGGATATCGAGTGCGTCGACAGGAAGTGCTCCACGTCGACCGCCATCGACGTGTAGTCGTGGATCGACGAGTGAGGGGAGTCTCCGTGGTTGCGGAGGTCGACTAAGTAAACTGGACGAGAGAGGTCTTTGGCTAGGAGTCTGTAGACGTGACCAAAAGAGGAAGACGCGGACGGTCGTGTCAGTGACGGCTGTACTCCTGTGTGTGTGTGTGTGTGTGTGCTCCCTGCCCGGGCGACGCATGGGAGGAGGCTAGTTGTTGCTGTTGGGAGAGGATATGGGTTTTCCTTACTTACTCATCGTGCGATTGTTGCGCTGCGATCCGAAAAGACCGTGCATGAGGACAATGGGCGGGCCCTTGACGCTCGTGTCCGGTGCGTCGTGTCGGTGGAAAGCGAGCTCGACAACATCGCTGCGTCTCTGCGTCGTTGAAAACAGCCGTCGCGAAACGGGACCGCGCAGCTCGCGCACCCGCAGACGGTGCATGCCCAGCAGCTGCGAGCAGGGATGGAGGAGGGAGCAAGATAGACACAGAAGAGTGGAGGAGACGTGAAGGTGTGTAGCGGGTTTGTGAAAAGAGATTTATCTCGAGCTCTCGTCCATATACTACTCATACATATGTAGGTATCTGTAGGCCAGATAGAGTGAGTCAGTCCTTCGGTGTTACCGGTCTATGTAATAGTAATACAAAATGTTTCCGCTCTGCTTGGCGCATGACGTCGACTTGCGTCGGAAATTTCGGGCTTCGTAAATTGCCGAGCTGTAAGGTAATGTAAGGTACTGGAAAATGTTAGGCAGGGAGTCTGCAGCCTCGTCTGAAACTCAGAGTCATCCAACCTCGTGGTGTGCCAGAATATTAAATAGAGTCGACGTACAAATGGTCTCAATCGCATTCCATTTGGTATCATGTCGTCAATCATTCTGACTTGTTGGTGTTCGGCTTGTCCACCGGGAAGGATTGCTTATTGACGCCCACCAATGCTTCCTGAATGGCATCCGCTGTTCCGTCGTTGGTCCTGACGTATCGTATCGTAGTGTTGAAATCTCCGGAGGTAGCGTGGTCTGGATCCGAGCCCCTGATCATTTCCCGATCCCACATGTTGGACGAGGCACAAAACGATTCAAGGCCGAGAGAGTTCTTGACCGACCTCATAGTCCTTATAGCCACCCTCCGGGCCTTTTTAGCCCCCTCTTCGGCCTCCATATTGAGGGTCTGATTCGACGGGTTCATGAGCTCTTCGAATCGATCCCGCACTCCTTCTAAGGACTCGCAAATGTTGTCCGCCACCATTTCCTTGAAACCTCGCATAGTCATGTTTTCGAGGTCCTTTGCAATGGCTTCTGGAGCCAGACTTAGCGAGGTCACATTCCGCAATATGTCGATCAGGTTGGAGACGCCAGGTCTTTTCTCAGGGTCGTAGCTTATGCCTGGTTCCGAGTCGGTTATGGCGCCCTTGATCTTTGCATGGATCTCCTCCCGTGTGTCCGTGACGAGAATGCGTGATTTCGGGTCCGGGTCGGATTTAGACATCTTCTGCGTCGGTCTTTTCAGCGACATGATCCGTTGGGCGGCGGCTATGATACACTTGTGAGAAATACGTAGATACGAGGATCGGATCGTGCATGACTTACACAACGCCGGCCAGGGCACCCTGAACACATTGCCGCTGCTTTCAGGCCTAGATCTGACGTGAGAATTGAAGCTTCTAGCCAGAGACCGAGCGAACTCGATATGTTGTATCTGGTCGGCCCCAACAGGTACTAACGTTGCTCTGCACAGTTGTCAGTGTGCTCTGATACGCAGAAGAATGATTCGCTCACTGATATAGCAAAATATCGGCAGCCTGGAGCACCGGATAGGAGAATAGTCCAAGCTTCAGTTTTGCTGTAGCTTCGTCGCTGTGCAGGTCCGCATCATCGGATAAATTCAATTTGCTCTGTACATTCCTGTGAGTAATGTTGAATTTCAGTTAAGGCAGTCAGCACACTCCTCACCTTCCATTGGGTCATTCTAGAGAGATAGCCCGTTGAAGCAATAGTGCTCAAGATCCACATTAGTTCAGTATGTGCTTTTACCTGCGAGTTTGGTTAAATGAGTAAGTCGCCGTCGCGAGACTTTGACTTACGTCGGATTGAAAGAACAGAGTGGTCTGCTGTGTATTTTGTAGTCCGATTGCCATCAAGGAAGCATATGATTCCCTCCTCAGCTTTCTGCGCACATGACCTGGAACATCAGACGAGGTCAAGGCGTGCAAGTCAACCACAGAAAAGAACTGGTCATGCTTCGTGTCGCCCAGCAGCTTTGTATTCGCCGAACTGTCGTGCAGCAATTTCCATTGACGAAGAGCGCCGAGATAGTTTCCTAAGTGCGGTACGCCAGTCGGCTGGATTCCCGAGAAAACTCTCCTTCTCTGCAGCAGAGGGCGTTCAGACTGTTCAGAACTGTTGTCTTCGCTGTCCCACTGGCCTCGCACCGCCTTGCCTTCTAGCCATTCCTGTGGTGGTCGCAGGGGTGAGTCGCTGTAGCATCTGCAGCATAGCCTCCGCCGGTTCAATAGCCTCCGCCGCACCACACGGCTGCCTGAAAGCATCGCATAGATTAAAAGAGTGCACACGTGCGTAAGACACGCCGGACGTTGAAGATTGGGCTTTCAATGCACGAAGTAAAGGTCGAAGCTACAGAAATTCATGAGACAGAGAGACGAGCCAAGACCCGGTATTTTTGCTAAGGTTACCGTAAATTACGGTCACACCTAGCCCTACCCACAAAAGGGAGTACGGAGTCTGTCCGGATACAGGTATCTGTCTGGAGGGTAGCTAACATCAGCTTCGGCCTGAGCATTCCAACATTTGTGAATCTTCCCATCGGCAACATCTACGGTGGTCGTGTCTATTTAATCACTCTATGATCGTCAAATCCTTCAAATCCCGCAGATAACGCATATAAAGTGATGAATCTGGTGCAGAGACTGCGCCAATCATGTCAGTGCTGCACCGATGTTGTTCGGCTCAATGAGTGGCCCTATGCCAGCTTACGGGACTTTAAAAAAGCATCCCACAAAGGCTGCCCAAGGTGCTCGATCATCGTTGATGGAATTCGCAAATTCTCGAGTCGTTGGTCAGGCATCCCATCCCATGAGGTTCGAGTCAGTATCCCTGGAGAGTACGCGGGCGGGGACCTGCGTGAGATATGGCTCAGGTGGCCGAACAAAGCCAAACGTGAGTCTTGGGAGCCTCCTGAACGATGGAGGAAGTTCGAGATCCAGATTTACTTCACCAAGGGTAGGAGATTGTTTTCCTTCGGACCACTAATCTGACAATCTCATATCAAAACGCCGCTTTGGGAATCGCCACCTTGAAGCTCAGGTTTCTTTTGTCTGAGACACTGATATCATCTAGGTAGCGAACCTCTCTTCCCGCATATGCTCCCCAGGCTACATGTGCCAGTGTCATCTGACTCGGACACTTGCTTCGACACCATCCAATCTTGGATCAAGGAATGTGTAAAGCATCACAAGCTGTGCGACGCCACCTCCTCAGAAGGGCTGTTCCTACCGACACGGCTCGTCGACGTCACTCCAGATGACTGTGACAAGGAGATACGTCTTGTGAACACCAGGTATATCTCAAAGTCGTCAAAGTATGCAGCACTGAGCCATTCCTGGGGACGAAGGGAACAGCGCATCAAACCAATCCCAAAGACAACGACCAAGACGCTGAAAGCAAGGCTGCGCGGGGTGTCGTTCGGCGAGCTGACCAAGACATTCCAGGACGCCGTCTCCGCCGTACGACGTCTAGGCTTACGATATGTCTGGATAGACTCGCTGTGCATCATACAGGACGATGACAACGACTTCGCCGAACAAGCCAGCCAGATGGCCAAGATATATGGACAGGCTCACCTTGTGATATCTGCACTGCGCGCCGCCACCGGGGATGTCGGTATTTTCCACCGTCGATACAAGCCTGAGGCAATCACGCATTCGAGTCGACGAGGTCCTTCGTTAACCGCATATGTGAGGCCAGTCCTCAACCACGACGACTTCATCACTGGCGAGCCACGTAGTTTCCAGTCATCGCCTCTTTTCGCAAGAGCTTGGTGCTTCCAGGAGCGTCTGCTGGCTCGTAGAGTCGTCCATTTCTCCGAGCACGAAATCGTCTGGGAGTGCAACGAGGAGCTCGACTGCGAGTGCCGTGCCATCCGGCCAGACTCGCTAGCTGAGATGAATGGAAACTTCAAACGTCGGCAGGCCGCCGCGCTTCGGAGCAAGCATCAAGAGTCACTGCTCAAGGCATGGTACGACGTCGTTCGAGCGTACAGCGCCCGTACCCTGACTATGGAAACCGACCGCCTACCAGCCCTCTCTGGCTTTGCTCAGCTTGTCAACTCACCAGGATTTGGCAAGTATTCTGCAGGTCTATGGGAGGGTCAAATGCCCGCTGCACTCTTGTGGCGCCCGCTCCGTGCCTTGCCTGAAGCCCCTGATGGCCTGATCGAGCGTCCAGCAGAATACCGAGCGCCGACTTGGGCGTGGCCCGCAGTGGTGGCCGTGACAAGAGGATACATGAGGTATATGACAGATTCGGACATTGTTGCGAGAGTCGTGAAGATTAGATGTACGCCCTCGACCAGTGACCCGTTCGGACAGGTAAAGAGCGGATATATCGTGCTTGAGGCACCTGTTGTTGATCTCATCCTATCTCTCACGAAAGAGAAAGATTCATGGCCTCACTTGTATGATTTGGAGAGAGGCGGAGAGAAACGTCGCTTTCAAGCCGATGTCAGCCTTGGAAAAAGATCTTCTGACCATGTTCGCTATGGAGCGCGCCTGCGCTGTGTCCTCATTGAGCGTTCCCACACTCAAAAGCGAACCGCGTCAATTGTTTTGCGGCATGATGAGTCCGACAATGAGCACTGGTACAGAGTTGGTTGGTTCAATTGTCCGCAGCATTGGGCTAGTGAGGCTCAGCGCGAACAATTCAAGATTCTCTAAAAGATCGAAATCACGAAGACTCGACAATCTGTGGGTAAGTAGCATCGACCGTCAGGATGCTAATGGCTCTTCTTGATCGCACACGTACTATTAGCCATCTTCTTCGCGCCAGTCAGACGAAATTAGCATGTACAAGGAATTGGGAAACCCGTTTCCCCAGCCACAATCAAAAAGGGTCGGTCATTCAACCAAGTGGGGCGTCAGGAGGACCACAAACAGGTTGACCCTCTTTCGCGGGTAGCCGACTAATATTTATTAAGCTTATTGCCAGCGACACCCTGCTTTGAAAATAGTGCTTCTTCGTTTAATGTTCTCTCCGCCTTACAATGCGTGGTGGTTTAGACCCTCCCCCTACACCTATCACGGTCGAGCACTGCTGCAACAGATGACCCGCGCACGTGATGCTCATTGCGCAGCCTGAGTCGTTGCGTGCTCGTCAACATCGCACCCTACACCACTTCTCAGCCTGATCGCTCAATATGGTTTCTCTCATACCGACAAGGTCTATTCTCACGTTGCCTAGCTTTCGGTGTTCCGCAGCAACTTCCTCCGGGTATGACGAATTCGTGCAGCATCCTTACATAGGCTCACTTGGAAACCCCAGCGACGCCTCGCGAGCAACCGAACCTCATTCTCTGAGGCGCGATATCGTGCTCCTGTCCGTTTCCCACGCTTCACCGGCGTGCAATGCACCTCCTTGAATGTGGCGGTGGTGGTGATCTGCGTTTAACCAGAGATTTGACTGACAATATCCCTGCCTATGCGATTCTCTCCCATACTTGGGGAGCCGATGAAGATGAAGTTACATTTGCGGACATCCAGACAGGGTCAGGCAAGAGCAAAAAGGGTTACAAAAAAATCCAGTTCTGTAGGGAACAGGCGAGGAAGCATGGCCTCCAATATTTCTGGGTGGACACATGTAGTATCGATAAGGCCAACCATACAGAGCTCTCAGAGGCCATCACGTCAATGTTCCGCTGGTACCGTGATGCTGCTAAATGCTACGTCTACCTATCTGATGTGTCAATTCACGACCAGGACAATGACAGCCCTACCAAGCGGCCGTGGGAATCAGCCTTTCGCAAGAGCCGATGGTTTAGACGGGGCTGGACACTACAAGAACTCCTTGCTCCGAGATCGGTCGAGTTCTTCTCGCGCGAAGAACAGTGCCTTGGTGATCGGAATCTCCTTGACCAGGTGATTCACGAAATTACGAATATTCCGCTTTCGGCGCTCCATGGTACACCTATGTCGGATTTCAGTGATCAGGAGAAGATGCGATGGGTGGCAGGACGTGAGACGAAAAAAATTGAAGACCGAGCGTACTGCCTACTTGGGATCTTTGGTGTATTCATGTATCTCAACTACGGCGAGGGAGACCATGCATTTGATCGTCTGGAAAAAGAGATTCGTGGGTCTTCAAAACGTGAGTGTTCTATTCTTACCTGTCTCCTTGTATCTTATAAAGTCTCTGTCTTGAAATTTCAGGGAACTATTGGTTTCATATGTCTGGACTCCAGTGTCAGGCCTAGCCTAATAAAAATGTTAATGATCATCATCTTTGTCATCAGTTCATGGCTGATATACCAGGTGTACAGCATCTCAAAAGTACAATATCCCGTTCAGCCTTCGAGGCGTCCCCGTTATCGACAAGTTTGCAGACCGTCCCACTGACTTGGCTGATCTGGGCAAGGGTCTTCATCCACAACGAGGATCTCGTCAGTGTCAAAAATTATTTGTGCTGAGTGGGATGGGCGGGATGGGCAAAACACAACTAGCGGCGCAATTTGCGAGACTCAATCACACCAAATACAGTGCTGTGTTCTGGCTGGATGGGAGCTCGAGTGACAAGCTGAAGCAAAGCATCGCCTCTGCAGCCACACGCATTCCCGTGGGACAAATTCCCGAAGCCATGAGAACAGCTGTAGCTGGCGAGGGTGTAGATCTGGAGGCTGTCGTTGAACACTTTCTCAGCTGGCTCAGTCTCCCGGACAACGACTGCTGGCTGCTTGTGATCGACAATGTTGACCGTGAATATCGTGCCCAAGATATCCAGCCCGGCGCCTACGACGTGACACGTTATTTTCCCCAGGCCGACCACGGCTCCATTCTAGTGACGACTCGGCTCAGTGAACTAGAGCAATATGGAACGACGGGAAGAAAGCTGAAGAATGTGGACGATGATCTTGCCAAGGCTATTTTCTGCCAATGGTGTCCGAGAAAATTTGGTATGTCTCAGGATACTTCCTTATCCTCTATTCTGACTGGAGTATGTAGATGAGGATCAAGGTGCTCAACTATTACGGCTGCTGAGTGGCCTTCCACTGGCCTTGACCCAAGCTGCATCATATATACACCAGACCGGAATTACCTTTCCACAGTATATTAATCTCTACAACAGCCGCTGGAAAGATCTCATGCAATCACAAGAAAAAGATGGTGCATCACTTCCCCGATACAATCACAGCATTTGGACAACATGGATGATTTCCTTTGATGCTGTCCGCAGGACGAATGAAGCAGCTGCCAATCTCCTCTTCTTTTGGGCTTTTTTGGACAACCGAGAATTATGGTACGGACTTTTTGAAGGAATAAACAGCAGGTCACAAGTTACTTCTCTCGCCTCACCACTTCAAGAGATCTATGAGGACGAGGTGGCGTTCAACAGCGCGATCCGGCTTCTGCTGAAGTACTGCCTCATAGAACAGATGGAAAATCTGGCTGGTTATGTAGTCCATCCGGTGTTGCACCAGTGGTCTCGGCATATACAGACGAAGGAGCAACAGGTCAATTACGTACGACTCGCCGTGGTTACAGTTGGCTCAGCCGTTCCGTCAGACTCGGAACGAGATTCTTGGGTGACCCAACGACGTTTACTAGGGCATGCTGAGTGCTGCCTCCACTGGATCATTGATGATTGGGTAGATATCTTGAATATGGAGGATCGCGCGGGCAAGGACGTAGCAGGCTATGATAACAATCTACAGGACATCCTCGATGCAACCCGCCAGCTGGGCGACCTCTACTTGGGCCAAGGCAAGCTGGAGGAGGCGGAGGATATGTACGAGCGGGCGCTGCGAGGCCAGGAGAAGGCCCTAGGGCCAGAGAATATATGGACACTTAACACAGTCAACAATCTCGCTATACTCTATGGACATCAAGGCAAGCTGGAGGAGGCGGAGGAGATGTATGAGCGAGCGTTGCGAGGCAAGAAGAAGGCCCTAGGGCCAGAGCATATATGGACACTTAACACAGTCAACAATCTCGGTAACCTCTACTTCGATCAAGGCAAACTGGAGGAGGCGGAGGAGATGTATAAGCGAGCGTTGCGAGGCAAGGAGAAGGTTCTAGGGCCAGAGCATATATCAACACTCACAACAGTCAATAATCTCGCTGTACTCTATGAAGATCAAGGTAAGCTGAAGGAGGCGGAGGAGATGTATAAGCGAGCGTTGCGAGGCAGGGAGAAGGCGCTGGGGCTAGAGCATATGTCGACACTCACAACAGTCAATAATCTCGGTAGTCTCTACCATAATCAAGGCAAGTTGACTGAGGCGGAGGAGATGTTTGAGCGGGCGCTGCGAGGCAGGGAGAAGGCGCTGGGGCCAGAGCATATGTCGACACTCACAACAGTCAATAATCTCGCGATTCTCTACCATCTTCAAAGCAAGCCAGCGGAGGCGAAGGAGATGTTTGAGCGGGCGCTGCGAGGCTATGAGAAGGCACTACAATCAGATAACCTTCATTCTCTCACCATCACTTACAATCTGGGCTTACTCTATCGCACGCAGGGCAACACGGAAGAGGCCAGAAATATGTTCCAGCGCGCACTTGTCGGCCGAAAAAGAATTCTAGGAGAAAACCATCCTGACACCTTAGATTCGGCTAGTCTCTTGATGAAACTGCCATTGCTTGAGGAAGAAAGAGTGGAAGAAAGAGTGGAAGAACGGGCGGAAGAACGGGCGGAAGAACGGGCGGAAGAACGAGTGGAAGAACGAGTGGAAGAACGAGTGGAAGAACGAGTGGAAGAAAGAGTGGAAGAGTACCCAAGGACCATGAGCGCCCACCACTCAACAAGGAAACGAGATTTGTTCAAGAGCATGCTCCGACTACAATGGTCGAGGGATGGTCATTCCTGAACGTGGGCAGGGAGAAGGTTATTGTTTATCCTTCTCTTACCTTTCTTCATTACTTCAATATCAATCTGTTCTGGGACCCCGAAGCCAAAATGTGGTGTTCAGTTTGTCAAAAGACACTGGGGGTATTTCGGGAGGTGTTACGCACAGGGTAATCAATCATCTTGCGAAACCCTGGCCTTGTGGAGGCAGGATGCTCCGCATTTCTTGAACGAACTTGTTTAGTTGCGAGAGGAGTGTTGTCGGTGATTCAGGGCTGCGATATATCCGTCTGTGACCGAGCATATCACCTTGAACTTCTTGCATCACGATACTTCGTGTGTTTGCCCATGATGAGTGAATGCGCACATCACCTTGGGCACCCGGTTCCGATGAGTTCTTGGAAATGAAGCGAATAGTAGATACCTCGGACAGGTCGACAAGCTGACCGTGTTTGATGCAAATACGTTTGGAAAGGTGGAGCACGCGGCCGCTGTAAGGTCTCTAGCTTTGGGAAAGACTGCCGGCAGCAACTACAGGTAGTCGATACAGTACTCCGTTGTTAATTTGAAGATGACTTCCATAGGGAAGGGAAACGGGAATGATGCGTCGTATGGTTGTCTGTAGGGCTCTGGTTGAGCTTCATGAGGCGGCCCACCGAAAAGGGACCTTGCCGTTCTAGGATATTCTTCGCAATCACGTGAACCCAGTAGTTGATATCACGTGGAGAGACAATGAATGGCCAAGGAGTCTCACACCCCCTGAACTCGGTAGGGCACTCCGTATTTTCACCTGGACGACAACAAATAACCGAGAGTGAGCCCGATACTTGGGCCTTCCGAGGTACAAGAGAAACTCAAGGCTGTGAATCGAGAGCGTCAAGTTGTGAGAGTCATCTTCGCAGACTCAGAGCTCACGCTAGTTTACATCGGCGCGCCTCAAGTCACCATACTGGTGCTACGGCGAGATCCTCCAGGCCTGGAAACGAAAATTGGCGCTGGGGAGGTCAAGATTTGCCGCTGAGTCTCTCGCTCCATGCACCACAATTACATCGGACCTTTTGTTTGGCACCACTCCTCTTTTTCAGCGTCTCTTTCCGCGTCCTCAGAGCGATACATCGCCGGTCCGCCGCTAACGAGCACCAGTGATTTGTACTTTAGCTCTAACTTAATGGTCGGTGGAGGAAACGCACCATGGTCGATCAAAAGGTTGCCTCAGCCTCACATCCCTTGTTTACATACCCGGCGGCGCCACCGTTTCCAAGACAACAGGCGAGGCTGGATGACATTTTGCCTGCGATAACTTGATTTCCAGCGCCATTCTGGCCCCTATTTGTACCTGCTCAACGATTATTTGACAACGTACGGGTAGGTCGTCGCTTGCAATGGTTGCATCCTCAAGCATGAATTCATCCTCGGCGCCACATGCCCACCCCTGCGGCCTTTCTTCCAGGGAAACCATGTCTATTAATTCCACGCCCCCATGGAAAGGTGCTTAAGAGGGCGAAAGCGTGGCTCTGAGCCGACCCTTCCTGGTCGTAAATAGCTCACACTCACAGAGATATGATGCTACTGATGAACCAGATCTAGCTGTCGTTTATGCTCGTCTGAAGCAATCCGTTCAGCATGTACTCATTCAATTTGCTCGTAACCACAATACTTGTGGTACTGAGCCTACTACTTACATTCCTGATTGCGTCTGTCGAGACCAGTCCAATCGGCAACAAGGCAGAAACGACATCGTCTCCAAGAACACTGCGTTTGCCCATCCGCCGGCAAGCTTCAAGCCATGGAAAACGCTCAAATGTCTTCTCCGGTACCCTTCAGAACGTAGAATGGTCCTACCTCATCGATGTGCAAGTGGGCACACCACCACAGTCCCTCTCATTGGTTTTCGATACCGGAAGCAGTGACACCTGGGTCTTCTCACCCGAAGCATGCTCGAGCGACGCTCAATGTGCCGGATCATGTAAGTCAATCAATAGGTCTCATCTCCCCCGGTATCTACTCCACCTCTTCTTGACATTCGACCCCCGACGACTGACGATTTTTCATTCCTGCACAAGTCAACTCCAGTGTCTCCTCGACCTTTGATGACACTTCACCGGGCTCCTTCGCCATAAGCTACGGGGACCAATCCCATGTCGAAGGCGACTATTTCATCGACGATCTGCGGGTCAGCAACGCCACGATCTCGGCGTTGACCATGGGTCTCGCAAAGACAGGGCAGTTCCAAGGAGTCGCGACGTCCCACGGTATCATGGGCGCCGGGTACGTGTTGAACGAAGCCGTCACGGGTGCAAACGAGTATCCGAACATCGTGTACGAGTTGGTGTCTCAAAACATCATTGGGAATTATTCGTTCAGCCTCTGGCTCGACGATTTATGTAAGGGGCCCACAACGATAGCACACAGTCCCTGATGGACGTACGTACCTAGAGTTAAAGGAGAGAAGAGGCTGACCGATCTTCCAAAGTTGCATCGACCGGTACGATCCTCTTCGGCGGCTACGATTCTTCCAGGTTCCATGGCTCCCTCACCACGATGCACACCCTCGCCAACGCCAACGGGATGATCAGCACATTCCTCGTATCCATGCTCTCCCTCGGCGCCACGTACAAGAACAGAACGACAACCTTTACCTCGCCGACCTTCAACGGCGCTGCCCTTCTGGACTCGGGCACGGCAACCACCCACGTCCCCAGCGCCGTCTACGCCGGGTTGGCGAACTATTTTGGCGCGGACGCGAATGGAGTCGTCGACTGCAGGCTAGGCCAGACGGAAGGGCACGCTTCTTTCGGGTTCGTGGGTGTCACGATCCGAGTCCCCTTTTCGGAACTGTCTCTCCTCGACAGCACGACGGGGCTGTGCACCTTTGGCTTCTTCGACGGCGGAGAATCGTTGATTCTAGGCGATACGTTCCTGAGGTCAGCGTACGTGTACTACGATCTCGGGAACAACGAGATCGGACTCGCGCAGACTGCGTATTAATACCGAGCGAATCGTCTCTAAGTGGCAAGTTGCTGAGTAGAGTATGTACCTATGTAGTGATGAAATTAAACGACAACGACATTATGAGTGACTGGGTGTCTTGGATATGGAATCTCCCATTTATGACTTTGTGACTCTATGACTCTAGAACGCTCACCTTCCTTTGCACACTGGTACCGTACTCCGTGCTCCCTCCGTATCCCTGCATGAGAAATTCCCCCTGCCACTCCCTTCCCCCCGTCTCTCTCTGTGTGCTCCTGTGTGTTTCTCTATTGCGGCAAGGCAATATATCCCACCCCCTCGACCTCAATTCCAGCACGTCTATCGGGATCGTTGAGCCATCGTGCCTCCTTCTACGAGATTTTGACAGCCGTCAGCAAAGTTCGTGTCCTGATTCTGTAAAACCATTTTCCCTCAAGACTGCCCACAGGATACGACCGTATGAGTAACAGCAATCATTGTCAATCTGACACGTTGGCCCCACCATGAATCGTTGAGCAAAAGGACACCAGAGTCTCCCCCCGCCCTCCACTAACTAATTGACGGTCCACACCGTGCCGTCCCGTGCCGATCCACTTTGCTTAAGTCGAGTGCAAAACGGCCAGTACAACATGCAGGTACCGGTACGACTCCGAGCAAAGGAGACTCTTGCAGGTGGTGTCCTCTTGGTGTCTTGAGATGTACGACGAAGCAGATCTCGTACCCCAAACCAACCCTCCAAATGCAAAACCCCAAACCGCGAAACAGGAAAGCGAAGAGAAATCAATCTATGTACGTACCTTGGTAGGTTTTCTCGGTGCCATGACATAATAATGGTCTTTGTAATGCTGTTTACAAACAAACCACCGACTCCCCCAACAAGGGGGATCCGGTGAAATCACGTCAGTTTGGATTGTTGAATCACATCTCGCACACCACACTTCTTCGTACATTGCAACGCATGGAACCCAAAACATAATCCTGCCCGTAACATGTTACATAAGGAACGTGGGATAGCAGGGAACCATAACAGCGACTGTGTGTGTGAGTGCAATGTACACAGTACACTACTACACAGTTCACCTTCAGGGCGGTATTTGGTGGTTCCAAGACCCATGAATCCTCATAAAAAACGAAGAATGATGAAACAACTGAAAACAGACTCACCGCGAACTTTGTCTTCCTCGGTTCAAAGACGGTATGAAGCCAAAGTTCCAACTTGGCTCGAACCAGGTACCGGCCGCTGAATATGAACTTTTCACCGCTGGCGGGCCATGTGATCCGCTTGACCTCGTCGGGCCATGAAGTCTTCGAGTCCATGGAGAACGACGAGGATGCAACCGAGGTCGAGTAAGAAGAAGACATTGTCTTTTGAGCGATTGTAAACTTGGAACAAGGATACGGGAAGAAGGACGACGGCTGAGGGTTGACTGTTGACGGTGAAAGATTTAATCGGGGTATTTGGGATGAGCGATGATTGAACACTAAACACTAACAAAACAGCCAGGCTGATCGAGCTGTGCCGTCGTCGTCGTCGTGGGAGTTGAGCGGTTGTTTGGTCAAGATACAACAAATAAGAACACTGTCCTTGCAGACCTTAACAAGGGCGAAAAATAGGAAGTAGTGTAGATATAGATGGGATGTGAAAACAAAAGGCACAGGAAAGCAACCGACAGCAACTCTCTCCGAGAGGATACCAGATACCAACACAGAACAGTCGAACTCGATGCCACACCGGTTACCATTGGCGGTGGTGCACAGCTTCGTTGAACCACGCATGGGAGGAGAGAGAGTACAGCCGTGGATTTGGGCCGTTTCAGGGGCGCAAACGAAATCGAAATCCAAAGGTTGGACAAGAGAACGAAGACGGTTTGGCATTGTGCAGTGCGCCACCGGTTCTCATTCTCGCCTCTAGGTGGGCGGAGCTACAGCCGACACATCCAACAAGATAATGGAAGAGGGCTGAGTCCTTACCGAGTGGTGGGCGTCGATACTGGACAAAAAGTGCATTCGTGAAACATAACCTCGGCTCGCTGACCAGAAGACCAAAGGCCAACGAGATGCCCCCCAAAGGTCCGAGTCCGTCTAGACTTGACTCCCGTCAGCCTTTCGCCGTTCAGGGCTCTTTGGGGTGGAAGCTGCAGACGGGGACAATTGGTCATCCCAGCGACTCTCCATCTAAGCGAGATCCAATCACCTGTCCAACGCAATGGAAATGGTAGTCAATAAAGCGTCTGGCCTGTGCTTTATCCTGTAGGCGCCCTTGGGCCGTGAGCCCTGCTGGTCCATCGGCTAGCGAGGCTGACCACAAGGCTCACTCGGGCCCCGAGCTGCCTCCCGCGGAAAGAAGCATTCGTGGCAATCCGCAAAGAATACACCAATCAATACAGTATATCAAACACTCTGCGTGAGGCAGTTCTTGCATTACACTGCTCCCTAACGCCACTCCATATCCGGGGAATCTATAGTTACAATACTCCCATGTCTGTATCCTTTCCTCATGGGGGCCTCATGGGGTTCGCGCCACAAACAACTAGGCCGTGAGAATCAAGACCTGTAATAGTTGTTTGGTTAGAAGCGGGGTGTGTAGGGCACCGGTTCATCTGCGTTGAGCTCTACAGCTCGCTCTGGATCATCGTCAAAGTCCGAAAGTGATATTCTCGGAGTATTGGGAGCCGTCTCATGCTGATCACTGTCTGAAAAGCTAGACGGCTGTGCGAATGTATGGACATCAGTTCGAAGTTGCATTGGTCTTCCCAAGGCATCGGAATCACTGTGATGTCTCGCATGGCCAGCAGCTCTTCTCAATCCGGCATCCGGGTGGATCGAACCCACGGTTGACCGTCTGTGTGTTCGAGGATCCGGTAAAAGTGATTCAGGGTACAGTGCGTGAACACCGCCCTCATCGATGCTGTGAGTTCTGGAGAGGCCACCCATGGCTTCAGTTGGGGTGGGCGGAGCCGCCAGAGCGACCCTGGGCGGCGCGTTGCTCAAATAGAAGTTCTCGTTCTTCAGGTCCTGGTTCAGTTGTAGCAGAATTCCTTTGAACGCGCCCGACAGCTGTGATGCCTCAGGACGTTTGCGAGGCTGGAGATTCAGTAGTCTCCCTGTTTCACGGACCAGGTCTTCGAAAACTCCTCGTCCTTCGCAGTATGTCTTCAACATTCTCAGCTGGTCAACGACCGCGGGTTTCAACTTGATCTTGCTAGACATGTCCTCATACCAGAATGTCGTGTCCTGATCGCCGTTAGGATTGGCCAGTGTTTCGAATCGCCTCTGCTCAAACGTCTTCACGTCGTATCCCTCCTTGCCCACCATCCACGAAAGCAACTCCAGGAGGATACACCCCATCGACCACATGTCGTATGGGCGTGAATTCCTACCGTCGATAAGGACATCGGGAGCTCCATACACAGGATCTCCCGGATGCCGATTTCTAGTGAATTGACTGGGTCGCTCGGAACCAGACAAAATCTGGCCAATCCTCGCCGAGCCAAAATCACTGATGGAAAATAGCAGTTGGCCGGTGTCCTCGTTCATTGTCACCAGGATGTTTCCCGGCTTCAAGTCGTGGTGGAATCCTGCTTGACTGGAGCGGCGGTGGGCTCCACGAGCCGGGAGATCGACCTCTTCCGGTTGGAGGTTCGCAGGACCCAGGTTGTGAATGTGATTCAACCCATCGGCAAGTCCTGCCATCTGGGGGATGATAGAGAGCAAGTTCGCCTTGGTCCATTCGGGTGACGGATTAACCGTCATGTAGGTACGTAGGTTGCAGTCGGCACACCGGAACAACATGTAACAATTTCCTTTCTGTCTCCAAGACGCGATATGAGTGGTGATGTTGGTATGTGGAGCATCCGCTAGCTTTGAGAGTACTTCTGATTCAGCTTTGACACTGGCAGCAACATTCGCACCAACGTCACGGAATCTTTTAAAGGCAAAGTACTCATCTTCTCGATCGGAGAATTCATGATGGTCCCTGTCAATTCGAACCTTGGACACGACTCCGAAGCTGCCCTCGCCCAACTTGCTCTTTGGATCGCGTTGATCGAAAAGGATTGGAACCACCGCGTTATCAGGTAATACTTGGTGGTCAACCAAATGCTTTTCATTTCGAGCGAACGTGTAGGCTGCGAATCCTCCTGAGTGGGTGGCGCAAATTCTGAACTTTGTAGTGTAGGCCTCGTCTGGACAATTGTCAATCGTGAGAGGAAGATCTTTGTCTTGGAGGCCTTTCTTGAGCATGTGGTACAGGCACACAAGTTGCAAATCGGAATAGATGCACCAAGCCAACAGGCATACGGCCCAAGTGTATATGTCTTTAGCTAGGGCATCCAGGTCGACCGGTTTGAATCCGTTGAGGCGTCGGGCTTCAGTATCATTCAGGCTTTTATCGTCCAGAACCAGCTTTTTGATAGTGTCCTCGGTCATGATCTGCCTCAGATCTTTTCGTGGAACATAAAGCTTATCCTCCCAGTTGAGGCGAATTTTACTTTCGAGGGCTCTGCGAATAGTCTCGGCATACAAGGTGCCAGGGACTTGTTCGATGTGCAGACTTGAGTATTCCCACTCAATGTCCACGTGAAAGTTCACTTGGAAGTTTTGGCCACGGAAGGCTTGGACTTTCCGGCCCAAATTCTCCGTCCAGTCTTCCTTCCGCTCCAAGATGCCTCGAGCTGCTACCGTTCGGGGCTCTTCGCGAACGAGCCGAAAACGTCCTACTTTCAAGTAGTAGGTCTCTGCGGTCCGGTTAAACCGTCGGACCAGATGCTGAACAGCTTTGTCGTGTAGCTCATCGAACGCTGCATCTTCTTCAAACTCTACAATCAATTGCTCAATGCGAGCGACTTCGTGCCGCACACCTTCTGCAGACGCTCCTGTGCCTTGGTGATTTGCGACTATTAGAGTGCAGCGGATCTGGCTGGCATTGAGTCGGACGGTTCCATGAGCGGCGATGGCTTGTTCAAGACCAGGCTCGCGGACATATTGCCTACGGCTGACACTGGAGGAGGGCCGGCGCCTTGATTGGATAGATGATGCCCTCGACCGTACGCTCTCGCGAGACACCGACTGTCTTCTTACACGCGTCTGGGTGTTTCCGGGGTCTGGTGTTAGAAACCGCGTGTCATCTGATCGAGACACGACCTGGTAATCTACTCCAGACACGCTGGAAGGAGTATTTGAGGTTTCCCCTTCATGGCTGTGAAGAGTGTTGCTACTTCGGCGGAAGAAACGCCGAAGGCCCCATTGAAGATGCACCATCCTTAGTCTTTTGATTTGGCGAAGATTCTGAGTCTGGTCGGAGAGAGTTACGCCATATCAAGAGCATTCGGGCGTCGTCGAAGAGTAGGCGTTTCGTATGAGCTACCAAAACAGCAATAGGCGCTTTGGTGGGTCACTACATACCCACGCTGATGAGCTTGTAGAGGGAATTCGAGGAGGATCCGGTCATGCTTCTTGATAAATAGTAGATGCCGGGCAAGCAAGTGGCGTCAAACGAGCAAGGCATGCTGACGGTGTTCCCAATTCTCATAGCTGCATCAAGGCGCATTGTGTGGCCGGTGAGGAGTTTACTGGCACAATCGACCATGCGCAGCTAACCGGTAAGGCGTTCGGGCTTGAGGACTTTTTACAATAGTCCCGAGCGCCCCATGTTTACCGCCAGGCGTTGTGTGACTTATCTTCCCCTGGTTGGAGGACACCAGGAGTGGCTGCATTAGCGACCCTGGGGTCACACGGCGGCCGCTTGGCGGGCAGACTCAGAGCCTACAATGTCGAATCCATTGTGTAACCCCGGCAGAGAAGCTGCAAAACGGACTGGAAGGCGACCCTGGGGATTGTGGCTACTGGGCTTACTTTCAAAGATGTGTCCAATCATTGTCTGGCTCGCAAGGAGGCTTAGCAAAGTCCGGAGGATGTCCTTCTCAGCCCATGAGCAAAAATTCCATCCGTAGGCTCCCTCGAGTATGCCTTTTCGATGTGTGCAGTGCCCTCTGTCCTTGCCGTACAATTCTCACTATCCAGTGATGCGTCAGAAACGGCACGGCTGAATAAGTGAATGCCAAACATATACTTCCACCAGACTTGGCTGTGAGCATTGGCTTGTATGCGTGTCCAGACAAGCCATATGTATATGGTGAGAAGGGTCAGTGGAACCGAGGCAGCGAGCAGGATCCACCAGTCCCCAGTCACAGAGATCTTCTCAAGGCCGTCCGCCGAAGTCGTGGAGCTGACAAAGGAAGTTGAAAAGAAGTTCGACACCACGGTAACGGGTAGGTAGATCAGCGTCAATATAGTCAACACTTTGACAGCCGCAGCATCTTGCGTACTCTTCTCAGCCAATCTATGCATCTCCTCGTTCTCTTCACCTGCCTGTAGAGCCAGGTTCTGGAGGGAATACCCACTACTCAGGTCCAAGAAGCTTGAAAGGAGGCTGGTAATACCTCCAAGTTTTGTTCTCAGATGGGTGACTTGAGCAGACAGTAGCGCCAGTGAGCGTTGGTGGTGTGCAAAGCTTCTTCGCACAAGGTCGAGGTAGACTGGATCCAGGTGCGACGTATCTCTGACGAAGAATTCCCAAGAAGAAAACAATGCAGATGAGGTATCTGTCGTGGCTGTAATTGCAAGCAACGCGTTCAGAAGCGCTTCATCTAGCATTAAGAGATCTTGGCGTCTACCGGCCTCATGGAGGTTCACGGGTCCCTTGTCGTTTGGCGATGTCCCCAGAATCTGAGTGTAGTGCGCATCGGTTTCCCCAGATAGGTCGAGCAGGTATTGTCTCCAGCTTGTAATCGCCGAATCCACGAGAAGTTGGTGCACTTCGAAAGGGTCCGGCTTGTGGCGAAAGTTGCCCGCGAGTGCAGCTGCATCCAACCTTTGCTGCATATCTGCAGAAATTGTGACAAACGCCCATGAAGCGCCGCGTTCCTTGCCACCATAGCGGCAGGAGACTGCGCATTGTCGAAGAGACCATGCTTTCGATGGAGAGGACGTGTGATGATGGCGATTGCGCTCAACAAATCGAAGGCCATATGTACATTGGTGACCGCGATCAGGCGGAAAACCTGGGATCGAGAGCGGTGTGAATGCTAGAGGTGGAGGTGATATTTCGACCTCGCGTTCCCGCGCTCCGAAGAACATGATGAAGCTCTTCAAGTGTTGCGGCAATCGAGCTTTGTGCAGGAGTCCACTGAACAGCTCGCTTGTCACCAGCAATGGACCCCACGAGTAGCTTTGTCGGATGAAGAATGCTTGGAACTTTGGGGGTGTCCTAGTGTAGTCCGCGACACGTTCAGGTGAAGACAGCGCAATCAATTGCACTGATGACTTGTCCTTGTCGTCGTTGGAAGGGCCATGCTCTATGTTGCCGGTTGTGCCTATTTGCTCACCATCATTCTTCAATGGCTGATGCTCAACGACTTGAGGCAGGAGGAGATGCGCTGGATACACCTCAACACGCGAGCGTCCGTCGCGCTGATCGAGGAAGAGATCCTCCTCTACCGACTCCCATAATTGATTGTCCGGCTCGTCCAACCTTCGTATGATATCGCCAGGATGTTCTGGATGGCCTCCTACCATGCTAGGAATTCAGTTTCAAAGTTCGCTTCACTGTGAATGTGGAACGTGTCTGTCGGCACAAGACATTACGAAGCAAACAGCGGACGGGCTCTCACTGAGGCCATACGAGGTCTGGTTCTCCCGTCGGGCGCTTCGGATCTGGGATTGTAGCGATGGGGGCAGTGCTGTTATGTTGAGGCTCGCTCCGCCCACATCGACAAGGGTTCATTGCGCACCGGGTGTTCTCCCTGTGCGACCCCACGCCACTTTCACCCGCCTAAATCCTCGCCCTTGGCTCTCAGCCGACCGGTGTGCAGATATGTCGACAACATCCGCTGTCCTGCGCGACACGACCTTGCGCCACGTAGCGATGTGATTCGTGTCGCTTGGGCACAATGATGGAGGCTTGGTTGAAAAGCGCGCGTACCGCAAAAATCTGCCGAGTCACAGACTGTCAGCCTCGTTTGAGGGTTCTTGCTACGGCCAGTCCGCTGGTCACCTCCTTTCTCAGCTCGCCGGAGGTATTCGATCGAGTGTGGCGGTACTCCTTGGATATAATAAGATGGGAAACCCTTCGTCGGTGAGGAGTCTTGTTCCCCATGCCGACAAGCTCATCACCCAAGAGATATCTGACGAGTCGCCACATATCGATTCTTCCGGGCAGGCAAGATGTACTACTCTCCACCTTCGCGGTCGTCGAGCCAGAGCTCACTGGACAGCATCCAAACTGTACCGGTTCAACTCTTAGACGCGCGTTTCGTCGACTCCGACAAGCTTCGCCCTCGGCTCAACAAGATATTTGAGGGTCAGAACTACGGACTCGAACGGTCTCACGGGCAATGGCGCATCCTCGATGCTCCCCCGCTCTCACAGCAAAACAAGTCAAGCTTGCTCCTATGAGCTCGCCTTTGTGTCAGCATAGCAGGAACCCAAAGACATGATAGATTGTTTCTCACTGTCGCGACTTCTGGCTGGGCCTGAAGATTAAGGCAACCGACAAACGAAGACATCGAAAACGATAGTTTACTCATGGAGGATGTTACACCATTACGAGAACGAACACGCACACCTTGGAATCTACACCGTTACGTTTGTTAGTGGCCAAGTTCCAACCATCGTCGAGGTGGTATGCGAGGCACTCTTTCAACTACCTGCTACATGTCACATTATACAGTAATTCACTACGGCCAGAGAATTATCAGTGCGGCTTTAAGGATGTGCGCGCTGGAAAGAGAACGCAAAGAGAAGGGTTTCTGGGAGGATTCTACTTCAGGACCAAGGCAGAAAGTACATTTCAAGGTTTCTGTCAACTGGTTACTGAAAGAGACTAGTATGACGCGAACATTAACTGATGCCTAAACTGATCCCCTTTTCAATTCCACGCTCGCTCGTCGAATCTGTTCCACCTCCGATGTACCTCCAGTCGCTGTAGGGCCCTCGTAGTTTTTGCGAGCTCCAATAAACCACCAGGCCGCCACAAAAATGGTCAAGCCTCCCCAGATGAGGCAAGCATAATTCATGTTCTGCGCGTCGACCGGAAGCGCGAATGGGAACGAGTAGATGACGAACCAAGACATCATGTACCCGCAACCGACGAAGTTCATGGCATAACCGAGCCAGCCCCTGAGCCTGAAAGGACCAAAGATGATATTCTTCCGGCCAGTGAGCAAGTGTGGAAGGATAGCGGCAAGGTAGGATGCCGAACTCATCAGGACGTAGCTACCCACAAACGCGTTGAAGGCGGTGGTGCTTCCAACGTAGATACTGGTCTGGGTCAGCAGAGTCTTGAGTCATGAATAGAAAGGGGAGACCGTACCATCCGAGAATAGTGGCGAAAACACCGCAAACGATGGTCGCGTTGAGAGGCATACCCAGGCGCGGGTTGACTTTGCTGAGAGTATCTGGAAAAGGTGTAGCTCTGTCCCGAGCCAGTGTCCAAAGTGTCCGTCCAGCGGTGATGTAGACGCCCACAACATTGAGGGTGATGCAGAACAACAATAGACACAACAATCCGATGGCGCCAGCAGAGGAGCCTGTGGCTTGCCGATAGATCTCAGCGATGGGGTACGCGGAGTCGAAGAGCGCATCGTAATCGTTGATCGCATAGAGAATGGCAATCAGGTATAGGAAACCCGTCACAAAGCCAATACCCATTTGCCAGGCGATGGCTTGAGGGACTTTCGTCTGTGGATTGGGAATTTCCTCTGCCAAATGGGTTGTGACATCTGGCGTTCCAACGGCAAAGGCACCGTTCAGCATGCCTGCGACAAACGTAAAACCAGCTCCGTATCCAATGTCGGCGTTCCATTCGCTCCAGACAAAGCTTGAGGTGGCATGGGCAGGTCTGCCACCATGTCCGGGCATCGCAGCGCTTGATAGGATGTTAGCGCAGGACACCCAAGCGCAGAACGAGCGTTCTTACCAAACGACGACGGTAATCAAGAAGCCGGCCAAGATGAAGAAGATGCCGACCTGGGTCATGTACGGCATGGCACGGTTGAAACAGCATACCACAAGGCATGCAAGCCATGTGACGATCAAGTATACCACGAAGACGTGCCACTGCTTGGCTGTGAAATCGGCATGAGTGACACCGTACATTTGCACTACGGTGTTGGCAAAAATGAAACTCATGGAAGCGCAACCAAAGATCCACGCCAGCCAGTTCCAGTAGCCACCAAAAAAGCCTGTTGACTGTCAGCAGAGGTCGGTACTTCGGACAAGCTTCTCACCATTCATTCGGCCCCATTTGCGGCCAGCAGTCACTGAAGCCCAATGATAGACTCCGCCGCTGGAAGGTATCGCAGACGCCAATTCAGCAATGCTTGCAGCAACAATCCAGTAAAACACCGACACCGCAATGAACTCGTACAGGACGCCTGCAGTCAGGTCAGAATTTCACATGCTAGAGCCGGAGCGGATGTCAATGCAACGTACCTGGTGGGCCGCCATTGAAGATTGCCACCAAAATGCTTCCGCCCAAGGCTGGCCAAACGTTTCCTAGGATTGTTAGAACATATCCAAGAATGGTTTTTCGATTTTCCAAGTCTTGATCTTACCTGTCACAAGCCCAGCTCCCGCAAGACTCACCAGATTGAACTGACGATCAAGCTCTTGCACGTGTCCTGAAGCATTCACCAGTTCGCCTTTGCTCTGATCAACATCCTGGTCGGCAGACGTGATGGACTGTTTTCCAGAGACCGCACGGGCACCTTCCTCCTTGGCGACAGCGGTGGCCATTCTGGCTGGAGTTATGGGACAGAATGGAAATGGTCAAACGAACGAGGAACACGGGGAGGACAGGGACTTTTAAAAATTTTACCTCATAGATCCAGTGGCAATTGATCAAGCATTTAAGACTTCCTGGGGCGCGGAGTCGGAGATAGATAAATGTCTTGTGTTTTACGCAATTCGATCTTCCTCCTGATGTTCCAGAAGCGAGACGTCGTAACGTCAGGAGACTAGTTCAGTGTGGTGGTGCCAGACGGTCCCTGCATCCCTCTATTCAGCGACATGGGATGCTCCACTCAGAGGATTGAGGGCAGCAGTCAGCGAGACCTCCAACCATATCATAAGAATTGGTCCCATGCGGAGGGATTTCCATTCTCAGGTCGATTATGATCTCTCTGACAAGCTTGCACTCTTCAGGGCGTTAAATCACCTTTTTAGAAGTACATTACAGTCAGAGTTTCTGATAACAGACTGTCGGCTTCGCTATCAGGTATGGTCCAATTTATCGCTCCAGATAGCGATGCGTCTTTTTGTGACCGGTCTCGGAACATCTCGTTCTTCGAATTACGTCGAGTCATGTCGCTTCAGGCCGCTTCAATTATCGAAGACAGGACATAGTCTCCGTCGTCGGTTGCACACGGCATAGGGGAACACGGCAACCCTTCGAATCACCTTAATATTGATCAGCCTGTTACTGTAGCATGACGACTCTCGACCGCAATTACGTGCAGGGTCTCGGTGCACCCTTCTAGGCGAGAGGATTCCGTATTGACAAAATAACGATACTCTTCCCACAGAAAAGGGATGGAAGTTGGCTTCACGTACTTTGCTGCCGTCGCTAGATGTTGTCTGAAGTCACCGCGACCGACCAGCATTCGTTGGATGAACGTCCAAATTCCTCTGTTCCACAACAGATCGCTACTCTATATGTTCTATAGAGCCTATTCTGGCTAGATTTGTATGAGATGCTTTAGGCATAGGGTAGAAGCAGAATGAAGAACTGGATCACACTATATGAGAGATTATTCGCATGCAGGCGACTCGATTGATAGTGCGGAACTCAGTTTGTTCCCACTGGGGCTCGTTACCACAGATACGGGACGCAATCCGGCCATGAGCAACGTCGGGTGTTGGATTCGTCTTTGCGTATGCATGCTGAGGTTGACACGTCTCTTCCTGCCAGCTGCCGATAATCGTCTCCAACACTGCGCGCGCGACTCCTCTCAAGCCATGCGGGGCGGGAGATTTGCGACTATATGAGTGTTTTCGAGGCAAATTATAGCTCGAAATGGCAACACAAAATCTCCAAGGAGAAAAAGCAGCGTGAATAGTTCAAGGGTTAGAATCCGCGCTTCCCATGCGCGGGGTCCGCGTTCGAGGTAGGCTCAAGCTCATTGATCGCATTCGCATGAATTTCATCTAATATGTATGAAGTCGCGGTTCACGCAAGTCGTTTTTTTTCTTTGGGCTAAATTTTTTCTGGTAGCTTTTTTTGTCGCTCTTGGGTTTTGTTGTAGGGAGAACTCGTACATGGATTCATTAGAAGTGACTAGAAATTTGCACCTAGACTTTCGGAAGGGAAGCCACTAAAAGCAACACGTGATGCAAGGAGAACCTCGTTGGCGCTGTTCGCTGGAAGATTCGACCACCTGGAGATGCCGCCTAAAAAATTACCTCAGGTAAAGCCAAGGAGGTACTTAACGGTCTCCCGCATGACGCAGTCTCAGGCACCCACTCACCTCCCTCTATTTATCCCTAACCACCTCTTACCCGCCTCACGTCACCGAACCTCTACCCATCTACCTACACGCCACGCACCCTTCCAACCTCACCGATTGACCGACATTGCATATAATACCTGATCCATCTTGCGCTTCTCTGTTCAGTTGTCCTTCATCGCCATGGCCTCCAAAGCCAAATATCAGCCCGCGCCGCAACGCGACTCGTTGGATGGGTACAACTACCCTCAACCACCCCCAAGCTACGACACCGCAGGCCCCAGCCTCAATCAAGGAGGATACGGCACTCCTCGAGCAGAAGATGACAATGTCCCCGATGACTTCAAGGTAAGTAACTGATGGGATCCGTCAGCGCCTGTCTCTCTATTAGGCTATTCTTTTCCGTACTAACATGTCTGTCTCTCCTAGTTTGGTGGTTCGGTCTACGAAGCCACGCTCGAGATCCGCATGGCCTTTGTTCGCAAAGTCTACACCATCTTGACCATTCAACTTTTCCTGACCGCGGCCCTGTCATGCCTCTCCTTCTACTCGTCCGGCTACCGCAACTGGATTCAGTCCAACTCGTGGATGATGTGGATCTCTCTCTTCGGCGCCATCGGCTTCATGCTCCTGACCTTTTGGAAGCGCAAGAGTTATCCTCAAAACCTGATCTTCCTGACCGGCTTCACCGCCCTGGAGGCGTACAGTATCAGCGTCATAACGTCCTTCTACGAAAGTCGCATCGTCCTCCAAGCGCTCGTCATCACCATGGCCATCTTCGTGGCCCTGACCCTGTTCGCATGCCAGACCAAGTACGACTTCACGAGCTGGATTCCATACCTCTTTGGCGCATTGTGGATCCTCGTAATCTTCGGATTCATGGCGGCCTTCTTCCCCCGAAACTCCACGACCGAGCTCATCTACGGTGGTGTCGCGGCCCTCATCTTTAGCAGCTACATCCTCGTCGACACCCAGTTGGTCATGAGACACTATCATCCCGAAGAGGAGATTGCCGCCAGCATCAGCTTGTATCTGGACATTCTGAACTTGTTCCTCGCCATTCTGCGCATCCTGAACAGCCAGAACAACAACTAGGTCAGCCTTGTGGTGTCAAAGAGCCAAACGAATCGAGATCCCCTCAGTATTGATGTTCAACCTTTGATGGAGTTGCCCGAGAGTGCTGAAGCAAGCATTCTGCCTCATTGAAATGGCCTTGGCTACAATTACTATTACTTTGCAGTATATGTTATAGCGAAACTGACAGAACCGCACGGATTGCAAGGGCGGGCACATTCATTCGCCGCTCGGAACAAGAAGGCAGCCTCTGTGTCTCCTTTACAAAGGGAACCAGGCATACGAGCGCTGTTCTCTACAAGAAGTATCTTCTAAAGAACCACCCGCGGATGAGTTGTGAGTTGAGCAGGTAATTGTTGTAGTATTGCGTACAATGATGAATTACGAGGACGTTCTCACAGTGTGGTACATCTTCTTTTACGATTCTGTTGCTATTTTTCCATACAGAATACTAAAATCTGTCTAGTCCGACTGCGTGATCTTGCGATTTCTCCACTTCGTGTCATATGCTCATTGTCTCGTAGTCGATACTTGCGAAACAGTATCGTCTCTTAAGATCTCGTGCAAGATCACATGGTCAGCCGAAACCCCTGGTCCCTGACTTGGTCAGCAGCACAGGACTTGAGCAGACTGATGCGAAAGTCTGGCAACGCAGGTCGCGCACACATCGTAGATCGGGGGTTGATCCTTGAGGCTTCTCGTGCAACCAGTTCGGAACGCATTGCAAAGCGCGATATCGAAGCGCTTTGCGCCTTGATCCAGCTGACACTCGCCATTATGGCGAGTAGATAGGTCATCCGCTTTTGCGCCAGTCCCATGGAATAGCGTTGGTCAAGGTGAGGGAAAAGCCAACTGCCTGGCAGAGGCACAAACCAGCGTATCCATCACCTTAGTTGAACCCTTCCAGGGATTATTTACACGAAAGGCCCTGCGTTCTTCCCCGAGTCGGGATATCCGACCATCACGGGCTGGGAGGGAAATGAAGCCGGATTCGGTACGCGCATACTGCATTGAAGACGCCTGCTAGAAACCTCGAAGCACGGAGGCGATTGGGCGCGGTGCCGTTGTTTCCAGTCGCGCACTGCGCGTACGCGTCCAAGTTGGTCATTCGAATCGTAAGAGTCAACTGACCAAGTCGGCCGTCGACAAACCGTCGGGTGGTTTGGATTCAGTCCAGCGCGGCAAAGAGGGAAAGGTATATTCCCCAGAACAGACCGACGACACTTGAGACGATGACCCTTCGATGCACGGGGACGTAGATGAAGTTGAACAGGGCGACCAGCGGCCACAGTTTCCAGCTGTTGATCATCAGTGGTACCGTGTCCTGCAATGCAAAACTCTGTGATCAGCATGTCATGTCCAAAGGATGTATGCACGTATGTGTGTGTGTGTGTGTGTGGCTCTCTTAGCGGCCGATATTTGCGCGCCTTGCGCAGGATATGTAGAAGTAGTGTAATAATGTAATTCGGGGGGCGCAAGCCACACCTACCCTTTCAACCCGCTTTTGCACGGCCTTTGCACCCTTCCCTTTCAACGCGGCCATGGCAGCAACAAAGGCTATCGTGTTGACGAACGCGCCCAGGGTCTGATCGAACAGGAGCTTGCGGGCGGTGTTCGACCTATCGAGGATCTGCGTCTCCGAGGCGGCGGCGATCCGATAGCCTGGAAACCGATCCTCGAGGAAATCCTGCCATAGTATGTTCGGCGGGGAGGAGAGGAGGGTGAAGATGGCGAACTGGAGAAGCGGACGGAGAGATATGCTGAATGAAAGCTGTCGCACCTGTCAGAAGAAGAAAAGCAACCCCCCCCAAAAATACAGTGTCTCTCTGGACCTCTTTAGGCGGTTTCGGCTCCATTCATTTCAAAGGGAGAATTCTGTAAAGGAGTCTAGAAACATAAAAACATAGAACGTACCTTTTCTTCCCGATACGCCTTCAGCCATTGCGCCAGTATATTCGATACCGCAGAGAGTGCCGTCGCTAATAGCGTCGTTGAAACCAGGTGTGTCGCCATGGGCGAGATACGACGGTGCGGTCAAGGATGCTCAAAGGACGACGGAGATTCCAGCTACAGACAGACTGACAACTAGTACCTTGGGTAACTAGGACCTGAGCTCGACGACATCTGATAAGGAGGTTTAAGGATATATCCTCTGTCCGTCATTTACATAAAGGTACGAAGGATACCTGACATTTTAACAGTTCGGCGACGGGTTGGGGCCGATATGCCAGGTAGGGAACTAATGGTTGATAAAAAAACACGTCCTTGTGCTACTCGAGTCCCTCCCAACCGCGGAACGAAACGTTGGACATTGTAGACATGAGATTCGATGAGAGGGAGAGATGATCGGTTCCACTTGGGTCACGTTGGGAATGGTTCATGTGGAGTTGAAACACACCGTTTATTGAACTCAGAACTTGTCACTGGCGTTTGCGTCCGCGTGGGCGAAAGCATCATCATCAGTCTCGAGGAGTTGAGTTTTTCAGAGAGCCATTCCTTATCTCGGGAGAGATACATCTACGGAACAGAAGGAAACAGAAGCCGAAAGGACGTGGGCAATGGTCCCTGAGGTGCCTGTCTACTCGTACCGTGCTGAGGTGGGTGCCTATTAATAGGTACTTAAGGCACTTAAAAAGCCTAATACGACGCCTCCACAGGTCACTCTAAGGTTCCTTAACTAACTACATACCTACGGATCCTGTAGGTAAATTCGTGACCAGCCCAGGATCTCCCAGCAAGCTTAGCAGTGACCAGCCTAACAAAACGCTTTCTTCATCTACAGTACCTCCTAAAGTGACACTCTCAGGTCTTGAGAACACTGCTCTCCGCTTGCTCCCTACCTACATCTGTATACCTAGGTATCTATCCTACGCGCAACCTGATCTTGAGCAGGTCCTTCTCAATAATCTCGTCCTTCTTCGCCAACAACTCGTTCACATCCCAATTCACACTGATATATCGATCCGCAAGCCTGTCATTTCGATTCAGCATTAAATCCCACGACGGCCCAGCAGGGGACTTCTTACCATTCTCTTCGCTCTTTCGTCAGCCACACAAACGAGTCTCCAGCAAGTTCAGGCTTGTCGTTCAAGAGCACATGGGTTTCCTTGGGCATGTTTTGCGCCAGTTCAGTCATGACACCGCCTGGGTGAATGCCGTACGCCAGCAGACCCTGGTTTCCGTACTCAGCCATGAGAAAGTCGTTCAGGCGCAACACGGTCGTCTTCGTGCTCTGATAAGCCGACAAACCTGCCCTGGTACCGACCGCCCCGATACTCGACGTCACAATGATGGTCTTGTCCTTGCTCTTCAGAACCAACGGTAAGAATGATCGAGTCATGAGGTAGACCGCTTTGACATTGATTTCGTAAACGTACCACCATTCGTCGGGGTCGCTGTCGCCGATGAGCCGAGACTTCTCCAGGTAACCAGCATTGTTAATCAAGATGTCGATGCTGCCGAATTGGGACTCGACTTCCCGTGCGGCCTTCTCGACCTGTGCTCGGTCCGTGGCGTCGACGGCCAGGCAAAGAACCTTGGGTGGTGCACGTCCTGCCGCCTTCGCCTTCTCGAACAATTCACTTTGGAGAGAGGACAGATCGGAACGCGCGAGAAGGACGATCCCAGATGCCCCTGCTTTGGCGAATGATAACGCCGTCGCCCTACCGATGCCTTTGCTGGCGCCCGAGATCAGGACATTCTTGCCGCTCAAGTCTGCATGGGAAGGGTCGATTTCTGGGTATGTATCATGGTGGGAGGTAGCCACAAAATTGATTCCTGCTTGCATGAGCCATCGGCTTCGTGAGGCGGGATTGGGCCGTACCCATGTAAGGATCCATTGTCTTTGGTTCGATACGTTCTTCTGGAGTTCCTAACCACTTCTCGGGCTCAACGAGGTCTACCTACTAATTTTATGAACTATCCGAAACGGTGCCGTACCCAGACGGCTAGTGTAAGCAAGCGAAAACAAGGGGCAGGATTGAATTTTTTTCCAGTTCTCAGAGACGAGCTGGGATGGAGTCTTTATTATTGAAAGATTAGGTGTAGAATATGTAGTGGATGTACGTTTACTCGGCAATTGTGTACGGTGTCCTCCATAACTACGTCAGGATTAAACAACGGATTTTACACATCTCCGTGTCTGCCACTGGTAGATCGAGACTTTGCTCCGAGTTCCATGTCTGCTGCAGCACCGGGCTTCGTCCTGTGTGGATTCCAATCCTCGTACGTGACCGTGGCAGATTCGTTATCTCCTGCCCGAAATGTATTAGTGGAACGGCCGACGAGATCTCAAAGTCTCAGGTGAGCTTAAAGCAACTGCATTATTAGCTCGTAATTGTCCCGGCCTGCCAAACTTCTCTCGTATCTCATCTCATATCTCAGCCCTCCAACAAAACATCCCACATTCACATTGTTACCCTTGAATGTTCGGTTGGTCTCGTGGATTGCACTTTCAGATTCTGGATGGAAGAATAACTTTTGGCTCTCCGGAGTGAGCCTGTACGCTGCCAAGGTGACTTTCAGAGCCTCGTTCCGGCTGCCCAGTGTTTCCGCCTCAGCCTTGTCAGTTGACCGCAAGGCAAAACAAGATTTGGCTCGGGGGTCCTCACGCTTGCAGAATCAGGGAGCCATGTTCGAGTCGCGCTTTGATCGCCTTGCGGATTAAAAAATTGCCACAGCCCAAGAAATGTCTCTCATTGCTACAATCAGCCAACACTTTGACCGGGAGTTTGACTACACTCGTCTTCACATTCCCAAAGGTCAGCATTGTGCTGATTGTAGTTTGAATGACTGAAACAAGAATGCATCAAACATGTCGAGCTGAGCTATCTCATAACACTCAGCCCGAGGTGCCTCCCTGCCTCGTGAGTGGCAATCTAATGTGACAGTGGGCGACGGAAGTCCTATCCGAGGTATGCATTGCTTCACAACATTAGATTCAGATCTGAACGACTGGAGTAATCTGGCATGTCCATCGGAGCCCCCCGTTTGTGTTGTTGTCTTCTGCTGAGTGTGTGTTCTCTGAGCCGATATAGGCAAATGCATCGCAGCTTCAGCCACACAAACGACCTCTACTGATGCACAGTCTCTCGCATCCCTCGTCATCAGGATCCATCAGCCCTCACTGACAGCAGCGAAGTTCGAGTTTCATCTATCGCAAAAAAAAGATGATTTGTTTCAAGCAGCAAAACTCTAACCTCAAGGTCAATCACACGCTGGGTGATTGACGTTGAGGTCGAGGGAAACCCCCGAAGGGATTTTTCTCGGGAAGCCGTCAGGTTACTCCCCAGCTAGGTGATTCACGCGTAGAAGCCATGTTCGCTGGGGAAGCACCTCGCCCTATGCAGGGGTCCTCAGTGTCTGAGCGTCGCCTCTAGGATTCAACGGCTAAGCTCAAGTAAACTGCCTCATGTCTGGTGAAATCCCCTTACGCCATCTGCCCGCGGTGGGCTGGTGACACGGGTAGCCACAAGGAATTGTTGGAGGATATTCAGCTTTCGAAAGCTATAACCTTTGATTATTCAAACTTTGGAGCCTGGGACCCCCCATTGGCCGCCGAGTGTTGCAGACTCCTCAGTAAGTGAAGCAAAATGGTTCTTTGCGCCCAGTCAGGACGCTTGTATCGGTGCTCACACGCGTCTCTGATCTATTCCTCGCATATGCAGCAGTATCGACTAGTGTTTGTCACAGCATCTGCAAATCACTCAGGTTTTGAGCCGTCAAGATGTTCCTTTCCCTGACGAAGAGGCTGTACAGATTGCCATCGTCTCCCTTTTCAACCATTATCACTTTCGTGTTGCTCTTGTGCATCTACGTTTTTGTGTCTACGACCAGGTCCTTGTTGACTTCCAATGGCTATCTCAGTTCGCTAAGATGCTGCAGTGAATTCACGACTCGGTCTACGGTCTTGCATTCGACGCTCATTGATGCCGGCCATCCTCATATGCAGGTATGGTATTCTACCTCTTCATCGAAGTCTCAGTATTGACACGTACATAGTTTGTTGGTCGATGGACCTCAAGTGCAGACGGACGCAGACGAGATGCCGCTTTTCCAGGTCAGTAGGACAGGCTGATCGTGAGTGGACAACATGCTGATCCAGGTCAAGGTTCATCCGTCGAGATCATCCTCACCAATACCAGGTCAATCTCCTTGTCTCTCAACAATGCAGTCTCCTCTTCGCAGCCACCCGTAGGAGACGGAGTACACGAGAATCTTGACCACTCCAACCTGAGGCCGATCACATCTGACCACAAAGCTTCTGAGCCAGTCAACTTGGTTGTCCAGCTCAATAATACCTACACCACGTTCACGAATGCGAGGGCGATCGTTCCTGTTGCGAGCGATCTTGATCCTAGAACGAGGTACTCACTGAAAGTGAGACACATGGGAGGGCCCAATGCAACAGAAGGCGTTCTCGAGTTTCATGGAATCTGGGTGGAAAATGTGACTCACGATACCAAAATACAGTCACACAGGACCAAAGACGTCTCATCCAGACAGAGGACAGGGGCAGCTCAGACCGTGCAGCCTGCGAAGAAGAAGCCGGCCATCGAGATTCTCACATCAGAGACGGAGGGTTTCTCCATCTCAAAGGAAGAGAGCCTAGAGGACACTATCCTCACCAGAATCAGCACCTGGTATGAGCAGCTAGGGTCCGCGCACGGCATAGACACCATAACCATGTCAACCAAAGCTCTGGGTCTATTACCATCCTCTCATACACGTACCACCACCATATCACACCTCTTCTTCCGCTCTGGTCCTGCGGGAACCCACCTCTTCGGCCGTCCGTGGACCTTTGCAACCTACAGGCCATCCATCCTGATCCTGCAACTGGGCCTGACCGACTTTACGACATTCTTCTCTGACCCTACGAACCGCGACCGCCACGCACGAGATCAGTTCGTCAACGACTTTGTCAACGCATACGTTAAATTTCTCAAGACAATTCGACGGACAGCATACCCCTTCGATCCGGCATCGCTCCCTGCCGATCGGAGAAACCGGATTGTCGACCCAACTTACCTCTCAAACTCGGCGCCGTCGACGTTACCGATATTTCTTGTCGCCCCGTTCTCCGCTTCGACGCACTTCGTCACCAAGGACACCCGTCTCGAGAGGATCATCAACGACGCCCTGTCCCGAGTGGCCCAAGCCGTACGTGCGGACGGCGACATATCGACCTTCTGGATAGACACTACAGGCTGGCTAGACCCCAAGCGAGATTTCGACACGCACGGTATCAAGAACCAATTGAACCAATTGAACCAGAACGACGCACACGACGTCGACGGCGAGAGTCAAATGGACCACCAAAACGAGACACATCTCCCAACGCTGAGCCACGCGGCACATCTCAAGGTATCTACGCTCTTATGGGACCATGTCTGTCCTTACATTATATCCGACAATGATGCCACGACGACGACGGCAAACGGGAAGACCGAGTGTCCATTCGATCGCCGCTCCACGTACATGGGCAACGTATACCTTCCACAGGACGTCGAGGTGGAGCGGACCGTGCTGGAGCGGAAGATTAACCGTATCAAACAACAGTTCAAAATTACAGGGCCCAAAATGCTCCTTCGTTGAGAGATAATCGTCAACTTTTATCCTCCCCGCTGGATGGCCAGCTATGAAAGGGGAAGTGGACGTGGCTACAACAAACCGAATGTAGGCCGCTGTCTTCTTCTTCTTCTTCTTCTTCTTCTTCTTGTCACGCTGAGTAGGGAACGGACGTGGAACCCAACACTCACTACCTAAAATACGTGGCCTCCAAGCTCATGCTGCTGCATTCTATCTCGCGAACCGTGCTGCACATGAAGCGAAAAAGAGAGGAGAGGGAGATTCACCTTGTCACTTGACTCGACAGAAAGAAGAAAGGTCACCCAACATAACTCTCAGCGTACAGAACCCAACAAGAACGTTAGATGCAAGAAATACATAGTTATGCATAAGATACCCAAGGTTTGAAACGAAGAGGACTTTTCGCTTGCACACTACTTCAAGTAACCCAGGAATGCTTGAAATACGCCCAACCCCCCTAGCCATACATATACCTATACCAGCCAGCTTGCCCTTGAATCCTTCATCCCATGTATACTCATCGCGCATCACCCCAGACATAACAAAATCGTCAGTGGAAGAAGTGCCCCCAACTTAGTCCTTCAACCCGCTCGCTCTGGTTCTTGAACCATCGGCCTCGCTACCATCCTCTCCTTCGAGGGTGATGATCCTTTTGCTCAGCAGCAATCTCAACTCTGGAGTAATTACCTTCTCCTTCTCCTTCTCCGGGGGTTTGCCGCTCTTTGATGTCGGTCTGCCTTGGGACACGGGCCTCGAACCCTGACGTCCAGGGCTTCTTGAAGACCCTGCAGTCGAAGTGGCCCTGGTGCCAGTCTCCGATGCTTCCTGCGTGCTTTTACCATCACCACCCTGCTTTCTAGACTCGGATTGCCCCGGAGTCTGTCCGGGCGCCGGAAAAGTATTGCGCCGATCCACTGCCTCCACCGTCCTTTCGAACCGTTTGAACAAGGCCTCGGCCCTGACTAACGTCTCTTGCAGCTCGATCTGTCCGCTCAAGTCATTGATGTACTTCAGCACCTCGTCAAAATGCTGAAGATGGTCCATTATGAAGTCGCGATGCTTCTCGAGGATGGCCACGGCGACGAAGAGGTGAAATTGTGAGCTGTAAAAGTCCGTCCATAGACTCTCCCATAACCGCAGCACATCTGACCACTCAAACTCCCTCTTATACCAAACAAGTAGCATACGGAAGAAGAAGAAAAAGTTCGTGCTGTCTGCTGATTGAAGATGGAGATACAATTTTGGGTCAAGGATCTGGACCAGCTGGTCCAGAGTGGCCAATTGCGCCCGCATGCCAGACTGGCTGCGAACGAAATTTCGGTTCATGCGGCGCATGAAGCAGACGAAGGCCCAAAAAGCGAGGGCATCATCTTGGAAGACGGCGTAGAGCGGAGACAGAAGGTCAGACATGCCTTGAACGTAGCCCAGGTTCTGTGGATGTGGGTTTTGAGTTTTGTATACACGGTGGGAAGATGAGGATGAAGGTTGATTTGAAGTAGCGACCGATGAAGGAGGTGTGTCGTACTCCAGGTATGTGAGGAGCATATCTTTGAGCTGTTCCATGTGCACATTTGTGCCTGGACCGTCGGCATTGTGAAATGGCGAAGTTGGATCTGGATGAGGGATGTCCTCACCCGCAAAAAGTGGAATATGTCTATCGGTACGGTGGACATCTTTCTCTACATGGCGGATTGCAAGGTCAGTTACAAATATGTCAGAAGCTGGTTTCACAGCCGCGAGAGCCCGGACTCATGCTTACCGATACGATTCTTCTGCTCCTTCCACCATTCTTCCTGCTCGGGCGTGGCTTCGTTATCGGCCATGCGTTCCCACCATGCTCCTTTAAGTTGGATGTATTCATCGCGTTTGCTGTTCATGAAGACGTGTCGTTCCTGTTCGGTGCTGTTCCATTCATAAACACCGAGGAGAAAGGGCCATGCCTCCTTGCGCACGCCATCCTCAGCATTCAAACCGCCATGGAAAATACGTTCCTTGACCTCGTCGACGGTGACGTGAAGCTTGCCTTTGGCGTCGAAAAAGGATCTCCATTCCTCTAGATCAACAGGTCGGCGCTTGCTGCCTGTCAGATCCATCCGACCGGCCTCCAATTCGAGGATTTCGAAATCGCCGACACTGGTTTCTTCAGAGTCTAGGACATCTCTGGCGGTCCAAATGCGCTGTCTCTTCTCCCGGTCACTTTGCTCGGCAATACTCGCTGCCCATTTAGCGAGGTACAGCTTCGCACTATCATATTCGTCCTGCCAGGTTTGGATCTCTGGGTTTTGCAGAATTCGACGGAGTTGGGGTGGCAGGTTCTTATTGTTGGCAAGATCCTCCGCAGCTCGGCGGGTGAAAGTGGTGACTTTGGATAATTGCTCGAGGATCTTCCACCTCGTCTCCTTCAACGCTTTGGTCAAGGGATCCATCCCTGGCCCGGCAGGTGGTTTCTGCTGTTGTGAAGGCTGTTTCTGTTCTGAAGTGCTCTTTCCCCGCTTTCTTTGATTCTCCATTGACTTTCGACCTTGACCGAATCCGAGAAGGTCCTCTTCTGACGGGTCTATTAGGTAGATGGACGGCTCAGCAGTGCTCCGTTCGACCGTCACGTATCTCTTCAGCCAGCGCAAGACTTCATCGCCTCCCCAGTACAAATCGCCGCTTTCTCCAAATGGATCGAAAGACTCTCGTGCTCTCTTTCTCTTCTGAAGAATTGTACTTTCGCATTCTGAGTCGTGGAAGAAGAGAGCCGGGAGACTTGACCCAGCGCGAGTGTTGACAACCACACTACCGTACCACCAACCCAGACTCGGCGGCCGAACGTGGATCGAGTAAATGCTTGAGAGAGGCAGTGAGAATGCGTATGGGCCGACGGGCGACTCGTCAAACGTTGTTGCAAGAGGAAGTGGAGGTACCAGATACGATTGCCTGGGCGGGGATTCGCCGTCTTTCATGTCAACTTTAACATATGTACTGAGATCATCCTGAGACAGAGCAGACTCCGGCACCCAGGCCAGCAGATAGGACGAAGAATTGTTCTGTTTTCTGGACGAGTGTGCTGAAGTCGGTCGTTCATTTGTGAGATCTTGAGGCAACTTTTGCTGAACAAGTGCAATGAAGCCGGGGATGTTGTCCTTGGCCGATTTGGTGGGATGTACATAGACTTTGCTTTTTGAGTATAGTAGCTTGACGCCTCTTGAAACGGAAGTGTGTGCTATTGTGTTGTAACCGCCTTCTTCGTCGTCCGAGACATCGTAGAAGGAAGCAGAGGGAGAGGGAGGGTCCGGCTTCGAGGAGGATTCGGGCATGGCTGCTGGTGCGGACTGTGACGGAGCTACCTAATCATACTGTGCTAAGGCGTGAATGTGTACTTTGGGTGATCTTGAAGAAAGGATGTTCACTGAGGGTATAGACAAGACGATGGCGGCAGCGGTGGTGGTGAGAGCAGAATTCCTGATGCCTGCGGCGGCGGGCGAGGGGGGGTGACGTCGTCGTTGTTTGCCAGGCGCAGGTGACGACGATGGCTGGTGAGGCTGATTTGGAGGGGCAAAAATCCGCCGAGACTCACTAAAAGTTCAGGTAAGTTCAGGTAGGCCTAACTTAGGTAGGCTCACTAACTGGTTAGGCTGAGCATCTCTGGGCCTCACTAGCCCGCGGCTGGGGGCTTATCAGACAACGGCCTAGGCATCTCCCTAGGTAACTATTAGGTGCGAACTCTGAGTACTTCTAGGCATGGAGGCTGTTGAGAGTAATAGGCATTTTCATACCCGCCGATTGCCATGAAATCGAGGCATTTTTTTGGTCCCTTGCAGTACAGCATCAATCGCCATAGCCATGCTTTTACTATACACGACTCGAGCCAAAACGGCGGTACGAGTGACAGAAGAAGCCTACCTAGGCAAGTAGACAACTAGAATAAAATGCCCCCTAACGAGCAGTACTTTTTCCATCCGAATCCTGATCCTCCCAACGCCATGCTATGCATACCATTGTCCTGTCATCTGTAACCCATCATTATCATCATACTCCCAGTTGTAGTGAGAACCCAACCGTAAACCCATTACACTGTCCATGAGCTGAAATCCAGCTGAGATGCCAAAGTCACATCCTTGCGTGAGCCTCCCGCTTCATCGCGTGGGACAGGCGTCCTCCTGCCACCTTGAGTGCCTGCGACAACAGTATTCACAGTGCCCGAGGAAGTGCCCGCCACTCCTTGTTTTTCGGCGACTTTGCTAATCACCCTCTCTTTCAGTCTCTTGATCTGTTGGAGTCTAGCTCGCCAGCCACTCGGAAATTCAGAATCGCTGTCCCTTGTATTCCAGCACTGGGAAAACATGCTTGCATTCAAAGCCAGCGCCCGGACGAAAGGTGCTAGCTGAGCGGCTGAAATGATTTTGGTGTCCGCTACTGGTGAGATGTTGGGCAAATCATCTCTGGTGATAACCTGAACCCAATAGAATCCAGGCATGAAATTTGGATCGAGAGCCTGGCGACCACGGCAGGCAGGTCGGATCACAATGTTGATGTAGTTCAACTGAGACTTGAAATTCTCCATGCTCCAAGGAAGTCCAGAACGATTGAAAACAACATTGACATGACAATTCCCAACGTGCGCCTTCTTGGTGATGCACTGAGGATCCTCCTCTAGATCGGTCGGCATCATAGTTGGAACGTGGTAGACAATCTCATCGACACGATTTCGCCATGCTATGGTATTTTCTCCATCTCTCGGGAATTCCAATCCTTGGGGGTTGTAGTGGAGAGGTGGCTGAAGAGAAACACGGTAGCCAAGTTCGCTCAGAAATCGCTCATAATCCTGTGAGCCACTCGTATTTGCGAGATAGTCGGATTCTGCAGACTGGTCTTTTCCAATATAGAGAACACCAATCTTGTGGCTGGACACAGTCGGTATGCGATCGAAGGAGTCCAGTGCTCTTCGAACATAATCTTCATCTGGCAGAAGCACCGGCTGATCGGCAACATTCGTCGTGGCTGCGCTTGCCACCATCTGAAGAATAATATGCGATGGGAGTATTTCAGTGGTGACCTCATGATGTCTAATCTCCGTATGGCTGGGCGTGTGATGGGAGGGCAATTCGGTGGTTAGTGGTTGATATCGGGCATAGGTTGTACCTGACGCCTGTCGTTTGATGATTTGAGTCTTGCCGGTATGTCCAGCTGTCTGAGCAGTAATCACACTGAGACCTGCAATCCAAGACGCCGAAAAAATAGGGCCGTCATTCTGTCCTGCAAAGTCTGCTTGTGGTGCCGTTTCTCCTAAATCGGAAAAAGCGGTCCGCTGCATCATATCAATGAGGACTTGGCTCTGCTCATCAATCATCTCTAGCCCCTGAGAGTTCTTCCAAATTAACCTTGCAACAATCCACGAAACATATTTAGCCCTGGACTCCAAACGGAGGGCGAGGAACCAGAAAATGATGACATGATAAGCCAACGCCGCAGCGTACTGAGGCAGACCAATGTCTGTCAACATTGACGCACGGTACGGTGGTCGGCGGAAGTTCAAGCCACTGTGCCTCGATTGTAGGCTCAATCGTCCTGCGGGCGAAGCAACCGATGCCTGATGCTGTTCTCGCGTCTTCTCCAAGAACTGGATACAGATGCCAAATATCATTTGTATTTCGTCCGCGTTGAGATTTGAGTGCATTTCAGGCAACATAGCCATATGGATCAGGAACTCAAGGATATGTGCGGTGAGATGCACCTGCGTCATGTTCTTGGACATCTTGTCGATGATTGTAGGGTACAGCGAAGCAACAGAAGACGGGATCTCAAGGCTGCAGATTGACAACGCATGGATGCATGGCCTTGATGTACCCTCCCAGGCGCCGGCGATACCGGCGAGAAATGCTCTCACAAGGTCGTCGCCGAATCCTTTTTGCACTGCCTCGTGCTTCATAGTGGCGTATGCGATCAGAGGTACCAGAATGTTGAACATACACAATGCAACATCTGATTTTTTGAGCCCAATCGGAGGGGGAGCCTCGCGAAAGGTGTTATTGACAATTTGTTCACACAATACCTGTCGAAATTTTACAACAGCCTCCATGGAATTCAGGAATAGAGCTATGTTGCTCAATTGTGCTGCCACATGGATAATGGTGTAACTATAGGTCTCCCAATCTGTGTCCGCCTGAAGACATCTGATGATGTTCATCAGCCAGGTATCCATGTCAAGTTCTGTTTGACTTTCAGGATTTGAAGAAGCGTCAACATTGAGATATGTTGACGGACGGTCTGCGAAGAGATACGTTACGTCTTCGGTTTCTGGGTACATCCACATCGGTTCATGGAGGTCTGATTTTGTTGATATGCTGGCACTGCTTGCCGAATGTCGTTGTGTGTTGGGGGCCTCGAAGGCATCTGCTGATTCGCGTGTGCGCAGAAGAGCGCTTGCAATATGTTGGCTTTCGCTGTCACTAATGACATAGATGAAGCCAGCGTCATCAGCCCTCACACGGAAAAGGAGCCGCTTGGCCACAAGGCGAGCGGGTCGGAAGTGACAAGTGGAACCTGCAATGTTCTGGAGTGCATCAAAAACTTCTACCGCAACCGCAGCGTCGAGATGAACACCATAGCAGAACACTGTCGCAAGAATCTTGGTGGCTTCAGCTGCATGTGTGTCGGTGAAAATACCCCTCGCTGAGGATAGGAGAACAAGCTCCTTCAAAGTCTTGATCATGGACATGATTGACTGAGTATGTTTGGCAGCCTCTTCGTAATTAGACACCATTTCCTGCAAAGCTAAGAAGAGTTCGGCAAGAACTTGTCCATCTTGCTCGATAGCGACCTGAGAAAGAATCTCAGAAAGCATCCATCCATACAGATCATCGACTTGTTCATCGGAGGTAGGGCTACTAGCATGAACGTTACAAGCTCGGACCAGTACTTGTATCGCACAGATACGAGACGCTGCAGCCAGCTGTTGATTCTGCACCGTACGCTCATGGAGATCGCGGATGTACTGATTCTTCCTCTCATTGTCCCCCGAACTTAGGTATTTGGTCTCGGCGAGAGCCAGGGCACATTTGATTTGCTCATTATCAGCGAAGTGCGGAAAGTCCAAGAAAAATTCATTAACGGTGTCTTGATTGGCGGGAGAAAGGTGTTTCCAGAGTGACTGGAAATCCTCGGCAAGTTTCTTGGTCATCGTCTCTCTCTCCCGGTAGTGCCTTTCATATACCCGAGTTTTGTCCTCATCAGGACTTATCACAGGTGTCAGCAGGTTCTGCGTGGGGTTCACAGGCCTCGAGGGAGTCATCTCCAAGCACAACAAGATGATTTCCAGAATTTTGCCAAAATCGAGAGCTTGGATCTCCGTCAATCTGGAGGCGGAAAGTATAGCATGGACTGAGGCTAGTATGTCGTGGCTGAATCGGAAGATACCTTCAGAAGCTGCGGTGTGAAGCTCCCCAATAAATTGCTGCAGATTGACAACATACTGCCCATCTTTTAATCGCTCGTCGATTAGATTGCGCAGAAGGTGTGTCGATCCTCTCGCATGGGCCAAGTTTTTGCTGTTGTTATCCAGCGTCGGTACTCGGATAAAGGAATAGAGAATAGTGAGCACCTCCCCGCTCAAGTCGCTTGTTGCAAGAAGTTTATTGCAGTCGAACAAGTGATCAGGCGTTTCCTGTAGATTGGCGATGGAAGCGCACAGAACAACCAGAGTTTGTTCAAGGCCGGACTTGGGAAACTCGAAATGAGATGCTATGGCGTACAGGATATTGATGCCGCTATTGATGTCCGCATATCTGCTCGCATTCAGGCAGAATGTAGTGACCGTTTCAACAGTTTGTGCCAACTCAAGGGAGTCAAAGTCGCTATGGCCGATACTGAGATAATCGCAGATGTACTGCAGTAGCCAATCAAGATTTTTGATCTCTTTCAGGGAAGCTGACCGCGAAGCCTTGTTGTCCCTTCTCGCTTTGTCGGCTTTTGTAGTCCAGGCCAGAAGTAACTTGCTCAACAGCGATAATAAAGATCGTGCACCAACCCGAAGATTGAGAAATTTCATCGAAACTTCAGTGCCAGGTTTGAAATCGCCGAAACTAAGCAGCCACACCCGTGCTTCGTCTGGGGAGTCAACCAGCTTGTACCCATCATCAAGGACATCTTCAGGAATAACAGGCATCTCAGCCGGGGCGGCTTTCTCAGTATGTCGGTCTTGGGATATGACATCGTCTGGAAGGAACTTAGGCGTCAACACTGGCACATTCCAGACAGACCTCCTCCTCGACTCCTTATCGCCGCCGCCAGTGGCCGACCTTTCTCTTGCCGTGTCATTTCCAGTCGACATACGATGTGACCGTCTTTCTGGACGTCCAGTAATCAGCATGTGCGACATTATACAGTGTGAGGCCCGCTGGCGAGAAGATCATCACCAGCGCGGTTGACGGCGAAGACAAAATCGTACAACGAGAGCACTCAAAGAGTGACGCCGCGTGACAGAAGGCCAGCTTGGTCACAATTGCCGAGGAGGCATTGCCTGTGAAGGCCAAAAGGTATCAAATTATCTAGGAGGCTTGCGTGGTGTGAGGAAGTGGATAAGAGTCAAAGTGGAAAACAACATTTGCCCAAGAAAGTTGAATTGTAACAATAATGCTGTTCTTACCAGGATTGAGTTGACGGTGAGTAGCAGCTTAAGCAGGAACCCGCCGCAAAAGAAACGTCACAGCCGTGTTTAACCAGAATCAGAGATTTTCTCGTATCGGTGGCATGAAACTTTCGATAGGATGACCACGATATTGAAGTCCCAGCGTCAGGCAACGGAAGTCGGACCCTCCAGCGAATCTCCGCGGTCGAAGTCAATTCTTCCCAAGGAAATCTGGGCACTTGTGGATGCAGGCAGGATGCATAACACCAAGAAAATTTTATCAAAATGGCTTAAAGCAGGGGATGCAAAAGTGAGGCGAGGCAAATATCGTTATCGCTGGCCAGACCAAATCAAAGTCGAATTGAGACGCCGGTTGCGAAAAGAATCATCGCCCACGTCGCCACCCAAATCACGTGTTGAGCCATGTGTTTCCGCTGCTAACCAGGCGGCCACGGTGAAGCATAAACCCCACGAGATCTTATACGGAGGATCACTTTAGTAAGGAAATGCAAAGGCGGTCAAGCTTGTGGGAATTATTCTGCCGGAGGCATCGCCAGGCTGTAGAAAGCAGGTAAACAATTCAATTTATTTCGTTTAGACAAATTGACATCGGTTTCTGCGCTGCGACCGTTCTTTGTCCTGAGTTTCCTGCAGATCGATCTCACACTCTACAAGTTTATCCTGGAACAGCGGGCAACACTGCTTTCTTGCCATCATTGAATTTCTAACGCAGTCACGAAGCCCTTTTGACATATCGCAACTATGTGCATGATTTGAACGAGCACTCCGAACACACCACCCGAGATCCCTATTATCATGGCTGATCTAGCAACTCTAGCTCAATTACTGGACGCCAGTCTCGATCCTCGACAAAACAAAGAAGGTAAGCACACCCACCGTACTGACTCTGCAACTATGTTAACAACATCGCAGCCGAGCTCAAGATCCGTGCCGAAGAGAAGAAGCCTGGTTTCGCTCTTTCCCTCCTTCAGATAACTGCGTCCGGCAACTTTCAGTACAACACTAGACTTGCCAGTGCCCTTTTTTTCAAGAACTTTATCAGACGGAATTGGACAGATGTCGAGGGAAACTACAGACTACCTGCGCAAGATGTCAATGCCATTAAAACTGAGATCGTGGGACTCATGATCTCCGTACCCCGAGGCATCCAGACACAGTTGGGTGAAGCCATCAGCGTTATCGCGGACAGTGACTTCTGGGAGCGCTGGGATACCCTTGTTGATGACCTTGTGTCTCGGTTAAAGCCTGATGACCCTGTCACCAATGCTGGAGTGCTGCAGGTGGCGCATTCTATCTTTGCAAGATGGCGGCCATTGATGCGGACGGATGAACTCTATACTGAGATCAATCATGTCCTGTCAAAGTTCTCCCAGCCGTTCCTCTCCTTATGGCAGAGACTCGACGCTTACATCGAAAGCCACAGCAGTGATAAGAAAGCTCTTCAGGAAGCCTTCGCAGAACTTGACCTGATCCTACTCCTCTTCTATGATCTATCCTGCCAGGACTTGCCTCCAACCTTTGAAGAAAACTTGCTGGGGATCAGTGCCCTACTTCTGAAGTATTTGACATACAACAATAAGCTTCTGGAGACCGATGACGAGGCAGAACCTGGCCCACTCGAGAACACCAAGGCAAACATCTTCGAAGCATTAACGTTGTATATCGGCAAGTACTACGAAGATTTTGGAAGACATGTCACAGGCTTTGTGGAAAGCTCGTGGCATCTTCTCACCACCACTGGAGCAGAGCCCAAGAACGATATTCTTGTGAGCAAAGCTTTGCACTTTTTGACCTCTGTGGCAGGTAACAGAGAACAAGTGCAGAATTTTAGTGACCCTGCGGTCCAGAGTCAGATAATGGAGAAGGTCATCCTCCCAAATGTGGCGCTGAGAGATTCTGATGTCGAGATGTTCGAGGACGAGCCTATCGAATTTATCCGAAGAGATCTCGAAGGTTCGGACAGCGAAACTCGTCGGAGAGCCGCGGGCGATTTCCTCAGACAGCTTAGTGATCAATTCGAGCAGTCTGTGACGCAGATTGCCATGACACTGATACAGAATTGCTTGCAAACCTTTTCCAATAACCCTTCGGAAAATTGGAGGTCCAAGGATACTGCTGTCAGCCTTTTCTATGCATTAGCGTCGAAGGGAGTCACAACCTCAACTCACGGTGTTACGAAAACCAACAGCTTGGTCAATATTGGCGACTTCTTTTCCACGCATCTAGCAAGTGACCTTCAAAAGGATGATGCCGAGCCATTGATCAAAGTTGATGCCATCAAATACTTGTACGTCTTCCGCAGTATCATCACCAAAGAACAGTGGCAGCAGGTTATGCCGCTATTGGTCAACCATCTTGGAAACTCAAATTACTGCGTCTACACATACGCAGCTGTTGCTGTGGATAGAGTGTTGGCAATGACAGACGAAACTGGCAAACCAGTGATTGATCCTGCAAGCATCAAGCCGCTAGCGAGCAGTCTCCTCGAACACTTATTCAGCTTGGTCGAAAAAGACAGTGCTCCCGAGAAGGTGCAAGAGAACGAGTTTGTGATGCGCTGCATCATGAGAGTATTGATTGTCCTCAAAGACGGTGTCAGTGCAGTTGCAGAAAGTGTGCTCCAGCATCTCGTTTCTATCACTACCATTATTTCTGCGAACCCAAGCAACCCCAAGTTCTACTACTATCATTTCGAAAGCATCGGCGCCCTCATTCGCTTTACAGCATCGACGCACGCGGAGGCAGTAGGAGCGGTCCTGTTCGCCCCCTTTGCAGCCATTCTCAGCAAACCAGTCGACGAGTTTGTTCCCTACGTGTTCCAGCTTCTCGCAGCATTATTCGAAGCGGAGCCTAACAAACCTCTCACTGAACAGTACAAACAACTTATCGCACCTATACTTGGGCCTGCGGTGTGGGAACAGCGAGGGAACATACCTGCCGCGACGCGACTTTTGTCAGCTATCGTTCCCCGAGCAGCAGACGAGCTATTAAGTGCCAATCAAGTCGTAAGCGTTTTGGGCATATTCCAAAAACTTGTTTCAACAAAAGTTTATGAAGGTTACGGATTCGACCTCCTTGAAACCGTTGTCACCACCTTTCCCGCACCTGCACTCGAGCCATACTGGGTGGAATTAGTCACGCTTATGCTCAAGCGCTTGCAAAAGAACCCCTCACAAGCCTTCAGCCTACGATTTGTCCGGTTTTACCATTTTGTTTCCTCGCGTGACGACCAGGGGTTGGGTGCGGATTTCTTCATCGCTGTCACTGACCGAATTCAAAACGATGTCTTCCGACAACTTTACCCAGGTGTTATTCTGACCAAGACGCAAGAACTTGCTCGTCCGTTGGACCGAAAGGTTGCCGCAATATCGCTGACCAAGACTTTGGCGGATTCCAAGGCATTCCAAGAACGATACGCGAAAGGCTGGACGTTGACATGCAACGCACTCCTCAAATTGCTAGAACACCCGCCTTTGCCACCGACCGAGGCCGACGTGATTGCAGAGCTTGATGTGGAAGATAGTAGCTTCGGCGTTGGCTTTACACAACTGAATACTGTCCGTCGGCCGGTCACAGACCCGTACCCTGAAGTAACAGATTTGAGGAAATGGGTTGGCCAGTACTTGAAAGCAGCTGACCAGAGACATGGAGGCCGCATAGGCAAGACCGTTGAGGAGACACTGAGCCCAGACGCGAAGACGGTTCTGAATGCTTACATGAATCTGTGAGCATGACGAGAGAGAAAAGGGAAAATATGGACTCGCACAGGTCATATGGAACGAGCTGAATGTGCAACGCCGATCAAGACGTGCCGTTTCCATGTTAGAGTCAATAAAATAGCAACCCAAAATTATGCACAAAGTCTTACAATCTCAGAGTCGGAGATGCAATGAGAAATAGGCAATAAGAGATTAGAAAGTGATTGTAGCTGACTTCACTCCTCCTCGGACGTGTTTCGATTGTGTTACGAGGTCCAACTCTCCCTTTCGTCCCTCAGCCTCAGGTCTCGTGTCCGGCAAACTTGCCTATTTTCCATGCAGTGGAACATGTTACTACAGGTATTGATCCATGCATCGCAAACCATGCTGCACTTCGTAGGACGTTGTTTCACGGCTAGGCAGAAGATCACACGCTTCTGAGTCCCTCGTCGCTACGGGCACTCCCAAGTTCTGACATGTAGCATGCTGCACAACCTACAGCCCTCGCGGCACATTCACTTGACCAGGTCATGGCTCGGGGTAAAGAGGACGACGACGACATCTACCCGTCCTCGAACGAGTAACATCCTTGCATGTGCCCCCCATGCGAGCGCGAGTGGAAGCCTCGTCAGGCGTCTTCTGTTCTCTACGAGTCCCTCTCCGCGCAAGAAACACGCGCCACCCCTGCCCCCTCGCCCGTCGCTACCAGACCACGAACTGAAACATACATTCGTCAAGGGCACAGGCCCGGGGGGCCAGAAGATCAACAAGACGAATTCGGCCGCCCAGGTCACGCACCTACCCACGGGCATCGTGGTCAAATGTCAGGCGACGCGCAGCCGGAATGAGAATTTCAAGATCGCCAAACGCATCTTGGCAGAGAAAGTCGAGTTTTTGGAGAAAGGGGACGAGAGCCGTGTGGCAAAAGTCGTCGATCGGGCGAAGCGGAAGAAGGCGAGCCGCGTGAAGAAGAGCAGGAGGAAGTACAGGAAGTTGAGTGAGGGCGAGGACGGGGAGAACGATGAGGGGCACGAGGACAGGCAGCATGACGGAGAACAGGAGGAAGAGCAGGAGGGGAAAAGAGAAGGATCGATACGTGGTGGTGATAGTCAGACCACGGAGGGAGAGAAGATAGCGGAGGGATTTCCAACGGTTGAGGATCAAGTACTGACACGATCATGGCGGGAGGAAGAAGAAATCACACGGCGCAAGGAAATGGGGGAGACACCACAGCGGCGCGAGGTACGTTGAGGAGGGGTTTTTGAATCTGATCCCAGCCTTTGATTGTCTCTATTATTCGAGAACGAAGACCCAACTGCCATATACAGGTATCATTCAGCTGAGCATCCTTGAGCACTCAAACACTCGTTAGCCGGCCGGCAAGGAAGCTGGCCAATTGGTGGTGGGAAGATGTGCCTGCATTGGCCCTCGCTACACTCGAGTAGTTGCATAAGGTATTTTTAACATCCTTTGGTGCCTGCTCCTGGCTACTTCTCTCTCGCCCCTTTGGCTTGCGTCGTCAACTCTCAAGCGCTGTTTCACCTCTACTCCTGACCCTCGTTCTCCTTCCCACTCCAAAGATACCTCAGACTTTCGATATTGAACCCCGTCTCACTTCTTTCTTTCTTCGTCCTCATCCGATAGAGAATTGAGGTCGGTGGCAGGCTTCCACGATGTCTCCTCCTAAGCGCCGGGCCAGTGGTGGAGGCGAGCCACCGGCTAAACATGCTCGTACTGAGACTAGGGACTCCAGACTTGATCATGTGAGAGACCCTCACCTTCCTTCTCGTCATCCTAACCTTAATAGCAGGAGGTGACTACTTCTTCTGGCCTCTCAGACGTTCATGGGGACTTCGAAATAGAGGTCAAACTTAGATCCAAGTCTAAGGCCGCCCGCAATGACCCGAGCTTTACGTTGGCTGAACGTGAGCTATACGAGAAAGTCCTCTCGGAGCAGTCCAAAGGAGGATTAGTTACCGCAGTACATCGCTTTGCTGCTTACCATGCAGTTCGTGGCCGCGAACAATCTCCCAACGAACTTGGATCCGATAGTCAGGAAAAGCGTACCTCTGATGATGGTGACGCTGGGAACGTGTCCGAAAGCATAGAAGAGACTAGGAAAGATAATGATGCAGAAGAGAGTCAAGGAGAAAATGTCATGGCTTCCCTGCATGGCGAGCATACCGAAGGTGATTCGGAGCATGAAGGTGATGACGACAAAAATGACCTTGACGACGAAAGTGACCTAGACGACGAAGATCCCTGGGAATACACCAGTGAGGATGAAGATCGCTCCGAGTATGATCCCGACTATGAGTTCGACTGGCTAGAACCAATTAATGTCGAAGTAACTCATACTACAAAAACTGACGAACACGGCGAGCCGATGATGGTTGCATTCTGCAGCGCCAAGTTGATTAGAAGAGGTCAAATGCGAGATGATTTCTATGGACAGATGGAGCCGCCTTCGAGAGAGACATCAATGCTTGCGTTTGACCTGTTTGACCGATATGGTCGGCTGCGATCTGAGTACAAAACCCACCCAGTGATGAAGGGTACTGGTGTTTGGGGCCAGGAACTGTCTCATGGGGATATCCTCCTCATTGAAGAGATCCTGGTTAACAAAGATTATCGCAGGCAAGGGCTTGGCCGAAGAATGATAGAGTCACTATTCAGAAGAGTCCGAGACAAGACGTGGTCTTTCTTTGCTTTCGTCTGGCCTACCGTGTTGAGATTGTCCGACATCAGAGACGAGTGGGACAGCTTACTAGACGATGCCGAAAGACAGAACATGGCAGAACGCGAACATGACCGGGCTACCATGTTTTGCAGGTCACTAGGATTTCGAAGGGTTGGATCCACGATCTGGTTTGCCTGGGCTCCCAAGACTGATCATCTCTCACACCAGCTTGCGGCAATAGATGATTTCAATCCCCCAGAGGCGCCTTCAACCTCCCTCCATCCCCTCTTGACACCATTACAGCGCATTGCCGACCCGCCTCCGCCCGGTCTCTACCAGTTGGTGAACCAGGTTGTGGACCAGGAGCATGAATCAACAAACTTTCTTGACGTGCTCAAGAACTGCATGCAACAAAATGGTTCAGCCGATGCCTGCTGGATGAGTAGGGATAAGCATGGCAATACCGTCCTTCATCTCACCGCATCAATCTTCGACGTTGCGTGTGTGGAATGGATTGTGAAGCAGGATTTCGGCGCTCGACTTCGAGAAATGCGCAACTATCGAGGAGAGACACCTCTCGAATTAGTGCAATTCAAGGTCGAGACACTCCGCACGCAGAAGGTTGTCAGCTCTTTGACAATACCTGTATCCGACCGATTCGAAGGACATGATGAAAATGCCGTTCGCTGTTTGATCTTGCTTCAAGGATTGGTGTCTGTCGAGTCTCTCGTAGAACTCCAGGGCCAGGATGCTCTACTGCGAATCATTGGCGGATGCACATGTGGCCAATGTCTGAGAGGTTTTTTGAGCCCCAGGATGTCCCGCGCCCTCATATATCAGGGGGAAATTGGATACGATATGATGAATGACTTCGATGAGTTTGCCGGGCTAGATCTCGAATTTAGGGAAAGCCGTCTCGATTACTTGCCTTCGAGGGTGCGGAACAATCTCCGGACAAACAAGTCCATGCGTCAGGGCTTTGTGAATCTTTGGATGCACATTGCGACGTGTCTGGAGAAGGGGGACGTGCCTACCACATCCAATGTGCTGGATGTCATCAAATCTGCTGGAGAGTGGCCACCTGCCACCCGAAATTTTCTCCAAAGAGGAGGCACCGTGGAGTCAGTGTTTTTGGCGATATGTAGAGCAGCCATGGAGCAGGACGAGTGGATGGGAGACGGATGTTACCAAGAGGTGATGGGCGACGAAATTGCAAAGCTACCTGAGTGCAGGAACGACCATGAGTTCGGCTACGTCAGTGGAATGTGCGGTTACAGGCGCATTTGTCTCAGACCGATGGTGGATATGATGGGCAATCGTCTTGACGAGGACGGAAACATGGTCGATTCACGGCTGTAGTCGGTTTACGAGCTAGTATGCATGGTTAGTGAGGCGTTTGAACGGGTTGTGATAGACGATACAGAAGAGCCTGTCGTTCAATGGTGTATGTAATTGATAAATCGGACCCTGGTGGGTCAGAAGGTCTGTCTGTGTTCTTTCGGCTTGGGGCTCTACTCCGAAGCAACTCATGTATGTCTGTTGTCTTCTCTCGTCATGCATGGGGGGAGAAGTCGGCTTGACAGTGCTTGCGATGATAAGACTCCCCTTTTCTTTCAAGGAGCGAGGCAGTAAGAAGTATGATTTTGTCTTTCCCTATTCATCTAGAGAACCCCAACCAGAAGGGGCCCATGTTCTCATTGCCCAAAGCGAAAAAAAAGAACGCCCATATCACATGTCTTCATTTTCTCCCATATTTTTGCTTTGTGGGTTTTTGAAAGAAAGATGATGTCTCTATTCGATGGTCTTCTCGGTCAAGAAGATGCCGTACTTGTCCTTCAACTCGGTGAGCAAAGGCTCGGCGAGATCCCAAGTGACAGGGGCCAAGACGCCCTTCTTGCTGATCCTTCCATCCAGGACCATCAAGCACGCAAGGCCGCAGGGGACACCGACCAGCTTGGCCATCGAGCTGTAGCCCTTGGGGTCGCCGTAGTCGACGAGGGTGCTGGTTCTCGTCTCGGTGGAGCCGTCCTTGTGCTCGATCTCGAACTTGTGCTGCAGCATGACCATGTCGCGCTCGCCTTCCTCGTACTGCATCTTCTCCTCCAGGGTGGCGCACAGGGTGTCCAGCGGGTTGCCGCGCGGGGTGATGGGGGTGTCGGAGAACAGGCCCAGCCACTTGATGCCGGAGATGATGCGCTGCTTCGCGGCCGTGTCGGTGAACTTCGTCTTCGACTGGATGGCCCAGGCCAGGTCCGCCTCCTTGTTGGTCGAGGAGCCGATGATCTTCTGGGTGGCCTCGGCCCACGAGATGGGCTTCTTGTCGGACGACGACGGCGGCTTGAGGTACGGCTGCTCCTCGTCCGACAGGAATCCGATGTCGACGAGCACCTTGACGAACTCCGGGAAGCCCTGGTAGCGCAGGGTGCCGCGGATGACGGTGTCGGCCTCCGGGATGCCGTAGCGCTGTCGGTAAGGGGTCGAGTCGCGGTTGGGGTATGCCACGAAGGCGAAGCCGGGGTAGATGAAGTACGGCTTCGCGCTGGCCATCAGGTCCGGGCCGGCGATGTCCTTGACGCTGCCGCCCTCGTAGAAGCGCGCGGCGTTGCGGAGCGCGAGCAGCACGCCCCGGCTCGACCACGAGAACTTGTACCCCAGCGGGTTGTCGCTCGCCTCGGGCGCCGGCAGGCCGCCGCAGTACGACAGGAACGACTTGATCTTTCCCCCGGCCCGGTGCACCTCCTCGATCGTCTTGACGGCGTAGAGGTGGTCGATGCCCGGGTCCAGCCCGATCTCGTTCATGACCGTGATGCCCGCCTCGAGGACCTGCGGCTCCAGCTCCTTCATGGCGTCCGACACGTAGCTCGTCGTCACGACGTTCTTCTTCTTGCGGATCGCGGACTTGATGACGGTCGCGTGGAAGGTGTATGGGATCAGGGAGATGACCAGGTCGCTCTGTTCGACCGCCGCGTCGAGATCGGCGTCCTTGGACACGTCCAGCGAGACCGGTTTGGTGTTTTTGATGCCTTCGCAGAGCTTCTTTGCGCTCTCGAGTGTTCGGCACGCTGCAGTGGTGATTTCACCGACTGTTTAGCTTTGGCTCAATGGAAGGAACGTTCTTTGTACTTCACGGTCGGGGGGAATCTATCGATTGACTGACTGACTTACCGACTGTGACTTCGACACCTGCATCGGCGAGGATCTGAACAGTGGGCTTCGTGACGAACCCAGCCCCCAGAAGGAGAGCCTTCTTGGACGAGTAGCCCAGTTTGGATTGGATGGTGGTGATGAGCGACGACATGGTTGCTGCCTTTGTTTGGACTGGCGAGTATCACGAACAAACTAAGGGTAACTCAATACCTGGTATCTTTGCTCTTCGTGGTTCTGTGTACAGTATGGAAAACAAGGATCAGAAATCAATGAGTCGAATCTGGAGTCTGTACAAAAAATATCAAACACCCCGCATGTTCTGCCCGATAGCGGAGTTTCCCGTTCGAGTCAAATACTTACACCATCTGCCCCTCGCCGTGTTTGCGCCCTGTAGCGAGCAGCCTCACCCTCACAAACCTAACTAACTAGTTAGTGGTGGACAGTGTACCCTCATCTCGTATTCCCATCGTCCCCGAACCGCGAGTGCTTGTTTGTAACTTGCTCAACCATCCGACGGAAAGGTAGGACACCACCAGTAAGGAGAACCCTGGGCTCTTTGTTCTCTCTCTACCTAGTATATATGTACGTCTCTCTCCGTACCAACCTTCCTACACACCTACAGACAGTGACACCAAGGTATTCTGGTACAACCAACCACATCATCAAGCCATGGGTATCCCAATAGCAGTCCGACTACAGGCCTACCTTGACCCTCTCGTTCTCCTCGGCATCTCAATAGGCTATCTCCCCATCACCCTACTCTCGCACCCTCTCTTGTTCCTCACGTCCCCGCAGTCGTTCCGGTCCAAATGGTTCGAGAGCTTCTGGCGGGTCATCGGGCCCAAGATGGCCGCGTCCGAGATCCAGGTCGACCACATCGAAGAGATCCTGTCGCGGGCCCGCGGCACCGTTCTCGAACTCGGGCCCGGCGCCGGCGACCAGATGTACCACTACAAGCCGGACCAGATCGACACGCTGTACGGCGCGGAGCCCAACGTCTTCCTCCACGCCAAGCTGGCCGAGGTGGCCGAGGAGAAACTGGGCGGCGGCGGCGGCGGTGGGAAGACAAAGTTCGTCGCCCTGGAAGCGGGCGCCCAACCGAGCAGTCTCGTCCCCGCGCTGAAGAAAGCAAATCTCATCGACCCCGGCGCCGGCGACGGCGACGGCATCGCCGTGTTTGACACCATCGTCGCCGTCAAGTCGTTGTGTTCGGCGCCGCAGGCGGACCTGCCCGCCACGCTGGCTCTGGTGCAAGCTCTCCTCCGGCCTGGCGGGGAGTTTCTGTTTTTCGAACACGTCGAGAACGACACCGACTCCGTCACCATGTCTTTCGCCTGGTGCGTAGACTGGATATGGCCGGTGTTCATGGGCGGGTGCAGGTTGAAAGGCAAGGTCGACAAGATCGTGCTGGGCATGGGTGGATGGGAAGAGAGAAACGTCACCACGATTGGCGATTTCAAGGGGTACGAGGTATGTTTTTGATTTTGCTGTGGCTTTACTTTGCTTCGCTCTTGTTTGCTCGTTCTTTGCTCGGTTCCGCGATCCTGGCCTTTGGGGTGTTTCTGCTTCCGCTTCCGAACACTTCTCAATTCTTCCATTCACTCATTCATTCATGATCGTAGAGTGACAGAAATTGGCTAACTGGATCTCTCTCTTTTCCGCCCGTCAAAAAAGGTCTTTAGATACGTCAAAGGAATCTGTCGAAAGGCTCACGTATGATCCGGATCAAGGTACAGCGTACGGCGATATCGACGTTATAGGCACCGTGTTCCGTTACTACGTACAGGTACCACGTAACCGAAGTGCATCCCTGTGTAGATACTCGTGCATGACCACTCAACATGACAATTGCGCTTTTGACGGCCTGCCCCTGAAACTCCTTAATGCTAGTAACAAATTCTCCGAACGAAGGATGCTTTCTCCCAAAACCTCCCTGAAAATATCGAATTTCATGCCTCGTATAGAGGAGTGATTCATCCCAATCAGATGCTCAGGCGTAGACGGATTGCTTCTGTGGCAACTCGGTCTCGTACTCGATCTCCACCTTGCCTCGTTTCTTGGGTTGTTTCTTCGCGGAAGGAGGTGGCGCTGCTCGTTTCCTCTTCTTGCCCAGGCCGGCACCGTCATCCTCGTTGTCCTCCGATACATCGTCGTCGTCGTCGTCGCTGTCCTCGTCGTCGTCATCCTCATCAGAGAACTCATCTTCATCGGGACTCTCTCCACCGAACCAGTCGTCGAAATCTTCCATCGCTTCTTCTTCGGCGTCACTCTCCTCCATGCCTGAAACGTACTCGACCTCAGCCTCGCCTTCGACCTCAACTTCCTCCTCCTCTTCTTCGTCGTCCTCTTCTTCGCCCTTCTCGGCCCTCTCCAGACCTCTCAGCACCTTCTTCCACACGCCCTCCTCGACGTTGATCGGTCTATCGCCGTACGCGCCGCTCCTCAGCCGCTCAATCAGCTCCCTCTCAATGGCCCTCTCGACCTTTGCGGCGCTCTCGGCCTTGCGTTCTCTCGTCTCTTCTCTCCGACGCACCTTGGGCGCCAGTCTGGGCACCAGCTTCTCGCCCAGCCTCTCCTCCTCCTTGGCGATCCTCCTCTCCCGGATCGCCACTTGCGTCAGCCTCGTCAGCCTCTGCTTGCACTTGTGGACGTAGAATTTCGGCCAGTACACGAGCTTGTCGTCGATCTGCGCGAGGGCCTTTTCATAGTTGTTGGGCAGCCGGATCTTCTCCCACCATTTCGAGGGCAGATGGGCCCGTTCGGGGCTCTTGATGAACAGGCACAGAGCTCCCGTCTCCGGGTCTGGGCGGACGGTGGCGTAGCGTGAGTTCGCGAGTGGGCAGGACTGTCGGTTGCAGAAGCCGGTAAGGTTGTATTCGTTTCTGCAAAAGGTTTGTTCCTTGGTGTTGAGTCTGCGTGAAAGAGACGAAAAAAAAGAACTGTTAGCCCAGATACCGTATCAAGGTCGGGGGTATTCCAAAGAGAATCTAATAGTCAATCCCTTCAATTTATTTTATTCTCCTTACTTTAACTTGAACGAACAGAACTGCTGGTTGATGACCTGCCAGACGATTTCGTCGGAAGACATGGTTTATGAGGAGAGGTTGGGTGTGAACAATCAAATGAGACGATCTGGAAGAACTTCAAAGGGCGAGGAAGTAGGTCGCTGGTGGCCGATACAAAGACGGGCGTTGAAAAATGTAGGTCAATGGCGAGTTCTCGTTTCCCTCGACTTTTTTGGGTGCAAATCGCAGTCAGACGATTCGCTCACCGACTGCAAAGCAGAAAATGTTTCTTGCGGGCCCGGCAAACTTGCCTGGTGGAGAAAATTTTCTGGCTTATCGCTTATCGCCGGGGGTTGGCTACGACTGACTACCTTGATCCCTAGGTATTCATATGGAGCAACAAACGAGCAACAATCAATCTGCACTGTCAAGCCCGAAGCACATCTAAAGCTACGGAGTGAGAAAATCGTATAGTGTATCTCACTAAAGCTTGTAGAAATGCCCTTTCGAGGTCTAGTTCCATGCAGTACTTAGTCCCTCAGGCATGCAGGACAGTTCGCTCTTCTCGAAGCGCCCAAAGGTTGACGGACAGTCAACCACAAATTGGAAGGTTACCAATCGAGAGTAGATCGACTACGTTCCCATAATTCAAACTGTTCTTGAAATGCTGGTTATATACTTCATTCCCATCAAGTGTCATTGACTTAGACATTCATGAACCACCTATGCTCTAGTGCCTCCCTTGCTGTGATCCTTTTTTCCGGATTGAAGTTTGTCATTTTGACAGTGAGGTCCCGAAAATCCTCGTCGACGATTTCATCCTGCCGTAGGGAGAATGGTTCCCGTGGGTTTTCAGCGTTGAAGCTAGATCGCACTACCTGGAAGATCTCGATCCAAGGGTTTTCTGGGTTCCCATAATGGAGACACTGGAGAAAGCCGTTGAATGCTTCAAGATCCCCGAAATAAGACAGCTGGCGTTCAAGAACGATGGCTAAGAGCTCTTTATCTTTGTCAAGTTCCTCTTTCAAGACGCCAAAAATTACTCGTTTAGTCAAGGCGTAAATGCGCTGCAAAACACACTTTTCGTTAACGTCCTCATCCAAGCTTTGACGTTGGGGCAACGAATCCATATTCTGTCTGGTGAACCTACAACAATAGCGAATGCGAAAATATCGGAGGGCTTGTTCATAGGGCCTTCTGCGTGTGCCTCAGGGCTGCGCCACATCCAATTCCCCAACTGCGCGCCAAGAAGGTTCCCTGGAGGAGGGCAGTGTGCACTGTCTTCGAGGTCAGTGAGCTGCGTCCGCTCTACAACGATTCCGTGAGACCCCTCGGTGGCATCAATCAGGATATTGTTGGATTTAATATCTGATGGTTATCAGCCACATCCTAGCCGTCTCAAAATGAAACGCTCTGTTACCGTTGTGGACAATATCCTTATCGTGCATTGCAGCAAGCCCTCGTAGCGCGTCCTTGAGAATCCTTTTCGTGGTGGAGATTGGCAAGTTCTTCTGTGCCAATTCTGGAAGATTTTTTTTGAGATGACTGAAAATAAATATGGACTCGTCCGGAGCGGTGTCGTCTAATCCACGCACGTAGGGGCAGCTACCCAACCGTCGGTATATTTCCAAACGGAATTCGTAGTTGTTTCGAGGAATCTCTTTCAAGACAAACTTTTCATTCCCGTCTCTAAGTTAATCAAACTCAGTAAGCCATACTGGCTCTGCTCAGAACGGCTTGCGTAGCAAGAAAGACGCGACCCAGCAAACTACCTTTGTTTTGAAGGACGCGTTCGATTTTGTATTGACGGCCGGACTGGCCTTTGATCTCTGTCGGTTGAGCCTTCTGTACATTTGTATCCGCAGCATCCTTTGACAACAGAGATGGTGCCATTGTGCTGGAGTAGCTACGAGATCGGAATTGAAGTTGCAAAGTCGCTGCTGCTACGGTTCGGAGGCAAATTGGTGATTCTGGGGAATTGCCCCTGACGGCTCTGCGAGAGAAAGCTTTCGACAGATTCAATGCTGCGGAGGAGGCATTGCAGGAGCGAAATGCTTTAACACCCATCATCGCAATATCATTCCATCTCGCTCGTAAAGACTCTCAAGGAGGTCGAAAAGGCACAAAAGTTGACAGAAGCGCCGACGTGTGACAAAGTTACCTGGCGAATTGGATCCCGTGGTAGTGCTCTGACAAGGTAAGTCTGCAAGTTGCCAAGTGCAACGTCTCTCGATGAGAGGCTTATGAGGTCAGGAACAAAAGAGACAGCGCTAAAGCGTTGTCTTGTCATGTGTAAGTTCATATAAATATCAAAGTCATGTGGCCTCGGGAGAAGGCCTATGCTTGGTAGGGATCTATGCTATCACAGCGGGGAAGGTGCGCCGAGCATTTCTCTCTGCTCGTGTGCTCACATCACATGTAAGAGGAAACTTGACCCAAGATCGTCAATGATACATGTGATGTCAACCGGATAGCGACTCTTCGACGGTTCTCTTGACAAAAGACCTTTCATCTCGTCAGCTGGGAAAGTAATCCAGACGCGGACAGCAGTGCTTTGTCGGCACAAAGATCAGGTGGTTTGAGCGTTGACACTTTAGATGAGTTGGATCAAAAGTCCGGTTTTCGCAGTCGTGGCATTGATTTGCCTGGTTCCATCGGCTTAGCAACCGGGCACTCGAGAGGGCACTCGACGTTGGCAATGGAGAGTTTCAATAAGAGTCCAATTGTACGTTGAACAAGATTCTGAGCTTCCAAGGTTGTGTTTATCAAAGTTAGCTCGATGACCCCCAATTCGGTAGTCGCTGTATGACTGATTGCGTTTGAGCCTCAGCTTCAGCTTGGACTTGAACTTGGGGTGGGGCTTGGGCTTGGGCTTGTGCTTGTGCTTGATACGAAGAAAATCGAGCAACGAGCCAGGCCAAGTCATTTTCATGCGGTTTCGGCCACTTGGAATAATAATGCCATGTTTGGGTTTCCTTATCCCATTTCCTGTTGGGCACAAACGCCTCGATGTTGTAATAGTTGTCACGCATATAGATGGGTTGATATGACGGCGGACCGCTTCTTTCCAAATACTCATCTGTACCGGCTTCGGCTTCCTCGTCTGTGAGATGATACAGCCGTGGCTTTGGAGTCGTGACCTTTTCGCCCTTTTTTCGCCACCTCGCAGACCGAACGATGGTGCGCGTGGTGACGTCGAGATGGGTCTGTAGGATTCGTGAATGCGCCAACGGGCTGTGGATGGCTTTGATCACGATGTCGGCGTGGTCTGCGAGGAGCTTGGTGTTCCACTCGGGGTTCTTGCCACGAGGGATGATGGGTAACGGTTCCCTGTTCTCAAAGTTCCGCTGCCAGTGCGCGAGGTCCAGGATGATGTTGAGATTGTTCCAGCTTAAGAGACAACTCATGCACGTACACACAACCGCCGGGTCGATCTGTTTGATGTGCTGATACGGGTTCCTGTGGATCTTGATGCGGTCCTGCCACTGCGGGCTGAGAAGGACAGGGCGAGCCGAAGCTGGGACCTTCTCGAGCAGCACGGGCAACGGGAAACATTGTCTCAGCACCCAGTAACATCGGCGCGTTATGGATTCGGCAAGAGACCTCTCGTTCTCGAGGATGAAATTGCGCATGAAGTGATTCAGTCGCAATTGACTGAAGACATCGCTTGGTCGAAGAAACCCGAGGATGAGCGACAGAATCTCCGGAGGGAAATCGAGGAACGACTGGATGTGTGAATGGACTTTGCGCGATTGTTTCTTCTCTTGCCTTTTCTGCAAGCGTGCCGTCCTCTTCGAGTTCAGTGTGAGGGCGGCCGTGGTATCAACCAGCGGTTCATCTTCCGCTGATGCACCCTTCTTTCGTAGGATGGCCTTCTTCTCTCCTTTCGAGAGTGGGAAGGTCGTGATCGTCACATCTTCTGTATGCGCTTCCTGTAAATGGGCAAATGACTCGTACGAAGTCACCGACTCGTCGTCTTCTGTCGGTCTATCCCTCGCGTGCGAAACTGTAACCTTCGGCCTGGCTGCGTTGGTGGGAGCCGGCAACGACGGTTGGTTGATCTTGCTCCGCTTGGGTCGTGTGCCATCTTGACTTGGCGGTAGTGATGATTCTGCTTTCGAGTCGCCCGAGGCTGAAATGGCAGATTCAGCGTCGGTCATTGTTTTATCACCAGGCAATCTGGACGGTAAATTCAGGTTCCATCATTCCGCCACCGCACCATTGGTAACCACAATGGGTGGCTAGAAAGTTTTACGACACGAGGTGGCCAGGCATCGAAACTCGGCTGACTAATACTATGACGTTCATGACTTGTAGACAGGACGAGGCCGAGTATGAGCAGGCACAACGTCGCCTTGGAAGTTAAACTACTTGTCAAGTATGTTCGATCTTGTACTATACTGCTGTGAAACATAGACTATGATGGTTGAACTCAATGCGGTCATCGGACCAGGGCCTAAATGGCCACTTCAGCTCTCAACCAACCACTTTTTCAAGAACTCGGTCTGGGTGCCTGCGTTCCTCTCGAACAAGGGGCCCGAGTATGCTTCAAAATGTCCGCAGGGCAAGAGCTGCAGCTGCTTTGGTTCTCTCGCCCGAGCAAATGCTCCCAAGGCCAAATCAGCCGGCGTCAGGACATCACCACTCGCAATAGTCATGAGCAGGGGAGTCGGGGAGATTTTGTCAATGAGCTGTTGTGGCTCATACGCTCGGAAGAGCTCGACACTTGTCTCCCAGTCAGCATCGTGAAGTATACATGTTCTCGGCAAGAGGCACCTACGTCTTCATTGTCACAGTATTCTTCCAATTGGACTTCTTCTCCCACGAAGAGAAGAACTCGTAGCTATCGGGAGTAGGCAGGGCAGATGGTTTGAGAGGGTCAGCGTCCACCACAGGTACCATTACCGGCTCTTTGCCTTCTGCTCTCGCTTGTCGATCTGGATTTGCAAGGTCAGTCCTGCTGGAAGACGGGGATGGTCCAAGTGCAAAATCTCTTACCTGCTGCGAAAGCGGCATTGAACCCAACCTCAAAGTCTCCTCGAACGAGTCGTTTAAAATTATCCCAGCCGCTCACGCATGGCGCTTGGCTCAGGACTGCTTTCACCCTTCGATCTACGGCGCCGACATAGAGAACGTGTCCACCACTGTAGGACGACCCCCAGATACCGATCTTGTCGGCATCGACCTCCGACCTTGAAGCGGCGTATGTGATGGCATCGGACATGTCGCTGCATTGGGTCATGGGGACAATCTCGTAGCGCGGTTCACCCTCGGCGGCATCGCTGTCGCCAAACCCACGGTTGTCATATACCAGACAATGGATGGGGAGTTTTGAGATGAAATGCTCAGCGAAGGTATTGAGGTCCATTTCCTTCAAGGCCGAGAAGCCATGGGACAGGACCAGACATGGAGCTTTGGGTGAAGTGATGAGCTCGCTGCTGTAGAACCATCCTCTCAGGGTGACCCGGTCCGAGGTTTTGAACTCGATATCTTCTCTGCCCATGATCTCGGGGTGTGTATGTGAATGCGGGCGTGTATATATATGTATAGAAAGATATGTACAGAGTATCTGTGTGATTGATGCCGTGGAGCAGGAGAGGGAAACGGCAATGTCACGCCCAGAGCTCGAGAATATGTAGGGAAGTAATGTACGGGCAAGACACCCAATTTGTTACGTGGATGCAGAAGAACAGCTGGAGGGGTCCCATGGCCGTAGAAGAGGGTCTTGCAGGCATTTTATGGACCCGGGGATCGCGCAACCCGCCCACCGTTGGCCAGGGTGAGGAGGCGTCGTCGCATCTGCTCGCCCTCGCTTAAGGGGCAGCAACGGTTCCAGAAAGCGAGAGATGGCAAGGAGCGCCTAGAAGAAATCGATTCACAGCAGTTCGATACAAGGACATCCCGAACCCCGCAGTGCGGGAGCGCTTCAAAGGGAGACTTCAAGCTTCAGGCTTTCAGCTTAAAGACCGCGAACCACAGGGAATGGAGGTATCTAGACATAAGGACTCCGATCGAACAAACCCCGAGGCATAATTTGATTAGTGAGGGATGGGCACCGCTTTCAGCATTGGCCTCCAACATTGCTGGCTAGGTTGGTTCCGTCGGCGTCCTTGTTCCCTCTAACTGCACAAGCGGAACCGCGTGAGGTTCCTGAGAAACACCAAGGTACTCAGAGATGGCCTGAATGCTTCGGGGAGTATCCGTGCGGATTTATTACTGACCGAACAGCTATGGACGAAACATGCACACTCCCCCCTACGTGCTCCAGGGTGTCCAATGACGCCGAGCACCCTCCCGGTGTCAGCCAATGTCTCCTGTCATTTAAGACCGGTACCGCTCTCTCCCAGAACCTTGGTGGCTTGTGTAATTGGACGTCGAGGACGCGAACGCCAGAAGCCTGCAAGCCGTCGCCTTTCCATCAGACCACAGGAACCTTATCTACCTGTGGACAAACAAGTCATCGTGCATAGCACCAGCGCACCGGTGCCGCCAGAAACCATGGAGAGACGCTTCCAGATGTGCGTTGTCGCTCTGCAGAAGGAAACTCAGTCATAGCCATGATTCGTGGACCGTGGTGGAATGTCCCTAACTACCTCATGCATGCAGAGTCTTGCAGGTTACGCTGCCGCTAACTCGGATCAGACCAGTGAGCCTCAAGTTTACTTGCACTTACACTATGCCATCGTGTGAACGAAGGGATACCTCCGACAGAGAAGATTGTTGAGAATCAAGGCCAGAAGCAGAAAGTCATGACATACATGACATTCTATTCTCAACACATCACATCGACTCTTCTGGCTGCTTCTTCTAGTAGCGGCACCCGACACTGCTCCGACGACCATCAACAGCAAAAGAGACAGACACCTCATCAATCGGCCCCCCCTTTTGACTTGTCCGGCATCAGCCCTTCATCCCGGCCGGCTCCCGCTTCGAGGTCCTCCCTCCTCTTCGCATGATGTTTTGTGGTGCCTCCTCTTCCCGGGGAATGGTGAGCTCCAAATGAGCGATTGACACCTCGAGAAAGCCTGCTGCGCCTCTCAAGTATCCCCCTTCCATATCCATGCACCTGCCCGATAATGGCAATGACGAGTTCCTGATAAGCATCCTCCTCTTTTGCAGCAGGCTTTCGTCCGTCTCGTGTCCATCCTACACCCCCCTTGTGGTCCCGCACCTGCCCAATATTGACAAAGACAAGCTCCTTCTCAGCACTGTTCCCTTTCGCCAGCAGCAAGGGTTTGTCCTCCTCTGCTCCAATCCAATTGAGAGTCCCTGTGGCAACTTGCCTATATCCGAGGTGGAGCAGACCTGTGCCTGATGAGCATATTTTAGTCACACCCAGGGGTCCTCCTTGGACTCGCTTGATCCTCTCTTCTCACGAGGAGTAGGCTAGTCTTTCCCACTAGTCGAGGTCCATTGGATCGCCATGGTTGAGGTCCTCTGCGCCCACGGAGTGCGTCAGAAGCAACTCCAATAGGCTATCGATATCCATAGGTGTTGCCCATCCCCGACAATAGGCACACCTCTCCTCCTCAGGCACGGGCTCCGGTTCTGGATACCGGAGTGGTGGCCATTGAAAAGGCCGACCTTCCTTGATTGCCTCTTGGCGTCTCAAGTGGTCTGTTGCGCCCCAGGATGTCGTCCTTGGAGTCGGTCGAAAGCAAGGACAGGCCCAGACGGACTCCCCACCCTGAAGCCCCGGAGAGTAGTATATCTCAGGACGCCCGAATGGACAAGGGCCGGTCGGTGGCGAGAAGGCTGCGGCCGACTTCTTTTCGGGTTCAACCTTGTGAACCGGCTCTCCCTTTCTACACACGACCTCTTGGAATCCTTCAACGCAATGTTCCAAAGCCAGGCGTGGGGACCAGAAGACAGCAGACTTGTTTCGCCAAGTCTGTCTAGCCGCCTTCTTAAAGGCCGGGACCTGCAAAGGCGTCAACGACAATGTTCGACTGAGCATTAAGGAACATACGAAGCCAAGTGCCCATGGCGTTCACCAGTCATTCTGACCAAGGTGAGAGACAAGACTTGAACTTACTGGAGAGTTGGAGAGGGGAACGCGACAAAATGATGACTTGGTGGTGGCAGCCACCTTCTTCATCATCCTGCCATCCCATTTTGGTGACGGAGGAGCGCGAAATGGCTTTGGAATGCCATGGCTGATCTGGTTCTTGAAGGTCGCGCCCATAGTCTGGGCCGACACGCGGAAAACCTGGGAGATCTTCATTATGGAGATAGGGTTGTTGTCGGAGGGGAAAGGAGAAGCGAAGAGCAGTTACGGAAGTTACTTTGAGCTGATTTGCGGAATTAAAGGCTTTGGATGAGTTGAAGAGATGTTTGGTAGCGAGCGAGCGAGCGAGCGAAGCGGTCTTGCGAGCAAGAGATGGTGGATGGGAAGCTGAGAAAATCTGTATGGCGGAGGGCTGGTGGTGTGAAGTCGACACAGTGAATACAAGATTGCAGGCATTGTTGTTCATACCTTGTCGACCAAAGGGCTTTCACACTCACCGTGTCACTCTGAGTCGCTGCCTCTCAGTGATCCTTTCAGAGAGTTGCGCGTGGAGGGACAAACGGCCACATCACTGATCCAGGCAAAGGCGACCCTCGTCCAACATCTTATCAATTATGCATAAATATCGTCTTCAATAACAAACGCTAATGAATTTCGCGTCCACTGACCAAGGTAAGCATAGCCAGTGCTCAGTGACAACGATCGAAGCGTTGACCCGGCACTCAATCAGGCCGCCACGAGAGCGCTGAGCATCCAGGTGTGGTAATATGAGAGTGTCAGGGAGCATCATGATCTGCCTGATCAATACCGAAAAAGTCCCACTGCGCGACGACAATCTCGAGCGACTCAACAGGTGCACTGGTTGCTGCGTCATATCCCTTACAAACATCGACATTAGCGAATCGTCAGGAGACTGCGAGGGTTCTGCATTCATGGGCTCATCCCATCGATCGGTGACCGAGGAAGGGTGGAAACAGAGCTCAAGGTCAGACGACCGACGGTCTTGAGCATTCGTCAAGAGTCATATCGTAGACGAGACCGGCCTTGGTTGTCTCGTACGATACGGAATCCAGAATGAAATATGTGCTGGAAGATGGTGGAGGCCTTTTCCAAGACCACAGTCGCTGGCGAGATCTCTCCCCGAAATGGGATGTCCCCCCTATCCTCCATCCAACCGGCTGAGATCGACTGTCAGACCTTGGGTCGGTACGCGCTCTTGACCGCGATTGAGAGACGAATGTTCCCTACCTCATTTGGCATGTTGTCGGGTGGGACATTGCCACTTGCGACGGGGATCGTTCCGGCCCAGCGCGAGCCGCCATCCAAGTGTCAACCAACCGCATGCTTTCCTCATCCTGTCTGATGTAGTCCTCGTCGAGCTCTTGAGTGACCGTGGCGAGAGCTTCGACGCTGCATCGTGTCGTGATTTCGAATCAGCATTCTGCTGCAGTTCGGCGCAGTCGACCGTCTCAACTACACTGATGAAATGAGCCAGCATCTTCGCATGAAGGTCGCGAAGTGCCATTAGTCAGTCGTAGTTGTACAAGCATACAACAGATCCAGGCGTATGGATTCTCTTGTACCGTGCCATGGCAGCACTGACGAGGACTCGCTGTTTCTTGACCTGTATCCTGGCACCCTGCATGGCCTTCCTTACATGGCAGTTAGATACCGAATGTTATCAACTTCGTGTTTCACTCCGTGTGATCCTGGAATCGTGAATAGCTTTGGGTTCGTTCTGGAAAAGCATCTGGTTGAGATTATTGCTGATTTTGTAGAGTTTCTCGGTATAGAACTGCTCTTCACAATGATCAACGGTCCAGGCGCACCTGTTACATCTGCCGCTATCCTGTGCCATGCTCGAGATCCTCATTGTCACGTAACGCTTGCAGCACTCCTTGCCTTTCGGTGTACGTTACCAGCCACGACGAACCGAAGGGAGCCGAGTCAGTACCGCTCGATGCCTGATGGGCTCGAGGCTTGAAAGTGGATCATCGATTGTGCTTTGGTGTTGTACACCAGCTAGAGGACACTCGTCCCCGGCGACATGTTTCCAGCGAGTCTTCTATCATCAGAAGGAGAATTCACGGCGTCGATTGCCGAAAGTGAAAGGTTTAGAAGGTGAGTTCCGAGATAAAGATCCGTTGTGGGCAATCGAGTTCCGAATCTCTCAGCGGAGAACGGCGCTCATTCAACCGTCCCAGAATCTGATCTGAACCAGTCCGCTCATGATCAATATTTCATATATATCCTTAGATATGGCGAATTGCCGCGCCGGTGCTTCTTTTTCGTGCAGTCGATATTCTTAAACTGGAGAGTTCAATATCGGATTTGCAATGTACGACGCCATCGTCATAGGCGCAGGTCTTGCTGGCCTACAAGCCGCACTGACGCTGCAGAGGGAGGGACTCAAGTGCCTTGTCCTCGAGGCCCGAGATAGAGTCGGTGGTAAGACGTTGACGCTCAAGGACAGTGCTGGTAAGATCAAGTCCGACCTAGGCGCGGCCTGGATCAATGACACAAATCAAAGCCGAATGTGGGAGCTGGCACAGGAGCTCGGGTTGCATACATATACTCAGAACACCACGGGGAATGTCGTCGTACAAGATTTTGATGGGAGTCTGGTGAAATTTCCATACGGTGAAGTGCCTCAGGTAAGTTGTTAATGTCTAAAGTGAGAGTCTGCTCCAGGTTCTGAACCAAGATTCAATAGTATCCCTCGACGCAAGACACCGAATCGTGCATAGCTATCCGAGACTTAGTCGAGATGCTCTCCACCAGCACCTCGCCGTCAGTCTTCACAGCAGGACCACAGCGCAAACACCTCGACTCAATTTCGTTCGAGGCATACCTACGCGAGTCAAAGGTCACCGACAAAGCTTTTGCCACTGCCCAGGTCTGGACACATGCCATGCTCGGAGTCGACCCTTCAGACGTATCAGCACTGTGTTTCATCGAGTACTGTGCAGCCGGTGGAGGGCTCATGACTATGCGATCTGACTGCAAGGATGGTGGACAGTACTTGCGAATTCGCGAAGGGACGCAAGCCTTTTGTACCGGCATGGCATCCAAGCTGAAACCGGACTCACTTAAATTGAGCAGCCCAGTGGTTGGTATCGAACAGAAATCGAATGGCGTGGTCTCCGTCTCAACGAAAACGCAATATGCTCAAACGTATGAAGCACGCAAAGTGATTGTCTCCATCCCGACACCTGTTTACAAGACGATAACGTTCTCCCCGCCTCTTCCACCAGCCAAGACCGCCGTGCTCAGTCAGACTCGATATGGCTTCTATACGAAATATATCATCAGCTTCTCGGAGCCCTTCTGGGTGGATAGAGGCCTCTGTGGCCTGGCACAGTCGTTCATAGGCCCGGTCTCAGTGTTCCGAGATACCAGCATTGGTGACGACAACTACTGCTTGACTTGTTTCATTGGGGGGAAGTTTGGGCGGAGATGGGCAGCGCAAGATGATGCGACGAAAAAGTCATCAGTGCTGCAACAAATCAGCCAGATGCTCGCGGGCGGAGAAGATGTGACTCCCTACTTCAAGGAAGCGTACGAGTCCCCCTGGATGAGCGAAGAGTATGCTGGCTGGGGTTGCCCCTGTCCATCATTGCCGCCGGGAGTGCTAGGTGATGGCTGGGATGCGCTGTGTGCACCAGCTGGCAATCTTCATTTTGTCGGCACAGAATTCAGTACATACTGGCGGGGGTACATGGAAGGAGCGGTTCGGACTGGTGAGAGTGGCGCCCTGGAGGTCATCAAGGAATTGAAGGAGAGCGACAAGAGTCTGCGGGCGAAGCTATAGACAGGATTGCTTGCTTCGCAATATTGCAATGGTTGTATGCAAACAATCGTTTCTTTCTCAATGAAAGATAGCCTAACAATTAGCGTACTCTGAATGCATTGTCACTTACCTTGACCCTGCACCTTGATCTGTTATAAGTACTACCTAGGTCAGGTACATAAAATGATGGACAAGTGATTGACAGCCACATGTGTAGCTGGGGGTATGCCCAGTTACTAATGCTTTTAGTCTATTTCGATCCGATAGCCAAGCCCGATTGAGGTCACGCGATAAGATTAGATTTGATAGCGACATCGGCTGCGGCACCACATGATGCGCTCATGAGACTTGGTCAACCTCAAGCTGTGTGCCTGCGAATCTGTCATCGGCGTTGTGGTCATCATCATTCTCCCGATTGCGAGACAGCACGATATAATATAGCGGCTGTTCGATATCCAAGCGGCAGCCGAGTTGTGAGCAGCACATCCTGCGACTGCCGTCAAACGACGTCCTCGCTCGAGCTCTTCCCACACCACAGATCTCTAGCCACGGAACGAACGAGCAGAACACTGTCAGAAGCATCTGAGTCACCAGAGGCGAGCCGCTACCTCTCCGACAAGCATCTCGTACTACCACGCCTTCGAGGAGCAGAACAGAATCTGGAGGGCACTTCTTCGAAAGAGCTTGGATTTCTAACATCGCCTCTTACTGGCCCCTGTAATACTTGGAGTCAACTCGTATCTAACCTCCGCCGACCTCGTTCAAGATGCACATTTCCATCACAATCGTCTCGGTAGTACTACTGCTCACTTCCCATGGCGCTTGCGCTCCAGTTGAGGCACCAGAACAACTTCAGCTACCTCGGCTACAACTCCAGTCCGAGATCAACAACCGGGTTGACGTTGACAGTTTTAGCCCCGCATACGATGACGAGGATGAGGCACCCCTAAGAATTCCATCTCGTTACGAGTCCACCGTCCTCGGTCGACGCCTCCTCGGCCTTTCGAAAACAGGAGTCCTGACAACAGTCTTCCCAGAGAATACAACATCGTCTCGCGTCCCTGCAGATGTCGCCAACACCCCAATTGGGCTCCCGGATTATATTGCATCGTGTGAAGAGCCAAGCGGCAATCCAACCTTACTGGCACTCACTGTGTCAACCTCAACCAAGAACGCTGTAGCGGGGTCCAATGTGTCGCTTTCGCTGTCGTGGTGGGATGAGTACGTGCACCTCACACACACGCAACCCTGGTCAGCTGCGAATCTGCCTCGATTAAGTATGATAGGATATCTTGAAGAGATGTCTGCAGAGGAAGTCGAGAGTCAGGGGATTCCAAGTTGCTTTACCAAAATTCATGGTGACAGTGTGATGTGGTTGCCAGGCAGGAAATGGGCAGCGCATAAAGGCCTTTGGATGAGGATGGTAGTGAGGGAGGTTTATTGGATCGGTGGATTCGGTGACAGGAATTATATAGGTTGGTTCGACAGGGACGAATGGAGAGGTGTTAAGGAGGAAGAGTGGGCCAATGTGCGACTGCCAGGAGAGAAAGCGTAGAGAAAGACCTTTGATGATGATTCTGGATAGGAAGTCCTCTCGTAGGTCTGGTTCGTGCGATGTCCATGGATAATTTATCAGTATAATTCCAGGAAATGCCGCTCACATTGCCCAAGTCTGCTTCAGCTGGCTCTGGAAATGGCGGAGATTGTAGCTATGCAATAGACCCGGAGTCGAATGAAATACAGTGTAGTAGCCTGCACAGTCGTATATGGTGACAGTAAGTCGTTCAAATACAATGCCGTGCGAAAGATTCGACGCCTCGTTCGTTTGTGCTGCAGAATCCTGCTGCAAACGCAGTCCCAAGTTCCAGAAGGACTCAGTCGTTCTCGAAACCGCCAACCGAGGAGATTACTGATGTTCATGCACTGAAGAGTGCTGATACACTCGATTATGCGTAGCTGTTGGCGGTCTGCATGCTGCAGAGATGATTTCTTTCATTTGTTCATAGCGCGCTCAAGTGTCTTGACCAAAAGGCCCGAAGCGCGTCCAAGCTCGCCTCCCTCTTTCTTTGCGATGTCAATACCAGCAACGATGAGCGGTTGGAAGTGACTGTTGTAAACTCGAAGTCTGTCTTCTCGGTCGTCGAGAGTCTGCTTTTCGTCGTCCAGTTGGACCCCGAAAAGGTTTAGGTAGCCGTAAGGGTTTGATTTTCGAGGTATCATTACACATCCCGTCTGCCACAGTGGAAATTCTATCGCCATAGGGTTCGGTCCAGATAGTGTGGACCCATCATTTGAGAGCCCTTGCTGAAGAAATGCAGCCAAGACTTGCATAATTCGTGCCGTCGATTTTGGGTCACCACTGAAACCCGCCTTACCAGACGTCCATTTACTTGCATCAGACGATTTCCAGTCAAGAATGGATAAAAAACATCCCAGCGTTTGATACCACCCGCCTGGGCAAGAGACCAACTCGGCTCCCGCCAACTCGATCAGACAGGACAGAAATTCGATAGCAGATATGCGGATGTCCTTGGACAGATGAGTCATGCCGGCTCGCATATATGGAAGTATCTTTGCGACGTTGTCCTTGACATCTTCCTTCGGCAATGTTTGGAAGAGCTTGAGAAGTTGTGTCCTTACCGCTGCCGAGCCGTCGAGCATTAAAGGACAGAGACTAGTAAGGAAATTGTTCATGGTAATTGGGAGCGCATTCCCGGCCGGTGTCGCAGCGACGTGCGTCGTCAAATAGGCCAAGGCATCGTGACGTTGAGTATCGGCTCGAGAACTCAGAAGGGAAACCTGATGCAGGAAAACAGACGCCTGACTTGGGGCATTGACGTCCAGCTGTTGATTTAACACGATAGCTGCACGGCTAGTCAGCAACGAGCAGTCGCAACATGCGACTCGAAATTCCTACCTTTAGACCTGAAGCTGGTATCTGTATGGTTATCAGCTTTGGGTCTTGCTTTCCCGACTTTCAATTTCTGCTTCTGCTACGGCATTAGTCAAGACAGAGAATTCGCAGGGGTTGCTGGCTTGACCTGAAAATCTTTCTTCTTCTCACGCTTCTTCTTAGCGCTGGAACCCATATTGACCGCCGCAAGTTCAGTGCAGGATGTGAAATAGACTGAGAGGACAATATCGAAGGTTTGTATGGGAGAGCCAGAATCATAGTCTTGTTGGAGTTTCCTATCAGAAAGAATTTGCGTGTGCCTCGCAGCAATTAAGGTTTAGCTCCACGGGCCGAGCCGCAAGGGCATGAGTGGAGGCGGAGGTGTCCAAGTTGTTTTCTTTTTCTGATTCCAGCAGAAACTGCGCTCTCCGCCTGGCATTTCACGTTGGTAATAGAAACCCTAGGATTATTGCGCCGACTCGCTACAATCTCAGGCTGTGGACGAGCCACGTCGAGATCTCAACCATAACGAGTCCTTTCCTTGACCCATCTGAAACCTTGCTTCGACCACATTCTCTCCAGATCTCCCAGACGTCCTCTCCTTTTCCTTCTTCGCATTCTCGTCACAGTGCGGGTTCGCCTGAGCTTCAGACCACTCACTGCGGGGCTTGATCAGCCAGCACCAAGAGACATGCGATAAATTACGAGTTAAATTCACGGGGCTCGCTGCTTAGTTTTGGGTTGCGGTCATGGCACAGACGGGCAAGGTTCGTGTGCCGTGATCTTCTCGCGCGCTCCAGACTATTGACAGGATCTGTAGGACAACCCACATGGCCCTTCGATCGATGCGATGCTACGCGGTCTCACCGAACGGCCTAACGTGCAGTCTACATTGATATTGTCGAGAAAAGATGGATCTATCATAAGAGCTACAGGACTAGACTACCCAGAAAAGCAAACGCCTTCGGGTGCAGATTCTTCCTACAGATGGAGGTCGTCTCAGCAAGAGCCAAGGTCTGAGGCTAGTGCAGATGGAACGAACAAGCCAAGTGCTGTGGAGGACACTGGCAGCAGACCACGCCCAGCAGAAGCTCTTGCAGCGTCTGTCTTTCAATTTGTCACCAGTGCCAGTTTCTTAGGCCAGACACTTGGGAGCACATCTCGGCATGTTTCTGGAGTAGAAGCATCACTCTCAGCAGCAGGATATAGCGCAGCAGCTCAGTCACCCAAAAGCGAGGTGGTCGATGAAGAGTCAGATATCCGGGACAGTGAGGACGAAGTTCAATTACTCCGGCTGCGCATCAAACACAAAGAGATTATCATTTTTCCTGATGCCAATTATATTTGTTGCGTGGTCCAGAGAGCAGGTAAAGCAGGTAACACCTCGGAAAGTAGAAGGTGACAGCGGCCACAAGGCGCTATGACATGCACAACTAGACGTTTTTGATGCTTGAGTCGAGTGCATGGACGACTTGGAAGGTGTCATTCCTAAACAAATTGCGAATCTCGAAGCCAGCAGCTCTTCTGTTGTATTCAGTATCTGCGACAAGGCTGCACGAAACCATATGCAGTCACATCACGCAATGTAACACTGGAATCGCATCAGGGTTGAAACAGTTCGAAGAAACGACTGGGATCTTATATTAAGGACGCGGAATCCAGTCGTGGTGACCTGCTCGATTGATCTAGTGTCCCAAACGCTTTATCTCCTGGCGAAGACTCTGTGCCGTTATCGCACAGGCTGATGCTTATCAAAGCCAAAAAAGTCGTGATGTGCTTCCTCTTATCACCTCCTCAATAAGTTAGCCTATCGAACTCGAGAACAATATCCTGCTATCACCTTGATACTTGTTGGTTATCACAGCGTTACAAACGTTTTTCTTATCCGGGAGCTTCCTGCACGATAAGGAGCAGCTTGCTGAGCCAGGAGAAAATTACTTAAGGCTACGAAAGCCTCTATAGAACGCAAGATTCACGCCGAATCTGACGCTTCGGACTGGATTCGCCTTCCACCGCACCGGCCGACGCATATGCCACTACGGGGCACTCATGGCCAGGCGATTCAACACATACAGAACATCATGTCAGCCGTCGGAGGATTCCCGCTTTGGGCGTTGGCTCGAACTCGACAGAACTAATGTATGAGGCAGGCTCGATCAGGTCATGGAAGGGAGAGGGACAGAATCTTGCAAAGGATCAGGCTGGATAAGGACCATCCCACACACGGTTGAGACTGTCTTTTTGGCCACACGACCTATCTATTGAGACATCCTGGAAGTGAATCTCGCTTACAATATCGGTGACGCCGACATCTGGACGACGCAAGGACTGGGCGAGCCGCTTCATCTAACAAGACTCTTTCATGTGCCGACCAAGAGATTTGAAATCACTCTTCCCACGGCTACGCGACCACAGTTCAATCTGGGACGTCGGGGTACAACCTCCAGACTGGCTGTCAGCAGCGAGCTGCGTCGACTAGGACCGACATGAACTAGTGTGGGGGTGAATGCGTCTCGAGCAATACCATTCACTGGCTGGAATTGTTCTCGTGAGTTTTACCTATCCTTTGTGTCGGGAAAGCGATGCACCATGGTCGAGATCAGAGCTTGAAGGACACTCGATGTCTGACTGCTTTCTCGCCATCATTCTACACTAAGAGAAAATGCCCAGGCGTGTGATCTGGCGAACATAGTGTGCGCTTTTCGACAGCATATGATCCAACATTTGTCGGGTCCACGGTTGGGGCGACCATCAGGCTGAGAACACGACTCGAGGCGTGCAATCTGCACCGGCCAGAGTCCAGCCCTGCTGACGGGGAGAGCGATGATGATGGTGGGTGAATGATGAGAACCGGCAAGAAAGTGGACCCGCCCTGCACAGGGGGGATGGCTGTCCTAAGGAATGACACTTGTGGCGCGCCGAGACGACCGATTAAAATGCTAGTGCTGCACCTAACGGCACCCGAGTGCACAGACTTCCGCACTACCAGACCCTCTCAACTACTTGTGCGAGTACTCGATCAGGGCATGCCATTGCCACGCCGGCCTCAGCCAGTTTTACCGAGTATCCAGAAGGGCCTTCCTAGCAAAAGACGAGCCGGTCGAGAACCATAATAGCCGACGACAATAATGCGCATGTCTTCCGCTACGACCTGTGGTGTTGGCAAAGGTCAAGACTTGTTTCGTACCACGTCCTTCCTCCAGGCGAAGTGCAACGGATCAACAAGCAATACTGTCAAGGCTGCCTTTAGTGGTTCCATTACCCTACGCTAATACGAAAAGGAGTTGCAAGGTAGACTGCTTTGAGTGCCGGATACAGTTATTGCTTCGCAACTCATCTAAGGAAACCTTCTCTGCTTGCCCTTGGCCCAATGGCATCCCGCATGTCGATGCTGGACTCTGCCGCTAACTGACTAACTCATCCTGCATCCTCAGCACCAGGCGACGACGATCGCCCCTGCTCCCTTGATCGACTGGATGAGTCCGCCAGGTTTATTAAGGCATTGGGATGCATCTCAAATGATCACGATCTATGTGGTCGGCATAGAACTATACGGTCGTTTCGTGCAGGGGATGTGCAAGACATCATGCCACCTATTGTCTGTCTACACTACGATACCCAGACCATGGATGGGTGGCTTGCGGGCCCCAGGCGCAGAGCACGAGTCATCCAGGAGATTTCATGCTTCAGATCGCCGTCCATGACTCGCGTGTCGACCGTATGGGTCAGACACAACAGCGTTGTCTCGATTGGCTGTTGGCGTCAAATCAACAGCTCACTGAATGCGTAGCTCCCTGCTCAATGCAATCTCGAAGTTATTGCAAAAGGTAAGAGTACGGTGTAAATGTTAAGCAAGGCCTATATCTTCATGGCCATGCTGCTTTCGACCCTCCCGTAGCAGAACCTCCCCCCTACAACTCCTGCGAATAAGGAGATGGATCGTATGTGGAAGAATCGGCCATAGTCCGCTTCGTCTCAGGTGCATGATAAACTGACGGATCAACGTTTCAATTAATGTCCCACAGAGGTCACGATTTACAGTGCCAGTCTCTCAGTGAGATGGAGCTCGCATGGTGAGGATGCCAATCATACCCATATCCCCAGTCAAAAGCTCACCAGGCTCCAAGCCAGTTGATTCATGTCTGCAACCAGACCCTTTCGCGGATCTGCAAGCTGCGACAATATACAATTGGTCCCGAGAGAAGCCTAGGATGTCCATCTTATTAAGCCCGCCCGCAGTGCTGCCAAATTTGCATCTGATCTCATTGTATCCGTAGTGTGATGTGAATATACCCACAGGAGTACTCGTACAAAGGTCGGGCCCCTGCATGTTTGACGTATAGTGCAGCACCGAAGAGCCGTTTCACACTGTCACATCGAAGACGGCGAGGAGACTTCCTGCCCCAGTATCAAATGATTCTCAAGTGTAGCATGAACTTTGCTGTCTACTGTACATACTGTACTACTTTAAAAGCCACCCACGGCGCTAAAGGAGAGACGAGGGATCCTGACATGCCCAGCACGGGTTTAAAGGATGCAGACTAGCATTCTTTTGTCCCGGGAGAGCTGCTCAGAAATGATGGGCCACCGATCGGAAGCTGGCGGACGTGACGGGATTTCGTCCAGAGGGATTGCCATGTGCTATTTCTCGAAAGTGTGGGTATGGCGTTGGACGGGGAGAGGCCGAATCTCGAGACGTACTGAGACGTACTACGACAGAGTTCTGTAGAACAGCACATGCTCTTCTAAATTACTCGTGGGCTTCCACATGGAGACATTATCCTTCGGAGACAGGCCCAGAGTGGCAACGGTTTGGCACATATCCGGCACAACAATCCAGCGCTCGTTGTTCATTCGGAGATGCGAATACGGGAAAAGTAGGAGGTGGCCCGGGCCCTCTGCGAAGCAACTGTCCGAGTTCCTTTGAAGAAACCAGAAGAGGGCTGTTAGGCCCTTTAGGGTTACCTGCTGGGCTTTGCCATCTCGGTCCCAAGGGAATGGCCAACTGCGAGTTACCGTCCCTGCACCAATGAATGGTCGGCGGGATTAGTGGCCGCTGCGCATCGACCATTTCAGGTCGAGGATGAAAGTTTGTTTCGCTTTTGGGAGGATTTTAGGGCGACACAAGCCCTTGAAGCTCGGTACTGGGCTTGAAGTGTTGGCGAGCCAGAGTGCAAGGAAGCAAGGAGAATTTCCGACCACTTGTGTGGACTGTCGGCGAGCAACCGAGGACGCGATGGTGTTGCCAGTCGCCAAGCATCTCAAGCATCCCTCGACGAGAAGTATACTGTAGGTCAGAGCGTCTATTGGTACAGGGGGGCTCTGATTTGGGGGCTGCTTGTGAATTCAACACTACCAAGTTATAATTGTCTCCCGGAGGTCACTGGAGTAACAGCTTTGGATTCTAGCAGCCCCAAGCTCCAACCCACCACGAACGGGAGAAGTGGTGAATTGCGGGAGATGAGCAGTCCCTTTCCTCCTCAACAACCAAGCTGGGCCAGGGCAAATTGTATGGGGAGACAACGGGCGCTACGATCAAGATTGCCCAGGACCCAGCAACCGCCGCTTCAAGTTACGACTCCATTGACTCGTGGACACTGGACAGTGGCAATCACAATAAATAATGCTAATGTTAATGTTAATATTAATCACTACATGTTTTGACTTTCTTTTTACCAATACTCGATGGTCATCAAGCAAGATCCGGACATTTAGACGCCGAAAACCATGTGCCCGTGGTGGAGCATTGAACACCCCCTCGAGCTGCCTGTGTACCTCATATTGTTGAGAGAGGGGCATACCATACGAGAATACTCTAGGTACAGGTATGTAAGGACTACGACCAGCTGGAAAGGGATATCCCGACCTGTCAATCAGCCTGATGGATACATCTCAAGGAGGTACGTACCTCGAGCGCTCCATCGGTCTCCGTACAGACACACGGAGTACAACTTCCAACAAGCATGCAAGCCTGGTGAGCCTTGGTGGAGATGGATGGGGGGGGCTCTGGCCGTGGTGCTATACTATACTGGCTCTGTAGAAAAAGGATTCCGCGGCCTCATGCACAGAATGAAGCCTCCCAAGCTACTTCGACCGGGGGCTTTCTTTAGTTGGCTGCTGGCCGGCCCCGTGTCCTTGGTTCAGCTCGTTCAACCTTGCTTCTCTCGTGCTTCTCTCACATGTTCTGCAGCACGAGGCATCAGGTGGTTCGCGGGTGACGGGCCAGGCCTGGTCAGCCAGGCCATCATCCTCCATTCCAAAACCCTAGACGACGACGAGGCTTCTCCTGCTGCCGCTCCTTTGCCGCCTCCTGATGGCCAGATGCACACGAACATGGCAAAATATGTAATGTCTCATGCAGCTTACTTTTGGCTTTTTGCCTCAGAGGTGATCATGTTCAGATTCTCCAAGCCAGTGTTGCAACCTTGAGACGAAATCTCTCAGTTGCATTTTGGGCTCATTCCTCGCTGTCCCGAGGCCGGATATAGGAATACGGACTAAGCACGCGACTCACGAGACATTGAGCTGGGAATGCTATCCGTACCAACGGGGCAAGATGCTCAATATAGAAACAGGGCCATCTGGACGCGAGATACTCCTCACCTTGACATGCAACAATGAGTGATGCTAAGAAGACCAATTCATGCATCGCCGTGCTAGCGAGGGTTGGGCTCTCAGACGTAGCTGTCCTGCACGGCATATGCATTATTGTTCTTATTACATGAATCAAGGCGTCTGGGAATTATTACCATCGCCTATGACTGTAGCCCACGGCAAGGGAGACCTGCGGTTTAGGCTCAGCATCTCCCACGCGACCGCTGGAAGAGGCATCTCCACCACGCCCACGCTACTGCATCCCGGTACGAGCACTGGAGTCTTTGGCGAACCGTTCGGCGTTGACCTGAGTGCCACAGCGCCAGCCTCGAGTCCCACCACGGGAGACCAGTAGCCCACCATCCTTGCCTGCAGCCCCTGTAGCTCTTCCAGGCTCGTGCCCCTCGCGGCCAGTGGCACGATCCTCATCTCATGCGCGGCTCACTACTGTAAGGTGCACTCCAGCGGCTGCTGGAAGAGTGTACGCTACGACTACGCCTGCGCCCCCTCTTCCAGTCTCCCGAATCGACTCAGGCAGTGCCTTTTATAGCCTGCTTCGTTAACAGGTTCGGGGTTTCCTTTGCGACGCACGTCTTCCGCACCGCAACTCCCACCGTCGTGTTGACCCTGCAGGCCGAGTACAGTACTGTAGGTTTTTCGACAACTGAACACCCCGCTGCCAAAGCACCGTTGACGTCGAGCAGCAAGGGAGGAGACCCATCGGCAATTCGCCACAGCCCACCATGCCCAAAGCCGAGTCTCGACGATCGAGTCAAAGGGTGGGAACCTAAAGTCTTGTTGCTTTCTGACGGAACACTATGTCTCCAGCGGCCTAAGCAATAGAAGGTGCCGTGCCACCTTGCTAGGTACGCGCAATGTCCCGAGGCATGGAGCTGTGGTACTGTTACTGGCCATGCCCGGGGTCCTAGTTCGCTCGTTGAGTGCCCACTGGTGCCATGCCGATACTGGGTCCAGTGGGTGTGTTCCGAGTGAAAATGTGGTCCAATTCCCTCCGGAGGGCGCGCATCGGCCAAAGAGAAGGGAAGAAAAGGGACGCAAAAGAGCAGATCCATCTGGACTCTTTACGACACGTTCTGGGAGTGGCTGTCAAGCGTGAAACTCGATCTGACGCCGCTGGTGGGCTTTATTCTCTCCTCCCTGGCCTCTCGGCATTACTTTCGCATGGTCCCTCGAGAGATGAGAATGGGCGCTGTCACGACCCAGGGATCTGCTCGTTGTTGTCAGCTTTCATTGCTGCTGCATGCTCCGGTACTCCATCCATCCCTCTGCTGGGGAAGCGAGTGAGTTTTGTCGTTTGACCGTCTGTGTGCTTGTTGGGCCCATGCTCGTTAACTCAACATGCGTCAAAGGGTTGTCAATAGCCCGAGCACGGCAATATAGTAGAAACAAGGCTTTACGAGTAACATCAATATACCATGCTTTGGGGTACCGTTGTAGGTGTATGTAGGCATCATTTCCTCCCGGACTGGGCAGAGGCGAAACGCCCGATCTCCCACCATCTCGATCAGCCAGACTGCTTCTCATCGAGGAGGCCATCAAGATTCAGCCCGTCCTCTGAGCAGTAAGCCCTCTCTGCAGTGTGCCAGTCTGGAATCGGTTGGTTCGCATACCTACACTACAAGCAAATACCTAGTCCTCCGTACCTACTAGTCGTCGCCATTGCCCCCCAGAGCGAGCTCCAATTTCCTCCACTAGGGTCTCATTAGCCGGCAGCTTCAGCAGCACTAATGCGCCCATCCTTTTGACCCTGGCGGGCACCTTGACGCACACGCCTCTTTGCCCTCAAACCCACCCTGCCACCAGTCCTGCGCGCTGGGATCCTCGTCCAACGCCTCTCTCCTCCCGCTCATAGGTGGTGTCCCTCGTTGACCCTGCACACCTCCCACCTTGCGACCGACGCCGAAGCCAATACCTCACGCCGTTCCCTGCCCTCTCTCCTGCACGTCTGTCGGTTCAACTTTTTTTGTCTCGTGGTGGTGATGACACTACTACCCTTGCCGCTCAGCAGACACTTCTAACAGAGACCCAGACGTATTCCGAGTCTCTTTCACACAACTCCGTCACCCTCTACACCTGCTCCTCGATTTCGTATAGCTGAGCCTGCTAATGCTATACTTGGACCTCCTCCACCACCATCGTTTCCTTCCCATCCGGCCTGCTGGACGCGACGCTTCCACTCGACCCTGGTGATGTCGAGTGTAGACTACAAGTATGAAGAACGTGGGGGAACTGCAGCTTCGCGCGCAACCTCCGCCGTCCAATCCCCGAGCGACCACTTTCACTACCCTACTACTCAGCCCTCTTCCAGTCTGGACGACACAGACTCTTCTACCTGGTCCAGTTTAGCAGGTCCATTGACCGGAAACACTTCTTCGACCAACCTCTCGCCCTCCAACTTCTCCTTGACAGCAGACTCTCAATCTACCTTGACCTCCAAACCCACCCAGCCCAACCTGGATCTCTCTACGTCCGAAGCCTTTGCCCGCAATGAGGCTTTACTACGGGATCCCGTCTTCCCCGAGTGGAGAGACGATACCGGTTCCGTTGACCTCGACAGTCCCGAAGACCTACAAAAGAAGGATCCTCTAGGTACCCAAATATGGAAACTGTACCATCGCACAAAGTCCCGACTCCCCAATCAAGAACGCATGGAGAACCTGACCTGGCGGATGATGGCGATGAATCTCCGCCGGCAGAGGGAGCGAGAGCAACAACAGCAGCAGCAACAACAACAACAACAACAACAAGAACAAGAACAGAAGCTGCAGCAGGAGCAGCAACAGCAACTGCAGCAGGAGCAGGAACAAGCAGCGTATGGACTCACCATTCAATCCGGCAGCGACTCTCGCATAGCCGGCGCTGACGACCTGATTTCTAGTGTTAAAAAGACCCAATTCAAGAGCCCAGCACAGCCCTCCAATGCCCCCAGTGGCATTGCTCAGCAACTACGTAAATCTGTTGACCAGTCGGCTGAGCGCGAGCAATCGCCTTCTGATCCCATGAATCTCGACGACTTCATCGTCCCAAGCTCAGTGGCTTCGCCCGCTGGCATCACAGCTCCTTCGCCGTCGGACTATCAGAACAAACAGTTCCAGACGCCTGGAATTCCCATAAGTGCTCGCAACAAGATGCATTTGCAGATACCCAAAGACATGCCGCCCTCTTCAGCACCACAGACCTCTGTTCCTTTTTACAGAACGTCTGAGTTCGACTACGTGCAAAAGCGGGTTCGCAAGACCAGCATTGATGAGAGGAAAGGAGTGAGTATAACTTCCTTGCATAGCTGTAGGCGTGAGCCTGATGATGTCCAGGGACGAAAACGTCCAGCAGAATTCTCTCCCCAAGTACCTCCTTTGGTCGCACCAAACATCCCCAACAACGCGGAGGGTGATGCTGGTGTACCCGACTATGCCCTTGACCAGCCTACGCCTTCCCAATTCAGTGGCCCTGCGAGCTTCCAGGGACAGATGTCGATGCATTTAGACTCGTTCCATTTGAGTGAGGATTCAATCATAGCATCGGCCGGGCCATTCCAACAAAACTTTGCCTTTTCCCCGGGCGCTTCACCCATGGTCACAAATGGGCCTTTTGCAAACGTTTACAACCAAACCTCGATGGCGTCTTCGCTCAATTCAGCAGCAGACTTCTATTCACCACCCCAGTCTGGGTACGCCTCTGCCGTCTCTACTCCGCAACCGGGTCATGAGGATAATTCGCATTTCTATTTCGACCAAAGCCAGTCTCGATCGCTGCCATTCTATGCCGCTCAACGATCGAACCAAATCATGACCCCAATGTCTGCTAATTTTGCCTACGGGAACAACAACGAGCAGATGTATACGTCCATGAACGCTGTAAGCTCAGCCCCGTCAATGAATGGCTTCACCATCCAGCAACATGTGGATCCCACCAATGTTCTTGGTCCCGATTATGGCCGCTCTCCCGGCGTTTCGATGGGTGGAAACGACAACATGTTTCAATTCGGAGCCGACTCCGACAACGAAGACGAAGATGGCAACTACGGTGATCGAAGTCTGTTGATGCAGTCCGACTATGGCCAGATGACCGATCCAACACTCGACCTCAACTCCGGCTTGCAATGGGATCCGACAGTCGACTATAACAGCATGTCCCGCTACAGTGGCAATGGGAAGCAAGTCCGCATTGGCGGTGCAGAGATGGTCAATTCCCCCCCAGATTGGAGCGGCTCGATGCTTAGTCGCACACATGGCTCAGCAGCGTCCATAAGCGAGATCCGAAATCGAGATCAGGACCCTCGGCGACAGAAGATCCCCCGGACTACTTCGACTCCCGCGCTGTCCAACCACCAAATGCAGTCGGCCCATAGCTCGCCTGCAGAATCCGGCCTCAGCAGTCGACAGCCCTCGAGGCCCGGAAGCCCTGGCCCGAAGAGTACTGATCAGAACGGTGTTCCCACCACATGCACAAACTGCTTCACGCAAACAACTCCCTTGTGGCGACGCAATCCTGAAGGCCATCCTCTTTGCAATGCGTGCGGTCTTTTCCTCAAGCTTCACGGCGTGGTTAGGCCTCTGTCACTCAAAACCGATGTTATCAAGAAGCGTAACCGTGGCAGCGGAAATGCTGTGCCCATGGGCTCAGCTGCAACCCGAGCATCGAAAAAGTCATCCCGAAAAAACTCGGTACAACAGACTCCAGCTACGACTCCTTCAGCGGCGAGTGAGCACAATTCGGCATCGCCGTCTTCGGTGCAAGGTTCTGCTCACTCGGGGTCTGTTGTGACTACGCCAACGAGTTATCTGGGAGGGACAACAGGTGGGAAACCGGGTGTGGTTCCAATTGCCGCTGCGCCCCCAAAGCCCCCAGTCCAGCCGGGGCCTAACATGGGGCGACCAGTCCAGGTTGCACCGAAGCGTCAGCGAAGACAGTCACGCGCATCCACCAACACTTTGCCCACCTTGAGCAATTTCTCTGCCACATCCACAAACACTGGATCCGGTAACGACGAGGAGATGCAAGATGTCGGGCAGCCCACGCCCAAGCCGACCCAGGCGCCTGTTACGCGAGCCAAGGCGGCCAGCATGTCCACAACGGCGGGCGCAACCACCATGGCATCTGTGATGCAGGGCGGATTGTTGAACCCGGGCGTGCAAAACATGCCAGGAGGACCACACGGAAATAGCCAAGAATGGGAATGGCTGACGATGAGTTTATAATCGGCAGTCAGCTGCACAAGCCTGACGACACGGCCTTTGAAAGGCTTGATGGTTTCACCACTTCGAATTCGCCAAACACCTCTGTTTGTTTTTCGTGTTGCACATAGACCACGTCGATTGTTTTTTACTATACCGATACCAGTTATACGACATGACGACCACGCAATACCCGGCTTTCTAAAGCTTTCACACGTCAGTGAGAAGGCAGGTTGACTTTGAAATCTACATCAGAGAGTCAAAGTCGGTCCAGAGAGGAATCTTGTCTGGGGAACACTTTTTTTCCTTGGTGTTGTGCAGATATAATGACGGCGGGATTTTGGGGATTGTCGGTTTGGTTTTCCGTCGATTTTAGTGATATCACCGCGTCTGTCTTGGAATGCTCGTGGTTTCTACGGCATCGAGCAGAAGTGCGCATTTTGCTTTTTGTTATGGGAAGAGATGGGAGAAGAAGAGTCAGTTGTATTGACTCTGTTTGGGGGGAAAGGGGGGGCCTAGACGCAGGAGACGATTGAGATACCCTGAGACGAATTGAGATGATGGTTAAGCAGGAGGGGGGTTGGGTGGTTAATGAAAGCTCTTTGAATAGAGATGAGGAAGAGGGGTGTTTTTGAAATGGACAGACATATTACGGCAAAGAACACACAGAAACAATCTAGAGAGAGATACATTGAGTAATGGAGTGTTTGAGAGTTCAATTCGATACATAAAGCAAACTTGGGTTTCCTTTGTAGCAGTGTTCACTAACAGTATCGACTGTATATACTGTGTGTTATGTATGGTTTTTCGGAGAGAACGATTGTTTCTTTTCATACGAAAGAAGAGGATAGAATTTTGGCAGAGCATGAGTTTCATAGTTGTAGTTTTGGACATATTGTACAGTAAGGAAGGTAGTCAGTTGTTGTCAGTCAGTTCATGAGGAACACTTTTGATGCGTCGCCTCGGAGAAAATCGGGCCACCGTTTGGAGAGTATTTTAACTAGATCGGTATTAGCGGGGATGCATTGATCTGTTTCATCAGATAAGATTGATTCAAGAAACACGTCGAAACATCAGGCATCTAAGATATCTATCTATTGTTTCCTTTTACCGAGTTTCCATCTCTTCCTTCCCCCAATCGATCCAACTCACCTCCACCAAATCGAGTTTGAGATAGTTTGTTCGTTGCACTGCTCCCGTTTTTCATTGTTACCGTTACTGGCGTACTAATACGATAACAACCCTTTTGACGTCTCCGTCTCTCCCCCTACAAAAGTACTTGACTAGGTAGACACGAGCGAGTGATTGAGTGACCGCGTGCGGATCCAACCAACAACAGCAACAACAACAAAGATGGCATCCGCAGATACTAGCGCCGCTCCAAACAGTACCACCTTGCCCGCTGAGGTGTCTGGGGTCGTTGTGGCTGACGAGAGCGGCAAGACCGATGCTGCTGTTCCCGTGCCCGAGGAAGAAGAAAAGAACAAGGAGACACCTACGACCGACGCGCCAAACAGCACTACTCTCCCAGGCGAGGTGTCGGGCGTCATTCCGTCTGATGATACTGCAGCAGAGAAGAAAGACGTTGCACCGGCAGCTGCACCAACACCAGCACCAGCATCAACTGCTACTGTAAGACTAATGAGATTTCCTATATTCCCTTGCCTTGCCTGCCTTTCCCTGTTTTGCGTCGCCTTGCTTTGTTTGGCCTGCCCTTTCCCATCTTACTTTGACTGGACCGTCAAATACGCCTCGTTCGGTTCCCTAAGCAGAGCAAAACAAAGGGTTAACTAACCTTGGCAAAATACTGTAGGAAAAGGAGGAGAAGAAAGAAGTAGCCAGTCCCATCCAGGAACTCTGGGCACTAGCTCAATCCCACGGCCACCCGGAGATCTGGGGAGTCACCCTGGCGGATCCCTCGACCCACGTCCCTACACAAGTGGTGCTGCAAAAGTACCTCAACGCCAACGACGGCGACGTGGCGAAGGCAAAGGACCAGCTCACCAAGACGCTGGAGTGGCGCGCCAAGATGAAACCGCTCGAGCTGATGAAGACGAAGAAATTCAGCCGGGCCAAATTCGAGGGACTGGGCTACGTGACTTGTTTTGGGTCCACGGCCGAAGACGCAGAGCCAGGATCAAGAGAGGTCTTTACGTGGAACATTTACGGGAACGTCAAGAATGTCGAAGAGACGTTTGGAGATTTGCAAGAGTAAGTTGTTTGATTGATGCTGAACACAAAAGGACCACAGAAATTCCCCAAAAGGCTCAAACACATTTATTTCCCATCCCAAATCCAGTTCAACCCTGTCCAACCCAGTCCGATCCAATCCACATCCAGAACTGGAAGACATATTCCTGACCTACCTGGCTTTCTGGCCGTTCGGCCACTGTTACTTTCTATCTACTGACAAAACGTTCGTTTTCTCACCGCAGATTCCTCTCGTGGCGCGTCGTCTTGATGGAAGAAGCGCTGCAGCTTCTCCACATCGACAAGGCCACGGCGCCCATCACGGCCGACCACGACCCGTACAAGATCGTGCAGGTGCACGACTACAAATCCATCAGTTTCCTCCGGCAGTCGCCCGTGGTCAAGGCCGCGAGCACCGAGACCATCAAGGTCTTTGCGCAAAACTACCCGGAGCTCCTCAAGGAGAAGTTCTTCGTCAACGTCCCCGCGCTCATGGGCTTCATCTACGCCTTCGTGAAGCTCTTCGTCGCGGCCAAGACCATCAAAAAGTTTCACCCCATGAGCAACGGCGCGAACTTGGCCGGGGAACTTGCGACGAGCACCAGCGGCAAGAGCCTCAACCTTCCAGACCTGCTGCCGAAGGAATATGGTGGAAAGGGACCCGATCTGAACGCCAGCGGAAAACAGACTGCTTTGGACTAGAAACCAGAACTGAGAACGTCCCAACTCAACCGACCTCCTTTGACCTCCTTTGGTCTCCTGAGTTCACTGTCCCCCTCACATCCCCCCCCCCCCCCCCGAAAAAGGACCGTTAGTAAGCAGAAAATGTCCCCCGGTACCTGTACAGATGCTGCCGCCGAGTGGGATGCCCTTCACCTCTTCACCTCTTCAACAACCCTTTTGGACACAATAACATTACCCCAACGACGATAAGTCCCCTCCCCAGTTAAAAAAAAAGGGGGGAAGAAGAAAGAGAAGGTAAAAAAAATATGAGTTCTTGTGGGAAGGCAAGCCTCATCGGAAACAAAAGCCAGTCGCTGCGAACGAACAAAGTCGTTACGACTACATCATTTCCGTTTGACTCCCCACGGTAACGAGGAAAGAAGGAAGGAAGACAGGAGACGGTACGCGGAGAAGTCAGGCTGAGGCTGGGTGACATTGTGGTTTTTTGGATGGCACTGGAGCTGATACTGGTTTTGTTTTGTGTTGTTTCGCTTGGATTCATTCATTCATAGCATAGCCATGCGTACGTGGTCTAGTTAGATACCCTTGTTGCCTCTCCACTATTGCATACTACGTTCTACACACACACTCTCTCTCTCTCTCCCCTTAATACTGTCACCTAACATACCTAAATACCGTTTTGGCCAAAGTTCAACCTCTTCTGTCTTCTCGTCAGCCATCACGCTCAGCTTCACTTCGCAAGAACTTGTACTCTTGTCCAAGGAACAAATCAACCGGAAATTGTATGGATGGAGGAATAATACTAATTCAGACTAAGAAACTAAACCTATCAATGTCGCCCTCGTGGTGAGTCATGATTAACCTAACTCCTATGTTTCTCCTGAGCAGGGACAATCACCATCAGAGGCAGGACTTAGGGTCGTCATCATCAACTCTGGCATTCGGTACATCAGGAACCGTTTCTCTCATACAGTCTGCTTCGGCCGCAGATACAAGACTCCGGACAACCCGAACTCAAGCTGGTCTGTTTACTTCTTCTCACCAGAGATGGTATTGGCGAGATCTATTTCCATATCAGTATGACAACACGTAAAACGGTACCACGTCGATCAATCAAAACTTACCAGATGCAACCTTACTGGCACTGTTCAAGGCGTTCGCAGCCAATTCTTGAGCTTGTCCGAGATAGGACTTTCCAGTGTCTTGGGCAACCCCAGCTTCCTCTTGGGCCTTTTGAGTAATGTTGGACGCAGTCTCTTGGATGTTCTTCTGGGCATCCCCAGTGTTGTCACTGGCCTGGTTACCCAAATCGGCAGCCTTGGTTTGCACGCTCTCAAAGGTCGAGCCAGCAGTAGAGGAGGCTTTCTGGGTCAAGTTGGAGACTGTGTCCTGGGCCGAACCAGCCTTGGAGGAAGACTCATCAGCGAGCTTTTGGCTGGTGGATTTGCTGTCACCTGGAACCCCCAAAGTCAGAACACCAAAGCCAACAGGGAGAGATCGGGGCGTTACGCACCTGGCTGAACCATGCCGGCAATGTTGTCCACAGTCCCGGTGGCAGACTCTTTGGCTTTTTCGGCATAGGACTTGTTAGAGTTGGGAGTGATGGTCTCGCCAACACCTACATAGAACGAGAGGTCAGTGTGACTCAAGGAGCAGAGCAGGAAGAAAGGCTACGTACGGTCAGAGAGAGGCTTGCGGCCAGCGTCAGACATGGCGAAGGATTTGGTCGGTGTTCCAGTGGCAGGTCTTGAAATGGCGTCTCGCAGCGGTGCTGGCTGAGCTCAACCAACTGAGATGTGAGAGAGTCGGCGTGTGACAGTGAGGAGGAGTAAGTAGTATGGGTGAGTGTGAAGAAGGCCACGGTCTGAGAAGGATGAAAGCTGAATTTAGGGAGATGCCGGGAGGACAATTGCAGGCAGGAGCCACTACAAGTCCAGATCAGTCCAACTGAAGCAAGCAACTCCAGGAGGAACACAACAACAGCCAGGGCTGCGGGCAGAAGGTGATGCCATCCTCAATGCTGAACACCTCTTACGTCATAACATGGAGTGGACTCCCGACGAAGTTACTGAACTACGTACAAGCACGAGCAGCAACAGTCGCGGAATACACAAAGCCAGCACTCATTAACCAACAACAATCGGCCATCGTCACTCTTGCTCATTCCTACACTCAAAACTCCCTCCACCCTTCACCACCAGTGACCATGTTCGCAGCTTGTTCCTTGTTCTTCCCGGCCATTGAAACCCACACCGACGACGCGTCCGAGATTGGAGAAGTGCCGAATTTCACCTCGCAAAAGGTCATGAATCGTTCGAGTTCTCTCTGAGATTTCTGTGTCATGTCGCCTTCGAGGCCAGTGGCGGTGGTAGTGTGTGAAGCCGGACATCGTTTCAGTTTGTACGTTTCGACTTGGCTTAGAAATCTTAGAGCTCCTCCGTAGCCCGCATCCTCGTTCGGGCTCGAGTTTGAATCCTCACGTCTGTCGTCGCCCTGTTCTTCCTCATCATCCCAAACAAACTTAAACACGTCGGTACTCTTGACATCACCATACCATGCTCTGGCATTCTCGAGATCCCCCTCGACCCGGTGGAGGATGCCGTGCAAGTACATTGCCTCCCACGCTGGCGCGGACTGCATGTGCCTGAGGAGGTAATGTGCGGAGGGTAAATCGAGATTGAGAATGTGTAGACCCGCCTCGAGAACCGGGTGGACACTGAGAGACGAAATGGCGTCGGAAGGGATGTGTGGTGTCGCGGGAGACACGGGCAGCGACAATGGGATATGGGCTATCGAGGGGGGAAGAAGGGAAGTCAAGATTGACTCGTACGAGGAGGACAAACACGAGGAGGATGGTAACGAAGCATTCTTGTTTGTGTTATCGTCGTCGGTCATCTTCCATGCACTCATTCACCTGAAAGACCGTCCTGGAGGACTTAAACACAAACTCGACACAGTCAGGAAAATGAATCAAAGAACCCACACCTTCGTGGCAGTCAAAGAGAACTCAATTAAGACAATTTGCCAATTCTCGGGTTAAAGAGACACAATCACCTTGTCATCGAATCATCGAATCATCAAGTGTCGACGACGTCATGATATGATACAGAGAGTATGATAGACAATTGTGAGAGCCTCGACACGGAAAACGTAGAGTACCTACCTCGTCAAACATCAATATGAGCCAGTATAAATATTTCTTGAGCTCAAAGCTTGTCTCCATTCAACTTCCGTCACGATTTGAGGACGAAAATTGGGATATATACGAAAAGGTAGCATAGGGAGAAAGATGAGCATAGAACTCAAGTCACCCCGGGAGAAAACTCAAACTGATTGGCTCCAATCGGTATGAGCGTCAGCCAGTTTGACGCCGTGTGGTGGTCCAAAGCACAATGCACATTTCTTTACAAATAGGGTACCTAGAAAGAGTGCAAGGTCTTATAAGAACTTGATTGATTATATTCATAACATACATAAAAGACAGCCCTAGATGATGAGTTCCCTCGCACCTTTTGGAACGCCGTCACGTCCAAAGGCTGGCACCGTTGGTGCACAGAAGGAGATCCAGCCATGTCCATTGATATGAAACATGCTGATTGATTCGTTCGGACATGGTTGGATTTGGCAAGGTAGGTCTCGCCGGAAGTTTTCATAGCTCCTCAGCTGCCCCTTGCCATATTGGTTGTTGTATTAGCTGATGATACAGTTCCGGCACTTTACTATTGCTTGCATTCCAGGTCGTCAAAGTAGAGTGACTTGCCCCAAAAGGATGGCTCCCACCGGCGCAGTTGCTGCATTGTCATTTTGTCGATTCGCAGTACGCAGCCAGGAAGATGGAGCTAGTCAGAATACTTCACCGAAACATCTTTCGAGTACTCATACACATACACAACCATCAGACCCTCTCAAGACGCTGTGAAGATTGAATCTTGGAGATATTGTGCCGCAAGGTCCGGAGCAGATGCAAATTGCTGTATTGAGCAATATGTCGCAACTCGCTTGTTGTCTGAAGTGTTTGGCAATGCCCTTCTGGGTTCTGCCCAACTTCTTGCCGGCAATTGCCACTCTCTGGGGGTGCTGTCACGGTTCGGCTTGACTGCATCATCAATAATGTTGCAAACCATTCGGGGGTCGGTCAGCGTTCTTCGTACTTGATTCTGAATGTTCTCATTGGTCCTTGACAAAGTTCTCTTATGACCTCTCGGAGAGCTGCTGATTGCAGGTCGCACTCCCAGAATGCTCTGCTCTGCTAGTCGCCGAGGAGTAGGAGTGACACTTTGACTTGGAGTTTCAGAATGCGTTGACAGCGACATCAGAGCCTGCAAAGCATCTACTTCGTTGCTAGTTGAGAGATGTTGCTTTGAAGTCTTCGGAAGAGGCTCCTCGCTGCTGCCATATCCCTCGTCACAGAACTTCGGGAAAGAAACAACCGGTTGCGATAACGTTGCAGAAGGCAATTTCGATATCTCTTCTGTTGAGGAGCACATCCTCGCCAGGGTAGAGCTGAATTGCTCGGCTGAGCCACCTTTGGAACGCATTGATGAAGACCAGGATGAATTCGACGAGATTGATGATGATCTTGATCGGGAAGTCAGTGACGGTGTCTCAGAGACGACCGAAATGGGTGAAGCTGACGAGGTCGATCGGTTGGAATACTCCCTCATTGTCTCTGCAGGACGTAGAAGAGTTCTCATCGATGGTAGCGTGCAGCCTTGAGGTCGGGGTGGAGGACAGCGTTCGAGGTTTGCGTTCACGAAACATTGCTTTCGCATGTTGCGCAGAGCATCCGCAGACGCAGAACAGCGAAGCGAAGGTTTACCACCATTGCCAGCCCATTGAAAACTATCGCCAACTCGTGGAGTTGTCTGTGGTGTAGGAAGATTTCGTAGATGAGGTCGCACTGGTAGCCCAGAGGCGCGAGCAGGACTCATCTCAATCGGGTTTTGTGGAGTGGTAGGCTCTTGTCTAGCCGTGCTCGATTTGAAGCTGTCGCTGAAGTTGATATCATAAACCCGAGCTGTCTCTGGACTGGTCGTTGGAGTTTCCTTGCCGTGCTTCTCAAGATAGTAAGCAGAGATCTGCGCCATCTGATCTGCCGGTAGGTTTCTCCGCAAGAAATCATCAGCTAGGCTTGAGTCTTTGACAAGGCCAGGCCCTAGCTGGCTAATGACATCCGTCCACCACGCATCGGTGAAAGTGTGAGCGCCTGTGGTTTCGTCCAAACCGACTTGGGAGACCATATCGGCCAGAATATGGCTTGATCCACTTCCAGGCGGGGAAGACCCGGGAGACATTGAGCCAGAACGACATTGAGGTTGTTCCTTAGTTACCCTACTGAGAGACAATACGATCTTGCTCCAGACATCAAAGGACTCTTTGGGGACATGCAGCTCGTAGTCGATGAGCTGTAGATACTCCCTTTCGTTCTCATTGATCTCGTTGCTGCGCAGTCCAGATATCTTACTCCATGCTCGAGCAGAGTAGTTTCTATCTTGCAGGTATTTGGAGGCCAACATCAAGGCTGATAAGAACATCCGCCGACCACATTGCATGGCGCGACATGGGGATTCATTTTCAGCGCTCGCGCATGGTAGCTTGGATTTGAGCAACACCAGGTAATAGAGGGCTACTTGTAGAGTCGAGTAGCTTGTCTTGGATCGCCTCAAGGTTTCCTGGATAAAGACTCGTAGAGGAAGAACGCCGGCTCCGTTGAAGCACGTCGATGACATTGGCGGGCAGGCAGACATGGGCCAAATGGCAGTGACTAACCTCGTGGCGAAACAGACGAGGAGGGCAACGAAATGATCGGTGACATCTGTGTCTCGCTTCAACTTGCAGGGTCCTGAAAGGCTCTTGCCTGAGGAGTTTGATCGTCGAGAGCTAGATTTCCGGAACTGTGGTTCGAGAGTGATTTCTCCACCACGAGGTGGCCGTGTACTTTGCGAAGGGACTCTCGAGCAGCCTGTAACCTTTGACGGAGCGCTTTGGTCAAGTTGCGCCGATGGAAACCGGGTGCTACAAGATATCTCCTCTCTAGTGTGAAGACCTTTCAGCAAGTAGTCCTGCGACTCGGGACCAGACAAGCATCGCGACTGCTGTTCATCCTTTTCGTCGTCTTCGAGAAACACTTCACCCAAGTCGGTAGCGCTTGTCCATGTCGTATGACTAGATGAGTCGGAGGAGGTAGAGCCTTGCGACGAGTCGCTTACGCTCAAAACGTCGTCCACTGAGGCGACACTCGTTTGGTCGACATCTTTTTTGCATTTAAATTGTGTTGTTGGCCAGCTGGATTCAGGGACTTTGTAGTGTCCCTGAGTGTCGAGCCACCCTTGCACATTTTGAGGGTTATAGGTGTTGAAGAAACCTGTCATGTCTCCAACGCCCATCTTTTTGTGTTCAGAGACTTCCTCTAGAGGAATTAGATCTCGTAAACGAAGGTGAAGTTCTGCACTTTACTGAGCGAGCTTGTTGCAGTGATCGAATGAGCCGAGAAAGAATAACCTGTTGGGACATGTTAGCATGGTAAAATGTCTTGACATTGCTTCTCCTTCTCACCGATAGATGGGAGGGTTACCGCAAACCCACCGCTAGTCAGAGCACAGGATTAGCTGTTTGGAATGGTCAAGATGTCCTTGATGTAACCAGCAGCGCCTCGATATGTTTGCGCGAGAGCTATGCGCAGATATCGGGGAGCAGATGCTTGTCAATCTTGTGACGATCTTGATGCAAAATGACCAAAACAGTAGGTGACTCTGGCGGTGGGCTTTGACGGGGGTATGACTCTGTAAGGAAGCTTGTTGTCCAAGAACGCATGTTTCTTTCGACTATGATTATGACTGGTGGATTGGTTTAGAGGTATTTGCTGAGCATAGGTCGGTGGCGACGACCGACTTTGGATGCACAGGACGTCGAGAGGTTAGGACAATTAGAGAAGTTGACAATGTTGAGAGGAGATGGGGTTTTTGCAGTCAAGCGCGAAGTAAACCGGTGCGCAAGTGAATGCGAGGCTCAAGTTGTATGTAGATAGGGCGTCTGCCGAGCACGTCTGCGGCTCGGCGAGGGCCCTGAGACACAAAGAGTCGTTGTTTTCGTAGAAGAACAATGACGCTGTCGCAGAGGACGAGAATGGTGGTGGTGGTGGTGGTGGTATAATATCAGAAGCCTGTAGCCAGCCATGGTGGTTGAGTCAGTGGTTTGTTTGATTCATATTATGAGTCTTTCTCTCGATTGCAGGCGTGCGTGGCGAAGAGCGCAGTCGCAGTCGCAGTCAGTGAGGAGGTCGGAACGTGCTGAGTTGCTTACAGAAAAGGGCCAGTATTGCAAGATTTCCGTGTTGAGGGCGTCTGGTGATTGCAGAATAGCTTGTAACCTAGACAGGGCCAAATATCGAGCAGCCGTTGCTGCGAGCCATGGTTTGCTTCATTGTGGTTTGTTTCTGGGGAGAGGGCAAGAGTCTTCGGAGGGAGCGCAGGTATATGGGAGTACGGGAGCATGCGAATTCTGGGTGCCGGGGGGGGCCAGTCCAGTCATCAGCCCAGTCATTGCAGCCTCAGTCCAGGTCTTTGCCACAGCCCAGCGCTTTGCGCCGCTCAGATCAGCGGATGACTCAATCTGCCTCAACCAGAACACCATCTCGGTGCCCAGTACGAGGCCTCCGTAGCCTCCAGCATCGTTTATCCACCACTGCGGCCAGGCACGAAATCTCGAACCTTGACTGCGCGTACTGGAAGTCACCTACCTAGTCCAGCACTCCTCGATTCTGTCAGGGTCATACCCGTCCCCAGGTCTGCTGTCGGTATTCTCTACGAACACCACCTACTCATGCTGTCTCTCATCTGCCTTGAGTCTGGCTATCCAGCCTCTGAAATGATCTTAGTCTTGCCTGGCCTGCCTCATACATTAAGAGTACTAAGTGTGATTATCAGGCTGGCCCAGGATGCTTCAGCCCTTGCTCAGGGCTGGTGAGCAGCCTGGCCATTGTCCAGGCTTCTACACGGCTGGCCGCTGTGGCTGACTGTCGGGTCGAGTACCACGTCTCTCCCCAGGCAGGCTATTCTGGGCAAAGGTGCACCTTCTCGCAGCACAAGCCTCGCCGTTGCCTCCGTTGGTTTGCTTTGCGATGAAACCTGCATTCCATCTAATGCTCGGTACCAGTCTGGCCTTGCCCTGCTATCTTCGTCTCACCCTCGGTATACTGATTGTACATTCACACACAAAACATAAAATCTCCGCCAGCATCCTGCTCAAGCGATGCAACACGAAGAGGGCAAAAATGGCACGCCTTTGCTACCAAAGCACAACTAATCAGAGCGCCCTATGGAGGAGGACGGAAAATAGACCGGGCCAGTCACAGCATCGTGGATACTGAATCATCGGCAGCCTGATTCGTCCCCCAGGGATAAGTAATGCTTTTGCTGGGTGTTCGAGGTGGTCCATGCGCTTCGCATCGGACAGGGTAAGGAGGGTGAGGGAGGGTACGGAGTTCGAGTAGAAGCGGCCAGTTGGGGGTGGTCGACGTACCGGAGGCCGGAAAATCTCACGGAGCAACATGACTCAAAATCTCCTTCTCAAACGGGTGGCCAACCAACTACGAGAGAGAGGCGAATACTGCCACTAGCCCCCTTTGGCCACAGGTCCGGCGCTGCTCGCAAGCCGTCCCATTTCCAACCAGCTTTTGGGATCTTGCTTCTTTCTGGAACAGCATTCTTTTTCTGAGAGGTTGCCTTTTTAGGCCTCTACCTATTCAACTCTCAAATCTGATACTAATATTGCACCGAGTAAAGGGTCTCAGATAGGGACTGGGGGCTAACTTCGTGCGCCTTGGAATCAGGATTGCCAGGATATCTGCGGCTGCCTCGTCGAGATTGTGGCTGGTGGTGGAGCCAGGCTGATTCTCCAGCGTCCAGTTGTCACCCTGCATTGCTATTCTGTAGGGCTCAGTCGCTCTTCTTGGCTTCGGATCGAGATCAGACTTTCCTGCAAATTCCGAGACCGCAACTGCATTCTCGTGGAGTTCCGGCAGGCAGCCAACTCGACGGTGCCGATGACATGGTGCTGCAACCGAAGTCGGTCGAAGTTGTGCACACCAATGCACAAAATCACTTCGACTTCCTTCAAGCGGTCATAATCCTACCGCGCTACGCTCTGCACCTATATTGTTTGTCATCACAGTGGAATCTGTATCACTTTGCTCGTCGCGTATGGTCGATAAGCACTGATGCCCAAGATGCTCCGTGGGGGGTTTGCATCTGGTCCATACGAAGCCAGGGAGACGCTCATTTCGGCGGACGGATTTGGCCAGCTTCCGCTTGCGTCAACCGCGGCGATGCTACGCAGTCTCACCCGCTTTGTCTAGGGACCGAGAAGAGGAGTACAATAGAGTCAACCTGAGCGACTAACGAGCCACCCTTCGCTAAGAGCATCAGGCATGAACTGTAGTTGATCCCGCTCCATCATCGAGCAGGGTCATGTTTCATCCGACTATCGCGGACCAACTGACATCGCCATGTTCACTGCCGCTTCTGGAAAGCCGACGCTGCAGATAAACCTGACACTAAACGCTGGAGGCGAGGGACCACAGACATGTTTAGGTAGGTTCACGATTCGATGGCTGTTGGCTCATAATGGTTTCCCTGGCGGCGTAGCCCTTTGAAGATCAGAGTCAGCCGACTGGCAGATCATGGGAAGGACTCTTGATCGCACGGCAAAGCAAGTTTCAGTTACGTCGTTCTTGTGTCATGTTGCCCAGCCTTTTGGAATTCTGCCTGCTGGAAGTCAGCGTGGCAAGGAAGTGGGCGGTACGATTAGAGGGTTAGGGAGATGGAACTATGGGCTAGGACGAAGAAAAAGAAATGAGGAGAGAACTCAAGGCTGCTGCCTAATGTGGGATCACGGGATCACGGAGCGAAAGATGGAAAGACTCAATCAGCCTTACACGTGATAGCGAGGCTGAGCACTTAAATATTGGTTCTGAGGCCGGTGAGCCAGCCTAATCGCAGTCTTTCTATAAGTCTCAAACCAGGTGTGAAAATCGGAGCCGAGAGTGAGAACGTCGGTAGTTTACAAGACTGCCCCTTCTTCAGACGTGTGCGCCAACTCCCTGCCAGAAACAACTCTGGCACACCGGCATAAAAGTACATTGCCTCCTGTGTTGTGGTCTGGTGTCATCTGATATCAGGGGGCAGAAGAAAGAGTGGAAAGCATGCTGCAAGCACCATGTGCATCCCAATACAGAGCGCCATGCGCCATGTTCTCTTCTCTTCTTCATTTCGGAAGCTGTTTCCAAACATGCTTCTGGCGTCAATGGAGACACGATCTTTGCACGAATGGTCATCTCCATGCAAATGCAGTACATGTCCCTGAAATGTGTGCTACTCGTCTTCGCTACGCTCTTGTATTGCGCTTTCTACCTTGTACCTGATAGGCCGAGACCCCTTTGTCTACCTGTATCCTCGCCTTTGCCAACACCGGGGGTAAGCAGTCTACTAGAGGTACTTTGCCGGGGGTTAACAGGGTTGCTTCTTCCCCTTTTCAAAGTCTCAATAGTCTCCAGAGGTGCTTTCACGTGGCAATTCCCCTGCGGAACGTCCAGAAGTATACGCGCCGTTCATCGCTTGACAAAAAAAAACAGCCAATCCTCAAGCCCATGCCAGTCCATTTCCATTGTAAAACCACTCGACTCACAAACTTGTCAGACTCAGTCAACGGATAGGTATTTGTACCCTTCTTCAACAGAATACAGTCTGGCCATCCTCAAACACACATTGTACTGGTAACGCAGTGACACACAAATTATATAGGTAATCTGCCCTGTGTGTCAGGCTCTTCTTGCTCTTCTTCTTGCCCGCTCTTTGCTTCCGGCCTACGTGATTCTCGTCGCGACACGCCGTAGAAAAAGAGAAGGACTGGGGTCGACGGAGTCCTCACATCTTGGGGGCAGTCTCGTAATAATGTGCCATCTCCAGACCTGCCCTCTTGAAACCGCACTTGACGTAGAAGCCCTCGTTGGCCTCGCTGCAGTCGAGGATGCACTTGTAGCAGCCGACGTTCTCGGCGACGTAGTCCAGCGCCTGGATGATGCGCAGGCCGAGCTTCTTGCCCTGCTGGTTCTTCGCAACGGCAATGTCCTCGATGTGTCCGACCAGACCCATGTTGTGGATGAACTTGCGCTCGACCATGACGGCCCCCGTGCCCACGACCGTGCCGGACCCGTCGCAGATGACGAGGATGTAGTAGGTGTCGTTGCGGGAGTACATGAAGTCGTAGCGGGCGTTGAACTCGGCGAGGGTCGGTTCGCCGACGGCTGTGAGGACGCGGAGAGTGTCGAGGAAACCTATCGTGGGCACACGGACAGAGTTAGTCAACTTGTGCCTGCGCATATGTACATTCTATATCGAAAACGCATCTGTACGAGGGCAGCAAGAAGGGAGTTGGGTTGAGTGTCGTACCTCCGTAGTAGTCGCTCCGTCGAAGCGGGCGGATCGTGTAGCCTTGCGGTAAGAGTGATGATACTACCGGGCTGATAAGAGACGGCGAGAAGAGAGGAGGCTCTTCGTCTGTGGGTACGTTTTCTGAGGGTTGTTGCTGCTGCTGCTGCTGTTGTTGTAAAGAGGTAGAGGTCGTTGTAGGCGTTGGTTCTGCCACTACACCGTTGGTCATTGTGCCCGTTGATTTTGATATCGATGCCGGGGTGGTACTGTCACCGTTCATCGTCACCGTTGTCTGGGTCGCTGCGGGCTGTGTGGTGCTGGCGGCCAAGGAGGCTTGTGTGCTTGCTTCCTTTGAGACGGGGGCTGTGTATTCAGGAGTAGGGGTCGAGGTTGAGAAAAGAGATGCTTCGGTGGGAGTTTGGACGTCCGCCATTGTTGAGGAGCGCGGGGGAGGATATGATATGAACAAAGCAAGATGAGGATGTCGGACACCGAATGGGCTGGGCCGTCGGTCTACTATCGTTAGGCCCCTCGGCGGGTTAGGGATGTTCAGCGGTTGCTGTTTGGTTTCGGGACAGAGGTACGATGACTTGATAGAGATTTCAAGTGTTGATGTCAACGAGTGTGCTCCTGAGCGAGTCTGTTTGAAGCTGTTGAGGAGGGTCTAGGTGAGCATGGACGATTTCGTCTGAAAACGATAGTGGTCAAAAGGAACGTGCACGAGGGTCTGGTCTGGTCTGACGTTTATCAAGGCCAGTGCATTGATTTATTGTGTACTCGATATGAAAGAGTCTGAGTCTGGGAAGAAAGATTTCACTGCCCTGTCAGCGACCAACCCTGGAGTTTTTGAAACATGGGGATTTTGTCCTGCGGCGATTCAGCAGTCTCAACAAGCATTTTTGCGTATCGTGCCGCGGCAACCAGTAAGCGATCTTCAGGGGAACGAGTAAGAAATGGTCTCTCCTATTAATAGTCAAGCCACACAGGGCTGTGCGGACAACCAACACTCTCACTCACCGAGGCCAGCAAGTTGTCGTACAACTGTAACAAGCATTCTATTGTTTTCGTTGGTGCTACAGACAAGACAATGCACACTTAAAGGCCTGACTCCGTCATACCTGATATTGCCATGTCATCTAATGTTTATTGGTGCAGAAAGGATATTCTATCAGGGCTGTCTTCGGGCAAAGAGCAGACCTCACGGAAGTCCCCAAATATTTGCTTTCGAGACGAGACAAAGTCCTGAAAATCGTCCAACCGAACACCATGCTCGATATGTTTGGTCGCACGTAGCCCGGGTAACTTCATCAGTCCATCGTTGACAAAGAGTCGCACAAAATGTTCCATACCAGCCGTTTCAGAGCCAGTCTGACACGCAATCCGTTCAAATATCAATCGTCCTCCCATTGGTACCACATCGCTCGTCCGCCAACGTCGATCCGTCTTCATGTGAGTGGTGGGCAACTCCTGCAGCATCACTTGCTCATTGAGTATTTGCAGCGTTGCCATTACGGGTATGATGTCCCCGTCATGAACGAAGCTGAAATAGACGTCTTTGGAAGACTGGTTCGACATGAGGGTTTGTGTCGCGTTCAGCCACAGCCATCCCATTGCCCCGGCATATGAATTACCAGGGCCCGCTCGATAGAAATGCAGAAGGTCGCGCGCGTACTCAAAATGCAGCCATTCATCCTGGGTAAAGACAGCACACCAGGGACTAGACCCCTTGGCCAGGATCTCGAATCCACACATTTCCATCATACTATAAACATCCAAATGGTCGATTTGAACCCCTTGCGCGTGCTGAGAGAGTCGGTCGATAATAGGCTTTGTGAATACCTTTTGCCATAATTCGAGCTTCCCGTACCCATAATCATGACCGTAGCCATCCCTTCGGTACTTGTAACACGTACTTCCTGGGGTCAGAGTATCTGCACCCCGGTTGGCGTCCTCGGGGATAACAACAAGCTCTGCTGATCCGTGAGAGTCCCAATCTGAGCCAAAGAAACCGTCCGCAAAATTCCTGGCGGTTTCGATATCTCGACCAGAACTGCAAGACCAGAACTTCGTGCGTCGTGCTGGAGGGACCAAATGATCATACGTTTGCCGCAGCATCGTCCCCGTATTGAAGGCTTGTCGAGTTCCGGCATATGGGCCGGTGGCTGTCAGATTCTCGAACGCTGGGTCTTCGGGGTTTGTAAAGTACTTCCAAGATTTCACGAATGAGAGCGCCCCTGTTAAGTCTACTCCTGGCTTTTTCAGACGATCGAGAAGATCAAAATGTCCTGTGCGAGTGTCAGAGCCCTTCTTCAGTGTAGCTTTAGCTCTACTCACTAGCTCCAGCATTCTTAGTAGGATACCGTTCGGCATGTCGAGACAACTTAACACGTGAGCTTGGGGTCAATCAGCGAAGCTGAGCATCCTGCTTACCATGTGAACCTGGTCTACTGAACAATGCTTGGGCAGGGAGGCATTTGAGTATTCGATTCCGCTAACCCGCGGTATCCAAGGCCCGTTCCCACCCAGATGATAGAACAAGTGCCACATATTCGCAAGTATTGCAGGGCACAGGCCGCTTCCTATCAAGAGGGACGAGGTCGTGCATAGTCCGCGTCGTAACTTTCCAATGATGGGGAAGACCAGAAGGCAGAAGAAGAATCCGATAACAAGACACAACCCAAGACTTGGTTTTCGCGAAAACAGCCGTGAAGGCAACTTCTGCCGCGTCAACTTCGGTGAGCTCACTGGCATCGGAAGACTGGTCTCCTTTTCCAGCCGGGACATCTGAGCCTGGGATCTCGGTCTGAATGACATGGGTGCCGTTGCTGTGTGGAAATCACAGAGTTCAGCCGATCATATCGGCCTTGCGGCTCAGAGACTTGGTTGCACAGGCAGTGAGAAGTTTTGGCAATCCAAAGGTCTCCTGAATATTGCCGAGAGAGAAGGATCCTACGCCACAATACCGTTTATGGTAGAATGGCCAGGATAGTCTCCATGCTTTACGAGGGACGAAGAATTGCACTGACAGCGGCCTTAGAATGAATGAAAACACGAAGTTATAGCGACGGGAAGAAGAGTAGTTCAGGTTGTCCGGATGGCTGCTGGTGGTTATTACCACGTGTCACCGCGTCTGGATGATGTTTCAATCTTTTTTATTCGCTCATTCACCGGACTGCTTTGTACAACTTTGAGCTGTCCCTCAGGAACGCGTTGTGTTCTTAGTAAGACTCTTCATGTCCAAAATAGGACTCCGTATGAGTTTTGAATCTCAGGGCACTCAAGTTCTACATGATCTGGGAACGAAGTAGGCTGTCTACTCGAGTACCTAACAGTTGTGCTTCGTCCCCGGCCAAGGCAGTTCGCAACACATCCCACCGAAGCAGCCGTTAACCCAGGTACTTCAAGGCATGGACCTAAGTACATCTAGGAATCTGCACCCATATAGGGGCCGTGTACATTTAACGTAGTGCAGGCTCAGAGTCACTTGGTGTACCTTAGGTAGTCGAACCCATTCCCCACCTCTCCATCAGTCGGACTTGTCGTCGCATGCGGAGAACTACGGTGGTCAACGGCGATGTCGGCATCAAAAGCGACGCGGCTTGTCAAAGGGCGATACTTACATACTCATCTACGCTCGCCTCGACACTACACTTCGTTCCCTACTTGCCAAACCAGAAGGATTCAACGCGAGAGTCTTAAAAAAAGCAGGCAAGATGGGCTCTCTGCCGACTCTCACCCTGTCCGCACCCTACACGCACTCCCACCCGGTTCCTCCACCAGGAGTGTATGCTCCTGCGGTAACGTTCTTCGATCCTGAGACCGATACTCTCTGTCCTACCGAGCAATCCCAATACTATAAATACCTCGCCTCAGCCGGCCTCACTGGGCTCGTGATCCTGGGCACAAATGCTGAAACATTCCTCCTAACCCGCGAAGAACGCCGTACCCTTCTCACGCTGGCGCGTCAATCTGTTCCGGAGTCATATCCTATAATAGCTGGAGTAGGCGGGCACTCGACGGCCCAAGTTCTCGAGTATATATCAGATGCCCACGCCGCAGGAGCCAACTACGTCCTCGTACTACCCGCTGCATATTTTGGCAAGCAGACCACTCCCTCAGTTGTCCACAGTTTCTACACATCCGTCGCCAAAGCCAGTCCGCTCCCAATCCTAATCTACAATTTTCCTGCTGTGTGTAATGGCCTTGATCTTGACAGCGACGTGATCACCCAACTGGCGAACGAGAACCCGAACATTGTTGGCGTGAAATTGACGTGCGGGAGCGTTGGCAAGATCACCAGGCTCGCAGCGACATTCCAACCCGAGCGCTTCGCCGTGTATGGAGGACAGTCGGACTTCCTTGTCGGAGGGCTCGCCGCGGGAAGTGCTGGCTGTATTGCAGCCTTTGCAAATATTTTCCCCAAGACTGTGTCCAAGATTTTCGACCTGTACAAGATGGGCAAGCATGACCAGGCTTTGGCGCTGCAGAGGATGTCTGCGCACGCAGAGAACCCCACAAAAGCAGGTATCGCCACGACAAAGTATGCTGTAAGTCAGCAGAGTGCGAAAGCGGCTGGAATCCAGGGCAATCTGGAGGCAATGTTGAGACCCCGCAGGCCGTACGAAGAGCCGAGTGAGGCAGTCAAGAGGAAGATTGATGAGATCATGACACCACTTGCTGACATAGAAAAGACCCTGTAAATGATGTGCTTATACCATGTTAGAAAGACTCCCCAAAAAGCGCATTAGGAAGAACTTCATCTGCTTTTCTACTATACTGTATCTCGCCGACTTGATGCCTGCAAGTACGAAGTATTCGAGACCAGTGCCTAGGCTGACGATGACCAGTCGGGCAGCGCTTAGGGGTTGCTCACCAGGCTCGTAGGCCATCGCATAACTTACCAGTTTAGTATCTAAGTAAACAGTCACATCTGTGTTCAGCTGCGCCTACACTTCTACACAAACCATACCCCTCTCCAGAGTATCTTTGACCATAAGAGAGCAGCCTGTCTGGGACCTTGATCAGGGCTGCAGATGCATCCTGCTTCGCGATTTACGGCCACAATTTCAAAATCGTGAAACCTTCTCTAATGCGCGTCGACGTCTTGCTCTGCTCGAGATGAGCATCTTGTCTCCCCTCACCTGAGGCGATTCAATGTGGTGTACACATCAACACCGTCTTGCCTCGTGCCGGACACTGCATAAGCTTGATTGACGAAGCATGCGTCTGTTGAGCTCTGACCACCTCGGTGGGTTCAGCCTGACGAAAGACTTGATTGACAATATTCCGGCCTATGCCATTCTCTCGCACACCTGGGGCGCTGAAGATGATGAGGTGACTTTTGATGATATCGGAAGCAAGCAAGCTGAAGGCAAGGCGGGCTATGCTAAACTTCAGTTCTGCAAGAGACAGGCCGAGAGAGATGGCTTGCAATACTTCTGGATAGACACTTGCTGCATCAATCGAGCCAATCATGCCGAGCTCGCAGAAGCCATTATATCCATGTATCGCTGGTATCGTGGCGCTGCGAAGTGCTATGTCTATCTTTCCAATGTGTCTACAACAAGTATTGATGATGGTGACAGAGAGAGTCAGGCCGCATGGCAGGCGGCCTTCTATAAAAGTCGCTGGTTCACGCGCGGCTGGACACTACAAGAGCTTCTAGCACCCAGGTCGGTTGAATTCTTTTCTCATGAGGGACTCCGTCTCGGGAGCAAAAAGACTCTGGAGGGTATGATCCACGAAATCACCAAGATCCCCTTATCAGCGCTTCGAGGCGATTCCTTGTCTAATTTTTCAGTGGACGAACGCTTAAGATGGGCTTTGGGTCGTAACACCAAGAGGGTCGAAGACAAGGCATATTGTCTTTTGGGCATTTTTGACGTGTACATGCCAACTCTGTATGGCGAGGGCGATCATGCATTCACTCGACTGAAAGAGGAAATCTACAAATCAGTAAGAACTAGGCGGGATATGGGTGATCCACGTTTCTCACAAGCGAACACAAGTTCATCTGATGACTCGTCTGTTGAAAATATGGACTGGAGCCCTGTTTCTGTAACCGAAAAGCTCGCTGCCTGGCTCTCACCTACAAATCCTAAAGTTCATCACGAGAGGTCCAACAAATGTCGCACACACGGTAGCGGGACCTGGTTTCTGGAGCGTGAGAGTTTCAAGCAATGGGTGTCCTCGGGCCATGGAGCGTTCCTTTGGTTACGCGGAATAAGTTCGTCCTGCGCCTTCAATGACGTTCTACGCTAACACCAGCAGGCGGTGCGGGAAAGACAACGCTCATGTCAGCGGTCATCGAAGAGTTATTGCGACGGAATGATTCCAATACCGTGGTCGGATACTTCTATTGCTCGTTTGACGACCAAGAAAGCCAACTTCCCTCGAGTATCTTCGGGTCTATCCTAGCGCAACTTGCGAAACGGAGTCCAGAGCTCTCTCGAGAACTCACAGAGCTTTACCGTGAGAGACTCGGCCGCGACGGTGGAAAGCCAAAGCCTCTCCTGCTAGAGGAAATGTTAGACATTATCCGCAGAGCGTCCCGACAATATACCCAAGTATACATCGCGATAGACGCTGTCAATGAAGCGAGCGAGCCCCTGCTGGTGCTGGAAACGTTGAGGGCCCTTTCCCGGAGCTGTACCATCATCATATCCAGCGTCAACAGTCTGGATTTTGAGCAGTACTTGCCAGTGATGCCCTGCCTGACGATCGAGACCATCCGCGGGGCTGATATCCAGGACGATGTCAACACCTATATCCGCAATTTTCTTGAGAGACATGCCCGGATGCAAGGCTTGCCTTCTGATATCAAAGAGGAAATAGCCGTGTCTCTTACGCGGGGGAACAACGGCATGTAAGTGTCAAGATGGCGTCTTTGCCAATGGTTATCATTGACTGACCACAATGCAGGTTTCGGTGGGTGCAGTGCCAGCTCGTGCGGTTAGCCCACCTTAAGACTCCAGGCCAAATCCGGACGACTTTAGCTGGGATGCCAGCCACTCTTGACAGCACCTATGAAGGAATATTATCGCGCGTAGACGAGGGGGATAAAGATCTGGTGAGAGAGGTCCTTCTCTTGCTTACTTTCTGTCTCAGACCCTTAAGTCTGGTGGAAATCTGTGAAGCTTTGCAGATAACACCAGGGATGTCCCATCTGGACAAGAACAAGCTTTTACTATTCCCTATGGATGCGGTGAGCGTCTGTGGCGGCCTGGTAGACTTCGATGAGGATAACGGGATAGTGTCTCTCGCGCATCACTCGGTGAAAACTTACCTGACCAATCCAAACCGGCAAGGTAGCACGGCATACTTCTATCTCTCGGAGGATTCAGCAAACCAATACTTTGCAGAGAAATGCTTGACCTATCTCTCTTTCAAGGCCTTTGCAAGCGGTCCTTGTCTCGACACCGCTTCGCAGGACAAACGAAAAGCACGCTTTCCATTTTTGTCTTACGCGGCCTACAACTGGGCGTTGCATGCCGGGAAAGTGGCATCAATCGGGCCATCTCTCTCGATTGCGATGAAGAAATTCTTCTCGAGTCCGACTTCGAAACACGGAAACTTCTTGGCCTGGGTTCAGGTTCTTCTCCCTGAGCAACAGGTACAGGTGGTCTCTGGGACGCCACCGCTGTACTATGCTGCTTCTTTTGGACTGACTCCGATCGTAGAATATCTGATCGACAGTGGTGCTGACCTTGAATTACACGGCGGGCGATTCGGGGCCACGCCGCTTGGTATTGCCAGTTACCGCGGTCATGTCGATGTGGTGAAGATTTTGGTGGACAGGGGAGCGAGTCCGTACACTCCAGATAACACAGGCTTGAGCGCCGTCGATTGGGCAGTCCATCTAGGACGCAGCGAGGTTTTCGAAGTATTCAAAGCTAGAGGATTCGTGGTGGATAGGCGCACTGAATTATCTAGGCTTATGGGCTCATGAGGATATACTAGGTTCAGGAGATACAGTCACATTAGAACGTATCTAGCGAAAATGCTCGTATGTGTACCAATAGTGAGATGCTCAATGGTGTCGAGCGTCTCGCGCAAATTTGGACGATAGAGCTACAAGCGAGTGTTCGTTTTGTGACGTCTTCCTAAGTGGTGCAATGTATGGATGGTGCTTGAGCATGCCTCAACCCAGTGTTTTTGGGCAAGTCTTTCTTTCTACACTCACCGTCAAGGCCATGCTATCGTATGTAGTCCGAGAATGTTGTCAGATTGAGGAGAGCTTCAGCGCGGATCATGATGTCGAACATGTCCCTGATCGCCGATGCGAATGTTTCGCACTCTGTTTCTCCCACACTCTGACGATCGATCGCAGTCCGGTGGAACGTAAGCCGTAGCTTCAGTAGGTTACCATCTCGCCTAGATTGTACAGCCCAGAATCGAGCTGTTCTATATCGCATCGTATCCAGGTCATCACGATCCATCGACACGCACGGGGAGGGAAAAGGTCGTCCAAAACAAGGAAAAACAACAAGGCTAGCGACTTATCGGGAACGAAAAGAACAGATGGGATTATTCCCGTGGCAAAGCCCAGTGACAGCTGACAGCTGACACCTGTCTGCCCAGTCCTGCAAGATGCCGGTCGGTTGACAGCATCGATCTGTGGCTCGGGCGGGATGACGAAAGTTGGCGAGGAACACGAGCCTTGGAATCAGCCGATTGGAAATTGGATCCTTGAGAGATCGATATCAGTGTAACAACAAAGCGGATCGGACAGGCAATGGTGAGCCTCATCCTCAAGACCATCCATTTCATACTCTGTTGAAGCTGATGAAGATGCGACTATTGCGGAGAGGCCATATAGCTGAACGGTCTGTGCTGGGAATAGTGCGACTAGGACGATAGGTTAGAGGGACTGTTTCGGGATGCTTTGAGGTGTCCATCGTGTCCGACTTCGTTTTGGGGGTTTTGGGTGATGTAGCTGTCTCTGTCCCTTGTGACCGATGTGCCGATGGAAGGGTCGCTGGTGTCTTGTGAATGGAGGAGCGAGGAAGAGGACAAGCAGCAGTTCGTTCGTATTGTATGTACCTGTAGCTTATCATGGCTGTCTGCACTGATAGTTCCAAGCTTCACTAGCCTGGGTGCGGACAGTGCGTCATCCAAGAAACGGGTTTGTTGGGGTGGGATTTGGCGAAGCTTCAGGAAATAACGTTTGTGAGTTGCAGTGACTAAAGAGTTCAATAAAATGCTGAAAGGACACAACTCGTCCTCGTCCGTTGTCGTTCGATTCTCATCAAAGCACTAACACTCTCGCTTGGACAACGTTGCACTTGTCAGCAACTCGAGTGCCTCCTCGGCCAGGCCCAAAGGTCAAGCGAGCGTATGGCATTGTGCAAACACCGTCTGCTTAGCTTTCCAGCTACTGCATGCAGCACCTAATCGTATTTGGACCAGGGTCAACCTTGCATCGGATGCTTCCTCGACCGATCTCTTTTGTTCGCTAGCACCAACACCAGCAAACTGACTAACGACTGACTCTTGCTCGTATCGATAAGTTCAGTGCTGGCCGATACTACCACGACTTCCACGCGCATAACTATCAGTCACCGCTCCTACGCCAGACAGCTTGCCCTCCATTCTTCTACCTCTCCGGAATCACCGAAACACCTGCAGGACAGCTTGCGATCACTCTGCCACTGCCACCCAGCTTGTTCACGGTCGCTAACAGATTCCCGACACCTCCGGAACTGCCACAGGCCCAAACCCCGTCCGCCGATGCATCCTCTGCACTTTTACCAACACAAACGTCCACCCTCGTCCAGGCCTTGGGGTTCATTGTGAGGGAACCTGGAGAAAGAGCGACAGGTTCATACACATGATCGCACATAGCGTAAAAAGAACACAATTTAATCCATAATAGAGGGGGCTGGTATTCTACCTGCGTCAACGCCAGTATCGTCACCACTGAGGTCATCTCCACCTCCTGCGCCGGTATATCACCTCACCCAGCCACCCATTTGGCAGTTGACCTGTGCCTTTCCCTCACATACTTTCCGTGACCCTGGGGCCGGGCCGTGGCACCATGGTGTCAGCGTGTTCACAATCAGGGCTTGTTTGGTGCATGCTGTGGTCAGTTCTGGTGGTCTTCCTTTCGTTCAGTGCACCTGCGAGCGCAAGTGATCCGACCTGGATCAAATATACCGGCAATGATGGAACAGTATGGCTGGAGGACAACCGCAAGCCGGCCCTGTACACTCAGACTTTCGGAGACTGCCAGGGTGACTCACTCATCAATGTCACTCGATTCGACGCTGCGTACTACAAAGATAACATGACGGTGCTTTTTCACTTGGAGGGCAATTCTGCCTTGACCAACGAGTCGTTGATGAGTAAGTCTCATCAGAGCAGCAGGAAGCAGTCGGGAACCGCGTTAACATGACCTTAGTGTACATTGGAGTCTTTGCCTATGGAGAGTCTCGTTTTAATTTGACGTTCAACCCATGCAGCGCCAATATCGACAGTCTCTGCCCTCTTAATTCGTCAATTCCAATTTCCGCTAATGGCATCATTCCCATCTCCCAGGCAGACGTAGCCAATATCCCTGAGATCGCCCTCTCCATTCCCGACTTCGAGGGGCAGGCCATTCTCCGGATTTTTGCCAATTCCACACAGTCACAGATAGCTTGTTTTTCAGCTGTTGTCACAAACGGCGCGACCTTCTCTCATCCATCGGCTGTCGCTCCGGTCCTGGGGTTCTTTGCGGTGGTCGCTCTCTTCTCATCAGTTGCAGCAAGCATCTACGGTCGAAATGTTCCGGAAACCCGCAAGCACTATGCACATACGATTTCAATGTTTGTGGTCTTCTCGGTCTACCATCACATTTTCTTTACTGGAGCTTTGTCGATGAATTGGCCGAGTGTCTTGGTATCATTCTGGAGTAATTACGCATGGTCAGCTGGGATAATATACAGCCAGAAGATGCAGAACTCAATCAACAAGTTCATCGGCAGCAATACTGGAAACATCAGCATGGTCGGTGCTGCTCCCAATGGTGAAAATGCGATTGATCTAGGCGGAGGCTATCAGATTTCACAAATCTACAGGCGAGCGGCCTTCCTCCCCTTCCGCCCGTACGAAGGCTCAGGAGTGACATTCAGATCCAACGAGCTGGAGCATGTGCTGAGACGGAGAGATCTTGCGAACTCGACATCCGGTTATGCCTGGTATGGCACGCCCGTCAAACCTGGTATGCCACTGCCTGGAAATTTCTCTGGGTTTGCCGGCACCTTGGCAGAGCTGAACATTCCTGCTTCAAATGCATTCTTGACCGGTTTGCTCTGGTTCCTCATCTTTATTGCTTGTCTGGTTGCCGCAGTATTCCTGCTCAAGTGGGTCGTCGAGGCCCTGATCGCCCTGCACGTCGTAAAGACGAAGCGACTGGGTTATTTTCGAAGGTATTGGCTCCTCTTCACTGGTGTCCTGGTATTGAGGACGTGTTACATCGCTTTCTTCATGATGATGTTCCTGACCATGTTCCAATTTACCTTTGGTGGTTCGAACGGAGTTAAAGCTATCGCAACAGTCATATTCCTTGTCTTCCTGGTAGGAATGCTGGGATGTTGCGGTCTAGCGATCTGGTACAGAACGAAACTTGGAGATCTGCCTACAGACAGTGAGAGGGACCTCCAGAAAGTGGCCGACTCGGAACAGAGCAACGACACCCCTGCGATTGGCGATCCAGAGGGCGAACCTAAATCGCGAACGTGGCTGCAACGACATCTTCCCGATCTGGATACTGGCCGTGTCCACGTCCATGATGACCCCAACTACATTGCCAAGTTTGGTTGGTTGTCAGCACGTTTCCGCCGTAGTAAATGGTGGTTCTTTGCCTTTTGGCTGATTTACGAGCTGGTCAGGGCTGCATTCTACGGCGGTGCTGCTGGCCATGCCCTGGTTCAGGTATTTGGTCTCCTGGCGTGGGAGATTATCGCCTTGGTAGCCATCGTCCTCATGAGGCCATTCGAGAGCAACCGTTTGAACTTGTTGATGGTGTACCTGCTTGGGTTCAGCAAAGTCGCGACAGTGGCTCTCTCCTCTGCGTTCGATCCCCGATTTGGACTCGATCGCATTGTCACCACAGTCATTGGAATCGTGGTTGTCGTCATCCAAGGCATCCTCACCATTTGTCTGATGATTGCTATCGTTCTCGGCGCCATTTCGAGCTACATGTCGCTCACTCGTTACCATGAGACCATTAAGCCTCGATCATGGCTGAGGCCTCGGACAAGATATTTCGCTCATATCGACCGCAAGGCCACGGATCAACCAAAACCACCACGACCACCGCCTGTGCCAGAACCAGAACAATCGGAAGGTCCGAAGGAGCCATACTTTTCTGTTGCCGCGGTACGACGAGAGCCGAAAATCGAGGACGAGGATGCACATAGAGATGCGGAAGTTGCGGATAATATCGTGTCCCAGCGAGCTTCCATGGAGCCTAACTCTGTTCCCATTCCTCAAGGCCAGATGTCGCGCTCACAGTCTATGCGATCTCGAACTAGTACGTCGAATTTGCCATACGGCGCAAGAGTTCACCGTACGAGCTGGAGCATGAGAGACTTTCAAGACGTGGGGCTTGACCAAGGATTCAATCCAGCACAATCTAGGATGAGCATCGACAGTGTGAATGATGTCTCCAACCGGCACCGCTCAGCAAGTCTGAGAGTGCCTTCCCGGAATGGTACCATCAGCGGGGCTACTGACGGCGGACCCAGCCTTCAACATCAACAGAGCCGACACAGACGTGTGACTTCTATGCCTGATGGGCCCAAGAGGAACAGCTCTATCGTCAATGAGGAGAAGGAGAACGAACCAGTGGACGAAGCCTAGGGCAGTTTCGAGCGACGGTGCGCAGGACGGACGCAACGACATTTACGATTTGCACGAACATGATTTACCCTCAACAGCTCTTTGACCAGAGCTACGATTATATATGGCGATCCCTTTCCGAGCGAGCATGATATGGCGCATATGGATACTCCAGGGTGAGACGGTGATACGACAACGGAGTAATTGCAAGGATGGAGTTGCATTGTTATCAACCCGTGCTCGGCGGGTGCTTTCGCATCATAGAGCCAAAGTATATAAGTTCCTACAGCGTACATTTTTCAGACAGTCAGAGGCAATTGTACATACAAACACACTATATGCTTTCTGCAGCTACTGTCTTTCCTCGTCCTGCGCCCTGAGCCTTGCTTGCCGTCCGAGGCATAGCAAGTCGCGGTCGCCACTGCCATTCGGCGGGTTTCGTCGGGAACACGAGAACAATTCATTACTCATACTCGCACCTGCTGCAACGAGACGCTTTGGGAGAAGGCCATTTCCCTGACGTCATTCGCTGCTTATCATGCTCACTAATCACGTGGATCACATGCAGCAGCCTGACTGGACTTTGCTCGGTTGGCAAACCACCATCCAAATGGATTCTCCCAACCTTTCCCACTCTTCAAATTGCTTTCTGCCCATATCATGAGACAGCTGTTCGAGTTCCAGACGGCCAAGCAGAGCACGTTTCTTCACCCTTGATCGACGTTGATGGAGTGAAGACCCCGCCCCTGCACCTAACAGCCTGCCTCGCTGACCCACAATATCGAACATTGTTCTAACCTGCTTGGTCGCAAGATGACCTTGTTGTCTAGGAAAAGTTCCAGTGACTCGACCGGTAAGGGAAATGATGCCCGCGGCCGGACTCGGGCTTCGTCGACGGAAAGAGATCAAGGCTCAAGCAAGTCGTCTCTGCTCCGGCGCCTGAGCAAGAGTATCAGTAGATCGGATGAGGGGCCAAAGAAGACAGACGAGCACTCTGAGACCGCACAGCACCATGAGGTAAGAGCTTCTGACCTTGTGCCCGAGAGCTCGAAACTCCATTTGCCGCCGTCTTGTGATTGTGCGAGGCTGAAACACCCTGCAGGCCAAGACAAGCCAGAAGCAACCATCCACGGATGCAAAGCAGAAAGTCATTGAACCGAAAGTTGATGAGTTAAAACCAAAGACCACCGCGCTTGATGTCCGAGTTGAGCCAGTGGAATCCCATCCTCACCATTCGGTCCACGCCGTCTCTCCCAGAAGTCCGCCATCAAAACCCACGAGTGCCACAGATAACCATGACCTTCCAATCCAGGACTCAGACATGGTATCTCACACGGCGACCAAGCAAGAGCATTCCAAAAAGCTCAAGGGTCTCACCAAAGATGACGTCGAACATTTGTTCAACGGCGCTCCTCACTTTATCCTGGAAAAGGGGACACGGGGACGATTCTTCCCGCAGGCCTTCTTTCCCTGGAACAATGACCTCGAAGTGGGTGACCTCCAAGATCGGAGATATCTCAAACATGAAAGCTTCGCATTCTGTACGCTTCATGCACATTTGCCCATACCAGACGAGGTCGGATGGGTTCCTGGCATGCCATTCCCAATGAAAAAGGCCGGACTCGAAACTGGGAAGAGGCCGCTTTTCGAGTTAGGTATTTACGAGAGACCGAACATGCTGGCACAAGATGGGCGAGAGCCTGGTACCGTTGGTTTGAGATACTTCCTCGAGAGACCGGTCGCAGACGGTGTTCAGGATAGCAAGATCAGAGAACACACCAAGGACGTGGAAGTCGATCTCGCAATGAGCGACACTACCGCGACTGAGGCATTCAAAATGCTAGCTCTGTCTCGGGACAATGAAGAAATGAATGCCAAGGTGGGTAAGCACGCGCCCGTACAGGATCGTCTCAAGATCATCAACGGGGGCCCTCCAGCTTGGAGGAATGTCGGGGTGAGACCAATCACGATGCAATGTCTGGTCGGGAGAATGGAAGTTCTCGACGGCTGGCGTGATAGAACGATAAGTGCAGGGTGGCGTGCCACAGTGTTGGACCAAGTGAAGTCCCTTGAGCTCCACGAGCACCTGTTCGGCGAGCTGCTTTTCCCACCACGAAAACTGCCAGACGCGTCCAAGTGGCACGACAAGGAAGCAATGAAGGTGCAAATCGAAGCTCTGGTCAAAGTCCTCGCCACACCAGGAGCATGGCTGGACTTGAGCGATCCCGAAGCAAGACTACGGTTTGGCAAGATCATCAACAGCCGCACCACTCACTTTGATCCCACGACTGGTACGATGATTATCAATCCGGAGAGGAAGTGGCTTCTCATCCAGCTTCTTCTCTCCCTTGAACTCGTTGTCCGCCTTGACGCTGCTTTACGCCTGGGCATCGCAATGCATGCGGAGAAGTTCGAGATCTCAAGTGAAGAAATACACCACTTTAACAAGCTCCGCACACTTAAAGTTGACTGGGACTTGGTGCTTGCGCGACGCTACATGGACTTCTGCCATGTGAAGAGGAACGAACACAAGGAGACATTGATCAAGACCGAATCTGGAACCCACAAGCTTGACCGCCACTCCAGTTTCTTTTCTGGACTGAGGCACTCCCTCGGTCTCGACGACAGGGCCGAGTCGGAACCAGATGTTTGCGATGTTGCAATCCTCCCACGCGACCCTCAGATCATCGTCGATGGTGTGTTTCGCTTCGCTACCAACATCGGGTGGCCGAGGGCTCTCGACGTGCAGTCACGAATATCGCAAAAGTTGAACCAAGGTACACAAGAAGAGCGAGAGAGGTTTCTTCTAGAGGCCTTTTTCTGCTCGAACGAAGCTCACCATGCACAACATGAATCGACACAGAATATCGTTCCACCACTGAATCATTTCAACCTGAATTTACATGCGGCATCCCCTGACACCATTGGCGGCTGGCTCTCCCACAGCTGGTTTTCAGGATTGATCCTCCCCGGCCATTCTATATGCGACATACTCATGGCAACACTTCTCGAGAACGATACTGACCCGGCAACACTCGAAGCTCTAGGCACAATGAACCTGCCTTTCCGATCCTGCGGTTTTGTGCTGGGTGGGTCCTCGTGGTGGTCAAAGTCCAGCATTGTTTCTAGGGTGTTAGCACCTCTGCGTGGCTCAAAGGAGAGCATGGGTTGGACTTACCTCCCCAACTTTGTTCCCTTTGTCGAGGCTACCTCGGAACCCGTCTTGAACCGATGGCTGAAGATCAAATCGTACCCGGTTCCCACGCAACGAGAACGTCCACGCATCTTTGACGGCGACAGACTTGCGACCGAGTCTACGCCTCTAGGTGTTGGCAAAGGTGGCATCATGGGTGCCGAGTTCAGCATGGTGACGGACCACATTTTCGACTATGATTCGCACGCCGAGGTCGTCGTCAACGAAGTCAGCCTGCATCTATCCAACACCAATGCAACGTCAGTGAGTGCCGACCATGCACTTTCGGCCTGGACTCAGTTCGACCTTACGATCACACGAGCGGGTGGAACAAAAGAGGCCAAAAAGGTCCGCTACGGTCTCGACAGAGCAGTCTACTTTGTCACAGCGCACCCGTGCCGGCTTCCCCACGGACACGCGACGTTGAAAGCGGGCTCAGGCGATGATGACCACGATCCGCAACACCCACAGCACAAGCCGGCCGAGCACATCCCCGCGCACCCACTGCACAAGACGTACAAATTCGTCACGAAGTCGCTAGAAGAGGTGGTGCAGACACCTCATCTCGAACCGCCCGCTTCCGGTGTGAGTTCGGCTGAAGTCTGGATCGTCGATGCCCGGCATCCTCTGGGCGACGACGAAAGGGAGACATGGAGTCAATTGCAGAGCCTCTTCGCTCGGAGTCGGAATCAGAACCAGGGACAGAATCAGGCCGAGAACAAAGGAAGTTCCGAGGACAAGTCGTCAAATCATGGCTCTGCGTCATCAAAGAGTCTCGTATCGAGTCTCAGTGACTGGTGCGGTCCTGGCGTGGAACAGATTCGGAATAAAGATGTCCTCGTTCGGGCTTGGTGTGCGCAAAAGGGACGTAACGCCATCATTGCACGAGTGGGTAGAACGTGTCTTAGTTGTGCCGTGAGGGAGGCAAAGGCATTGGAGATCGGTGTTGTTGTGAGAGTTGGTATTAAGGAGTGACTGGGACAAGGTAGCAGGAGGAGGGTGTGTTTGTTTCTCTCCGAGATTGAGGAAGTATCTATTCACCTACCTCTAGGTACATGACCGAAGGGGTACATGTCTAAGGGAACATGTATGCCTATGAATTTATGATGTGGTTTTGATTCTGATTTTGGCTTGCTAGGGTCACAGTTTACTCGAAGTAGTTTTTGCAGTATCTTGTCGTGATCCGTTGGTTGCTTAGTTTACTTTGTCTCTTTGTCTCTTGGACTTTCTGGGGGAAAGGGAGCAAGTTGAGAGGAGGCCGAAAAAGAGAAGTCAACCTCCTGGCTCGATATCTACAGTTGAGGATCAAGTTGTGTGGGTTGTGGGTGAACGGAGCAAAAGTCAGAATACGTTCGTAGTACAAGTGAATCGTCATCCTTTCTCTTTTCTTCTTTTCCTGGCGAACAGGCGAACAAAAACTCATCCCATAATCCCCGGAGGAACCGGAGGGATTATGGGTTTAGAAAACCAGGAGACCTGATTTTTCAAGGAGCAACACGGATGGGACACCGGTCCCATTGTTGACCAAAATTTGAAAGACACAGTACATCAAGTGCAGCATTTTTCTGGTAACCGCGTTGATGCGGATTCTCGGGATCGATTGCGCCAAGAGATATTGATGTTGGGTCAGATCGCGTTGTGCTGTGAAGATGCTGTTTGTTCCTGTGCTCATATCGGACAGTATCGATCTCGGCGAATCCGCCTCCTCGTCTCGCGCTTCACGAGTAACAAGAATTCGAACGACGATGACATTTCCTCGGTTCATGCGAAATCCCAAGTGCCGCGTTCATGGGAAGTCACCGAGTCGTAACTCACTCACTCACTCACTCAAAACCCACCGTCACATGAACATCCATCGCCAGACAGGGCACCAAGACGTTTTGGCGTCGTCGTCTGGTTTTGCCCCTTTGCTTCTGACGTTCGGACCATCACGAGGGTTTGAGTTTTCATGCGGGTTGAGTACTCTGGGTCCCGTTTAGGTAGGGTCACGTACTGCGGCCGTCGAGGAGAATCTGTACGCGCAAGGGGGAGAGAAGGGGGAGGGAAGCAGCACCTCCGGAGTACGGAGTACGGAGTATGGAGTACGTTCATGCCAAGGGGACAGTGGAGTTTGGTCAAAAGAGAGAGAGAGAGAGAGGGAGGGAGAGTTTTGGAAACTCCGAAAAAACAGAACGGAAGGTTACCGAGGTTCTAGACCCTATAATTCGTAGAACCGAACTTGAAGGTCTAGATGTATGTAGCTTGTACAACAGGCATGTACCTAACGCGTCCAGGTAAGTACCTAATGTGGGTTGACCAACTACCGTAGAATACCGCGGGTTACGGTGGCCATCGGATCTCCAATGTTTGTACGGAGTAGAGTAGGTCCAGAGGTAGTTGATTGACGATAGAGTGGGCTCGATCTAGACTCTGCTAGAACCCAGACCTAGACCTTGACCGTTGTGTGTGTATCTGGACCGAAGATCTGGATTTTGGGGAATCCGAACCCAGATCCCGAACTTAAAGAAGCTAGTCAAAAACTTTGAATCTCCTCGACTACCTACTGTGGGCACTAAAACTCGGATCATGGCTGGGACCTTCGACGTGTCAACCGACCATGCAAATTGAAACATGGGAATTCGAGAAATGAGGGGTGTGAGAGAGAGAGAGAGGGGGGGGGGGTGGGAGCCACCCGGAAAATAAAAAATCAGTGGAACACAAAAGTCAACACAAAGTCAAAACGTTCAAAGAGTTTCAAGCCAAGATTCGGTTCAACCGGACAGAGAGACGAAGAAGGATTCGAGGACCGACCAAAGAAAGGCCAAAAAAAAGAGTCGAGTGGTGTGATGTTTGAACGACAAGACAGCAGACAAACAAACAAACAAACAACAACAACAACTCAAAAAGACAGGTGATGGTGTCGTCTTGACCAGCAGTAGTTGCTAGTAAAATACCTTGGCGGGTGATACTGGGGTACTGTACGCTATACAAGAACGGCGGTTCATGCAGTATCCGAACGGGAGACATGATAGTTACTAGATCGGAGGTCTAGACTCTTTGGTAGATTTCGCCAACACTTGATTTTTTTTGTCATTTTGACATGGGGCATGTGAGACGCATGTCAAAAGGTTTCCAACGATTCATGACTCGCTAACTGGAACTCTGTACCGACCACTGGATACCCGTGTGCGTTGGGGGGGGAGCGGGGGGGAGGGGGTTTGAAAAAAGGCCTAGATCGCAAAGACCACGACTCAGCTCTAACTTAGATCTTAGAGACCGAAGCTCTGGATCGTCAAGACAACAGCTCTAGTTAGACCATGAACCTCACAGCTCTAGATTGTAACGACTAGAGCTCTAGATCACAAGCCTCACGGCTCTAGACAAATGTTGAAGGCCACGGCGCTAAACTCTGCTAAAATTCTGCGTGAAGTCAACCTTGCAGATGGGGAACTGTTTTGTTTTGTGTGTACGTGGCACACATATAGCAACGAGTGCGAAATCTCGGTGTGCCCGACATGGGTTTCTAAGAGTGGAGACAAGGTCCCCTCCCCCCCCCCGGCCCAAGGCACGAGAGAATCACAAGGCGAGGATGAAGGAGAGCCGACAGATATGGACGAATGAGTTGCCTTCTTCGCGACATTTACAGAAGTGAGCGAGATCACCACTCAGATACGCTTGACGGGATACCCGGTACGAGTAGTTATCCGGAAGAACGTTACACGGCAGAATAGTTTCTTTATCTTGTATGAAATCCCCCCATTCTTTGGAAGATATACCTGTACCTCTCAAAGTGACGTCTATCAAGAATGTCACGGCGTGAAATCACCCGTTTAGGAGGGGACGGTCGACATCACCTCTGTATTCACGATATAAGCGCCTTTAGAGACTTGGTTTTCTTAGGTACCTACCCAGGCCGCCGATCCCCTGCAGGGTAACTCGTAAATAAATACTCGTAGAGTTGAGTGGATGATGGCCACCTACCTACCTACCGTACAATGGGGGAGACGGTTCAATACGGATACCGACAAAACCACTCGTACTCGTCCAGGGTGCATTTGTATGTACATTTATTACGCCATCTGTCGATAGGATCCGTCGATAGGGGTTTGACTTTGAGAATGTGTAACTACCACCCGCACTGTTTTGTTGTACAGTACTATGAGATACTTGGTCTTATTATTATTGGCAGTTGTACAGGGACAATCATACCGAGGTGAAGCCACGCTGTGATTCGAGAACACGGCAACAATGTACCGATACTTTTGCTTCCTTGAACATATCAAATCCTCACTCGAGTGAAGCAATCAACGGGATGCAAGCCGGGAAAATGGAGCGCAAGAACTCTCTCTGGAGTCACAGTATTTATTCACCCTCAACACCCGACATACTCAGTGCCTGTACGGTACCAACAAAAAAAACAGCCCATCATGCATCATTACCCACCTGGCCTGGGAAAGTCAGCCTTGTCCGAGCGTTAGCGCATTTTTTTTTCTTGACTCGAAACCAGAGACACACTACTGTGAGCTATTGTACAATAAATCTCAATGGGTGAGTTGACTCTCGCAGGCAGAGGTGATCGTCCTTGAAAAGCAAAAGCGCTGTGGAGATGCTGCGTTCCTAGTCCTTCCGCGATCGCCAGCGCCTGCATAAAGATCAACATTTCAAATGTCAAGGTCGGAGGGGGGAGCTTTGAGACATCATCGAACGACGATCACGAGTGAAAACGCGCAACAAATTACTCGTTCGAGCTCTCGCATCGAAAGAGGCTGCGAGAATAACTGTATATTTACCATAATCGTCACGAGGTTTGTCGTTGCCTGTCAGCGGCCTCACCCACTCACCCAACTCGGTACCTGCATTGTCGGAATAAACCGCCCGACCTTGGTGTGAGCACTCCCCCCCCCCCCCCCCCCCCCGGGGGAAAATATCAAAGAGGGTTCCTAAGAGGTGAACGAATCCAGTAGCACGACACCAGTCGGCTGCAAGAGCAAACCCCCCTCCCCCTCCTCGGGCATAAGGTTTGGTGTTGTGTGTGTGTGTGTGTGTGTGTGTGTGTGTAACTTCTGCCGTCGACGCCAACAACTGGCACGACAAAAGTATTTACACAAAACAGGCAGGGATCTTCACCGCCACAATACGAGCTCGACTACTTGTTTATCAGGCCGCTTGGTTTCGAGGCGCACCAGGCATTAACTAATAACTAGTTGCCGGGTGTTCAGACCGGGCAAAGCGTAGATTGGCGAGTGCATGGGCCCCCAGACCTGAGGGGCCAACCAGGGGAACGGTAGCGATCAAAGAAGGAACCAGGTTTCACCAGATGTGAGGATCACTTCAAACGACCAGGTACCTACTCGTACAATATAATAGGTATCTAGGAGGTAAGTGAGAATCGAAACACGACCGTGAATTCGACCGGATGATGATGACTCGCTGTAGGTCTCCCGGACCGATTACGCTGCATGATGAAGCATTTGAAACCCGAGCTATCCGTTCGGAAATATGCAACAAAGCAGACCTGACGTCTATACACCAAACCTCGTACAACAGGGATGATAAATGTTCGCAGACTTCGGCCCTGCTGCTGATCTTCACGAGAACAAGAAGGGAAATCTCCGAATTTAATTGCGCATAAACGATGGCGGTCGTGGTGTTCATAACAAGATCCCACAGGCATCGTTATTTCTCGTAGACTTGTGTCGGAGGGCATTCTGCGAGGTTTCGGAGTGACTCTGCCTCTCACTCCGACCCATCCTTTTGGTCTGCGGGCAATCTCCCCAAGGAAGAACACGAGCGTCGAGAAGCACCAGGGACCATCCTTTGGCTTCGAGGCGTGCGCCATGCCGCGCGTTGATCATGTATCTGTACGGAGTGCACATCGGACGTACAGCCATTGCGCCACTCGAGGAACAAAACAATCTTCTCCTGGCTTTGATGTATGAGGAGGATTGGGTGCCACGCTGCACACTCGAGAACCATCGGCTCCCTTTTCGTGTCGGCCCAGAGTCGCCCACAACTCACAAGGCGTCATCGATTCTGCAGCCGTCGGCAGCCCCGGCGGCGACGGCGACGGCGATTACACAAAGGCCGCCGCCGCCCATATCCACCCATCGTCTCTCACTCTTGTCTCGCGTGTTCAGCCTGACAGAGAGAGGGGTTCAGAGCATGCTCAGGCACCTACTAACTAGTCGTTTGGGAACGATCCCAGCTCGGTTGTTAATAAGTCCGTCTCGCAGTCCCTCGCTTAACCCCTGCTCAAAATGGCCGTAGCGCCTGGACCGGGCGACTCATCGTCCAGATTGAGGTTCGATCCACGTGGGAGAAAACGGATTCTAGGGACCACATGGGCTATGGCTCGCCGGGCTAATAGTGTACAGGTACAATAGAGCCCCCCCACTAGCTTGGGTGGTATGACAGTCGGTTCCTCGATACGAGGGCACCAAGAAAAATACAAGAGTTTTCCTTGCACTCATGTCGCAAGACGTCCTGGCATATGCATCTGCCATGTCTCTCAGAATTGAGAGACTATGACCATGCAGGGAGTCACAGTCAGAACGTTACCAGTACAGTTCGGGAAATTGATAGTCCGCAAGAATTTCGCGACTGCAACGTCTCCATCTGCAGGTCGCTCGCAAAGACTTTCGGGGCCAAAAGATCTGCAGCAACCTTGGAGCAATGCTAGTTATTGGTCTAGCAGGCGAACCGACCAGCCGGTTGAGTGGGCGTTGGAGAAGGGGGGCTCCAGGAGCAGAGATGGGTTGGGAAACTTCAGAATCAGCACCAACCACATGCCGGGACGAGTCTACACCATTGTAACTCCTCTAGGGAAAACACGTATAAGACCGCTTCGTCGAGGCGATCATATCCTTGGATTTGGCCTGGAAGCCAGCCAGACCAGCACTGGCGTTGGACTACTTTCAACTTGGGTTGGGAGAGAGCCTTCACGGTCTGTGGGCGCATTCAACTTTGTAATACTGTCCAGAGGCCGGAGTTCTCTGGGTCTTCGGTTTCGGGAGTCCTAGCCCTTTCGACATTGGCGCACAGACCCAGCTGCACCCGCAGCTCTGGCGAAACGCCGCGCGCAGACAATCATATGGTGACGTGGTGGCTGGCACCTTGTAATCCTGCTACTCTCCTGAAACCCCCGTTCATCCTGGTAAACCTTGTAATTGGAAACCTGCCAGTGTATACGAACGCCCCGCGCTACGAGAGGCTCTTCGATAAGTGTGGGCGGGTCGTGTTGCTGCAATGGCCTCGTTTCCCATCACCGACAAAGTTAGACAGGTTCGTGAGCTGTCTTGTAGGTTTTGACCAAGATCGCACTCCTGTTTTTGACTGTTATATTACCCAATACCAGTATGGAGCAAAGTCATGCTCGGCTGTCGTCCGTATCAGCTGGTGTCCACTATCCACGCGATGACTGGAGCGCCTTTTACCTCAATTTCTGGCCGTATGGAGATAACGCACTTCCTAGCAAAGGCCCATCCGGGTTTAGACACTCAGCTTAGACAACACCTGGTTTGAAATGTCTACTATAGTCTGTAGTTCAGGCCATCAAGGTAGGTGGAGGCGTGCTTGGCCCAATTGGTGCCGGAATGGCGCTGGCGTAGACGATCGGCGCCGCCTTCGACCACACCCCCCAAGTTCCAAGAAAGTGGAGGAGTTTTCAGGTAAACTTCTTCCATGCTTTTTAGTTTGACTTTGGTGACTCGCAGCGGAGCCCATTCTGTGCAGGCTTCTTACGAAAGTCGCTGGCCTGGAAAATCGTGGGCTTGAAGCATCCGCTGCAGCCGAGGCGGCCACCCTTGAAATGAACAATTAGTATTTGCACCCAGACCTCTAGATTCGAGATCCCATCTACGGAGTACAGTGCTCTGTTCCGTCTTAATCACCTCGTGGTTTTAGGCTGTGCGGCGTTCGTTCCGTTGCAAAGCTCCGTGATAGCTTGGACCCTCCGCCCGGATTATTAACCATATGTCGCCGATCTCCATTCGCACCTTGGTCCCGGATACGAATGTGTGGTGGATGAAATTAGCCTCTGGTCCTGTGGACTTATGCCCCAGTTGGCAGCAGCCCCTGGGTCCGAAGCAGAGCACCGTCATGGCGCGGGCGTCGGGTCCTATTGCTGCCATCGAATTGGCCATTGACTTTGCCATGGACATTTGTGCAATAATAGACACATAATCCGGAGTGCAGATCGATGCTCAACCGAGCCTTAGGTCGCCTCTCAGGACTCCATGTGCCTGGTTCGCTGACAAGTCGTCTGCTCTTGGCCGATGGGACTGCTTCGCTTTCCTAAAACGATACACTGACAATTGGGAAGCTAATGTCCCTACCAAACTCTGGACATGGGCAGAAGCACTAGACAGGCCTAGTCGCACTCGCCATTGAAGTCTGCTCAGATTTTGATAAGTTCTCAGAGGATGTGAAGGTCGTGGAGACGGTTATATGGAATGTCGATGTAATCGAGACGACGCCTGTTGCCCCGACGTTCCGTCGTCTCTGGATACACAGATCTAGCTCATGGTTACTTAAGTCCTGAACTGAACGCAGACGTAGTGTCCGAACGTGTGTCGCTTGGGCAGTGTTCAGTTGCCCTTGGCTAACGTCGCTGGACCCCGTGCGCCTCGCATCGATCATCCGCCTGCCCTTTCCAAAGGTAAAGTTGGGCTCCCAGCTAGGCAATGGTCCCTTTCGTGGGACCCTGTGCTGATTGTATGAGAACCTAAGGGTACTAAATTGGCTTTTGTGGCACCCTCGAATCCCAGGGTAAATCCACTGGGTGAACCAGTCGAAACTGGCCCGGGTGGAATTGGGGCAGCAAATGCAAGATCCATTCTCCATGAGTTCTGCATGCTTTCGGGAAGCCCTATGTTCCTACTTAGCTGGTACAATTAGGTCGTTTGCATCATCTGCCAAGTGGGTTGTAACAGTGCTGCTGCTGCTGCTGCTCGCGCCGAACTTACCCTTGTGCCCATTCTCGAAGTCGATTTCAGCCCTGCTAGGACGGGACCTATCGGTGGGCCTTTCCGCAACTCTTCTCGAACCGATCGAGGCCAGGCCTCGTCAACCCCTCTCAACCTCTTTCTTGTCTTCGTCTGCCTCCATCAAGTCATTCTCTTCTTCGATTCCTCGCCTAGTTTATTCGGCTGTACTGTTCAGCGACGTTACGCATTCATCAAGGATCATCAGCCACCGAAGATCTGGTACGCTCGCTTGTATTTGAGACCAGAAAGATCATCCTCAAGGCATCGCAGTGGAAACGGGCCGGTGCCTCATTCCTTCAGTGTTTGACAGTATCTCGGCGTGGGGGACGGCGCCATCGCTCTGGAGTGTATCTCATTGCCTCGATATTTATTGTACGGAGACGACTCAGTCTTGCCATTTCGTCGACCTGTGATCGAACCGTGATTGACAACAGCGGCAAGGCTGATCAATTTCCCGGGTTATTCACCAGTTGAACTTAGGCAGCATATCGAGGGACTCTCGATGGACCCTGTTTCGATTTTTCTGATCGCCTCTTGACGATCTGATGATGCGCCGAAGTGGAACAACATAGTAGCTGCCGCTGGTTGGGTTCAGAAACGACAGCAGTGTTCGTAGTTTGGGGCTGTGCGCGCTTGATTCACATCGCAAGGGATGCAAGCAGAAGAAGACCAGGTTGAACACTTGATGAGGGAAGGGCTCCTTGCACAAGATCAGCATCACAGTCAAAGTGACACGACGGAGATGCCTGGTTTGGTGACACGGGCGGATTCCTTTCCAGGTGCGCAAGAGATGTCTATGGAAGCTCAAGCGCTGTCTCCTTCCGACAAAAAGCGCAACAAACTTGGTTATCATCGAACTGCGGTGGCATGTGGTTAGTATAAGTCCTCACGTACCGTGGGCGAGCACTGACAGCCTATAGGCCATTGTCGACGTCGCAAGATTCGCTGCATTGCCGCAATTGACGATTCCTCTGGTCGATGTCAAAACTGTATTCGCTTGAAGAAAGATTGCCACTTCTACCCTGTCGATCAGAGCTCGACGCCAGGGAAGCGTCCGAGGTCTGGAACCAAGTCCGAAAGTATTTTTATCGAAGGCGATGCTTCTGTTGCCTCCTCCTCCCCCGGCGCTATGCTCAGAAGCAGCTCATTCGAACATATGGATCAAGATGAAGGTTCGTGGTATCTGTTCTTCGATCGTGGACGGTCTTGGTAGAGGGTTCGTTCGCCAACGTTCCATATATGAGACTGCATCATGAAAGCCCATACGTCGTCGTCTGTTGCTGACAAGTTCTAGGTTTCGAGTACCCCCATCCTTTTGACCCTCACCATATACAGCAGCAACAGCAAGGGCAGACGGCCGCGCCTCCCACCTATCTCGACCAGGCCCCTGGACATTTTGCGTCCGAACCTATAAATTCAGGATATTATCCTAGTTATGCACACAACGTCCCTGGGACGTACACGTCAGCCTTCCCAACGGGCTCGCTTCCTTCAACGATGCCAATGACACAGGGCAGCGCGTATAGCTACCCGACGTCGCATCCGATGGAAGCCTATGACTGGGGTCAGATGACACAAAGGCCTATGTCTGGCGCAGAGGCTGAGGACATGCAGCATGGGTTTCCTGCAGCCTATCGAAGCCATACCTATCCGAATTTTGATCGGAGAATGACAGGACCCCAACAACAGATGCCCTCAACGAACCATGGAATGATGGGTCTCGAGCTTGACCATCAGCACAGCTCGATCCTGGCAACTACCCGCGAGCCGACCTCATACCAACCGCTTCATGACTTCAATGAATGGACAGGAGCAGCGTCTGGACAGCAGGCACACCATACTGAATCTGCTCCAACATCGTACCCACACGGCTGGTACCCGCATACCTCGACGATGACAGGAAACAGACAAGAGAGGGGTCCATCTCATATACTGCTTTCACAACGTCATGACTTTCGCGGCAGTCAACACAAACCAGGTTGAAGCCAGCTGCCGTAGTATTAAGCCTCGGGTTCAAAAAAGAAGAAATCTTTTGCTTTGAGGTCAATGGTTACGCAAATCGTTTTGCGGTTGCCGGTTATGATGAATGCATTTCGTCAGCCAGCTCGATGCGCGCACTTAAAATACAACCTGTCTGGAGCAAACGAGCAAAACGAGCAACAAAACCACTGGGGATTCTTGGTCGAGTGAGAAGGCAGCTGTACTGGATTAACACGCGTCACGCGGGAGAATAACGTGAAACTCTGCAATTTCGACCGCGAGGTGAAGTTGGTTTTGCAACGACGAGGTGTGGCTCGAAGTTGTAGTCCGTGGACAGAACAAATACGCAATATGTGTCCTTATGCACCAGTCCAGGTGGGTGATCCAGACTGCAAAAAGTTTTTGATACTGGAAGGGCGCTTATTTTGCGGCGCAAGAGAAATGCAAAAGCTGTTTAAAGCCGTCTAGGTGCTACGGCTGGCTACTGGTCGCTGTCAGACTGACGAGAGCCATTCGTCTGCAACTTGGAGAAGGGTCCGGATAAACGTCAGGACGCGAGACGGGGGTTCAGTCGGGTCCATACTTGCAAGCACTTTGGAGGAAATTTCAGATGTTGCGTTGTTTCGGGACATGATGGCAAAAAGCAACACACATATTACACCATCACGTGGATTTGTTATGACAGCTCAAGGAGTAATAGAAGTTCCTATTGGACATGAGTTTCTCAGCCTGGGGACATACGACAATCTTCCAGAAGGCCCTGGCGGGACGAAAGATGGAATTTGGTTCTAATTTCGACTTTCGTGCGTGACAGGATCCTGCAACTGCCCGACGGACAAATCTAAGTCATATATCACAGACACACGTGACACCACTGACTCGAACTTCACATGGTGTTACATCCCCTGAATCGTCACTCGCTTCGATACGAGTCTCGAAGTTTGACAGCTTCAACGACAAGTCTCAACAATCTAACAGTATTTCTCTACTACGAGACGTTGTAGCGGTCCTCTCTCGCGAAGAATACAGTCTCCTGAGTTTGCGACCATTATAATGAGATTGAGGACTGGATGAATACACGACGTCAACTACCTCGTCGCAATCGCGACAATGGTTCACTACAACGCTGGACATTTCAAGAGCATGTAAAAAGGGCCGTTTCAAGCTCAGTTGAGGTCAATTAATATGGTGCTCACCGCTTTCTGAAGCTCATTTTCTCTTGAAGAGCAGACACCAGCTCAGGGTATTAACGCAAAAGTGTAAGTGAAGAGAGCATAATAAAGGAAAAGCCAATGAAGTTGCAGCAATTTCTATCAGGGAACAGAGATTTTACTGCTTCACGACGAGACATACTTTCACTATCACACAATCTCTGTCTCGCGACTTCTCACCACTTCAGCCTGAAATCCTGACCTGCTGTAAAGCTTTACTCAACTGCCGCAGTTTCCTTGCACCTTCCTCATCAAGTCGAAAGAAGGAATATCGTCTGTGTTCTAATGGGTTGGAACCAGGTCCAAGAGTTGATATGGTATTGCGGTGCCCTGGTGATTGAAGAAAACCACCACCACTTCCACCACCAACAACAAGAACAACAGCAACAACAGCAGGAGGCCCTAACCCTGGAAGAAGCAACCGTGCCAACAGACGGCGTCATTGCGACAGTTCCTGAGAGCAGTATTGCAGGTACAGAAGCCTCTCTCACTGGTCTTCCTACAGAAATTCAACACAAGATTTGCAGCTATCTAGACTACAATGACCGAACCAGCCTGCGTGCCACCTGCCGAACCTTTTGTGACAGCACAACGCCCGAGACAAATAGACAAATCAAGCGAGAGCTCTCACAAGCATAGACCGAGACCGGGAACGTTTTCTCTGAGGACTTTAGAGTTCTGCAACCGAATGGTGGCTGCCAACTCAGGTACCATGACGACCTAAAGAGGGTTACTAGGATGCAGGAGTTGAGTTATTTGACGACCGTGGGATATTCGCGCATAATCGCCAACTGTGTGGCGGACCAACGAGACTACTTCTTCCCGTGCACTCAGTGCGGAGCCATCCGTGAGAGGCCGATGTTTGACTTCACGACTCTCCGCGACTCTTTTTTGAGGAGAATTTCATGGTGGGGCCCTGTCACCCCCCAGTCGCACGATGAGTTCTTTGACTCACTTATCTGTGGCAACTGTCTCGTCGGAAACACACCCGGCAAATATTTTCCTCTGGGCGGCTTCGACTCGTACTCTAGCATCTTCAAGTGCCTCGAGTGCAAGGGAATCGATCGAGTCGAAGGAATTGGACGTGCCTCCGTACAATTGAAGAGGTCCGGGTTGTGTGAGGCGTGCTTCTCTACGCTTAATCCCAAGTGATATCTGTACAAGCAATGTGTAAGTCTCCCTCTCGGCAGTAGCTTCGTTAGATGGCCCTCTTCTGGATGTCCTTCTCTGGTGGATCATATGCTAATGTGTTCATGTTTAGATCCAGAAGGCAATGGAAGTTGTGCGAGAGATTGAAAAGGGGGCTCGCCTTCGCCAATAATGGCCAGACGCGCCCGCTCCCCTGGTGCCCTGTTGGGATAGAGAGAGAGGAGTAGCCCCTTGAGGATACTAGTGTATAACAAATTCATTATCTCACAACCATTATTCGTAGGTCCGTCCCGGATCCAATAGCATTATCCTTCTCAACGACCTCCCGCCTCTCAACGTGTGTTCATATTGCGTTGTTATGGGTGTGTGAAGGTAGCTCAAGATGGCACATTGTACAATTCTTAGCTAGCAGGACACCGGTAGGTGTAACACATGTTTACCACCCATTACCGCCCCCATATGCATACCGCTTGCCTGTCACAGACTGTCACGGTAGAGAACACCAATGCCACTCATCAGTCGTTGCATCGACGTATGGGGAGGCCGTTAGCAACCGTTGTGAGGTTTGATATCCAAGACGCCGTGATGCACAACGCTTTCACAGCCTTTGCAAAGACGGCGCGCCAAATCGCCATCTGCGACTTTTTCGGTATGATTTATGGACCAGCACCGCAAACATCGAGTTGCACGGGTACTCGACATGCCGTTGCGAATAAGGTCTGTCCTGGTCGGAAGTACCGATTGGCTTTGAACAGGTTCTGAGGAAGAGGAAGCCGAGTCTGGAATCCCAATAGTAACGACAGCGAGACATTCGGCTGAACATACACCGTCGCGCTTGTAATTGGGATCGGCCTCCCTGAGGGCGCTGCATCCTCCGCAGACGATCCACACACGCTTGCCATCTCTGATGCTGGTGCCTTTCTCCCAGATGCCTCTCTTCACGCCGCAAGCTTTGCAAAACCGGCGCCCGCAATCTCTGTGGCCGAGGCTTCTCTTCCCCATGGTTTGCGTCCGAGTGAAACACTCGAGCGGGAGGCTCTGGAGGCACGCATAGCAATTGAGATATGAAGCTCTCATGATTCTGTTCATGTGGATATTTGCCGTGGTGTCGTGAGATTTCCAGTTTCGACCTGCGTGCGGAAACGCAAGTGCCCATTGCTCCATGATTTCGTACCGGGCTTCTCGCGAGTCCAGCTCCACTTTCTCATCCTCAAGAAGCTTTTGTTTGGTGGTCCGGTGTAAGACCTTGAGTCTCGTGAAGGGGACGACGCCGATCGCGGAGCGGCATGTCAAGCGGAAAGCAAGCACGTCTTGATAGTCCAGGTCACGGACGATTTGGTTGTAGAGCTCGGCCGGTAGCGAGAAGAGCGGTCTCATGGTCTCAACGGCGCTCGGTGGCTCTCTTATATTTATACCTGTATCTGCAGTTTGTGAAGCCAGACTTGTGGCAGGGAAATCTTTTGGAGGTGGGAAATTGTGCAGGCTTATTCTCATCTGTTGCGGTTCGAGAGAACACGAAAGCTGTGTTTGTCAAGCGGTGGTTGCGGTCTACAGGAAATGAGACCAAAGCAGATGGATCTGATGTAGTCATGCCACATTATAATGGTCTTTGCCTGCATAGTGTATTGAAGACCGGTACGTAGCCTATCATGATTCTGGTGCCTAGTTAGCGTGAAGATCTTGTTCGTTTGTGCAGCAGGCGGTGACAATCATGTGCTGAGGTCCAATATACCGATCACGGTCGCCACTGGTCTCACCAGGTCAGCTCGTGAGGGTCTGTTTGACATTGTTTGCTCTCTAGTTAATGAAGTTGAAGTACCTGAATGTGGTGAAACGGCCAGGCTCGGCAAAGTTTCTGGCTTCGATCACATTCCTTCGAAAATAATTCAGGCGGGTCAGATGGATCTCGTCCTTGAATTTTGGTAACCTTCCTTACATGCAGCTTTGACCTCTTGAACTTTGTAGCGACAAGCATGGAGTTCTTGAGTGATGAGATCTGGGACGTGATCATTGCAGGGACCAGCATCCCCCAGTCCCTGCTGGCATTGTAAGCTGAGTGTGGTTATTCCGTTCCACTTGAGACCTTGACTGACTGACCAAGCGTGCGTGGCTAGATCCCTCTCACGTTCCGGGAAAAAAGTCCTTCACCTCGATCGCCGTACATACTACGGAGGCCGTGATGCTGCTCTCAGCCTGCAAGATGCGGAAAGATGGGTAGAAGATCTGGAGAAGTGTACTTTCTCATTCGGAGGCCCATGCATGTGCAGCTGGGCTGATTTTGCACAGTTCCGAACAGTATCTTCAAAGATGCCTCGATCTCAAAACCAGACTCTGAGGACGCAGGGCCATCCGCTCTGAAATCCTCTCGATCATACACTTTGAGCCTGAATCCCCAGATAATCTATGCTCAGTCCAAGATTCTCCCCACCCTTGTCTCTTCACGGATACATACACAGCTGGAATTCCTCGCCGTGGGGTCATGGTGGGTGCATCGGGCTGGGTCCCTGCATAAGATCCCCAGCACACGAGAGGATGTCTTCAATGACGAGTCCCTGTCCATGAAGGATAAACGCGGCTTGATGAAGTTCCTGCGCTATGTGCTACAGGACGACGTTGAATTGGACACCACGCTTGAAGACGACACGAGCCTGAGTCTTCAATCTGCCTTGGATACCAAGTTCAAAGTGCCAGCTTCTCTGCAGGCCCCGTTACTTGCTCTCGCCCTTTCGCCGGTGCCTGCGAGTCAGATACCTTTCAACGTTGCCTTATTACGCATCAGAAGGCACATGCGATCGATGGGTTATTTCGGCCCCGGTTTTGGTGCCGTCATCGCAAAGTATGGCGGAAATTCGGAGATGTCCCAAGTGGCATGCAGAGCTGGAGCTGTCGGCGGCGGCGTGTATCTCTTGGGACACGAGTTGACCTCTCTGACCCTTGTAGATCAAGACTTTTCTGGCAAAGCTCTCCTAGAAGGCACTCTTTCGGACTCAACGAACGTCAAAGCTCGATCTGTTGCTGGATCCCCCGAAGACCTTCCAACAACAGACCAAGCCACACAACCAGGCCAATCGAAGGAGGAGTTCTTGAGGTCGATCAACGTTGTTGACCATTCCTTCCGAAACCTTTTCCCTCAAACCTCGGATAACGGACCGGTTCCTGCTGCTGCCATAGTGCTAGTAGACGAAGGTGACAACACGGGCTCCGAAAAGAGTCCAGTGTATCTCCAGATTCATTCTGAAGATACAGGAGAATGCCCACCAGGTCAATGTGAGTTGAACCTTGATCTCTGTTCACCCCTTCCACATGATGATCCAACAATCGAATACTTATCTACATTGCCTGAGCATTTTATGCTTTGCTGATATTTTTCCTCTGACAACCTGAAGTGGAATCCTCATCCCTTTATGTACTCAAACTGCTTCTATGGATGAGTTTACTGATTTGTCTTGCCAGGCATAATTTACGCCTCAGTGCGTGTCGAAGCAGATAAAACTTCCTCAAAGCATCGACTTGAATCAGCCATACAGTCATTCTTGGAAACAGAGAATGCATCAGGTACTCTCTTGTGGTCTTTATCATATGTGTTTTCAGGAGTGTCCGCTGTTGCAAACGAAACACCTACCTTGCTACGACCTTCACCTTCAATCATGCTCTTTCCACCTGCCAGTCAAGATATTGCGTTTCCCGACAATGTTCTTGACATAGTAAAGGGCGCTTGGCAATCAATTACGGCACCACAGACCGATGATTCTTCATTTCTTCGGTTCGAAGAACGCGAGCCTGAAGATGAAGAGTAGACGATCCAAATGCTCAACTGCATCGGTAACAGATGTCAGTGCGACACGTCTCAAGACCTGAGTCTCTCACATCGAATCTCCATCTCTTTTCTCCGAGTCACGGAAAACTTTCATGTAATGTTACGCTCCTTGGGCCTAGTCTGTCTATGAAATTCGCCTCTTCATTGGGCGGGTACATATATGATGTGGATCGGCTTATGCCCGCTGATGACACTGATTCCCACGGCATGGACACAGTGGATCAACGCTGAACGCTGAGACGAGATCGAGCAGTCCAGCTACTACCCGGGCAGAATTGGCCTTCGATCAGAAATGAGGCATAGGCATGCGTCTCAACGACACTACGAGGCTTATCGTGAACTCGTCAGGACGCATCTACGATAATGACTAACTCGAAGTGTAATCCCGTCGACAGCCAGGTCATGCCGTCCGGCTGGAGGCCATGCTAACTATGAGAAATGCAATGAGAAATACCCGACGTACGTTTACGAGGGCGAATCATTTTTGTCTTGTAGTCTTATAGAAGGGCTGTCATTGATTAGCCTGGGCCTTCGGAAGATTCATATTTGAATTGCGTCAAATCTCAAATAAAATACTGGTCAACATGGCCTTCACTATCGGATTACATATTGGTGTTTTCTTGAGGCTGTTCGCTTAATGGTTAATCCGACATACAAGGCTGCCGCAACGGCCTGATTCGTGCAAACAAGACAAACACAACAAGGGACAGCTGAAGGAATACCACAGACCTATCATCATCTTCCAGCAACGCCCATCTTCAGCCTACCTACTGCTGGGCACGTTACGGGCCCGAACAGAGGAGTCGGGCTCCATGGGACCAACTAATCACGAAGCTAAACGAGACCTGTACGTTATCCCTTTGATGCGTGATGTGATATCATATGACCCCTAGATCACCTCCTCGTTCTCCCTCCTTGAGCCAGACGGTAAGTGTTGGGCGATCCATTTGTCGTTTCCCCTTCTCGAAGGTGACAGTCAAGACACGACACGGCCATTCCTGTCGGGCAGCACACCATGTCAGCACAACCGTCCGGGCGGCTCAAGGACCGCATCGCCATCGTTACAGGCAGTAGTTCCGGGCTAGGGCAAGCGATCAGCCTCGCGTTCGCGGCCCAAGGCGCCTCGGTGTTCTGTATAGATCTGTACCCGAGCCCGCGCAACGGCTTCAACGCGACGACGCAGCGGGCCGACGACTTTCACGTCCGCGTGTCCGGGCAGCCCGGCACGCACGAGCTCATCCGCCAGCAGGGCGGCGAGGCGACGTACCACAAGGCCGACGTGAGGCGGGCACGGGACGTCGAGCTGGCGGTGCGCGCGTGCGTCCAGCGCTACAAGAGAGTGGACATCATGGTCAACAACGCCGGGGTGAGCGTCGAGTCGACGCACGTGCGGCCGCTGCGCTGCCACGAGACGAGCGAGGAGGACTTTGACAAGACGCTCGCCATCAACGCCAAGGGCATGTTTCTCGGGTGCAAGTACGCCCTGAAGCAGATGATCGACGGCCAGGACCAGGTCTACGCCGCGAGGGGCTGGATCATCAACACCGCCAGCGTCCAGGGCCTCGTGCCTTACTACGGCACCCCGAGCTATTGCGCGAGCAAAGGCGCCGCCGTCATGTTGACCAAGCAGGTCGCCTTGGACTATGCGAAGGACCTGATCCACTGTAACGCCCTGTGCCCGGGGTTCTTGGAAACGAGCATGACCCAGAATCTGCAGGGTCAGGTGGACGTGCTGGAGGAGATCAGTGGCAAGCATCCGTTTGGCGGACGGCTGGGCAAGGTCGAGGATGTGGCGAAGGCCGCAGTGTTCCTCGCCACTGACGATGCTGCGTGGATTACGGGCGTACCGTTGCCAGTCGACGGTGGGTATCTGTTAAGATGAGGTTAGGGTTGGAGTAGAACATAGGCCCCGACACTGGCCCAAATACAAGTAAATTAACATGTAGTGAAGATCAGGTCCAAGATCAAGATCCCTTCCGGCAATTCAGGAGAGGACGCACGGCGTGTACCTCGGGCATGAATGGGGCATCGAGATACGAGTGGTGCCATTCATTATTCAAAGCTGGGTAACTCTGACTGTCGAGAAGGATATGGCTCGGCCTATTGCTTTCCAAAATCCTTACGATTCCTGAGACGCTTCTATTTTCAACCACATATCGACCCACTGCTGGTCAGCAGCTTCCAACCCTTGCCCAGGCTTCTTGTACGCAATTTCCAAAACGTAGAGTAGACGCTCTCGTAGTATCTTGATCGCCATCAATTGTCTCCAGTGTTTGACAGAGATCTTGATTTTTCCAGAATCCAAGACCATCACGCCAGCGTAGAACTTGAACTCAGCTTCGCCGAGCAGCGCCACCAACGTCGACTCGGGTATCGCAGATGTTTCGAAGACATTCAAATTGCCGCTACGGTTCTGCATAGCCTCGAAAAAAGACAGCCACCGAGGCGCCTTGGGATTGTTGTGGTTGATCGAGCGGGAGGTCAGCGAGACCTGCTGGTTTGTGTACACGTTGCGCCAGCCTTTGCCTTCGCGCGCGAGGATTCGAGGATACAGTGCCATGGCGGTGATGCCGTTCAGTGCTCGATCGCTGAGTGTCTGGTTATATCTCTCGGGAACGATGTAGAAGTTGATATTCGAACCGCGGCCGGGCCCAGACCTGGCCCGGTTAAGTACAGCTTTCTCGTCAAGGTCCAGACTCGCGAGACCTGCGTCGACAAGGTACACAAGAAGCTGTACCTTTTGCTCTTCGATCTGTGACATTGTTTGGTCGCTGATGTGGTTCTTGCGGCAGAAGTCTTGGGCGGAGCGCGCAGCTTTGGCTCTTCGCCATGCTTCGTATGCGTTGAACGAAGACAGAAGGTCCGAGTCCGCGCGGCTGAATGTCTGGCGGGCGTCAGGGCGAGCAGCTGCTGCTGAAGAAGCGAGGAACGGTGATTTCGATGTCAACAGGGACACTATAGCCAGAATAGGATCCTGTGCAAGGGTTAGCTAGCTGATAGATCCAAGAAACGATACAAGTCCCAATATAGGGAGGGACACGGTCCGTACCAGGCATCTGAAAATGACACCAAAAATTGCCAGCTTTGCAAGCGACACTTCCAATGGCAGTCGCGCGATTTGCTGTCCCAGTGGTGTCAATGCCTCGGTTTTCGTTAAGGCCCCTGCGTCCTTCAGCTTCTCGATTGCCCTCAGCACGTTCTTCCTTGAGGGAGGGTCGATTGCAGCGTTGAGCGTCTCTTCTATCGAGCCGAGGTTCCACACTTTGATCCTCAGCATTGGGTCCTGCAAGCTCAACCTCAGCATCTCCGGGACCTGCTGCTCGAGCATGAGAGTGTCGTGCCGGTGCTTTGTAACAAGGTGGAAGCATAAACCTTCTTGCACACGGGCCGCACGACCTCGTCGTTGGCGCGCGGACGAGCGCGAGATGAATCCTTCAGTGAGCCTGGAAAGTTGACGCCGTTCGTCGAACCGCATGACTTTCTCTTTGCATGTGTCGATGACAGCTGTGACATCAGGGATCGTTATGCCTGTCTCTGCGATGTTTGTGGCAATCACAATCTTTCTATGTCCCAGTGGCGGTCGTTCAAAGGCCTTTTCGAGGTCATCAGTGGAAAAAGTGGAATGCAGTAGATGTACCACCCAGCCATGACTGAACGTGTCCATTGACAAGAGCAGGTTGTGAAGGCGGCGCATCTCACCTATGCCAGGCATGAATATCAGAATTGCACTGCTGTATTTGGCATATTGGCATTTTGTCGCGATCGAGGCCGATAGCTTTGCGATGAGATTGTAGTCGATGCGATACTCGTCCATTTGCGATATCAAAGCTTGGGTCTTGCCACTGTATTTTTCAGGCTCCAGAATCATGGGACGACCTTTTCGGTTGTCGTAGCCTTCGAAATCGACTTCTTCTTCCTCCAAAGCCACTGACTGGTCTCTGGCTCCAGTAAGGCCGAGGGTGGCTTCAACGGCATCCTCGAGAAAGCCGACCTCAACGGGGAATGTCCGCCCGGGGAGATCCAGAACTGGTGCACCTCCAAAGTAGTCGGAGAACTTTCGTGCGTCTACTGTGGCCGACATGAGAATGATCTTCAAAGACTCCCGTCGTCGTTGGAGTTTCTGCAAAGCAATGAACAACAGATCGAGGTCCATCGTGCGCTCATGGACCTCATCTAGAATCAGGTAGTCCAATTCTTCCAGATTGGGCGATTCCTCCAACATTCGCAGCAACACACCTGTGGTTGCGTACGTGATGCGAGTACTGCTGCTCGTCTTGCTTTCCAATCGTATGGCATAGCCCACAAGCGATTTTGACGTGCCAATCTCATTACGATTTTCTCCTAGTTCTTGCGAGACTCGCCTTGCCAACGTCACTGCCGAGATACGCCGGGGTTGAGTGACAAGGATCCGGCAATCTTGACCGTTTCCGAATTGCCGTTCAAGAATCAATACTGGAATGCCAGAGGATTTGCCAGCACCTGTCTCGGCACAAATCACAGTGACCGGGTTGTTGGCAATGCAAGACAAAATGTTGTCCTTGTACTGATGGACTGGCAGTGATTGACGAACTTCAAGCATTTGCTGGAAGGAAGGGCGAGACGTCCGTAATAGCCAGTCCTTGGAAATCTGATCTGGATCTAGTCTGCTGGGAGTAGGGCGTGGGCGGCGACGATCTGTTGCTAGCGTGGGTTTCGCTCTTTGAGTTGTCACGCCATCACTCTTCTCATGTTGCGGCTCTTCTTGAATGGCCTGGATGATATTTCGTAATCGCCGGAGTATTTCCTTGTGCTCCTCGTTCACAAGTCTCTGCTTTTCGTCAGCTAGATCTCTGACAAGCTCGCGCCACACAGTCGGAAGCCTAGCGATTGCTTTCTGTTCTTTCGAGCCTAGTGATGAGACCACGAACAATCCCTGCGAGCAGATATATGCTTCCGACTGGATAGTTGTGGCTGCGGCTATTGTCTCCATCGCAAATGTCCAGTTTGTTGACGTTATTTTCGTTGATATCATCGATGGCAAGGCAGAAATAGCATGCTCGTCTGGCGAAAGCTCTACTGACCAGGAAATCTCCAAACTGTGTCTCGTTGAGTGTGACGTGCTTTGTAAAATACGTGTCTGGATACGGCATTTCGCATCATACCCTTTGCAGGTATCGTCGAGTAATTTTTTGGGAGAGACGCCGCTCCATTTACCAAAATCCACGAGCTTGATGTCCCCTTGTGGTTTCGTAGCCGGATCAGGTGTTGCATTCTCAGACTCTTCACCAAACATACCTCCCAACAGGCCATCTTCTCCATTAACATCCACTTCAGCACCAGGAGCTAGAGTCTTGGCTTTCGGCAAGCTGTTGTCTCTTTCTGAAGGCCCGGCTTGCTCGATCTCACGCCGTCGCCATGATTCTTCTCGCAAAATTTGTCGCCGGTCCTCTTGAAGTTCATCCATAATGACTCTCCAGGAAGACTCAGCCTCATACTCATCCAGAAGAGGATCTCGACACAGAGATTGCAGTTTACCCTTAAGCTTGACTATTTGCTTCTGCCGTCTCGATGTGGAACTCGACTTCCCAGGTTGAAGCGGATTCTCCAGATCCCATAATAGTCGCTTGATTCTAACATATCGCTCTGTCAGCTTTGCAGGGTCGTCGTCTTCCTCACTCCCGGACGAAACATTGGGCGAGTAGTCATCTTCAGGTTCTGATACCTGAGCTGGTGTACCTGCTGGGCTTTGCCAGGAATCATTTGCACTCGGAGTCCCTGCGGAACAGTCAGTCATACGTTTCTTGGTGTAAAATTTGAGAGGGTGTTATTATTGAAGCATCAGCAAAGGATAATGCTGGATTTGATGCTGGTCTCAAAGACAAGCCCGGATTGCCCTGATTTGAAGGACCCGAGATATTTAAACTTGATCTCAATCAACGCATACACTCACCAGAATCAAACAAAACAGGTGTGCTGGAACCACTGTTTCCAGGACGGAGCTCTACAGTATGTTCGTAGCTCGACAAATCCTCGGCATCTTCGCCCAGTGCGTACCACTGAAAAGCCTCCGTTAGGCCCGGCAGTGAATCTGACGATGTGCTCAATCGACCAGACAATGCAAGCCCAGCAACATGAGTTACAGCTTCCAGTACTCGAGGGAACTTCAAAGCTTGTAGAACCCTTTCAAGCGTCCAGAGATCAAGTAACACCTTCTCTTCGGCGCTGGAAGGAAGTGGGGCCTGCTCCATTCCATCCTTCATAGTTTCCCATAGAGCATTCATCGCGAACAGCTCGCCAATGCTCTGTTGTGGAAGCCATGGATAGGTTGACAATTTGTGGGCTTGCAGGCGAAGCTGCCGCCGTTCTGTCTCAAGCCGTGTGACTTGACGACTGGCGTCAGCATCGCATCGACTTGAGTATTTTTCAACGAAGGCTTCAAGCTCCGAATCTTCCAGATGGGCTTCCAGTTGCTCTGGGGTCATGTCCTCGATCTTTTGCGACGTCTTAGGAAGATGAGACTGCGTGGCACCATCACCGTTCTCCAGAATCTGAGCATCCTGAGGCGTTGTGCTGGTGCTAGACTCGGCAACATTCTCATTTGGCTCGTCAGCCAGTTTTGTTTTTGAAGGGACAGATGTTGTGGCAAATCCTCGTGCAGGGTTCGCAACAGCCTTTTTCTTCTTCTTGTTCGGAGCCATACCTATGTAAAGGGTTTGGCTTATTGGCAGAAAGAGGGAATGGTTGCCAGCTTTGACATCAAGACAGCACGAGATAGTTGAACACCCCGCGCGACGCTGCAAGCATGGCAACGATAGAATCCATGTCCCAAACGGGGTATCGACACCGAAAAACTAGACCGTTGTAATCGTAGGATTGATATGAGGTAGCCGTTAAATAATACAATCACAAGTCAAATATGTTACAAAATGGGCCGGCAGAGTGAAGAAATCGGCGCCAAGCCCTTGCCTCACATGCTCGTCATTCACTTCAACAACTTCGATATTACGGTGCAAGTAAATATATTGGCCCGGTAAGGAGACAAGTCTAAGGCAGACACAGCGACTTGTAGTTTCAGGTTTCCAGAATGTTGGCATTGGCTCTGACGGCTGAGTTGGAAGGGTATCGAAGTTTGCGGGATGGTCTTGACAGTCACTAATCCGATCCAGTGTTACCGACCTCAAGCCTCTCGATACAGCCGATTCTCCATATTATTATACATTCAAAGTCCAATGTACATCGTGTCGTGAGGTACATGCGAACTGGGTTGGCGTTAATCGTCATGTAGGTGGTGTCAAGTTTCAGTCGAAAACCTTCAGCAGTCCGGCTTCGCTATGATTGTTTGGTGTTTTATTTTATTACAGCCAACAACATCTTTAGCTTATATGCTCTTATCTAACGGAGCGACCATAGGAGATGAATGAGCAGTCTGGAAGCCGAGGAGAAGCAAATTTTGTATGGAAATGCAAGAATTGCAAGGTTGGGCACCAGTTGGCTGCTAAGAGCACTCGTGTGCTGACCCCTTATGCAGCGAGAATCAACTGCTACTATAAAGACAGCTCCAGCATCCTACGAACAGAATTCGCCAGCCAAAGCAAAGAACATTATTGAGATCGACTGCCGGGGCTTGGAGTTCACCGAGTTCAAAGCAGACGTGAGTGGTAGCAGGACTTAGAGGAGTTTGCAGTCACTGACCAGTTGTCAGGGGGAATGGGAAGCCACGGGTACAGATTCGGGTACCAAGTTCACTGGGATAGACCTATCCGAGGGCGAATGGTTCGATTACGATGAGAAGGCTGGGGAGGAGGTGAGCATCAAGGACATCAAGTGGGAGGTGCGGCGAGCCTGAGGATCTGCTCCCATCCAAGTTGTAACCTAACTATCTTCGGGCGGACGGCCGCTCCCACTTTGAGCAATGGGATTAGGAGGAGAACGGGATGATAAGTTTGATGTGCCACCCTTTTCCCAATTCGTTGTTTGGCTTGAGGTTGGGAGACAGGATTCTTTCCCCGGGTCTTGGAAAGAAGCGAGGCTGACGGACTTGGTTTGGGACACCTTACTACTGCTACAGGAACATCATTTTGTCAACTTCAGATAGGGATCAGGAAGAAGTCGACAAGTCGTGTACGCTTCGAGCAAACCAACATAGATGAAACGAGGCTAGCGACGAGGCTGTGCACGTGATCTCCGTTGCACGGCGGTGCCAAGCCCGCGGCTTCGACAATTTTCATGAGCGCAAGCTGGAGGAAGCGCGCCCAGTTGTATATCAACAAGTTCTTGCAGCAGTATTGTTCGGTCTTGCGCAAAGTCATACCGATCAGTTGTATGAGCTCGTAGGAGAACTCTCAAACAGCGACCATGAACGTGAGTTACAAACCTACCCGTCACTGAATCTATGCTAATTATCATATAGTTTACTCCGCTGAACCCAAGGCCTCTCCTCCAAAACCTGTATGTTCTATATGTCGCGCGGTCATTACTTCCGCGAAACCTGGTTGCCCAGTCACTGGACTTGAGAAGACATATGTCTGAGAGCTGACACGCGCCGCTTTCTACAGGATCAATGACGAAGTTATAATACGATTGAAATGGGGACAGACTGAATACAAAGGTCGCCTGGTCAGCGTCGATTCATACATGAATATTCAATTGTCAAACACGGAGGAATATATTGACCGCAAACACACTGGCACACTAGGCGAGGTGCTGATCAGGTACCCGAGAAACTATTTCCGCTGAATGATTGAATATGCTAATGTGACACCCACAGATGCAACAATGTGCTCTGGATATCAGCAGCCAAAGGTGTCGAAATGAACGGCGAAGCCGACACGAAGATGGAGGGCTAATGCAAAGCCTACCAATGAACTGCTATTCGAATGTGTCGACAGATACCCGACCTACCTCTTATCTGATGATCTAGATCAAGACGCATCCTGTCCTGGCTCGTCAATTTACCTACCGAGAGCAGATTTATCAGACAGGACTCTCTCGACCAGTGCGCAGGGTAGCATACCGCGCTTTCGACGTGCCGACCCGAGATTTGTCCAACGCGTTTATGACTTGAAGAATGGTAATCCTGTCATGCTACAACACACATCAGGTCACAGAAGGCACTGTGGAGCCTATGTTTGCTTCGCATCGATTGGGATGAGGAACAGAAGCTCGGAAGGCTTGCTGCGCGAAAGGTGGTTTCGCTGGCAGGCAGAATAAACAAGCGACTGAGCACAAGAGACGACATGAATATCACTCACAGAACCATAACTATGATAGGGTGACTAGTTTCGGAAAAGAGTTGCAGCATGGCAAAATCCATGCCAGCAATGCAGCTTCAAGAGGTGTTCTCTCGTCAAACCACGCAATGCAACCATGAATCGATAAGCAAACGTGTCATGCTGAGTGTGCTTCTATATTCCTATTTTGTGTAATTGCTAGGTCGTCGACGTCATTCAGAGCGACTAGTCAGTCTTTCGGCCGCAGAATTTATGTTCTTGGGATCTGAATGCTCCCAGGCCAAACAGGTCAAGGTGTACAGGCTTCGCTTCCGTTCCGGAAATTTTGCCCCTCGATGCCTCACATCATCATTCCCCAAGCCAGATTCGGAGGTATGCACTCGTCGACCACCACGAAGAGTGCCGAGGCGACGTACTGTACGATAGTCCAGGTGCTTGAATTGAGCGTTGTGCGACAATCAACAGTCGGAAGGGTATCCTTGTACTCGTATGGACGAAGGGAAAAGAAAGTGTGCAGGGCTCAACTCAAGAAGCAAGATCTGAAGCCGACCCTCCTCGCCACCCACCTCACACAAGATGATCAATGCCGATCGTTCTGATGCCAACGTGGCCCTCGCCTCTGTACGAGTACTGTACTCGTATTCGTTGTCGTCCTCATGGAGCCTACCAGTAAGTCCTGTAGCAGGCTTCCTGGTCCTTTCCTTGCTTATTTTACCTGCCTGCGGCTTCGCTCTGGGCGGCTGCTCGAAAAGACTTGCGCCACACGACAAGGACCCTGAATTTTAGCTCCCGCGACTTTCCACAATGCTTGCCTAGGACTAGGCGCACGAGGACTAGAGTTTGTATACCATTCCCGCCTGGGGAAGGTCGATGGAGGGACCGTCATGGGACGACCTGAAAAGCCACTGGAACACTTCATTGGCGCCCAACTTGCAATGGAGCCAAGGGTCTGGATCATTATTGTATGCGATGCCGAGGGCGCTGTGCAAAGGCGCGGCCGTCGCGTGTGCCGAAGACGAGGACAGCCAGATTGGAAATCTGCCTCCGAATTTTAAAAGTCCTGTCCATTGCCCATTTGCATCTACATATTTGTAGCTTTTGTCTTCTGTGGATGGTCTTTCGCGCTTTTCAACATTCGTTCGCATCTACCCAAGGTAACCCTCCTTGATATCCCTCCTTGACTTTTCGCATATATACATACTCGGCGCTGCACCTCATCTACTATCCACGCACCATGTCCTCCAAATTTACCGAGATCCTTGATGAAGGATATCAAACATCCTCCCCCCAGGACGATGTACGCCTCGAAGATATCATTGCAGCCACCAACATGTCTCACCGCGGCCGTACTTCCTCAGAGACCAGCTCACGAAGCGCAAGTTCATCCAACAGCGCCAGCCCTGACGAGAAGCCTCGCAAGAGGCTGTCACGACTTCTCATGCCCACGGCAAAAAGATGATTCGCGCAAGATGAACTCCTATGAAAAACATCAACTACGACCTACGATAACACCCACCATATGGGGACTGAAATAATGAGAAAACGAAAGGAAAAACAGAACTCCCATTTCAATATTCAAAAGTCTCTCTTTTGCTAGGTGCATTGCGACGAGGCAAAGGCATCTACACCACATTTTGTTCGACCTCTGGGGGTTGCGAGGCACGGATGCCTACTCAGTCCTGACCTACACACTTCCAATCCCTAATTGTCCCATGACATCGAGGGACCTTGGGGTCACCACAAGCCCGGTTGATTGAGTCAAAACCCTCGGGGGGTACCGCTGGAGTCAGACGGAGGCTCCAGAAGTTGAGGGGATGGCAACATGGCCAAATCTACGAAGTACATCACGAGTGACCCCGACGCAAGAGATTGACAGCATCTCCACAACCCGCAGCAGGGGAAAAGGGTCACTCGGATATATGGGCACATGACCCTCCTTCGATGGGACTTTCACTCCCTTCACCGCTTTCATTCCTTGTTGCAGAGTTGCGACATGACGGATTGGCCCAAGATTGGGGCATTGAAAAAATCTTCTTTTCTCCTATTATCAAGCAGAACAGCGCCGTTTGCAACGAACTTTTTAGTGCCCATTCAGCGGGACAAATTGGGAGATACAATATGGGGGGGAAGCGGAGACGCAAGGGAAATTGTCGCCCGAAAACTCAACACAGGTGAACACCTCCTTAAGGTACTTTTTAGTGCATTTTCACACACATCGTCAATCAGATTGGTGATCGGGGATCTTTTGTGTCAGCAGGCTTGAAAGTTTGGACAAAATTCTTGTGTACTCGTATTTGTAAAACCGCTACTCAGTATGATGATTGTGTGCAGTACTAGGTCCAGAAGTGCTAGATTTGCCATTGAGGGTTGTTCACGAATAGAATAGGCTATACAGCCATTAGAGAGAGAAAAGTACACAATTGAGTGACATGCCCCTTCTTCTGCCTTCGAATCCAGAATCAAACTCCCGACTGTTTTCCGTGTTGTCCAACCTCCAGCGTTCCCACCAGGGTGCATATGAGGTATGCTCAGTACAATGGGGGGAGGGGTACAGATGGAGCTGAAGCTTCAGGCCAGTATGTACAATGGG